GGGGGAGGGGGGGGGTTTCGGACTATGAACTAAATAAGTACGTTCTGACTGTACGTTCAAACGTAAAAATACCATTGGTAGTACTGGTCACGCATCACGGTTGCGGCCGGCACTCACCATGAAAACCAAGGGTTGTGGGCCACCTGAGGCCTTTGGAGAATTATGATGTCGTTGATCAGAAGTTTATCTGATTTCCCAAACTATAAGACTTTGGCCGCAAATCAAGCGAGAAAAATGTCCCTAAGTACATACAGCTGAAATGGGTAGGTCTGAAGAAAAGGCATTCCGCACTTGGAAACACGGTCTGCAGGAAGTGGTACTATATGAGGGATAGTTCGCTCATCACGTGACTCCTTGACGTTCGGGGATGAGGGGATGAGTCACGACAGTCAGATGGAAACCAAGATACTTTGTAACAATGAGTCAAGCACCAGACAACCTGGTATATTGGAAAGTCACCTTGAATATCGCGCCAATTTCGTGATCTAGGAGGTCATTACTGAAGTGTCGCTTATTATCTTTACGATTTGAACCAAGTCAAATTATTTGCGCCACAGCATTCCTTCATCATAACAAAGGTAGCAACTCGGCACGGGTCTTTTGAAATATAATGCGAGCCTATTGTTGATAAGATTTATTGTTTCTTTGGGCATCCACGATGTTTTCCGAATCTTCCATTATCTTGGTTCCATGGGACCCGGACTCACCAGAGCATTTCGAACGGTTGAAACAACAAAGGATTGTTTGCGGGTGGAAGGTGGAGGCAGTTGATTCGTGGGCAGAACTTCAGAGAAAGGGAGTGATCGGAATGCATTGGATTGTAAGTACACGTTACGCGTCTATTCAACGTTGGTAGCCAGGCCTTGGTCCCGTGTCATTCCATTGAGACCCAGCCAGCTTGGACAGCCCAGTCGTTACCTCAATTCGAAAGCGCTACTTAGTATTCTTGGCTCTTGATCTTTATAACGGCTACACACGTACGTTGTGTTGAAGATCAGTGCGCACACTGTTGCCTGACAAGAACTGAGACTTCACTCCCATTTCTCCTACCTCTACTCTCTGGGCATCAATTCCCCTCTGCATACTAATAGGCTAACTAGGTCCTCTCTCCAACCAATCCACTTACAGCAGACCGTCTGCTGAAACACACGACAGCTTATCCAAAAGAGTCCATACCACTTCGGGACTCCAGTCAGCGAATCCTCTCTCGTGCACACATGCCAAACGCAGAGCTCAGTACTTTCCTGCCAATCGGGCACATTTCGCTGGACTCGTGGACTTCGGATCCAGATCTGAAGACCTCAGCTGCTAATGGAATATACTCAATAATGTGTTTCTACATCTCTAGGGTATTGCAGAATGGTGGACTTGGGGCAGCCGCACTGGCCTCATGCGAACAGTGAGTTGCTTACCCAAGTACAGCACTACTATAGTCCTTAGGCAGGGCTTCTAAAATTGCATAGAATGGCCGTCGTCGATCTCGGCGCCAAAACTATCACACTGAACACCATCGGCAACGAGGAGTGCCTTCCCAACAATCCGCGGAGGATAGCCATGGGAAAAACGAACATACCAAAGGTACCTTTAGACCGTATATTTTGTTTTAGGGTTTAGTTCTGATAAAGTCGCAGCCTACCAATGAAGACTGGTACACTCACCGAGGTTACAAGTCTTACTTCCGCAAGAACGACGCATGGTTCGACACGGACCCAACTGGCAAGAAATGGGGTGTCACCTCTGCCTTCCTGAGGAAAGACCTTGTGTAGACCTTTTGAGACGGAGGAACTGATTTCACCGAACGCGTTGATCGACGGAACAGTAAATATGCATGCAGGGAGAGTAAAGTCTGTTGCAGATTCGTCTGATACAAGTGGAAACAATCGACTGCGTGTGATGCAGGAACCAGCGATCTGAGGTCAATCAACGCAAGATAATGTAGAGAGGTCAAAGCACACTGCAAAACCCAGGTCTCTATACTTTGCCTACTTCTACAGAGTGTGACGTGTTTCGCTGTGTCATTGATCTTCCAGCGACGAATACAGTCAAGGGTCTTGCTAGGGTCAGACGTTTTTGCTCCATTGCCAGGGGCGGGATCCATCTGAAAATGCAGGTTTCCACAAATAATTGCCCTTGCTTTCCAACTTATGGCACGACAAGGAAGGGATGCGAAAGTTTATAGACAATCGGGGGCTGAAGTCAGTACTAATCGAGAACCCTCCCGGAAGCTTATCAAAATGGGGACATGCAATGTCTAGCATTCAGCATTAAATTCCTTCCAAAATTGGGTGTGCGCCACCCCCTGTCGGATGAGCAGTGGAGAACTGCATACATCAACCACATTGACGTGTCTCAATGTCGACCCCCGGCCCAATGCCGCGGACCAGCCAGGTGTCTAGAATACATAGCGACTTCAGACTGAGAAACAGTCTGCGGAAATCCCCGAGATATTTGACAGGGTTGCAAGATAAGGGGTGCAACGCATATCATCAGCGGCATATCGTGGGCGGCATATCGTGGGGAGCGCCGGAACAAACCGAGATGGCAGCGAGGCGGAGAAACACACCTCGGTCGCCAAGCAAGACAAATTTTCGCAAACACTTCCCGGGTTTGTCACCGACTCCGGGCAGTAGAGACTCAGGTGAAAAAACGCCACTGGGCGCCACGACGTTGCTCGTGATCAGCAAGAATAGCAACAACAGGCTTTCCCCTGGTGCATGTATTTGTGCTTCGATGATTGGCTGTCTGCAGCCTGGGAATATCCCAGACACCACGACAACCATACAGTACAGCACAGGCTGGGCCCAGGAGGGATGTCATGGCTACTCCAACCCCGCATGTGCCCAGGGTCTTGGCTCGTTTGCCCGGACATTGAATACCGACGACAGAATGACCGTCGCCTAGATGGAGCTCGAGCCGGGGGCGGGATTTTGAGATATCATTATACCGCTGCCGAGTTTCTTCAAATTCCTATGTGAGCCGTGGAATGCCACTGTGAGTCATGAGACCCCTACAGAGAAAGACTCCTCTTTTGTCATCTGGCACACTGTAGGACTATAATTGTGAGAATAATCAGTCCCAACAAGCTCCCTAGACTGAACAGTGGTTGCAACTGCTTTGACAATACACCTGACCCATGCTAGTGTTGCGGCCCTGACGACTCAAGCATCTGGGATCAGAACATGTGTTGAACATATCTGGCAATGCAATTAAGACAATTTCACAGAAAACACGCTTACAGATAATCTATGCCAAAGGTGTAGTGCTTTGGGACAGAAGCAAATATATCAACTTGAACTATATATGTACCTTTGCCTGATGTCGACAGAGATTGATCACCCTATTTTGGTTATCTTCCGGAAGACCTTGTTTCGTATAGGCAAATATGAAACCCCAATGCTTCCAGATGGTTCACTTTGGACCATCTGGCAGCCAGGTATGCTCGCACGTCTGCCCCAATGAACACTGTGATACCAAAATCATCTCGAGATACGTACCTGAGCCAAGGTGTTTCTGAGGAGCGAGGCAGTGCTAGGGTCTATTCTTGGCTTGATCGATGCGGCCTGTAAGTTAACGATCACTCGTATACATCAAAGCCACTTAACATTACATCGGCGCGTTGTCTCGCATGATACATGATAGTTTCAAGAAACCGACGATTTGCTAAGGCCAGACATGGTTTGTAAACGTCATTTCCTATCAGTCGATGTCAGATCTGGTTACGGCAACACACTTGACAGCGGGCCAAAGTTGAGGCAAGTCAGTCAGCGCGAGAAGCTGGCATTGTTAATTCAGATACAGCAGACTTCTCAAGAGCATTCCATGGGGCATACCCTGAGTCTAGATTTCCGATGTGGGAAGAAAACCGTGCAATGATGATTGGTGGATTTCAAAACATGGACAGGAGAGATTCGACCAGTGCACCTGAATGTGAGACTACAGTCAGTTCGTACCTTGGTATTGGAATTTTTCTTCGCATAGACTTGGAATTGATGGAGCTGCGATAGTAGAGCCTAATTCCGTCTAGTGCTGGATTTCGGTCTCTCCGGGCCTTTAAGAGACGAGAAGAACATGTGGCAACGTAAAATGACTTGAAGCCCAACGGAAGACCAAAACCTCAAAAACCTTCCAAGTTGGACTGAACTTGAAGGGATCTTTGCGTGCTTCTCGAGTGGCTGGTCAGCGCTATAGAGCCACATCAAAGCTCCAGTGCACATGCCAGAGGCGGTGAGGCACGACTTGAGGGAATAACCTGGAAGGGCCTGAGATAGTCCGTCCTTCGGTCTGTCATGGCAGTCACGGGAACCAATTCACCCGCCCGCTTTATTTTTTCGACCCACTCAGTGAAGACCTTGAAAGAACCTGGGCCTCATCACCCTCTAATCAAGCTCTTGGTGGCCTGGCGATGCAGCGCTTGCGGGAGATCTGCAGTTCATAACGCGAGTCATTCGGGCTTGACGTGTCGCCGACTGCGGGAGCCTTACTGCTGGCTTCCCAACGGCCCACGGGTCTTCCCTGCTGTGGCGCATACAATGGAGACCTTGGCTACTGGCTGCCCAGATAGTAAACGACTCGATCATGGTTAATTGGTGCGGTGGAGAATCGCGATTCGTAACGGGAACCAGCAGGACCAGCCCAGGCTCGTATCACATCGCGTTTATGCAACGCGTTTGTTGCTGGCCTTGGCTATTGATGCACCATTTGGCCGAATCCTGCGAAGACGTTCCAAAGTGGGAAGCACCCGGCGTATCGGGATGTGCTACGACGAGCCCGTGACCTAATAGCGTCCGAAAAGAGGGCTGACGGACTGAGTTTGAATCCCACATGAGAATGGGACTGGAACCGTTGGCAGGTTGGCCGTTAGGTATCGATATGGACTACCGAATCCACCACCGGAACCCGCACAGACACCGCCTCCATGTCTGGGGCGTTCTGGTGCCGTGAACAGGCGCACGCACCGTCGTAATGCTAAGTAGACCTCTACCGCTTCGGCGCGAAAAATGCGTCTCATTCCCGGATTTCTGGGCTGAGTTCCTTTCCCTTTTGAATACATCAGATGCGAACTCTGCTCAATACTGTTTGGAGCTTACTGTGTGAATGAGGTTGGGGCTAAATCAGCTAGCGGTGCCCCGAGGAGTTGGAAAGTCGATCGGCACGTCGTCTACGGGTAGATCAAGTCTCCCCACCGCGCACATGGACGCCTAGAGAAGGCCAAGCTGTTCCCAGCGGTGAGGTTTGAGTTTGAGCCATCTCATTGTCAGATTATTTGAGTTCACACTTCGGAATGCGACGATACAAAAGGGACTCTTTCCGGACAGCTGAACCCTTTGGGAAATGACGTCGCGCTCATTTGTGGAAGCATGAGTACTCAACCATTTGGTAACGACGAAATGCCTAGATCTATCTAAACGCGGAACTGCTGAAGATCCGCTGGCACGCCATCATAGCGTACTCTAGCGTGAGAAGGAAGTCCTTTCCACTCGTGACTAGACATGCACTAACTACTGTGTACAGTACCTCAGCTTCTGTTTAGAAGTTGTTCGATCCACCCTATGAGGCTGTGAACAAAGGTGGTTCTGGACGAGAGTATTACGTGTTGCTTCCGCCGCACCTGTAGGAAGTATTTCTTGCTTCTCCACAGTGCGTTACTCCAGGAACGTGTTACCTTTCGCGATCCGGCCAGGCTCTGTCCCGTGCCCACGATCGGTGAAGGAGTCGGTATTACAGCTAATAGATCTTCAAGCTATACTAAGCAAGGTGAGCAGTGCTCTCACCTATGGTCTGTACTAAGACCCGAAGCGTGAGTGTGTGGCAGGGAAACTGAGCTGCAGGGATCCCATGACGGCATGGTCTCTACAGGGGTGTTCCCCGACCTTGGGGACTCGTCTTCTCATGTACCCAGAGGTAACGTCTGGTTGCCGCAATGGAGGTCTACGGCCTCAGCAGTGTACCATAGTAGAGAACAGGCTTGGCTAGGCAAGGAGCTGCAAGGGCACCGAACACCGTCTTGATCACCGGAAACGGGTGATCTTCGCAAGTCACTTGTCTATTGAATTGTGCATGGTCAAGCGAAATAACATGAGATATGGTGATCTGCATGCAGCCTGGTTCAGGCATAGGGCCTCTCAGATTCAAGCCTCCAAGTCGATATTTATATCTACGTAAACTCAGTGCGACTGCACCCTAGATAAAAATCCGCATCGACCCTTATTACGGCTGATAATCCTGTGGCGTTCGTCATGTCAGTGTTGGGCCTCCAAAGTCTAGACTGGATAAAGATGCAGGTCACGTACTTGAAACCAGCCACATCTGAAAGCTCTCAATTAGACGACTTCTTTTCAAACCCGGAGCTCTACCATGTCAAGGGAACGCCATGTCTGGAAAACCGGCTTAAATGTTACCTTTCTGGACACGAGGCGCTCAGACTTGAAGAATCGGCGAATGACTGGGCACCCTAACATAGTGATACACCCCGTACTCCCTCCCAAGAGATGATGCACTTGATGCTGCAGAGTGTCACTCGGTGGTACCAGTGCAGCAGCGCTCGCAGCAGCCACGCCGTCACGGACATAATGTCAAGATGGACAGCTTACATACTCTGAAACCCGGACAGACGGCCAGTCTCCACTGGCGAGAAAGAACTTGTTATCTGAGCATTCTGAACAATCCTGGTCTCGACGATTAAACTCATCCTCACACCCCCTCCCTCGCCAATCACGCGTGGTGCAGGTATAGATAGCGTGCTGCGACATAGAGCTCACTTAATGATTTGACCATAGGGAGTCGGGTGCCACAAGCGCAATCTCAGTAATACTGTAGCAAAATGCTTGAGACATGGAATAGGAACATTCAGCTGACCTTAAAGGTTTGAGGACGTGCGCCACTTCGTCCAAAAAACGATGGGACGTAATGAACCGTACCCCTCACCTGGTTATTGCCAGGCGGTGGCACTGTTCTTGCGATGGCCGAGGCGTTATGAGGGTACAGAGCAACGTGGGGGTTGCGCCGATGGAAGCAATGGTCCTGACGGCTCATCATCGAGTTACACCCATGGAAGCTCCATACTTTCATGCGTGTTTGATGGGATTTTGCCGGCCTTCAATGCCCCTTCGAGGCAACCCGTATGTACTCCACACTTAGCCATGCCCCCTACCAGAGTTCCATCAGCGGCACTTGCTGCAGTGGTCGTGATCAGAAACCGGGCTCAAATGCAGAGAGGCCGGAGTATTGCTCATCGATCGTCTTTCGATACATGTCACGCTGATTGTCGCATACCATGGCCGGCTGCATAGAGGTGGCCTGAGAGACCATGAACAACAATAGGCAAGGCCGCCTGCAACATGGTCGGCCACCGGGGGATGTCTTGGCGGAAGAAGTACATGGGATGATGCTCCAGCTTCAGACGCGCAGAAAGGGCCCTAGGTTCTTTGTGAGGGCCCAAGGGGTTTCCAAGCACCGACGGTGCAATGATCGGCCCGCCGTACAGGCTGCCTGTGGATCGCAGTCTCTACGGGTGCGAAAGGCGACCTGCGCAGGGCATCCGTTTTCTCGCTCACAGAAACCCGACTGAGCAGAGCCGAGACATAGAGTGGGCGAGATGTGGCCGCCGGGATACACTTCTCAGCTGCGTGAGTGTTGCGAGACACCATCATAGACATCGAGAGGACCGATTAGCAGACAGCTTGGTTCAAGGCGCATCCACAGCAATGGTCACGTCCCAGTTGGCAAGATAGGCTAAATCCCAGGTTGCAAGATCTACCCGAGAGCATTGACCAGGCGCTGTCACCAGCGGCCTCGCCCACTGCACCGGTGCTATGGAGGACCAGGACGAGCCCGGGCGGCTTTGAGCGGGGACTGGCTTGGCTGGAGGGCGGGTGTCCGCGCTGCTATACCTAATGCCTGCCACCTCTACCTTAATTTTGGCTCCCGCGTCCCCGCCAATCCGCCCGCCATCTGGATTCCAGCCGATTAGCTATCGTCTGTGCCGCACGCTCGAATATATTGCCCGTCTAATTGCTTAGTTGTGTGAACCACGTTGCAGCTCAAGCACGATGCGGTTTAATGGATCAGATATAGCACAATGACGCAACCGTATGGCGCTGCACCGCTTCGGCACACGGCTCGGTTCCATTCTGCCCTCGGGGGCTGGTAGGGCTGCTCGGTGACAACTGTGTCGGCCGGTAGGGTGAGATTATACCAACGTTGCAGTCATCTCTACAGCAAGCATTCGCCATCTACGAGACGACTCATTGGCCACTTGCCATTCTGTTAGGTCATACTGGCGCACGACGGTGAGTGCTGTATGTATCGGACCCAGGGGTTGAGCGTTTCAGTTGGACGTATCTCTCCTCGGGCATGAATAGTCCGCGGACCTGCGTTTGGCCGCGTCTGCTTTGACTCTCCATGGAGCGTCTCGGGCCGGGCGAGGACGATCTGGTAAGAAATGTGCACACGGCAGCCTGGCCACTCTTCAGAACCCGCCAATGTGAGATCTCGTTGCTCTCGATGATGAAACAGCAAGCATATTGTTACACAGCAGGCCTCGCTTTACGCTAGACCTTGAGGGGGGGTAAGTACTCAACCTGCCCTGCTGCCAGCTCGACCAAACGGACAGCACCCACCTCAGCCATGCATCTTCACCCTGCAGTGTGCCTCTCCAGCCGTCAAATGACAGCTGCAGGTGTTCGAAATCCGACGAAGACCGGAAGATGGCACTTCACGAGGCTTTCAATTGCAACTACACAGATGGCAATCAAGATGTAGAATTGCTGCAAAGACTGGGATCACCGTGTGAGGGGTTGAGCCGGCCGAATCAGCTCTGTCCATCACAACCATCACGCACTTTCGCCTCTTCAACCGAATGCCTTCTCACCATGCGTACGGAGTACCAGTCCTCAGATCCAGGTGAGCCACGTCGGGCGATGCCAGTTTCATCCATAGTTGCGAAGGAACGTGACATGATTCGGGTCACTGAATCCACCCAGCTGGCGACGCTCGTGGGATCCCGGCTGGAAAGTCAGCAGCCACGAGGTCACGTACGACCCATGGGCCAGCGCTCACTGGCCCGTTACAGCCACTAGGAGAATTGAAAGCTGCGCTCAATCAACAACTTCTATTTGTGACGCTGTCTTTATGTGATGCGGCACAGCTTGGGTAACCGGTCGGACGGGAATTAGGGCGCTGCCTCGTCGACATAACCATCCAAGGCTGACAGCGATTGCTCCCGCATTGGTGGAAAAGTCAAAGTGTAGGCGCTCCGCACGCCGCGTCTACACGCTGGCTTCTACCTGCCTACTAAAGCATCACGACGAGAGCTCTGGGCCAGATTCAATCGGTGCTCTAACCCCCTCGTTATCTCATCCCAAGGCCTGGCCTTGTTCTCTCGCCTGCTCAATGTGCACGGTGGCCGAATCGGGCCTGTCTCCGTGCCCTGTCGGGCACACAGCTTGCTCCCTTCTGGATTACAGCGAACATCGAAATGAGGGCGTCGCAGAATGCGGAAAACCGCCAGCCCGCTGGGGCACCCTTGCCCTCGGCATAAAGACGTTCGAAATGTACTGGGCAGCATGCGCCGTGGCTGCGTGCTAAAGACCGTAAACCTTACAACCCATGAAGCTCCCGCCATCAGCTGTGCAGCCAAGTAGTTCGAAGTACACCCCATGTCGCTGGCATAGACTCTGATGGGTGGGCTCCGACCCAAAGGGTGTGTGGAGCGTCCTCCAGGGTTTACAGCGACGACATGGGGCTAGAGAACGCCAAGCCCGATCCTATTCCACTCACGACCCGTCTAGTTCACGACCACCCTGCCCTTCGTAGGCCATCACTGACACCACTGGCCCTAGCCAGCCTCTTCACACAGTATCAAGTCTGACCCCATATCGCGAACGCTCATGATTGCTCGATCCTGCGGCATGTAGGGTACGTACTTGCAGAGAGAGTCTGCACCGGTGGAGTTTGCAAGTCGATCTTCACCACCAAGGCCCCCATGAAGTCAGGTAGGTCGCTGCGACTATTCGGGGCACGGCACATCGTGTTGTGATAGTACATGCACTCTATCTTACCTTCGCAGAGCCTGAAGTACGTCCGTCTAGCAAAAAAAACCAGGGTTTGGGCAAGTGAGTGGGGTCTTGTTCATGGTTCATCGCCTCTGATTATTCTTAGGCCGTGGTTCTTGCTTACACCCTGGCCCAACACGACCCCTACTTGACATGGAGTGATGTGCATCTCCCGTCCATATCTCTGTCTCCGCTAGTAGCCCCGCGGTATCATATCAATTCCGCACGGGTTCAAGTAGCACTACTTAGTATCGGTGCTACCCTAATCTCGAGGCCATTCCTCGACTTTCTTCCTGATCTGGTCGACTTTTGCGCTATAGGTCAACTTCGTGTCTTTGAGACTACGAAGCTGTGCTGGGCGCTGAATCTTGTTCACTGGTGCTCAGCCGAGTGAAGCTTCAGCTCCACCTTTTTCCTGCATGACCTGTGTGGGATTGGACATATGACCTTTGGCGGGGGGTAGATTGATATTCAGTCAACAAACTACAGCCTCTTGGGTGCGTCTTATACTTCTGCCTCGTTCCACGCTCCGGTTGCCTTTCGACCAAACTCGACGGAATCAATCTTGCGCAGCGCGAAGAATGGAGGTCATGATGCCTATACTCCCAGACCATGGAGATTTGTCCTGGTCAGACAGCCACAGCTCGGCTTCCGACGATAATTCCGCAATCCTCCTCCCGCAATCTCCGATATGGACGAACACGGCAGTGAATACATCAACGATGACACGGTTGGAGACTGGGCAATTGTCACCTATCAGTACAGAGCTAGAACTGCCGGCCGTCGATACGACCATCCCACATATGATACACTCGGCGACCTCATCGACAAACGATTCTTGGAGTACAAGCTACAGTGATGGCCCAGATGGGGAAGATGCAGATCATGAGGTGCATTGGGAGCAGCCCTCTGACGAAATGCTTACTGTTCCCAAGATCGAGCCACTGGATGATGACGACTTTCAAATGGACGATGTTAAGGAGGCACCAAGGACGCCTCAAGCAGCAGCAGCACCCGCTGTAACTTCAGGTTGCCCGACTCATGGCCTTAAGGCAAAACGACCAAGGGGTCGACCAAGGAAACACCCTTTGACTCCCCAAGTAGCCACCAACAAGGTAGCCAAGGGCCGGTCGAAAACGGGATGCATTACATGCCGAAAGAGAAAGAAGAAGTGCGATGAGGCCAAGCCACGGTGTAAGATACTCAAAGTATTACCTGTTGAAAATTTCTGCTGACCAAGGCGAAAGGTATGAATTGTGAGAAGAATGCTGTCGTGTGTGAAGGCTATAATGAGAAGACTATCTGGAAGAGCGGCAGAGAAAGGGCCGAAGAAGGTGATGGTGAGAATTTCCGATCATGAAGTGTCCATTACTGACGAGTCGTAGCGCGCCGATCAAGTCAGAGCCTTCCTGTCATCACACTTCAGCCAATATTTCAGGGGGTTGAAACGCCAGAAGACATGGTCTTCCTCAATCATTACATCAACCATCTCAGTGGTGTGCTCACTGTTGAAAGCCAGCACAAGAACGCATTTAAGGACATGCTCCTCCAGATGGCTGTTGAGCACAGGGGTCTGATGCATTCTATTTTATGTTTGGCAAGCAAACACATTGACTACGAGACGCCATACGGAGCGAAGACTCTTGAGTCCAACCCGAAGGTTTCCGCTGAGAGCCTCGCCGCACGGTCTGAATTCCACCAGGACGCTGCCATGGCAAAGTTCCATGAAGATATAAATCAGGAGAGGAGTAAAGACGCTGCGTTACAGAAAGTCAATCTTTCTGTGCGATATGGGCAAATGCTTTGCATGCTTCTCAAGTCCATCACCATGGGCTCGACGAACGGCGAGCACCGACTACACTTACAGGCTTACAAACAGCTGATCCAAGGCTCGCCGCCCGACGACTCTGCGTTCCTGGTCTTCATCACCGAGTTCTTCCAATTTCACGTTTACGCAGACGAACTCATTCGGTACCCAGACATGTGCTCGCCTAGACTAGCCCAGGAGGACTGGGAGCCCTGGCTGCCGATCCAGCCTGTGCGACTTATTGGCGTGGCCGATGGCCTGTTCCAGTATCTGAGCCAAATTACCACAATACGAAACACTATCAGGACCAACATCCTCAACGAGGTTGACCCGGTGGTAGACTACGCGTCACTCTTCCGGGCTGCAGAGATCGATGCCGCCATCAGGGAATGGACTCCACATTGGCCACCAGGAGATAGCCGTGAGCGCGTTGGACTTCTGTACAAGCAGATGATGTGGGTGTATCTCTTCCGCACTATCTACCCTCCCTCATCCTCGACGCCGCCAGCAATTCCCTGCAGCGCTGTAGACCAATATCACCGCCCAACCTCACCGCCACTCTCACCAACCTCGCCGGTCCATTCCGCCCACGACCCACTTTCGGCCGACCGGTTGCGAGCGAGTCATGCCTCGGTCTCACGAGCAGAATCACCGGCCCCCATCCGTTTCCCGCCTCACCACGACGCGCGCATCACTGTCGCCGTCGACGAGTCGCTCGCGATTCTGGACTCCATCAAGCCCAGCGATCCCTGCCAGACACTCCTCCTGATTCCTTGCCTCGTGATCGGCTGCGCCAGTTTCTCGCCCATCCAGCAGGACCGGATCCGGACCACCTTGCGAGGTGTGCGCGGCTACACCGGCCTGCGCAACTGCGACCGCATGCTCCAGCTGCTCGAGGAGATCTGGCGTCTCATGGGCCAGGGCGAATGGGCTCTCGTTTGGGACTGGCAGGCCGTCGCCAAGCGCATGGGACTTGACTTCTCCGTTGCCTGATCAAACCTGACGCTTGCATCAACTTCTTTTTCCAATTCGCAATTGCTTTCTGCTGTTGATGCACAGACAGCATCGTAATTACCTGCTCTCCTCCGCACATAGTACGCCTCACATGTTTTCAGGCCTCCTCTCCGCATTCATACTAGACGGCCCGCTCGCTTTATACCCCCTTTCCTTGTACATTGGCTGTCTCACGAGTTTCGAACTGCATGCATCGTTGGGGACGGAAGCATTTTATGAAAGGGTAACGACTACGGGAGCATACATTTAGGGGTCATGATACCAGTGAGACAGACAACAGGTTACTCGGGCGCTTCCCAGTAGCTCCCCCCTTCTCGAGTCTATGAGAATTGTAGTATGATCGAGCGAGTCTCTTTCATACTCCTGCGTCGGGCGGCTTCGGAGCCTCTACCGCAGGGCTTTCTGGCGTCGCATTGTTGGGGATCGCGACCCCCCTGGGAGATTTCACTGCTTCCCATGCTTGATGCAATTATGGATATATGACAGCTCGGCCGCATAGCCTTTTGCCTTTTATCATACACTATACATACATGTTTGGGATTGAGCCGATGCTTTTTGGTCCTCGAAGAGAGTGGCCTTCGTTACCCTTTTCCAACAAATAATACAACGGGCTTTTCTGGCACGGCCCAGGTTCATGTTGCAGTCCCGTGTCTTGTAAATAGTGTTATAATACTATACATACATAGTGATGCTGTTGAGAAGTGACAAATTCGACCTGAGTCCAGTTTGCATACCAAAGTATCGTAGTAGGATCATTATCAGCCCATCCTAGGATGTGTTATATGGGCGAGGTAGCTCCTGGCCGTCTCGATTCAGCTCGAAGGATTGGATTACCCGCTTCCGCTTGATATGACCTGATCTACCTGTAGGGAGGTGTTGAAAGAAAGGATTGGGTAAGTTACACCGGCAAATTCTCCTTCCTCATGACGGCGCCTTCATCAAAGATCTCTTACACTACGTCAATCACAACGGAACTGGAACTGGCCAGGCGTGCCCACGGACAGAGTGAGAGTAAGAAATTACAAGACATGTATGCCACGATGTTTTATTGCAATGCCATCATTATCAAGTAGACATATTTTTACAAAATTTCTTTGTTTCATTCGATGCTCCAGCTAGGTGCTCTATAGTATAGTTCGTCTACACTCGCAGGGTTCCTCCAAAGCCATGATATAATCGCTTACTAAAATACAACACGTCAGCGCCAACGCCTCGCGAGAGCGGCCAAGGGAAGAAAGGAACGGGCCAAGGTTTTAACTGATTAAAGCCGGGCACCCACCTTCTCCTCGTACGGCTTGACCTCGACCAGCAGCTTGCCCATGTTCTGGCCCTGGAAGAGCTGCAGGAAGGCCTGCTCGACGTTCTCGAGGCCGCCCTGGACGATGGTCTCCTTGCGCTTGAGCTTGCCCTCGGCGAGCCACTGGCTGATCTCCCGGCGGGCGGCGGCGTACTCGCTCAGGAAGTCGAAGACGATGAAGCCCTCCATGCGGATGCGCTGGGCCGTGACCTGGAACAGGTTGCGGATGCCCTTGCTCTCCTTGCCCGGGGCGTTGTAGCCCGAGATGCTGCCGCACATGACGAAGCGCGAGTGGAAGGCGGCGCGGTTGAGCGCCAGCTCCAGGATCTCGCCGCCCACGTTGTCCCAGTAGACGTCGATGAAGTTGGGAGTCGCCTGCTCAAAGTCCTTCTTGAACGACGCGGACTTGTAGTTGAGCACCACGTCGAAGCCCAGCTCGTTCTTCAGCCACGCGCACTTCTCGTCCGTGCCAGCAATGCCGACCACGCGCGCGCCCTTCAGCTTGGCGATCTGGCCCACGACGGAGCCGGTGGCGCCGGCGGCGCCCGAGACGACGACGGTCTCGCCGGCCTTGGGCAGGCCGATCTTGGCCATGCCGAAGTAGGCGGTCAAACCGGTGAGTCCTGTTGGTCTAGGCGTTAGCACGGCTCTTCATAGCTCTCAGGCCGCTCGCCGAGTCTCTGCTAGAAGCAGCAGAGACCGGTATGATGCGGTAGGGAGGTAGGGGGGCGGGTTGTGAAGACTCACCCAAGACACCAAGAGCATCGGTGACCTTGCCGTTGGCAGGCACTTCGACCACCTCGAACATCTTCTCGTCGACGATGCCGACCTGTGCCCAGCCCACACTGGCGTTCACCAGATCGCCCGCCTTGACCTTGGAGCTCTTGCTGGCCAACACACGGGAGATGGCCGAACCGCGCATCTTCTCGCCGATGGCGACGGGGGGAATGTATGATCGGACATCTGTATATCGGAGGGCACAGGTCAGTCTTGCAGTTCATGCCATGAGGGTTGGATTGTATGCAGTGCTTTTGACGGAGAGCCAGTGCTTCCGCATATCATTGGCGCAAATGCACGATGTACGTCTCGGCAGGGCCCGTGGCCCGCAGGAAGGAATGTGTGCTCAGATCAGACATACCGTTCAACCACCCTCTCATGGCAGGGTCTAGGGATAGATACAACGCCTCGACCAGGATCTGGCCGTCCTTGAGCTGGTCAGCGGTAGGCGCCTCGGCCTTCTCGCTTCTAAAGGTCTCCCCGACGACGATGTCGGCCTTGGGCCTCTCGGCGAGGTACCAAGTCAAGTTCTCGCGACCCATGTTTGCTGTATGGATGTGTGCGCGCGTGTGTTTTGCTAGGGAGTATGGGCTACGAGTTGAGGAGCGAGGTCGGCAGTGCTTATCTCGTCTTCTGTCTGGTATAGGGCGGGGTATAAATGATGTCAGGTGTATAGATGAGAAAGAAACAGTTCAGTTCGGGGAGCGTCCCCGCGTGTTGTTATAAGTAGAGCTCCCCTCCGACGGAGCCATCTCTTAATAATCCAATACGTTCCAAATCTCGCCCTCGCCGAATGGTGTGGTTTCATGGGCGATGTCATGCCTGGTGCCCCTCAGTAAACCCCGAAAGTATGCCATGACAGCCTTCGCTTCACTGTCCCGGAGCTAGGTAGAAGAGGCGGCACGGCGACCTGCCATTGGCCAATTGGCCTCGGGGCGCCTCAGAAGAGGCAAGCGGCCCGCGGGCGGTGGAGAGTGCCCAGGGATCTGCCCCAGATGGCCTGGATGGCGCCCCCGCGCAGGCCTGCTAGAGGCCCAGGGAGGCCCTAGCTGTCCATGTAATAGCGGCTGTTTCCCGCTGTTTCTGCAGCGCTCGTGGCAATGGCCCAATGCAACTGAATCTGCTGTGCCGAGGTCGAGGTGGGGCCTGGGGGTCCGAGAATGCCATTTGCCGTCAGTCAACTACAAATCTCGACCGCTGGTTCTTGCTAGCACATCTCTACACGGTCGATGAATTATTAATCCACGCCTTTGCGCTTCTAGAGAAGACCATTGCCTTGGAACACGTCGACAGTGTCGGCGTTAGGTGCAGAGGGTCCAAGTCAGCTATAGTTCCGACTCAACCGCCCGAACCGAGTCGACAGTCCGAAATGTGGAATTGTGCTACACTGTTACATGTTTGTCTACTTCTGGTCTCATGGTTATATTTTCTCGTCACAGGGTAGGTGGATATCCTGGATCAACCAAACCCCAGGTAACTTCGGCCGATAGAGGACCATGGTTGAGTAGGACCTGGCTGATGGCTTGGGCACCTGACCGCAGCTCGCCAAGTGGCAACATACTATATCGTACATTCATTTTGCTATGGTACCGAGAGTGGCTGTATTCGGCGTTTTCTCCAGCGCACCAGCCATTTCCCTTTTTTCATCTCATCTGGACGCCAGAGAGCGATGAGGCACAGCGATTCTTGATAGCAAGAGCCTGTCTGATTTTATACATCTGTAGCCGCTTCTACCTAGCCACACCGCAAGGCATATAGAGGATATATACGTATGGAATGAAGCGCTTGGAGCAAGCGGTAGAAAGTGACTTTCCCTCATGTGTCTGCCCTCTGTGATGCATTCCGTAGGCATCTTGGTATTACAAGCCTGTCCTCTCCTTTGTTCATATCTCATAACAGCACCTGAGACTAATAAATATGATACCTTCCAGAACCGCTCAATGTCGGGTTTCCGTTTATGCCGGTGCTTCCCTTGACAGCGTCAGTGATTCTTGCAACGCCTGGTAGACATTCTCCGCTGCCCAGTCTTCTAGCTGGGAAGAACGGCAGGGATGTCTTCAACGTCCTCCGCACCTGTATCGCTGCTAACCTCATCAACGATCTTCTCGTCGGACAAGGCACGCTTGGCCGCCCTGGCTTTAGCCTTGCCTTTGCCTCTGCTCTTCCTGCGGCTTTTGTTTGCTTCGGGCTTGGAATCTTCAAGCTGTTCCATTTCGTTCGGCTCACTAGAGCTTTTCATTGCTGCTTGTGCTGGCGACTGCTCATCCGCAGGCTGAGGGCTGTGGGCATTTTGTCGTTTTCTCGGGTTGCGGGCTGACTTTGGCTTGTTCAAGTTCGCCCCAATGCGCAAGTTACTCTTACTTCTGACAGCTTGTGGTGAGCCATGCACCGACTCGTCAATCTCGAGGTCGTCGACATCTCCAATGTCGCCCTCGTCCTCATCTTCATCATCGTCAAGACCCAAGTCTACGCTAGCCTCATCCTCGTCGCCTTCATCACTCTTAGTCGCAAAGTGGGGAGTTTTCGGGCCACCGATACCTTTCAGGATTTTCTCGACTTTGTGCTCGACCTCGCGATACTCGGCATCCAGGTCCATCTCCTCGGGGGGGAGGACGTGGAGCTGCTCTCCGGACTCTCTATACTTGGCCATCAAGGCCTTCGAGGTCTCGAGAACCAGCATGGTCCTCCAGTTAGGGAGGGAGCGTCGCATTCGATGCCAAGCCACCAGAAGGGCAGGGCGATTCCATCGCTCCACGGCCCCATACGTTCGACGAAGCTTGTGCCAGGGAATGCGTGAATCGGCCTTTGCGCCCGACTTGCTGACTGCCTTGGCAATCAGATATCGGTCTTTGTGGGTCATGGTGTCAAAGTCGGCGCGGGCTTGTTGGACGATCTCGTCCATGGATCTGGCCACCTGGCCATCGATATTGCCACCTTGGATGCGCAGACGCAGCGTCTTCCACTTCGTCAGACACTGGAGACGACTGCGAGTATGGTCCATGTTTTCGCTCACGAGAGACCAGTCAATAAGCTCTTCCTCGTCTCTTCGCAAGAGATCAGATCCCGCTGCACCCTCGCTGGCCTTGAGCTGCCGAATCTGGTCCAATGCCTCCTGGATGATTTGAATGAGACGCCCCTCTTCCTCGTGGCTCCAGACGTCCGTTTTCCTCTTGTCACCACATATCACGTAGTTGCGAATGCGGTCGCGAACGTCCTCAGAATGGCGGTTGATTAGGTTGGCAATGACCTTGAAGTTCCTGCCGTGAATCTCGAATGCGCGGACCAGTTCCTCATGCTGCTCTTGCGTCCAAGACCCACGAGCAACGAAGTTGTGGTAGATCTTGCGCGCCTGGTTAATAACCTTTTGGCGTTTACGCTTGGGAAGTGCCGCATGGACATGGTCCCAGAATTCGCCTGTCTTGGCGATTTGAGGGTTTTTCTGAATCATGTCCTTCATATCATCCTCGTCGATTTTGTGGATTTGGCGCCACCGCTGGATAGCGACCTTCAGATTACGCAGCTCGAATTCACTGAACACGCCGGACACTTCTTCGTCGGGCTTTGGGTCTTTGACCTTCCTGCTCTTCTTGGTTGCGAATAGTCCGTTGTAAGAGGTTGTGATCTGCTTGGAAGTACCAGCAGCGGAGGAGCTTGGAGCGTCGCTATTCAGCATTGACGATAGCTTCAGCTGCTTCGAATTACCGTTGGTGTTCGAGAGGCCGGGCTCAGCTGCCGAATCCATGGCACGTTCCTTGCCCTTGCGGGAAACAGCCGCCGCAGTCGGAGATGGGAGCTCAGCGAAGGCGTTGACGTTAGCATCCTCCTCTCGATCCAGGAATGATTTCTTCGCAAGCCGCCTCTTGCCAGTGCTTGGCTTCGGGCCGTACTGTTTCAATGATTTGGACTTGGACGAAGTGGCCGGGGCTATGCCGGGGCCATCCCCAACGGCTGGTGAGTGTGGCGAGTCTTGACCCGTATGGGTTTCTGCCAGAGCCTCGCCTTGCACCGCAGTCGAACCAACCCCAAGGTCGTCGGATCCGAGGTCGGGTTGTTTCTCGGGCTCATCACCAGCTAGGGAATCTACTTCGGGCATCTCGATGTCGTCAACAGAGCCAGCACTCCCAGCTTCCTCATAGTCACCGTTCTGGTTTTCGGCATCACTTCCTTCATGTTCAGAGCCGTTGCTCTCTTGGTGCTCCTCATCAACATCCATAGGATCCTCCTCGTGGCCATCGTCCATTGCAGTTTCTCGTTTGACCTCGGGCGTATATTCGGGTGGTCCAGATGGATCCGAACGCTCGAGCGAGCGCTGCAGGCGAGCGGCACTGGGCGAATACTCTCCTAGTTTTAATCTCTTGTGACGGCTGGCAGCGGGACTGGCGCTCCGCCTGGTAGTGGAGTTCTTGGTAGCAGAGTAATGCTGCGTGTAAAAGTCTCGCGCCAAGTCGCTGATAATATCAGTAGGGGCTCTTGCTTGTGAGCCGGGAGACATTTGCCTCGAGCCAGAGCGCGTGGATGCAGGAACGAGAGGCGCAACTGTGTTTTGATTGCTGCCGCCCTCCACATCTGGATGAATGCCATCCGCCTCGTCTGGGTGCTGTTTGCGCTTTTTTCGCGATTTCTTGTCGGTGTCTTTGCCTTTGCGTTTCAGGGGGGGAGGCTGTACAGCAGCATGCGCCTGTTCCGCAACATCGTCGCCATCAAGCTGTAGGAAGGTAAAGTTGTTGGTCGGAAGGCGTGGCTGGGCCTCGTCATCCGGCGTCGGAAGCTGGTTCGGATCATCCATCCGGTTGTCCTCCTCCTCTTCATGAAGGCGAGCGTCGGCCTCAGGCTGAGCTGTACCAAGGTCATTCAGATTCTGCACCGATCGTGCCTGGACGAGCGCATCAGCATTTTCATGGCCGCCAAAGTTGGGATCAGTCTCGAGCAGAGTATTCTTGAGTTTGCCAGCGAGTTTCTTGGCCCGTTTGCGCTCCTTTCTCTCGAGCTTTCGCTGTCGCCGAAGCGCTTCAGCTTCTGTGGGGCCTTGTTCGCCATCGCGTAACGAGCCGCTCACGCCGTTGACCAGCGCCGGACTCGATGAAGACGCATCGAGGTCTATTGACGATCGCGGGCCAGAGGCACGCACACCGCCCACAAGGTCTGCAGGGCTCGTCATGCTGGCGCCTTGATCCTGAGGCTGCTCCTTGCCTGCTTCCTTTCGGCTGTCGGTAGCCTGGCCGTCCTTCTTCTTGGATCGTCGTCGCTTTTGCTTTGTCGGCTTGGCAGCGGTATCGCCTGTGGCCTGACCTGGATTGACCTCGGTTTCGACCTCGACCTTTGATGCCGCCAACTCAGGATCGGGTGAGGCACTTGGTCTCTCGAACTTGGGCACTGAGGCTCTGCCGTTGGTCCGGTATAGGTGCCTGGTGCGGCCTGGCGAGCGCGGAACTTGGCTGGAGAATGCGATGTCCTGCGACTGAGGTTGGTGATTCTCAAAGGGCTCGGGACTTCCTTGGTCTGAGCCCGGGAACGTTTGTCCAAAGGGCGAGTTTGCTCGTGAATGGGTGTCGCTGCCGTCGCCGACTGTGTCTCTGTCAGTTCTCTCGAGCTGGCTAGCCTGAGCGCCCATTGTGTCGCATCATTCGACTATAGCGGCCAGTGTCGCATGTGTTGTTGGTTGGGTGGGTGTTGGCGGGTGCAGGGACGAGTGCGACCTGGTTGTTGCGTTCGTTGCGTTGCGTTGCGCTGCGCCTGGTCTGAATCGGGATGGTGCGCAGATTATCCGCACGGGGATGCAATTGGCGCTCGAGGCAACGTGGGAGTTCGGGGTGAGACAAGACCAGAGGAAAATAGGGGGCAGGGCAGGGCAGGACTCGACGTCGCCGGGGGGGCGCACTCTCTGCTTCTCTGGCCGGTGGAATGAAGCTGCGGCTTTGCTGCCGGGTAGCTTGACACGAAAAATTCGCGTCGTTTCTTTTTTGGGGCGGATCTGAGAGCTGATAAGCTGGCGGCGGCTTGGATGCGCGCTGTGGCGCTGCAGCGCTAAAGGTTAAACTTTGGCACCCTTCTGACCTTGGCTGCTTGGGGCTTGGCAGTCGTGTGCGGGGGACGGCAGGACGGGATGCTCCCCGTTTGTCGCCAAGCCTAAGGTTGTCTTGTCCCTCCAGGCAAATGGCGATTGTACGACGGACGGTCCACTGCTAGCTAGAGTGCCTGTACACCCAGCCTAGCCTCGCCTCGCCTCAGCGTTGATCTCGCTGGAGTGACTATGTATCGAAACGTCAGCCTGGCTCCGACATCGACGCTCTCGTGCTCTCGAGCTGTCGACGGGCTCGACGTACTGGTATCTTGAAGAAGTCGATGCGAACTAGTGCTTCCACGGCTCACTGCATTGATGGTGTTGGCTGATGCCAGGACAATGTGTCGTTTTGGTGGGACTGGGGACGAGACTTGGTGATTTTGACCGCACCTACTTGTTGTTTGATTGTTGGGCTAGGTCGGGTGCCACTCATTGATCAAAAAGATAATCTACCACAAGTGGTAGACCTAGGGCGAATGTGATTGCTCGTGCAGAGTTCATAACCTGTTGCGCAGGTGACCTGGCGCCAGGCTTTTCTGCTTGTACAAACAGTCGTTCGGTAGATTATGGCTGGCTATGCACTCACTCACTTTACAGAAGGCTTAACGCCATTGCCCACGCAGGAACGCAAAAATCTGTAAGCTGATTTTTCGTGATTACTTGCGTGGTGCGAATGGCCACGTGGTTGCCTCACTACAAACGAGCCCTGGAACCGCCCTGGCACTCGGGTAGGTCGTGATGGCAGCCACTATCACGAGAAGACAGAAACCAATCGTGGCACGTGAGTTTTCTCCAGACGCTGGAATAGGAAGAAAATATTCCTTGAGTTCATGGAACAGGGCACGTAGGCTACCTAGGTACGCTGCTTCCCGAAGTGAATTTTGAGGTCATACTTCATCCCAAGTAGGCAGTACACGTCTCGCAAGGAAGCTACGTGTGAGTGCTTATATCTATTGTGTGCAAGCGGAAGACTGCGCTACTCGAACGACCGTCCCTAGTCCTCCAGAGCTCTGGTGGGTGAACCGTTCATCATGAGATACTATCCGGTGGTGCAACTCGTCTCAGGCCCGCCAGCCAGACTCAATGGCCTATTCCATCCCCTCCTCAGCCGCCGCTCAGATGCCGCTGCTGTATCTCTTTCTCATCTTATCCGTAATTAAGCAATCCGTCCCCTGTCAAGATGACTCCGGGTGACTATCCCTGGTCTTCCCAAAACTCTGCCACACCATGCACCCTCCGCTTCTTTGTCACTGCCCTCTGCCTGACGAGCAGTTCAGGCCTCTGTATTATGCCGAGCCTTGGGCTTCCGTGGAGCGTTCGCCGTAGGAGTCTTGTCCTGAACCACGACGTTCACTTCCTCGTGCGGCAGTTCCAGGTGGTAGAGCGGCCTCTCCTAGAGCTCACGCTCACCCTTAGCACGCCACATCATCTCGTCAATCTTGTGCTCGTAATCCTGTAGAGGTCTCAGGCAGGAGGAGATGGAGAAACTCGGAGAGTCGGCCCTCTTCTTCTCCACCTCGCCCACAGCGTAGATGTGCTCGCCGATGCAGTCGAGAATTTTCATCTTCCAGCTCTTGGTTCCCTCCGTGTGTGGTGGAACTGCCTCTGTCTTAATGGTTCTCGAAGTCACATGCGTCGATGGCATGCTGGAGATGTTGTGGCGCGTAATGCTGTTGCTAACAGACGCGAGGTTGCCAGGCCTCATTTTGGCGCAAAACTTCAACATGGCGAAGGATGTTGCTTGAGCTTCTATGGCTGCGCAGTAGTCGTGTTTTCTGGGTAGCAAGTGTTCAAACGGTTCTGTTCATGCACTGAAAAGTTACCTCGTCGATCACTGTGGCGCTGTAGCTGATTGTTGGCTGTCGCGCGTGGCGTGCTAGAATTGTAGACCAAGGCAGTCCAAGGCATGCGCGTTGATGTGCAAGTATGACTGTTTGTCGGTTTATTGTTCAAAGTAGGGATGTTGATTGTCCGGGCCCAAAACCATGCACTCAGCTGCGGAGCAACATTGAAAAAATATAATGGGCAAGAATAGGAAATATCCTGTTTTTGTACAGTTTGCAAGATAGATTAACATCAAAATACTGACAATCTATATGCTACAGTACAGAAATGTTTGCAGTATTCGATGCTGGCTGATGTTCACACGATCATTCCCAGCACGCGATGGCTACTTTGCTTCACGCATCTTGATAGCCCACATGATGCTGAGGGATAAATATCGTTCTCAGCCAGATGACTTGTAATCAGGCTATCTTCGGGTGAAAAAGTGAGCACAAACGTCTCTCCATCCTCCCTCGAACCCTCCCATACGCCGGTGAACATACCTACTATCCCTTGATCAAGCACTCGCTGGGCCCACGGCCAGCCTCAGAACATCGGGCACCAACGTTGCCTTCTGGTCTTCCGGCGGATCTGTCTCTCTTCGCTTCTTCATCTCGGCCATGAAACTGGTGTATCTATCCAGCCATTGTTCATCAACTCCTCTCATCGGCTCGTATCCCAGTCTCACGGCGTCTCTATTAACCCATTGAAGAATTCCGTTCATATAGATGGCATCCTTGCCCATCAAACTGTGAAAGGTCTTACTGCCTTCCGCCAGGCCTAGTTTGCGCTCATCATACTCCCGGCGCATGGCCTCGGTGCTGGGCAGCGCAACCTTCCCTGCAAGGAAACGAGCCACAACCTCGCCCTGGAAGTCAAACAGTGAGAACGTTGAGGTGTAATAGGGTACACCAACGAAAGAAAGGGTCGGATCTGGGATATAGAATATATCCTTGTGGAGGTTGTGTGTGATGAGACCATCTGAGCTGATCACGATCTTGCCGTCCGCCTTTTCCGTGGGGACCGAGGGATCCTGCAATTCGCCTAAGAATGGATAGGATGTGACATATCCCGTGCCCAAGACGACAACGTCGATATTTTCAACTATCCTACCATCTGCAAAAGTCACCCGACCGGATTTAGCACCATCGTCGAGTTCGAATTTCTTCACGCCTCCAACTCTTTCAGCACCAGGAGGCAACAAGCTCGCAGGTAAGTCAAACTGCCCATCTCTAGCGCTTTGATAAATCTTCTTTGCGACACCTTCGCTTTCACGAGCCACATCTAGCGACGAGACTCCGGCCCCGATCAACAGAATTGTCTTGTCTCTGAACAATTCCGGAGATCTGTACAACTTGGAATGCATCACACTTTGTGGGCTCTTCGCCTTCCATTCCTTCAGTCCGGGCAGATCCGGAATCTTTGGCTCGTGGTAATGTCCACTGGCCACGATCACAGCGTCAAACTCCCAATTTCGGCCTACGAATTCATAGTCAGAGCCGGTCTTCCGTAGGGTGCTAGTCCCAACGTCCCATTTTGTACCGTTGGGGCTTTTTCTGACCGTGTCTACGGCTGTATCATAAAGCACGTGTTCTTGGATCCCCGTGTGTATTGTAAGCTCCTGGATGTACTTGTCGATCCGGTCCTGGCTTACAAACTCGGGTGTTCCCTCTGGCCAGTTTAAGAGCGTACTCCTCATCAGCGTCGTCGGGACGTTGTTCTTAAGCCCCTTGTAGCATGGACCTGGGGGCGCATGTGTTAAAGACGCTTCTTCAAAAGTCTTGGCCTTCGATGATCGGAGGTCGGCCGAGCCTGTAAAGTTTGGAGTCGGTGGTTGAACATTGGGGTAGGACGGCTCATTAGCGACGCGGTCATCGTAATGCCAAACGCCTCCTGCAACGCTTGACCTCTCGAAGATCGTGACATTGAGTCCCTGTCGCAGGAGATGCGCCGCCGAGGTGACACCGCTGATGCCGGCACCGATCACTGCGACATTGTTGATACCTCTTAGAGGCTGCGTAGTTTGATCTAACGAACCCATCCTAATGTCTAAAGTACTGTCGAATAATTCACAAATAGTAATAGAGAAACAGTGATATCTGTTACAATCTTTGGAACCGACATAAATGAGGCCATTTGTCAAGGAGGCGAAACCTTTCACGGATCCGAAGGTCTGGCACGTAGGTATCTGCCGCAAGCATAGCCGATGAGCCCATAGTGGGTTGCGATTACGTGCTTGTTGTGCATTACTAAAACGACCTGTTAAGGATGCCTGATCTGTTGTTGAAAGATAGGAAACTTCCGGGAATGTCCTATCTCCATCGAACGATGGCTTTTGACACCTACTATAATTGTATCTCAGTGCAGGTCTCTGGTCATCATCTGATAACTACAGCGCTAAATCTTAGCGAGTTTCTTTTATTAATGTGCCATTTTAGTTCTGGACTGCAGATCAACTGCAGATTGGTATGCTCCGAGCTCCCATTTGTGGTATACTACCACGGTGCCAGTCGTCATGCAGCTATTCTGACATTCCACTTTGCATTCGTGAGCCTTTGATCTCTACATGGCGTCATGCTGGGACGTTCATGACCTTGGTCTAAACCACACCAGCCGCCTTCTCTTTCGCCTTGGCAGCGTTCTCCTTCTTTTGTAGAGTCCGTATAGTCATCGCTGTAGCGATCATGGCAGCTGCTATGAACACCATAGTGATGAAGCCCTTCTTGTAGTAGGGTGCCTCAACCTGCTGCCATATTATAAGAGGAAGCCAGGCTTGGACTACATAAGCCATCTCATTCATAGTTGCGACGACCAGAGCCCGTTCTTCATTGTCATCACTACATATCTCATGGGCCCATGCGAAAGTAAGGCCGCTCACACCGCCTCCAATGTTGCCAAGTATGTAACAAACCCACTTCCAGCCGATGGGGATGTTCCACACGGCTAGGCTGGCATTGAAGATGATCAACAACGTCCCTGAGAAAATGATAGGCGGCCACCGTGCGCCGCGGAAAACAGAATCGGAACTCCAGGCATACACAAGCGTGAAGATGACCTGGATGGCAGATGCGATTGTTGGGTATGAATTCACAGCCGCCACCGAATATCCCTCCGACTTTAGCCAAAGCGAGAATGCCGGTTGCGAACCATAGTTTGAGCCGTTGTTGAAGAAGATGTAGAGTAGCGTCAGAGCATAGATGTGCCACGAGGTAAAGATATTTCGAAACTTTGCCTTTGTATAAGTTCCGCGGTTTGCGCGACCCTCGAGTTCCATGCGCTTCTTGGCAAGCGCGATCTCGTCCTTGGTCAGCCACCACGCGCGTGTTATCTCAGGTACGTCAGGAAGGAAGAAAAATCCTGCGATGGCGATGGGAAGGGAAATGACCGTGTTGATGATGAACAGCCACTGCCACCCACGGTAGCCGTGAACTCCGTTCAAGTTGTACGTTGCCGTCATCAAATAGCCCGAGAACATGGTACCGATTGCGCTGCTGGCGTGGAAGATGCACGAGCGCTTGGCTAACTCATCTTTACGATACCAAGAGCCGACAACGTACTGCATGCCGGGATAAAACGCACTCTCTGCCAACCCAATGAAGAAGCGCAGCACGTAGATCTGAGTTGCAGATGTGCATTTGGAGAGCAGTATAGTCATGACTGACCATGTAATTTCGCAGGCCGGTATCCAGATCGATGGCCGTATGCGTGTCAGAAGCATGTTACTAGTTGAGTAAGCATCGACTCAAGCGAGTCTGTAGCTAGTCAACTTACCTTGGGATCTCTCCAATCACATAGCCCACAGTCCAGCAAGTGATCATATAGTTCAACTGGTTACCATATAACCCCAGGTCCTCTTTCATACCAGAGACGAAAGCACTATTGACGTTGACCTGGTCCAAATATTTGATCAGGTACCCCAACGATGCGAATGTAAGTATAACCGCGTCCAGTTTGAACAAGAACCGACGCTCTTCGGGGCTCTTGTCAAATGTATCCCATAGGTATGATCGCCATGTCCGCTTCGGGGTTTCAGCGACCGGCAAAGCGTCACGTCCGGACGCGGAGTCGCTCGCGTTCTCCAGTGAAGACCGGATTTCCTCGGCCCGCTTTTCGTCCGTGACGATTACCCCGTTCTGCGTGGCCATGGTGAGATTCAACGATAGAGGCCGTCTACTTGTTCGAAGTGTCTCGTGATTCTCAATGATGATTGCGTGAGGGCTGCTCGTCGAATTCGCCAATGGGGCTCGCAATCTCAGGGACCTATAAAGGCGCGGACACGGTGCAGTAGCCTTTCATATCAGGCCAGAAGACATGACGCCATCTGCAGGAAGAGCACCCCAGACTCATCCATTACCTCCATATAGCCTCAATATGCAATGTTTTGGACACGCTGCTCTTCGGGGCAGACAATTTCAGCTATTTCCGATTCATAGCAACCATATGACGGGACGCGTGCAGCATCCGTGTATGCAGCGCCGTCATCGCGTGATAATGTGCTAGGATACGAATGGATTACCGGGCATTTCCCGACGCGTAGGGATGTTGCTGGTGCTTACATAGAGGCGTGTGGTGGTAGGCCTCTTTTGGCGATCACACAAGACTCGAGCTATATCACGCCATGCCCCCTCATCAGGTAGACCACTAGTATAATAGCGCAACACAACCAATCGCAGAAATTCCATTACACCATAGCCCTAGTCTATTGCGAATGGGATAATCATCCAATGCGAGGTTGTAATTGATCCCAAATATGACCTTGGTGCGTTATCAAGTATGCAGACGGCGGCATGGATTGCCAATCTAGTCCGGGTTGAGGACCAACCCTGGTCGGATAGATTTCTACGACTTCGATTTGAACAGAGACCTTACGAAATGAATATAGAAGAATATCCTGGGATATGTCAGTAACGAGCATGACAAATGTGATGCTCTCCCCGCTTGTGACTACAGATCAGATGATACGTGTTGAGGATGTATCTATGGATATAAATTGATGGTGATCTGTGCGGTGTGGCTATTGTTTATTTCGAAATCATATATTATTGACATACTGACCTAATTGAACTTGAATATTTCTACATACAGAACAAAATGACCCCTGCGCCGATTGATGAAAGTATAGTTGATGTGGCAGCGCCCATCAAAGACACCCTCGGACTGCCGGAGCCCACATTGGCGCGTCTGCAGAAAGCTGGCATTGACTTGTCAAACGGCTATCCCTATAGACCATCAAGACCACTTTTCCTGGATGATGTATATAAGATCCGTGGCACAGAGTGGAAGCACGACGATGCAGGTGCCCGCGCAGACAAGTCAAAAAGTGCTCTCCTGTCAGCAGCAACCAAGGTCACCGACCTCACTACGCATATCGGCACTGAGATTGAAGGTCTACAGCTCAAGGACCTGACTGATCAGCAAAAGGATGAACTTGCCTTGCTTATTGCGGAACGAAGTGTAGTATTCTTCAGAAACCAGGATCTTAGCCCCCAACAGCAGCTTGCGCTAGGCAAATACTACGGCGTTGTGGAAGTCCATGTAAGTAATGGTAGATGATATGCCCTTCATCCGCTCTGTATCTGACTATATCACAGCCTCAAGTTCCTCAGGTGCCGGGTCAACTGGGCGTCTCGGTCATCTGGCCAGCACTGCAAGCAACGGAGCGGAAAGCAGACTTTCGCCACCCTGGAGGCGCAAGCAGATGGCACACTGATCTAGTGCATGAGCTCCAGCCGGCTGGAATCACACATCTACACAATGACACGGTCCCGCCGAATGGAGGCGACACGCTCTGGGCAAGCGGTTACTCCGCGTACGAAAAGCTCTCGCCCGACTTCCGGAAGATCATCGACGGAAAGTATGCCGTCTACCGCTCCGCTCATCCTTACTTAGAGCGCGAGAACCCTGAGGCAGGCCCCAAGTATATCGAGCGTGTGCACCCACTGGTGAGAGTCCATCCAGCCACTGGCTGGAAGGCACTTTGGGTCAACCGCGCGATGACTGATCGTATTGTGGGCCTCGACAAGCCTGAGAGCGACGTTATCCTCAACTATCTGTACGACGTTTACGAAAAGAACAACGACATCCAGGTCCGATTCAAGTGGACACCAGGCACAAGCGCGCTATGGGATAATCGGTATATAACCTGGCCATAATTCCCATGCGTGCGTTTACTAACTTGTAGTAGTATTACCATTCACAGCGCCAGCTGGGACTACGGTGGCAGATACCCACGACACGGGACCCGTGTCACTACCTTGGGAGAGAAGCCGTATTTCGACCCAGCTGCTCCTACAAGACGACAAGCACTTGGACTCCTTGACGAGAATGAATTACCTCTTGACGGGCCAGCATGAGCATAGCACATGCTTTCAAATACATGTACTACAGATTGACCTAAAAAGCTGCATCATCCAAAGCCTGACTTTTTACTTCATGTATGCTAAGAATGGCTTATAGTAACATTGTTCATCTAACTCATCAATTCTTAGCCAATGTGTTACTAAAGTCACTTTATGCGTGTTTGTAGTGGCTATTCAAGAGCCATAACCTGTTGCCTAAGACAGAGTCTCTTGTTTCGTTTGTGCCGTAACAATTCATACCACAAGTCAATCACCTGAGCACGATAATATACCTGCAGTCATTGAATATGAACCTTTGTTCGGCGTAACAACGTTGTGGCACTGTTTGCTGACTTAACTGAACAACACCATTGTGATTGGCTCCGTAGTATCACACCAACTTACAGTACCTGCGAGGCACTAAAGCACAAGAACTCGTACTAGCCCAACCATAACACTATCTCAAAAAGGATCGAGTCTTGTCAGATAGCGTATCCATTGGAGAAAGAGCTTTCAAAACCACTTTGCATCACCGTTTGTATCGTCAGCTGGACGTTCCGGGTCTGTTTTGCCGCATCTGGAAAGGTTGGAGAAAGAACTCTAAAATCCGGCCCCACCGTAGTTTTTTCTCCTCCTCCTTCTCATAAGCCAGGTTCCAATGTCAACCGTGCTCAAGGGGGACAATGCATCCAATCATGTACATGCGATTTATCCTGTGTGCATTTCACCTGACGATACTCGCTGTCAGCGCGTCACCTCTGAGCCTGGCTGGCCAAGCGCAATGGCCGTTGTACGGGTCTCGATCGGGCCAGTCCGCCTCCGAGGTCCGGCAGAGGCTGACCAGGCAGAGCGAAGACATTTGCCGCGCTGGCTCATCACAGTGGACAGGGACCGTACCACTTGGCGAAGACAGAGACATGTTCTTTTGTGGGTCACTCGAAGACCAATACCTGTGTTCGTGGCTGACAGGTAAAGGGTACTTCGAAAGCCGTGCAGACCCTGAAACCGCACCTTTGATTATCTGGTTGAATGGGTAATGCACGAAGTATGGACTGGCCTTTTATTTTGCTAATGCCATTCTCAGTGGTCCAGGCGCATCATCACTTCTAGGCGCCTTTCACGAAATCGGACCGTGTACCGTAACCAAGGACGGAAACGACACGGTGCGAAATGACAGGAGTTGGACAAACTTCGCTAACATGCTTTTCATTGAGTGAGTGAGGTTGACTCTCTTCTGTGAACGTTTTCGTTGGCTAAGTATGTACCCACGTGTCTAAGCCAACCCATCGGTGTTGGTTTTTCTGAACCCTTTCCTCAGAATACGTCGGTCTGGCCATCGAATTTGATCGAAAGTGGAATCGACTTCGACAAGTTCCTTGATATATTCCTTGATGAATTATTCCCTGCACTCAAGAAAGGACCGGTTCATTTCGCAGGGGAATCATACGGAGGCCAATACTTGCCAGTCTATGCCAGTATTACGCGCCGGAGGTTTACGTCTATCATCCTCGTTGATGCACTGGTCAGTTTTGCAGCCAACACTCTGGGAACATACGAGCACCTATGCATCAACAGATGGGGTAATACCACGGAGAACCGCCTCCCAATTAATGCCACTGCGTGTGCCATAATGGAGACTACCTACCCAATCTGTGACAAGTTTGGATCACTGTGCGATGCGACGTATGACCCTGAAGTTTGCTTCACGGCGGTCGAGAAATGCGCGCCCATTGGAGATTTCCTTGCAGCTTTGGTTCAATCCGGCGAGTTCGATCCATATGATGATCGGCTGACGTGCGAAGACCCCCCGATCTGCGGCCATATGGGTAAGCAAGTCGGAAAACGCACATGTATAATATTGTTAGGCTGACTAGCAAGCCAGGTATGGAAGAGGTAGAGCTGTATCTGAACTCCAGCAATGTAAAGTCAGCATTAGGATTCCCCAGCTCATTCGACTACAAGGTTGTCAATTTTGACTTCAATGTTAAATGGATGGCTGGCGGACAGGCCTTCGTCCCGAAAACACGAGAGCTGATAGACATTCTGGATAACAAGCACACTCCTATCCTGGTGCTTAACGGACAAAATGACATTGCAGTGTATGAGATTCCTTTTACACATTGCTTTTGTTCGCATGGTAGCCACCAATCACTAACTAGTCAATCAGAAATACCGAGGGAGTATTGCATGTCTATGACAACCTGCAATGGAGTGGCCAGGCAAAATTTCGTACAAAGGAGCTTGAGCCGTGGTATTACAAAAGCCTTGATGGAAATGTCGTCACTGGTGGCCTGGTCAAGTCGGGTGGGAATCTTACTGTTGTAGCCATTGATAATGCTGGGCATATGAGCCCTCACGATCAGCCTGTTGGAGTTGGCCAAGTCTTGCAGCGATGGATCGCTGGAGGGTATCGTCCGAGGTAGCATCTTGGTTGTTCTCAACCACCCCTATTAATTTGTTCCAAACTCAGACCTCGTGGAAATATTTTCCAGAGAAATCATCTTTACGAGACTGAAAATGCATCCCGTAACTATATGGCCGAGGAAATTTGACAGCTGCGAACTCCGCCAGCAGCTGTCAGCTCTTCAGTACCGTACCCAGACGAAAGTCCATAGAAAAGTGCTAGGTCCTCATAATCCAACGCTCTATACTTTGTGTGTTGCGAGGTCTCAGCGATGGATATCGATGAGCCTTTGCTTCTGTTTAGGGCTCAATTCTTGCAGTGTATTGACCATGATTTCATCCGCTGGCCACCCAGTGTCCTCCTTCAACAGCCGGATGCGCAGAGTTTTCTCTCGAAGAAACTCTTCAACGTCTCTAATCCCTCCTCCCACCCGCCAGCCAGCTACGAGGCCAGGGTTCTTAAGACATTGATCGCTAAGATAGCCAAGTCGGTGGGATCAATTGCGGCGAACAACGTATGTAAGATGTTGTGAGAAGCATGTGACTTTGTCCGTTTGTGGAAGCGATATGCTTATATGTTTCTCACTACAGAAAGCTTTAGAGGATCTTTCCTTCCGACTAGCATCTCTTCAGTCTATGTCGCCACAAGAGGGGCCGATCACCCAACTTGACGCAAACGTCACGTACAACTGCATTCCTCAAAACTCTCGTCTTGATACACAAGAAAGCTGGAGACCCCTCACCGTCGTCGAGTCTCGTTCCTTGGTAGCAGGCTCTAAATTCACAGGTCATCGCACATGGGAAGGAGCTCTACACCTGGCTTCCTACCTGGTTTCTAAGTCCGACCTAGTCTTAGGGAAATCTATACTTGAGCTCGGTGCGGGTGCGGGCTTCATATCAATCATGTGCGCCAAATACCTCGGGGCAGCACGAGTTGTAGCAACCGATGGCGATGAACGAGTTGTGAAGGACATGCGCAGAAACTTGTTATTGAATGAACTCGAAACTGAAGAACTCATATCTGCAGAGCAACTGGTGTGGTCTCGTGATCTTCATGATAAGATTAGCGATGGACCAGGATTCGACATTGTCCTAGGTGCTGATATTGTATATTAATCCCTCTCCTTCAGGTTGTTTCCTCAAATCTGACCGAATTGGGACAGATATACGACAAAGGAGCAACTGAAGCTCTGGTGGACACATTATCAGCGCTTTTCGATGCAATGCCACAGGTAAGCGTTTTGCTGTCCAATGCATTCAGATTTCCCGATGTATTTGAGGTCTTCCAAACTGGTTGCGGTAAGTTCCCCATACTCGAAAGACCACGCAGCATAGACTAAAATACACCTACTCGAAAGCTCGAAACAAGCTCCGTACTCGGGTTATTGACTATAATATGACGCCACCGGCGGCGCAAAAGTCGCTCTTCTACACAACGTCAATGCCCTTACAGATTATTGAGATCCAGCAGGATCAGCTCCGGAAGAAACACACAGCTGGATCAACCTTCGAGTAATATACCAGTTTAACTTTTATGAAAACTACTTTGATGTTGTTTTTTAAGCATCCATGGACGCTTCCTTGTTGAGGAGCAGGTGGAGGAACTCTGGCTGATCTTATGGCTACTTGCGTTCTTGGAGTAGCCAGCCAATCGCTGCCGACAAATTAATCCCTGCTTGTGGTGTCTTCGGCAATTCCGGAAACTGCACAAACATGTTGGGCAAGCCCTTGTAGTAATCAGTCCTCGTCAGCACACCGGCTTGCTGAAGTAATTCTGCGTAGAGAAACCCATGATCCCTGATCGGATCACATTCATCCATTGGCAGGTAGGCAGGCGGCAGTCCCTCGTGAGACGCCCATACGGGGAAGTTCTCTCCGTTCCGTCGCTCATCTGCTGGTATAACAAGTGCGTCGATGAACTTCTCGTCCAATTTCGTATTGAGAAGAGGCGCATCGGCACATTCCGTGTGTGACGCGAGCCGGGCACGCCAATCTGCCGGGATCTCGTTATCTGGCCAGGCCACGAGCGTTGGAACAATGAGGTTTTGCCCGGTCAGGATGATGTTTCGGGTAGCGGTTACGGGCTCGGATAGCACAGATTGCGTCGAGATGGGCTCCTGCCTCCGCACCGCCGACCAGGAACCCCTTTTTCGTATCGACATCAAACGTGTGGGCGTTGTGAGCCATTCATTTCATGGCATACTCTGCGCCTGAGAACTTTTGGTGCCACTTGACCTCGGGAGCTAGTCGGTATCAGAAGGACACAATGATTATGTCCACACCGTTGGCGATGATGGCGCGACATCCGAGGTCCTCGCTATTAGCATCGCCGGCACACAAGTAGCGTCCATGAAAGTAAAGCATCACCGGGAGCTGCTCGGCGGTGCTTCACTTCGGTCGGCACACTCTCAAAGGCAAGTCGTGGGCGGGTACCTCCTGTAAGGACACGGTGGTGTTTTCAATAACTACATCGTTGAGTTTGGAAAAAGCAGTATCCTTCAGCAATTCTTGAGCACGTTTTCCTCGTTCTTCCTTCAGCTTGCGGTACTCTGAGATGGATGCAACGTCCTTCGCAAGCGGATCGTTGTCGATTATCTGTGTCCAGTGAGCAGCGTCCATGACAGAGAGGAATTCGAGGACCTATATTGATCCATTTTTCTGCAAGCCTCGACGCCATTTTCTTGAATACCCCGGTATTGTCTTTCACGCGTAAGCCCAGAAAGCTGTTTGATCCACACAAGTCATTTTGGCAAAAAAGAAAAATAAGAACGCATCATATTCTAAACGATTCTAAGTATACCTCAATTGGTACATCTGTTTGCCATTGGGGTTTACTCCTTACTTGGAGTTACGAATGCGCAACACACAGATTACGAACGCGTTGCTGCACGGATTACGAAAGTGGAGCTCCTCAGGTTACGGATGTGCAACCCCTCAGATTACGAACGTGACGTCGAAAGTTATGAGCTACTAAGCCTACCCATGCACCACCACGTGGGCTTACTAACACCTGCATGTTTTGCTAAGGAGGTGTCCTCATTAGGAAACGCACATTACCTACCGCTGCCGATCTGCTCAAGTTAGCTTTCGTCCTGCGCGGAAGAGTGGCAATGACAATTGGCGACAACGTGCAGCGCCCTTCGTTGTAGTAGATGATAATGATTGGCTGAACGGAGCTTGGCATGGCCGCTCGGAAGGTGTATAAGTTGCCATAGTCGTTCTTTCGTTATCTATGTCGGAAGTTCATACTTGTTCTTCATAGTATTCTATCTATTCACACCAAAAAGACGAAAGTTGAAATCACAAATCTCTTAAAGATGCCGCCGTACAACACTATCAACGTCCACCCTCCACATCATAGCCTTTCAGACTTAACGACAGACACCTTTGATGTGATCGTCATCGGGTCTGGCTGGGCGGGCCGCACCTTGGCTCCACGCGTCGTCAAGGCTGGGATGAGCGTAGTCATAATTGAGAGCGAGCTCGTTGGCGGCGATTGTCCATTCTGGGCCTGTGTACCAAGCAAGGTCTTACTTGAATCACGCACCGCACTCGATGCGTCTTTGGCCGTCGGCGGTGCCAGAGAAAACTTCAAGCAGGATCCGAAGGTTGATGCCAAAGCAACATTCGCCCGGCGAGATGCTTTCACAGCCAACTGGAACGATGGGAAAGTCCTGGTGCCCATGGTTCAAGCCGCCGGGGCACAACTTGTAAGGGGCACGGGAAAACTTGTAGGCGAGAAAAGGGTTGAGATCTCTTCGATTGACGGAGACTCCAAGGTGCTAGTTGCACAGCAGGCGGTTGTGTTGGGAACAGGCAGTGAGCCCATTATACCAGATATCCCTGGCCTTGCCGAGGCCAAGCCGTGGACTCCGCGACAAGCCACGAGCAGCAGCACCGTGCCGGAACGCCTGGTGATCTTGGGAGCCGGTGCGGTAGGCTGTGAGATGGCCACAGCGTACAGCAGCTTCGGAAGCAAGACCACTCTAATTTCTTCTACGGCAGAAATACTGCCCCGATTGGACGACGAAGCTGGCCGCCTCGTACGTCAATCACTTGAGGCCGAAGGAGTCGACATCCTCTTGTCATCACAAGTCACCGGCGTTGTTAGACGAGCAAACTCCTCCGTAAAGTTAAGTCTAGCATCTGGAAAGTCCCTCGAGGCCGACGAACTGCTTGTCGCAACTGGACGACGGCCTCGAGTAGTCGGGATCGGGTTGAAAGAACTTGGCATTCAGGAAGATGGGGCACCCATCCCAGTAGACGAGTCGCTATGCGCCAAGGCCGTGAATGGAGGTTGGCTGTATGCTACAGGCGACATGAACGGTCGCAACACGACAACTCACGGGAGCAAGTACCATGGACGCATTGTCGGGAACGCCATCATAGCTCGTGCCCATGGTCTGAAGTTGGATGGTGTGCCGTTTGACAAATATTCGGCCACTGCAGACCAGAATGCCGTCCCACAAGTTGTATTCACGACACCCACTGTAGCATCGGTAGGCCAAACGCGGAAGGCCGTTCTGAAAGCCGGGTCATTGGACCGTGTCAGATTTGTGACTGCGACGCTCAATTCAATCGCGTCACGCATCAAGAACGATCGGGCCCAGGACGGCTGGGGCCAGTTGGTGATTGATCTGGGGACAAACCGGATTCTAGGGGCAACATTCGTAGGTGACGACGTGTCGGAGGTCCTACATTCAGCGACAGTAGCTGTCGTAGGCGGAATGACGCTGGAGAGAATGGCCCACGCTGTGCCTTCTTTTCCGACGGTGAGCGAAATATGGCTCACACTGTTGGATGCTGCCGATCTGTAAGTTTGGAGGATTTGGCTACGTATGCTTATAAAAAAAAAAGGGGGGGGGGGGGGGGCCGCAAGGAGGAAGCGTCCGTGTGGCCAGGTGTAAAATCCGCGCTGAAGGAAAAGCTTGCAACAAGGCTCCTGCCAGACTTCCAAGTATCAGATGCCCGTTTTGGTAATACAGCTGAGCCAATCTTCTTCCAGAAACATTATGAACCATACGTGTGCGAGGGCCTTCTTGACCAAACATTGTGCTTATACATAAAAAGGCACGTTGCGAAATGGCAGCATAATCTAATCAAATCATTCCGCTCAATTTTTGGCCAGCGTCAGTCGCGTTTCTATCTATTCCTACAGACATCGTCCCAATCCTCGTCATTCAACACTGCATGTCTTGCCCCATGGTGAAGTATGGGCCAAATCAGTCGCATTGGGTGTGATTCTTGTACCGTGGCCATTTCTCTGCAAGCTAGCTACATATATGGACAGGTGTCTCATGTACGAGACTTCTGGCAGATGCAGAATACTCAGTCTTTGTCTACCTTTCCAGAACTCATCTGTGCGCCGCCGAGCATAATCGGACGACGTTCAGTTCTAACATGATCATGGGTCAGGCCTCGTAATGTTCTCTAATACGTCGTGCAAAAGAAATCAAGAAGCATGGCGCTTCAGTGCTCGATCCAATAAGTCTGATTGTCCCATATCGGGGTTGTAGACTAAAGCTGGAGAAATGCCGCCGTGCAGGTCAAGTATGATGCACCCCGACCGAGACGCTGAACTAGGAGAGCGATTCACGATACCTCTCGCCCAAGTTCTTAAACGCTGGTCAAACTCAGGTATTGCCGAGAGTTGCTCGTCTTGGTTGAAACCATCAACGATGTGGGGGCCACAACATATGTAAACAATGAGGCAGGAACGATGTTGACTGTACAAGGTTGTTCTTTTCGCGACCAGGGGGCGCCGAAAGCAGGGTATCGTGGTGCCAGGTGTTGAAGCGCAATGAATGAGCAATAAGCCTTTATAGAAGCTCATAGGGTCGAGACGAGTCGACCTCGATGATGTCGTTGTCCTTAGTGACCATATGCTTTGCACCCATCGGAATGTATTCAGGCTGGCCTTCCACGGCGCTAGGAGAGATGCCTTCGATTACTTGCATCTCGACGTCTTGATCGTTTCCCTCGGCGGCGCGCATACTGGGATCGGGCATGGCGCGTTGCGGGACATCGACAATGTCCTGCTTATCTTCGTCGCGGACATATGCCACGTAGCATGGATCGCCAGTCTTATTGAGCTCGTCGAGTACAACTTGAGGATCACGGCTGTCAACAGTGACGGTACTGTCGTTGAATTTGATCCACGTGTCCCTCTCAAAATCACGAACCCAGACCCAGTAATGACCAGCTACCGCTCCACCGGAATGGCAAATAACAGCATGAAGGCGGTACTTTTGTTTCGTCAACTTGCCGTAGAAGGTCTCGACGTTTTCTTTGGAAACTTCAGACTCGCCGGCCTTCTCATTGCATTTTACGTCGAATGCATTGAGTATCTGAGTGACCCGACTCATCAGGGTATCTCTAGCGCCCGGCGATGTGCTTCGTCTCTTTGCAGGAGGCGGTGTATCCATAGCAGATTCATGCAATCCCTCGATCTTTCGCTTGCGAGAAGAATCGATCGGCGAATTAGGGAATGTGTCGTCCAAATACTCGGTGGATGCTTCATCGAGTTCAAGTGAGTCAATATCTATTATTTCGAATGCCTGATCATCAACTGTGGCAGTCTGCTCTGGAGACTTCACATCTGGTGCACTAGGTGCTCGCTCATCAATCGCTTCGAGTGCAGTCTGATGGCCTTGAAGTGCCCATGCAGCACGCCGCATCACAGCAAGGTCGGAATTGGGGGCTGCGTCCATGTAACGGTCCATGTAGAGTTCTTCAGTCAAGATGACAGGGTTGCGATTCTTGGATGAGCCGGCTCGTGTTGCGTTAGCTCGCTGAATGCGTATGTGCATTACAGGAGGAAGGCTGCGTATAGCAGAGAACCGGGCAAGGTCGCTACCGACGAACTGCAGGTCAAAGGAGCGATCAAGGGCCTCATACATAGACGAGGATACTCCATCCCGCGGATGAGGGTAAGTGCTGATCCATCTATCCGGATTGAGTTCTGCTCTTGCCTGTTCGAGATCCGCGTCAGATTTGAGAGTATAGTGAACAAGCAAAGGGAAGAAGGTATCCGTGACGGCGTCAGCCTGCAACGCGGGCTTGCCTGGCATGGGGCCGTTGGATCTAATCGCACGCATGATGTGCTCAAAGATGAAGCCAATTATTTCTTCCACATCTTGCTGATCGGTGCCTTTTCGATCAGACTGCTCAAGTCGTTGTGCCACTAATCGCTCCTTCTCCTCAAGGTCTGTTGTGCTAGAGAATAGCTCATCAAGAGACTCGGCATCCTTGTTTTTTGATACAGAGTCCTCGTTGTGTATAGCTTGGTTAGCTTGCTGTCGCTCTTCATCTGGCAAATTGACCTCGACATATGACTCTGTTGAGGTACCTTCCTCCTCATTTACCAAGGTCTGTGAGCTGACGACACTGGCAGTCTCAAGCGACTCGCTGATCGGCTCAACAGAGACATTGACCAAATCAGCATCTTTTGAAGTTGAGGTCGGAGGCGCAGGTGATGGCCTAGCTGGCAGAGGCGGGGGCTTGACCTCTGGATCATCTTGCTTCTGCTTCTGTCTGTTAAGAAGATCAGAGGCGGATCGCATTGCCGTGTTAGCAAGTTTCTGAGACGGCACGGTCGCAACCTCCGTAGTTGTCTGTAGATCCTTGAACAGAGACTGCAACTCTTCCACGACTAGCACCCGTTAGCATTTTGAACGTCTAATGCGAAATAGGGTTGAACTGCATACACTGTCTTCCAACTATAGCCTCTTGAAGATTGAACTCAAGGCCATTGGCATACCCAAGCCGGCGCTGCTTGATGCTATCCATATTGAGCTCCAGGCCATTCTCAGGGAAATTCAACACAAGCTCTCGAACCGCTTTGACACTATAGAGGTATTGAAGGAGACTGTTCAGATAGCAGGTGTTGCCGATGTTGCGGAGACCTGGGGGTGTATTTCGGTCCATGGCTAGGTGTACTGCCTGTTGACCAGCCTCGATATCATTTGGCTTTACAGCGCCGTCGGCCTTGAAGATACCTGCCCACTCTTCGTATTTGGCGGCATTTTCCGTATGACCACGGTCCCTTTGCCATTTGGCGCATGTCTTTAGAGCATCTGCAATTTCGTGGCGGTCCTTCGTCGAGTCTTGAAGCTAGGACAGTCTGTCAGTATTTGGCTATTCTTTCCAACTTGAGCTACTCACAAGGTTGTTAACAACCGACTCGGCGAATTCTGGCGTCCAATCCACTTGAGCAGGAGCGAGAACCTCGGCCACTCGATCGGGGTTCATTGCTCCGGTATGAGGACCTGCCAACTGGTCCGAGACATCGGGCAAAACCCCGCTGACCAAGGTCACAAGGTCTTGGTGTAAGTAGTCTCCAACGGTTCTAAGATTCTGGATGAGCTGTAACTTGTCGTTGACTGCCTTGTTTGCATCAAGAAACACCATGGACTTGCTGACAAAATGATCCACACTAGTTTGTCCGGTGGGCGTCGTGTCGAAAAATGCGAAAGCGTCCAAGATTTCGGGGCTTGCAGAAGGAATGGTGTCGACTGCATCGAAAGAAGAGCGGTACAAGAGGAGCCTCGTCTGGGCGTCTTCGTTACTGCCAATCGAACGTTCCGCAGCTTTCAAGAACTCATCACGCCGCATTGGGCATTTCTCGGCGAGGAATTTTGCGGCCTCGACGAATATATACGGTTGGTAATTAGCCAAGCAGCCCAGAAGGGCCATGTCGGACTCGTGAATGGAAGGTTTGCCGGAAACAGACGCGTAGTTGCTGTGTAGAAGGCGTGTGAGCATATCCCAGGCAGGTCTGCCTCGGCGCGGGTTGTCCTTAGTGCTAAACAGCAACAATTCGGACTCGAATTCCTCCCATTTGGACCGTTGCGTTCCGAGACGTGTGGGTGCTTGGGCAGGCTCCAGCTTGGGGAATACCCACATCTCCTCGCTGTTGTCGACAGTGTGGGAGAGACCCAAAGTTCGAAACAGGTCGTCAAAATCGTGACTGAACCCGACCATGAACTTCCGGTTCTGGGTCTTGATCTTCTTAGGACTCTCATTGTCCTTGGTGTTGAGCCCGTCCGCTATGTATGTCAGTAGCATGTCGAAACAGTTCCAATCTATATTTTCGAGGTCTCTGAATCTGTCTGCATCCTGAGCCAAAGCTTCCTTGAAGTGACGGGCGGTCCGGTGAGCGTCATTAAGCATGTCGATCTCTCCCCTGCTGACGCGGTAACCTAGTCGCTCGAACTCAACCTTGCTGTAACAGTTGTCGACAGTACAGACGAGGTGACATCTGTCCATAACATGATCGTCGCCTACTCGGGTCGCCCGTAGGGTGTGAGTGCCATCGCGACCACCGAAGGCGTAGATGTGCATGCCTGTAGTATGATTCACATCAAAACTGGCGATGGGGGATCCACCAGTGACCTTGACCCGAAAGTGGTGTAGGCATTCTCTGCACACGCATGATACGACCTCGGTATCTGAGCCGACCTCCATCTTCCCTGACTGGCTGGGAAGAAGTATGAACTCATGTGTCTCACATATTTCCTCCCCTGGGCGTAGCAAGTTCCCCGCCACAAAATCTTGAAGGAGATGCGCAGAAGTGTAGACTAATGGTTATGAGCATGCCAACAACAACGACAAGAGGGGGAGAGAGAGAGGGGGGGGGGAAGAACGTCGCGGGCGTGGGAATAGATATCACTCACATTCCACACTGGTCATGTCACAACTCGCGAATTCAGCGAGCAGCCTCTCTGCCATGACCTGGGCCTCAGTAGGGCCTCCGCCTACTCCCGAAGCAGCCATGTTGTCTATCTCGTAGAGCCACGAGCAGGCAACGGATGAAGGGTCTGCCAGCCAAGTGTTGCCAAGAGCCGGAGCAGGACCAGAGTAGTCCAAGTAGGTAAACGAGCAGAGCCGACTGCAGTTTCTTATTGAGGTCAGTTGTGTTCGCAGATTTGGTGGTCCTGATAGAAGACTTGGGACGGAAGCTAGATGATGAGAAATATGAATGGCATGTGGAGAGGGGCGCTGCTGAGTTTTGAGAAACTCGAAAAGCAAGATACCAGATCGCCGGTGCGGGCGAACGGACAGTCGGTCAAGCAACCAACTGAGATAGCAACAGTAGGAACGGCGAAAAAGAAACATACCAGCTGATGCTGCAGTGCAGGCGGAAGTGTACTAGTCGGTCGGGAAACGACAGCAGCACACAGCCGTGTCTTATACGAGAAGTGAGTAATCTGAACGAAAGTTTTGCAAGTCAGCATAGTTGAGAAGAAGACGTCGGTGGTGAATCTGAATCATGTGCAGGTGACTGAAGGAGAAGACAATCATTCCAAGGGTTCCTGGGAGCTTGTGCGGTGTAATCGACGACGAAGTCGCAGCGGGGCCACCCTGGAACGATTTCAGGAGCCGGGGTAGAGGAGGTTTCCTCGGGCTTTATGGATTGTTGCTGGGCCTGGAGACTTAAGACGCAAGACCAGAGGCTGATATACATTTGGATCCAACCACGTTCTCATGTCGTGACCATGGAGACGTCCGGTCTGGTCACAGATACCCTGGTGACTCCAGAAAACCCAGCTCTTCAGCGTGTAAGGCACTCTGCACAGTCTCGAGGTCGAGTTCGGTTGGGTCCGTGCCTGCGGAGCAGAACAGCAAGTGATTGTCAAGCGGCAACGGATCTTGTGTTACTCATATGAATGCATGCCGAGCGCAACACACACCACTCGGTGCCAGTGCGCAGTAGTGTTCTGTTGTGACATTGCATGAGAGCCCCTTGGCCAGCATACGAACAAGACAACTGTCGACAAGAACAAACCATGCTTGTGAGTGCATGAACTGCTCCTTCGTTCTACCTGCTGCAGCACCTGGCAGATTTCGATCACCACAATATTCCTTCCAGTCTGACTGACAAAGCAGTACAGATCACATACGAAGGCGCGTGAAGCTTGACATCCGCGATGACAAGAGATAATCCTCCTTACCTTGATGTCACGTGCAATGACAAACACTGTCTGTGAGATAATATGGGCTCTTTGGTCATGAGCCAACAGCAGAGACGTGGCGGATGCGATGGGTATCTCAGAACGCCGCGACGAAGATGAGGATGCGAGAGTATCAGGACCGGATAATGCCGAGAACGAGAGCCGACGACGAAAGCAGAGACCCAACCAGACAACAAAAGACCCGAGAGGCGACGAAAGGACCAGCGAACCGTGAAGATGCTCCCAACTATACTGGACTCCGGATATGCAATAAGATAGGCACAAGGCTGGCCCGCGACGGCGTTGATATTATGGGATAAGGCTGATGGGGCAGAGCTGTGCTGTTGGCCCTGGCGAACGGAACTGGGAGATCTACGTAATGAGGCGAGGCAGCAGCTAGGATGTCTAAAAGGACGCTAGGTCGTCGGTGCATGGCGTAGGGCGTACCCGGTCCGCGTGGCGGCGTGCGGTCATTGGCCACAAGATGCCGGAGCTCGGCTCGGGAGATAGTCCGGCGTTCTGAACGCCTGCCTTTAGCACTCTGGACAGCACCTGGGCACTGAACAGCACTGAACAGCACTGGACAGCACTGGACATCGCCAGACCACCGGCTAAACCACGGCCGTGCGCTCCAGCCAACCAACGGCGGCCAATTCGAGCTTGCATCAACCTCGCATCCCATCCCGAGCTTGCTCTGCAACACCAGAAGGTCCCCGTCACCAACTGCTCGCCATTGCGACCGACCCACCCCGGCTCAAGATGGCGAACCCCCATCCCATCAAGGTCCTCTACCCAGAGGAGCCCTTCCACGCCAAGAATGCCCTCAAGTCCGGCGTCAACGGTGCCGCCGTCGGCGGTGCTGCCGGCCTGCTCGCGTCCGCCGTCCAGAACTCGCTCGCCAAGACCAACGTCGGAGCTTGGGGCGTCTTCTCGCGCTCCGGCGCCACCATCGCCACCATGAGTACGTGCCTGCCGGTCCGGGCTTCCAGCGCTTGTTGAGGGAGGGGAGCTAGCTAACCAGAGCCTGCCCACAGCTGCGGTCCCCGCAATCTACAGCTTCGCCAAGGACGCCTCGGCCAACCTCAGAGAGAAGGACGACTCGCTCAACACGACGATTGGAGCATTCCTGGGTGGTGCCATGCTAGGCCTGAGATGTGAGAGGACCTGTCCGAGGGGTACGGTGACGAGATAGGAGTACTGATGCGGTGCATAACAGCGGGTCGCATGCCCCAGATCCTCGGCTTCGGAGCGGGTATCTCCATCGTCATGACGGCGTTCGATTTCACCGGCGGACACCTCGTTGGCAAGAAGACACAGTCGGAATTCGTGGACGAGTACGAGCGCAAGGAGTACCTCAGAAAGAACCGCAGGCGGCCGATGATGGAGACGGTGGCAGAGATCGGCGAGGGCAGAGGTTCGCCGTGATCCCCTTCCCCGCCTACGGAACCGACGAATACTAACAGGACCACAGGAATCGAGCCCCCCGGCTACCAGGAGCGGAGAAGAGAGAGGCTACAGGAGAAGTACGGTGTCGAGATCAACCCCGTCCGCGCCACTGTCGACTAGATGAGGGGGTTCACTTGGGAGAGACGATAGACGTGTACATAAGCCAATGGAATTTTCTTGCGTCACACATGAACCGTCGGTGCCTTGACATTATGACCGGTGACGTCGCGGTCGGTTTGGGTTCTCAGATGGGGGTAATGCATGTTGACCCTCCCTGGTCCGTTTACAACGCCAAGCGAGCGTGATGAACTTCGCTCTCCATGCCGTTATATATCCCATTGTCTCCGATTGGCAAAGAAGCGCCCAACATGTCTCTGGGTGGCAAAGCCTTCGACAGCGCGCAAGCAGAACCATCCCATTGTCCCTGAGAAGGAGACGCTTAAGCCGTACGGACTCAATTGGCTCTGCGGCCGAATGTATTGTAAGGAATGGCGTATATGCAGAAATATTCGATATGCACCGTTCTCCCATTCAGACGCAGATATTATTCCGAATTTACCTCCCAGTGCGGACCAGACCACGTCAGAGGAAGAAGATGAACAACATGGGAATGACCAACTTAGCCATCCGTAGGCAGTGGTGCCAGACATCATTGATGACGATTCAATACCGTTTGCAATACCTCTCCCTTCGTGTCAATGGCACCTAGTCCTGGCCTACCGTGCTGGTATACGGTTTAGGCCCACCGAATCAGCATCAAGGAGGCACCAGCCGGGCTCTATAAAGACACAGATACAACGAATGCATGGGATTGCTGTACAAACAAAGCATGAGAAAGTAATAATGCTACGTTCAATCTACTTCTTGATCATTGCTTGATTTTAGTGTCTCAAATTCCTGTTGAGTGACTAGATAATACACAAATCTAGAATGGGCCATATATCAGGACCATGACCCTAGCCCATAGCCGTTCCCCTTTATGCAAGTGCGAGTACGCCTGAACTCCGTCTAAGAAAACATAAAATGAAATATAAGAATAGCCAAAGAGCGTCCCAGGCTTGGATATCTAATCCCAAAGCAGAATCCAATGCATGCTCATGGAGGGTATCACAGCGCACTCTAGTCCTTGATCATGACGACGCACGAGGTCAACAGGGCGCCCAGCGTCAGCGCCGTCAGGATGCCGGCGCCGGCCTTGTCGGCGGTCGTGATCTCCTTCATGTGGGCGATCTTGCTGTCGTCGCTCGCGCCACCGTTGGCGTTGCCGGTCGACGAGCCGCCGTTGGCGGACGTGTACGGCGCCGGCGCTGAGTCGGTCAGCATGGTCATGACGACGGACATGGCGTTCAGCTGCTCGCCCACGCCTGTCTTGCCGTCGTACGTCGAGCCCTGCAGCCAGCTGAAGCCACAGGCCGTGCCGGCGTGGCCTTTGAACCCGGAGGCCGGTGAGCCATCGCACTGCTGCGCGGCGGCCGCGGCCGTGGTCTTGAGGAGACCCATGATGGTGTCGTGGGTGAATGGTGCCAGCTTGGCCGTGTTGGCCATCCAGCGGGCCAAATGCCCCTTGAACGCTTGCTGGTCGGTGTTGCAGGAGGAACTCTCACAAGGCGGCTCCCACATGACTCCGTTCTGGAAAAACGTGCCCTCGAGAGAGTCTGTGAGCCCCTGAACTCGCGTCTTCCACGTGTCGGATTCGGTCATATTATACATATACGCGGCGCCATGTAGGAAAATGCCGTGATTGTAGGTGAACAGTGCGCCGTTGACCTCGGTGCAGTTGTCTGTGCCTCCGTTACCAGCACCATCGAGGACCTGCCACTCGGAACTGATAAACTTGACGCTCTGTTCCCACGCAAAGATCTTCTCCGCCCAGTCCGCGTATGTGGAGTTGTCGGTGTAGCGCGCCAGGCGGGCGGCAATATTGAAGAAACAGCCATTTGAGATGGAGTTCTTGTAGTTGTAACCGTTGTTGAACGTGTAGATCTGCCAGCGCAAGCCTCCACCGCAGGTGTCAGCCGCCTCGTTCCATCTCTGAACATATTCGTTAAAGATGGCTTGCGTAAGTGCGAGCCATTGTGGTTGATCCGCGTCTGGGTTTGTGAAGTTCATCTCGGCGGCCGTCATGGAAGCCAATGCCCAAAAGCCCTGGTCATCGTTACCCAAACTTCGCGTCTGGTTTGTCGGCATATAATCTGCATCATCGCCGACTTGATGTTGTAAGGCTTGGAATGTTATCTTGTTGTAGGAGTCATCGCCGGTATAAGCCCAGTAATCCACCAACGCTCCAAACATAGCACCAGCTTCCCACCCTGTTCTCCAAGTCAGCAAGCTAGGTTCGCCTCATAACTGAGGAATAACACGGACAGTAATATGGGTCGGGCAGGTTGCCCGGTGTGTCACCCGTATTGTTTCCTGCTTCATGTCAGCAGGCCGTATGGTGTCATATAAATGGGGTCTTGTGTTGTACCAGTATAATATTTGACCAGGCCATAGGCGATTTCTGCCGCTCCGGCCTTGATGGAGGCTTGGATTAGATGTTAACTCGTCGGCCCATATCTCTTCACAGCTTCACAAGGAGCACCCACAATCGCTCGAAAAGTCAATGTCGATTGCGCCGATCGGACAAAAGAGAAGGCTGAGAAGCCCTACGGATCGTAGGACGCTCTGCATGATGACAAAGCTAGTAAAGAACGAGTGACCTTGTTTGGAGATGGTACTGTGGTCCAGTCTTCGGCTGGATCTCTACGAAAACGACGTGATGAAAGGAAAGAATCGAAAAAATCGCTCCCCTACCACAGAGCCAGCGGGAACAGGCATGACATATCGCCCCGATTTTGGAACCACGATATAGTGGACCTGGCGGGGACATGGATTCGTAATGTCTACCAAGCTCCACCACAGCGGTCGGCCCTGGCGGCCCTAAACACGAAGCTGGATTTGGAGGCTGTGCTTCCCAGGGTCAGACCACTCTCAGTGCCGCCCGCCTACATGGTGAAATGAGTGTGAGGGCACCGCATCATGCAGAGTTGGTTGGATGACTGGTACCACTTGCCACAGTGCCAGGGCGCGTAGGGCTATCATAATAGTGAAGTGACCGAAATCTGCAGACACGAGAAACGGGACCGACGTATGTACTACGACTCTTCGATGGTACGTTGGTACAGCGTAGCCAACTAGCCACTGAACAAGGTAGTGATTCGCGACTCAGGCAAAGCAACAGTGAGAAGGAGTGGTATCCCGGGACGACGCAGTCTCGCTTTGCTTCCGGAGCACGGATTACGGAGTACAGAGACTCTCCCACCATATCATCTGGAGGTGTTGGCTGATCCTTCAGCCAACATTGAATCCAAACGGTTGGACTTCAGGATCGCTGGATCGCTAGGCGTTTCGATGCTGGTTCAACGAAGCTTTGACAAGACGGGAGCCGTCTTGGGTGCGCTGGGCGATAACGAACAAGCTTTTCAGGAGGCCTTGGCGGACGCGTATCCCGTTCACAGTGGATACAGTGGGCCGTTGCCAATGGTGAGGCATGCGAGTGGGGCTTAATTTGAATCGTGGTCGGCCCGTTCTTATAGGTGACGCAGCCTAGGGAAGGCCTCGTAATGGTGTCCCGAGTGGTTGAAGATAGCGGCTGGCTGGCTGGGGGCCATTGCTCAAGCCCCAGGTGTGGGTGGTGTTCACCCCTAAATTCTGCAGCAGCAGCTGGCACAAGCTGCGCCAATGACGATCTTCTGCCTGAAATCTCCATAGGTAAGTACCATAGCAGTGTGACTGAGGCAGATCTCATGTGCATACTGAGTCGAGGCTTCTGGGTTGAATTTATATTCGAACGTCTGGTCCAAAAGCTCCTGTACACGGGGCACGTAGCTTGACTTTATGACGAGTCACACTAGAAGACGCGTGGAAGCCATACTTGGTGCTTTTGCCGAATCCTGCAGTCCTGCCCTTCGGAATCAAATGTTCGGTATTGGAACCAGTGGAGAGGCTACTCAGGTCTAATAAGTATCCTCCACTGCCTTCTGGCTCCTCAGGTGGGCATTTACTACCACCTACTCCCTTCCTTTCAGTATGCCGTTCTGGAGGACTGGACGCAATGACCGAGAAGTCTCAGTCCTGGCAGTGATAGTTCACCACGACGATGATTGCTACTCCTTAGTCGATGGACCCCGCCAACATGTAATTCCATGTGCGAATGTTTCATTTCATACCTCGTCGAGATATAACGAGACTTGCGAATGCGATACGCCATCGGAGTATTACAAACTTATAACGCAGCCCGAGAGCGTATAAGACATGCTTTGGATTGACCTTCTATAGACGTTCGAAGCTAACCAGCCTCAGCTACTAAACTTAGCTGCATGACATCATTGACAATCAAGTCTAGGTATTTGTCTCGTCCCAGCCCATCTCGTTGGCATCGTGACAGTTCGCAACCATAGTATCCGCACACGGACATCTGCTTATATACATTACCGTCGGCGACATGACCGCGGCCTCGCTCATCGAAAGCACGCCGCGCGCGGTGCGCATGAGCTACCGCATCGGGCGCGGCGAGCAGGGAGTGCTGACGTTCGAGCCATACAAGTCGGCGCTGCTGCCGCTGTGGCGGTTCCGGACGGTGGCGGTCGCGCGCGCGAGCGCCGCCGACCTCTGGCGGCGCTTCGAGGTGTTCGGCGAGCAGGGCGACTTCGTCGGTATGGACATGGCGCGCAAGTTCATCCAGATGGGCATGACACGCGCCAAGCGGTACGCCAACCACGCCGGCGGGCGCAAGTACAGCAAGGCCACCGGCGAGCAGCTGCCGCGCAGCGAGGCCCACCGGGGCAAGCAGGAGAAGGAGGCCGCCAGCCGGGTCTTCAGGGAGTACTGGGAGCGGTGCCGGGCCCATGATGTCTACAAGACGCTGAAGGAGCAGTTTCTCCAGGAGCAAAAGGAATGGGAAAAGAGCATGAAGGAAAAAGAGGCAGAATAGGGCCCCCAGGTACTGCACGTGCCAAACGATATATGGTAGTCCAGCTGCGGGATTTTCGTTGGCTATCGAGAAGCCACCTGTCTCGCAAGTCTCTGATATTGAGGGGACGACAATACAGCGTAGGAAGATGGATTTTCAGGAATAAAGGCACCCTTCATCATGGCTGCCCTGGGCCGCCAGCAAGAGGAGTCCTTCGAACCACCAACCGTCAGACAATGGACAAGCTAGCCGGCCGGCGAACCAAATCCTCAGCAACTGTGGTCTGCACGCCACCCAAACCGATCTCGCGCACAAAGAACCTGCAGCGGCCGTTTTGGCACACATAGTGCACGCCACGCGGCGAGCGGCCGTCCTGTCCGTTGAGCCGGGCCCAGCTCGGGATGCCGCAATCGCACTCGGGGTTGGTGTCCTGGCAGCCGCGCTGGTTGGCGAAGGAGACGAACTTGCGACACGACGCGCAGTAGTACTACGGCCAGCCAGCATTGCCGTTGAGGTTGGCCAAACTGGTGATGCGCAGCTGCGCCAAGCCTTTGCAGAGCCAGCATATGGCCGGCTGGGATACTGGCTCCCGCTCTGGTGAGCCGGGGATGCTGGCTCGTGTAAACATGCACTGTTTTGAGACCGTGTCAGTCGCGGCCGTTGGGTTGCCATGGAATACATGCAGACGTGTCTTCACCTAGACTCTAGCGGGCCATCGATGTGTGCTCTGTAAATAGTTACTGGAGCATGGTATATGTCAATGTGGGCGTAGCTGCGGCGCTGATATGACATGCATTCACAACGTTTGGACGAACGTCTCTCGCTATCATATAGATGCGTGAGTATACTGCATGCAATACCAAGTCCTGGTAACAGTACTGTGGCTAATGAATCGACTTAGTCTTGGAACCATCATTTTAGCGTTATATCAAATCCATTATCTGTCTATATGCCCGTACAGATCCCAGTCCAAACGCCGTGCTCATCATAGACATACAAAGCCAGCAGCCATACATCGGGCCACAGCTAACGGATAGCAAAGCGCGAGGCCCATTTACAAGGCCTCTACCGCCTTGAAGAAGGGGTTGGCGACCAAGCGCTCATCGGTCTTCACCAGATCCCTCATCTTCTGCACCATCTCCTCCTTGCTCATAGAGCCGCCTTTGACCTCGTCCTTCCACTTGACGAGGACCTCCTTCAACCTGGCGCTTCCTTCCTCGACATCCTCTTTGCTGTAGCCGATGCCGTTCTGCTCGTGCTTGCTGGTAAAGTCTTCCAGCTCGTCTGCCTTTCGCTTGGCCATCCTAACGACCTTGTCGGGGAAGCGGACGAGCTCGGCGACGTGGATGCCGAAGGACTGATCGCAGATACCCGGTTCAACCTTATAGAGAAGTGTCACCTCACGCTTATCGGCTTTGGAGTCGGTGCCGGAGATGTGCGCTGTGACGTGCATGTTCTTGACTTGGGGATAGGTGTCCGCCAGGGCCGTCAACTCGTGGAAATGGGTTGCGAACAAGCCAGAGCAGCCGATCTCCTTGACAATATGCTCCGAGATAGCCCATGCGAGACCAAAACCGTCGTAAGTCGAGGTACCGCGGCCCAGCTCATCAATAATGATCAGGGATTCGGCGGTTGCGGACTTGAGGATGTTGGCAGTCTCCAGCATTTCAGCCATGAAGGTCGAGACACCCTTGAGCTGAGAATCACTTGCTCCAACACGCGCTAGGATAGAGTCGAAGATGGTAAGCTCCGCCTCAGCGCAAGGAACGAAGCAGCCGACCTGCGCCATCAAAGCGACGACACCAATCTGCCGGATGTAGGTCGACTTACCGCCCATGTTCGGGCCTGTGATAATCAGGAAGGAGGAAGAGTCCCGTTTGAGCTCGACATCATTGGTGATGAACTGGATGTCGTCCTGCATCTCCATGCAAGGATGACGCGCTTCCTTCAAAACGGTCTGGCCCTCGCCCCTGGGATGGATCTTGGGTCGGACATAGGATGTCGGAGCATGGACAGAACAATGAGCAAACGAGACTATGACATCAAGATGTGCCAAGACTCCGGCGAGCTGTTCCATGACCGAGCAGTATGACGCTGCCACCGTGACAACCTCGTTTACCAGACTGCTCTGAGTTCTGTTATAATTCTGAGAGAGTTGGTCGAACTCGCGTCGCAAGGACTGGAGCGTCTTGGTGGTGAAGTAGACACCGTTCTTCTGTGTAGAACACTCTTGGTACTTGGATTTATTACGAATGCAGCCAGCCTCGGTACGTGTCAGACGCATACACCAGCCATGCACCTTGTGGTTCTCGAGGAAGATCTTCTTGTTCTCTTCCTGGCCCAGATCGTCGGCTGCATCACGAAACTCGCGGTCCATGTCAGATCTCATCTTATCCAGCCTCTTGCGGATGATTCGAAGGTTATCATCAAATTCGGGCTTGATGATGAACTCGTGGTTGTCGAGGGCATCGAGGTCCACGGTCGTCTCTACCATCTCGGCGAGCTTTCCGAGACTATCAGAGAGCTGGCGGAGCTTGTTTGTGTAGGCCTCGTCAAGTGGATCTTTGTACTGCTCATCCATCACGGCCTCCAAGGTACCAAGGAAGCCGGGAAGGCGAATGACCACTTGGTATGCGCGCACGACGTCTTCCAGGTTGGCCTTGTTGCGCTGGAAGCGGTTGGCGAGTCGGTATAGATCGGGCACCGACTTGAGGTGCTCTTCCTGCATGGTCTGGCGTAGCTCTGTGTCGTTGGCAAAAGCTTCGACGAGCTGGAGACGCTTCTCGATCTCGACCTTGCTCATCAGCGGCTGCTTCAGCCACTGGGCAAGCAAGCGGCTGCCGACGGGTGTTCGACAGTGGTTCAACAGTCCATACAAGCTCATCGACTTGGCACCGTCTCGTGCTCCCGGCATGAGATTGAGGGCTTTGAGCGCTGCGGCATCCAATTTCATGAAATGCGACAGGTCATGTTGATAGAGCTGGTACTGGCCGAAGTTCGATGGGTCTTGTAGCACACTGAGGTACTTAATCAGTGCTGCAGCGGAGCCCATGGCGAGCTTAAGGTCGGTCTGGGGCAGCAGCGTGGCCGAGCGCTCGTCCTTGAGCAGCCGCGCCAGATCTTGCTCTATATCCTTGGTGCCAAAGTCGCCGGCAGGCCTCTCGGATATGGCAACGCCGCAGTTATCGATAATGTGCCTGAGTTTGGCGAGCTCAGGGTCCTTGTCTTTTTCAGCCTTGTCAAACTGGACCAAGCACTCCCTGACGCCCAGTTGGATTAGGAGAGACTCGAAGTTGGAATAAAGGTCATTGTCGAGGAACTCGCTAACGCCCAGCTCGCGAACGCTGGCATCTGCAAAGCAGACGCCGACACTGCGTGCCTCGGTGGTCTTGGCGGATATCTTGACGGCGAGGATCATGGGTGCCGACTCGAAGTTCTGGCCCAGCTCGTCCTCGACATCTTGCAGGTTGCCGGGCGAGGCCTGCTTCACCACCTTCCAGTTCATACGGCCGCCGCTGCTCGCATAGATCTGCACACGCTTGCCAAGCTTGAATAGCGCCTCTCGTAGGAACTGTCGGAATACGGTAATGGTCATGGTTACAGAGGGGAGGCCGCTGGCATCGTTTCGCCCCAGCTGTCTGACAACCGAGGTGGTCTTGTAGACCTGAAGACGTCGACTGGGTTAGCGACGGGAGACAAATCATGGGAGTAGAACTCTTACCGTCTTGGCAATGAAGTTGGCATCGTCACCGTGGGCAGTATACCAGTCACCGCGGTCGAAGATGCGGATGGTCTCGCCCGTGACGGCGGGCAACGACTTGAAGTAGCGGATGAAACCAGTCTCATCCTCGACCTTGAGCTCAGGACGGGAAGACATTTTGGGACAGGCCGACACGTCGTTGATTCAGGAGTACGGTCTAGTTGTAAACAGCATGCCTCTCGCCGTGTGACAGGAAAATCGAATCCGGTGTCGCTTGAAAGAGTCGCTTGACGAGATTGTGCGGATATGTTTGCCGTCTGGCTCTATCGAGATGGCAAACCTCGAAACCGCGTCGTGAACCCATTAAACTTTTGGGGGGAAGACGCGCCGGACGCGAATCCCTGGCCACCCCTGGACCCGCTGGGCGCTGGGCGCTGGGCGACGGCCCCCCCGGCCCCTAAACTGCAGGGGAGAGGGGAGCCCGGGGGAGCTATGACCCTCAAGCCCATTGACCCCACCATGGCCCGCGATTGGCCTTCTCCAAATGGAAGCCATCCAAAAAATTTGGCTGGGCTGGCGCCTCTGACACATGATCGTCGCCAGCAGACATCTCCAGCCAGACCAGCACGGTGCACAAGCCGAGCACCATGGAGTCGACGACGTCCGCAGATCTCGAGACCCTCGCCGCCGAGAAGTCGGAGATCCAAGCACAGGAGATCCAGGACCAAGACCCGAAAGTGCATTCACTGGCCGCCAATGGCTCTGATGAGTCCCACCGTGGGGTGAAGCGCGCCGCAGAGGACAACGACAACGACAACGAAGATGACGATGGTCAGGACGCCGATGCGCCCAATGATGTCGAGATCAAGACGGGAGACGAGCCGGTCCAGCCGTTGTCCAAGAACCAGCAGCGCAAGCTCAAGCGCCGCAAGCTCTGGGAGGACAAGAGGGAGGATCGCAAGCACAAGCGGAAGGAGAAGCGCCACAACCAGCAGGAGCGCAAGCGCCTCGAGCGTGAGGCCGAGATCGAACAGGCTGCCAAGGAGGGCCGCGCTCCCGTTCTACAGCACCGCCAACGCGACCGCGATCCCACCAAGAAGACCCAGGTCCCGGTCGCCATCATCCTAGACTGCCAGTACGAAAATTATATGCACGAAAATGAGATGATCTCCCTCTCTAGTCAGGTCACGAGGTCATATTCCGACAACCGGACCGCCAGGAATCCCGCCCACCTGTATGTCAGCTCATTCGGCGGGACTATGAAGGAGAGGTTTGACACCACCCTGGGTGCCCAGTACGAGAAATGGAAGGGCGCTCATTTCGTCGACTGTGATTTTGTCGAGGCCGGTAAGGCGGCCAAGGAGCTCATGGAGGGCCCTCAGGGGGGTACCGTCATCGAGGTCCTGCAGTCACAAGAATCTGGCGACTCTCTGACCTTGACACACCCCGAACCAGATGCCAAGGCCAAGAGGAAGAACGCCCTCCCTGAGCCTGAACCCGAGCCAGAGGATGTCGACAAATCTATTGTCTACCTCACTGCTGACTCGCCCTACATACTCGAGCGTCTCGAGCCGAATACAAGCTACGTGGTTGGCGGCATCATCGACCGCAACCGGCACAAGGGGCTCTGCTACAAGGTCGCGCGGGAACGGAAAGTTCGCACGGCCAAGCTTCCCATCGGCGAGTATATGGTCATGCAGGACCGGCATGTCCTCGCTACAAATCACGTTGTCGAGATTATGCTGCGCTGGCTGGAGCTCGGTGATTGGGGCGCCGCCTTTATGCAGGTAATTCCGATGCGGAAGGGAGGTAAATTGAAGGACGACGCAGAAGGATCTGTGGCAGCTCCTGAGAGTGTGGAGCAAGACGGTGCCAAAGACGGTCTTGTAGAAGCCGCCGAGCCGAGTGAAGCCACGGAAGCGACAGCGAGCTGAATGAAACAGCATGCACGGCGCCGTCTGGCTGTCCTTTCTACCAAATTAGAATTATGACTAGGTCTATCTGTAGGACGGTCCCTATTGGATATGGACACCTTAGAGAATCAACAGTTTCGCATTTGCCATCTGTCGTGAGAACGGTTGACACATCTGCACACCTACTCTGGCCGTTCGGTACATCAAACGCCGTCTATATTAAGTATCCACATTTACTCTTGACATCCAGACCCCACTTAGAGGCCATACAACATGGCGGCAGAACGGCTTGCTGATATGCAAAGAGGACGTGACAGAGGGAGGCGCCGACTATAAGGACATTAATTGATCTTATTACGCGGACAGACGATAGTATGGTATGTAATATATATATATATATATATAATGTATTCAACGTAAACAGCCGGAGTCGTATATATCCTTGGCTTCTAAACTGCATTACTATTTTCCACATTTGCTGCCACGCCGAATTGAACTCATCCCAGAGTATCACCAGCCCAGTGCAGCCACCGCGGCAGCACTAAAGAGTCCCAGGTTCGGACCTATCGTCGCAATAGCGGCATAGTTCTTCGAAGCGGATGTCCCTCCTGCTGCCGCAGTCGTCGTTGCTTCGGCGACAGCAGCGCCTGCTCCAGCAAAGTCGGCTCCTATAACGCTCGTCGCGGCTGCAAAGTCGGTCGCTGTCGTCGAGTCGACCCCCCACATTCCGCAGAAATGCCCCCAGGCTTCGGTGAAATCTGTCGCACGAGGGTTCTATTAGTCACCTGGAGTTTCACGCGATGAAAGTGCTCGTGGTATCTGCTGCTGCGGTGCACAACGCGATGAGGTGCCCACGAAACCCGCAAGCTCCCTGCTTGACGGACTTATCTTGGTGCGCTTGGGGTCCATACCTATTGAACAGTCTGACGGTACAGCTTTCTGGACCAGCACGGCAATGGCGCCTACATGCGAACATGCGCAGTCGAAGCTTTTGCCATCGATCACTGTTGTGCTGCAGCCCTCCTTGGCAACGGCATCTCTGAAGGCGGCGTGGGCGCAGCTGGGTATATTCTTCGCGTATTCGGAAAGGCTCAGAAGAGCCTCCACACCGAACACTGACGCTGACAATGTGACGAAAAACGAGGCCTTCATCTTGTTCTGGTGATAGTACGTGGACTCGGAAGCACTATAGTGATCGTCACAAGTGGCAAGTAAAGAGGCAGGAGTGGGCACTAAATATGGCTGTATCGAACGGCGGGCATGGCGTCGAACACCAAGGGGGTAATTAAGGCTTGCATATAGGATGCGGTCTGGACAATAGTCTGAAACTGTGGCGGTTTTCATTGGCTGCGAGACTATTTCAGCTGCTTTTCGAACGACGATCCCGCGCTCAAGGGGCAAAGCTGAACTACGCATCATGGCAAGCTGCATTGTGGCTTGTGTACTTATAGCAAGATTATTGCTTGGCATGTTCAAAAACGCGTTTGTTTGCTCCGAGCCAATCATCGTGTAAACAGAGAAGTGGTCACAGAGATTAAGGCTCTTCAAACGCACTTAGGCTAGACTGGTCAAGGAGTTGAATAGTCGACAATGCCCGAGGAATGGCACCCCCAACGAAGTCGCAGCGCGGCCGAGGAATCAAGTACAAGCCTTCAGCTTAGATTTTGGAGCGGAAGATGAATTGTCTAAGATCTATGACGCCCATATCTAAGGTCCACCGCGATGAGAAACATGACTGCAACAAGGAACGTAATTGGGACGACTATAATTATGTTCACTTGAGATACGGCCTCACACCGTGATAGACCTGAATATAGTCTTTGACCGGTACATATTAAACAAAGCACAGCGTTGTTGTCAAAGGCGAATTTCTGGATTATGTGAAATTTGAAACGTGAAGATTTGCAATAATAGTAGTATCAGCATTTTAGCATAGTAGTAATTCTTGAAAGTAGTTACAGTGCAGCAGGTCTTGCTCGACTAATATGATGTTTTCTTGGCCCAAACCCAAAGAAGCCAATAATGGTGTCCCATATCATACGTTGTATCGAACGTGGCGGCTCGGGAATTTTCACCATCTCGCCCTGTGTCTGCAAGTAGACCTTGGTCAAAGTCGCCAGGGCATCTTCCGTCAGGTCTCCGAGATACGCGACGTCCATATCATTGTAATGGATTGTGTATGGCTTCTCGCAGTTAATCCATACATCATCCAAGATTTCCAAGCCCTCTCCGATCTCCATCTCAACCGAAGGGGCGCATAGTAAACTGGTCGTCCCCTTTTTCCGAAGCAGCAACCGCCGCCTCCAAAAGTCGGTGTTATGCTTTGTCACATGCTGGTATCTACAGATCGGTAGACAAACTATGTCACGAGACCTGGCGATGACCGCCATGCCACGTTTCGCAATAGTCCTATCGTGGTGCTGACCAGATATTTCAAAGACTTTTCCATGGCTGAACCAAGTGCCAGTGTGACGTCTTTGAAATGCTGAAGGTAACAAGTCGTCCATCGTTATCTGTGTCTCTATCGGTGCCTGTGATCGCTCTGATGTGACGGTGCTGACGCTACGGCTTCTGTATCTGGGTTCTGGGACAGGCAGTGTAGCCATATTGTTCGCTACATGAGTCACAGGCAGTGTTTCAACGCCGCCGAAGTTTGTGTCAGTTGAACGAATTTGTAGATCTTGTTCCGAAGCACTAGTGTACGCTTCGTCCTCGATGACACTCATCTGCGTATTTTCGATTGGTTTGGGCCGATGTTGGAGCTCAGTCGCCTGCCTACTGAGCAATTCTCCGACAGGGGTATTTGCATCTTGTACCATGTTAGTAAGCGGATATTAGACAAACCAACAGTACAGGCTTCTTGGGCTACCAACTTGTTTCACCGTAAACACCAATAGATTGATCCTTTGAAATATTCTCTTGATATTGGTTTCCACTAATATTGTGATGGCTTCCTCTAGATGGACCTAGATATATGTTGACATGCTGAGTCGGGGGAGTCAGCCTTTCGGATCCGAGGCTTTCTCTGCGCATGTTGCCGCCTGATAAATGTGCCGACATGACACATGTCGCAAATGGAGCTCTCGCGGAGATCACAGCAGGCACTGCGGACCGCGAGTTGTCGGCATTTGATAGGATACGTTCATGGTGAATGAACAGGAAAATATTCATGTGTAACGCTCATGTCTGCCTAGATTCCTTCTGTTTGTCTGAGTAAGCTTGGAGCCTCGTGTCCTGAATTCACTCACCGAAACCAGAGCAAGGCGCAGCCCAAGGCTGACACTGCCAACAACTGCTGCATATCAAGAAGCAGCCGCCCACAGTCTCTGTAGTCTCCGTCGATTTGTTCGAGTAGACCAAACCTCGAGTCTCGTCAGAAATATATTTGATCGCGGCAGAAATACTACAAGAGGCTGTCGTATTTCAAGACTACGGCTGCGAACTCAACAGAACCAGGCTCTCAGCAAGCGACTGGCAATATTTATGCAATTCAGTCGCACAAAGCGGCAGGCTGTGGCCGGGTTTACAAAAGACCTGACCGGGCCACACCTCTTTGTTGAAGTGTGCTGCTGATTGGATGCTTCATTCCATCCGGTAGACATAATTGGAGCCCGCAGACACCTACCTATGCAGGCAAGCAGCAATCTTGAAAAGTCTTCTGATATTACGGAGGTCGCTACCATGCCGTCTCATGGAATAAAACACTACTACCCCCTGAGTTTGTCAGCTCATCCATTGAAAGAAAGCGAGCTAAGCTATAGCTGCGACTGTGGGAGCCAATTCACCGACGAATCTAGCCAGGAAGACATGGCTGAAGCTGCCGGCTTAGCAGTGGGAACAATAGCCTTGGCAAGCCTATTTCAAACATGCGTCGACATTCTAGACTACATCGAAGATGCGAGGAATATAGAGAGCGATCGAGACCGAGGAGATACCAGACTAGGGTTGCTCAAGATCAGGCTGAAGCAATGGGGGGATAAGCTGCAGGTCGCGAACCCCGGTTATGAAGATGGAGGGTTGATTGACCATTGGGATGGAGAGAGTGGCACGATAAGCAAGAGTTTACTGGGCATCAAAGGAATCCTGGAGCAGGCATCTTATCTGAGCCACAAATATGCACCATATAAGATGGCTATCAGCGCGTGGCCCTGCGACTCAAACCTTTGCCGCAAGGCAACCGAGACAGAAAACCAAGACGTACGGCGCAAAACGGCCTACCAGAAGTTTCTTTATTTGAAGCAACGAACTACTTGGGCATTACGAGACAAGAGAAGATTCAACGCTTCTTTAGTCGAGCTCGATTTCTTCATTACCAATTTAGAAATAGTAACAAGCCGGCTGTTGGCTCTTGGTGAGTTTATGGCTTGGACATGATCCGACTATACTAGTGAATGATTTGCTGATAATTTGAGCTTCAGAGAAGCTTGACTGGGAGAGTCTTACTATCAATGAAACAGACTTCACAATGAGCAACGTACACACTTTGAAGGATTTCACCACGGGTAGCCCAACGCCGCCAGTGGCTGAAAGCTCTCTTGGTAAAATTCTCGATAATCGCGGCCCACCCCGGCCTGCTGTCGTCAAGTTGGCAGCAGACAAGATATCTGAGCCAACAAGAACAAAGGATGGCCATAAGTTTACAAATATGATCTCAAAGGATACAGCAATGCAGGTAGAGGGTGACCATGGAAACGCAGACCCTAACGCTAAGCGTCACGAGTATCAAGGCCACAAAGCTGAGGATGGCAGCACTCAGATTATGGGAAACTTGGATCGAATAGCTTCGGACAATATGTTCGGACTGCTGCAGCAACGTGTCGCTTCGAACAGCAAGCCACAGAAATGAGTATAGCATTGAAGCAGTATTTGATGTTAGTTATAATATCATACCATCTCTCTAAGGAATCTAGCGTACTATTTCCACCTTGAAGCCAGTACGCTAATTAATCACCGCCTTTATCCATCAAATGATTCCGTCCGATACAATGAACTTCGACCCTTAAAAGATTCAACATGGGTATAAGAGATCGTACGAGTCAACCTTAAATGGATTGCGGCAATTTATTTGTTGTTCGATAGTATCACATGAGTAGTTCCAGGAGAGTTTTCGATGAGTTGGGACTGAGGTATATTTACATTTCACCCTTTGAAATAGCAGTGACAGCGTCCATTAACTAACAACTCGTCTTGATACTAGCTGTCGTACAAGCCGTCCCCGTCGGCCCACTGGCCGTCTTGGTGGGCTCGTCGCCATTGGCGTTACCCTTGAAGGCCCAGCATAGGCTCGAGTCCTTGACACAGCTGTCGTGGATGTAGGTCGTGTCGCCGTAGTTGCCGTTGACACCGGCGACGACGTCCGCGCCGCTGACCATGATGTTGTTGAAGGTGCTGTGGCGGGCATGCTGCGAGTCGCAGTTGCCGCACGACCGGTACAGCTTGCCGATGTCCTGGGCCCAGAAGTTCTTAACGGCCACCGTGCCCGCCCCATTGTGCTGCAGCACCTTGTCGTCGGCGCCTCGCGCTCCACCGCCGTTGACGTACGACACGCCCGAGGTCGAGGTGCCCTTGAACGTTGCGGCGTCCTCGCAGACGTTGGTCCACCAACTGAGAGAGTCCTCTATCAGCAAGGGATATTCAAAAGATCCGCTTAACGTATGCCGAACTTACACATTGTTCAAGGTACAAGTGCCAAGGCAGTGGACTCCTTCACCATTGTTGGGTCCTGTTGCGCTGTTAGTCCTCAAATTATATAAAACCCCAATAGGAATCTACCCACCGATGATAACGTTGCTCAGCACGGCGCCATCCTGAAGAACGAATACAGCGTCCGAGTCTCCACCCTCGGCCTGCTCATTGCACGTGCTCGGGTTCCGGTCCCACTGGTACATGCCACCATCGAATGTCGCCGAAGCAGCAAGCGTCTTTGCGGCCGCGAGAGCAGTTGTACCTGAGGACTTCGGAAACGAGGTTTGGAGGTTGGTGTTTGTTGAGGCAGCCGCAGCTAGAGCCACGAAATGGAGGAGGCTGATCCGCTTATTAAACATGATGAAATATCGACAAGAATCAACAACGATTATAGTTGGCCGAGAGCTGCAGAGCCAAGTCTTGTAAATTGAGACAGAAATCAGCGCATCCTTATAGCTTGCACCGCATAGCTAGGGTCTTCGACGCCCGCAGGGCCAAGATGTGCTCTCTCGCATGGTAACGAGGCTCGAAAAGCTTGACTTCTCCATGATCACCTCAACCTAGACAGAATGAGTGCTTTTGGTAAAGACGCCGTCTTGGCAAGTCTTGTGTCGATGAAATGCACGAATGGGATATGGGTGTAGATCCCCCAAAAGGAAGTATACCTCTTCTGGCGAGGAGAAATCTGCGCCGAGACGCATGGCAAGTGTAAGGTCGAGTGGCACAGCCCAGGGGCCACGCCATGTAGATTATGTGCCAGTCCTTTACCATCCTCAATAGAGAATTCTAAGTGGCACTAATCTAGGTCAAAGCACACAGTCGTGGTGGCAGGCGATGTCCGCTTGGGCAGCGTGGCTGGGTACTGCTTTGGTTGGTGGGAGAACTCGATGCTCCCAAGGACCCGGGCGCGTATTAACGCAACACAGCGAAGGGCCCAATGCCAGTTCAAGACAATCCAGTGATACCCATCGGCCATGCACTCGCTAAGACCAAGTGCCGGTGGTTGTATAGAACATGATTGGAGGAACATTCTCTGGGGATCGTGGGGAACCCTGGCCAGACTAGCACCGCTCAGACTCGCACTACTCAGGTACACAGACGACGACAACTTGCTTACCTCGGTAAGGCCTCATGGTGGTTTAGAGGCTATGCTGAGAGCGCTGAACAAAAATCAAGAGCGCTTTGAAACGACTTGCCATAGTATGAGTCTACATTACTGCGATGCTACAAGGCACAGTACGACTGGTGCTCGCTTATTCATGTACAGACTTGAATTCCTATGTTGCTTCTATCTTTCTTTGTGTTCCATTAGCCATACATGTTCGAAGGCGCTTCAGAATCAATTCGAGGTATGCAAGACTGAGAGCCAACATGCTGAACCTGCGACAGATGAACACCAGTGCTGGGGCTAACCGTACTGACAAGTGGTATCTGTCGCAATAACAAGTAGAACAATGCCCAACATCTAGCTGGTGCTGATTCTCATCCCATACTGTGCAGAGGCCTTTTTGAATATAGTTGTACGAGAGTTGTAGTCCTGCGGCGCTTTCTATTGTGGCCGTTATTGTGTGTTGAAAGTTCGTCTGCAGACTCTCCCACACTGGTAGCAGGAGTCGAATACGTCTCTGGGGGAGCTTCCAGATGTAGATCATTTGTCTGACCTTCCATCGACTTGCTCGAATCTGACTCTATCCCGAAGTCACCCCCAATTGTAAGATTGTGTAACGGATCTGTGGCGAGGCCGTTGGTGTTACCCTCATCATAAAGCGTCCCAAACCAGGCTTCTCTGATCGCAAGCCCGAACGCCATCGCCGCTTGTCGAGCTACACTATTTCCAACAATATGCCATTGTTGATGAGGCTTTCCAAGAATGACTTCATGATCTGCGAACCCTTGGGCACGCCTTGCTTCCAATATCGTCAGCGGCCTCTGCTGCTGCCAATGATTTACTACACCTGTCCGCGTGTCGGTAGGGTTGCAAGCAGTGACAACAGTGCGAAAGAGGTCATGCGGATGGACGCGGCCCCATCCCTTGGAACCTGGCTGCATTCGAAGTTCCTTCGGATTCGGGAAATGGGAGTCACGGTCGCTGATTGTCATAATCCCAGGGAATCGCCTGCCGTTCTCCTCGTACCCGAAGTAGGTCTTGTCAAATCTCATGCCATAGGGATGGAACGGAATCAACCGCATTTGCGATTGACCCTTGGCTGTGATACCGAGGGAAAGCCTGTGGTCGGGGAACCCGACGCAGAAATCGGCCTTGCCGTCCTGGATGTGTGGAAGATCGCCGGCGGCTTCGATTGCGCTCACAAACTTGAAAGGAGTGAGCACATGAACTCTCTCGCCAATGGGTTGCCCATTTGACATTTTGCCCAGCTTTCCCATACGAACATCCGAAGGGTGTGAATGGGAAGGCGTAGGTGGTCTAGGCATCCTGACACCCGGCGCAGCGAAATTGAGGAATACACGACTACGCAGTTGCGGAGCGCCGAACGACCAGGCGTCCGCGTAAATGATACGCACTTGGTAGCCCAGGCCTACAATCGAACAGACCAGCTGCGAGAAGAAACAATTCTCACGCTTGTTTTCTCCCTGTACCATTGAAGGGACATTCTCGAGGAGCCCGAACTGAGGTTTGTAAAAGTCGATGAAGGACGCAAATGATGCAACGAGGGAGCGATTCTTCCATTGCTTTAATGTGGCTTGGGATTTCGCCGTCGTAAGGCGCGAGAATCCTTGACATGGAGAGCCGCCAGAGATGAACTGGATCTCACCAGGTCGCGGCACGTCGGCATCCCCTCGAAGCGCCTTCTCGAGCAGATCGTCGATAGAACCAAGATATGGCGTACATACGCCAGGCTCAGTGTTAGCCATATATGTGTGGACCGCGCTCGAGGAGATATCATTGGCCCATCGCATTTGAATTCCGCCACCATCCTCCAGGCCCCTACCGAAATTCCCACCACCACAGAATAGGTCGAGGCCACGCAGTCTCATCGATGCAGGAGAAGTAGTAGGATTAAAGCCTTGTCGAAAACTTAAGGACCGTGGATGTTCTGTTGTCTCGATTGCCCCGCCAGTTGTTTCGCGTCGTGTCAAAAAGAAAACGTCACCCGTGCCGTTGTAGCTGTAAGGAGCCGGTATCTCATCAGCCCCATGGAAAGCTCGTACCACACAAGTTCGGACAATCCTCTTAGGATCTATCTCGATTAGTTGGTCTGACCAGAGGAGCTCGTTCGGCGGGAAAGTCCTCGATGTGTCCCTGTCCCTTCGTCGTAGCAGCCGGCGAACCCTCGCCCACCGCTTCCCACTTTCTCTGTATGTCGCCTCTACCACGAACGCTTGGAGGTAGGGCTGCTCGACCTTTGCGAGGACTGTATCCCCCTTCTGATACCTTCTGCTTGCATTGACGCCTTCTTGCCGGTGCTTGCACACTAGATGATTCTCTTTGAATGAGATCCAACAGTGCTCTTCTTGAAGGTAGGTTTGTCGAACAAAGAACTCTGCGCCTCCACGTGATGCATCAGAACAATCTTCTGATGTCCCACACCAAGCAGTACTGTGGGTGGCAAGGACATCGCGCGCGTCGACACGTGTTGTCTCACACGTACACGAGTCAGATAGGAAAAGCTCACTTGCCCATGGATACTTCATCAAGCCGCATGGAGTCTCTCGTGGTTGGTACATCCATATAACGTCAAAAGAACGGTGCGCGCTGCGTACATGAACCTCTTGAACAAGGCCATACCAGACGTAGTCTGACCCATGATGCTTTGAGGTCTCTCGTTTCCATTTGGTGCCAGTACCCTCGGCGTCTGGGGGTGTTGAGATGACATCTCCGGGTTTGATATACTTGACGAAATCATGACCGCCTTTCTGTTGATCAGCACCATGCACGGTGGCCATGCGTAAGTGGCCAGTAACCTGTGCCTGCGCGAGCTGATCCTCAGCCAGCTGTTTATGCGGCGACATCGGCTTCATTATGACATCGAAACCCATGTGACTGAACAAGTTGTAGATGTATGGTGTTACGATGGTTGGTGCAATGTTGCCTGGTGCGCCTGTCTTGATGGTTTTCCGATTTGCAGTGTTTTCAGAGCTAGTATCTTCTTCAGAAACTTGTGTCGTGTCAGAGTAAACCGTTTGTTTTGTCTTCATTGGTTGGTAGCGGTCGCCTTTAACTTCGCGCCAGAACGGATGCCAAGAAGTCAGCTTCCTGCCCACACGAGGTAGACCAACGGCTTCTTTCCAGATAAAGTCAACATTGGCCACGATGGCTGCCCTGAAATCGGTAGAACCATGGGCCCGGAACCACTTTTGAAATACGGGGGACTTTTGGTGCATCGACGAAACGAAGTCGCCAAAGCATTCACGGAAATCGTGCAATACAACTCTACGCTTCTTGGCATGGAGGTGCTCGCAGTAGTCCAGTACGTGCTTGGTCAGGTCCGCGATCCATAGGAATGGGCCGAAGAATCTTGCGTACTCTACAGCAGGCTTTCCCAGCTTGTAGTATATCTCCTTGCCCGCATTGAGTTCCGATCGTATCCAAATCTGGTCACCGACCGTATGTTCTGATATGGTGTAGTTGCCAATCGGCAGCTCACGGAATGGTACCCTCTCCACGAAGAGCCGCGTGGTACCAACGCAAAGTATTCCGTCGAAGTAGAATCGATCAGAAGATTGTCTGGTCGCCAAATGTTGCAGCGGGCGCATCTCCCCGGGGTAAAGTGCGTTGTTTATGTAGACGGTGAAGTCGGTCAGGTGGAATTCGACGAAGTCATCCGAGTGATCTTGTGTGACAATGTCCAGAAGTGTCGCGACGGCTTCTGACTCTTTCACTCTACGGGCAGGCGGAACGAATCCAATGTATAACGACTTGGGCTTGTTCAGAGTGGAGCACGGCAGTTCCACAACAATGTTCTGGGACATTGGCATCGCAGCCACCTCCTCATTGTGACTTTGCTTTGCGTCTTCGTCTCGTCGCAAGAGCCGAGATTCATCATGCCAGTCTCCAGATACCCGCGATTGTGGCGGTCCCGGAGGAGGTCTGTGAGTGAGAAGTGGTGATGAGCTGAGGACGTCAGGTGAGCTGTCCTTTGCGAAACCCAAGTGGTGTGCTACTACTGTTTGCTGCTGCTGCAGTGGTATCGGTGACGGAAGCGGACTGAGATCGGGCGACAGCTCACCAAATTTTGTCCACCCACGAGAGCGTACACCGGGCCGGTGTGGTCGAAGGGAAAAGACATCATCTTCTGTCATCTTCAGTACCGACCATCCAGGTAAAAAGTCCAAGAGAGAAGAATGCCCCCCCAAGAAATAGAAACATTCAAGCCCTGAGAACTGAATAAACTAATATTAGGATCGCCCATCTGAAGATGTCACTGTGGTATAGTACATATGAGCTTCATCGTGGGACATTGAAGGTGACCGCGTGCCACGATCGTAGGTCATCAAGAATGCGGAAGATGAACTTGTGACCGATGTGACCGATAATGCTTCAGGATTTCGATGATGAACAAACGTTCACTATTACATGACTGTCGGGCGCGGAGGCTGTGATATCGAGCAGATGTAGGATTAAAATTGCAGAAAAGAAGGGAGGCTGGTTCCAAAGGATCGGGGTATCTCGAACGTGTTGTCGCGAACTGCACGTCAGGGTCGGATTAATATAACGGTGGCAAAAGTAAACGAGCGAAGAGCTTGGTAACGAAACGCCCTGAATTCAGTGTGAATTTCACGAGGTCAATTTCACAAGGGCCTCAAAGGACCCAAAGAGATGGATCCGGCTGGTGCAGACCAAATTCCAAGAAGATGTGGCTGGCACGCGACGGATGTGGGCGTGTATCCCTGTCTCGAATTGTCCAATCAGACGAGACTTTCGGGCGGCATGGAGGACGTGATAGTGGAGCCTTCTAAGCTGAACTGAAGCCTTGCCCAGTCAGAGCCACCGCCCGCTGAAGAATGTGTGCAGCAGCATGCAAGTTTCCGTGTCCCATTGGATGAACTTGGGCCTTGTTTGCACAGCGACACTCTGCCTCACATAACGTGTCGAGGTGGTATAAGTCACGCGCTGCACCAAAGTATCCCTGAGATACATACTCATACACACGCACATGCAGATACACATACTGTCAGAGAGACAATCAAGTTGAAACATTTGAATCATGGCGGGGTATCTTTTCTACGTAGCAGTACATATTGTATCTCATATCGCCTACAGCTCGTTTAGCAACTCGGCTGCCACCTGCTCGTCGGGCGCCTGTCGCCACCACGCAGCCATGGTTTTGCGCTGGAGTCGCTGCGAGCCACCGCGCTTGTCGGACTGGATGTACTCCTCGATATCCTCGTGCGACGGCCACTTCCAGGACGGGTCGGATTCGGCAATGCGGTCCATGCTCCGATCCAGCTCGCTCCGCTGGCTGGCCTCCAAATGGGGCCCCGCAAACGCCTCGAACGCGCACAAGGTCTTTGCTACCATCAGCCGGGCGCTGCTCTCTTTCCTCCCAATCTCCTCGTCGATGACGTGCTTGTTCTCAAAGACCCAGCAGAGCAACCTGACCATGCCGGGGATGTCCTCTAGCAGAGCCAATGTGCGCATGTATGTATGCAGATGAACGGGTGTGACGGTATGCAGAAACCTTGGCAACTGGAAGTTCGAAGAGGACTCAACGGGAGTTGTGATTCTCGCAAATATGGCTTTGACCGTACGCTGCGCGTCATTAAATAGGACGCCCAGCTGCGAGGTGCCCTGGGTGAGAGCCGTTGGCGCTTTCGATGCGGCCGTGCCTGCGTCGACGTCGTATTGTTCTAGTTGGGTCGTCGCCAACTTCTGGATGGTACGGCAGATATAGATGAATATTTCAAGATCAAGACCAATGCGGCGCTCAGCCAGGCGGTTGACATCTAGGATTAGTCTCAACGCCTGAACGTCGTTGGAGAACCGATCTCCGTGGAGCAGCGCAATCTTGGGCCGCGCCAACGCTCTGCATATTATCTGCCAGACCGGGCGAAACGTTGCTCCTTCTGGCGTGTTTGAAGGCAGTCGAAGTTCAGTCAACTTGATGGCCAAGTAGATACGGCCCATTTCGTCTGGCGTTACCTGGTGGCCCTTTCGGCGATCGGGCTGGAACCGGCAAAGTAACTGGATATAGCTCTTGAACACCAGAAGAGGAATTCTTTTCAGCACCGAAGGGTAGTGGGCCTTCTGGGGAGACATGTGAGCAATAGCCTCTGAGCTTAGGGAGCTGTCCCTGAAGTACTGGAACCCCTCTGACATAGACCGAGCATTGGAAACCAAGACTTGTAGGCACATGCCACTGGGTTTGATTCCGCGCTTCAACATGTCATGATACAGCTCCGTCACTGTCGGTGGTGTCAACCGAGCTAGCTCGTATTCGCTATAGTTCTCATGGTGTACAGGAGAAACTTCCCGGGAGTCTCCAGGCAAAGCATCCGGTGAAGCGTTGGAGTGGCTAGCATGAAGCTTTATGAACATCTCGGTGTAGATTTGGAGCGTGGGCGATGTAACTGTGACCGAGTGAAACATCCTCCAAGCCTCCTGAGTATTTCGAGTCGCGCGGATTCTCATAGCCCATTCCGTGAAAAAGTTATCCGACACCTTATCACCCTTCCACTCTTTGGGTGCTAGGCTTCGAGTTTGGATCGTGGGAGTTCCCCTTGCAGACCCGCCACCCAACACATCCAAGGCCCGATCATATTCGTCTTTTTCGTAACCGGCCTCTGCAACTAGAGCACCAGACCTCACAGCCCGTGATTGGTCGTCTTCGGGGGTCCTCTGTGCATCATGCCCGTCGAAGTCCTGCCGGTATGGTGGCCAAGACTTGGCATACCTCATGGCGACTTTCCTTTCAGCTGCTGACTTCTTTTGTGCAACCAGGACCTTACGGATGGCTCGATAACTCATCAGGTCGATGATGAGCGGGCGCTCCATGGCGTCGGACATGGACAAGAGCATTTTCTGTGCCCTCCAGTTGAATTCCATATGATACAAAGGTTGCGAGGGGGCCGGTGAGCTAAAAAGAGCCAGCGCGTTGTTAAAGACCTTGCAGCGCTTATGATAGACGTTTGGACCCTTGGCCAAACCCATGTTGCCAATGTAATCCTGCGTGAGTTGCGCAAGTGTCACAACCGCCCTCGGCCAGACTTTTTGTACATGGCGCAGCAATCGGCGGAGCAGAAATAGGAACAAGTTGACCGACAAAGCGAACTTGCGCTTGGTGGGCGGTATATTACCATCTCCGCCCACGCTGCTAACGGAACTCGAGACATAGTGTTTACTGATGTAATCCAGGAGCCTCCTCAGTGACTCTGGGGAGCGGAGAGGTGTACCAGCCTGTAAGATAGTCGTGAGGAGAAATAAAGGCTTTGGGACATCGGTGGATACCAGGCGCAAAATCCGAGCGTCGGTATCCTCAGCAGACAGGATCCAAACCCAGTGGTCAATATCGGTCTCCTGCCAACCTCTCGCCCCCAAGCTGTTCAAGCGGTCTCTCAACGAGTTGCGATCAGAGGTGCTCACGATGGCATGCAGGCCCCGTTCGCCGCGCAGGTCCTCCTGCATCAAGAGCTTCTGGAAGGTGACGATGGGGAGTCGCTCGTTCTTCAGCCTTGCAGCGTGCCTGAACAGGTGGCCGTAACGTTTTCTCTGATCGGTGGGTTTCTGCCGCAGGCGCAGGGCAAGAATACGGGAGGGCATCGATCCGACATTAGGGTTGCGGTGACGCCTCGTGCCGGTCAGCCGTGAGAGAGTCTGGGCCACAGCCTTCGGGGTGGCCCAGAGAGACCCGGCCTTCCGAGGCACCAGCAAAGCATGGCTGCTCATGGTGGAAGATGTGTGCTCAAGCGTCGGTCTGGATAATTCTGCACCGGCCAGTCAGCAAGCATATACAGGCATGCATGGCGCTCTACTTGCATCTGGTGCCAGGGGCCTAAGGGGGATGGCAAGGACGCCAGAAGGGCAGCTCCAGGAAGCAAGCATGCGCGCAACCAGCGGCGGCATATTTTCCTTGCAGTGAACGAGCGGCACTCAATGGCACATCCAAGAGCTCCTTCACTCACAGCGTACCATTGTGGCACTCGGGAATCGGGTCGCGACGGAGGCGGCTGTCGAGACGGGTCGAGCTCTCCCTCCCAGCTCCGAGGTGCCAGGCCGGGATCAGGATCTTGCAAAGCGCCTCCGGTTTTACAGTGGAGCAGCTGGCGATAAAGGCTGCTGCAGGGTCTTATCGCCGCCCCTGCAGCCAGCTACCCGCATCCGGGCTAGCCCCGGGAACATACCGCGGTGCTGTGGACATACAGTAGCTCACTTGATAGTAGGTTAGTTTCCATTAACTAATTTTTCGGCGCTGGTCTGGTCAGGTCACGGTTGCATAACATAACATGTGCCAGCCAACTTGACGACGACGCAACTTGATCCTGCCGAGCGCCTTTCTGTGCTAGTATCCAAACACAGATCCTTGAGAAATATACTTCATCCAAGTAGTATTCGAGGTACCGCCCGCGCCGTCCATGGCGCAGCAACCGTCACAATGCGCCGCTCTTTCCACAAGATAGCCGCTCCGGTCACTCGGACTCGACAACTGCACACGGGCTTGCCCACACCCCGGCCCCAGCGCTGCTTTCACCAGAGCACCCTCTCGGCCTCCCCCCGGAAGCGCAACTTCTTCACGTCCAACCAGCTCCTGTCCAACGCCGACGGCAGACCGGACCCGCCCGAAGGCACGTCTCCCGTGGACGAGGCCGCCTCCCGCGCCCGGCTCGCCGGCCCCGCAGCCAAGCGGAAGACCGCTCGATCTCCGGTTGCGAAGAAGAAGATCCGCGCCAGTGCCCTGACCGGCAAGTCAACGGCCGGCGGTGCCGCTGCAGCAAGGGGCACCTCGGCGGCCGCTGCCGCTGCTGAGGATGATGCCGATGATGCCGATTACACAAACACATTCAGGGCCATATGTGTCGCCCGGTCCTTCGACATGGAGGCGGTGCAGGACATCCTGAAGGTCCAGGGCTTCAACATCGACCCGGACAATGCCGGCCTGGACAGCAACGATGTTGTACATGCCAGGTCATGGAATAACGGAGACATATTTGTCTTCAGTTCCGGTACTGTGGTCGCGTGGTCCGTCCCCACAGATGCTATCGTAACGCTGGCCACCAAACATCTGCTGGGAGCTGCTCAGTTTCCCCACGTCAACGACCTAGAGCTGGAGGATCTGCAGTTCTCTGTCGACGAAACCCGCGACAATTGCTTCATCAGGGACGAGGAGGTCGTTCTCGGCACGCGGGACTATGCAACACACGAGAGGAAACTCGACGTCACCATGGCCAAGGTTGCCTTCTCCATGGGACTGGCCCGAAGCACCAAGCTGGCGGTCTTGGAGAACAAGCTGGACGAGTTCGCTGAGAATGCGAGACCGATAGCCCAGACGTTGGCGGACGGCTCTGAGCTGTCACAGTCGCGGCAGTTTATTGTGAAAAAGACGGGCGAGATCCTAAGCCTGCGATCTCAACTCAATACCTATTCTGAGTTAACAGACAGTCTCCCCGACATCTTCTGGGACAAGGAGTCAAAGATTGAGACCTACTACAACCACATCAGCAGGATACTCGACGTCCATCCGCGTATCAAGCAGCTGAACACCAAGATGGATTATGCTTCCGAGGCAGTAAGCGTCATGCGCGAGATGTCAAGTGAGAAGGCAGGCCATAGATTAGAGTGGATCATCATCATTTTGATCACGGTTGAGGTGTTATTCGAAGTCCGGAGGATATATCGTGAGGAGTGTCTAGAGGGTGGTGGAGAAAAAAAAGCATCGTAGGATATAGACCATTTGTTTGTAGCATGAATGATACCCAACTCTTCACCTTCGACCTCAAGATTCCAGCTGCAACCGATGACGGCGCGAGCGTCTCAATATATGCGACTCCTTCTACACCGGGTGCATGAACCCTGATAGAAATCCAAGAACGCCGTCCGTATCATCTAAAGCGCCTATCCTCGCGACATCTTCCTAGATATTAATCAATTGCTCTCTAACAGCCCGCGGGGCTCACTTACATTGGTCAGGTCTTACGATCACCAAACAGCCACCCTCTGGGTCCACTCCGTAAAATGAATAAGCGTGGCCATGGCCAGAGTTATAGCTGTCATCATCGACATATGTTTTGAACAAACCTAATGCCAAAACTTAGCTCGATGGCTCGGCCATTTGGATCTTGTATGACCTACATTTCATCTTCCATTTTCCCGTAACAGGTGTAAATACTTCAGGGATCTGCTCCTGCTCAATCTCCGTACGTGATCCTGATAGCACAAGAACAAGGTTGATAACACTATCCGCGTCCGAATCGGGTGGTGTAAAGTGACGGATAATTTGATCCAACGACTGGGCAAGCTTGGACTTTCGTCAGCAGGGGGGACTTCAGTGTTCCGTCCATACTCACCTGGCTTAAACGCGCAGCCGCAGCCTTATGCCTGATGTCACCGGCGAAGATAACGAGGTGCCACCGTGAGTCCGCCGGTAACGCTCTGACCAATTGCATGGCGCGGGCGTCACAGAACCGGACGACTTGTGCGGCAGGGAACCGCATCCCGACCGTTAGGCCTTGCGCGAGGGACACGTCGCTTGTCGCCGACGAGACGATGATGGAGTCATTGTACTTGAGCGCCTGCCCAGCCGTGTAGCGGCCGGCTTTGACAAAGTGCTGCTGGAACTGCTCAGGGGTGATGTTGTGCTCCTTTCGATAGGACGACGAGAATAGTTTGGACCAATAGCGATCGAACTCGATCAGCTCGGTCGCCGTCTTCTCCCGCTCTGAGACATACGTCTCTATTAACGTGGGGTCGGCGCGGCCCCGCAGGACAGCCGCCAGCTTCCAGCCGATGTTGTAGCCGTCTTGCAGACTGACGTTCATACCTTGACCTGCCTTGGGACTATGGGTGTGGCAGGCATCACCAGTCAGGAAAACGCGGTTGTTCTTGGTGAAGTAGTCCGCACGCCGCTGCCCGATCGAGTAGACGGACCACCACGCAGTCTCCACGATGTCCATCGTGTAAGGGCTAAAAATCCGTCTCGCGCTATCGTGGAGATCCTCCAAGGACAATGCATCGGCCTGGGCGTTCTCGATCTCAATATAGAAGCGCGCAAGACTGTCGCCTTCTCGTGGGATAATCATGAGGTTGCCGGCATCCGAGCTGATGGCTGCCTTCTTCCGTATATCCGGGAAGTCTGTCCGCGGGTATACATCCATTACACCCCAGACCGCGTTGGTGCTGTCGCCGATCATTTTAAACCCCAACGACTTGCGGACAATGCTATGGGCTCCATCGCAGCCCTGGACGAGGATGGATTCAGATCAGAATAACTGTGCGGGAGGGTCATGAACTTACCAGTACGTACTTGGCCCGAAAAACATGTTCGACTCCGTCTTTGGCCGCTGTTACAGAAACACAATGTGCCTGAGGGTCTTGTGCCGCCACACTATCAACCTCCACCCCCTTGACATCAAAGCCATACTCGATGCTTGACTTCCCGGAAACCCTCTGCGCTTCCGCAGCAAGGAGAGCGTTTATCCTCGCCTGGTTCAGAATGACATGAGGCTGGTGACTGATCCCAGGCTCCACATCCGCTGCGTAATGGGTTCGCTTGATACCACCGGCACCGTCGGGTGCCCAAAAGGCGAGCTCGAGCACGTGGTATGCCTCCTTGAGCAGGTCTTCAGAGAGACCAAAGCTCTCAAAAACCTCGACCGTCCTACACTGCACCCCGTCGGCTTGGCCCATCTCCAGAGGTCCGGGCCGCCGCTCAAGGATCTTGTACTCAATGCCGCACCGTGCAAGCCATACGGCAGCGCAGAGGCCGGCCGAACCTCCGCCGCAGATGAGCACATCTACCTGAGTCGCCATACTCATCGCCCTCGTGTTTCAAAAGAGCCGTCGAAAGTTCCACCGCCCCACACGTTTTTCATGGATAAAACAATTAAGCTTGATAATCAAGACTTGGGGCTCGACCTTCATTTATATAACAAGCAATGGGGCTTTTTATAAGATTCCAGCGAGCAAATATGCGGCCCTCAGAGTCCCCAAAATCCCACGCCAACAGTCTTGAGGAGTCGGTCATCATCGCCACAAGTTCCCCATTGTGCCGGACCCCTAAGAAAGGCACTCCGGGGCAATACCGAAGCAGATAAGCGCGAGCGAGAGGCCGAAGACGCGGGGTGCGGGGGATGTGGGGATATGGGGATACGGGACACCGGGACACGTAGGATATGCGCGGGATCACAAGGCAAATTAACCTGGGTATTTACATAGTCTTGCCGCCCTGGCAGTCCCCCACGGCTCCTCCGGGGGTTGCGAACCAACTCCCTATTTCTGCATTGCTATGTCTGCGGTAGTTATTCACGGCATACAAAAGCAAGTCTGGCGTCCAACAGCGCATGTATTTTCCCCCGTAGCCCAGCCTGACTCATCAATCAGGGTTTTATTGATTCTCAGTGCCTGACAGATCTACACCATGATTGAGCTGATACATTGAGGTCCTGTAGTTGCCGGGCGTGCATGCCTTCAAAAGTATAGCCGCCCGCGCTTGGCCTGTTCAGCCTTCCCCTTGGCTTGGACATGGCAGCCTCGGAACTGATGATCGGCGTCAGCTTGGCCTTGTTCGCAAATTGGAACGGGTTGGACATTTAATCTGTAGGGAGAAGCAGCAAGGACGCTAGTCTGCTACATCAGCGAGAGCCCTAAGGAACGGAGCCAGCGAAGCGGCGGAGGTACACAAACCCCTTGTAGGCGAACAGAAGTGGTGATGGGACCTATAAGCAGAAATTGACGCCTCACGGTAGATGTTCCAGCTTAATTTCCGTCCGCGTCGTGCACTGGCCTAATTTGGCAATATATCTATTGTCTCATCATGTCTTCTGACGTCAGCGGGCTAGAGTTCCCCGAGGCAGGGTAGACTCACCGCAAATCGCGGATGGGGGCATCGGTTTCACAAGGAGATCTGGTTGGTATATCTTCTGACACGTTGCCAGCCACGTTTGGTCTTCTTTTCTTCTAATATCGTATGTGACGCTCTTTTATAATTTGGGCTCAAATATCTACCACACGTATCTAAAATGGACATTTTGATGATCTGTCAGATCCTTGAAATCCGTATCTTCATGCACCCGCTCTCCTGCTGTGCTGTCAACCCGGTCACGGCGGCAGTTCTCCCAATAACAATAGGCCGCGTACATGGCAATTGTGATGATGGAAAGCACATAACTCCCCAGGATGGCCCCTGTGCCTAATGGGTACAAAGGGGCTTGGTCGGCCTTGAAGAAGTGCGGTGCAACTATGTTGGACACTAGTACAGCTGGTTAGGCGCTGCATAAACTGCACATACGACTGATCAAGAGTCAACTTACGACAGTAAGCGATGAAAATTATTGCTTGCACTGTGACCTTTTTGGTATGGCCGGCGATGTTGGTCACATTCAGGGCCAACATGACAATATATGGTCCGAGGAAGAACTTGGCCATCCATAGAGCTGCTAGTCGGCCCCCGACGGCCGATTGAGGAAGGGTGTAGAGAAACACGGAGGCGATCATGCCGACAAGTTCACCTGCGATGATGATTGGAACACGGCATTGCAGCTTGGGCCACTTGCGTGTAAGGTACCAAACGCCGCCATTACACAAGTAGGCCGAGATTGTGGCAACGACGCCTTCGGGCATTGCTAGTAAGAGCGCGTTACGGGAGTTATATCCTAGACCTTTGATGATCAGACTCTGGAAATCTAAGGGCCATAGTAAGTAACATTCCACGCGCACTTATCCAGACTTCTCCAGCTTACTTGTTAGAGCGCCATTAGGGATACTACAGAAGATGTTGAAGGCAAACATCAACCACGTCTTCGGGTCCTTAAAAGCCTCAACGACCTGGTCTTTCTTGAAAGTCTTGTTCTCGATGCCGGTCTGGTTGGCTCGTAGGCGTTCTACGGTGATTGCCTTCTCACGCTCGGTGACGAACTTGGCTCGGGCCAAGTTGTCTGGGAGGAAGATACCTAGTATCATGGACCACACGAGAGAAATCGAACCGAGGATGACGAAGTACCAGCGCCATTGGCTGCCCCCTGCGATTGCTCCGACGCTGTATTTGTCAGTGACGGGTGTTTTCTGCCGTCTCAGTAGAGGACGTACCCGTAGCCGACAGGCCCCGGAAGGAAGACAGAGAGGTTCGTGTACATTAAACCAGACCGCAAAGCTTGCTCGCTGGCAGATTGTCAGTGCTGACCTAGCTTAGCTGATTGAATAGAACTCACTTGCGAGTGTACCACATCGTTAACATCAAATATCCTCCTGGAATGATTGGCGCCTCTAGTAGTCCCAGAAGTACGCGGAGTGTTATCATGGCTGCAAAGCTATGGCTGTATGCAGTTGCTATGAGGATGATACCCCACACTAGATGGTGTCAGTCGGCATCCATCCTGTTTTGCTAGGGGGTATGGTAATGCACACACAGAAAATAACACCAGACATCAATTTCGCAATCGGAAGTTTCTGCACTGCTCAGAGTTAGCGGACTTCATTTGATCAAAGCCATGGAGGGTGCCCGTGTATCAAGGCTCCCCTATGAGCTTACTCCAAGAGGTGTCATCGCGGTTCCCAGAAGGAAGGAGTGGGTGTTGCTCACATAACGAGGCGGCAGGGAAGCACCAGAAGAGGTAGCCGAAGTAAAATGCACTGCCAAGCCAGCTATATCTGTCACCTGTAGAGCCAGTGTCTTCCCTCATGCCATACAGCGCACCGGTCGAGGTCGCGACCTTATCGACAGCTCCTAAGATGATGTTGAACCAGAGGATGGGGATCAGTCTTCTATCGATCTTCCACCGTAATGAGATCTCTTCCTTCCGGGAGTAAGGTTCATGTTCGTTGAAATACCCGGTGTGTAGGCAAGGGCGACATCATCCTGCTTGCTTGCATGCAATGGCTTGCCCTCTTCGTCAGTGATACGTGCTGGCGTTTTGTGGCCTGGAGAAATGATATCTGACATATTGGATTGATGCCTAACACAATGTCTGACGGTAAAAGCATCTATGGCTTATAGTCAGTTTCTGATAAAGCCGAATCCATTGCCAATGGCGGAGTGATAAATATAAGTGTTTTCGCTGTTGCCAGGAATCTAACCGGTAGGCCAATCCGGATGGCTTGAACTGGGGTAGAACCACATCGCCGGGACTCAGTTACGGCCAAGTCACTAGGCACAACAACGACCCTACCGTCCGCGGGCCTCAACGCTTATCTCTAGTTGAGCTTGACTGAGCGCGGAGAGTTCGAGCCGATAGGAGCACGCGGTGAACTTAGTTGCATTGGATCATCGTAGCCAATTAAGCGGGTCCGTATACTGATATGGCTGGGGGCTGTCGGTCGGGGCCCGACTCCTAGCGTCCGAAACTACTATCGCGTAGACTGGGGGTACCAGTCGTCACGCGGGAAATACACGGGAACAATGATTTCCTAGCCAATGAGGTAAGTCATGACCTGCCCCTGGCCAACACCATATCGTGGCTGGTGGACGAGCCTAAGGGTGTAGACTAGCCATCGCATCACTCAGTGACGTCCGGAAAGCTTGGCGGGTTTAATCCAAGGATTGACGCGGGATACGTTGGAAAAGAGTCACACGAAAGGTCTCATCAGGATATCGCAGGCAGTCAGTGTTTGAAGCAGAAATTTTTGGGATTGCTAATTCTCAGCATTTGATGTCAATAACTCGAATGATGCAAGTGAAGTCATCACCTGATACCAATAGAGACGTTACTACCAATGTCCTCTCCCCTCTTCATTCCCCCCCTGATGTCTATAATGACATCTGCGAGCCTCTGCACGCCGGATTGAATCTCGTCTTCTTCGTGCCAAGCCCAGCAGAGTCTAATGCACCTTGCGAAGCCGCCTTTTTCTTCCGCTCGTGAAGTACTCCCGTGATCACCCGTAACAGTGAACATGTGCCCAAAGGCAACACGTAGCTGATAATCCTGAAATGCCACAGCTGCCACTATCTTGGCGGCCGGGAGGTCCTCTGGGAGGCTCAGGTATGTGAAGAAGCCACCTGCTGTTGCAGTTGTCGCGTCTGCTGGTCTGTTGACCTCAACCTTCATGCCTAGTGGTACTAGAAGCTCATTGATAGCTTTCATGAGAACATAATAGCGTTTCCGATATGCAGGAATCAATGTGTTGCTGATGAATTCCTGCATATATCCACTGCGTAGCATCTTGTCTACGAATGTCGAAGTGAGATGCGCCGGTTGGCCACCGGAACTTGAAGAGCCGCTGATTGTCATATAAGTCAGCGTATTTTGGGTATATGAATATATGAATATATGAGAACTTACACTTCTGCCAGCTCTAGCACCATCGCGGGAGAGCAATCAGCCCAGCCGACTCTTACACCAGGCCCTATCACTTTTGAGAACGACCCATTGCTAAGAGTATTTCCCCATTTCGTATAGCCAGGCATGGCTCGATCGATATCGACCAAACGTGGAGGCACCTGAGAGACTGAATCATGTGGTGCAGACGAGTCTTCCGGCCACTGTAAGAAATCATAGACGTCGTCCGAGACGATCAATGCGTCAAACTGGCGAGCGAGCGCAACTAGATCTTGCCGCATTCTCAGCGACAGCGTCTTTCCACTGGGATTTGAAAATGTCGGAACGAGATAGATGAAGTATTTGTAAACTTTTGGATACGTGCGACCGGTCTTGATGGTCGGGGCCGTTTCAGTCGCGACAGCTTCGGCTGCCTCGAGCTCGCGTCGTAGAAACTCAAGGTCCAAACCCTCCTTGTCGTCCTCTGGTACTCCACGCAATCTTCCTTGAAATCCATTGTCTTCGAAAATTGGACAGGCTAGGAAATATGTCGGTTCTACCATGAATATCTTCCTCGTATATATCGGATCTGAGAACTTCAGCAACACGTTCGCTAGATTTCCGGAGGCTCCGTTCGTGACGCATATTCTCTCCTTAGTTGTAGGCTGGCTCGATGTATAGACTGAGGAAAGCCATTCCGCAATGCTTTCTCGCAAGGGTGGGTGTCCTGCATGAGGTCCGTAGATGAGAGCTGCTGCGCTTTCTTTGTCGGATGTCAGCACTTCTTGGGCACCTTTCAGTAAGCCCTCCTTCGCAAACAACCGGGGACTCGGCCAGCCAAGCTGTAAGTTGATCAACGCTCTTGCGGGTCCCTCTGAAATAGAACCCATTGCGACGGTGGCTGTGGTTGTTGTCCGTTCTGGGGCTATAAATCCTCTACTAGCTGGAGACTTCTCACCAGCGAGCTTCTGTTCTGTTGAAAAAATCCGCAAGCACCAACGCTGGTTCCACAAGAATAGGAATGCAAAGGCCGCATCGAGTCGCAAAGGCCACGAAGTTGACGAGTAGAAGCTCATAATGAACTAGTCCATCATGATGGTCACATAAGTTGCCATCTATGTATGTAACCCGCCAACCCCACCTACCCCGGAGGGCCGGCACCAGGGGTGGATAGGACAGGCCGTATCAGCCCCACGGGATCCCCGAAGCACCTAGCATCGGGCGCTAGGAGAAGCTGCCCGAACGCATCGCCGCCGAAGGAGCGATACCATTGGTGTCGCAATGCTACTTCATGGCGTGCAAGTTTTATGAAACTGGGATCATAAAACTAGTCGCAGACGAGATGTGACGCGCCGTTCGGAGTCGGGGCTTGGCCGAGGCTTGTGTCCAGGGATCGCTATATGAAAAATGCCGAGACCTGACGTCCGTCGTCGGGCACACATACTACGACATATTGGAAGTTCAGTTATTGCTGGGCATTCATCTGTAATCCATTGTCCTTCTATTTTTGACGACTTGGACAGAATATTTGAGACAAGATGGCCCAGAAGTACGCAGATACGCAGTCTGAGATAGACGCCTTTGCAGCCGAAGTTAAAGAAATTCAAGAGTGGTGGCAGACAGATCGTCAGAAGCACATCCAGAGGTATTGCGCTGGAGATGCATGGTATCTGTGCTGGTTCGCTAACGATAGTAGACCTTATACGGCAGAGTCGATTGCAGCTCTTCGTAACATTGGCTTCAACATCGAGTATCCATCCAGCGTACAGGGGCGGAAGCTCTGGCGCATCCTGAATGAACACAATGCGAGGGGGACTTATGATCTGACCTTTGGGACGACTGATCCACTAATCGCAAAGGAGATGCCCAAAGCCGGCGGTAAGTTGCAGCTGTGCCCATGGCAGCGGCCGTTTGATATTGACGGCAAGAACAGTGCAAACCGTGTATGTTTCCGGTGCGCTCTGCGGTCTATCGCAAGCCGCCTGGCCCGGTGCAGACCATGCGGACTACCCGGCTGATCTGGTACCTTCGGTTGTCAAACGCATACTGAACACTCAATTGTTCCACGACCAGCGTCAAACACAGCTGCGTATGCGCTACAGTGAAGAAGATCGCAAGTCCTTGGAGAACCTCGACTACATGCTTCCAATCGTTGCTGACGCAGACATGGGATTCGGAACACTTACTGGCTGCATGAAACTGGCCAGAAGCTTTGTGGAAGCTGGTGTTGCTATGATTCATATTGATGACTTGGCTCTTGGGTTGAAGAAGTTTACCAATGGTGAGGGGAGGAGTATTGTATCGACAAAGGAGTATCTGGATCGGTTGACCACGGTCCGAATGACATTCGATATTATGGGGTAAGAGAATATATATACAGTAAATCCTCGTAACTATGTGCTAACCTTACTGTTCGCAGAGCCGATACCATGTTGTTATGCCGGTGCGATAGTGACAGTGCGGAATTCATCACTAGGTATGCTGGATACACCCGAAGGAAACAATTCTCCACAGCTAAAACCATTATTCCAGTGTCATAGACCCTCGAGACCATCCGTATGTATTGGGAGCTACCAAGAAGGTCCTTTCCTTCAACCAAGCGCTTGATGATGGCAAGCAGACAGACAAAGATTACCTGACGGTCAAAGCAGAATGGAAGGTGGCAGCCGGCTTGATGACATTCGACGACGCTGTTAAGTCTATCGCCACCGAAGAGCAGTTCAGTTCCTACATGTCTGAAGTCAGCGATAAGATCGTGGCTCTTCAGGGACGTAGAGCCATTGCGAAGCGCATAACAGGTCAGGAGGTTCACTTCGACTGGGAGCTTCCAAGACTTCCAACAGGCCAGTACATGTGGCAATGGTGCATCAAGGCTGTTATCGATCGTTGCATTCTGGCGGCCCCCCTCGGCGATGTAACTTGGAGCCGACAAGGTAAGTGAACCGCCTCCATACTGCATGCACCTATGCTGACCAATTACGAACGCAGACAAGCCAAGTAAGCATAATCTTCTCATCTTCATTCATGGTTTCGAACTGATAAACTGTTTCAGACAAAAAGGACATGCACGACTTCCACACCAGCGTGCGGAAAGTTTTTCCCAACAGACTCTTTGCTTTCGGCTACACAGGTGCTTACGAGTACACCAAGAACGGGTACACGCAGGAAGAGGTGGAGTCTTTCCCTGCAGATATCGCCAAGATGGGTTGCGTGTGGCAAGTCCAACCAATCTGGGCCACGCAAGGGCTAAGCCTACATGCCAAAGAGTTCGCGGAGAGCTTCAAGAAGGGCGGCATTGCCTGGTATATGCGCGATGTGGCGGCGCCGGCTCGAGCCAAGATGGCTACGGACAAGTACGGCAAGCCTCAAGCCAGAGGAGACTACCTCGCCGATGCGTTCTTCGATGTCGTTGCAGGGCTTGACATTATAGAGCAAGCGTAGACGTAATTGGATGAGGAAAGTTAGACTATCAATTCTTTTTTATAATTATATGTGTGGACCCCTCAGAATGAGCCATCGTCGAATATGCCAGGGAAACCCAGATCTGGGTAATCAAAATTATTGGAGTCGGGCTCCCCAAGCTCTGGCATGAAGAAATGTGGTGTGATCGGCTGGAAGATGTCCCCAGTCATCGTCGTGTGCAGGGAAGACGCGTCGTTGTCAGGGCCATGATGTGGTCCATCGACGTCGGTGCCATGATTTGGCGATATATTGTACCTCGCTGACCGAGGAAACTCGTCAGATGCCATTTCCTTGATCATGCGTAGAGTGTCCCGGTGAACTACAATCGTTTCAAGATGGGGCAAGTTGGTCAGAAGTGAGCTGGCAGACTCTGGTCGTATCCTCCGGCTCGGCATCTCCCCTGCCGGGCCGAATGGATCAGCCACCGGAACCTCGCGAGCCAAAATGTCAAAAGTATCCCGCAGATATCTTGCCTGCGTCCAACGCTCGGCCAGAAGCGAGAGTATTATACTACATGCTCGGACTGCCTCAGGCACATCGACTTCCTTGAACGTAGGCGACCTAACGTCTGGTGGTGTGGCAAAGAAGCAATATAGAAGGGCAACACCAGACTTGAACTGTGCGATTAGAGCCAAATATGCTTCGCTCATCGTCATCGTGGTTTTCTGGAATCTCCGGAATATCAAGCATGCCTGCACACAAGATCGGACGGTCCAATCCCCTGCAGGTCCCGACACGTTATGTTTGGTCGGGCGGTACAGCATCTGAAGACTATAGTTGTAGATCATGTGGAGCCATTCGCTCTTCGTGGCCTCACTCCCTAGGTCGTATCGAGATCGATCTGTGTAGCGATGGCATAATGATTTCCACCTATCCAGCTTCTCGAGAATCCGAAGTCGCCAGTTGAGTTGAGATTCCAGCTCTTTGGCAAAATCTCGGTGGAGCGTGGTGTTCAGGATCTCTGACTGAATCTGCCGACAGAAGACAACATGAAGTGCTGCGGACACATTGGTTTGACTGGGTTGACTCGGTGGGTCGTCGGGGAAAGAGGCTCTGCACCTGTCATCCAAGTCGGTATCATCGATGTTTGCGTACATCTTGACATTAATCTGATAATCAGGTATCGAGAACGGGAGGTCGAACATGGTACCAACAACGCGATCCAAACCGTAGGCAGACCAGAAGACGCGACGTCGCATTTGTATCCGTATCTTGTCCTCTGGGTTGATGGATTCGGGCTCGGCGTCTGCCAGATGTAGCTGAGCCATGACACAGTAGCGCATGGTAGCCGAGGCAATGGAAATGATTCTTTCAGACGATGGCGAGTACAGCGCATGCATCGCCAAGAGCAGGTAGGCCTGGATATGGAGTAGACGGTCAGGCTGCGCAAAGACGTGTGACAGATACCGTGTCACGGCCAAGCGGTGAAAGGCCTGGTGTTTCTCCTGTGGTATATGTACATCACTGTTCTTGCTCACTAGGAGGCCGATTGAGTAGATCATATTCATGAAATACCCAATCCAATGATCCGTAGGTCGTCGTGCGGGATCGCGCAGGTGATGCAGTCGTAAGAAGGGATACCTGCTGTGAATCTTGCCATTGTAGAGCTCAAAGAGAACTTCTTCAGTGAACCGGTCTATAGGCAGTATCCCGAAGGACTCATCAGAACTGCATCGCTGTCCATGTGATTTACTTGCGAGGTCGTCCCGGAGGTTCACAGGGCTCTGAAGTAAACCGGCTGTGCCTTGATCTCCTTCAGAACGAGCAAACGTTGCTAGGAGACCGATGGCTGGAGAGCTACGGTTCAATGAACCGTTCCGCTCAGTTCGACCGACATGCTGAGCAGCTCTGTCCCCATCGAAGGTGCTGCCATTCGAGGCGTATCCAGGGTTCGAGTACTGTGTCGGTGCAATCTCACTCTCGCGAGGCCCAGCGCCTGGATGGTTCTCTCGGAATTGCGACCTCTCAAGACGAGCCACCCGCTCCTCTAGTGATGGAAGACCTGTTGCCCAAGCCAATGACACAGGTGTTCCGACGGTTCTTCTCAAGCTCAGCATAGGGTTATTTTCTATAGCCGGAATTACTCACCCATTTGTAAAGTGAGGAAGTCGTAAGCCAGCCTCAACACATTCCTCGCTCGACCTCTGGCAATTTGCACATGGCCGCTGGTTATCACATTTCTGCTTCCTTCGCCGGCAGCGAGCACAGGCGAGTGTCTTGAGCCGCTTTGCAGGTGGTTCTTCACCAGGATTACCGATAATATCAACTGACAGGGAATTGGACGACATCATAAGCAGTTGGTGAGGGGTCCTAGACAAACACAATCGAGTATAACCTCAGCGTCGGTTGCAAAACCCCGCGTTTGACATTGAGCAACATTACTGCAAATATGCTACATCAATGTGAGTAACTAGTTGAGGTTATCGCAACTTGACTCGTACGGTTGGAAGAGCATCGGAGCAAGTGCGACTCGTAACGCAACCCTGCGCCGCTATCAAACCCCACCGACCGGGGTTATAGAGCGCTAGTGAAGTGCGCTGAGAAGGCCGAGTATTGCTCCAGTATCCACTGAATCTTGGTTGGCAAGGATCACCCTTCACTCGCTAAGGTTGTCTGTCACTCAAGTTTTAACTTATTCAAGCTTATGTAAACCGTTGACTTATCTCTCGTCAGTTCCGTCGTAGCCGTTGCCTATTCACACTATAAGTCAATTACAGCTTAAGTCAGTCCCTGCTATCGTGAACCACGACACCACCCACGATGGTCAGCACCGAGTGGAGCTGCTTGAGTTGCTCATCAGGAACGGCGAAGTAGTCGTCACTGAGGACGACGATGTCGCCCAGCCGTCCCACCTCCAGGGCGCCCAGGATATGCTCATCCGGCCCGCCAAGGAACCACTGGTTCGCCCGGGTGTACAGCCGCAGGAACTCCTCGCGACTGATCTGCTGGCCCTCGTTGATCTGCTGCCCGAGCGCGTTTCTGCCTGTGGTCGCATAGTACGCGTGCACCCACGGGTTCATCGGCGCAATCTGCATGCCGTCGGCGCCGATCCCGGCCGGGATGCCGTTGTCGACAATGGTCCTGAACGGCGGGCCCGCTTTGGGCCCGCTGCCCGCTAAATACTGCCAGCCGGACAGGTTGACGCCCCCGCCGAGCTTCCGGAGGCGCTCCAGGTACTCTTCCGTGATCTGCGGGACATGCGCTACCACCCAGCGCAAGTCCGTGATGTCCTGCTGCGCGTTGATGTTCTCAAAGGCTTGGATCTGGGTCTGGAAGTCCGTGTTGGTAAGGGAATGGACTTCCAGGCGCCAACCAGCGCGGGCAATGCGTCGAGCGGCTTCTTCGAACACCGGGCCGCCCGTATAATTCGCAGTGATGAACTCGCCAATGCTGCCAGTCCGAATCATGTCGTTGCCGAAGAACCTGAACGTGTTGAGTAGGCGTTGCTGCACTGTCGGCACGTCCAGCGTGTCGTCCATGTGCAGGAAGTTGATGCGCAGGCGGACGATGCCCTTCGCGTCGTCGTACACCGATAACCATGGCAGATGCATAGAGTATAAGTCCTCGCTCGCGGCACCGTCGGAAGGAGTCCCTGTAGCTGGGAAGGCCCCCTGGTCTAAATGGGTGGTCACGCCAAGTGATGCAGCATATGCCATGGCGTCAGTAACACCGCGCTTGCGATCGTCGAAGGTGAGCTGTTGTCGCAGAGCGAGCAGAGCCTTGCCGTTGTCTGTACCGGAAGCGATGTTCCCTTCGCCGTCTATGACAGGTGGTTGATCGAGAGATTCGAAATAGGCCTTACCAAGACTGTTGGTCACGCCTGGGCCAGCGAAGCTATACGAAATGAATACCGGATGGCCTGGCAGGGCATCGTCTAATTCAGCCAATGTTGGCAGTCTCCTTTCTTGAAACTGGTTTGGATGAAACCCGCCGATGGTGGTCACGAATGAGCCCCCGGGCACATCGCTAGCCCGTGCTCTAAATATCGCCTGGACGTCCGAAACCGAGTACGCGTTTTCCAGGGGCGTGTGGTATCCTGGGCGGTTACCCATCAATACGATGTGATTGTGGCAGTCGATGAGTCCTGGGACGGCTGCGCGCCCTGACAGGTCAATCGACGAGGCATTGCCGCTGAGTAGTTGTGATGCATCCTCTTGGCTATCGCCCACATAAGCTATCTTTCCGTCATGAACGGCCACTACAGAGGCTGTCTGACTGCTGGCGTCCTGTGTGTGAATCTTTCCATTGAATAGCAGCAGATCTCCACGCAGCGTGCCGTCGCGGTACAGTCTTGGGGAATCCTGGTCAGCAAAGGCACCTCCGGCACAATGAAGGCATAGCAGAGCGATGGAAATACCCCAACGCCTCATTGCAAATAAAGTCATGGTGCCGAAGAATAGATCAATCGGACCAAACTAGAGGGTGAAAACAATAGGACTGCGAACGGTAGGTTGTTGGTCGAGAATCCCCGAAACCAGGGATTTTATATACTACCTTGTTCACCACGTCATTGAGCTTCTAATATATGCGCCAAGCCGGGGTAGGGGTTACATTATAGCTGCCAGCCTCGGTCTGTGGTGACTGCTGGACCCGGTAGTCGTGTTCATGTAGAGGTTATAGCGCAAGGTGCAAGGGCCAAATTCGTTTGATCACTACTCGTAATATCATTGACCGAGCCATTGGCTGTACCTCCAATGTCTACTTTTTGCTTCATAAGCATGCTGCGAAGACCTTGAACAGAAGATCGGCAGATCAGGCAAGAAGCTTTTCCCTCCTTCCTCAAACTCCGTTCATATTACCGGACAGGAAACACGCTGTCTATTCATCGTCTTCGCTCTCTTCTTCGTCGCTGTCTTCCTCCTCAGCCTCCTCAAGCCAGGTGACGAGAACCTGGCATCTCTCTCTCACGCCTGCCATCGAATCGCCCTCTGACGATCTGTTGTCTCCCCACCAGCCAAGGATGCCCTCCTCTTCTAGGATCTCCTCATCATACATATGCTGGAACAGTGCAGCACACAAAGTACCAGCCCTTGGAACTTCGAGGACGCGAGCATTGCTGACGCATGCTTTCTGTACCGCAATGGCGAATTCGATTTGCTCAGGCACAGAGCCGCCGCCTACGCCTACTTCCGTGATGAACTCCTTAGCTCCAGCACGTTGAGTCAGTGTGGTCTTGGCGGCCTTGTTTGCGTCAAAACCACCGTTCTCTATATTAGCGAGCTCAACGGCCCGTCGCACAAACGCAGTGGCTATAGCGCGCCGTACAGCCTCATCTGAAGCATTGTTTGCCAGCCGGAGAGACATGAATTCCAACTTCTCCGAGCCAAAGTCGCCACCAGACTCTCCGCGGAGTACTTCCAAGATACCATGCGTAGCTTCGTAATGGAACGTCGAACTGCCGCGAGTTGAATCATCTGATGCAAATGAGTTCATCCGGGATCTGTCTTCTTTACTTGCGGCAGATAGAAATTGTTCATCGTCCGAGTCTTCGAACTCATCTTCTGATGCCAGCGTGGAGACATCTGAATCCTCCAGATCGTGACCGTCCAGGGAGTAGATAAGTGATTTCTGGAGGCGGTAAGGGTCGTCTTCGTCAAGCTCCTCCCAGTCTGGGTCCTTGAACATAGCACCTTTGCCTTGAGGTCCCAGCAGACTTGTGTCTGTAGGCACCGATGTACCCTCGGCCGAGATCAAGGAAAGGATGGTAGACGGAGCCAAGGTGATGTTGTCGCCAACATGGACGCCGGATGCAATCAGACTGCCTCTAGCAACCTTTGACTCCTTGCCGATATTAGCGAATTCCGCAATGATGGAATGCTCGACCACAGCGCCATCCTCGATCGTCGCGTCGTCCCAGATAAAGCTGTCTCGGATCTGGACATTGGAGCCAATGCGACAATTGCGGCCGATGAATGAGTTCCGGATGGTGGTCTCATCGCCGATACGAGTATCTCTCCCAACGACAACATCTGCCAAGTCGCAATCAGTGCCAAAGAGAACATCATCCTCCCTAAAGACGTTGTCATCCCAGCGCTGGTATGTATAACCCTTTACCAGGTTAGTGTCAGGGGCGAATGGGTATGCCCAGCCACCCAGGACGTCTCGACTTATAGCTTCAAACATCTGGAGGTTCGTGGCCCGAGCACTATAGCCTTCGTGCACAATTTCGGTGTGTATCATCTTTCCATTCAACTCGTAATCCTTAAGCACACCGTGGAGGAATTGGGCTCTAGGGAGCTCGTAGTCGAAGCTTTCCGACCACTGGGCGAGGACGTCGGGTGTGCAAATGTCGATTTGCGCGTCGATAAGGTCGCTCCGAATCTCCAGCTCGCGCTCCTTGAGCAGGTCTGGGTCCAAGATGAGATGTTGGTCGGCCTGCAGCGGATGCATCTCCTCAAAGTGTAGACAGCGCTTCGCTCTGGGGTCTACCGCGAACACCGGCGTGATGGCGTTCACTTTGGACTGGTGCTCGCCTTCTCCACCCTCTCTCAGGACCAACGTCATGATGGAGTCGCGGTTTGCTTCCCTCCTCGCCCTGTGCGCCGCCAGAGCTCCATCTAGCGGAACATTGGCTACCAGGTCGCCATGTACGAGCACAAAGTCGCCTTCGATAATGCTGCGACTGTCCAAATCGCGAAGAAAGTCGCCAATCGAGCGGGCGTCGGAGACACGGATGAACTCGAGCGACGAGAAGGGACACGATCTGGAGAGGGTGGTCCACCGGGACTGCCTGATGTAGCTCTCAATCTGCTCTTGGTGGGTCGCGGCGTAAATATAGACCTCCTGAACGCCGTTCATGGCGAGGAATTCGAGAGTGTACTCGATGAGCGGTGTGTTGGCGAGGGGTAGCAGACACTACAGCAGGTGAATGAGTATCTTGCTCGGGCAGGACTAGGCGCAGGAGTTCGGGTCAAGTCGCACTTACTCGTGGCTTCTCTGAGGAGAACGGGGTGAAGCGTGTCTGGAACGAGTCTGCAATCACCTGGTCAAGACGAAATTAGTCTCCTACTCGCAGCGACAGGCCCGGCCGAGAGCATCGTGGACATACCACAGCTTGAAGCACATCTTCGCGCTTGTCTTCAGCGCCGCCGCCAGCAGCCTTGGCGGGCTTCTTGCCCTTGCCACCCTTGCCGGACGACATGGCGGCACGAGGATTGCTTTTCAATGGTGTTCTCGAAGTATCCTTGCGTTTCGGGGAGGCTTCCGTGTCGATTGGGCGCTCGAGAGTGCAGTGCTCGCCAGTTATTGTCGTCTGTGACGTCGCATGTGGGAGGTCGCGCAAGTGTGAGTCAGGCGTGAACTTTTTCGGCACCTGGGGGGAAATTCCACAGCCTTGGAGGGGCACAGCGGGTCTCTCTCACCCACTGAAAATCCGCCAGCCTGCACTGTACATTTTGGTGTGTGAACTGTAAGCGCACAGTGTGTTTCGGCCACTTCAATCGATGTACTTCGTAGTTACAGGTCTACCTATATGCTATGTAGCATAGACACATAACACATAATCACCTCCTGCAAGCCATGCGAGGATCCTTCCCCGTGCAATTGAGAGAAATTTCCCCAGCTGATTGTGTGCATATATCCTGAGCACAGGGATCAATTTGTTTCTGGTATGCTGAATGCCAGAGGAGCCACCGCTACGTACGCCCATCGGAGTGAATAGTCGATTCCATGGCTTGTGGCTTCCAGAGCTCTTGCAACCTCACCTTGATACGTGCAACATTTGGCTCAACATAACAGTCCGCAAACTATCGCTTGCATAGCTTGCATACAGTAGGTGCCTACTTTTAGGTACCCGGCATGTTATGGAGCCCGTGTTTGCTTTTTCGGATAGAGCAACCGAGCAAGCACATGGCCATCTCGCTGATTCTGTCCGGACGGAGACGTATCCATGCTTGTCTCGTCGCAATCTCTAACGCAGGTAGCAAAAGCCGATGCCCATAGGCCCTGGCAGTAATACAGGCCCTTCCAGCCCTACGCCCGCTCATCAGCCATGTCAAATAGGCCAACGCAGCTTTGCCTAGGCCCAATCACGCATCGTGCCTCTTTTGACACCCGCAGGTACCAGGACCGAAGTGGGAGTAAAACGCCAGCGCTTCCGCAGGCTCCGCGCCTTGCGGCTCTCCGGCTCCCCGGTTCCCGAACTCAGCTTCTGAAATGGAGTCGACCTCATGTTTCGTGGCGGACAGATGAAGAGATGTCCAAGCGGATTGGACACTTCAAAGGGAAGCCCAGGTTCATGGGGACCTACAAATGATGCAAATGTAAAACCGAGATCGTTGGCACATCCAGGACACGCTGCCGCAAGCAGCCATCTGATCTCACTGCCAGTTTTCGGAAATAACATTTAAAAACCAACATGGCTGCATCTCCGGTTGAACAGTCGGACCACCGCCCTCGGGCTAAGCTTTCTGGGCCCCCTATGCGGACCGTTCTGGACCCCTCCAACCCCTGCCGGCCTAGGGGGGCCCAGACCACGACCGGCCGTTGCACACCGTTTTCTGCGGCCCCGTGCATTTCGTCTCTTTCTTTTCGTCGCTGCTCGGCGTGCTTTGCGGGTTTCGCGGGCGTGTTGGGGCTTGACTCCTGCCTCGCGTCCTGGGCACACGTATGGGTACCTTGGTCAGTACATACCTACCTAACTTGGGTGCGCTTGGCTGTCGTCCAAGGCCTTGTAAGTAGGTACATACGCCCAAGTATACCCCGTGAACATCTCCGTCCCTGGGTCAAAGTACCCCGAGGTCCCTGGCTCTAGCAGGCTTGGCCCACGTGGACAGCAAAGACTGTCCATGACTGTTAATAACGACGTCGTTGCGGATAGATATGTAGAACTACGCCCTAGCTCAGGTAGTCTCGTTTATTGAAAGCACTTAGTCTCAGAAACTGATAATGACCTACCAACCATGGTACAGTAAAGTAGCCATCCATCCAGGCGGGCCCCGGCCCTGGCAGGGCTACCAAGCTAAACCAAGGCAGTGTCACAGATAGCTGGGAAATCGTATGATCGGGTCGTCAATAGAGTTATATTAGAGGCCAACTTCGCCCTATGCATAGCGCCTCCTCAAGACCGAGGGAAGGGGCCCAGAAGTTAGAACAAGGCTAGAAGCATCCCACGAGTATCTAGTTGATTGGCTTGAGTTCACGGGACCACTCCCAAGGCCAGCCAGCCAGCCAGCCAGCCCCAAGCCCCAAGCCCTGTCTCCCCCCGTTACCGTACCAGTGACTCCGGTGGGCCTCTGGGCGGTGCTTACTTCGTAGGTATAATGGGACATGGTGGCATGTTGCATGCATCCACACACCTGCCTGCGGGCTGCAGGGCACGGTCTGTTGGTCTCGATTGCCGAGTACCGGTAGGGGTCATTTGCTGACGATGGGGACGACCAGGGCCTCTATCTAGATAAGTAAGACCCTGTCTCCCGTTTCCATGCCGCTGCGCCTGCGCGTGTCCGGCTGTTTTTTGTGTGTTGGCGGCAAGAAGTCGGACTAAATTCACCTCTGCTGCCTTCACTGTCGGTATACAGCAACAGCACGTCGTACTCGTACATCGATATATACACCAACAACACAGTGGTGCCTGTCTTCAACACGTTTCTTGCATTGTGTGGTGGCTGGAACGGTGTTGCCATATGTCCTCTAGGCCTACCTAGGCTCGTGACCTCTCGCGCGACTCACCTATTATCGTGTCTGTATATACGAGACGACCCAAGACCGACTTGACTATCGACGCTTGCTACATTTTCAAAACTCCCAACTTGACAAGTGTCGACATCACTAGGTACCTAGTCTTTCAACATCGATTCACCGCCCGAGAGTTCCGATATGGTCACCGGTGTTACCGCCCCGATGGATTTTATTCGGACGTTTAGGCCACATGACGTTGCTTCGACGATATCACAAGCTCGACGCGCGGAAGTCACAACTCGCCCCAAGTGGCGGTGAACGGCCGAGATCATGCCAGTCGGGAAAATCAGGTCACAGTGTGATGAGCATGTTGAAGACCGAAGATTGGAAAAGGGAATAGATACGCATCAAATCTCGACTCATCAGTCATGAGGACAATAGGGAGCCACCAGATCGTTGTCTGTCTTCCCGCGTTGCGTCGGCAACACGAGGCAGGATTGTTTCTTCTGCCGGTTGCGACCAAGCCTCAGACACGTCTCCGGTTTCCCTCCCACTCTTCTCCTGCATTGCCAGTGCGTCGACGCCCTTGGCCGCCTTGCATACGATATACGAGAAGCCAAATGCACTTGGCAATCTTGAGTAACGCAAACGCAAACGCTCTCCGAAGATATGTCTCATCGCTCAACTTCAAGGAAGGTATTTCTCAACAAGGTCAAAGCCATAATTTATTTTTGTCTTTTTCTCCCTTCAGTTCGTACTTTGTCCCTGGCAGTTGCCACGAGAGTGCAGTCACTGTTTTCCACTCCTGCTTTCACTCGACTCACAGCATTCTCTTCAACCAGTCCCGCCATCAACCGTGCGGTACCTGGCTTGGACGAGACTTCCTTCGACTTTTTGTCAAGCCCGGTCTCTTCCCGCCAGTCCTTCGCCATTTGCCCACTCCAACCGGGCCGACTATCTCTACTGATACAACACAAGCCATGAAGAAAGCTCGGGGGTATTTCATGCTCTAATGGTGAGGCTCTAGGTTGCCTCATTTCAGGTGTGCTCAAGCCCAAACGATTCTGTCGTCTGGGCGAGCTTCGACTAATGCCACGCGATAGGAAACTGGAAATCATTACTGCCCAAGATGTTGTCGAACGATGCCGTCCATGGGGGAAAAAAACTCCGAAAGAAAGGTCATGAGAAGTGGTCTAGGGTGATGCAGGGAACCACATATTTACAGTTGAAGAGGCCGGTTGGCCGGAGACGGTCGCTGGCGCCGGTCATTGGCGAAATTGACCCTGAGCGCCGGGCCCGTAGAGGCGTTGTCGCTTCTCGGGTGGTCCGTCGTTTGGCATTCCGTCTGGCATGCGACCTCCTTGGGCGTTCATCATGGCAGGCAGCACTGCGTTCGGGTATCGCGGCTGGGCAGTGCCTCCAGGCGTCATGGGCATTTGTTGTCCACTGCCTGCAGTCAGGTATCCTTGGTCCTGGTTCAAGTTGGGCGACGCATGTGGCAATTGCCCCGGAGAATGCCACGAGGCACTAGTCGATGGCGATTGAATCGGGGTGGTGTCGAACTTGGCCACGCCGGACGATGATGTTGCTGACATAGGGAGATTCATGTTCTGGCTCTGGAAGCCGCCTGGCGTGGGCTGCGGTCCGCCGTTCGGATACATGGTATCCATCAAGGCCTCGGGTGGGGGGTTTCTCATGAAGCTACCTAGATGCCTCTTGAGCTTACCAATCATGCCTTCCTTGGTGAAGGGCTTGGCGAGGACGTCCCGCATGCCTGTGGACAAGGTCAGTATTTGACAATAGCACTGATTCGCACGCCTAGAACCTACCCCAGTGGAAATACATGTCCAAGTCCTGCTGGTTGATATTCGACGTCATCGCAATGATGGGGATGCGGGGGTTGACCTCGCGGATCATGGCTGTTGCTGATACACCGTCCAACTGTGGCATGATGATATCCATGAAGATCAAATCATACCAGTTGGGGTTGGCGTTGACCTTGTGGACAGCCTCAAGACCATCACGCTGTTTTCGATCAGTGCTACGTTCGAAATGAGAAGTCTACAGCGGCTGGACTTACAGCAACCTCAACGCCACAGTCATAGTTGGCCAAGAACTTGGATCCTATCCTCGAGCATGTCCTGTCATCTTCGACAAGCAGAATGCGCGGCTTCTTGGCACCCCATGGCGAACCACCGGTGCCGCCGGGTGGACTGACTGATGTCATGGGCGCTACCGGCTCGGGGCCAGGTGCCATCGCATTCTGCGACACCGGTCTGTTGTACGGGATATTGTTCATGTGTTCGGCTGCGAAAGGGTCGATACCAATGTTCTGCCCTGCCGGATACACCATGTGCCTTGGATCTATGATGGGGTCGTGAATGAATGTCTGTTGTAAGCCGGCGGATCCTGGAGGTCCCATCATAGAACCTGATCCAGCTGACTCGGGAGAGGCGCCGACCTGTTGGAACTGTATCGACATCTGGCGTAGGTCTCTCTCCGGAATGTGCTCACCCGACACGCTGTTGAGAAGGTCTCGCGCCCTCCGAAGCTCGGCCGGTGGCTCGATGGTCCCATCCGACAGCAAATTTTCGCCGCCAAACCCCGGCTGGTTGGCATGGTTCGAGCCGTTGCGGGCATGTCTGCTGCGACTCTGCTCCATCTTGTTCAGGTGGCCGAGAAGCTCCTGGCTGGCCTGGGCTTGGGCCTTTACGACTCGCTGCAAGTACAAGATCTCATCCACGAACACCTTGTTCGCCTGCGCAATCTCAAAGTACGACTCCTGCAGGCCTTGGACCTGCTGCTGCATCGCCGCCACATTCTCACTGAGGGCAATCATCTGTGTGTTAGACGTGAAGTTTTCCTCGGCATTCTGTGGCTTCCTGGGCGCAGGTGCCTTTCGGCGAATGTTGTCCAGACTATTCTTGGCATCTCTGTTGAACTCAGGATGCTTGAACTCCCAGGCCTGGTTCCGTGGTCAGGACATGATATCTACACGTACCGGGACACACTACACGACTTACCTGTTGTCCATATATCGACTGGCCATTCTCCTCGTTCTGCCGCACCTTGTGGAAGTCGTACTTGTTCAGCTGGCGAACAAAGCTGGCAAAGTTGCTATGTTTAAAATGCTTCGGAAGGATTGTTTTCGTAAATCTCTCGTTCTGCAGCGTATTATAAGAATCGATGCCAATGAAGGCTGCGCGCGCGCACGCACACACAAAGGGGTGGGACTTACCTCGAGCACGACAAAGCTGTCGCCGCTATCTCCCCATCTGACGACCTCGCTGTAGCTGGGGTCTTCCAACATCCTGCAAATCAAAAACGAGTTAGCAACAAGGTAACGGGGAAAGAACGGCTATCCGGGTGGCTTCACTTGTAGAGTTTGCGAACCTATTTAACGGCAGTTAGCGCAACTTGGTTCGCGATAGGGGAAAATGCGCATCCAACGGTCAAGCCCGGTATGCAGCAGTCGGTCAAGACTTACAAAGTCGCTGGAGTTGTTACTCCCGCCGGCCGCAGCCGACATGTCGCCTCCGGGGGGCATATTGCCGAGGGGGTCACGGCCCAGGATCGCAAGATATCAAGACGGCGTGAAGGTGCGTCAATCGAATCGATCTCGAAGGAGCGCGATCGGGTTGACTTTGTCTCGGGAGACGGGCGGTATCACTAGAATAAGGCGGGTCAGTACTACAGAGAACATAGGCGCTCCGCCTGGAGCGTGATCGTATCGGCTTGCCATTACCTCTCTTGCACGACGCGCCAATGCTGTCCTATCTATATCCAGCAGCACATGTGCGGTCGCAACCACGGTGCAGTCGCCTGGGTAGACTTGAACGCGGACCGGAACGCGGTAGTTGGCGACGACGCTTCCTACCGCTCAATTAGACTTTTGCCAGGGTTGTTGCAATGGGCCGTGGTGCCGGTCGGACGGGTGAGGTTGTGAAGCGCGACGGCCACTTGTGTGATGGTTGGGCGCAGAAAGGAGGGAAAAAGAGGGATTCGTCGTGTGCTGCACCTCGCAGGTGGCCGACGGCGCAAGTCTATCGGCGGGAACGGTGGTTCTCGGGCGCGGGCCTGTCGTGTTTCTCGCAGTCGTCCGCAAATCCTTCTCCTCGGGTGCTGGGTCTACGGTAGGAAAGAGTCGCCGTCGCTACAATAGATGCAGCAGACTCGGGCGCGGGATTGATCGCTTCAACGATTGTGCTGTGCTGTGCTGTGCTGTGTGTACGTACAGATGCCAACTTCAGTCAGGGCCAGTCGGGAGACCAGACGGGACAGGAGGACTCAGGGAATAGACTCGACACGACAGGCCAAGGGAAAAAAAAGCTAGCCAGCCTAGCGACTAGCTCGTCCAGTTCACCCTTCCCAGATCCGCTGACGGCATTCAGCCAGGGTGGATGGCGGTGGGGACCGACCAGAGCAGCGCGCGAACTCGTCACTGGCTCGCAGGGGGACCGGGGGGAGCGCAAGAGCCAAGAGGGGACAGATCAGTAGGCGGTCGGTGGCAGCCGTCCAATGGCTCGTTGAGGTTGGTGCAGGGCCTTGGACGGAGCACGATGCACCCAGATGCAGGCAAGTGGGTGGTGTGTGGGAACTGCGGGCAGGCTGCGGGGGTGTGGATGGGATGGATTCTCTGGATGTTGGGATGGCCGTCCGTGGTGCTTGGGAGTGAGGTCTCCGAGCCGAGCTGGCGCCTCACGGTTGACAGCCGCCCCTTGGAGCAAGGCAAGACAGCAGAACAAGAAACCCCTTCTTTTCCTCCAACAGAATAGCGCAGAGCTTGCGGACGAGTGCTCACTTGCGGGATTGGCGCCAGCTGTGGTGAGGCACTTGGCGGCAAGAGATTGGCGAACCTTGATAAGTATAGTCCACGGGTGTGGCCCAAGGAAGGCCCAAAACTGATGTGACTTGTAAATGTCCAATGTTGTTAACGAGACCGCTCGGCCATCGAGGGCTTACGAGCGACTCTCGCCTGAGACGCACTCCCTGCTCCCATCCGCACGACTAGACATAGACTCGGGGGCAGAGTCAGACAGTAGAATCTCATGTGCTCAGCGCGCGCATTCCTAGGGCCGCCGGGCGACCACGAGTAATGCCCGGGTCCATTACTTCGCTGGGAACTAACTTACATGTACCATCATAGTAAGGTATTGGTAGGGACTCCAGGCGTCTGCCAAAGTACCGCTCCGGCTGTCCACGGGTAGCACTGTCCTTCTAGCTGTAGGTACTGTAAGTGGCTTTACCATGCGATACTACGCTCTCAAGTTGACGACCATCTCGTCATTGCGACGTGTGCAGCGCAGTTGTTCATTGACTGTTCAAGTACCTGCCATTGCAGCCCATCTGGGTATTCGTGCGCCTGTAGATGTGTACTTACATATCTATGTGAGTACGTGGGTACGCATGTACGTATTTAGCCAGGACTTCACCCATCGCTTGCCGTCGCTTATTAACAGCGATTCGAGCTGCTGCCCGCTGGCGATTCAGGACGCTCCTGAAAGCCCCGGCTATCACATCACATCACATCACATCCAGGAATGACGAAAGCCGGCCATGACCATGGCCATGCGAGTTGCAACCCGTGCTGGTCGCCATCCCCCAGGCGGCGCGCGGCGATACTTGAGGAATGGCGCTGGCTAGCCGCAACGCTACCGGTACCCCTGAGCCCACCTGGGCGCCCTAACCCCAGCCTCCTGCACCTACAGCCCGCTGAACTCTGCGCTGGCTTGCAGTGGCGTTTCTAGCATGATTACTCGGGGACCTTCTTGTGTGAGGGTTTTCTCTTTTCCTCCGCGATACGGGAGTCGTGATGTTCCCATCTCATCTTACCGTCTCCGGCCGGCAGATGCTGCGTATCCACAGGCAATCAAAAGCCTTCGTCCACCATCCCACGTCCCGGGCTCAGACGCGCCCGAAATTCACTTTAGACTACTGCAGAAACACGATGCAAGCCACAACGTACTTGGCCAAGGGCAGAAGATCACACCATCTCTTGCTTGCCTCTATCGCGTCTGCGTGTCCACGGCTTCAAATTAAAGAAGGGTACGTACGGCACAGAGCTTCACCAAACACGAATGCTTCAAGTCGTCTTCTTGACAATCACCTCTACGCAAATCGCGCTCACCATCGCCCGGGCCTCCGCTCCGCCCCTCTCCCCATTCCATGCCTTCTTTGCTTTGTTCAGCTTGCTTCTTGAAGAAGAATCCACAGGCTACCAATCAGGTTGGCAACCCCGAGCTGCTTCAAAGCGCTCTTTCTCAAAGAGGCTAGAAGGCAGGCTAGAAAGAATATAGTCGGAAACCGGCTTCTGGCTTTCTTGCTTATCGTGGCATAGACGTGCCGATCTTTTCTGTCTCCATGGTAGCCCCGATCATCTTCCCTTTTCCAGAGCTGTAGGTGACCCTCGCTTGTACCGAGACTGTGACGACGGGCCTATTTCCTTCCTCCTCGGGCGAAACTGTAAGATGCATTGCCGTGCTTCGCAACTTGGGGGAGATCGTGACCGGCATGCTTGGGAGTGGCAGGAGTGGTCAGCCGCCGTTTCATTCATCTCTCGGCATTCTTGCGCTGCACATCTCTGCTTCGGAGGCTTTTGGGCGCACCGTGGCTTGCTAAGATCGCGCCGTACACCAAGCGGAAATAATGAAGAGCCCTGAACCACTTCGCTGGAATTCGCTAATCACCATACTATGTACTATGTAGAGGTTCACACCCAGCCAACAGGGGCCATGGAGACCCCTCGGCTAAGACAAGTCCTAGAACAAATGCTTTTCCCGCATGCAATAAGACACCGGGCCTTGTCTCCGTCCGGGGGCCCCCAAGGCTTCTAGAAAGATGGTTGGTGGGCCTCGTGCTCTACCCAACGACCTAGCACACTGCTTACACTTTACACCGCTATGAACATCCTGAATCGTGATTTGTGGCAGGAACACCGAGGGCTACTCGGTTCTTTTTACTGAAGAGCCTGAGCTGCAGAGGAAAGCCTGGCGCCATGAGGACTACAGAGAGCCACCCAGCACCCTTCGAAATGTCACCCTCGCTGCGATGAAAGCCTCCCGCTACCCCTGCCCTGATTTTTAAGGTTGGTCCCATTGCCACTCCCGGAATCTACTCGCCTGCCCCCGAGAGGTGTTCTAGAATTGCTTCCACAGTAGCGTGACGGTTTTGGCTTCCACGTTTGAGCGACTAGTACCAATGTCTCATTACTCAGTCTCAGCGGCGACATTCCCAGGGATTTGGTTCCCAAGTCTGCGTACTGTGCGCTTGCTCCGTATCAAAGTCTCCTTGAACATCGTCCACACACCACTTGCCAAGCACGTAGCTGCATCAGCAACCCCTTACACAAGTCTATATCGATGCGATTGCCCGGTATGTGAATTCCAATCAACATGCGGCTGCCTGCGGGTTACCTTTTTCAGGTCAATCCTTAACCTTATCAATCAGGTTTCGATGTCGGAACGTGAGCCACCCGAGGGGCGTAGAAGCAGTCTAGAAAATCCTTGGGTTGTGCGTCGCTGTAGGGGCAAACCTCGGTAACTCAGCCAAAATGAGCAGCTAATTACAGTGGTTACTTGTGACGTCACCCCAGATGCTGCCGGTGGTTCTCCTTGAAGAAGCTCAGCCGCTGACATCGCAAATAATAACAGGGACATGAATAGCTCCAAGGGCACGGACAATTTTCTTCGTCGAGGGAATCAATCGCCAGAGCTGGAGGATTTCTCCGATGGAGACTTATTTGAGCCTCACTTTGAATCGCAGAGTCGGGATGGCTTGCTTATTGACTCGGCCGGTCCCCAGCAACACCCTTGTTCTTCAACAATCAAAGACAGCACTGCATTTCTGTATCCCCAGTGCAATGCTAGAATCGTACGATGATCCTGTCCACCAGTGCCCCTGAACCCACTTGCAGTGGACATACTCGGCAACTCGGGTAGACCGCCCTTACAAATTCCCATGATGAATTGCCATGTCGCTTTCCACGACCATATTCCGCCGGTACCGAACGCCATTCAGGAGTGCCGCATCCGCTCCTGCAAACAGTAAGAAACTGTATTCTGTAATACAGACTTTCATAGGGCTAGTGGGCACCACCAGTTGACCGTCGTAAATGGACTGAGACCTGGCCACAAAGCCTCACGACATAGAGAAAGGCTTGATACTGCTGCCAGATCTACGTTGTAAGTACAGGTACGAACGTTGATGTGCTCTTGCAACGAAGAAAATAAAATTCAATGTGATGGCCATAAATCATTGCACTTTCCGGACCAGCTGGTCAATTGATGGATTTCATGAACCGGGTAATCGTTACGTACTCCTTGATAAGCTGTCCTTGATATGCTTAGCAAAACTTTTATCCGTTGTCACCTCTTTACATATGGGAGGGGAGTACTTATACACAGCACGCCCACAATATACCACAGCGCTTTCCCCAAAACCTTGCTCTTGGAGTCTCAGTGCGACTTTAGATATCAGTACTAAGATTTCCCATGATCATCAGTCTGTATTCTTGGGCAATCACACAACCATCTTATTAGAGCACTGTCCGTCGACCGCCATATCATCGCTGCAATTGTCTATCGGCTTTCGTATCATACGATAAGAGTAATTCCTCTATGGCGAGGAGTATCAAATGGTAATTAAAGTCAGATCTAAAAGGCCTGCAATCGTAGGATTTTCAGGTAAACATATAAATGACAAGGTTGGCTGCCTATGTTCTCAGTGCGTACAGACAATTCAAATTTGTCGTCTATAAGCCTATGGGATTATGGTAAGCCCCCGCCGGTCTTGCCCCCTTCCTGCAACCCCTTTTGCGTACTCAAACGACCAGGCTGTACTTGTAGTGATGACCAACTGCTTACTTTGTGAGCTCAATGACTATGGCCCAATCCGCTGTCTCTTCATTCTCATCGGTGTATAAATGGAGCTTGGAAATCTGCTTGTTGCCCAGCTCAGAGCGGTAGTCCTTGAGGAATTGCAAAACGCGGGCAACATGGGTCTGGGCATTGAGATAGCTGAGGGCGTCGACCACTTTAGGGTCTTTCGAGGCAAAATCGAGAACCAACTTCTCTTCAGTGCTCTTTCCTAGTTTCTCAAAGGCGTAACGAATGGCATCGTTGGTCTGTAAAAGGTTGCCGCTGCTGTCCTCGATGATCTTGTCGGAGATCTTATCTCGGACGATATATTCAAGGTCTTTCATGTTGTCAAACATGGACTTGAGGCTGTCGTAGAACAGGTGTGTCCAATCGGCCCCGGTAGAGCCCTTCAGGGTGTCGTAGGCTTGGCCGTAGCTGTGCTGCACCACCATAGTCTTCTGTTCCGCGCTGCCCGAGAGCTGGATCGTAGGCTTTCCCTTTTCCTCCGTGTAGATAGTTCTGGTTTTCCAATCATCTTTTGTCCTCTCTCTGATTTTAATCCCGTACGGAGCGAGGTAGCCTAGGTCCATTTTGTCGACATCCTCCATTGCATCAATACTCTCCTTGTAACCACGGCCGTTTGGGCTTTCACCGACAACCGCATCTTTTGGCCTACCCCAGGTTTAGTACGAATCTCACAGGTAAACTTGGATCATGGCGACCATGCTCACCCGGTATCAGCGGCCTCTGTATCGATGGCATCCTTCAGGGCATTTCGATAGCCGTTGCCCTTTGTTTGCAGATTTTGGATGTTCTTGGCAGCTTCAGCAGACCCCGGCTTAGGAAGGGTCGGCTTCTTTCCTGACGGATTGGACGTGGACGGTCCTTTTCGGCTTTGAACGAGATGCGCGAGGGGTGATAGTAGCCCTGACGCTTTGCGACGTCTGGAGGCATCACGAGAGATATATGGAGCACTGATATCCTGCGTATCTGCGGCTGCGGAGATGTCGAGGGACCCACGATCTGTGATGTACCAGTCAGATTGGACTTTTAATTCTTTCAGAAATAACCCTTACCAAGAATATCCAAGTCATTCTGAGTGTTGGTAACAAGTGCCAATGGCCCTGAAGCCAAGAGGCCCAGTACAAGTGTCGTGGAGTATGAAAATCGCATTTTGTTTACTTTATAATAAAATTCGAAGCTGGAGGGTAGTTTTTAGCTGGATGGTTGACGAGTCTGAGTTTGAGGAATGGACTGAGCAATGAATCATGAAATCTTTATATTCCCGATGGGTACGAATCTTCCATCGGAGTCCGCCATCGTCATTTGTAATGGATATTTCCAGCAAGGCTCAGCCGATGAAAGGGACCGGAACTTACGACCATCTTGCCGAAGGTGAGGAACGCGTATACACCTAGGAAGTGGCGTCTTCTGCTCCCAAGATGATCTGACGATACCCACAAGGGTCTTACGAACCAGTCTCGCATTCCTATCGGGAAAAGCCTTAGGCTTGGCAAGCAGAAAATTGTCCGCCAGTGCATTGAACGTATTTTGCATTAGAAAACACGAGCGGACAGGAAGTATGCATGGGTCGTAAGAACTGGGAGGATGAGGCGACTGTAACACTTGGCAATAATCTTTCTCGGAGACCAATTTCTTGTAGGTGGCGCACTACATGAGATGGTGCAGGTCAGCTTACCTATGTAAGTTTCGAAAATGCTGTATCTTTTAGCATTTTAAGTCATGCAGGAGGCTTTATGATAATCTCACGATCAAGACTTAGGGATACCACATGAATTTAGAATTACGTGTTCTATAATAAGACGTCAAGATGAAACAAACGCTCCTGCATCGCAGGCATCATATTTTCTCCAAGAAAAGGGAATATTCGTGGCTGGCTTGTGCGAGGCTTTTCCGGATGAGCCTCATCCATGCTGTGAACACGCGGCGTTTACTCGAGGATACGAGGCTTTGAGAGTTATCCATTTCCAAGGTCTCTGCAAGGCTTAGAATTATCCTCCAAGCCCATGGAGTAGAATGTAAGTGGCAACAGCACCGGAAACTGGGGCCTACTGAGAAAATAGTCTCAATTCTCATTCCTGCTACAAGGAGTAGAAGTTTTCAAAATGTCCTCGGCTATGAATGATGCTTTGTGGCTCTCAAATGTCTTTCTCTACTACAACCTTGCTAATAATATGCAGGTTGAGCAATCGTCCGTATCTTCACGCAGGTGGTCCGCACTACTTACGGTTGAGAGATTGCAGGCCGTCAACACCAAGGGATTTTCTCTCACCAAATCGTGGACAAAATTTGGTCAGCTGAACCAGGCGTGGATAAATACAAGTATAGGATTAGGATTTCAATATCATTAGTCGACACTGCTGAGAGAATCAAAGTTCGAGTAACAGACCTGACAAACAACAACAGATAGATAATACAATGATATATGATATAAATTTGTGACCAAGTAAAAAACAGCCCACTTCATTTTCTCTAATTATAAGGACGACGTATTTGGATGATCTTGAATGACAGAAGAAGAATGCAGTGCGAATTTAACAACTCGTGCCAACTATCATTATCCCGAGCTTTACCAGCCTCCATCATCACCTAGGTCCCCTTCAGGCCTGGTGCTCGTCCCATTTCCATTGCCACTCTCGGTACCATCACCCTGTTTGCCCAAGCAGATGTAAGACGCGTAACTTGGACTCGCCTCGCCCACATTCTTGAAACATGCTCGTTGTGTGTCAGGGTCGAACAAAGCCTGTTTCTTTTCCTTTGCCTCACTTAATGTCACGTTGAACAAGGGCTCGGTGGCAAGTGTTGATTCGCCGCATCCTTTGTCATCCCAAAGCAAGATGCGGCAGTTAATATCCCTAAACTTGTTAGCAATATGGCCATTTCCTTGTACTGATTCCAAAGGAGGAGGGTGAATTTGCCCGTACGCACCAATCAGTGACGACCATCGCGACATAGCTGGGCACTAGCGACATGCACTTGTTGCTCTGGTTTGTCAACCCTCCCACCTGCCCCTCAATAACCTCAATGTTACAGCTCGGTGTCTTTGAGAAGTCTAGGAGCCAAGCGTTTGAGAAGCCTCCTAAGGCGAGGCTGCAGAGAGAGAGGGCAAGCGGTCTTTGTGAATGCATCCTAGTAAAGGTTTGGAATGGATTTGTCTCGGTGTATGGCTTTTGTTTGATTGAATCTTGGTATGGCGGTTTTTGAATCAGAACACGGCTGGTTTAGCAGTGAAGTGAGTTCATGGGTCGCCGACTCAATACAAAGGACGGCTGACATTTATACATTCTGGAGGACACAACTTTAGGACCTCACAGCTATTTTTACCATTTGGTTCCGTTCAATCGTGAGCTCTAGATAGCTGAGGACTGAGCATCCCCTGATGGTTCGGTATTCCTGCGTGCCCACGTTGCTATTTTCGGATCTCACATATAATCCTTCTACGGGCAACATCCAAGTGGGCATTGGCGTTCAAGTGGAAGAACAATGGTAAATGCTAAATTGGGTCCGGAGTGACCTATACGACATGCCTATGAAGCTTGGAACCAGAAGTTGAAGGAATTATACGGCATGAAGAAGGACTGTACGCAGGACGTGACAAACTGTAGGAGAGGTGAGCCAAACGCCACTCGAAGGAAGAGACGAGTGCCTCTGCCCTGGTCAGATTATGATTTAGTTCGGCATTGCTGCTTATGACAATTTTTGGTGCTCAGCCGCGCTTGTGCTGGAACCTTGGACAGTCGAAATGTATGGGCCAAGCCCCCAGGGTATTGCATGCATGCCACATCACATTCATACCCAAATACATGCTATAAATTATGCTCTCGCCTGCTGTCTTGTTGAATCTCACAACTACAGTTTCAACACACATTTAACTCTTAGTGGCACTTCAACAACGAACGACTCGCCAAGTTCTACTTTGTCTTGAACATAATTTCTCTTCATAATGATTGCCAAAACGTCATCCATCGTCTTTGCATCTGTCTTGATGACTCGTCATCTCGTTTCTGCTCAGTTTGATGGATCTTTCACCCTTTGGAGCGAGCCTGGCTGCGGAACTGATCCTAAGGTTGCTTTCAAAGAACATAGTTCTGCGCCGATCATGTTCGTAAAGGGTGAGAGTAGTTGCAGCGGGGGCAGCATCGGGTTGGAGGGGTTCACGCCAGCCGAGGGCAGGTTTTCAACTTACATTGACGGGAGTTTTCTCGGAGAAGACTGCAAATTGGTGTTCTACGATTCGCCCCCGGATGGTGAATCAAAGCGCTACGATTGCTGGACCGGCACTCCTTATCGGGTATTAAAGAAGAATTCGGGCTGCATCAACGTCCCAGTGTCGGAGAAGTTCATATATGCGTAAGGCACACCCCTAAGCAATTTCCCAGTCTCTCGAAAAGGGCTGACATCTACATAGTTATTGTTGTGGCAAAAAGTGTGATGGATTTCTCCCAGTGCAGAAACGGGAAGAACTAGCTTCCACCACGAATCGCGACATCACCAAGATCAAGCGAGCAGCTATTTTTGAGCGAGGGCCAGGAAAATGCAACTTCAAAAAGACTGGAGGCGACGTTGAAATCACGTATAAGAGGGGCCAGAAGACTGGCCAAACGGTCAACTGCCCCACTACCAAGTCTGAATGTGAGGTTAATGGAGAATACTCATCAACCGTAGGCGTCAGCAGATCCACGTCGGACACGAACTCCATCTCTGTGGGAGCGAGTGGAGGAAACCCCTTTTTTCAGGTCACCGGCTCATATGGCCACGAATGGACTTCCACTACGGAGAACTCAAATTCCGATTCTTGGAGCCAATCCTACTCCCTCAAAATCCCTGGCGGCTCATCTGGGTACCTTGTTTTCAAAGCTAAGATACTATGCTCAAAAGGCACCTTTGAGGGCGACGGATGCGACGAGGCTCTCAAAGGCCAGGATTCAGACTGGTGCGTTCCAGCCTTCACTACAGGGTCTGGAGGCAAGCCCGTGCCTGATGGCACCTGGAGCGTTCTTATGCTCTGAGCTGCAAGGTCGAAAGGTTGGTCATTGTGGAGATGAAGGGCGATGTAGTACAGTGGTCGTTGAATGACAGCAGGGATGTGGCGCCGGAGCAGTCTTATTGTTATCACTCTTTCTCTTATTTCCCTGGTGTTCGTATTTTCATTTCGGGTTGTCACGACAGACAATTGTCTATTGACAGGCATTTGAGGTGGAAGTATAGATCGGTTGCTTTAAAATTTGTCTCAAACTCTGCGAATAAATTTCAGAAAATGAACATGAGTGCATTATGAATATCTTTGCTCGAGCCACACGTAAAGATGATGTACCTGCTCAGGTCGCGTAAGATCTTACGCCAAAGTTTCAAGTATCCGAAGGTTAGGCCTCGTAAGTACCTTAACCCCACTTCGAAAATTGGAACCGAAGTCGACAGGCTCATGTCATCTTTTCTTCTAACCTCCAACAATCTATGAGCCTTCCAAGTTACAATATCTTATGATGCACAACGATGCACAGTGACATCGCTACAGGGCGGTCTTCTCATCATGCCCTTTTCAGCACTTCCCCCGGAAATTGTTCACGAGATTCTCACTGCGGCAGTCAAAGTACGCGACATTCAACGTGCTACTCGCTTGCGACACGTAAGTAGGTCGTGGGCAGCCGCTGTCCCGGAAGCCATATTCGCATCGGGGATTCTTGATAGCGACCCGCGTTCCATGTCCTCTCATAGTCTATACTATAAGCCACGTTACCTTGCGTACAGAGTTTTGAGCAGAGCCCAAAGTCTTTCACGGCCCTTGCGCATTGTTCGAAAAGTTGCGGAATATCTCGTAGCACATCGCAACCTGGATACTTGTTACGAGGACGCCATCAGAGACTGCGTCCACGACCTCTGCCGGATACCCCACATTGGAATCAATCACAATTGTAGCCGCCAAGAAGAAGACTGGCTCACCGGGCCGTCGGCAGAGAGTATCGATGAAAACGATATGCAGTTCCAGCAAGCACTCCTCTCCGCAGCGGCTTGGGCGAATGAATTAGCTCTCATTCGGCGTACCTTGCCGCTGTTTCAGAATTGTCTATACTTGATCTCCCACGATGGTTGGGGCGGAGAATATAGCTTTGAGTAGGATACCTCAAGAACAGTCTATACCTAGTAGCTACTAATGTTTTTCAGATTCATTTTCGGGTCTCCAATGATCTTGGCGTCTTTACGTGGAAACATTCAAGTTATCAAGCTACTTATTGAAGCAGTGTCTGCGAACAGCCGAGGAGATGAGCATTTAGGATATATTCTGGAGTATAGCGCAAAAGGGAATCACCTAGCTACCGTCGAACTTGTTCTGGAATCAAAGAACGATCACTGGAACCCATCACTTGTCAAAGGCCTCCAGGGAACTGCCAGTGTGGAAGTGTTCCAAAGATTGTTGCCCCTGGTCAAAGATCATCTTCAAATTGAGTTCCAGAAAAAGACTGCTTACTATGAAGAAAAGTTTCTGCCACGCCAGTTAGTAAAGGCGGCAAGGGAGGGAAACATGGCAATGACGGAGCATATTCTTCAGCTAGGTACCAAAGCTTCAGCTTTGTGGTTTAGGTCCGCCAGTGAGTCAAGGAATCCCGCCATTGCGGCAGCAAAACATGGCCACAAGGATATCTTATCATGCCTCATCAAGGAAGGATTCATTCTGGATCAATACTCGCTAGAAGCGGCTATTTGGTACGGAAACCCGGAAATGGTGCATCTTATATTGAACAACATGGATCAGCGGCATTCCCTTGTACAACCATTGCTCATTGCCGTGGAAAAAGAGAACGAAGTAATGGTTAATCTGCTAATGTCTTTGGAGATGATACATTTTGTTCACGAGACAAGGATCCAGGCAATACATAAAGCGGACGAGCTGGGGCTAGAGTCAATGGCAAAGTTACTTGGACAATAGCCCTTCATGTAGTGTATAGATCCCACATGTACAAAGTGCTGCACATCCCATATCTCGAGTTTGGCGGTGAGTGATGCATCCTTGCCAATCTGTCATCGTCCATGAAGACGTCATTGCCGTCTTACCGGTTATAGGTTGTGTCTGCAATATAGGCCTAGCCCTTTCTTTGTAAGAACCATCGAACGCTACGGATGTATCCATCTCTAACATATGCCTTGAGGGTGCTTTGTCCCTTTCCTGTGGAGAGCAGAATAATTGCCCCTCTCTCCACCTAGGCGTGCACGCTGATAAGGCGTGGCCTGATCGAGATATTCTAGCCTGCCGATTGACTAACGATTTGGCCTTTGCGGGTTAGTAGATAAAGCTTCGTAGGTAATTCCCGCGGCGAAGGCGTGCAGGGAAGGGAGGGATGGGGTAGTTTTTCTCCCTGTCGCACGCGCCACCCCGTCGATGCTTGCCGGATATTGCAGGTTGACTGCACTGTAACCTACAATTATCACGACTGTACCTTCGAAGGATTCTGTATGACGGTTGGCTGGAGAGCCGGTATGCCGGGCTGGCCAGACAAAGCTGCAAGCCCTGGCTAGGTGTCTCGCCATGTTTGCTTGGAATATTGAATGGTGCCCTTCAGTCAGATCATAGCCGAACTTTACTGAAACCCGAAGCGGCCCGAGCGGCCAACAGACATGCAGGCTTTTGAGTATTCGGCCCTAGCATCCGCGGAACACACTTGGTTGGAATATCAATGCGACAAACCCTGGAGGTAGTAACTACTTCTTCGTGTGAGGCCATGGGTTGTACAAGCGCTAAGAGAGCCAACACATCAGCACACGACGCTGCTCCCTGATTTTCCGCTGGAGTCTCTCTGCATGCCCGTATGTGCCTACGAACAGCTTCAGACTCAGCAAAAATGCAGCCTTCGGATACAGACAAGACACGAGAGTTGTATGCTTGATACCGCCGGCGTTCGCTTCGGACACTCACTGATTGCGCTCAGCTTTGACGGGGCGTTCACCCTTCGTGAGCTCTACCATCATGAACGTGCCTATGCTATCGAGGCTATGTTTCGGCCAGATCACTGCCTTGCAAGCGCCATTTTCAACCCATCAAGCAAGCCGCCTCAGCACTTCCATACCTATCAAACAGAGTACCTCAAGGTCACAGCGGGCAAGGTAGTGGTCCAGGTAGAGGGCCGTGAACTGCTTCTCTCGCCTACCGACGATGAGCTGCGCATTCCGCCATGGACGTATCACTGCGTATATCCACCCTCGTCTGCGACATCTCTCTCAGAAGAGGAGCGCCAAGTACCTGGCGATATAAAGGTCATCATGTCAAGCGAAAAGACGTCTCAACCCTTTCACGAGGATATCATCTTCCTGGAGAACTGGTATCATTATCTAAATGATATCATAATACACGGCGCCAAGCTCGATTTACTACAATTGATGTCTGTAAGTCTAGTTTGCTCCCTCCTGCACGGTTCGCCCGTGAAAGACGTGACTATTGCTCATGTGTAGCCCACAGTCATTCGATGCCGCTGGATCGTACCTCGCATTTCCTGCATGGCTCCCCTTCGGGCGATACCTATCTCGAGCCACAGGTATTATCATTGGACGATACCTAGGCAGCATGCTAGGATACCAACCATATTATCGCAAGTGGACCACAGACTGGCAGCGGGCTCGTGAAAGGATGGACACCTCTATATTCTACCGGCGTTTTGCGAACCCAACGGCGAACAGCTGATGATGCACCATTGAAGAGGTGTGCCTTAAATGCGGCCGTATAAAGTGGAGTTCTATCATCGTTGCTCGGAGTTTGTACATTACCTCGTTATAAAGAGCTGTTCAACTCCCAGAATCAAAGCCGTCGAGGAAGCAGCCAGCAGTGCCGTTCAACTTGATTCGTTCATGTACTTAGCATCTAGCCCAACTCAATCAACAAATCAGTCGTTATTATTCTGAGAAGCATCAATGTATCACTACTTAAACGAAAGGAGCCGTTCATAAAATATTGATTTAAAGAACGAGTAGTACCTTTACGTCGTTATGCCCTGTCCAGAAGTATGCGACAGGGCCGTCTTGCGTCGGTTCCGTATCGTCACCCATAACGTTACGAGAGCCGCGACGCTGCTTGGCAGGCCGATGCCGATTCCGGTGCCGAGGGCGATTCTGTTCGACGTTGAGAAGCCCTTGGGCTCGTTAGGCGTGGCCGTGGCCGTGGCCGTGGGTGCCGCGGTAGTCGATGTGATTTCTATAACAGTGGCGAGCGGCGCAAGGCTCTGCGTTGAGCTCGAGGTATCCGTTGTAGTAAAGTCCCAATTGACAAGCCTGTTGCGGGACGAAGACTGGGCAGCCCAGTCCACCAAGGTGTACGCCTCATATGTAGGCCCGGTGAATATGTTCGTCATACAAAACTGGTAGTTATCATCTTGGCTGAAAACGGTGAAGTTAGCTCTCCGGCGTTCTCATTGGGTCCCGGCAGAGGTGGCTGACACGCGAGAGTGATTAACAGCCTTGCCGGGACGACGACAACTTTTCGCATTTCCCAGAGAGGTAGTCGCCATAATCGTAGCAGGTGGTGACAACGAGCTCCTGTCCATCACCGCACCCAACGACTGAGAGCTGAGTGTTACGGCGACATTCGTAGTCGCTGTTGCACATAAGTGGAAATGCTTCGCGATATCAACATCAGTCTTTGATCAGTAGAAGAACTGGATGGGCTCTAGTGAAGACGAGAAGGGTAATATGAATCACCTGCGGTCCCGGAAATATAGCCACAAAGACGCGTATCTCGCGTCGTTGACCGGGGGCGGATTCCATCGCGATCAGGCGCAGACGTAATCAGAAAACCCGTCGCATCGCGAGTTCCCGTTGCGGCGATGACGCTTGAAGTGCGATCAGGGACATTTAAGCCGGTGACCGAGGACATCAACGCCGCCGATGCGAGACACGAGAGCATGCGTGAGCGCCTGGCCATTTCAAAAAAATATTCAAGGAAAAGGGTTTCCTGTTTGTTTACTTCACGCACGGAATCTGCTTGACCCGGATGTCAACTTTTGCCTTAAGTAGAAGGCGTTCCTTAGCAAAAGACATTCCTAGGTTAAGGGCAATGGTGAAAAGGCAAGAAGGAGGAGGGGAAGCAGCTTTAATTGTTTAGTCGCAGCCTTGCTGGCAATCTCCTCCTCATTTATATGCTGTGCTACCAAGCAGGGAGAGTAGCTGTCAAATGAGTGGACTCTGTAATTAATGGAAGCAGGATAGCCTGTCACACTGTCGCAAAATTTGCGACAGGTCGGCATTTTGATGCCCTCTGGCAACCAATTCTGGAAGAAGAGAGTCGTTCTGTTGAAAGAGTGGCCAGCACGGGGCGAAGTAGTGTTCATCTCTTGATAACGTAGGTATAAATCTGCTAGAGGTCCACCCAACCTGTCTCAACAAGATAACATGAAACTCTGAACAGACGACCATGCCATCTCGTCGTATCTCAGTTGTAGCATAGTTTTAAACGAATCATATGCCCATGATGCAAGTTTCCTAGCCCTATACTCGTAGATCACTACGCTTTGTAAGTCTCTATCTAAAATCAAGATGTCTTCCAGAGAGAATGAGCGATCTCGGTATGCCAATGACACAGCCTGAGTGTATTGAAGAGTAAAAATTAAGATACGGAATCTCCCTGCCCGTTTGACGGGCTGAGGAAAGAGGGTTTGTACGCCCAATTTGTGTGGCGTATCAGCCAAGTTCGTTCCACCTAGTTCACAGCAAGATCGAATTATGTACTTGCAAACACGTTGGGTTCAGATTTAGGTGGTGCAGTCTTTGGCAATGTATTTGAGCTTGTGGTAAAGCCAGGTAATGGTAGATGCAGAGATATTGTTTGGACTAAAACAAACTATAGGTGCATCGAATCCGGATGCTCTCAAGAGGATGATTGAAAAGCCAGGTATGTTCAAGCAATGTTTCGTTACTAGATCAGTGTTGAGTAATCCTGTTTTCTTTATGTTTTCTTTCAGCGTAATGGAACGCTCACAAGATTTGATGAATGTTTGTTGGTAATATACCCAACTGTATCTGCGTGCTCAAGAGACTACTCAAGAAAATTGGTCAACAGTCTTAGGTCTGTGATTTTGGTTGTCTGCTCATAATACCAATTTTGTCCCTGGAATTGCAATCTTAATCTTGACCACGATGTCATGGTTCGTTTATACTTGAAGCTGAACAGAATTCGTCGACGGCAAGGATCGGTACACATGTGCTTGCCCATGAATGCAATGCTGACCATGTGACTAGGGCAAAAGCCAGTATTCTAGACAGTATGGACACCAGTGAACTCGGTCAATGTCTAGATAGCAAAGAGATGAGGTATGTGCCATAGCTAGCAGTGTACACCGGCAAAGGGAAAATTAAGACGGCATCGCCAAGCGCGGAACCCATTTCCGGCCAGTAGTAGCCGGATCGGAGCATTCCCCGGAGACGTGACCAATACTTGGCTACTAGTTATACAGTTCTTCACTACTCCGTGGAAAGCTGAAAACTTCTCGAGGGGGGTTTTACATGCTTTAGCTACAGTAGACTGATGTCCATCACCAGATGGGCGACAATGCGAACGGGAGTTGGATGATGCTTCGACCGAACGCACGATCCCACATGCATATGCGGGGTGGGCAAACACCCATCCGGTACGAAGTGGATGAGCGATGCTGTTGAGACGCTTTTGGATTGCTCCGCGATGGAACGGTTCATGCACGAATCCCCGTCTGAAGAGATGATAAGGAAATGTGCATGCCTGCATCGGAAAGGTCTGCCGGCGCGTGGGATGTTGTGTCAGATTATACCTAGAATATAACTACCTATCCTATTTAGATAACTACCTCGAGAGTGGGTATCCTCTGGAGTTGGTGGGGCAGAGTGTGACGAGGCCATCGCAGCAAATGGGTTTGGGCTTGCTTGCCCTCGGATGGCATCTTGAAACTAGATGGTTGACTAGTACGAGATAGCGGAGGAATCGAAAGCTTGCTATACCGTAGTAGAGTAGTGTCTGCGTGCTGGTGGTAATGCCACGAGCTTGAGCAGGCCGTAACATGCGGCTATGATGGACGCACTGATACCACCGCCGCCGCATAGGCACCGCGATCAGACCCTAGAGGCGCTTGAATCATTCGACCAACGGAAAGACAACGGTCCCTCACGACCGGGTGCGAATCATGCGATTGCTTACCCGAATGCACACCTCAATCTGGCGATCCAAGAGGCCCTCCTACTGCAACGCAGTCACATTCGAGCGCGCGTCCCGAGAGCCTACTACGAGGAGGGCCCGTAACCTTTGCGATACGGCGAACCCCTTTTCTAGTGCTCGGGCGGAAAGCTCATTGGAGAACCGTGAACCGGTTTCCAACCGTGACCGTGCCGACCGCTTTGGGAAATGCAGTCGCAATATTGCCGCTCTGAGGTGAAGAGGGTGTATTGGACCAATTGGGTTCCATGGGCAACTCTTTTCATGGCAACTCCAAGGTTGCCTGTGAGCAGCAATGCTACGGGGAACGACACAGTTCACTGCCTCTCGCATGATTGGCCCCTTGTAACGGGAGATGGACCGAACTTATTGAAATGCTTAGACCTCTCTATCGTGCATTAGGGGGAAACGCGGTGGCCGAATTGTAGCGCGATCTGATGGGCAAGATACAGTTTAGGGGATGCAATTAGCAGGGGGATGCTCGTGAGATACTGTGGTAGGCTCCCAGTCCGCCCAGAACCACGAGCGACACTGGACGCAGGAGCCAGCAGTTCGGTCTGAATGCACCTCCTTTTTTCTTTTTTTGAGAGTAGTTTGCAGAACTGGGCCGAAGCCGACGAGACATTTCCGATGTTGATCGGCACGCCTGTCAGGAAACGGCCTGTGCAACGGACTTGCTTTTGGTGTGAGACTCAGTGGCAGGTGGCCACAGCTCCGAGCTGGAGGGCCATGTAATAAACCTCAGCTTCTATTAGGGGAGACTATTGATTTTGTCTGGGACTGATATGGAGTTATTTGGGCCTGTTAAGTTATTACTGTGCGGGCAATCGAGAGTGGTCCGTAGCCCCCGTGCACGAACACATGAGATTCCGAGCGAGGCACACCAATGCCCAAGATTCCCTTGCTTCGATTCGTCCTTCTACCGCTAGTAGTAGATTTGCCACATGTGCTGCAAGTGATGGGATGGCGTGGCATTCTTGAGCTTCTTGATCGCACGCCAGAACGCGACTCAGGGCATTTTGGAACTTCCGGCGATGCAGCTAGTTAATATCTGACGCGCTACTGCGACCTTCGCATTACATGGCGTCTCTTGCTCTTGAGCGGCGCCGGATTGGGAGCGGATAGGGACCCCATTTGGGGTACCACCTTGGACCCCATCGATTGGCCCAACATGCTAGCGGGGGTCAGCCCGTCCCGACGGTGACCACTGACCAGCGCAAGGGAGAGGAGAAAAAAAAAAGGGGATCAGGATTCAGGCCAACCACGAACCATGGATCAATCAAGGCCAGCCACGAGGGTGCGCCAGGATCGCCGGTCCCCTGAACCTGGAAGCCCCGAACTGGAAAGTCAATGGAAATTTTGATTTCCATCTCCTGCTCAACTGTGGTAGGGACCTTGGGGACGACAGTAACATGTGGCTGTCAGCCAACTGCCGAGCCAAGCGGACAGGAATAGCACGGCGTTTCAGACGTGGCCTGCGTACAGGAGCACACGTAAGTATTGTATGGACAGGTGGATGGAATGGATGGATGATGCGACAGCGCATGTGGCTGCCATTGTTGTGCATAACAACAGCAGACACAGCAGGCTGCTCGGCGTGGCTCCCTTGGGGGCAACTGTAGAAGGCCCCCAGGCCCAGCATATGCTTTGGTGCTTAAAGGTTTCGAGTGTCTCTCCGACTTTTGGTGCCTCATCGGTGCAGCCAGCTCCAGGGGTCTGTCCCCCCCCTCCGTGGCAGCGGCCCTCGTGATTTGCTGAGCGCGTCTGTACCCCCGGACAGGGCACTTGGGGCCGACAGACAGATCGGGCCAGTGGGCCAGCACGCTAAGTTACAGCGCGGCACAACAGAGCTGCCTCGTGCCCTGTACCTTGCAGCACACCCAGGCGGCCAGGACGACCCAGACGCCGGGCAGTTTCTTTTCCTGCTCGCCGGTTCAACGGCCAACGTCGCTCGTTACCTGTCTGCACGGCTTTGTTCACCATCCCGGGTTTAGCTGGCCACGGGCTCCGAAAGCAGCGTAAGTGCACGCAGGAAGCAGGCGCCCATCGAGCTTTGTTTGATTTCGTCTGCGCGTTGCATTGGGAGGAAACCCTCAAGACTCAGGATCCAGCCATCGCGTGATACACCCCAGCTCCCGGACCCCCCCAGAGTCCCAGACCCGGGGGCCTGTCAACCTAAGCGAGGCAGTATAGAGTTGCCAAATTGCCACATGCCCACTGCCACTTCGTGACACACCGGAGGTTGTGCAATTCTCCATCCTTTCCTCTGTTCTGTCGGGCGACCGCATCCCTCTGATCGAGAGAGAGAGAGAGAGAGAGCGCTCTGCGATACAGGCGCCGTGCCTCCCTGGTCTAATTTAATCCACCAGCAGCCGTCTTGTTGCCGACGACAACGCTCGACTGACCCGAGCTCGAGCCTCGAGGGCACCACGACGTACACAAACGAAACGACAAATATTACGGCATTTGCAGCGTCTTCGCCGTATCACACACGCCCGTGTGCCCATCCGTACCCTCACACTTCGCACCAACCGGTCCTGCTGTTGTTACATGCGTTTCCTTTGTATGGCGCTGTTCGCTGGCCGTGTCGCTCCTGTCCCTGCTGTCTGACCTCGACCTCTGCCCTGTCCGCCTCGACCCCAACCGCGCCAATCCCGCCTGATCGTACTCGATGCATTCGACGGACAGCGGGCGCCGCTCGCATAGGCGACGTCCCAACCTGAACATCAATACGTCGGCATCGCCGCCCCTGGCCAGGCGAGATGCCGCTCCCGCGAGCCCACCCCTGCGCAAGCCGCCCGTCCCATCCAAGGGGAAGCCGCCCGTCTCGAGCCGGGCGCTTAGAGTGCAGTCCTCCTCCGTGTCGAGCACGCCGTCGAGCATTGATCGTGAGAGGGAGCGGGCCATAGACCTGGACGAGTCGTTCCTGGACAACATGACCCCCGTCGACATGGCTAACAAGGAGAACGAGCCCGAATTCCACAACCGCGACCTCCAGCGGGTTCAGAAAGCCGCCAACCCTCGCGACTCGCACGATCTGTCGCTTCCGGCGCGGCAGGTCACGCGAGACTCCCTGGTGACCAACATGTTGATGTCTTTGGACAAGCTGTCGCTGTCCCAGATCCAGACGCCGCCGACGGCCATGTCCCCCTTCGACGAGCCTGCCTATGGCTCGCCCAATATGGCCATGACCATGGGCGGGGACGAGAGGGCCAGAACCATGTCGGGCGTATCCCGTCCAGCCCGCGCTATGCATAGCTCTTACCATCACGGCCATAGTTACACTTATAGCTCCGACCTAGAGGGGACCGACGATGCCGCTAGCCGCATCTCGAGTCAGTTCTCACGCGGCCGCCGAAGCAACAGCAGCTCCGGATTTCAATCCTCGCTGGGCCGCATCAACAGCATGCGAGAAACCTCATCGCACAATATGGCCAGCAGCCACGGCAGGGCCATGCATTCCAGGAGCCGCAAGACGAGCAAGAGCAGCAGTACCAACAGCTTCGATGCCGGCTATGCCCAGGTTCTGAGCAGCCAGCGCATATCGCACGGCATCGGCGGCCGCTCCTCCAGCTTCGACTACGGCCAACCGCCGCCGCCGCCGCCTGCGAGCAATGTCAATGGCAGTCAGTGGGATCTAGAGTTCTCCAACTCCATGTTTACCACCAACGACTACGAGGTCGCCCCGACGCCTACAATTCCCGGTGGGCCCCGCCGTGCAGCTGCTCCGAACGCCCCAGTCGCTCCGGCAGCACCTCCACCGATACCCAAGGACCCCGAGCCGGCGGACCGCAAGAGGAGTCTGCGTTCACGGAGTAGCACCGGTGGGAGATCGTCCTCCAAGACCAGACATGAACCCCCACAGCAGCTTCCACCGCAAGCTGATCTGGATTCCGCTCCGGCACCCAACGTAGGGTACGAGAAGTCAAAAGACAGAGACATGCACAACAGCCAAAACTCAACACCACAGGCAAAGGAGCGGCCTGGCTTTTTCAGGAGAGTTTTTGGCGGCTCGTCTAAGAACCTGTCCAACAATTTTGAATCCTCGAGCTCGACCCCCGTTTCGGCCACGTCGGCTGAAACCGTCGAGCGTCAGCCCTCCAAGTCATCGCAACACATTGCTTCCCAAATCAAAACAGCAGCCCCGACGGCCAAGGACTCGCAGCCTGCACCGCCCCATGTAATTCATAAGAAGTCATCTTTCTTCCGGAGGAGAAAGAAGTCTATTGTTGACACACCACCGGTACCACTACCACCTGCTTCCATTGTCTCCCCGCCGCCCCGGTCAGCCAAGCCAATGGAGATTGAAGTGGACCACTCGCGGACCATTGAGTTGGCCGCACCCAGCCCTGTCAGCAGCTTGCGGCAAGTCATGAACCCATACTTGAAGGGCAGCAATCCCGCAACACCCAGCGACCTCCTGACGCCGGGCAGACGAGAGCGTGAGACGATATCAGCGGAGTATGATGTTGAGGATGGCGAGCTCGATTGGAGACGGAAGAGTAGGGGATTCTCGCCGGATTATGAACCCAGCCCGAATGCTACCATCAGGACGGTCAAGTCGCAATCCGCCCTCTATAGCAGGAGTCGCGAATCTGTCGCCACGAGTATACCGAAGAGATCATCACGAATGGACAGCCCCCACCGAGAACCTCCAGACGTTCCCGGCCCACGGCCTATGCTTACTCGCGATGCTACTTTCTTCGAGGACAACAGCGATACAGACGGAGACAAGCCCACCACCCTGACAGTACTAACCGTCCCGGAACCACAAAGGTCGCCCATCCTGTTGAGCCCTGCAGATCCGCAAGGCCTCCCTGGCGGATTTCCCACACCGCCAACCGGCACCCCGAGGGATTCACCCAGTGGCCCGCCGACGTCCGAGTTCCAAGCGGGCAACGCCCACGAGAATTCGTCTTTGAAAGAGTCCGCCTCACCTGGCTTGGTACTTCAGCCAAACGTCTCGAACGAAGAAAGCAGGGATCGTCCAGATAGTCTCGGACTCCCCATCCAAGCTCAGCAAACGCACAGTACCATTAGAGATTCAATCCAGAGGTCCCGCTCGGCTGCCAGCTTGCCGAGCGTCAAGGTCGAGAGCGCTGACATCACCCCAAAAATGACCGGTTCGCCGCTGGATGAACCCGAGGTGGCCGTTGGTGAACCGACCGAGGATGACCGCCAAAAAGCGCAGCGCATCTTCGATGGCAATGAGGATTTCATCCAGAAGGACCGGGCGGCAGCTTGGATTGGAGAGGAGGGCCTGGTGCGGCAGCGAACGCTCCGGGCTTATATGGACCTGTATGACTTCACCGACAAGAGCGTCCTCACCGCTCTACGTGAGGTCTGTGGCAGACTAGTCCTGCGGGCCGAGACCCAGCAGGTAGACCGCATCTTGGTTGCTTTCTCCAAGCATTGGTGTGAATGCAATTCCAACCACGGGTTCAAGTCCATGGGTAAGCTCCGGTATACACCATGAAATGTGCAATTGCTAACAAGCCCAGATGTTATCCATACGATGTGTTATTCTATCATGCTTCTGAATACCGATCTTCACCTTGCAGATATTGAGTACAAGATGACGCGCAGCCAGTTCATCAAGAATACCATGACCACGATCAAGCAAGCCTTGGTTGAGTCGGACCCTGACGCTTTCGAGCGACCGTCTATCCTACCTGGCAGGAATGCATTGCTGAGCCCTGCGGAACCCGAAAGCAATGTTTCAGGGGAGCAAGAGCGGAAGAATTGGCGCTCGTCGTTCATCCCGCCGAGGTCTGAGTCTCGATTGGGTGACTACGGCGACCAGGAGCCTGACAGCTGCGGACCACTGGTCAAGTCACCGTTCAATGGCTCGATGCGCGCCTGGGAGAACCAGATGGAACTCGTACTCAAGGATATCTACAACTCGATTCGGGACGATCGTCTGCCTTTGTTCGGTGGTGCGCCTGAGCAAGCAGCCTCGCAACTGCAGCAGCCAGGCGGGCTGTCGGTCATGGGGATGCTGAAACGAAGCCCGAGTGTTCTTAGTAAGGCCCCATCGGAGAGCGCCTCAATGACCCGCGGAAGAAACGATGGTTCCAACCGTCCGAATGCTGGTCGCTGGAGCTCAAAGAGCAGGTCCCGTCCTCGCATCGGCACTGCCGGCTTCTCGTCCAGCCGTACGAGCTTCGATGACGGCAACTCTATATGGAGCCCGACTGTCTCCTCTGCGACCTGGAGCCGTTACTCCCTGGGAAGAACGCAGACATCCCCGTCAGTGGATTCGTTGGGGTCATCCTATCTACACGGCGATTATCAGCAGTCGATAGGTTTTGCAAACGCCCTATCCCAAGCAATCATCCGTGAAGACCACCAGCTTGAGATCACCCGATCCATCATGAGCGAGGAGGTCAATGGCGCTGCTTTGCTTGAGGACGAATCACTCGAATTGACCGGCCCCCCATGGATGAAGGAAGGAATCGTCATCCACAAACACCATCTTGACGGCATTGAAAAGAAGGCTAAGGACCGTAACTGGAGCGAGGTGTTTGCTGTCATTCAAAAGGGCTCCATGAGTCTCTTCTCCTTCTCTACCAAGTCGATGCGGAGCAAGGCGCGTATGGGTCGCAAGCAAGCACCTGGTGGCGTGGTCGGCGGCGGCAACTGGCAGGAGAATGCCACTAACCTTGGCACCTTCTCGTTGCGCCAGACTCTTGCCTCTGCATTACCCTCGCCCGGCTATTCCAGGACACGACCGCACGTTTGGGCTCTGAGTCTGCCAACCGGTGCTGTCCACCTGTTCCAAGTGGGCACGCCGGAGATCTGCAAGGAGTTTGTTTTGACGGTCAATTACTGGTCCGCACGTCTATCCACTCACCCTCTTGTTGGTGGTATTTCCAACATCGAGTATGGCTGGAGCGATGCTTGCATTAACAATGCGCTTGTGAACGCTATCAACGACAATCAGCCCCCGCCTCGACCTGGGTCGGCAGCTGCTGGGCGCACCTCTATGCACAGCCGAAACAACAGCCGGCAAAGCAGCTTGCGATCAAGCTTCGACATGGGTGGCTCAAGCACGAGGACAAAGTTGCCGGGAGATCGGATTCACATCGCAGAATGGACGCCACCGGCGCAAAGCATGCGTCCGTCCAACGTGGGCGAGACCGAACAACACGAGACCCTCCTCGCCTACGTGAAGAGCATCGAGGACGAGTTACAGAAACATAACCAACTGCGCTCCCCCATGCTGCTGGCATTCACTCCCAGAGGATCGAATGCCACTAAGGCCATGGCCAACTGGGAGAAGAAGAGCAGCTACCTCCTGCGCGAGATTGTCAAGTTCAGGACATACGTCGACTGCCTGCAGCTGGCAGAGCAGAGGCGCAAGGAGATTTACGACGATCGCGAGATCGCCCGTCGCGCTGCACGCGGCGAGGACGAAATGTACGACGACGTCGAGCAAGACGACGCAGATCAAACGATCAAGATCAGCCAATAGCGAGCGCGAAGGCATAAAGACACACTTCTAAGGTGTTATTTCTATAATACATATTTCCCCTCCATTCAAACGCTCATTGCTACTGTTGCATTGGGCGAAGACATATTGTATGAGTTGGCAAAAAGCGGAGCGTCGGAGCATGGACATTCACGGTTTTTCTTTTCAAGGCGTTTGCCATGCTTTATGCAACGATTTGAGAGATAGGGGCGCGATCACAAGACGAGACGCGAAAGTGGACGAGAGAATCAGTTCCTAAAGATACAGAGGACGCTTGCACGTTTCCCGATACCCGAAACGGCGCACTTTCAACTTTTCGGTCCTCTGTAGGACAAAAAGGTGCACTTTGTAGATACTAATGGTACATGCATAAATGGAATCGCACTACAACAGTGTCCAAATGTCGTTACTTGGGTTTCATTCTTTCCTCTCGTGGATTCTTGTGGATGCCTCCTATAAGTTGTGAGTGTGTAGTAGGTAGAAGCTTGGCGCTAATGCACCTAGGGGCCCTTGTCAATAATACGTTGAACTTTGCCCTGTCTTCGACGAAAGCATAGGCTCGAATCTATTGAATCAGGTAAATCGTCGTACTTTGCTGTGCTGGAGTATGAATGTAATCAAGTTTGGCTTGCGAGTTGATTCATTCATTGTCTCGGTGATCTCGGGGCATCGCAGCTTGCACGTGGCGGATGTGACGTCACCCAAGAGTCAGGCAGGCGCCGGAGCGTTTGCTCCAACCCCTGATAACACACTCTACATTACAAACATGTTCGGCCATCCATCAGCCAGAGGACATCACGTCGTCCGCAACACTTGCGACTTCGACGCGAGAATACATAAAACTCACCACGATGGTTAACAGGCAAGAGCAGATCGCTCGGTCCATCATCAAAGCCATCTTGAACACGGACGAGAATGGTCTGCCACTGTCCAAGCCGTCGGTTCTGCGCCGTCTCTTCGGCTTGTTCAACCTGTACTGGCTGACACTCCAGCTGGTCAAGTCCGACCTCTTCAACGCCCTGCGCGCGTTCTGGGTCATCAATGACGGCGAGTACAAGGCGAGCTTCGGCTCGGACTGGAAGACTGGCAAGAAGCAGAAGGACATCCTGCAGGGCCTCGGCGACATGGGATACAGCGGCTCGACCTTCTTCCGCACCAGCGACAGCTCGTACCTGATCAAGTCGGTGCCAAGGCATTTTGAGAACGCCTTCTTCAAGAACGAGATGCTGGTGCCGTACGCCGACCACATGCGTGCGAATCCGGGCAGCCTTCTGATCCGCATCACGGACTTTCTGGAGTGCTCCAACAGGAGTCTTGGCACGTTGCTGGGCCTCGCTCCGAGCCACCACATCGTCATGGAGAACATCCTGTACGGCCAGGACGAGTCCCGCGAGGACGGAAAGGGCGTCAAGTGGGAGTCGTGGGACCTCAAACCGACTTCCTACTTCTTTCCCGAGCGCGACGTAGCCGGTGGTGCTCTGGCGTCCGAGGCGACCAAGTCCAGGCTCGCAGACGAGTTCGATGACAAGATCCACCTCACCCTCGACCAGGCGGAAGAGTTCAAGGCTCAACTTCAGAAGGACACCAAGCTACTCGCCGACTGTAACGCCGTGGATTACTCCCTGTTTCTTGTCAGACTCTCAGCCTCTAAGCCCGAGGGCCAGCCGAGGCCGGGAGGCGACGAGCTCCTGCCGCCGGCGAACCCTCCCTTCGCTCCTCCTGGACCGCCGAGCTGGCGCCTTGGCATGGTCTCCAGTGACGGCAAGGAGGTCTACCGCGCAGCTGTCCTCGATTTTTTCTGGGCCAAGCACACGCTCCACGCCAAGACCATGACCGGGCTGGTCAAGACGTACAACCTGATCGACAAGCAGGGGCCCATGAGCATCACCGCCGCGAGCTCCGAGTACCGTGAGAGGTTTCTGAAGATGGCCATGGAGATGATAGACGTGGAAGGAGCCCCGGAGTGGGGCAAGAGTACAGAACGTTTGGGTTCCATTGAAGAGGAGTAATTCTCGGGACAGCAATGCGTTGAGTTGCGAGTTGTCTTGCGTTGGACTTTTGTTTTGATCAGTCATTGAGTATGAGATACCCTTCTAATGAATTGTACGCTACGGTTTTATGACAGACACGAATCAGATGTATGATTTTGCTGTGCCAAACCCCCTCTTAAGTCGACGAGATATCAGTCGGGCATCAGATCTACTTTGTGACAGTATTCGTGCAACTAGTTCTTTCCTACGACACGGTATATGTACCGTATGGTATTATTATGTTATCACGGGGTACAAGAGTCTTGAAGGGAAGCTACTTGAAACGATTAAGATTCGTTGAAATCGAGCGGCCTTAAGCACCATTCAGGGGCTGCTTGTACACAACGCCATCGATCGTCGTAGTCATGGTCCCATTGGCGTTGAATATGTTCGTCAGGGCATCTATCTCAAGATGGAAGCCTTCCGGGCTGGTGACCTTGGTGCCGCGAGACGTAGGCCCAACACGCTCGAGATCGGAGAACCATTCGAGCTTGTTGAGGGTGAGCGTGGGCGACGACGCTGTGACATTCTCAGTCCCACGCAGGAAGTTGACGCCGTCGTCCGAGAACTCGTGGTACGTGACAGCAACGCTTTTCACGCCCGTCTTGTCCATATTCTCTACTATCTCCACCTCCGCTGAGCCGCTGACCGCGCCCTTCAGGGTGTAAGTGCCCTCGGGTGGATAGTTACCTGTGATCGCCGGCACCGTCTCACCGGGTACGTAGGCTGTAGCCCATGGAATGATATCAGGTGCTTCCTCAGTCAGGGAGCCGTTCGTTGCAAGAGGCGTGCGACTTGTCAGTGTCGCCAGCATCATGCGTTCCGTCCGGCCTCCAGGCTCCCTGGACGCATAGCACGGCAGGGGGTTCGCGCCGCCGCATGCCGGCGCCACCGCCAACGCCTGCCAGTACACGATCTGCGTCCCGTCGGGCGAGAAGCGCGGGTCCGCCTGCCCGTTCCACTCCGGGTCGTCGACGTCTCCACTGCCGGGGATGCCGGCGGCGCGGCCGGCCACGCCGTTGACCTGCTGGCCGAAGTAGCAGCCGCGGTCGCCATGCGCGTCGAGCAGCCACGGCTGGAAGAAGCGCCGCGCAGGCCCGCCGCGAACATCTGGCGTTCGCTGCCCCGCGTGTCCATTACCACCGTCCAGCCGTCGTCCGGCGATCCGATGTACGTGACCTCGCGGCCGGAGCCGCTGAACCCGCGGAGCTCCCCCACCGTCACGGCCTCCGGGTGCAGCGCCAGCGTGCCGGCGTCGGTGTCCCAGGAGATGGGCGGCGTGCCGTGCGGGTCGTAAAGCCGGTTCACGCGGATGAGATCGTAACGCGGCGCCAGGGGCGTGCCGCTCGTCGGTGCTGCGTTGTAGCTGAGCCGCGCAAAGTAGCCGAACTGCGCCAGCCGGCCGTCGGCGCTCGTCGCGAACGAGTTGAAGCCCAGGTGCACGTTGTCCGGGTGCAGGCGCAGCTCCCGCATGCTTCCGCCGGGACCCGTGTCATTGCCGGCGGCGCTCGTCGCCCAGCGGATCGGATAGATGAAGGTCGACTCCGGTGTGCACGCCTCGCTTGTCAGGAGGTTGTCGCCACACGAAACGATTTCAGTCCCTGCCAGGAGCCTCTGGCCATCCCGGAACGCTTGCGGGTAGTCCCACTGCGTGCTGCGTCCGCCGGGGGCGTTGGCATCGGGCACACCGCACGTGATACATTTCCAGGGGTCGCCGTTGGGGAACGTGGTGTTGTCGGTCTTGACGAGGATGATCTGCTGGCCGGCGTAGATGCTAGCCGGGTGCGGCGCGGCCGGGGCGCCGGCGAAGAGCACAGTGGCTACAACGTGCTTGCCGTCGGGGAGAAAGTCGCCGGACTGCAGGCCGGTTGAGACGCCGATGCAACCTGTCCCACGCGGGTTTACGGCTGCCGAGCAGGCACCCGCGGCGTTTGACTGTGTCACTGGCGGTAGCGGCAGCTGGATAATGGAGATGGGCTCTGGTTTTGGGGCAGGTGGCCCTGGCATAGGGATGCCCGGATGCTCTTCGTCGCATTGAAGGTATTGATTCCGCGTTGCAGAGGAGACCAGGGATACCGAGGCACTCCCAAGAAGAATTTGACTTGAGATCTTCATAGTTAGGGACGCTGTTGCCTAGATCATGGAGGTTGGAGTGAATGCACATGCTCAACTGAGGCTGGTTGGGGTGACAGACGTACTTATAAGAGTGACATGGCGTTCGGATATACTGCGCACAATGTCCTAAGTTCACTTATAGGTTATGGATCGTCGCGAACAGTTTCCCAAGTAATACAGCCAATCCGCAAAAGTCGGATTCGACGATTAGCGGCTTTCACGTATCGAAATTGCTTTGGTTGGTACGGTCATTGGATGCCTACCCGTATTCGTATATATGGGTATTGATAACCTGCTACCAATCAGCGATCGCTGTATACGTTGCTATACGAAACATGGGAGGGCGTCGAGGTAGTCGAGGATGCAGACGGCCGACTTTCCTTTTTTAGGCCATTAGTGCTGAAGGAATAGCTCTGATTGGTTGCTTTAGTGTCAGCCCAAGAATGCTGTGTGGGCTTAGCTTGGAAACCCACAGGAAAGCTAAAACAGTGAATCCTTGTCCTGTATAGCACATTGGTCACGCTGAAATGCACCAAATGGTATATTCTGGTAATAGAAGAGATATTATAATGTACTTGGTCATCCGTCTGCCAAGCTTGGCCATGCCTGCCATGCCTACTGCTATAATGCAGATCGACTGCGCTTTTCCCCGACCGTGATCAATATTAAACCTTGTCGCCAATGTCTATCCGGACTTCTGTCCTCCGCGTAATCGCGCCTTGCTTCGGCAGATCATCGAACTCGTTCATCTCTATGCCTTCACCGCCCCGCGCTTCCGCCACTATGCCCCTCTGACTATTCGAGTCAGACATGTTGTCGGATGTCCCATCGAAGCCGCTGCCGTTCCGAAGATAGCCGTTCTTTGATCGTCCGTGGAAGCCCGAAGTCGTTACACTGACACCGTGGTTCCCGGACCTTGCGTAGCCGGTTCGTGCACCACTGGTCTTCCCTGGGTATTGGTTGGAGCTCTCCAGCTTGCTCCTGAGGCCGCACTTGTACGAGAGCAGACGGACTAGTGGCTGCAGCGATGGGAAGCAAGCGCACCACAGGCCGACATGAGCCTCGAGGTCCGTCCATAATAGCACTGAAATCTTGTACGTTGTATCTTTGGAGAAGTCGGTGCTAACGATAATGGCGAGGCGGACGATGCCTGTGGCCAAAACAAATATGCCGACGAGAAAAATCAAGACGACCCGGATAGCCTTGGCTGTGTGCATCATTTTGCTTCTCACTATCCAGATTGGTAGAAAGAATAGCGCTAGATCGATAACGATTCCTATGGAAGAGTGCGCCCACATCACGTACGCTTCGGTTTGTTTGGCAATGCAGTCGCCGGTCGCCCCCGGAGGTTGGAAGAGATCACTAAGTCGAAGTCAGCAACCGACGCTTCCCATTTCCTCATGTGGCGATGTGACATACCTTATATTCTTACATTCTAGTAATCGAAAAAGGAAACAACCAACGGTTTGAAGAAGGATGACGCCTCCAGTTGTATACGTCAGGATCTTGAAGAGTCCTGAGACAATGGGCATGTAAGTAAAAGCTGCATGAGGAACATTGCGGTTGGCCTAGCTTACTGTCTTTTGCGAGGCGGAGCAGGAATGCAACGATGGCGAGTCGCATCAAACCAACGCACCAAAAGTACAACAGTTGCTGGGTGGTCAGGGCTGAAAAGTACGGCACGATGAACTCTTCAGGTATCTGGTCCTGGTGAGCTCCGGCGCCAAAAGTCACAACTGAATACCGTCAGCGCTGTCAACCCCGGCAGGAGGGGATCAGCTCTCAACTCACGCCGTATGTCAAGCCCGGCCCAAATAACCAACAGCAGGTACGTAACCACAGTCACAAGATCGTCCAGTCCTAGGCCTTTCGTCATGAACGCCCTCACGTAGAGCCGGCAAAACACGATGATCGTCGAGAAGACGATGAGCCATATGTTGAGATCGCGCAGGACAAAGCCCTGGTAGTCGGTCGTCTGGCTGAAGTCGAACGCCGGGAGCGACATGTTGGCAAGGGTTATGGCGAGACCTCAAAAGATCTTGGCCCTTGCGTAGTGATCGGTCCCAAATGATAGTCTTGAGATGCAAACCGCCGATCACTCATGGCTCTTGCGGGATATGATATAACTAGGGGCAGTGGAATGGCACACGCCGGATTCGTTGACAGCACAACTACTCTTATCCCCTCCCAGCTCTTGTGGGTTCCCCAGTTTTGGAGACGACCCATTTTTGGGCATCCTTGTAGCATATAGCGCCTGCGCCCTTGGACCTGACTCGAGTCAAGAATCCAGGCTATGCAACTATTGCTGGGGTGCAGCATGGAGTATGGGGTTAGTATGCTTTCAAGGTTCTTGAAGGCCTGTGGTAGTGAAAGGGGGTGCCATCAAGCGAGCGCAATACCTGCATTAGCTTCTCCTAAGGCAACGGATCGCGCACATTACAAATTATTCTAAATACCCCGGTCCGGATGCTCGACACACTCCCGTTTTTTGTCGTCACCCGTCGTGTTAAATGAGGCTGCCAGAAATATTTCGGCGACCGGGAGATCCAAAACCTCCTTTCTGTCTAGTGTTCAGCCCAGGAGAATGTGGCATACTTGGAAGTAGCCATTCCGGCCCGGGACCGCGCCCGGAGTAACTGGCGACCATACTACAGAGAGGCATGCCATTCAACTGGGTGCAGAATCACCGTAATTGCTTGTGCACCGATGTACATGTTGACACACCTCACGTGTGCTTGTCGAAGTAGCAGTTACAAACCAGCCAATTGAAGTTGGATATTGCGCAGACGGGAGGAGGGCGACGGCCTTGCTACGGCCGCGGGCCGTCTCACTCATTGCCTTGAGGCGTTGATTCTCCTTAACGCAAGGGCTAGTGGTGTGTGCTGCGAAGAGGTTCGACCTCCAAGTGCATTGGCCTCGAGAATAGAGTTTCGGCCATGTCAAATTACATGAAAAGATCCCTGTTGGCGGGGCCGGTGAAAGAAACAACTGGGTCGTGGGGAGCGACATAGCGCCTGGCAAGGTTGGCAGCTGAGGGAGATGGCGGGGCGTCGCGATAAATTCTACTCTATGTGGCATTTAGGCATCAAGGTTATCATCCTTCTGGAAGAACCCGAAACTCGCTTCTCAACACGTGGGAAGACGTGGGCATACATGGTACGGCACTATGGCTAGTCAAGTAGTGAAACGATTACCCAATCCCTAAAGCACTCAGGCTGTGGTTTGCAACGAACTGTGTCATGAAGGTTTTCGAGATGTTCGAAAATGAGCTGGTCCGCTCAGATGTGCCTCGAAACCCCCTGTACGCTTCCTCAGGCCTTAGGTAATTGTTACTGTACACTGCTCAGTGCTTTGAAATCCGGGGACGACAGCGTTCGGCCCCGCATTCCCCCACCTTTGACCCTCTCCTAAGGCCCCTGGGCCCTGGCAAGCCTGGGCCCCGGAGCAGTCGTCAGCGTGTCATCTGCTGGGCTGCCTGGGCAGTTAGGAGTATCTGTCTTCGTGTGGTGGCTTGGGCAGGGCAGGTAATTGGAACCCGTAAAATAAAATCACACCCATGGCCGACCTGGGCGTCTAAACTTTCGTTTGGTTGACAGTGCTCTTGATGTCGCAATGGTGTATGATCTACGGTTAGTCTATCTCGATGGCGTCCACGATGCGTGGCTAATCAGCGCCTTTGGACAAGTCCAGCCCCGGCGACCAGAAGTTGGTGCTCCCGGGAAGCACCCGTAGTCTATCTCTCGGGAATCGACACAGCCATCGGGGGGCCGTCGCTGGCAGCGCGCGCGGACACACACGTACAAAAGGGTCCTTTCAGTCCCTGCATGTGAAGCAACCCTTTTTGGTAGCTGTCAGTGGCGCAATAGTCTCCCTACTAAGTGCACTACTGCCCCTTAAACTCCAGCCTACCCTGGCTCTGGCGCCTCACCTCGATGCCTTCCCGACTTCCGGCGGCGTATGCAGAGTTCAACGATAGGCTACAAGACATCGCCGGGACCGCCTACTACTAGTGCTAACCAGCAAGCACTCCTCGGGTCCGACGGCAAGCGAGCCCGACTCCAGGTTTTCTATTCATAATCTCCACAGACACTGTCCAAAGGAGAAGGCGTATAGCCGACTCCAGGTTCGAGATGTACCGAGTCAAACAGACACCATTGCCTGCAATGTTTGCCGATGCCGAGCTGGAGCCTCGGGTTCGGTCTGTACGGATACGAGATACCGGCACAAGCATATCAGCCAGCGAGACGCTGTCAGCTACGGTAATGCACAAGACATCACACGTTCCCTTCTAGAGTGCCTCCGGAATCATTCAGCTACACGGAGTTAGCACCGACTATTTTGACTAACCCCAGATAACTACTCCGCTAAAGACAGAATCAGTCGTCCCACATCATTGGACCCTGGTCGCAAACTACAACGCTACCCACCTCTAGGGTCTCAGTGACATCCTCATCACTACATAACTACCCAGCATGCAGCCAGGGACTTCTATCCGGTCGTGCCGCTTCCCAAGGCTGCGGGCTCTGATAAACTTGATCTGAAGAGAGCTAACCCACCATTTCCTTGCGAGCATGCTTCCAAGTCGAACCACTTCCATCGCATCGGCACCAGCCCTGCCAGCCTTTCGCTTTGACGTTCGCACAGATCCTTCTGCTTACAATGATACGGTCTTGACATCCCCTGACAGGCTCGGTTGGAGGGAGTTCCATGCTGATCGCAACCCCAGAGGACGGTCAGTGTCGCATGCATTTCGATACAAATGTCAATATACGGGCAACCGTGGCCACGGCGACATAAACCAAGAGGGCTCCTGCACCACGATGGAGAGAACCTGGCACATTTTCTCAGTTCATATCGTGGTCATAGCTTGCCCAGCCATCAGATTCCTTGTCCTGCTCCATTGCCCGCTTTGACAATCACCATGATGTGCATACCGCTCTGGCGGAGACGCATAAATCAATCCACCAGCAGCCAACTTTTGTCCGCGATCAAACGTCTTCCCAATTATGTGTAATGATATCACATGATTGACAGCTTTCCTCTCAGCCGTGGTCAAGCGCTTGGGTGCAGCTTCCGTGGGTCCGGGATCTGCGACTTTATGCCGGCACACAGGTTGCCAAGCCTCAGCTGCTAGGGGTTCCTTCTCAGGTCCTCGACTTGGAGTAAAGCTTGGTGTAACAACACTTTCAACATGGAAAATGTCCAATGAAATCAGAGGCAAAATAATAAGCAGCCGGTTCGCACAAGCTGTACCGGGCCCAGGACTTAAGCCCGAGGGCACCTATCTGAGTTCTTTTGTGTTTAGTACCCTCCAGTATCAATGGCGATCTGGCAAACTCATTCGTTTCATATGCGTGTGACAGTATGGGTTGTGTTACGAACTTCGTGGTGTCAAATATGACCCGCCACACGGTAGGTCCTGTACTCATGACTATCGCCCGGAATACAGAAGCAGACGCAACCTGTGATTCTGCAGCCTCCACGTGCTTGCAACACTTGATTCGGCAGTCTTACCATGCAACACAGCCTTTAGCTTTATCAGACTGATTCATGCTGTCCCTGAAACTAGTGTAAGAGACCTGGTAAAAGTTTAAAATCATCTCAACTCTACCCGAGCTGGCAGCTTCACGTACCCCTTAGACTGGTTGACCTACCGCGCAAACATTGCAGGGCCAACTGCCATGTTCGGTTGCCCTTTCGATTCCACGCGCTAGTTTAGCTCTCGTGGCACCACCTCATGAATAATGTCTCGTTCCATGGTTCAAGCAGCAACATCCTCCTCTCCCGAGATATAGATGTGAACTGCAACGGACCTTGTGATACCTGCCTGTGAATCCCAATCTACTGTCTGTCCTCACTTGATTTGGAACTTTTTACAATATTCTCATTCGCAAGGCAATACAAATCAAGCAAAGCATCAATACTGAGACGGCAACCTGTCGCAGCGTATTGACTTTAAAATTTGCCCCAGAGGAATGTGACGATTGAATTTCGTGAATCATCTGAAGCGCTGGGCAAGGTGAAGGAGCCGAATTGCCGAGTTTTAGTAGAGGTTGTCGATCTGCCAGTAAGCACGGGTAGATGCTGATGTTTTTGACTGGAGGTGGCGTAGTTGATTGGATGGTCGGTTCTGAGTCAGATCCGATCTGCTTCAGCTCAGTTGATCCGCCGTAGATCTCTTTCGGTGCATGCTACAGGTACCACGTCATAAATATTTTCATCTATTTTCGGTGAAATGCGGCTGTCTGCCATTGAAACTGATCTGTCATGCATTTGATTAGTTTGGTGGAACTTGCTAGCCAAATGATCGAAAGGACGTGGCAAGCCACTGTGTCAACTTATTGATCTGACAATCAACTACCAGACCATCTTGCACTCCACATGCATTGATCAAATTATGAGTTCCGGCTTGTAAAAGAACTGCTTCTAATCCTTCCGTGTAATTTGGTCCTGGTGCTTTACTAGAGCCCTTCTGATGATTGTCGAAAATGAGTGATGTAACAATACGCGCTGCATCACAGCCAGTATTGCCAGTAACAACTGTTGCTATGACAATCCCATACTTTGACTTGTAAAACAGTTCACCGCGCTACTTTAGCAGTTGCTAATTCTCCATAGCTTTTTGGAGACGCCCATAATGTGATTACTTGAGGAAATGCATTTCATTGATCGCTAGACTGTGTAGACCGTACTCCTTGAACGCCGTCGATGAGTATAACTTTTCGGAATTCGTTTCGTAGCAAGCCCGACCACCCGGTCGTGTGCAAGCCACCTAGACAAGTAGAGCTGCGACGGCTGCAGCACCCGCCAGGCCAAAGCTAGCCTCGTTCACTCCCGCGGCGTTCGTGTTCGTGGGAGCTGCCGAAACGGCGGCTCCCAAGCTGCTGGTAGCCGCTGCAACCTCGGTTGAGGACGGATTCTCTTTCCACCTTTGGCAGAGATTGCCTAGAGCCTCGCCAGCATCTGATAGGTGAAAAGTCAGTGTCATTTATAGGGGGACCATAGGGTGTATGCTTACTGAACCCATTGCAGTTGGAGGGGTTAACGCAGGCTCCCATTCTGATTGCGAAACCCGTCGTGTCTTTGCAAATGCAGTTGAAATCGGTCTGGCTGCAGCCCCGGTTCTTAGCTGTGTCGGCAAAGCATTTCAGGCTGCATGATGGGAAGTCCTTGACAGCTTCTGGAAGGGTCTTGTCGGCTGCCACAAGGGCTGCAAGTGCTGAGATGGCAAGAATCTTGAACTGCATGGTGGATTGGCAAGATAATACAGAACGTATGAGATAGTATGGGATTTGGTGTTAGACGGTCAATTCAAATTGTAGAGAGGAACATAACGCCAAGAGCAGGAACGCAACAGACCTTTATACTGACGTCGAAGGAATGACAGAGCTGGAGTGCGGCGCCGTGCTGCCCTATTTCAGCAGCTCGATGATATGATCGTCCTTGCTGGACAAGGCTCAGACGTTGAGATCGGCTCTCGGTGGACTTGGATGTCCAAATAAGGTCGCCGTTAGTCCAGCTGACCCCTGCATATGCCTGCAGTGTGGAGATTGGGGGCAGTTTGTCTGAATGGAAATGCGCTGCTCGCTCTGACAAAGGCCATGTAGATGATATGATGCAATGTGTTCATTCCTTGGCTGCTTACTCATTTCCTCTTTCCGACTGATCGGTGTAGATCCTTGACCTATTACGTCTCATTTTACGATATGTACCGCGCGCTGCGGGCTGACGAATCCTTCGCGAAGTCTTAAATTGCAGCCGACGCTCTCGAGCATGGTTGTCGAGGCCATGAATTTCGTAATTATAACAAAGCGAGGAAACGCCTGGAGAACTGTGCGGAGTTCTGCAACGGACAAGTCTGTTGAAAGTTGAAGGTTGACGTATATTAACGATGCGTACTTCGCTGTGCCCGAAGAAGCATTCCGGTTTTGGCTTGCCCCAGACTGTCGGTCTCGGTTCACCCATTGTGCAAATGAAAGATATAAAGCGCAATTTGAACGGATGCAGGTCGATGGCAAGTGTCATTCGAAGAGCGTTATCCATTCCATATGCTGGATGACGTTGATCAAGAACAATGATCTTACAAATTTGTGGCGTGGTTTTCGGTGCCGTAACCAATCTTGCTGAGCCTCAAACTTAGCTTCATAGCTGACCTGAGGCTGGGACTGGTGCGGCACGATGATCTGCAATGCCACAGCCAAATGATTGGCACAATTTAGTACTCAATGTCTCCTGAGCTTTCCCCACTGATTCATGGGTGATATGACAAGGAAGATCATCAGCGGCCTCCCTCTCATCGACATCGCATGGACACACAAATCAATTTGATGCATCATACTTCTAGCCTTATGATGTCATGTGACCTCGTCTAAATCAATTGGTGTCTTAACTTGTATAGTGCATCCACGAGAGACTGACATATGATACACTATCCACCGTTTTCGTATACAAAGACCCCATAGACAAGATACCACGGGAGTAAAAGTGAACTCTAATCCATAATTTGCAGTCGTGAGTAAAATCTATGCTGGCGGGCCACCTCCAAAACGCTTCTGTATATTTTGGAGTCGACCTCGGTCCATGATTGAGAAGTCTTGTCCTTTGTCTCATTAACTGTTTCTGTATGACATGCTGTATTGAGGCTGAACATGTTCATAGTATGAAGCGTCAGAAAGGTCGCTAGAGTTGTGCTGCTTTGGCGGATATTGTGTCGTCTGCGCGTACAACCTTAGATTCAAAGGTCTACTTTGCTCAGCGTGCAGATCCGACTTCAATAGCGCATTGTGCATGCTAAATACGAACTTGACAGCAGCCACAAACTCTTTTGGATTACACATGGCAATCCAAGCCTGCCATCCAAGGACACCTCCCTGGCGGTAGGCAGTACCTCCAACATGTTCCCTGTCGTCGCGAAACGATGGGACCTCGTGAGAAGGAGAATTGACGCGGTAGGGTGTAACACTGTACGCGAAGTGGAAAAAGACAGAAAATATGACAAGTTCGCAACTAGTCAGTAGGAGAGGGATGCCGATCTCAAGATCGGTATAGCTCAAGGTCGCATTCGGTTCTAAAGGTGATGGGCTGACACGACGAAGAATCGTGTATACGATCTGGTGTCCTGTCAGCTTTGTCTTGCTTTAATCCATGCCATCCTAGATGGTGCCAGAATCGAAGACCGATGTCAGGTTCCGGACTTCAGAAAATGGGCATCTCACTCAAGAAGCCAAGGAGTGGTATAAAGAGGATATCGCCCTTACCTGCTGGAGAAATTGCAGCCCAATGAGCAACTTGAATGCCAAGAACTTCGGCATTGCCCTGTGTGGACGCAACTCGACCTTCAACTTGACATAGGTCTTGAGTACAGCAACCACAGCTAATCCCATACTAGCTATGGAGAGGATATCAAGCCAGAGGGAGGCGAAGTAGGGTTTGCGACCTCCATGGCAATACACGCCGGCGCTTTCTGTAATCGCGGTGAAAATTGCAACCATGATAGAGACTATCGGGTACTGGAAAACGAATATCCATGTCCTTCGATAGGCCGCAACTAACTTGGTGGTGCTGTGCCCAGTATTCTTCTGGATAATCCTCAACGGAGCGAGGAAAACATCCTGGAGCTCATCAACCTCAGAAGCAAGGAGGCGGCACAACAAGATAAAGAATGCAGCCATGGCGAAAGCTTGCGCTACCTCTAGCCAGGGGTGCAGATACACGTAGGCAGCCGGGGCGCAGACCTCGATTAAGGTTCCGATGGCGTATATTGGAATGAAGGCACATATCCTCAGGATGCTAGATGCTGTGAGCATCGAGCTGGGACAGGTACAGGGACAAATACGGATCAGACATACTTGGCCTGCTCTTTGGGCTTAGTGAAGTGTCGCGCATGCCGGACCATCAGGGTCAGCATTGCGATACTGGCAAATGCAGCGCAGGCGCCAGAAATGATCATGTTGAGATTGTGAAAGTCATAAGGCCCTGCGATTGGCACTGTAGGTGCTGGAGAAAATCGCATTAGTATATGAATGAGTAAGTCTGTCCATAGGCGCTTTACATGTATCGAACGCATGTTTCTCGCAAACATGATTGGTGCTCGAATCATCTCCTGTAGAGGTCTTTGAGTGATGGTTTCCCATATCGAATTATTCGTTCACCACCGGACTCGGATTGCCAAGGACTTAAATATCCGATTGGAGAAGATCAAAACGTAGAATGGTCAGTGAGGTTGGAAATGTGCCCAGCAGCTCAGTGCTGGGCTGATTGATTTATATTCCTACTTTGCGGAGCTATACACGCCTGCCTTCACATTGAGTCAGCCTCACGAAGCAAGGTTAGGGTAGCTGAATCCACAGAATGAGCAGTGCCTCACATTCAGAGAAAATGGTGAAGATCATGCTCTTTGGACGTTCCAAACCGAAGCCTTCTGTGCGGCAAAGCGTACAGACAAACAATTAAGGACTAGCAACGACGCATGTCGGTTTCGTTTAGCAGCTGCCCGTACTCTGATTGGCTGGGGAATGGAGAAGGAACTGTGCCCCACGTGGCGCATGGATGCGCTGCGGTCGGGTCTGTATCCACTGTGGCCCTTCAAGTAGTTTGCCGTCCAGATTTCGCTTTCGCTATCGTTCAGAACTTGTTAGGGTCGGTACGATGTGCCCGCAGTCGATCATCTCCACATAGTTTAATGCTTACGACTACTACAAGCTGATCCCTGTGCCACTGCTATCAAGGAAGCCAGCAGGTGCTGGGCTGATGTGAGCATTGCTCCCTTGGCCGAAAAACTGGATAGATACTTACGTTTGACCAAGATGTTCCATAGGAGAGTGGGTGAGACATTGCACCCTGCCACACTATCGCGTCCGAACTCGAGCATGTTTTCCGGTGCTCCATTCAGTCCGCCTGAGACGCATCCGCCTTCTCCTGAAGATGAACAAGACATTATCTTGGGGTATCGAAGCATTCCACACTATCGACTAGCTACATTGCGAAAGCCATCTGCTTGCGAGATACCCATTATGTTGTATGAATGAAAGAAATTGAGCTTGAGTGATGCGATCCTTATGGGGTGCGATGTGTGATGTATTAAAGATGGAGAATGCAAGTCTCCGTGGCACCCACTAAGGTGGGTTACCGCACAACTAGCTTATCTCCTTATCTATAACCAGCTGCCACCAGCTGACTTTCCCAAGACAGCTGGCGGAGCTATCTATCTGTATACCCCCTTACCAAAACGTATCATTGAGGCAGATGGCAATTCCATAGTGGGTCCGTTCCCCTACTGATGCTGAATATTGAGGTGCGAATCAGTGGCATATAGAGTTTGCTTTTACTTGCGATGGTACGCGCGTGGTGTATTGTTGCACCAGCTGGCAATCAGTAGCAGTGGCGAACTCCCAGCTGGCGAAGCTTTTAAGCCACAACCACCTATACTGAAATGTATCGCATATCTTGTGCATGCCGCCTTCTAACCAAGTGGGATGAGTTACCATTGTCAAGTTATTACATTAGCTATAGTCCAACTGTCTATCCTACTTCGAGTCGTAAAAAGGAACAACAAGAGGATCGTAACTGTCGTTTCCGTAGGCTGACCCTGCATATTCAAGATACCCATCTACATACGGTTGTGGAATCTCACCAACGATATCTGCCGCGTTACCGAACACCCACACGGTCTGCATACCAAGAATCATGTGTCCGGCAATGTGGCAATGCATCATCCAAGCACCTACGTTGTCCTCTGTCACCCTGATACGCCAGGCCCTCCAGCCGCTCGTGTGGAAGGCCGGCCCGGTTGTTGCATAACGGTACAGCTGTGTCGTGTCTCGCTTCGCAGGGGTATAATTGGCGAACTTCTTTTCGTTTACTTCTGGATCGTACGTCCCGTTGCCGGAGCCTAAATCCCAATAATGCTCGCCGTGGGCGTGCATCGGGTGGGTATCGAAGCCTCCCGTGGGGCCAGAGTTACTGAGCCAGACGATATCGAGCGTCTCACCGACCAAGGCAGGAAAAGCGCGGGTCTTAGGGTCCCATCCCCCATTGGCAATAGCAGCATCGTAGTCCGGCACAGAACCAGTCTTGTAGGCCGATACAAGATATGGAGTGAACTGCTGTGCGGCCAAGGCGGTTTCTGACCAACTCAGATTGTTGGCGCTGTTAGACGATTAGCATGGCATTTTGGGGGGACGTGAACACTTTGCCTCTATTAATGTTTGGATTAACTTACTCCCATTGGAGTATCCCATTGATAGATCCATTGTAAAACCCATCGATGACGTGCTGATTGACTCGAATATAGACCGTTCGAGTGACCTCGGAGGCTGTTGGAAAGGTGTCCAGCGGGCTCAGGGGCTCGAGTGTGTCTTCTAACCATCTGGTGTACTCCGAGACGTTGCGAGTCAGTGTCACTGGAGACACGGACGGTAGATCCTGGGGTAGCTCTCGCTTCGTCTTCTTGCAGCCCACAGTTTTGTATTCCAACACAGCATAACCCGTAACATTGGTTGGCCGGTCGCGGCTTTCATATCGAATCCAGTAAGTCGTCTTCCCCTCTGCGTCGAGCTGCTCCTGTGTCTTCGTTTTCAAGAGTGCACTGAAACGCTGGCCACTGCCAAGCTGAATGTGGTCGGTCTTTGCTGGTTTTGTGTACTGCCCATCGGCTTCGATAATCGTGAGATCCTCATGCCCCTCGAAGCCAACCATGACAAATGACAAAGCGGTTCCGCTTATGAAGCGCATTCGGTATGTCTTTCCTGGTTCAACAGTGATAACGTGAGGCTTGCAGGAGTCATCTGAGGCGTTTGTGAAAGACGCATTGCCCGACTGGTCGTTCATGATTATAGCTTCCGGCTCCCCCGTCCATTTGAAGGGGTTCGCCACTAGCCCGGCCTCGAGGACATGGTCCTCCTTCTGATAGAAATCGCTGAACAAGATGGGGATATCGTCATCGTATTCATACGGCCTGGTTTCATTGGCGCCGTCAACTATCAAGACACCATGTGCGGTGAGCGCCTGGAAACCCACGTGCGAGTGGTAGAAATATGTTCCAGCGTCGCCGACTTCGGGATGGACTTCGTAGTCAAAGAACTCGCCAGGCGCGATAGGCCATTGAGATACCAACGGTGTGCCATCGGAGAATGGTGCTGTTCTTTGGGACAGGCCATGCCAGTGCTTAGAGGGTATTAGCTCTTTCCACTTGTCGGGGGTCAGGATAAAGGCGTACTACTGTCACGTTGCTATCTTCGATGTGATTATACACGCGGATCCACGTCGTCTTCCCTTCTTGCATATACAGTGCTGGTCCTGGTGATGTGCCATTGAAGACTACGGAATGGCGTGAGTGGCAGTTGGTGGTTATGTTCTGCGCAGTTGCGATCAGCACATATTCAGGGTGCCAGCTTTCATCATGAATAACTGCGTCCCGAGTGGCAAGACATGGCTGCAGCAGGCTTAGAGAGCCAAGTACTGCCAGAAATCTGTTATGTTGCCACATAGTAATGAGCGGCCTTTGAAATCAAGGAACTGTATCAACTTCGCCGGTGCTGAGCGCCGTAGGGCTGCCAGTATATGTACCTTGTTGCCAGCCGTACAGCAGAAGCCGGCGACCCCCTTGATTGGATGGCTCGCGTCAGCGAACACCGCCATCCGGACAATGCTCTGGTCTAACGGGCCCGGACAGAAACGCCATGCTCCCTTAGGGTAGCTTGCATTGGGGCACAGGAGAAAGATCGTCGGTGCAACAAGCAAACTAGGCTAGGTGCGTAAGCAGTAAAATTGGTGCATCCTTCTGAAAATAGGCCATGCAATGGTTTGTCTACTCGAGTGGCTATGTACCTCAATGCCTGATCAATGTGTTGTATGAAGTCATTTGAGATCCGCAGGCCTTTTCATTTGCTCGAACTCTAAAATCTCCGGGTGAAGCGGCCGCTTGCAGGGATGGAAGGCTTATTAGCTTCGCTTCAAACAAGAAGCATCGAAGCTGTGATTCCCGGAAAATGCCAAGTTTCACGCGGGAACCTATTGCAGGCTTCGGAATTGAATAGCTTCGCAATATTTGGTATGGAGCGTGGCAGTCATGAGGAAAGGTTGGGTCGACGTTGAACAGTGGCGCATCAGTGTATATATGTCGCGTTCGTCACTTGTCGTCCAATACCCGCCTGGCCACGGATGCATGCATCGCGACAACGGGTATTAAGCAACAAGGTCGTAGTACGACCACCCTGCCAGGTGACAAACAATCGAGAGCCCTTACACGCAGCATAATGGAAGCGCATACCATAGTAGTGCTGCCGGCCAGAATTCACACTACATACTGGTGGTTGCAGATCTAGCTTGCCCAAACGTTCGGGTTAGTTTAGAAGGAGCGCTTTTTCTATGAAAAGTGGTGGCCTCAACGGGCTGCGCTATTGCGCAACTTGCTTCTTGAAATGACAGTGGCCAGCACACTCAAAAAGATTCAGTCGCGGAAATAGATCAACATAAACTAATTCCCAACGGTCGCATTAAGTTACATATCGAAAGTTAATCCTCTTGAAAGATATGGTAAATTGGCATTTTCAGCCCATCGGTACCAGATCTCCAAGCAAGACAATCCCCGGGAGATCCGACCACGTGCTGCCGTGTGATAGCAGGCCCTTGCAGATATATGCAGGCTATAACTCTATTTGTTCTTCTCCATGTGTGACTAGGCCATTCAATTTAGATAGCATGAACGGCAGTTATGGGTGAGAGCTCGGATAGGCGCTACGGCCGTTCGTTATTGCGCCAATCGCCGAACAAATGGTAACGATCAGGGCGGCGACGGTGCAAGTGCCCTTCGGCAGGAGGTTCTGCGGCGAAAAATGTTCAGCGACTGTAGTCTAGGCTCAAACACCTGGAGTGAATATCATGCAATCGATTGGCCCATGCGCAATGTTTGCAAAAGCCCACTCAACTGGCGCATCGTGCTATATAGTGCCAGCGAGTAGCCCCAAACCAAGAGTTACATTTGATTCCAAAGTTTACGAGCAGCCTCCAGATGGAGCTAAACAAGGCATCGTACAGTTTGACTATCAGAGTTGGTCATGTGCTCAACCACCTGATTTCCGCATCAGGTTCCATGCAACTGACGGTTCCCTGCAAAGTGAACTTTCGGCTACGCCTCGCGGGCTTGAGAGCCTACATACCAGCATCTTTGTACTTGAGGCAGTGTGCTTGAGATATAAAGAGATTGCGGCTCTTGGAAGGGATCAAATCATCAACAACTAGCATTCCGGGATTTAGAATAGGCATGATTATTAGCCAACACCACCTCTGGGTAAGCATTTGTTCCCTTACATTACACTCGAACATCCACCTTTCATGTCTACCGACTCGACATCATGTCACGAGAACTGGGTCCGATTCTCGCCATAGCTCTTTTGCTTTGCTTAGGACCTGGCGATGAACTCGAAAGCTCATTCCACGCTGGTGCTTCCATGGCCTTCATCGTCCCTCCTAGTTTCGATGCTGCGTGCTTTCTAATCTGCTGCAAGCAGGTGTGGGAATCTCATAGCCATGTACTCCCTGAGTACTGTGCTGATTGCATAGTATTTCTTATCACCAGCGTCTTGTAATGCAAATTTGAAATGCGACTCGCGCGTTTCATGTTCCATAAGTAAAACAACTGTGTCCAGCCTCCCGTTATTTACGGCGGTGAGCAGAGAGTTATCGGGGCCGGTTAACGTGGCCCCGGCGTTCAGCAAAGTAAGAACACCAGGTATATTCCCTTTACCTGCAAGTACGGCAAGTGACGACCTAGCTAGCTCTCGATGCCTCGTCAAAGGTGCATCTGGAAATGGAAGCAAGTTGAAATTGCGGTCGCTTTTTTCTCGATTATAAGTGTTAATGTCTTGTTGATTTTCAGGATTTACATTAATCCTTTGGTCAAGGAACAACTTGATTATTTGAATGTCGCCAAATTTGCAAGCGAGGTATAACGTGTCATCCGTTGAGTGTCTTTGATTGTATCCAATCTTGGCGCCATGCTGAAGAAGCATCTGGACAACATAACGCTTGTTGTCATCAATATGAGTGTACATCAGTGCATAGTCAAGGGATAGACACCTTTTATGTTGCGTTTTGTCAACCTTTGCGCCGTAACGCAGTAGAAGTTCGATTAGTTCGATACTTGCTCCTGGAGTCGACAAGGCCATATCCAGGGGCGTCTCGCAGGCAGAGTGGCCGCACGCGTTGGGATCTGCACCATTCGACAAAAGGTATTGGCAAGTTACGAACACATTGCGAGCCTCGTAACGCAATCTGGGCTTTATGTAGTCTCTATCGCCACAAGCTACTTGCAAAGCTGTGAAACACCCTCGTTCGTTCACGTTTGCTCCTAGTCGTATCAACTCCTCAACCACCTTGACGTCTCCTGAGACGATGGCTATCTGTAGTGGCGTGTAACATTGATACTTGTCGTATTCATGACAACTCCGTTGATCCCATCTAGCGCGAAACCCATCGAAGGCCCAGCTCACGGTAGGAACATTTATCCCGACTTCCTTGAATGTGCGTGAGAGAAAGTCGATGTCGCATTTAAGGTATATGAAGTAAGCAAGAGCCACTTCCTTACCCAGAAAAGGATCCGAAGGTGCTTTCCCCGTGAATATTGGGGTATTCCGCTGTTCGAGATACCTCACAATCTCAACCACTTGTTTGCAATATGACGGACGGGTTAGACCTACTGGGCTGTCGTGCAGTCCACTCCACTTTATAATAACATCGTAGATAGACTCAAAAGTCTGGCTAACCTCGTGTTCAAGCCACCATTTCAGCTGAGGAGGTTGAAAGGAAACCAGTTGTTCGAAAGTGGACGTCGCAAACAGCACTCTTGCACATCCAGTAACGTCAGCCCCGCAGTTCACGAGATGCTCCAGCATATTGATGGGTGCCGGTCTAAAATAACCGAAAGCTTGAGACAAGTCTGGGTGCTTCGCATAGTCGCGTGTATTGTCACCGGAAGCCAATAACAATAATGGCCAATAAGTTTTCCCTTGTCTGATTGTTCCGTTGACGTTGGCCCCGTGCCTCAAGAGAAGTGACACTCCTGTTACTTTGTTCGACCTTGCAGCTCTAGCGAGCAGTGATACACCCTGCTCTCCTGAAACGTCCAGCCCATTCAATAGGAGATATTCGAGGCCATTTTCCATGTCCAAGCACTCTCTGGACAACTTTGCCAAGACTTCTGTTTTGTCTTTGAGTAACAGCGTCAGAACTCGGTGCAAATCAGGTAAACATTTCCAAGTGTTGATGTGATTCAGCACTCGATATTTGAGGTTATCGAACTCAGGGAGAAATAGTGGATCTAAATCAAGTTCCCGCGGCCCGTCGTGGTCGCGCTCCGGCTTTATGTTGCTATTTAGATCACAATCCAAAAAGCCAGCCCGAAGCAGAGTTATGAGGGTCTGCGGCCTGTCAAGTGCCCTGAAAACAGCAGACCTCTGTATGAGCAAGCGTTGAAGTCCTCGGGGGAATGCAGCGACCCGCAAATATGTTTCCAATTCTTCCAGACCGAGCTCCGAAGAAGCCAAAAGGCCCGGAACGCTCAGTATGCATTTCGGCATTTTGCTATATTTTGCGAGCAATTCAATCGTTTTTTCTTGGCCCAGTGAATAGCCGACGTCGAATATGGTCTCCTCGGAAGAGCGAGAAAATACAGATTCCCGGAAGGGTACATCGACGTCGGCGCCTTTATCTAGGAGGACTTGCATAGCTGTGAAAATATTCTCTGCACCATCTCCCCAACGTATGAGAGCGAGCAATGTGTAGCCGGCAGGTGTAATACCAGAACAGCGAGTGTCCACACTAGTCTGGCTTCCTAGCAGCACGTCGAGGACTTCGATATGACCCTTTGTAGCAGCTTCAATGGCAGGAGATGTAGGCGCGAGTATCACCTTTGGATGATGCACTCTCAAGGGCGTTTCTCGATCGGGTGCAACTTGTACTCGCCCAAGGTTACGAAATGTCAGTCCATTATCTTGCCTCCGGAAATTGGTTGGCAAGAATGGGTCTAAGTCATATTCCAATAGACGATGGCAACATTTCTGCAAGTTGAATGATGCTGCAAGCACTAAGCACTGTTGTCCATGTATTTTTACCCAGTCAGAACTTGTCATCGCCGCGCTGGCTACATCTTCGAAAAGACCTTTCTCGTTGAGTTCAAAAGCCCAATAAATCAGCTGGATCCAACATTCTTGCATCGTCAAGGACGAAATTTGGAGGAACTGCCGGACAGTTGCTCGAGGGATCTTGTGAGCGAGCCAATCTATGATTTCCTCCATCCGGACAAGGTCGATAAAGTGGTTGGAGAGGTAGTATAGAGTAGTAGTAAGGGCGTGGAACATGTTCGTCGATGTTGATAATTGAGAGTCTGGTAGGTCATCTGCAACGAATTGCCGTCCCAAGGACTGTATCGCTGAGTCCGTGTCAAGAAAAGAGCCCCCTTCGCCCGCGTGGGGGCCTGGCACGTCAGTTTGGTATACCGGGGATGTATGTACAGCGCCAAGCACACCATCGTCGCGAGCTTGGTGCTCAGCAACAGAGCTTCTTGGTACCATGGGCATGACCGAGCATGTGCTTCTCAACAGAGATTGGAGTTGATAGACTGGGAGGTTTTTGGTGAACGAGAACCATAAGTCCTTGAACTCCGGATGAATGACTGCGGTGCTAGACTTATGAATAGTTGCGCAAGACGCTATGATTTGCAGGGTTCGCTTTACTGCATCATTGGGTGGCGGGGAGGCGAATATATCAGGGAAGAGATGGGTAGGACTGGACACAGTCCACGAGGAGGAGCTTGCGGGTTCGGTCGGGAAATACCAATGGTCGGTCATGATTTCGATATGACCGTGGTTTGCGAAAAGTGCTAAAGCAGCGGAGGACGATGCTGCTTCCCGGAAGGACATTTCACCTGGGCTTCCTATTGGCGGTTCGTATCCAAGGGCACCCGGATTGCCAGAGACAAAATGAGACATGGCTTTTGGCGACGACGGTTGGTCGGGAGTATTCGACATATGCGCATCTTCCAAATCATGTCTATCCTCGAGGTTCTGGTTTTCCGGCCCGATGGTTACCTCTGGTGGTAGCGCCAAATTCCCTGTTTTACAATAAGCTTCCCGATAGGTATATCATTTGGACTTGGCAGTACCGTCATTGCGTCGAAGATGTCGATTTCGAGCGATTTCCTTTTTCACTTTCCTCCAAGGGAGGACGACGCCATTGTAGCGCAATACGTCACCGGGTTGACTCCCTTTTACCTCAATATACTGGGAGATTATGGCCCATTCATGGGCCTTGAGTTTCTTCTTGAGCCCGAGTTCATCTCTCAGTTTGGTCTCGTAAGTGGAAAGCCTTGGTACTGATCAGAGAAACGCCATCGGATGCATCTATGCAGGAAAGGATACGTACGGTGTCTGGGGGGATCCGTAATCTCGCTCTGCGATCTCCTTCACTCGCTTGAGAGTCTCCTTGTCCTCCAAGTACAGCTTTCGAAAGAGCTCACGATGCTGCTGCCATATCGACAATGGGCTCTCTCCGGGCTGAGGAGCGAGAGACGGATCAGGACCTGACTGCGTCTGTGCTGGCATAGTGTATGAAAGAAGTATGGCTTATGTAGGTGTAGAAAGAAGGTGATCTAGTCGCAATTCGACAGTTCCGTGAGAAAGATGGGAATGAAATAAACCCACGAGTAGCGTTGGCAATTCGGTGTGGGAAAATCGAGATACTCGGGCTGTCCACGAAACGACCGTAGGGTCCAAAATCTGGTCCGAATCTGGAGCCTGACCAATTTCTGGCCAGGTTCTGCCCCCTTCCCCGCTGCGGCTTGCATACTTAAGGCTTTCCCGGGCGAGGCTGTGACCGCGCTGCCAACCTATCATACGCACTAAAGACACTCAACGTCATTGGCCCAGTATAGACTATCAAGCTTCATTGGCAGAAATACCGGTCCTCTTCTGCAGGCTGCACACATGGAACGGTCTGATTCGCTACATCCTGCCTGACTTGGAGTGTTACTCAACGTTCTGGGCAATGGATGAGTTAGGCCAAGGGCATGAAGCGCCAAAGGGGGCAGTGCCAGTCCAAAACCTGGTCTTATGGTGCCAGTAGGCTGATTTCAACCATCAGACCCTACTGATGGCACCGATTTCTGCCGCTTTTGTACACCAGAAAATGGACATCATGGTCCAAAATCTGCTGTTGAGAGGCCACCTGGGGTCTTGGGCCCATTATGAGCGATGGCCAATTCCTGGTGGGACAAGATTTTGGACATCATGCTGAACCATAAATCTCCGTCGGCCACGGCGCCAGATGGCACGGGATAGCTAACCCATACCCGGCTCCTATCTGCGTGGTCTGATTCCTGCTAAAGATGGCACTCTCAAACGAAGCGATCGTTGGGCTGTCGGCGCTCCTCGTCGGTTCCATCCCCGTCGCCCTGCTCATCATTCAATGCCTGCGGAAACGAAACCAGCGACTTTCCGAAGGTGGGTGGTTGTTGAAGCTTCTTTCTTTTCACCAATCGGCTTCATCTGACTTAACACGAAGCTCCAGATCAGCATCTCGTAGGTGATCGGCGCCTGCTTTTGTCTCATGTGTGGCGGCCCAGTCCTATCATCGCCGACGACCTTGAAGCAGGAGTTGCGCTCCACATGCTCGCAGTAAGGCCCTTTCTCCCTCAGTACGGAGGAACGGCGGACTGACTATTGCGCACAAGGTAAGGCAGGATAGCACGATGGCGTATTGGGTACGGCCACCGCTGAACTACAACGGATGAGCCATCATAATTGGTCAAAAAATTCCGACACACAGTTGGTGTGATGGAAGTCAATGCATAACAGAACAGGATGGCGCAACAAAGGCTGTTTCCGTCCATTATAAGATCTATGATAGTTCTAGAGACAAAGGTTTATTGGCGACATTGCATAGAAACTGGTTTAGAAAGGGCTATTGTGACAAGCTACTTGGCAGATAGTCAAACAGGAGAACGTCACAATTCATCATTGGATCATAAGGGAGTTCCATTTCGATGACCTTGATTCGTGAAAACCAAAAACATGCAATCACGGCGGATGATGAAGTCCTAAAGGTCACCAGACATGCAGATCCATTCAGTCAAAAGAAGATGTACCACGTCCCCAACCACCCGACCACACCTTGGGCTCCCCCACCCCCTGGCTCTCAACCGTGCCTCCCCTTTCACTCCTAAATCTTTCGATCCAAGAGACCCAGGGGAGGCGTACAGAGGAGAGCATAGAGGGGCAGATAGCAGGACCCCCGCAGCCGAGCCGGTACAAAAGGTCAAATTTTCGCGTTGAAATAAGACAGCTCTAACCCAACCCACCCATAGGGACGTGGCTTCTCGCGTCCGTCTAAAAAGCGACGTCTGCTGCCGGAAAGCAAGCAGTTTGACGCGTAGCTCGGAGGCTATGATTGCTCTACCGCGTGGATTACAGAGTCATCAAGGAAGGATCTCGCCTTGTGCTCCACCTTGCCGCGCGGAAAGTGAAAGGAGAAAGAATAACTTGAAAGAAATAAGTGGGACATGAGGCACAAGAGGCAGGGGATTTACCCCAGGTGGAAGGAATTGGGGGCATAGCTTTGCTTGGTGCGGCAGATTGGTACAAGACTCTATCACAACAGAGTCGGTCAAACATAGTTCAAACCATATGCACGGTCGACGCGTGCCAATATTCTCCTATTCCGTCGAAGATCCCTAAGCTCCCAGTGTCAGTATGGGTATCGTACATTTCAGTATCCTCGCGCTTCTTGGCGACCACGGGGTAATTGCCGTCATAAGGGCTCAAGGTCCTTCATCCCCTCCTAAGCCTAAGCGCCGGAGAAGTTGACCTTCTTACGGCCCCTTCCCCTGTCGGCATTTAGCTCGTCCAGCCTTTGGTCGATCTCCATCAATCCCAGGAGCTCGTGTTCCATTTCGCCCTCGATATCACGGTCCTCTTCGTCGTCAAGTTGCATCTTATCGGCTGCCGCGGCCAGACTGTTCGCGAAGCTAAAGCCAGCCTGGGACCGATCAGCAGCTTGGACATCCTCTCCTTCAACAGAGGGCACGATTGTCTCCGGTTGCTTCTCGGCTTGGACCTGAGCAATTGAGAGGGTCCGTCTGGGCTTGACGGAAAGATTGAACAGCTCGCTAGCTTTCTGCTCGGGCCTGGGGAAGACGCTGACAGCACTGCTGACCCTCGAGCGCTCGCTGAGTCTCCTTTGGAAACTGCCCTTGACACCACCGATTCTGGTGCCAACAACTGTCTCGCTTTCGTGCACAACAACGAGCCGGCTCTCCCCGCAAACGATAACTTCGATCGGCAAACCTTCATCGTTTGAGGTTTCGTTGGTTCCAAGCTTGGGAATCGCACCGACATCGACACAACGTTCACCCATCAAGCCGACGACCAGGTCATTCAGGCGAATCATCCGCGTTGGCTGAGCGCCACTGAACAGGTTTACCCCTCCACCAGCACCCTTGCGTAGCTGGGCTTCCCAAAACTTGAGAACACCAGGGATCACAACGACATGCTCGGCGCCACCTATCCAGATAATGGCGCTCTCATCGGCTGTTGTAGTGGCGCGTGCCGGTAACGGGGTCACTAGAACCCCTCCCTTCACTGTAACCAAGCGCTCGGGACCGTAGGAGGCCCCAATCGGTGCCTCCCGTCGTGAGTGAGGAGTCATTGGCACAAAGTCGCTCCCCGTACCTGACGCGCGCTGGGAGGTCAGACTGCGCAGCGGGCTTGTCCCTTCGATGTAACCAGTGACACTGAAGGAAGTGAGTGCGGCACCACGGATGCCCGAGCCGGGCTTGCCGAAGAGAGCCGGGCCGTGGGGTGAGACGCCGTCGATATCCCAAATCCCCCATTGGCCATCTGCGAGTAATACCAGCACTCCTCTGCCGTAGGCCACCCAGGAGGCGGCGATTATAGGCTTGCGTGACGCTGATGGGCGCGCAAAAGGGGGGTAGAGGGAGATGAGCCACGACCCTTGTGAGGGGAACGGACCTTCTGATAAGTCGTCCGGGGGCATGGATGCCTGGGCATAGTCGTAGATGCGAACGGCATGGGGTGATGCGTTGCAAAGCAGCTGGGTGGAGTGTGTGGGGTTGAAGGAGATGCCAGAAAGTGGACTGGGCAGGTACTCCGTCTGAAAGGGTTCGAGGGGTCGGTCTTTAGTAGGCTTCTCCAACGGGACATCCCATAGGCGCAAGGTGCCTGCTGCTTCCCTGGAGTGCGAAGCGACAACAGCGCGTGGGATTCCTCGGCCGGCCGACCGCGAGCGTTCGGTTGACTTGCTGCGCTCGGAGGCTGATGTTGGCTTGATGAGCCCCATGGCCAAGCCATCGCTCGGCTTCTGTTGTCCACTGAGCAGTGTCAAAGTCTCGCCCCATTTTCCGCTGCCGGCTTTGCCCGCCAAGAGGCCCTCTCGCAGCTCCTCCCTCGCCTTGCTGGCAGGCGATGGTGGTGTGAGGGGCAGGGTGATCAGATAGACCTCGCGGCTGGCGCACGAAACAGCAAACACGATCTTCTCCTTAAGAACATCGGCCCCATCCCAAGCCGCGTCCTCTGCCGGACAAGGTGTCATGGGCAGGGTCGCAATATGCGAGACGGCAGTCCCTAGAGACAGGTCGAGAGTCTGGGTGATATCTGGACGTGTGCTGTCGTCGTCGGCTGCGTCTTCGAACTGCGGCTTGTCGACGAAAGATGGTGCGCCGCTGCTCGCCGGGGCTGTGTTGTCGTCTTCATCGGAATCTATCACCATGACAGCGTCGTCGGGAGGGTTGCCATTCTGTTTGCCCTTGGGCCCACGCGGCGACTGGTCGTAGACCGAGGCCTTGAACCGCCTGCCTCCTCGCCATAGCACCGTGACTCCATCCTCGTGGCCATACAGGATGATGGCCGCCCCCTCGGGCGACTGGACGGGGTAGCTTTGGACGGTGTGTATCCTGCGGGCGATGTTGTATCTACGGCGTAAGGCCAGAGTTAGCGTAGTCCACATTCGGCCATGCGCGGCCATTCGTGGCAGGGCTTCGCCTACGTGTACTGAGTGTTCTGCGCCGTGCGGCGGATGCGTGGTCCTCCGGTCACAGCCATCTTGAGGACGCTGCGCTGGCTGCGGTGGTACCGCGACGAAGCTTCCCAACCGGATGGCGTAGAGGTCGAGGTCGAGGTCGGGCGCAATTATCTCCCAGCGACGATGGGCTTCTCCTATCGCATCATGAAGCTCCAGAGGGATTCTAAGGGTCCGCAAATAGCCAAGTGACGAGCGGGCGACTCGATGGGCCGTCTAACGAGAATGGTCGTTGGAGAGCTGGTTCAGCCCAAAATCTAGCTACCTACAAAGACAAACGCGACGTCAAAGCTGCTCACAGACCGTGACCCGCGCCAGCTCTTGCTATGGTCTGTGCGTAGAGCTAAGGCTCACGCCAGCTGCACTATGGCGAGTGGCAGCTGGCGCGCTTCTCGACGACTCTCCACGCCGCAGATGGATATATATCAGGGTCATCTTATTCAAACATTTGTCTATTCACAGGACGTCATCATGGTCGAACAATAGCAGCCTCATCTCTTGCCAGCATGACCTGTCTTAAGAACCCTAATCCCAATCTATATACTGAACTCCTCCACGGACTTAGCTGCTGCACGACTATGCACGGGGCCACTCCCTCTCACGTGGCCTGGGAGATGCTGCCCGAGGCCGTCCATGAAACCGCATGAGGCCGCGTTTCAGGGCCAGTCGATCGCAACGTCATGTCGCGCCGGCATCAGCCCTCCAAAATAGACTCAACCCTGAAGATCTCCCCAAGGCGCAGCCAGACCGACGGGGAGGGAAGCATACCTCCTGTGCGTGTTTCCCCGGACAAGCCCACCCCCTCCCCCTCGTCTTGTACCACAGCATTGCTTCTCCCACTCCGTGGCTGAATGACGCTCACCCGCCCCATCAATCCCTCTACCCCGGATTAGCTAGTTCATGCGGCGGATCTGCTCAACGTTTATTGAACCGTCATGGCGGTGTCACGACTCATATGTCGTCGCTGACGGCATTTGTTGTCAGCGTCCATAGATAGCAATATTGGGGTTTCGGGAAGGCTCCCTCGCCCAGCCATGCGGCCAGCACGGAGAAGCGACTAGTCAAGCATATGTGATCATCAAGTCAACGACGCGGCGTCAGTCACGGGAGACTAGGTGATGGAGGAAATGTAGTAGCCATGTCATGAACAGGTGCCCATTGTACTGGACCATTGGAATAATATACATCAACAGTCCCCTCCATAACCTGTAGATATCCCACACTCCCGTCTATCACAAATAGCTCAATCGCCAAGGAAAGGTCAAGTTCGTACGGCATATCAGCACATGATTCGTATAGGGAACACATGGCGTATTGCGTGTCGCCACCTGACCCCTCGAGGCTCGTCTCGACTCCCAGGCTCGGTCCTGACATGATCCATCTTGAGGGCTCTACCGCTTGCCCCCAATGTCGGTTTCAGGGCCTGAGCCCCCCTAGATCTCGCGAGAAAATGTTGCCAAGTACGTACATCGTTTTCGGCCACTGTCCGGGCCGAATGCGCCCGCGGCACATCGGTCGCCGGCAGAGTCTGTTGTTGTAAGGAGAGGACGGTGTAGAGAAGCTCCAGCAATACGTGATAAATGGTTCGACAGCCACGGCGTCAAAAGTCGTGACGCCCATAATAAGTTGCTAAGGAAATCCCTACACCAAGTGCAATAACGCCATCGGATCGTCGGGTCGGATCGATCTTTCAATGACAAGCTTGACCACCATGAAACGCCGTCGAGAATGCCAATTGGAACTAGAACTGAAAAATTTGATACAAGCGAAGTCGTCGTTCGTCGTAATTGATGCTCAATCGATTGATCGAATTCATGGTTAGTCCAATCATGCATTGGTAACCTATAGATATTCAGTTAGCACATCTAATTCCTTGTCGGGCTATCCGCAGGATAGGGGGTAGGATTGCTTACCCGCAAGATTCTACGCGAGTAGTCCTGGTCGTCGGCGATGCTGCCGCTGCTCATCCTCCTTTGTGCCATGACAGGGTCGAGACGCTGGTCCGAGATGGAAAGACCCCCGCTACTAGATGGCGGCTTTCCTCCGGCGATAAAAGCGTTGACCGCGGCATTACGGCGGTGCTCATCCTCGATCTCACGGTTGCGGCGACGCTTCATCATGAAGAACAGTCCTCCGGCAATTGCGGCTACGGCGATGATTCCGACGACACTTCCAACAGCGATTCCCACAGTGTTCGACCCTCCCGAGCTGGGGCCAGCTGAGGCTGATGGCGTCACGGTAACTACGACGCCTGAAATCAAAGTTAGCGGAGAACTCATAGTTGCTGTGACGACGGAAAAAGACGTACCTGACACAGTTGCGACGGATTGCGATGACGTGGCATCGGGGCCACTGCTGGCTGTCGCACTGCTGTCTGTGGTATTGGCCTCATCGGCCACTGACACACGGACACCGGTGTTGTAGACAGTGAAGGTGTCGAGGCCACCACAGGCCTCATCTCCAAATCCAGGGCAGGGCTCGGTGCACTCGGAGTCGTCGACAAGTGTGTTTTTCGGCGGGTATTTGTCACCGCAGTAGCAGCTCTCGGAGAAGGAGGCTCCAACAACCTTGTCCATCCCTCGGCAGGCGGTGGCACAAAGACCTTGGGTGTTGAACTTGCTGGTTGCGTTCAGAACCAGGTTTCCTAAGCTTGAATAGCATCCATGGACGGTATCTGTGCCAACCTTGGGCTCTGAGGCAGCGACTTCCTTGGTTGCCGATACCAGCGATGATACGGCCAGCAGTGCCGACACGGTAAATAACCTCAACGACATGTCTGCGGTATATTTCTTTGTTATTTTTCAGCTAAATGGGTGATAGTTAATGGTTGTGCTTGAGCGGCACAGCGAACGTGGTGAAAGATGTCTCTGAACCGATCAACGACTCGAGAGACTAGACAAAATAGTTGAAAAGAGAGTAATCAGACTCCGCTGGGGAGTTTGTATAGTCAGACCGACGACTAGACGAATCAGGCCTGCATGCGAATTGGGTTCTGTCGACTATATTGTCGGAAGTCGAGATCGAAGTTTCGGAGGGTCGCGATCTGGAATATGGAGTTCCTGGCGCCTGGACGACACAGCCTTTGGCCTTGACCAAGGAAGGGCGATGATGATAGTATACCCACGCGGGTTCTTTGACCTCTTTTATGGTGTTGCGAGTGGAACGAGGCGGTTTGAGAAAGGCCACCGGCGAGACAATGTGGTGCAGTAGACGACGGTGATCTTTGCCTTGTCCTTCTGACCCTGCTTTCTTTGGCGTCTGGCCTGGCCGCTTGCTGCCTTACGAAACAATAGTCCTTGTTGACTTCCTTCTCTCCGTAGACAATGACGACACGCGTGGTCGATGATGGTTCCCTGATATAGACGACGACGACGACAACAACGACAATGGCGGCTGCTGACTCGCCGTGGGTATCGCGTGTGGTGGACTGGGGCGGATAGTCTAGAGTGGGCAGCACAATGACTGAGACTGAGATCCACGATGATGTCGAGTAACTGGAGGGGAGAAGAATCAAAAACCAAAACGAGGGACTTGTCAGACGAAATCAGACGAGGTGTGTAATGAGTGGATGCCCGAGGGAACAGAGAGGGGGGTCGAGCTGGGCTTGGGGGTTGGTTTTGCTTGAGCGAGACCCGTGGAGTGAGGAGGGAGAAGGGTGAGTTGAGGGCGGGAGCGAGCAGAGGGAGGACATGGAGCGAGGACAGGAGAGACCCGACCAGGCCCCAGGCCAGACCTGGAGACTGGAGACTGGAGACTGATGGAAGACTGGGACACTAGAGACGCAGGTGGCCCACCGCCCGTCCCGTCCAGCGTCCCAGTGTGCCAGTGCCAGTGCCCACGCCAGCGTCCGGGCGAGCATTTGCCTGCGCTTGTTGCTTGCCAGGCTTGCTTGGGACCTGGCAACCCACCCCAGGCGCACCCAGGCCAGCAGCGCGAATCGAATGAGTGCGGCCCTGGGGGAGGGTGGGAACGGGTGAGATGGACCACCAGCACGAACCAGACGTGGCACCCAAGCCCGGTGCGGGTGGGCCGCGGTGGAGCGTCGTGAGTGGACGGCCACGCCTCGAGCGAGAGGGCGGGAAATTACACCGGACCAGGGTCAGCGCACATCTCAACCACCACGAGCTCCTGGGCGGCCCAGCGTGCCCAGCGTGCCCAGCGCTAGCCGTGGCCCCCCTGGCCGGTATGCTTGGTACGTACTGTACCTGCAGCTCGGCCCTGGAGACTTTTTTTCTTCGCTCTCTTTCCCCTTGCAGTGGTGTCTTCCGCTTGGCCCATTGTGGTTTGGGCGAGGGGTACGACATGCTGTCCAATGAGAGCCACACGACAGCGCCCAGGCGTCTCCGCTGTCTGCTTCCCATTGGCCCTGTCGTTTCCCAAGTCTCGCCAAAAGGGCTGTTGTGAAAGGAAATAGGAGATCCCTGGCCGTCCTCCCGTCAATCCTGGAGCATAATCTGCACACAACCAGGGAATGGGCAAATGCCCCCTCCATCTCTGCACAATTACGGCACAAACTCCATATGATCGACAGGAACCATTTCTGGAGAGTTCCAACCGACGGGGCTGAGTTGCTTTGCTGGCCGGTCACAGAACAAGACATTCGGCCTGTAACTTTGCTGCACGGGCGACCCTCGTGGTGGCAGGGTGGCTCGCACGCTCGCCATCACGGTCCTCTCGCAAAGCCAAAACGAGAGAAGAAGAAACCGAGTTTTTTTCTCATGTGCCATGCAGCGCCCGATCGGGGCAGATCATTACGATGGCTGGCCAAGCTGCGTGGGTGCACAGTACACTGTAATCCCCAGCTCTGCGTGCCCATTGGCGTTACTGTCCCGCTAGCGCATCCGCCTGTAACGGCATGTGCACCTCTATCTGCCAGCTATTATGCTCGGCAGTCCCCTTGGGTTCCAAGATTGTCTCTTGGTGATCCACATCACCAGCGTGCAATCAGCCAGAATCGAGTCCTCCTACAGTAAGACTGTTGGGTTGTTACAGGTGATCTGTGTTCAACTGCCGGCTGTGCTTGTGACTCGTTGCTCTGTATCAGCTTGAGACAGCGCACCTCGGATTGTTGTGAGCAGAGAAAAACAATTACCTGCCGCCTTGGTCGCATCCATGATGATGATCGCATTCTGCACGATACTTGTGCAAGAGCATTGATGCTAAGTCGTCAAGTCGTTAATGTACCAGGAGGCTGCCAGGCTTGTGTTCTATCAATTGCCTTCACTGGAAACAGCCCGCCCCAGGTAGCCCAGGGGTCTAGTGGTCCTGATTGACGATTATGACGCCGAAATGGAAAAGCACTCAATTACACACCCGCCAAGGATCAACTTGAAACGAGAAACATGGACCCAGTGCCGTGGACAGGCTGCCAGCCATTGACAGTTTCCAGAACAACCACAATGGCACGCAGTAAATGGCGTCAAACGTGCCGCTGATCTCTCGGTCCTGGAGAAATACCCAACTCGAGTCGAGTCTCGGGATAAAACAATGGCGTTATGCTATGCACGGGACGGGATAATGTGTTCACCCCTTCAAGCCATGCTTTGCTTCACCAGTGACGCACTATTCTCGGCGGCCCAACGGTTGCTTTTCATCTGCGGTGCAAGCAGCCAGCCTTTGGCAGTCTGGACCAGGCGGATGGGGTGAGATGCGTGTTGATTACGGCAACAGACAAGGAAAAAATCAAAAAAATCAAAAATAGCTGCCAAACAGGCCCGAGGTGGCTTGCATTAAGCAGCCGTGAGAGCCGCGAATAGCAACGCCGGACTCCCATGGATGGCTGCACTTGCAGACCAACGATGTGCCCTCCAAGAAGCCGGTGCTTCGTATCCGCTGTAGCGTAGTATTTCGCCATACCGAGTCGCCGGATTCTCGACATTTGATGCCGGCCATTCCAGCGATTGCACTGTTCGTGTTGCTCTCCGTGGACGCTGTGCAAAGGGTGTCGGCAGACGCGTGAGATGCAGCACAGCCTCAGTCCCCGCGTAGTGGCCTTGGACCGGCGTTGCATTGATTGATCCACGGCCAGCTCTAGCGAACCGAGATGAGCCCTTGAGGTGCTATGGAGCCAGCGTCGAACGACCACAAGGAAAAACGACTTGGTCGAGGCGCGGCAAATTCGATAGTTCTTATTTTCTGGCCGCCCATTGATGCTGTTGCTATTTTGCGAGTCCATGTCGTCGATCTTTCAGGCGGTCCCGAGTTGGTGTGTCGCGGAATGACGCTGACGACGATTCAGCAGTTTAGTGAATCAATCGCAGTGGCTGACTGGCTTGTAGTTAGCTAGACCACCACCAGTCCGCAGTCGGGTGGTGCAAACGCGATGGGACCGCCAACCAACAGGAGCCGGCGGTTTCGGGGTCCGTCCGTTCCCATTGGCAGTCAGTCAACCACGAGCTTTCTGCACCAGCACACCAGCATACACGATTGATGACTGCTTGAAGTGGTGGATGACTTGCAGGAAATGCCTGCTAACCGTTGCCCGATTGGGCCAGAGGTTACCCTACCAAAACTCAAGATCAGTCGAGAACGGCGTCTACACCAAGTGCCCTGCGATGCAAACTTCGTTGCACCGTTCACATCTGTACATCGTACACAGTAATAAGCTAGTTACCTCCGTTATCCTCCTCTACTTGGCTACGGTACACCTGCGCGAACCCCCTTGCCAATGACATCCCGGCCCGTTGGTTCATTTCTATTTCGAGCAAATTGCGTGCATCGTCGACGGTGTCACTACCACAGTACTGTGTATGGAATTTCCAAAGACGGTGGGTTGATTGTTTCCCATACTATCTATGTAAGGCAGCATGCCTTCGAATTCCCAGTTTTCATCTCGTGTTCTGGCCTGCACCACAATCAATGTCACCAAACAGTCTCCATCATATCTCACGTCGACCCCGGCCAAGCGTGGCCGCGCGGTAGACCCGGGCTGCAATCCCTGACTCCCGCACGCCCGTTTTCTCGGGTCGAGATTGCGAGGCTTGTCCAGCCTCGACGGCGTCGTCTTGGGATGCTGCAGATCCACTTGGCGTCTTCCCTCCGCGGCAGTCGCGAAGACAGAGAATTCGGGGCAGCTTCGATTCTTCGAGGCCTCCTCTGCTGTCCGGAGATTGTCCAGTGGGCAGCATATCGTACGTACATACGTGCAAACATTGGGCGGGTGTCCGCCTCGATTTTCTGGGGTTCGTTGTTTCGAAGGGATCCAGACCCTTTGATCCCTCGTGGCCTCGTGGGCACGCGTGGATCGGCCCACAGCTTCGTAGGGCTCATCTTCCATGCTGGAGAAAGTGAGCTTTCCCATCAAAGTTTATGCCCTACGCTCATGACAATTTGGACCAATTCGAGAGCATTAGAATCAGGGTCTTTTGTGGCCGATGCTTCTTCAGTCTTAATAGAGTTGCTTAAGGGGTTGCTTAAGGGGTTCCTTGTCACGGGAAAGTCGGCAGTTAAAGCTTTCAGGGCCCATTCAGAAGCCAATGGTCAGCACATCGTGCGGCCGTTGATCAGATTCCATATGACTCTGTCGCGTCGACATCGATGCACCATCTGCAACAACTGTGTTTTCGCGGATTCCCCGCGAACACAGCGTCCGACTATAATGAGCTGCCGGCCACTCCGTATTGCCGTTGGCCATATTCAGATGAACGCTTAAAGATCCTTCACCGGTGTCTGACCCTTTTCATCGCCTCGACCATACTGCAGCCTCTGTTCCTTTCCAGCATTGCGATCTCCCTTGAATGACTCTACCTCGGGGCTGTCCATATACCTTGCCACATTGTCCGCCTGCAACTTCTTGAAAGATGCCCCAAGGCCGTCGTTGGGGTAGTCTTTGTCGTTGGCCTGGTCTTTATGATACTTGGCTCTAATGAAATCGCTATCAATACTGGCCGGGTCCAGAGACAAACTGACAAGGGGATTGATAACCGCAGTCTTTGGGATGAACTTGAAAGTCCATTCCTACAATGCGGTGTCATCATAACATGCCAACTGATAAGCGTAGGAATGGCCTTACTTCTTCGTGTCTGAACTGGATCAGACCACGGTCGTTGGTGACACCTGATAGCCGTGGCTCTTGGCGCTCTTGAACAGCTTCGGTAGGGCAAACCACTGCCCGGCCATCTTGTATCTGTCGTTTGCGTGGACGAACTGGTCGTTATAGACGCAGTCTGGCGTGTACCGCTTCACGCAGTCCTCCGTCGGCTTCATCTCGTACAGAGCAATAATATCATCAACAAGCGCCTGCCGTGCAGCTGAAAGCGGCAGCGACTTGGATGGGTCTGGTGTGTAGTCTCCTGTGGGATGTGTCTGGCGGCCCTCGAGATGCTCGCCGGGGAGCGACGCGTCCTGTGAGAAGTTGACCTTGCCGCTGTTGGACGAAGACATCGTTGTGGTGCTGGCCATCCTTACTCCGTAATTTGGGCTTTTCTAACCAATATAAGATCGTGCAGTATAGATACGCGCAGGTCTGAGAGTTGGTACACAAGCGTTTCTAAGAAGACGAACAGAACTCTGCATCGTTGACATGATTCAATTGGCCATCGCCAGCCCACCGGGCCGGCTTAAGGGTGCCTTTACCTAGTGCCACAAGACTAGATAATGACAAATGGATCGCCCAAGCCTGAATCCTTTGCAGTCCGAGGGTCCAATCGAAAGTGGTTACTAGACGGAGGTTTTGGCGCGGTGGTGAATCATGAATCCGGGGTAGAAAACGTCGTGATACTGGAATTGGGCCGCATGCAGTTCTCAGTCACCGAAACGCGGTGAAGTCTATGTAAGCATCGCTCCGATGGCTGCCAATAAACAAGTTACCTTGTAACTAAGCAATCCGACCTATAGCTGGGCGCATCAATGACGGCAACTTGTTGCAGTTTGCAGTAGGCAATATGGTTTTGCAGTCCAGACAACAGAGAAGTCCAATGAGTTGAGCACGTGCAACGCCACGACCGACCAACAAAACCAAGTCCCGTTAGACTTTGAGGAGTATTTTCCATAGAGGATTATCTGCCGTCCTGTAACAAACAATCTTTATTACATACACATGTCGCTCGTCATAGAATGTACCTAGCCGTTATAGCAAGTGGATAGCTCAGAAACTCTTTACCAAGACGGGACCAAAAGCCCCCAACAATAGCCGCGGCCTAGTTATTCACAAAATCTATCTTCAACGCCTCTACGATGTACTTGGTAATGGGAACGCGAGCAATGTCGTATAGTTGCTACACTGCTGGTCTGATAGACCAAGGTCATTGATATCATGAATACCACCAAGTCAGGAAATGACAGCACTTGACTCAATACTCGTTCGTAAGACCAGAGTTTGACCATGTCTCGATATTTTCAACGCTGCCCGTAGAGAGAATCACAGTGTTCCGAACGCCCATAATAGAAGCCGTTCCTTAGTGGAATATTTCTTTCAGGGATGGCAACCTGTAAGAGCGTGTCCTGTAATAATTTCAGAGAGGTTAATCAGGAAAGAGGAAGGTAGTGATGGATTGAAAACCCGGCATTTCAGGTGCTATCGCCGTTCAATACAGAGAAATGATAACAAGGGTAAATTCGAATACAACCCAACGCCCCATTTAATATGCGCCTGTTCTTGCCAAAGAAGTGGTTTTGCAACGCTCAGCTACTAAGATGATCTTGGCCACTTGTTTGTGGCTATATGAGTTTTGCAATTCATATACGAACGCCCCGGCCACCAGAGACGTGTCGAGTAGAATCTTTGCTGTTAGAAAGCTGTATACTCAGCCGCATCATCAGCAGCACACTTCAGCGCAAGCGAGGATTGTGAGTCAAATTTGGAGGATAATGTGGCTAGAAGAGTGCCAATCGCTGGTAAGGATGGAGGATTTATGCATGGCCCCCAAACTTTCGGTCGGACACTGAGATGAGTAGGCGCAGTGCGTTTAGGTAGGTTTTGGCAACGTAGGAATATAAACCTCACGGAATCCCCGATGCAAGAAGATAAGAGTGCGCCGCACAAGCCTCACAATCCTAGTTATGTTGGCTTAAGGACGAAATAAAATGCTGACAGGTTTTGGTTTCATGCTTGCTCCATAAGCAGCCCCTACTCCGGGATCGCAATGACCTTAGGAAGAAGGATTTGGTTAAACAACCGGCAAGGATCGGTCCCATGCAGGTCTTCAGATGGGGCTCGAAACTGCAGAGGCGAGTATCAGACGAACCCCAGGGGCTCCATGTGAGCCATGAGCATGAGTTGCGGGGAATACGCCGTTGTTTTCTGTGACACCCATCCTAAGACTGGAGATTCTACCAACTATCAGATGGTACCGACTGTTTTGAAAAGGTCAATGGCCCCGTGGCGCAGCTTCAATCGCATTGTGTGAGAGAAATGCAGCTGAAATCCAACAAGACGGAAGGATGCGGTATGGGCCAATCACCGGCCAACCTAAGTGCAAGGCTTGTCCTCAGCCCAGCCTTGAATTGCAGTTGTGAGGCAGTGACCTGGGGGGCTTGTCAGTTAATGAACAACATCCGAAGACCCAGGGCATATCGGTGAGGATTCTCATTCCCTACTTTCTGCAATAACCACCGAGCTCAGCCCTGGAAACCACAAACAGCCGGAAATCTGTTTTTCTTGGTTAGTATGGGAAGGCTCTTGGCATGCATGCACTTTAGAGTTTCACGATAATTGACCAGCGGCTCATGCCCCTTGCATATCGGCGCAATCGATCCTATTTCCAAGCCAATACAGCCGCAAAGTCTGCAACCTCACCATATGCATTATAACTTGACGTACCCGCCTGTGAAATGAGCTGGCGCACAAGCTGGAGTGGTAGAATAAACAGGCACGTGTTAACTTCCCATCAAGGCGTTAGTCACGATTTGCCATAATGGGGTGGACAGTTGCCATCATTGCAAACCTGTTCTTCCTTCAAGGCTTTACAAAGCCGATTGAAAATCAATTAATTCCTCGGAATGGCGCCAATGGTGCGGGTTCAGTCCGCCAAGCCATGCCTTTGTTGAAACGAGATGCGGACAGGTCGTTCGATCTAGGGTTCCAGGTCAAGGACCAAACGCTATTCTCTGGGTATGACAGAGAAGACATCCTCCCATGGAAGTACTATGAGATAAGCTGACGATGAATAGCTCATGGGAGCCACTGGCAGGTCAAACCGTGGATTTGTCTCTGAAATGTGTCGACTGTCGCACTTGGGGTACTCTGGATGCCTCTGCAACATTCCCAGAGGACGTTGGGGACCTCCTTGGAGATCTGGCCGACTTCAATCCCCTCAATGATGTCGAGGTATCCGTAGACTTCAAAGGAGTAGGAGCACTCTTTGACCTTACCGCCACTGCTGCTCTAGAGGGCACAGTCAAGATCCCCCTGTTTAAATCCGAGTCTCCGCTGGGTATCGCTGTAAGTGGATGCGAAATACATGCGCAGATCATCGACTGACGTGCCCAGGTCCCAAACTTTCAAGTTGGACTCGTTTTCACCGTAGACCTAGTGCTTGGGCTCAGCGGCGAAGCTAATGTAGGGGGTGGCTTTCAAGTGTCCATTCCGGACGGGTCAACCTTCAAGTTGCCTTTGGACCCTGGCAAGGACCACACTGCAAAATTGTGAGTACTCAGAGTCGCCCCAGGAAAGAGCTCGACGAGACTAATCCTCCATGTCAGCGATGGTGTTTCAACAGCACTACTGCCATTGTCTGCCGAAGTCCCAGCCAATGTGACATTGGCACTTCAACTGGGTGTATCCGCTGGTGTTGATTTCAAGGGCGGCATTGTCGATGCCACAGCACTTGCAGGTGCATTCATAAACATCCCTGAGGTTATTATTGGGGAACAATTCTCGACGGCAAACAGCTGCATCCCGGCGTTTGCTCTGGTGGACATCAACGCTGGGGTGTTTGTTGATATCGGTGCTGATATTGGGTCTATCGAGCTTCCTGGGATCAACCCAACCGTCTCAACGACACTCTTTGCTGCTTCGACTAGCACATGTTTTGGTGCTGGTCCGTCAACATCCCCGACAGTCGTGGCTGCACCAGATTGTCCCGTGGATCTGGTAACCAAGATCATCACAACAAGTCCGGCTCAGTCTCTGGTTGCCTGTGCCGTATCTGCGGTCAATTGTCCAGCGAGTTTGACACAGAACGTCCTCGTCCAGGGTGCCCAGACAGTCACAACAGCAAGCTGTCCCACCACAATCCGGGCAAACACTACTTCCGTCGTACACACTGTTGTGGCTACCAGCGACTTTGTGACCCTGTCTCCGATGAAAACGCCAATCATCTCCACACTCAGTGTCGGTTCGTCGGTCACAGTTCCGGCGCCGACGATAACTGCGAGTCCTAGTGCCACTTCGCCCAATGCTCAAAAAGGCGCAATAGGGACCATAACTATGACCGTTCCGTGCGCGTCGGGTACGACAACAGCAAGCCGGGGTCCTAAGGACAAAGCCCATGTAGCAAGGGAAGAGCCTTGGTCATGGCCTACCTTGCGTGTAGCATAAGTTGGATAGTTGCCGGATTAGACGGCAGGACTAATAAGTAACACTAGATAAGCCTGTAGATGAGTAATTTTCATGATGCAGTTTCTGTATACCTTTCCCGGCTCGAGTTACGAATACGATGAAGAGACGTAGACTGTTGAAAGCCGGAAGTTGATGCAGCCGACTTGTGCAGCAGCATCGGACTTGGCGAGAAACCCGTAATGCTGTCTTCCAGCGCCGCTGTGCCGCGGGGGCGCGTCCGCGTAGGGGTCCGATTCCCACGACGTTCCCACGACGTACTCCGGCCGGACTTGTGGGGCCCGCTCCCGATCACGAATACGGGAATGCAGCATTGAAAGGGGGGAAGGTTGCGGGAGTGCAGCCGATATCCTTGCGACTCAGTTCGCCGCTGCGCTTTGCCGATGCATGTCCCCACCGCTGTAGAACTTGGTGCCAAGTTTCCATCCTAGTGAACCGGGAACGGGTCTCGAAGCGCACGACGAAGTGCCGCGCTTCTTGCGTCACTGGTCGCAGAGCATCGAAACCTAAAAAGGGCATCCGCATATACTGTTGTCCTTCCCCGCGCGTTTTGCCCATGGTGCCGCCGTCACCATGACAAACCGGTAGCCATCACTGGCCAAGATGGCTCGGTGCTCAGCTTTCCGTTTTATGATTTTATGCCAATCCCACTCGGGTCTCTGAACCGAGATGTTGTGTCCCCACCTATGCTCTGGGGGGTGTGAAAATTATGTCTGTGCCTCTCCTCCAAGACGTGTTCGAGACCGTATTCGGAAAATTGGTCCTTAGTGATTCGCTGATGATCTCCATAACTAACTTGCTATAGCTTAATGTCATATGGGAGAGCGAACCCAAAACGTCCGTGTCCGTGTCCCTAATATCCCGTAGTGTCTCCCAGTGACAGCTGAACGAACACAGACCCCCCTTTGTACCCACCTACATCGCTCGGTTTTATGCATGCACTAATTGCCTTAGCCAGCTCTCTACTTATAAGTTGAGCGACGATCCGTCAATGTACATGCTTGCTGTTGACTTCAGACTTGCCTGTCAACAGGTATTCTTCTGTCAAATCCGCCGCCATGCAGATATTGGAAAGTCTCGGCACCATTCGTGGCGCATTGCCCGAGGGCCTGCCCCTGTCCGTGGTTGGAATCGCCGCGACAGTGCTTATCGGCGTCATCTATTCAATCATTACACAAGAGAGACCTTTTGCAGGATTTCCCCTCGCGTCGATTGACGGGAAGAGTCCCAAGAAGAGCTGGTTGTTTCACGGGAGACAAGTGATCGCGGAAGCAGCCGACAAGGTACGCGATGGGCAGGGCTTCATCACACGCGACGACGTCTAACGCATAACAGTACTCTGGTCCCTTCCAGATTATGACCGGAACAGGCCCAAAGATCGTCTTACCCAACCGATTCGCCGATGAACTTCGAAACCACCCGCACATGAACTTCCCCAAGGCCTTTGCCAAGGTTTGCGCTATGATGTATCCCCTCCCGCCTAGGTCACCTACTTACGCCAGATTAGGATTTTTTCACAAATTACCCTGGATTCGAGCCTTTCGAGCAAGGCCTCAAAGACGACACACTCATCCAAGAGACAGTACGGGTCAAGCTGACCCAGTCCCTAAACCTGGTGACCGACGATCTGGTTGATGAAACGACAAGCTCCCTGCATGACATATACGGAGAGAGCGACCAATGGCAGACGATTATACTGAAAGACACGGTTCTAGATCTCGTCGCTCGGCTGTCGTCCCGAGTGTTCCTTGGCAAGGAACTATGTCGAAACAAGCGATGGCTCGAGATTGCGAAGAATTATACCGTGGAGGGTTTTATTGCGTCCTTCTTGATGAGAATGGTGCCCAGTTTGTTGCGCCCGATCGCTTACTGGTTCATTCCCCAGTGCAGGTTCTGCCGCAAAGCAGTGAGGGATGCGCGAGAGATCATTGACCCCGAAGTCGAACGACGTGTTGCCGCAGTCAACGAAGCCCTGGCGAGGGGAGAGAAACCGAAGAAGACCGCCGACGCTATTGGCTGGATTCATGAGGTTTCCAGGGGCCGCAAGGTCGACTACGTGAACGCGCAGCTCTCTTTGACCCTCGCCGCAATTCACACGACGACCGAGACCACGGGACAGGCGCTCTTCGACATTTGCGAGTATCCCGAGGTGGCCGACGAGCTCCGGAAGGAGATCATCGAGGTTATCGGAGAACACGGCTGGGCCAAGACCAGCCTCTACAAGTTGAAGTTGATGGACAGCTTTTTGAAGGAGGGCCAGAGAGTCCGCCCCATGGCGGCTACCTCGATGAACCGCTTCGTGGAGAAAGAAGTGACTTTGTCGGATGGCACCGTGCTACCCCAGGGTAGCCGCATCAATGTGATTAGCAGTTTCATGGACCCGAAGATCTACCCCGAGCCCGAGAAGTTTGATGCTGCACGCTTCTTGAGGATGCGACAGCAGCCCGGAAACGAAAATAGCTGGCAATTTGTCACGACTAGTGGTGAACACATGTTGTTTGGTCATGGTCAGCACGCCTGCCCTGGACGATTCTTCGCCTCCAATGAGGTCAAGATTGCGCTGTGTCACCTATTGCTGAAATATGACTGGCGTTTTGTCCCAGGCTCTGGGCGGCCTGAGCCGCGGAGCTTCGAGACGAGCATAGGTGTCAACCCGAAAGGCAAGGTTGAATGCAGAAGGAGAAAGGAGGAGATCAACTTGGACCTCACAGAGTAGCACTTCTATGAGATTATGCAAATTATTTCACCATAAAAGTCCCACTGCTGCTATTGTATCGCGACCTCATATGTTCGTGTAATTCATAATTTTCTTCGCGTCCCGAAGTGTATGCACAACAAGCTGACGCCACTCCTACCGATCGAAAGCGCAGCGACGAGAAGACAATGCGATTGATGTTACCAAGGAAGGCAAAGATGGCGGCCTTTTCACGAGCTGAGAATGTAGGAGAGGCTCCAGATTGGTTATGTTTCCTTGCGAACTTGGGTACTAGGAGACGGTCATCGTCACTCGACTGCGTGCTCATGTTATATACACGCATGTCAATCGGCTGAGCATTCCATCCGATGCTTCTTCCAGTCAGCCTTCTGGCAGTCTTTGCTGCAGTACGATACCTCCTTACACCGCGCACAGGCCATAAGTTTACCACCATTGGCCGCCTTCGTCTTTCCGCAACTGCGACACTTCTCAACCATCAAGTCCTCCATCTTTCCCTTCATTTTTAGAGGGCTTGTGTCAAGAACATCCTCCACGAAAGGGACTGAAAAGGTTGGGCTGATCGCAATCCGCACAGCATGCTTTGAGGCAACGTCCCATTCAGGGATACTGAGGAAGTTGTCGGGCATTTGGCCGTTTCCACAGCTACATAGGAACTGTTTGCCAGTTTCCTGTGTTAACGGGATGGTCGCGCCAGGTTTTCTGTACTCGCAGCGTTCTGTGTGTGACCACGTGCGGCACCTTTCCACAAGGGCCGGGATAACGCGGCGCCATAAACTCAACTCTTTATCGTCAACATTGATCTGGCAGAGCTGTAACTCGCGTAAGAGCAACAAGAACTCTTCCATTTCCTTGGAACGAACGATATCCATCGTGAGAGGAAGCACCGCAGCATCCAGAACAGCCGAACCTGCAGCCCCATCGATACGGATTGCTCGAACGAAGATCAACATAGTAACTCCTAGGTCGCCATAGCTGAGTGTGAACATGCCCGTCTGGCCCCCTTGAAGCCCAGAGGAGAGCATGAACATGGTAAAAATCGACTCTTTGAAGTTTAGGCGCAGATTAGTCGAGATGCCGAGGCTTGACCGTTCTAGGTTGCGAAGTGGTTTTTCTCGAACCGAGAATTGGCTTCCTACAAGAGTGTTCAAGAATTGATTCTGGCTCTTGTATTTCCGATCCACGTCAAGAATGGGCAGGGTATCAAGGTTGAGATGGTGTCCGCTTAGTAGAGTGGGCATCAAGTCGGGACTAAGAACAATAGGGAACATGAAGCCAGCCAAGGAGTCCGAGTTCAGCGGATCCGCTATCTGCGCGATGACTTCTACGTAAGCAGATTTCCGGGCAATGCGGGTTTTGCTCAACTCTGTAGACACTGGGAGGGGGAACGCCACCGGAGCTATCAACTTATTCTTGCCGAAGACGATGTTAATGACATAAGGCGAAGATTGTTGTAGCTCAATGGGAGACTTGTTAGCCAGAAGTTTCTTTCCAAGGTCCGAGACGAAATCGACGTGACCTGTCAGATTAAGGACTTTGTGTGAACGCTCATCTAGTCCAGAAGATATCCAGGTAGTTTCCGAGGAATTATGAGAGCCTACACGCTTCTCTTGGCTCCTGCTACCAGTGATGACTGATGGACCTTGTAAACCTGGGAGGTGCCTCGTGATGAAAACATGACTTGTATCAGTTATTGAAGCCTCGTAAACCGAAAGATTTGGACCAAAACCGGCAACACGGTAAGTCAAGAGGGCGGCCTTTGTAGTCTGAATTGCCAGTCTAATGCTTGTTGCAACTGGGTCAATTTGGAGGATCGAAGAAGGCACGTAGCAGGACACCACTAATGGCGAATCGCCTGACCAACCTGCGTTATCCTCCCGAACAGAGATGGAGATGCCGCCATCAGAAACCTCTTGGGTAGAGACCCGACCAAAACCTACATGCAGGTCTAGAAACACACTTTGCTGATCGTGACCGGGGCTCTTGCTAGGCGCCACTACTAGTTGGAGAGTAGGGGCGACGACCTTCAGATACTCGCTTGCGTACAGCTTGTCCAAGCATGCCCGGGGTATGACGAGCGTGAGCGAAACGATGTCAGGAATCGAGTTCCAAGAGTGCAACCTGCCTGCGGCCGGGTTTACACCATGCCTCTGCGGTTCTTCATGAAGTCCATATAAGTGCAGCTGTGTCCACAATTCCTGCCTGAACAAGGCGTAGGAGCTTTGGCTGAGGGTTTCACTCACTTGCCGTAGGACTTCCGGCCAGTTGGAATCGATGTTCGTTCGGATGAGTGAGATAAGAGCAGCTAAGCTGCCGCAATGATAGGGAGGATACGCACTCCTTGGATGGTTTGATTGAGAACCATCGGCGGTCGCATGCGCGAACATCTTGGAGCAAATCCCGCAGATGACCCCGACGAGAGCGTCAGGGTCCATCCGCACTTTCGTAGTAGATTTTCCATCTCCAGCTACATGTTTGTTGAGTTTCCAGGCCATGCGGGAATGGATCTGCGGGGAAGAGTTTCCCAATGCAGCAGCAATGAAAAATTCATCGACACAAGATATTGTTGAGGCATTAGTCCAAGTCTCAATGGCGCTGAGACCCAGAAGAAGAGAGATAGTCGTACTAGGACCGCATAGGAGAGATTCGAAATGTGCCTGCCGGGAGTTCTCTGTCTTAAGTAGTGTTTCAAGCCAGACGGTGGAAGTTGCAGCATCTTTGAGCAACGGTTTGATGGCAACCAGGTAATTCAGTGGCCCGAAATGGTCGGCTAGGTTGGATGTATCAACCACATCAAACAGTCGGGGAGCATTCCCCAAAGTGCCATACTCATGGGAATCCAGATCGCAAGTAGTCATGTCAAACTGGCGCCTGTACATGTTTGAAGACAGGTTTCGAGAGTCGAGGGGAACCTGGAGGACGTGGCAAAACGTAAGAGCGTCGGCTATCATCCACCTGATTTTTATCGTTTCGCGTGAGTGTTGGAACGCCTTCAACCACCCCCGGAACTGCGAAGTGGCAGCATGAACGGCTTTACCAGCTCCTCTGTTGTCACCATCTTCGGGGGATAGCGGCGACTTAGGCGCGAGCTGGATGAACGCCGACGCAAGGTGGAAGCCAAGAAGCGGATCTGTTCCATAATGCAGCAATGTGTTCGGTGACAGAGGGCCTGCAAACAGAGGATTGGGTACATGTGCCTTGGATTCAGTCAAACTTCCGTGCTCCCACCAGTGCTTGTTGAAGCCTCTCAGTTGGGTATCTGACATGGCCTGGGTGGCTACAGGTGCGGCGGACCTCAGACCGGTGAGGATCTGAGAACGGTCAACCTTTCCAAATAGCATTTCTTGAGCTCGTGTGGTCCTCTGCAAATTTTCCACAAAGTTGTTCTTGGAATTGGCGTCGCTCGTCGCAGAACTCATGCTCAACCAGCAGGCTCTGACCAAACGGAGAGTCCCTTCATCACAGAAGCTTTGCAGGATGTTGAATGACGTTCCGCGCCAGGTCTCTAGTGATTTGGACGCGTTCAGGAGGCGGGCCAGATGAGTCCGAACAACTTCGATGACTTCCCCTCTCAGGTAGAGATCATAGTAGATAGACCAGGCTGTTGAATGATCCGTGGGGTTCTGCTCAGCTGTAACCAGAGAGAACAGGAAGACATTCCGGGCTGAACAGTCAGATGAGTTAACTGAAGAAAGGGATCCAGGGAATGCGCACCTATAATTGCAGGTTGGATATCGCAACACGTGATGTCCAGTTTGCTTGGTGCTTGTGAAGTCAGCGGCTGTAAAGACACCCGAAGGTAGGATAGATCATCTTACGAAGCCCTTGGCGAGAAGATGCTGTGAAAAGAATGTTGCGAACATCACCACACCCGAGCAGGAGGCAGTCAGCGTCAACACCGTGTGGAAGCTCCCTTGCGAGGTCGACTGCCGGCGTGTTCCCAAGTGCATAGAACTGCGTCAGGTAGTTTGCAACTGCAGGATTGAACATGGTGATGGTGGTGGGCGATGGCCTCCAATGTTTGATCCGCGATACTTATTGCGGTAGGCTTACCCCAAGAATTACCACGGGGGTTGGAACACGTTGTTACCTTGGTACGCCAAAGAGCATTAATCGAAGGGAATGATTTACACTGGGCGCTCCCAATGGATGGACAATTTGGAAATTGAGCTCCGCTTGGGAGTAGTGGTCAACGTTTCGTCCGCTGGGGTAGTGGGCGTTTGCACACGGCGGGGCCAATTGGATTGAAGGTACTCTTAGTGGGACAAGGCGGCTGAAGACCCTAGTCGCCCCAATATTGCTTTTGCCGACAAACATACTTATTTACGAACGAGAAACGAATTTATCGCGTTTTCTACTGATCCGAGAACGAGATTCGTTCTTTGTCGATCCCCAAGGCACCATAATTCCCCAAGAAGCGACTGGTGGCGGGTGTCGTGGAAGTTGCACCGAACACTGCTGGCAACTCTAGCACGTCTAGAAGTCCAAGTCGTCTTGGTAGTCCAGGAACCCCTAGTACTCCTGATGTAGCTCTTCGGCTTCTTGGAAATTGTGTCAGACGAATTGCCAAGGTGAAAAGTACAAATCTAGATACAAGCAAAGGGGCAAAGGGCAAAATTGAAAGCGCAACGGGACACAGCGAAGTGGAAGCGTGTACAACTTTGGGATCCGTTTGACCAGATACTAGAGAATGGGTATGTTCACATTTTGTCTTCCTCTCTGACCTGGGATGGACATTGATAGGTTCTAGTTATATTACTCCCATAAACATGTCAGACTCCGTGGTTGAGGATGGAAGTGGCATTGCGCCGGACAACGCCTCCGTGGCTTCTTATCACAAGAAGCTTGGCTGCAGCTCAGCTTCTTGCAAGTATTAACTACAGCAGCACGATGAGGTGAACTGCGTGTTGCACTACATGAAGACTGTTGTCTCATTACTTTCACACAGATTGCATCAAATTACGAGTTTGTGATTTTCGACAAAATTCCCTTTGTATTCCAATGTATATCAAGCCAAAACCCTTCAAAAAAGACCGGAAGACAACTTGTCACCCTGTGCTATGGCAGTACAACTCCCGCGCCGATAAACCTATGGCCGGCCAGCTCTCAACGCCGTGGCCGCTTTGCCGCCGAACAGGCCAACCCTGCGGTCGGAAACCCGGCCCTAATTTACATTCTTGTCGCATTACCAGTCAATGATTACGTCCCGACATGAGCTTCGTAAGTCCCATACCAGCCTTTATATCCCAAGGAAACAACCTTTTGTCCGATCAAACGCCTAGCACCAATCCATCGTACAATCTGTCGCCCCGTGGTCGCTGACACCCAACCGATCAACTAGTACCGAAGTAAAGGTCGTCGTTGTTGTTCTCATACATGTTGACCGGGTTGAAGGCCTCCTCGAATTTGCTATCGGAACTTAGCATCAACATCGGGTCGCCGTGCGTGAACTGGAGCAGGAGGTCGTCCTCATTGTCTGCCATTCCCGCCAACGTTGGGATGCTCGCATTGTCCATTGCTGAACTTAGCATCATGTCGCTGTGAGACGAGCTTGGATCAACGTCGAAGAAGCGGCCTGACGAAGGCGGTGATGATGACTGCGACAGCTCCGGAGGCTCGTTGTACTGGCTGGCAACGCTCTTTGCAGGCGATGCTGGGTGGGACGGCAACATGTCTGCGGAGGGATCTGCATGTAGAGACATGTGCGACATCTGCGATACATACGAGTGGATGCTGTGGGTCGATGGCGAGTGTGCATTGGCTGCCAGGTGAGCGGAGAGCGAGGGCATTGGAGCAGAGGAGGATCCCAGCCCTTGAAGGCTGCTGGGCTGGATGGTTCCTCCCATTGACACCTCCATGAGCTCATCGAGCATCTCGAAGTCCTGGTCGATGTTCTCGATGGTCTCCGGCGAATTTGCGGCGGAGCTGTCAGAGTATCCTGACTGAGACGACACCGAGGACACGGACTGGTTCTTCTTGCGAGTGCGAGTTGACTTCTCCTTGCGTTCGTCCATGTCCGGCCGGTGCTTGCGTGGACGACCTCGTTTTACCACCTTTCGCACAACGCCATCAAACGCACCAATGCACATTCCACGTTGCTTGTGTCGGGTTAAGGCATCATGCCGAGCGAAACTGTTCCCACACTCACAAGGGTAAGGCTTGATGCCCGTGTGGATCTTGGCATGACGCTTAAGGTCGTGTTGTCGTACAAAGCACTTGGTACAGGTCGGGCACTTGTATTGCCTGTCGTTCAAATGAGTCTGGACATGCGACTTGATGTTTTCCTTGCGGCCGAAGCGCTTGTTGCAGTCTTCGAACGTGCAGACCCACTTGTTGTCTCGCGGCTCGGGTCCTTGGATAAACTGATGGATATCATCGATGGTAATACCGGTGGTGGTCTTCGTCTGCTCGATGTCCAGGCTCGCGATACTGGCTGCGCTTGCAATGCTTGCAACCGACTCGGTTCTGCGGTGCGGCGAGCTTCGGCGAGATGGCTTCTCTGTGTCTTGCGATCCGTTTCCAGACAGGGCGTCCAAAGCAGACTCGGGAGGTCGAAGGTCTGGTTTCATGTCGAAAGGTCCGTTGAATCCCGCCATATGCGGTGTCATTGGCGAGTTTTGCTGGGAGATATCACTTTCTGCGCTCAAAGGATGGGAAGAGCCCGGCAGTCCATCAAACTGGGTCGGCATGGCCATGACGGCATCAAATTGGTTTGCGTCGACGAAACTGCCGTCTGTGGGTGAAATATCGTACATCCCCGAAACTGCAATGGAATTGGGCCGGCGTGGAGTTGGCTCGAAGGTTTGCGACTCGGATGCCTGTCGCAGCTCGTCGAACGTCGTCCTAGATCTCCGGTTGAGCATCTGGCGGTTTGGCTTGACTGTCTCCTCCATTGACTCATCATACTCATCCATGAAGCGCTGTGGCCGACGGCTGTGCTTGATGGTTCTGTTGTGGGGGGTATCCATGGGAGTAAGAGGGAAGTAGTCTGGAGGTCAAGTCAATTGCTGACCGAGTACACCACCAAGGAGGGAGGACTCACCTTGAGCATTCTGGTGTGGGGGTGTAAGTAGCCTCTGTGATCCTTCATCCATATTCTCGAATTTGGCGACCCTGTCCATGATTCCGTTGCTTACCCTCCGGGACGAACGCCGGCTGGTCGAGCTCTCTCCCTCTGACATCCAGGCGGGAGCGCCGCTTGAGCTTTCGCTGAAGCTCATGAAGGTCGGGGTGGACATGGTGCTGCTCGGGAACAGTTCGAAGTCTTGAGACGCGCGCGCATTGTCAGAGAAGCCCTCTTGGTTTCTCTTCATCATTACATTCATCTGTCCGTTATACATGTCGAATGACATGTTCATATTCTGCGGCCCTGGAAGGCCATCGAAACACTGACCTTCAAATCCCTGCATTTGGGGGGTCGTATGGGGTGAGATCAGATAGTTCTCGTCGCTTGCCAAGTTCGCGTACGCTTGCTGGTGGGAGCCCGGGCGCGCTATGCGTTGCTGCTGCGCTTCTCGCAGCACATGCTGTGGTGTGTTGATTCCTGTGTTAGTATGTTCACTTACCGTATTGTGAAAGTCCTGTCTGAAGGTCGAGGGATGCATCTGTTGTCGTCGAGTATCCAGGCTCATGCCTCGTCGGTGCGATACTCGTGGTCGTCCTTGGGGTCGTTGCAGTTGTGGTTGTTGATGTGAGTGCATCTCAGGCAGGTTGCTGGCGATCTTCATGGCCTCGAAGGCCGAGGGTGTCGAGTTTTGCCTCCGGTGTTGGCGGTGCCGGGCATGAAGACCGCTCGGGGGCGGATTGGACAGCATCGTGGGGAGAGGAGTCCGGAATGGTTGTGTTGTCGATAGACTGTTGTCGTTGTTGCCAATGGGGCTATCAATGGGATCCGTAACTGCATCTACCTGTCAACCAAAGTACTTCACTTCATCGACTCTCGAGCGTCTCCCAACAGCTTGTTCTTGCGAACCTGCTCATCGTCGTCGACGGACAGAGGAAAGGGTGCTTCTCACCTCACGCAGCGCAAGCCAGTCAGGCCGGGCAGTTTGTGGGCTTGGGTCGTACTCAGCAGCAGCGAACTTGGTGGACGAGAACTATAGAGAGTTAAGTGGTGGCCTTCTCAGGCGGGTGTAAGTGGTTGCGGGTGAGCGAGGGTTTGTCTACTCTGTAGACCTCCTGTTGGATTGAGGCGAGGGGACAAGACTGTTCTTCTTGTTGACTTTGCTGTCTCCTGCGACAACTTTTTTTCTCTTGTGAACAGATCTAACTAAGGGTTTGGATCTGACCTTGGAGCCTGCAGCAGGTCGTCTTACTTTCGTAAGGATACGATGTGCGCATTGTTGACTTTACAAGCATGAGCTCGGTCGCCATGGCGACGGGCCGCGGCAGCACCCCCCAAAGAGAGTTGGCGCCAAACTAGCCAACCCCGTTGCGGCGGGCTGAATGGGCGCCCCATTGCACCCACGCCTTAATTCAGTGGGACATGTGAAGAACGTCATTCTCAATCAACGCGGCCTTCAAACACTGCCCATCACCCAGACGATTCCATAAGTCCGGTCTGGTAAGACAAGCCTGACAAGGGATCGGTGGCCAGTTCGTCAGATGATAACACCGCGGCTGCCCGTTTTATGAATTCATCTCCGGCCGCTCGTCTTTATCCACCGTCAACATGCGGGCTCGTGTTGAATGTAGGCATGTATTTCGTCCGCCAACAGCTGGGCGGCTCCCGGCGCATTGCCACGCCGTCGTGTCAACATTCTGCATGCGTCCTGGCAACAGGCTCAGCCTGATGGAGCGAGGTGTCCCAGAACTCTGCGAGCGATCGCCGGACGTCCGTGACTTAACGTTCAGGAGTTTCAGACCGTGGCTTGAATTCTGCCGCTTATTTTCTCATTGACAGACTTCAATAGATCTCCCGCTGTCTGTAAGGGATGGCGCACCACCCAGGCCACCGTGGCAATCCCCCTTCAAGCAGTTTTGAGTATGCACGTCTAGTCTATATTCTGGTGGCACACCGTCAGTTGTGGGTTACTTGTGCTTTTTGCGCTTCACCTGGCCCCAGGCCCCTGGTCGAACGAACTCGCCGGGACTCGATCTGTGCCCACTAATTACCCCGCGATGCACCACTTAAATCTCTCCTCACTTCCTCGTCCTGTGGGCCTTGAGTTGATCATCTCGATCTGCCAGGTTCACGGTTGCACGGGTTGCACGGGTCAAGTCTGTCTGGGGCACAAACATGGATTTTACGAGCAGGACCAAGGACTTCATGCCAGGAACTTCTAGTCAGACAAGTTATCGTGCAAGCTGTGCTGCCGTACCCTCCGATCTCCAGTGCTTGAGACTTCAGTCTGACTTGCCTACGCAATGACTTTGCAAGTCTCTGTTTATTTGATCTGTGCACAATTGTTGCCAGAACCAGCGCGGCATCTAATGAAGGACTTGACTGAACCTGATCACCATCCATGCAATCCATTCTGGTCCCGCTTACCAGTTGTATGAAACCACACAGCCTACAACACAAACTTTCACACAAATCTTAATACTCCATTTTCTCGCCGTTCCACCTGTAATAGCCACCGTGCTGGAGGTCGTCGCCATCAGCTGTCCCAAACCTCTCAATGACTGCTACGAAGGAGTCCATGCAGGTCTCCATCTCATCCTCACCGTAGAACCCTGTCATCTTAGTCGGGACGTATCCTGGGTGCACAGCTAAAGCCAAGACTTTCGAGTTTGCCTGGGTCAAATCGACAGCCATTGTCTTGGTCAATTGGTTGACCCCTGCTTTGGAGATGCGGTAGCATGCGTTCCCACCAACATTATCTGCATAGCCTCTGCTTAGTCACAGGGCTGTAGGCCACATGAGACGGTGGTCGGCCAACTCACCTGCAATACTGGCCATGTCTGAGGAGACGTTGATAATCTTGGGGAGCTCTGCACGTTCCAATGCTGGCAGAAACGCCTTGGAGGCTAGAAACGGACCCTGTATAGTGTCAGTGTCTAACGATCATTTATAAAGCCTTGCATCGAAGTCTCAGAATTGACTGACTACCACATTCACTTGGAAATGGTTCATGAGATCTTCTGCTGACTGGTCTGTGAATCGCTTATCGTCCCAGAGATGATACACCCCCGCAACATTGACGAGGAGATCTAATGGTCCCTCGCCAAAATCCTCCGCCGCCTGGCGAATGGAGCGCTCATCGACAACATCGACCTCAAATGTTCGCACTCCCTGAGCTAAGAGCTGTCAGCGCTCGGAGGCGTCAGCGACTCGTCCTATGGGCCAATCGGCGTCTTGCGGCCGCTCGTGAGTATGCAACATGCCTGTTTGACGGATTTGTCATCCTTGGTTTGGGGTCGGTATGTTCCCAAGACGTTGTAGCCGCGTTCCAAGAAGCGACTAGCAAGCTCGAAGCCTATGCCACGATTGGCGCCTGGTGACATGTAAGCCCGGCTCTTGCAGTTACGGAACTTGCAGGAGGGTGCATAATGGCTCTACCCGGTACTCCGTACGCGCAGAAGAATGACAGCACATCTCCATCTCCAGCTAGGTTGGGCGTCGTACAGATCGCAATCCTTCAGCCGACAGCCCCCACGCCATAATACCCTTGGAAGTGTCATCGTCACCTCAGCCAGCTCCTACGCCCGGTAGCTAATGGAACAGATGACGAGGCTGTTGAAAAATGCCGCTTACCTATGATGAGAACATTCTTTCTGTAAGCCATCATGCAATATCCACGGGAGTTTAGCAACTGGGGAAGTTGGGAAATAAAGTAAGGAAGTCGTTTGTCTTAAAAGGTGGTATGCAACATGTTGCGTAACGCCGGAGCTCACTCGGCCTTTTATAATGCCGTAGTCTGACTTGGGCAACATGATTATACGCATGTCGCTTTTACCTAATCACGTAGATATATAACGTTGGATCTTGAACCTTGCTGCGAGTATGCAGCATAGCCAATCGCTTCCATAGGCGCGTCCAACGACGTTGTTAGACTCCCCGTGATCCATATTGACTCCACTCTCGGATTACCAACGAGCCGGTTAGATTGTGCGACTACACCATTTCTCATTGCCAGTAAGCGTGCGACTGGGTAAGGTTTACGACACTCGAAAGGGTGGTCAGTCCCCACCTCTTTATATCACTGAAGGATGTCGACGCCTATTGGATTTGATAGAACAGTGGTGTTACCAATAGAGTGAAAGTGAGGTCTACATGGCACGTTCGACCAGGCCAGATGTAGCAATTGAGATGGGTTAAATACCTTGGCAAATGGTTAAACGAGATCCTCTGGAACTGAGTTGGGAAATGTGCAGCAAATTCAGGAGAACCACCCGACGTAACAGGATCTATGTAGATATGTAGACCCCGCTCCTCGTCCTGCTTATAAAAGGCATGAGACGAAGTGAATTCTGGACATCCCTCGGGTCAAGTAATCTATTCGTAATAACCCTGAGAAACGTAACTGAAGAGACGTTCAACAAGGTTAAATATGCCTAGCGTCGTCGAGCAAGAGCCAATTACTTACGACATCAATATCCCATACAAAGATATAGATGATGACACGCTATCAAGAATCAAGTATCCTGCATACATGCCAAACTGGGACAAGGTTTGGTTCGAGCCTCTTCCCCCATTCGAATTTCAAGATCCTGCTCTCCGAGTCAAAGACATCTCGCTGCCGGAGCTTCATAAGGCGGGCCTAAAGCTGTCGCACATCACACCGAAACTCGGCAGTGTCGTGTCCGGTATCCAGCTGAACGAGCTGTCTGACGGGGCAAAGGATGAACTGGCCTACCTTGTCTCTCAAAGGAAGGTCCTTGCCTTTGAGGACCAAGATTTGATAGACGACGGCCCTACCATCCAGCAGGAGTTCATGAACTATTTCGGCAAGCCGAACTACCAACCCGTTTCCGGTAGCATCAAAGGGCACCCCGGTTTTCACGTCATCCAGAGAGATGGCAACAGGGAGGAGCTGACCAAGTTCCTCGAGCAGCGCCCGACCACAACGCTCTGGCACCAAGATGTCTCCTACGAGATCCAGCCACCGGGCTACGTCATGCTTGGGTATCTTCAGGGGCCGGAGGTCGGCGGCGACACCGTCTTTGCTGCCACTGACCAGGCGTACCAGTAGGTTCTCCTTTCGTTGCGCTCTCCAAGCAATATCTGACAAATTATTCTCCAGGCGCCTTTCCCCCGTGGTACAGGAATTCGTAGACAAGCTGCAAGCCGTGCACACGTCGGCCAAGATGATCAACCACGCCCGCATCAGCGGCGGACTCTACCGCAAGGACCCGGTCGAGACCATCCACCCGGTGGTGCGCGTACACCCTGTCACGGGGGAGAAGTGCCTGTTTATGAACGCCGAGTTCGTGACCAAGATCGTTGGGCTCAAAGAGCCGGAGTTCAAGTTGATCCAAGACTTCCTCATGCAGCATGTCATTACAGGCCACGACTTCCAGGCGCGTGTGCGTTGGAGCCCGAGGTCTGTGGTCATCTTTGACAATAGGAGTTGTCTACGTGAGTTTTGAACTCCCTTGGTAGATACCGGGGTACCTGATCCGATTGGCTGACTTGTTGATGCTAGATACTGCCGTCGTCGACTACATCAACGAGGACGACAGCGTCAAATTGAGACACCTGTTTCGTCTTGCAGCCATGGCGGAGAAACCCACCCCCGTGAAGTTGACTTGAGTAAACGGCCATCTCCCGTGACCCCCTTCCAAAGTGACGCAATGGGCGCAAGAAATCACGTTCGTATATGGCTGTCGGTGGACATTGTGTGCGTCATTATGCCGCTTTTTCAGAGTGCTCTAGCCTCTATGACATGACTTGTAAACTCATGGTCTCTATTGTAGTTGACTCGCTATATAGTGAGCTTGGATGTCATATTTTCATTGAAATGGTCTCGTGATTGCTACCAACTAAATAGAAGTGCAAAGGCCGACAGTTCCAGAATGCAGCCAATTGTGGTACGGTAGACGAACCAGCTCAGGATCAACGACCACACTGCTGACTGAACGGCACAGACGACCTTGATCGGACAGCAGCCACCATGACCATTGTCCCGGAAGAAACTTCATCTTTATCGTCCCTTGAAGACAGGTTTCCTCTTCTCTCTAAAGGCCTCCAAAGCCTCGTCTCTATCCTCTGTCTTGACAACACGCTCGTACATGGCGTTCTCTACCTCCTCCCTGGCCCAGCTCACAGCCTGCAAAGCAGAGCGCACGGCAACAGGGCCACCCTCGCAGATCTCGGACGCCAGCCTGACGGATTCGGCCAGGACGAGACGCCTCGCCCTGGTCGCAATCGCGGCATCCCCCTTCTGCGGCTCCTCGCCCTCCGCTACTGCGTCCCTCTCATCTTCCGGCAGTATCTCGACCAGGCGGTCTGCAATGCCCAGGAAGTAGGCCTCCGGCGCCGAGACACGGCGGCCAGTCAGCACGAGATCTCGCGCGCGCTGCACGCCGATCAGGGCCGGCAGGCGGTACGTGCCGCCCGCACCGGGGATTATCCCAAGCCTCGTTTCAGGCAGGCCGACCGTGGCTGTGGAAGCGAGAACGCGAAATTGCGTCGAAAGCGCGAGCTCGAGTCCGCCGCCGAGAGCGAGCGAGGAGATGGCGGAGATTGTCGGGATGGGGAGATTGGAGAGGGCAGTAAAGGTATTGCGAAGGTTGGCTAGAAACGCTGCGGTCCTGTATGAGGGTAAAGTGTTAGCTTGACCTGGTCAATAGTTCATCGACGTTGTTCATGATCACTGTTGACTCACTCATCTGGAGTAAAGCCGCGCCGTTCCTTCAAGTCGGCGCCAGCACAGAAGCTCGCATCAACGGCACTTGCGAGCACCAAGGCTCTCGTAGGTCCAGCGTCATCCCCTGCAAGTCCAGCGACCTCTTCGCCCTTCTCTGTGTATTGCGCCTGGATATCGTCGATCTCGGTTCGGAGGGCGGCCAGAAGATCCCTCGAGATAGCATTGCGTGCTGATGGCCTGTTCAGCTCAAGGATTCTGATGTGACCCGAGTTGGGGGCTCGGAGGTTTACGACGTTGATGAGAGGTCCTGCATCGCTGGAGTAAGCCCGAAGGTAGGGTTTGCCAATTGCGAGGCGCAGTCTGAGGTTCAACCGAGGGGGCATGCTGGAGAGTACTGGTGGAATGTATGGCGATGAGGTTGTGATCTTGCGAGCTCGCGCGTGATGGCGACAGCTTGGGATGAACAACGCTGGCGGCGTTTAGGATCGGCTATCACCGGGGAAGAAACCACCGAGGTCTGAGATTCGTTGTCAACTATATACCCGTACCAAGCCACGCCCTCGACATCTGCCTTGAAGTGAACGATTCAAGTGATTCAAGTGGTTCAAGAACAAGACCTTGGCACATAGTTGCCTCCGTGCATACTTCCCTTCGGACACTATCGCCATTGTCTGTTGGCAGTCAAGTAAGCAAATGACTGCTCGGGCTTATTGGCCCGCATCTACCATGTGCTGGAACTCGGTGCCCTTAGATGTACTACGTGAAGGGCTTCGCTCATGCTTGGCGAAATCTCAACTATAGCGACCGAAAGCTATGGCAGAACTCGGCGTGTAGCGCTCGCAAGCCTGTTTCCAATTCGTCGTCGCGATAGCTCTCGGCCATTTCGGCGCTGTTCGTGGTAACGGGGCCGCGCTTTTGGTGCACTGACCAATCAATGGCGGCAGAATCCACAGCAAGACTTAAGCTATGGCGATGACGTCCACACTTAGAAAATCAGAGTCGGCCGTCTCGTTATTAGTTGCGTACTAGCCATCACCCTTGAGCACAGCTTAGCTAGTCAATTTGACCCGATTGAGTATCTTGCAAATACATATACTCGACTCGCAAATTTCGAGATCAAGATCAAACTTGGTGTATCCTCTTACCATCATTCCTCCCGGCAGCTGTTCGTTCTGCAACTCGGTTTCCTGTTCGCATCTTGACCAAGCAAGCATATTGATGGCGCAAAACGGAGCTGGAGCAGCTACATCGCTGCCTCCAGCCGCAATCGAATTCGCAGGCCGAATGTACGATGCAGCCCGTGCAGGACAGAAAGAGGTCTTCGAGCAAGCTCTGCCCGCAGGATTACCAGCTAATCTGACGAACGAGAAGGGAGACAGCCTGGTACGGTTTCTAAACTGCCCGTACCAGCACTTAGCAGCTAACGATCGTTTCTTCTCAGCTCATGCTTGCAGCTTATCACGGGCATGCCGACCTAGTTAAGTTGCTGATTCAACATGGCGCAGACCCTAACCGCGTCAACGATCGAGGACAGAGCCCACTGGCTGGGGCTGTTTTCAAAAAGGAGCCTGCTGTGATTGAGGTAGGTTTCCACCTGCTTGTGCTCCTGTGAGATAACGGTCTGACTTTCTTTACAGGTACTCTTGGAAGGCGGTGCAGACCCCGAATGTGGAGCACCAACCGCGATGGAATGTGTTTCGATGTTCAAACTGGAGGACGAGTGGAGAGAGAAGTTCGAGGCGGCTCCTGGTAGAGGCAAGGCCGTTCAGCCTTGATCATCGTAGACATAATGAATATATACCCATATACCCCTGGTTTATTTCAATCAGCCTCCGTTGATGTTAAGGCAGCAAGCCCGAGCAGAGCGTATGACTAGATTCCTAATCTAATTGCCTGCGAGTCACAAGATATCCCGAGGCTCAGCACCCGTGCTTGGGACGATTCTATTTGGCCGAGCACACCACATAATAACCCAAAATTGGCTTCAAATTTAGATAACATTGTTAGAAAGAAAGACTCACAAGATCTCAGTCATGTGATACGGTTATTCATGAGCTTACTAGCCTGATAATATTTGCGAATAGGGCAGGCAAGTGGATTTTAGAGTTTACCACGGTATATGGTTGAGGGCATTTCAAAAAGTTGAGCTTCTACACGTTCACATAAAATCTCTCTTATATTTTTCGGTTCCTTCGGAGATACACAGCAGTTTTCTTATTTAAATGGGCCTAACAAACCCTTTTGCCATCTTGCGAACAAGCATCCCAGCACACTGCAGTTGAGTGTCTGACTTCCGTCAAAATCACCGCCACACCGAATCCAGAATGAATATGGGGAACAAACATTCGACTGCTATTACGTCTGGGCCGTCTCAACCAGCACGTACAGCATACCAAAACTGCAGTGGCGACAACGTAACAGAAAGAGCAGACCTTGGTACGGACGAGATCAGTCAACCTGCACAACCATGTACACCATTTGAGCAGGGTTATATTGACCTGCTTGGACGGGAGCTGGCTGCATGGACGTTTGGACGCTCGTCAAATGACGATAAAACTCGAGCTACAAATTGGGGAAGTCGAGTTAAAAGTAATAGCGCACCCGCCAACTGCTCACTTATGGGCTCCTCTAGTCCTCAACTTCTTCCGTGTGATGGCTTTTCAGATGCACATAGACCTCATACTTATCATTCGGACCCACAGGTGTTGTTAAACACCCCTCAGGACCAAATCAAGTCCCTAAACTCTCGACCACCTTCAAACCTGAGCACTGGCTCAAGAAGCCGGAATCATGAATCCAGTAGCGCAGCAAGTGCACCCGCTTCCGAAGAAGGCATCAGCGAAATACCAGGAGATCCAGCACCAAGCATGCGGGAGTCACAACAACTTGCGGGATCTATAAGCGAACAAGCAGATCAACCACAACAGCGAGTGTACCATGACCTTACGCCAGTGTGTCAAAAACCGCGACATATAGAACAGATCCCTAGCGTCGATGTCCTGGAGGAAGCGGCCTTGGCCTTCAACTATGTTCCAGGCCGTAATGTTCTTGGTGCTGAGGTTGCCGAAGTTGAGGAGCTCGGCGAGAACGAGGGAGTTATGGCTATCTACAACAAAGTCGTGCCCACATTGAGACTTGAGCTGTGGAACAATCGCCGCGCCGCTGGGGCGGAAAACTATCGACGCTTTGAATAATGGATCAATTTATAGTGACATTAGTAGCATTGATAGAAGCTACGGCATCGATCCACGACGCTAAGGAAGGTAAAATCCTTCTTTTAATATAATTTCCACGTTTCTTTCCGTCTCTTTAGCCTCACAAGGTTACAGTACGAGCATGATGTTTTATATTTCTTATCGTCTGAAGAAACCGGGGTCTTAATGAGTGACTTCTTCTGACCGGGTTCTGGATTGCCTCCTGATATGCAGCCTACAGCCTAGGATCAGCTTGAACGAATATAACAAGTTGGTACAGGGCGGAAATTCATATTCCTGATGCCCTATTCCAAGGCGAATGCATCTGAGCAGACATATAGCCCTCCTCCTACTGAAACATAATCTCTTACGGGAGTTCTGAGGTGGGCGATGGTAGACCAGCGTCCTTAACACAAGCAGCGCTGTGAGGGGTTGGTTCAAAGCGAAAGAGGTGATAACTTTAATTGGGTATTCTGATGCAACTCAAGCCTGCCCAAGGGCCTCCGCGAGCGCGCGGGGACTCCTGGCTACTTGATAAGGCCCTTTTCTGCGGGGTTGTGGCGAACGTGTTGATACTTCGCCAGTTGTGAGCTTATTCTTATTCCCATTATCACATGACAAGCGCCCTTTCACCAGAACTCAAGAAAGAATCCTAGTGACCCCAAATTGCTAGTCGCCATGTGTTATTACTACCCAAACCTCTGTGTCAGAAGTGCACTCCTAGGCATTGTAGCAGCATTGCCTCCAAATGCAACTAAGACGACGCTCCAAGGTATTTCGCTCCAGTTCTTGCTGCCTAACGCCAATAGAGAGTCGGAAGACAAGCGATGACATCATTTGGAAAGACTGCTCGTGAGAGTGCGTACCCATTCATGTCTAGGTCTCATGTCAATAAGGTTGAGGACCTTCATACTTCGACTTGGAAGATGTTTCACTCGAGCTTGAGGAGCTTTGACCAATCAAGCACCCTACATCGGGACAGAAGGCCAAAGTTACAAATGCACGCCGAAACCCATGGGCCGTTTACTTCGCTTCCAGAGATTTAATCCAAACATCCCCGAGCTTTGCGATGCTTGCAGGTTTGCGGTAAAACTCTTCCTTCGCGGGAACGCCTGTTGGGCTACTGGCAGCGGCTGACTTGGACAAGTTATAAGAGGCATTGGCGCCAGAGCTGGCTGTCAGGAGCTGAACAGTACGTATCATTGCGAGCTCTCGGGGGTACAGCACATCAACTCCAACGAGGAAGCTTCGTAAACCAGACTGCAGGCAGGTCAGAATACCAACGAGCTAAGGGTAAGCGGTCGCATAGACTCTGCTGAGAGCGTTCTCGGCGAGGTGCTGATTATAGAACAGAAGACTGGTCACAACGGTTCTTGACTCATCACTCATCTGTGACGACATGGTCTACTATATGGAATTCAATGTTGATGGCGCTTGCCGTGGAAATGGGAAACCTGGGTCTAGAGGTGCAGCCGCTTGTGTTCTATGACAGCGCGGCCAAGGGCACCACAGATGCAAGACATGCCACATGGTCGGCCGTAACAGCACACCGACCAATCAAAAGGCGGAGATCGAGGCCATAATATTGGCTCTTGAATGGGCAACGCAGCGATATGAGGAGCTTGATTCGAGTCCTAACCTCTTGGTAAAGATCAACTCTGATTCTCGCTACGCCGTCAATTGCATGAATGAGTGGATCGCCAAATGGTCACGCAACGGCTGGCAGAACTCGAAAGGGTGGGACGTCGCAAACAGGGATCTGCTCCAGAGAGCAGCAGACCTGGAGGAGGTGGTGAAGCAGTACGGGACGGTGCAGTACATCTGGATCCCAAGGGAGAAGAACACATTGGCGGACAGATATTGCAACGATGCTTTAAACCGGTCGGATGATGACTGACTAGGGAGAAGAGCCGCGACTAGGAGGGGAAAGAGAAGTGGAAGGGCGACGTAACTGACGAACCAGAGAACAGGAGGTCAAACTGCAGTATCCTAGTTATACTTGGAATGAAGTCGAGTTTGAAACGAATCAAGGAGAGGTATCCCAAGGTAACTATGCTGACCAATGGGTTACAATTTTTCATCAATATAGGCTACATAACCACAACCATTGCCATGCCCACTGCAGACAATTCTCTCGTCACTTTGGCTGGGTTCTGAAGCTTCTGAAGCTGACGGGGCCTGAAGGCGCGGGGCGTTAACTAACTTACAGGTCTCGACAGGGGGCCGTTGCCCCTGACAACCACTGAGAAAAAGGGCCCCAAGCCCACGCACACACCACCTGGAACGAGCGCTGGACGGGGCACCCAGCGTCTGTCAGCGCCCGTGCTTCTCATTCCGCACACAATCTGAGCCAGGACGCGTCCAGACTCGACCCAGCCCAGTCCACGACGGAGGACAAGACGTGATTTCGGCGTGGCGGCTCTGGAAAACGCCAATTGGGACTGCAGTCGACATCACCTTGCTACCATCAATGCCCTCGCGTTCCCACACGGTCAATTGGCTGCACGGTTGAACATGTCGGTACGGGTAGTGGCGCGCATCCGCCCCTTGCTCCCCCAGGAGCTGGACAAGGACATCATCGTGCACGCGGCCAGCACCGAGGACGGCAAGCCCGACACTTTGGTGCGCATCCCGAGCCCCAAGAACGAGGCCGAAGAGTTCACCTTCGCCTTCAATGGCGTCTACGACCAGCCCACAACTCAGGAGGAGTTGTTCTCCGCAGAAGGTACGGCAGACACATTGACACGTGCACGAGTACTCGCAACGAGACATCTATATGCTAGAGGCCGTAACGTTGAGCTGACGCCAAATACACGCAGTCGCACCCCACCTCAAGTCTCTCTTCCAGGGCCTCGACGTCACGATATTTGCCTATGGAGTCACGGGCACCGGCAAGACGCACACCATGCGCGGCGGACTGAAGCTGGCAGACCGCGGGGTGATTCCCAGGCTGCTGAGCGGCGTCTACCGGCGGTCCAAGAAGATGATGAAAGACTCGAACGGCGAGACGACGGTGACAGTCGCCCTGTCGTATTACGAGATCTACAACGACAAGGTCTTTGACCTGTTCGAACCCCCGGAGAAGCGACTGCCCGCAGGCCTGCCCCTGCGCGAGGCCAACGGCAAGACCAACGTCGTTGGTCTGACCGAGCGGCCTTGCGAGGATCTGAAGGACTTTGAGAGGCTCTACATCGAGGCCAACAACAACCGCATCACGGCTGCTACCAAGCTGAATGCCCACAGCAGTAGAAGCCATGCCATTCTGCGAGTCAAGCTCACCCAGACCACTGGCGACATGGTTCGCGAGAGCACTGCATCAGCCATCGATCTGGCCGGATCCGAGGACAACCGACGAACCGAAAACAACAAGGAGCGCCTGGTCGAGTCCGCCGCCATCAACAAGAGCTTGTTCGTGTTGAGCCAATGTATCGATGCCATCTCCAGGGGAGACCGCCGAATCCCCTTCCGCGAGTCCAAGATGACGAGGATTTTGTCTTTGGGCCAGAACAATGGTATAACCGTCATGATCCTGAACCTCGCGCCTCTACGCAGCTACCACCTTGATACCCTGAGCAGCTTGAACGTCAGTTCGCGCGCCAAACGCATCGAAGTCCGAGAGATCGAGAACGAGATTGTCTATAAGCAGGTCCCGCGAACGAACTCTGGGAGCTCCGGTTTGAGCGTGACAAGACAGCCGCTTCGGCCCCTGGCCAATGCGCACAACATTGCATCTGGCCAGATTGCGGCCAAGGAAAAGGAGAAGGCGGCGGCGGATCGCCCCGTCAAGGCTTTCAATGTCTACACCGACCGCCCGAAGCCTGTGGTACCTCCTCGTCCTGCGAATATGGCTCTCAAGAGGACTGCACCAGCCCAGAAGCGACCCTCTGACCAGGAAAGTGGCATTGCTAGACCCAGCAAGATCACGCGGCCGGCTCAGGTATCACTGGCACAACCCGTAAAGCCACCGCAGCCCAGCGTATCCGCCGAGCAGATCGAAGCCATGGTCGAGAAGAAGGTCGCAGAGATTTTGGCCTCCCGCACACAAGCTGCCCAGGAGCAACAGCCGGAAATCAGTGAAGCAGTGCAGAAGCGTCTTGAAGCCCTCGAGCGCCGCATCGACGATGGTCGACACGATGACCACAAGTCAGAAGGGCTTAGATTTCTCCTGATGGCTCGCCAGCACAAGGAGCGTGGAGAAGATTCCAGTGCATTGAAGATGTACGAAATGGCACTGCCGTACTTTCCCGGCCAGGCAAAGCTGCTCTCCAAGATCGACAAGCTGAAGGCCAAGATCGCAGCCAAGCGCGAAGGTCGGGATGCGCCTGCGGAAGTGGCTCGCGATGCAAGTTCGACAGCGGGTACTCCGTCACGGAAGAAGAAGGTGTATCGGTTCAACGACGACGAGGACTATGAAGCTGCCGAGGCGGATGACGACGACGAAAGCTTTGCCCACAGCCGCAAGCCGACGAGAAAGGTGAAGGCGACCAAACTGGAATGCAGCCTTGACGATACACCATTGACGCCACAGATGCAAGAGCTTTTGGATATCATCAACTCGGGAGATGCGAACATGATTATGGGCCTCCAAGGCTTCGGGCCCAAGAAGGCGCGCGACCTCGTCGACTACTTGGATCAGGATGGCCAGCGGATACAGAGCTTGGCGCAACTGCGCGCCATCCCCGGAATGGGCGGCCGAGCCATCGACCGGGCGTATGAGGGACTTGTGTCGGGACACGCATAATTATATTCCCCGCGTGGTCCTGACTTTTCATCGACCCATGTTTTCGTCGTCATGTCCAAGCATAGAATCCTGGATGCATTTGCATTGGCGAGGCGTTTTGGGTTAGGCATAAAATGGTATGCAGCATTGTCTTTCCAATCCAGACTCTTTGACTCTTATGCGACACGGACGAATGAGATGATGTGAATTTTCTAGCTGAACTGTAGAGCAAAACACGAGCAAAGCCGGATGCTCGTAGTTGGTAATCCCGCGTCATTTTGTGGGATAAAGCAGTGAGTCAATACGAGCCACGTTGGCTATGTACGGATCCTACGGGACCTCGTCTTTATCTCGAAAACATCCATCGTGGAAGCTCACAGTTTCAAGCGACTTGAGTCTATGGCAATCTTAAATTCGCGCGATTTATTGACCTGCTCAACGCATGTGATGTTTCTATTATCCCATGCCAAGCGCGCGAGCTCGCCATTCCGATCGAGGTGCCGATGTTGCGCTGAAAAAATGTGACGCCACGGCACGCCTGTTCTCCGCACCGCAACCCCCCCAACCGAGATGCCAATCCGGAGATAATCTTATCAGATCCGTGTTTGCCAAGGCCCATGTGTGCCATTTCGGCGGTGCTAGAGCGCTCGCCAAGCCCAGCTTCCTGGGTTGCGAGGTGGATGCTGCGAGTCTTGGGTTTTCCTTAGCATCCGATGACGGTTCCCGACGGTAGCAAATGCTGGCGATCCTATGGGACACGTCGGGTCTCGCACGACTGTTTCTGGCGGTATATAGCCCGCCATGGTTTCTTGGCCGCAGCTCGTCGACGCAGGAAACCCCCTTCCCCGGTTACACACGCCTCCGTCCCTGAACCACCAACGCCATGGCAGAATCGACTCAACCTACGCTCACCAGCCTCGCGGCTAGGATTTCCGAGCTCGCTGGGAAGCTGGATGGCTACATCGAGGAACAGAAGATCCCCAAAGTGTCTTTTGACGCCGACAGCCCGACGAAGTATCCCAACCTGTCGCCAGAGATGTTCATGGTGCGGCAACAACTGCTCGACAGCCTGAACGATCTGGAAATCCTGGCTCAGGGCCCAAGCGAGAGCGTTTTCAATTATGTTCACTCTGTAAGACGTCCCGTGGAGTTCGGCGACGACGGGATAATTGACCCGTTTCTTTAGGCCGTCCCGAATGCGGCGGCATTGAACACGCTCAACTCGTTCAATTTCTGGTCCGCGGTGCCGGTGAACGGCTCCGCCTCGTATGAAGAGGTCGCCGCCAAAGTCTCGCTGCCTCGGGACGTCGTCTACCGCCTGCTGCAGCACGCCGTGACCATGCGGCTGTTCGCCGAGACCCGCGCGGGCGCGGGGCCGGCGCGCATCCAGCACACGTCGCGGTCGGCGGCGCTGGCGCAGTCGACCGGCCTGCAGGCGCTCGTGTCGTCCATCCTGGACGACTCCGGGGCGCCGCTGATGGTGCTCAACGAGGCGCTGCGACGGTACAGCGCGGGCAAGCCGGGCCTGTCGCAGCGCATGGACGAGACGTCGTTCGCGCTGCTGCATGCCGGCGGCCAGTTCGGCCAGTTCCGCAACTCGTGGGAGCTGCTCGAGAACGACGGCGCCGGCGACCGCCAGGGCTGGCGCCAGCGCAACTTTGTCGAGTTCATGCGCTACCTCAAGGAGCTGTTCCACCTCGAGGACGTCGTGCTCAACTCGTACCAGTGGCCGGCCGAGGGCAAGGTCACCGTTGTTGATGTAAGTCGCCGACTCCTTCCGCCACAAGCTGATTTTGAACACCTGCTCATTGTATTACCTTCATAGCTTGGCGGATCGGCTGGCCATGACGCCATGGTCCTCGCTCGCAAGTTCCCTGAGATAGACATCACTGTGCAGGACCTGAAGCAAGTCCAACCGGCCTTCGACGCCGCACTGCCGCAGGATTTGGCAGATCGCGTCCGCTTCCGCGAACACTCGTTCTTCGACCAGCAGCCCGTGCAGGCGGACATCTACCTCCTCAAGATGATTCTGCACGACTGGCCCGATGAGGAGTGCACCACCATCCTGCGGAACCTGATCCCCGTGCTCAAGCCGGGCGCAAAGGTCGTGCTGATCGAATACATCGGCGGCGCTGGCGAGGAGGAGGAGGAGAAGAGCGCTGATGGCCCCGAGCTGCCGCGGTCTCTTAAGCAGTACGGCACCGCCACGGACCTCAGGCTGATGGCCATGTTCAACGGCAAGGAGAGACCTATCAGCAAGTGGAAGTCCATCTTCGAGGCTGCGGATCAGCGCTTCAAGGTTGTCAAGACGGAAGCGGTGTCCAGCGGGTTCTTTGGAATCGTTGAGGCGGTCTGGCAAGAGTAAAGCCTCGCTTTTCATATCGAATAAAGCGTATAGATGATTCAAAGGTATTCGTACTAGGGCAATCATCGGATTAGCTAGTATTGTAGAAGTCCCATAGATCAACCATAGTAAGGGTATGGAAAAGAAAAATCAAGTTAGAAGTAAGTGTCAATGGGCTTGGAATTGTTACATAAGTTTCTATCCATCTCTGTTACTGTACACCAGTGAAATCCTGGCGTATGGGTGCGCTCCAAGATTGCGGCCATTCTCCTCGATGCATTAAAGTATACACTGTCGTCTGCAAGATGCTACTTCAAGCTACGATTTTAGGCTGATCCGGGGTTTCGTCTCCACGAATGATGACGATGAACTCACCCCACGCATCATAAGCAAGGTAGGATGCAAAATCGGACTTGGTTGTTCCACTCATTCTCGCAATCGCAACACCTAAAAAGCAGACTCGTGCTTGAAACCATCCCATTCCTGGGCAACTGTGATGCTGGATTCCTCGTGTTCTGGCTGCGACTGTGGGGTGGACGAGGCAGCTCCCGGGCCTCGCGACCGAGTGGTGACCTGTGGTTGACTGGTCGCGGTCGACGTTTTCGTGGCAGGCCGTGCAGCAGGTTTCTAGTCTGCGACCACGATGTCGTTCCTCCTGACCCCCGAGGCTGTATTGGGGAACGCCGCCGCCGCCCGATTCAGCTTCTTCAGCGTCTCCGGGACAGCACCGCTCTGCAGAGTCTGGATGCATTCGCCCATGAAATCGCCCTCTCTGAGATTCTGCGCCTTGGTCCTGGTAAGCCAGTACTCAAAGGGGCCACCTGTGTGATGCAGTCAGCACTCGAGCAAAGATTACATTGCAGAGAAATGGCAAATGCTTACGATTTGCCGACAGGGCGTTGCCAAGCTCGATGCATCGCTCCTCGGGGTCATGCTCCGTGTGCATGTCGAGGAAATGGTTGAGCATCTTGCTCACGTCCTTGAGAGGCCACTTGCACGGGGCACTAGGCACGCGGTTCGGCCCCGCGGACAGATACTTGGACGCGGTGCAGAGATGGCACATCCAGAAGCCCAGGCGCTGCACAGACGATCCGTCCTGGGTGTCGACCTCGATGGTGTCGCCCTCCGCATCGTCGGTCTTGAAGTTGGAAAGGCGGGGCCGCTTGGCCGGCGCCGGGCCGGGGGTGCCAGTGCCCGTCGAGCGACGCTTGGGGGCGCCGTCGTAGTAGAACATGGGGCGACCATTGGCGCCGGACGAAGCTGGCTGGCGCGTCTGCGCATCGATGAGCTCGATGCGATGCTGGCAGTGGCGGATCTGGTGGCCCAGGTCCAGGATGCGCAGCTGGAACGTGCGAGACTCCTGCGCCGTGAGGTCGGGCGCCTGGAGTTGTCCCGTAGAGTAGTCCAGGTCGTACCGATAGGCGCCGATGTCCTCATTGAGCTGGCGACGGGTGATCTCATTGAGATCGACGCTGTGCTCATAGTCGTGCTGCGGCTGCGGCTGCACGTAGGTGCCATTGCCGTTTGCAGCTGGCGCGGCGGACGGCGACATCTGGGCCACGTTAGTGACGATGCACCTGAGAACGCTGGATGACAATAAATGGCCCATCGGTGTAAGACACGAGTCAAACGGGCTCATCTTCCATAAACTGGATAGCCAGGAACGACACGAGAAAGCTTGGGAAAAAACGAACCGGGGCTACTTACGCCTGTGAGCTGTGTCATGTCTGGCACCCAGAATCCCCTCGAGGTGCTATGTCGGGGCATGCTGGTCTTCTTTCTTTCCGGGTGAAGATGCAGGGTGCGAGGTGAGAAAAAACAACGATTGGCGTGCCGAACCACACAGGCAAGCGCGACAAAGCCACGCGGCAGGAGCTGCAATCGTGCAACCCGTGTTGTGTGAATCGAAGGTCCAACTTGAAGGCCGATCTTTAGATAAATGGGTAAGTGACTTAAAAGCTGTCGTCTTAAAGTAGGGTAAGGACCGCCTGGTGAGACCCGACGCTTCAGGGGTTGGCCAACCTCAAGACAACCCGTTGGTTGATAAGTGTCTCTGGTTCCGCTCTTTTGAAAAGAAGAGATGGGCAAATGAGTTCAAGTCTCACGAATTGTTTTTCAAGGGCCTTGAGTTTGGGGGTGGAATGAATTGGGGAAGAAAAAGAACTTTTTTTTTTTCTTTCCGACGTAAGAAAAAAAAGTTCGAGCGAAAAAAAAAAAAAATCTCCAAAGGGAGATCCACAATGGGGACCAATTTTCCCTTTCGTTCCAATAGAATGCAGCAACTTGGGCATCCAGTGATAGACCAAAGCGAGATACTAAAATAAGTAACATGCGACAGCTAAATTCAGGCCGTGTCTCTTTATTCTTTCGACTTTTTGGTAATCCCACCATTCTGCTCGTCCACCATGGATAAGTTAGTCGATGTCGAGGTTCTGACGTTTCGGTAAGCTCGTGCCTAAAAGCCCGGGGCCATTTTAGTGCCATGAGCTACGACAAGCTTGTTTAGACTTTCACCAGGAGACGCCATCGATTCCTGTACCAATGGGCCTCTGGCAACGGGCTGATTTTCGGGTCGGTCCAAACTTGTGATTCTCCTCGACCGTGTGATAATTATACATCTGGCCGCCTCCATTTTTGCTGCAGCCGGGTGAATCAAGAGAAGAATCTGCAGCCAGACCCATGCTGGTAAATTAAGGACCATTTTGAAAAGGACGCGCCTGGGCAAGAAGAGCATAAATTCCGATTGTATTCACCTAAGGGGTAGCAGATGATCTAAGCTGGCAATCAATGAGCGGAACGCTGCGATCATTTGAGTTAAGCATTTCTGTGATTGATAGATCCCTGGGGATGATGAATAGCAGATTCCTTATAAAATAATAATAAAATAATTGCTATAAAACACCGTGTACTCTATCTCGCTGTGGGGTGGCAACTTCGACGTCAGTCTTGACGATCAGCATGTAAACACATCCGGGCCTGTTTGATCAGTCCATTTTCTGGTACGATAGGTTTAAAGGGTTCTCACCTGGTATCTTGTATGGGTTTGTCGCACTAGGAGGCTTGTTGTAGATGTCAATCAGAAGACCGGGGTCGTTCGACTAGAAGGCGTGCTTGTCAGCTGTTCTACTCCAATCATTTTCAAAATGCCCGAAATCAAGAGGAACGAACCTTGTAGATTCCAGGGATGCTTGCAGTGGCTGGCTTCTTGGAACCCGAGCCGCCAGTAATATTGATCTGAGCACATTCCATCTATGAGCAGTCAGTGTCGGAGCAATTCGTTCAAGCGATCGGTATCGTATATGAGCCAGTATGAGACGGTCATGCACTTACGTATAGTTGTGCGCCGTTGGTGGATCGAGCGCCGCTGGCAATTTTCTGAGATTAGCTGCTCCATTTCTACGTTTCTACACCATGGTGAATTGAATCAACACCGAAAGGAAACTCACTGGAGGGCGACCATTTCGGCACGTAAGAGGTATTGACCATCCTCAATGCACTCTGGAATGTGAATTTTCTGATTGCCGCCCGAGTTGATAACTGAATCAGTGCCCCATTTCCCATTGTTGAACCCTTCGTGCTGGATCTTGAACCTGTCAGGTGAGGCACCTCTCGCTCAGTACATCATAAACTGCGTGTGCGCCCGAGTAGCTTGAGAACTTGCATACCAACCAGAACCAACGCCATTATCTTTTGTCGCGTCGGAGACCTTCTTGAGATAGGCCATGACGGGCCCCTTTACCAAATGAGTACTCGCCTTACGCGAAGTGGGCCTGGAGGCGAGGTGCAACAGTACCTTGTGGCTGGAGTCCATGACATCGTTGGAACCCGCTATTCAAATATCAGCCTTGTATTTTTCAGAGGATATGTACAGTATGGAAGTTCCATTACATTGAAGGGTGTGCCTCCATATAGCAGTAAGTTCACTCCCAGCTTGCACATCGACAATCTTGCTTGATGGGGTGGTAGGATTCGGAGGGCCATTGCAGGCCAGGTTGTTGGATTTTACATCGGTTTGTGGCTAGTGAAGCTTCAGACTTGTCTTATGTCTTTCCTCTTAATTCGCAGAAATAGGGAGGAGAAAACTTACGCCGTCGTATGAAGGGGTGCGGATGGCATAGGAGACATCTTGAGGTTCAACAGTTTAGTGATGCTACCCACGGAGCGAATCAAGGGGTATCATCTTACCGTATGTCCTGGCATCAGTTTTCAATTGACAGAATATGGTATGTCCCAACGCCAAGGGTACTAAAGTTGATGCTCTTAGAATTGTCGGGAGTCTCATTGTTGAAAGAAAAATTGTGGTTTGGGCAACTTGAATGTCTGGCTCTCTAGCAAGTGGCATAGATGCGAATTGACTGACCTATATAAAAAATCTGCAAAGGGTAAAGCTGGCTTCGATGTAATATGTAGGAATTTCATGTATCACGCCTGGAATATGTTGCGAGATCTGCTTAACCTAGATGTCCAGCTTACCAGTAAACGCCTCCATATGTCAACTTGATAAGATGCAGGCTTCCTGGGGCCAATGGTATTCATCCAATGGCTTAGCGACCACGGAGCTAAGGCTGCCGGACCATTTGTAGTAATCCATTGTAGAATCCATCAGAACCATATGAGAAACCGACAGAGGAGAAGATTCAGTAGATAACGCGTTTTAGGCTATATTCAAGATAGCCTCGGCACTCAACACAGAACTATCTGTACAATGTTTGACTATGCTCTGAAATAGTTTCGCAAGTGTTGCTGGTAGGTTGCAGAAACTTCATATCACAGTCATACCTGCCAGACAGTGAACAATGAGATCCTTAGATATATGCTATCGACGCAAGTATGTAGTCCTCTTGCGAAAGTTTTCTTGAAGAACCTCTTAAGCCCCATCCGCCCGTATACAATTCTGCCGATTCAAAGCACGGGACTGCCAAGTTCTTTCTAACCCCGATACAACACGAGCACGGTTGAACGCAGACGCCACACCAGGCATCACGATACGGGCCCTCTGACTATCAATATGCTGCTGATTGCATCGTGGCTTACCCGTATTATTTTCTTTAGGATTTTTTTACCCGCTCGGGCGACACCAAAGAGCAAGGCTTTAAGGGTCATATCTATAGCAGGTAAGGGGGTTGAGCTGCTGAGGGACTAGTATTGAGATGGTAGAACTCGCTTAGAGACAAACGGGGGGTCAAGGGATGCAACGAAGAGGGAGACAGTGTGGAAAGAGATGGTCAAATTGGCGAAATTGAAGGGGGGAGACACGAGTTCTTACTCATTGACAGTAAGAAGTCACTACATAAAAATGGGTATGCATCCAATTTTGGAGAAACGAAAAGTGCTAAGCAGCTTGTCTCGGGTGTCTTTCCCACAGGAAACACGATGTTATTAGACCAAGCGCCATCATTCCAGTTAAGAATATGTTTTGCTGGTTGTATCCTTCTGCAAAGCTTTCCCGAACAGCTTGTTTCTGACTTTCAGACAGATCGTTTATAGCCGATAATGAACTGGTGATTTCTTTAAGCTGGCTTGGACTCATGATTTCTGACAACTTGGAATTTACATGGTTGTTGAGTAATGATGCGCTGTCTCGTCGTTAGCTATGGTAAAAAATGGAGCGTTTGCTTTTACTACCAGATGGCCAGAGATATGGTGCCGCCGAGTGTGCGGATCTGCGTCATACCTCCCATCATTACACCTTGAGCGCGTTAGCTCGAGACACGCCAGTTTATGATAGGGCATGTATCATACCAATATGGTCCTCGGAGACAACTGCACGGGCAAATATCAACAGCGATGTCAGTCCGAGACCAAAGCCAGCACCTATTAGAACCTGAAATCCATATTGTGACCTAGATATATCCGTGCTGTTGGTAGGCAGAGAACATGTAAGCCCGATACCAACCAGTTGGATAAGAGTGCCGGTAATGATCAAATAGAATGGCGGTATTTTCATACTCCCAGTGAGAAAACCTGAGAAAGCAGTGGCAACGGGAGACGCTAGTAGTAGTGGAAGCAGGGTTATACCAGCACCAAGTGGTGACAAGCCACTGACCGCCTGCGCACGTTGGGGAATGTTTACCACGATGGCAGTAAATGGAAACCCGGTAAAGAATGCTGTCCTAAAAGCGAGTTAGTCCCAAGGACAGTCTTTTGGTAGTCATCATTGGCACCAACAATAGAATGGCGGCGGTGAGTCTTTCTTTGACAAGTCCTGGTGGAAACACTGGTTCACAGACATGTTTCTTCTTGTCTATGAAGACTTCCCAGCTGGCGAACCCTATGCCAGTAATGACAGCAATGACAAGTGTTCCAATAACAATCCCGCTATTCCAAGAGTAGCGGGTCCCTCCTTCTTCAAGCGAGAAGACAAGGAGTACCGAGAAAGTGAGGAGCAGGGCCATCCCAACGTAGTCGATACGCATAAGAGATTTTCTCGAGAACTTCGACCGCAGGTGAGTGGCCATCAGATGATGTGACGTTGATAGATGTGTGGTAGAGGGTAGACAAATTATGACAGCGATCAAGGATAACACTCCACCAGGAATACTACTAACATCAGACTCAAATAATTGGAACAAGGTAGAGAAGGCGCATACATACTTTAGCAGAAAGACCCATCGCCAGCTTTGGTCCTTCTTATCATTGATGACACCACCTAATATTGGTCCAAGTAGGCTGGCTAAGATGAAGACTGTCGAAACCAGGCTCATTAATTTGCCAAACTTCTCTGGGGGGACTAAACCTGGCGCAATGACCATTATCATGGCGTAAATGCCTGAAGCCCCCATACCCTGGAACGCCCGGGAAATTATGCTGTCATCAAATTAGTGCGCCAGCCAGCCAGCAAATGAGACGGGATTTGGTAAGTCGTAGAACGGCACAGTGGCTCGTTACTGAGGGTCATCAACGTTTCTGTAGCCATTTTTTATGCAGGCCGAACTTTGGCCGGATTTGGCTTTGGGTGGAGATGAGGAAGGATTTCGTGTAACATACAGTGAATGAATGTTGTTTGAAGCTCCGCATACTGCGGAGAATACAGTGAACAATATAATTCCCGTAATCAACATCGTCTTTCTGCCGAGTATATCGCTTAATTTGGCGTAGATGGTGAGGAATCCTGTTAGGTTAGCTTGCGAGAAACTCACACGGCGGCGGATGCGAACCTGTATAAGTGATGAGGTACGCGGTCACAATCCAATCCCTAATCATGAAGCCATCCAAAAAGTTGGTAATTGACACCAATGATGTGCTGACGATTGTAGTTTCCAGGGTTGAAAGGAAGAGTGCAATCCATAAGCTACAGGTGATCAGTCCGCAAGAAACACTAATCAGGTAATCAAACAGCATACCCAGCAAGCAAGGTCCATAGCTTCCACCCTGTGAGGTATTGTGGGCGAGCGTCTTCAGTGCGGTCCGATGAGGCTTCGCCACGTTCAGGTACAGGTTGTGGTACTTGCTCGTGAGACTGTACACATTCGGATGGTGTGTTGGATGCTGCGGGTTCGGTGGAAGTTCGCACCATTTTGCCGGACCATACTAATGAGTGAAACGGTGCAAGAAATATCATGAAGCAAATTTTGGGGCTCTGAGCATTTAAATGTCGTCTTATATCTACGTGGTTTTGGAAATCGCCGCACTACGATGTCAAATCAAACGCCTCGTACACTAAACCTGTTTTGGCGATGTCCACCCAAGAGCTGACCATGTTGCATGTATAATCAGCCGACTTTTTGGTTAGCTTGGGTGTAGTGCCTGGCTGCCCTAGTGCACTAGATCCCCAGTGAGGCTCAGTGCAGTCAACGAGGCCTAGCTCGCCAGTGCCACAAAATTGTAAATGATGTGCCATATCTATGGAAGAAACGCCATGCTCGTATGCAGGATTTGATTCCACCTAGCTTTCGCCTAGGGAAAGGGGAAGGTAATGAAGTAAAAATTATTCAAGCAAATCAAGCTTTATCTAGATTGAGACTCATATTAAATGAATATCGAGAATCCTACGTGGCGGATTCCCTGTACGATATGCCCACCGCCGCCGCTTGTATGAAACTGAATGCTGAGTAACGATATCCTTGTTATACACGGTCGACTCGACAATAATGCAGTCTACAATGCTTGTTGGACGGTAAGAATGCGATTGCACGTCGATTACTTAAATGCTTACAATGAGGTCGTAGGAATGCGAGCAGCTGCAAGCAGTTTTTTCCTTTTTTTTTGTTTTTCTTCGGGCAATGGTTGGGACCAACATGGCAGGGCCAGGTTGCATAGCGCAACCTGTCGATGGCCTCCAAACCATTGATGCGTGTGCATCGGAAACCAATACAGAGACCTCTCGAGGGGAAACCGCCTCTACAATAATTGTCGATATGTAGATCGACGGGAACCGTGAAGCAAGTTGCTTCTATAGCATCGGTTGTTTTGCTTGCGACCAACAATCTTACGTGGGGGGAAATCCCTTGGTTTCTTTCAAATGCAGCAGAACATCCCGGGCTAAATTGTCATATCAAAGTCGTCAACTCCTTGTTTCAATCAAATATCCCCTGGTCACGCAAAACCATGGCGGTGGAAGTAACGAAAGCCTGGGACGGTACTCAGTGGCATAAGGATCCTGAGGTGCCAAAAGGGTATGTTAGCTATGTTGATCTTATTGTCAAATCTGGTCAGATTTTCCTCATATTAGTCGTTCGCCATGTGTTACTGACTCAGCTGCACGTTCAAGAGCTACCGATTGGTGTTACCTCTTGGCGTTATTTCCCTCCATGGCACCTTGTTTTGGACAAGAACAGCAAATATCGTAGGGATGCAGGAAGATGGAGCTCACAACCCTTCGTTTCAAAGGTACAGCGTGGCTCGGCAGCGCTACCATAGTTTGTGATGCAGTATCTTATGATAGCCAGGTCTCGATCGGAGATCAAGGCAAGGGCATGATACATGGCGAATTTGAGTCCACGAAAGCATTACATGATACAGTACCTGAACTCGTCACCAAACCAATTGCGTGGGGAACATACAGGACCGATGACAATATGCACTTTCTCCTTTGTACGTTTGACAATATGCAAAGCGAGCTATACTCTCTTGATACTTTCACCAACCTACTAGCCGAGCTACACGAACGAGGGGTGTCCCGAAACGGCAAGTTCGGCTTTCATGTCATCACGTACCAAGGGCGCTTGGCACAAGACCCAACTAGGCGCGACACATGGGAGGAATGCTTCTCGCAAAATATCGATATATTCTTCGAGCACGAGTTTAAGGCACAAGGGTCAGATCAAGAGATAACTGAGTTGAGACGAATCATCATGAAGCGGGTGATCCCAAGGCTGCTGAGACCACTTGAGACCGGCGGAAGGTTTCTCGTTCCGAGACTGGCTCATAGCGATCTGGTAAGCTTACCGGAACACATTTCGAGTTCTATCTTCCCTCGAAGCCCTGAAAATCCGAAAAGGGGCTCTCTCTCGTTCTGAGCTTTAGTGGAAGTTCGTAGCTGGCAAATAACGGTGCAGTGGAAGGAAAATGCTAGTACAGACTCGGAACAAAAAGAACAAAGATTTATGATGCATGCAGCTGGTTTGCCTGTCCTGTGTCATTCGATGTCAGTCTTGCACACCTTTGTGCAATTGAGATGGCTCCGTGGAGGCCGGCACGACAGAATATGGGGAAACCATACTTCGAGGCGTATCTGAAGCACTTCCCAGCTTCAGAGCCTGTCGAGGACTTTGGTGGGCGGAACGCTCTACACGCACGGTGAGCAATTCTGCCGACTGGTTTACCCTGAAATGTAGTGATATATCCACTGTTGTTTCAACCTTTGCTCTTGTGGACTGTACCCTGGTGATTTGAATTATCGAAGAATGTAAGCGGGACATCTCCATTCGTGAGGCTTTACATAGCTGATGGCTGAAGTGTGAAACGCGACATAGACGATTTGAACGAAAGGTTCCAGTAACCTTTGAGGAGTGGCAGGTGAGGCAGCAACCGATTCAGTTGGGACGGTGAGTAGAGAATTGGAAAGTAGTGCCAACGTTCCTCCTGCTAAGACTTTGGCATTCCATTGCTACCAAGAGTATGCCGAGTACAACGGATTGCTCTATCTACAATGTGGATACCAGAACAAGTGTCCCCACCTATACCAAGATGTCGCAATCTGCGTCGCACCTACTAAAAACCACAGCTACCCAAAGCGCAAAGGTATGAGTTCCTATTGGACAAGTTGTTATGTGCTTCAGTGGCGGCTATACACAGAAACCTTTCCAGCGCGGTCATTGGAACAGGGCGATCGCCAGTGACATGTTTTGAGGTTTTGCTAGGCGGGGCAGCCATCACCGTAGATACTACCTGTTCTCGCCGCTGGCCAGCCCGCCCTCGTTGAAGCAGCAATGGGGTATCCCTTTCATCGCAGCAGCGTGCATCAAAGGTGGACGACCAATTTAGTCAATTTCTGAGATGAGAGAAGATCCAAAGTGGTGGAATGGACCAATCAACGGAGTCAAGCACAGTTCGTCTCATGTTGGCGGCGGTCGCAGCTCGACCCTGCCAAGCCTAGCATTCTGAAACAACGCGCCTCCTGTTCCCCGTAAGATATCTGGCGGAAATCTGAACCAAGTTCCAGTCTACCTTTCTACTCAAATTAGAGTCGTGAGAAACCTCTGGAGCCCGAAAATGACACTGCCTTGCGTGGTCTTGCTGCTTTTATTTCCTCTTGCAAGGGCGAGCCTGTTTGGTGGGAGTATCCCAGACACATCCGAACCCCAGTGCCTTCTCCAACATCCTCTCTTAATGAGGCCCTCGCAATGCCTACAGGTCCATGGCTCCTCGAAATATGGAAACCAGAGTGTTAATCGAGATGTGCCGGCTGGGTGGGCGCAAGGAGAAATTTGCCAAACACTGGGTAGAGAGAGATACTGTGTCTTTACTCTGCCCGAATTTAGTGGAGGCGATGGGGTTTCTATTATCACCACCAGGTCCCGGCTCTCTGATCTCGCTTCGAAACAACCTTTTCAAAGCGGAAACCCGCCAGCCAACACGCACGTGCAAGCCGGGACATCCACTATCTATAGACAGGCAGAGCTCCCCGAGAAAGGCATTGGTCTCCTTGCTACCGCACCAATACGTGCTGGGCAACGCATCATGTCACGTACGCCCGCCCTCATAGTGGATGGCAGACTGATGCAAGGACTCGAGAGAAACCGGATGTCTCAATTGCTTGCGCAGGCCGTCCAGGAACTCCCAACCCCCCACAGGAAGCGATTTCTAGATCTTTCTACGCACTCAAGCGTCAGCACCTTTGCCGACAGGGTGTACCAGATATTCGCTGTTAATAACTTCCGGACAAGTTTAAACGGGTGGGACTTTCAGTCCACGTTTACTGAAGGTAAGCTCCGGGTAGACCAAGCTGTCGCCACAAGGAAATAATTGCTGACGTACCATGGATCAGTGTCACGGCTGAATCATGATTGCCGTCCAAATAGTGTCTACTACTTTGACCCGCAGACGTTTTCACATAAGGTCATGGCAGTCAGGAACATAGTGCCCGGTGAAGAACTTACGATATCTTACATTGAGTGAGTCTTCATCTTTACCTCTGGTGGTTACTTCAGAGGGAACTAAATTGAGAGCAGTGGATTTCAGTCCCGAGCCGCCAGACAAGACCAGCTACTCAGGCACTGGGGGTTTAGTTGCTCTTGCCATGTTTGCCAAAGCGATGCGCATATTGCCGAAGAGTCTGATAGTAGGGTTGCCCAGATACTTGAGCTCTGGAAAGAACTTGATGATTATTCGCCATCGTCAAGTGCAACTCCGGAGAAAGCCGAGCTGCTTGTCGAGCTTTATGGGCTCGAAGGTATGGAAGGAAGAATACAGGAAGCCTACTACAGAGCAGCGATTGAGTTTAATGCTCTTGGTCTGTCCAGCCAAGCTATGAAGTATGCGAGGCTGTGCTTGGATAAGGGACTGGCATTCAAAGGGCCTGGTCGGCCTTTCATTGACAGTATGAAAGAGCTGTTACGCGATGCTGAGGCTCATCACAGCTGGAAGTCTCGCATCAGGGCACCGATTTGAAGCAAAGGTTTGCGGATGTTTATCCGCAAGGAAGGGATGCATCTGCAAAATTAGCACCTAAATAGGTAGGTAGAGATGATGACTAGACGTGGGGAATGCTGGTCTACCACGCGTTTGGTTAGCGCGTCGCGAACAGTGAGTCACAGCAGGCGAAACACCTGGTAATCTGCGGGGGACGGTAGAAGAATAAGCCCATATCTGGATGAATCATTCTGACAACCATGGCAATTCAATGCGACCCAGCGGTCCAGTATCCATACCGCGAGCCACTAACGCGCACTCTAGCTCTTCTCAGATACGACAGTGGTGTTTTGGGGCTGAGGTATTGACTCACTGACATTCTGTAGACTGCTTGTACCCAACCACAGTCTGTCTTGTGGGATTAGTTGTGGCTCCTTGCTCAACTCGAGTTCGGCCCTGCTTCCATATCCTGAGTATAAGTGCCATTGCCAATCCAAGTACTATACGGTTATATTCTCCTGATATGTTCCTTGCATCTTGAACATCGAGTCCAAAGTGATCTGCAATTGCGCCACGATTTGTCAGTATGATAGGTGCATCAAGTTCAAACGCAGGTTCCTCCGCCAATTCCTCCAACAGTACTACGATGCATCAAGAAGGAGATGGTCAACTACCGTTCTCGCCAAGAAAATGTCTCTTTTGCAGCGTGGTTTCGGGGGAGATTGACTCAAACTTGGATCATATGCAAAAATTTCACGGACTTTTCATCCCAAATAAGCACCACCTTATAGTCGACCTAGATGTGCTCCTGGAGTACCTGCATCTGGTTATAGTCGGTTACCATGAGTGCATATGCTGCGGTACTCAACGGGGGACTTTACAGGCAGTCCAGCAGCATATGCTTGGAAAAAGTCACTGTCGTTTCGATATTGCAGACCCAACGTCTGAATTCGCAGACTTTTACGATTTCTCAGATGTCGACACTGACAGTGGGGAGGAATCTGAGGGAGATACATGTGGGAAGACCGCGATCTCAGCACATGAAACCTCGATACGACTCGACGAAGAATCAATGCGCCTCCCTTCCGGGAAGGTGGTCTCGAAGAATTCGCACATGAAGCACCAGCAACGATTGCACCGTCATCAGCCTTCAACTCCAGAAGAAGACAACCAGCGGAGACTTCATGTTGGCCAAGAAGGATCAGACAAACTAGATCAAGGAAACGAGACTGCATCTGCAGTTCCTGTCAGAGGCCGGCATGACCTCACAAAGGGCGAGAAGCGCGACAGTGCTTTCACAACTCAGCTGGCACAGTTGAGCGCCAACGATAGGAGAAGCCTGATGCACCTACCTTCATCACAACAACGTTCCATTCTGGCAACGCAGCAAAAGCAGCTTGAAAAGGCTAGGCGTGCAGAAAGGAGATACCAGGGTCGTGTTGAGGGACTTGGAAATAAGACCCTCATGGCGCATTTCAAGCCAGACACACCTGGACGGTCCAACGGCTAGGATATTATGAATTGAGGTTGCCCAGAAGAATAAATCAAATGCCAAGACAATGGCCTTTCAAAACATTTTCAATGGATGCTTGGCAATGAGTGCGTGCAGTATTCTAGCCACTATTGTACAATGGTGAGCTTCTCCAAAGTCTTCATGTATTTAGGGTTGAGTCACAGGGAAATAGTGTGTCCTTATATGATTCACTGTTACAACATAGTTCTATTAAACCATGGCGACAATTTCTAGGGAAATGATGATTGTCACTTTCGAAACGCCGGTTGGCCAATACCGATATGTGGCTGATTACAGCACCTTATTACCCTGATTCGGTATATGTCTGTCTGATCCAACGTTTGAATCATGGCAAGGAAGGGTGTATTTGCCGCTATTGCAATTCGAAATGTGGAAGAAAGAGCCACGATTGGCACTTGAACGTCGCCACTATGTATGTCAGCAGTTGTTAGTAAGCCCGATGGATCCGCGCGTCAGCAACTCATTGGTGCTAGTCGCAAGCGCTACAACAATGACGGTAGATTTGCGGCCGATATTGGGTTGCTTAAATACTAATTAGGCAATTCAAATAGTTATCTGACGGCATTATGAAGGATATCGTTGTTACGTGTTCGTTGGGCAGTGTAATAGTCATGGAGCGCGGCCGTGGGCCCAATGGTTCTAGAGCCTGAGGAATGTTTTTAAATAGAAACTGCCTGAGTGATAAGCCTGCCCACGAGGCTGTGAAACTGCCGAAACAGCCAATCGTAGCACGAATACTAAGTATTGACATTAAACAGGATTCTGCGGACTCCTTTTTCTTTTGCCTTACATTTGTCAATAGTTAAATGAGAAGCCCATTAGTGCAATGGTTCGTGTTGAAGCTCGTGATACTTCGTATCTTCACCTTGACTTTGAGTCCTAGATTGTGGGTCAAGGTGAACTGGGCTGTATAAGTATGATGCACCACGAAGTAGCAACTGTGCGATCTCTTGACTAGTGATCCAGCACCGGTCATGACTCCAAGACATCATCGCAGTCTCATAATATGGCTATGTTACCGGCTGTCGTCGGAGACACTCATGGCATCTCCCTCCCATCGCGCTATACAATTCGTCCCATAGATAGGTCAGTTGCCGCCTGGGCCAAAGCACTTAGCATCGAAGGTTTCATGCTCCGTCCGTCAATATGGCAGCCCCTAGTCCCCGTAAGTTCATTTCGGAATGTATCTCTACCCTTTCCAGCGATATTGAGGAGCGAAATAGCTGTGTTATCGGAGCTACAATCTGCACAAACGGGCGCAGACAAGCACAGCACCCTCAGCAAGTGAACTTGATCAGAAAGATACTAACCCAAACTATGGAAAGGAACCGAGAACCGCCAATGCCCTGCGCGCCTTCACAGCTCTTGAAGGGCATTTCGCACACTCGATTAATAGCGGATTATGTTTTGGCATCTTTGACCGTGAGTACGAATTCAGACGCGCAAAATCAACTAGTCAAGGGGGTGATTTATACTGGCATGAATTGGACCCTGACCATGACGATTTCGAAATTATTGGGGAAAAGCAAATGATTGATGCCATGGATTTCCCGCTCGTTTGCGTAGCTCTTTCCGTCGATGCGTTCGACAGGAAGCCAGACGACGCATCAAGAGCTCTATATGAGTGCATGCCGCTCGTGAAAGCCCTGGGTACATATTTGGCGCGTTTGGACAAACGACCTGCCAGCTCTCGCCAACCTGATGCCCGCGGCGAGGTGATGATCCGCTCAGGGTGCGTCACGAAGTTAGGGTACGAGGGTCGAGGTCTCATGACAGCTCTGAACCATTTCGTTATGCTGGAAGCTAAGGCCAGAGGATATGGGGCTGTCACTGCTGGTATAGGCAGTCCAACGGTTTATCGAAGCTGGATGAATGCCCCTGTCGGATGTTTGAGTAGTGTTATCGCGTATTTTGACATATGGGGCATTGAACTGGAGGACGAAGAAGGTTCATTAGTCAGACCGTATGCTGACTCGGGTGTGAGCCGAGAAGGTTGGCTTATCTGGTGCGACCTGAGGTCGTGATAGGTAGCACAGTCATCAGCCAGGCGCACTACATGCTGTCAAAATTTTGAACGCAGCGCATATCAACCGTGCATTCACCGTTACCCTGGGCTAGCCTCAGGCTATGCCAACTACCAACGAGAATATAGCCAACCTCAAAGACCTCAGCATACATCTCGAGTGAGTGGACCCATCCGGCTTAATAGAGTACATAGCCATTTCCGTGTATCTAGAACATTCGCGGATAGAAGCTACGAGATACACAAATTCAACGGCCATATATTTTCGTACGTCCTTTTCAGACAGCCTTGGGGGAGACCCTCCGAGGTGTAGCAATCATTCACATGCTCCCAGCCGCGACAAAGCCACAGGCAACCCATGAAAGTTTGTGTGGAAGCCCATGGGTTGTAGCCGTGGTATAAAACCGTCGACTGTGACTAGGTGTCTGGAGATATTCACAAGTTCAATTAGCTCTACATATGCAGTGACCACATAGTCCGGTCGCCCACCTGCCTCAGCTTCTTGTAACGCAGCTTTGTGCTATCCCGCGATGCCTGATTTTCATATATAACTTGATTAATACTTATGGCAATGTGCCCAATATAATCACAAAAACAAGTCTTTATAACGGAAACATGTAGATTTTCAAGTCGCAATTACAATGATTTGATCTATAGAAGAGGCGAAGATCCATGCAGAGCCGAATCCCAATATGTTAAGCCGCAACGTTTACTAGTGTCTAAAGTGGCTTATGGCGAGTTTGAAAGCGACTTGAACAATGTATTATCAGGTTTGTGGGACCCCCTATAAGTGACACGCGACGTCGTCGATATTCTAGGATGTTGTAATGCTGGCAGCCGTCTTGGGAAGCAGATGTCGAAAGGGTTTCGGAGCACACGACTGTGAAAAGCGTGCGCCGTTAAGGCATAGTGCGGCAAAACGACACCAGTAATCAACTGCCTCAAGCGGAATAGTCGTCGAGGTTCCGAGTGGGGGATCCACGAAATCAGCGTTGTATCCGGGCTCATTGTCCCATGTTAACAAACCGCGCGGTTCAATGTGATTCTTGAGGCAAAGGCCTGAAATGGGAAGCTAACGAGGCCGTTGCGTACGTCATCAAGGCCACCTAGATTTGCGCAAGAACGTATGTGATAAAGGTCCAGAGTAGCTTATATTTCCACTATAGTCCATCCTATCAAGATCACGTCAAGCGGCGTTTTGAGAGTACGAAGAAAGTGGAGACCAGGGTCCAGAGAATGAGTGGGTTTTAATTTATCAACCGGCTTCCGTTGCAAGGGATGTTGGGTGATCGCCCGGTGCAAAATTCATCTAGTCATGACTTGGTGGTGTTTCGTCGAATATGAACTGCCACGAATAAAATTTAAGAGCGGGTTGCCGCCCGATAGGGGTTCGTGAAATAACCCTGCCTGACTCTCCGGCCTGGAAATCTGCGATGCCCCAATTGCGGCGAGACTTGACAGTGGCTGAAATGTTGCCAAGGGTTCGTGACAGCCAACCCGTAATTAGATTGACGAGCAACCAAAAATATCACTAGAAGGAAACGCAACTTCGGGGCTCCTGGGCGATACCTTCATGTGTAAAAGCTGATAACCACGCTTCTGGCACAGCAGTGGCGGAAGGCCGACAGACGTTTGTTTCAGATTGACACGGTTTGAAAGTTAACGATCCAACTAGACCCCGCTAACGGTCTTTGCCGTTGGACGCTACTTTTGAATGGGCAGATAGCGTAACTAAACAGTGAGATACTCAATCGTCACCAACATTCAGTTCATGGCGGCTCTACAGCACACTCATCTGATCCCACTTCAATTCCAAGGGATAACTAAGCGGTGACGGGCTTAGGCAAGGTGGGAGCCGCACAAGCCTTGACCATGGATGAGTATGGAGATAAGTTAGCCTGACGCCCCAGATTACCTGAACTGGATAAGTTGGACCGCAGTGGAGTCTCCAGATCTCAGAAAGGAGATTCTAGAATGAAGGCCCACACACTCGAAGCGAACCTAGGCGTTCAGGTAATCAAAGCCGCATGGCCATCATATCCTTCAGTTAGACACATAACAAGGCCCCTTGCGTGCCTAGGTACGGATTGCCACAGTAGCCATTCTGAAATGAAGCTGACGACGCAGTTTGGAGAAACCATGTATATGCGGGATTGACGACCTTTGCGGCTCAGCATGGACACTTGTCTTGTGGACCAACCCTCCGAAAGCAATACGCGAGAGGCTGGTGACCCCTCGGGCTGATTGGCTGCGAGGGACGAAAGATCGTCGCCAATGGGGCCGCCAATGGTCGCCGACAGCAATTGCATTCAATTGCATTCCGTTTGAGTTCATGCCATCTAATAAGCTAACAACCCGGCTGCCTTCTCCTGAGTGATAGTTTGTAGCATTGCGATGCGGCCTGGAACCGGCGCGGAGGTCCTCAAACAGGGCCGAGCATCTCTATGCGGATGGCTCTAATGTGGACAGGGCAAAGTGCGCCGCGATGTTGTGACGCAGTGCGCGATGTCCAAGGGCAGATTGTCTTGGCGGGCGACTTGGTGCTGGTGGACGCCGTAGTTGCAACCGAACAGGGCTGCCGGAAGCCGACCTGGCAGCACCACAGCCGCAGCGCTGCACCACAAGCTATGCCGTTCTACCCGACGATGCCGACGACCCAGTGCCAAGAATTGGCAATCTTCTGCTCGCGCAGCCCATACGCCACGATAGGTGACCTGAAGTGTTGATGATTTGGAGCGCCTCATTGCGATCCGCTGCTCTGGAGGCCCAGGGCCTGGAGCAACCAGAGCTCCGCAAGAAGTCGCCTCGCAGCCCGTCCCCCCAGACAAGCAGGATAACGTGCGATGTGGGCCATAGAGATTTTAACTAGACGAGACGCAGCAATAATGACGTTCGAGCCAGTCTTGCAGGCGTGCCCCAGGGGTCCCCAGCAAGCCGCAGATTAACGCCCGCCGAGTTAGCCTCAATGGGGCGCTGAATTCCGCCCCCTCTCACGTGGAATGCTACTGCGACTAGCTGTCTAGTGCTGTCTAGTTAGGAGGCCTACGGGGCCTACACACTACATGGTGCACTACACAGCAGGCACTTGTACCCGAGGGCGTAGGCTACCAGAGTAGGTACGCTGCACCAGCCTGCCAAGGTCGACGGGCCAGCATCCACCCCATATCATAATAATACTCGTCATAGCCTCAGCAATTCGCGAACGGAGATGCGTCCCATTCGTCCTTGCAGGATGATCATGGCCCGTTGCGGGCTGCCGAATCCATCAAGCCTATTATGCTGCCTGTCATCTGATTGCCCGCTCACAGGCCCGTGGGACCCCGCTCCTTCTATTTCAGGCCAGGCGAAAGAGAAGAGTCCAGTTCGGCAACCCCATGCGATGCGAGAAGTCCAGTAGTGCCTTGCACCTGGGGGCCCATTTGACACTGGTTGGTATTTCATGGTGGGCGATCGAGATATGCCATGGCCCGGACGTTGCAAGGGGCGGTGAAGGTTCAAACATATCGACAGGAGATCGGAGCTCCTGACGCGTAATTGTTTGTCGGCCTGACCCCCCAGCAACCCAGCACCTAGCACCCAGCACTGCACGGGAGGGCAGCGATGCACGATGATGTTGACTGCAGCCAGACGATCCTGAAAACAGACCGGCCGCGTCCCGCTGCAAGCCAAGCTTATCGCGTGTGTCGCGGATCACCGTGCTGCTAAAACTTGTGACAGGAGCCGGGGGGATCTGCTCATAGTTCGGCCACCTAGTCTGCGCAATGCCCCAAGCAACCAAGGCCTCAAGGTAGTCGGAACAAGCTCCTGGGTCAACTGTCTGTCATCAGAGCCCCTGGCGAGTAGCTTTCAACTCTGCAGCGCGAGGCGTTGTGAACGGACATGCCACAGAGGACAGCCCCAATGCTGTGGTCTCGTGCCAGCGCGATCTCTGGGCCATCTTGAGCCTAGGGCAACCTTAATGCAACCGCCACACCTGCTGTTCTAGCACCCAGTCCAAGTCTTGCAGCCAGGGCCCCAATCCAATGGTGGTTGGACCTTTTTTAAGGTCAGGGTTGAGACAATCGTCAGTCAGCCACCACCCGCAGCGGGCGTTGCGTCAAGAAACCATCACTGGCCGTATGCACAGCTCAACGGGCGCATGATAGACGCCCATGGCTCAGATCCCTCAGTGGTGCGCTGAAGCAACTCCTGTGCCCGTGGGATTTGCAGTGAAGCACATGCCAAGAATAGTAGAAGCCGCAAGCGCCAGTACCCGGCAATCCGGCATTTGTCAAAGACCGTCCTACCCGAAAAGCTTGCAGCGGCTCGCACTGCTGAACCCCCCTGCCCCCTACAATCGACTTCCATGGACGGACCCTTGCCGTTCCCCGTCTGGTGCCCGCGACCTTGCTTGCGTTCAGAGTGTTGGACTGGACCTTGCTTCCACCTGCTAATACCTAAGTTAGTCCCGGAGAATACAAAAGTACATGCGATGTGTAATATAGGTGCCAAGACCCGGATTCCCACAGTCCTGACTTGGGCCCATGGTACATGGCGGCCGGGCGAACGTCCAACGCCTCTTATTATTACATACCCCATCTCCCCGTCTTGGAAGGTCCTCTCCCACCCCTCGGTGACCTATCCTACATCTACGCTTTCCGTGGTCGCTCCCTAGATCCTACACTGGACCGATTCTCGTGTAGCTCCTACTCACTCTTCAGTTCTTCGCGTGTCTCGAACCTCCTGTGGCCATCTTGTTTCGGGAGAGACGCTCTTTAACACCCCATTGTTGGTAGCCGATCTGGCCACTGGCTCATTGGGTTCACGATAGACGAACGAACATCACCGATCAAGTCTGATCCTTGACAGCCCGCCATTGTCTCGACTACTGCGTTCCGTGCGTGGGATTGTCTGGCTCAGGGGAGGAATTGGTTCGAAGTTCACGCCTCGAACAGGTTAAACGACTGCGCGAACGGTTCCTGGACGGTCAAACTCATCTGGCAGCGAAATCACCCGGAAGCCGCCCCGTGTTTACCACCGATACCAGGACTGCTCTTTTGGCCTCCGACTACCATCAAGGCCCTCGATTGTCACCGAATGCATTCCTAAGCGCAATCAGGAACCTCTTCAACAATCATCATGGCTATAGGCAAAGAAGGGAACGTCAAGTGGGTGGATGTAAGTCTACACTTTTTTCTTTTCATGCGCTTTACACCATAGACTTTCCTCGGAGGGATATGGGCTTCGAGCGGTGATGTGGTGAGGACAAGCAGCTAGCCCAACGGGCACACTGTCAAGCTGAGACTCTGTCGGAGGCGTTTGCGCCACGGCGCGCATCCAGCCTGACCTTATCTCGACCTCAAGGAACGCCGACGCAGGCAAAGCCTTGTGTCCTGGAGAAGGGGGGAAAATCTGCGCATTTTGCCCTGCGTCACTGTGGACACGGGACTTGACTGGTGCTGCTCTCATCGCGACGAGTTTCCCCGAATTCCATGGATCCAAGCTTACCCGTGAGGGATTGCTTAAGCTTAGATTTTTTTTTTGGGGCGTGGTCGAGTGGCCCTGCGATTCATGGCCAAATCTCCAGCAGCCTCCACCGTATACCCGGGTTTTGTCCATGAAGCTAATAGATGCTCCGCTAAATTCAGGGCCTGCGAGGTCTCGCATCGTCACTGGTCGTCATGACCCACATTGCGCGCGCGTTCGACGGTGATCTATTTTCGCCGGCCTCGGCTGAGGGCGCGGCACCCCGTCTGTTGCAGTTACCGTACCTCCGAATCCTCGTACAGGGCCGTATCGGCGTCTCTATTTTCGCCTTCGTCACCGGCTATGTTTGCGCCCTCAAGCCGATCAAGCTCTCTCGCCAAGGGAACCAGGATGTCGCCTTTGCCTCCATGTCCAAGTCGGCCCTGCGTCGGGTGCCCCGTCTTGTGATCCCGACCGCGCTGGCAACGTGTATTATCTGGGTCATGGCCCAGCTTGGTCTTTTCCTCGTGGCCAAGCGAAGCGACAGTTGGTGGTCGGGAGCCACTGCACCGGATCAGGTACCGCATCTAGGCAGCGCTCTCTACAGCTTGTTTCATAACATCATTACAACCTGGACGCACGGCCGCAATGCGTACGATGGAAACCAATGGACTCTCCTGCCACTGCTGAAAGGCAGTCTTTGGGTCTACGTCTTCATTCTCGCAACGGCCTACCTGCAGCCAAGATACCGCATGATTGCCAGTCTGTCCATGTTCGGCTACTTTTGGTGCGCATCAGACTGTGAGTATCACCATACCCGCCCCGCTTGCTCGCCGCATTAGTTCCTGTAAACTGACTTGCAACAGCTGCGTTTGGCATGCAGTTCTTCTGGGGTGTTTTCCTCTGCGATGTGCAGAATGCCCCGGCTGCTAACGATTTCATTATCAACCGCCCGCGTCTCTGCAAGTTGCTTGCAGCCATCTGTCTTCTCATCGGAGGTTTTGTCGCATCGTATCCCGAGGGTCACCCGGAATGGCAGCCCTGGTCTGCTTGGTTGTTCCGTGTGCTGGTTCGCATCCTCCCGAAGGACCCCGACTTTCCTCGCTTTGGCTCTGGCATTGGTCTCGAATTCATCACCCTTGGTATTCACTTCAGCCCCTTCCTGAAGGACGTCCTCTCGGGCAAATACCTGCTATGGCTCGGCAAGCAGTCTTTTGCGGTCTATCTGCTACACGGGCCCCTTCTTCGATGGGTACTCTGTTGGATGGTTTACGGCACTCACCTCCCCGCGGATGTCGTCAACGATAAGGGCGAGACGGTACCGGGACAGCTACACTTCCCTGGCGGCTATAAGCTCCTCATCTGGTTACCATTCTGGATCCCTCTGAACTACGGAGTAGCTATGCTCTGGACGACCTACGTGGACCCTTGGTGTGCGCAGCTTACGGAGCAAGTCGTCAATTACGTGAAAGACTCGCCGGATGAGAAGGAGGGTGGCGTTCTGTTGCCGCGGTAGAATCGCGACAAAGTCCACGAGGCCTCATCGGTTCTCGCCGACGCCGCAGTTGAACCTGAAAGCATAGCAGGTCATATTGCAGCCGAGGTCCGAGAAGCGTGGTTTCACCGCGTTTACTGATGCGCAGCAATACTGCGCTTACGACAGGCTGCCAGGACGATCCGGCATCGGGGTCAGATTGGCTGGCTTGATATCGGACCCGAGACGCCACTTAAGAGGGGCATTTTCATCAAGCCCTGGCACGCATAACGATTTTCATTTTCCGTCAGAAAAGGTTGTACATACAACCAACTCTTGGTACTGCACATTCGGCGTTTGGTTTGGGCGTACATACAGGCCCCGCATTCTATGGGTTCGCATGGTCCGGCGTACAAAGGGACTGCACATACAGCATTAGATGATCACGTAATACTTGCATCACCCATCGACATCAACCGATGATTCGGCGAAAGACGGCCTGGGGTCGAGACAGAGCGATTGGATCTTGGTTTCGCACGGTTTGGTTGTTGATACCCATGATCGCTGATAGTTCCACATTTGGTCAGGGGGAGAGATAAGGTGGCAGACGCCACCGGATTCGCACCTAGGCAGGTATTCTAGTACACTGCAAAGGAGGCTCTCCTGGATTCTGAACTAGGATATGATTCCTGTATCTGTCAATAAAATCAAGAATTTTCAATCTCGCGCGGTGCACATTGCACAGGTTCGACTGAACTGGGTGACAATTTGTGTTCGTATTTTGAGTTGACTCTAAGTCGCGCTTGTTTCCGCGTTGGGAAGGCTTAGCTTCCCTCCCTGGAATGCCCATTTTGAACCTCGTATTTGCGAACTGCTTATCTCCAAGAGTTGCCTTGAAAATCTAACTCCCCTCGCTCTTGCCTTGATAGACCCTCAAGCTGTCAGCCAGCTCGGTTGAAGTTGGAGCCATGTTGCGATAAGCATCCATGTGCGTTCGGATGTACGTAAGCCATCATCTCGTGTCACACTTGGCAGTTTGAACAAGCTCGGGTCCGGTTGGAGACTCTACGGACTGTCGCCCCGCGTTTTGTGCCCCGAAACATCGGTCCCCCTAAGGAGAGACTTGGCAACCTACTTAAGCATCCTTGCCCGGGACGAGGCTTCGTGTCATGATTGGAGTTCAGATCATCGGGTTGTATGGTACCATTCGCGATCCAAACCTTATCTGTCCGTACCTGGTTACTGGGAGCACGCGAGGCTGCGGTAAGCCCGAGAATTGCGCCCTCCCATGTTGATGACTCTCCGGTGGCGTGCGACGAACAACAATCTTGGCAAAGACTATCCAACCGCCATAGTTACGTTGGAGTCTCAGGCAAGTCACCTTAACTAACACTGCCTCCGGCGCCACCTCCTTGTCGCTGCTACTGACACTCCGTAAGTCAACGTGGTATTCAGTCCATGAAACTGGGCCTAGCAACATATCAAATATTATGTCTGCCCGGGCAGAAGGCTTGGTGTCACTCGCAACATGCAGAAGGGGTTATCTTTAAACTTACATTTCCATGAATGAACTGCCGGAGATCTGCTTCATACAGTTGTCACACATTTCTGTTCATGTACCCCGGGAACTGATCTACACGAGATCAACTGCTCCGTTAGTTTGAAAGGATTACCGAAACTTGAGCAGGCACCAATCCCCTTGGCCTTGAGATGCTTTGTTGTCAGTTTTCATGGATCACTATCGCATTTCATTTTACCAGGGCTGCTGAGAGTGCGATTTACTACAGTGTCGAACCCAGGATCTCGCCATTCTTAATCGCATTTCATTGTTTAGCATATTCACATTCAAATTAAACAAATGTAGAAGTAGCTTAATCCTTCTTGCATAGCTATCAATTCAATGCTAATTAAACTGGTCTCGTCTGCTGTTTGACTTGTATATTTGAACGACCCGCGACTCTCCATCCCTACTTGCCTCTACTGTAGTACCCTAATTATGAAGTTGACGACATCAAGATGGTCGCTCGTGATAGTCGGTTTTAGTGAGTGAAGTAAATCAATCATGGCTTATATCACCGTTATATCACTGACGATCCATGTCCATTATCATCAGCGCGGATAGTCTGCTAGCTAGCCATCTTCCTCCACTCCAGCCTTGTGTTATATTTATTGTGACCAGTCAATACAGAATCTACCCATCTGTGCCCGTATTACCAAAGCCAAACCTACTTGCACAAGTATGGGCCAGTGGCGAGCATTGCGCCTCATGAACTTGCCTTCTTTACCCCTGAAGCCTTCACAGGTATAAGCGGCGACTACTTAACAAGATCAATGCGTTGCTCATGCATAATAGGCATATACTCTCGCAACACAAGAATATCAGGGATTTTGTAAAGGCCAATTTTTCAGAATCGCGGAAAGGGCCTCGGCGGCCTTATCTGGGAGGAAGATCCGGTTGCGCATCGCGAGCCCGCCAGGAAGATCTCACCGGCGTTCAGTACTCGCTTCGTATGAACTCTGGAGCCCATAGTCCACGAGTATATAGACTACTTCGTGGCGAGGATGAGAGAACTAGGCGCAGAACCTGCTGGTATCTCGCGGGTGAAGTGGACTAATTGATTGGGCATGGAATGAAAAGACTTATCAGTTGAGAGACAGTACAGCGCCCCTCCCTTCATAGAATTTGTGCATTCCGTTTGTTATATCAACTGATTTTCACAGTGACCTTTTCTATGGTGCCCTCGTACTTCTTCTTGAGCATGCCGCATCTGACAATGCCTTGACTGAGGAGATCAGGCAAAGTTGCTCCAATTATGATGATATTGCCCTAGGAACATTGACGCCCCTCCCTTATCTACCTGCCTACCTGGGGGAAACTTTGCACATGCTCTTAATTAACAATACTGGGTTACCGAGCATAAGCCCAGGTGTTGTGGTTGACGGCCAGTATATCCCCCTCTTTGAGCTTCTAAACTTCTCTTTCGTCATAGTGGTAGACCAGCGTCTCCATTCCCTTCCCATAACTGGCACAGCCAGAAGAGTGATTGCTAATCGCTACATATTGCTAATCGCTGCATAACGTGACAAACTCACGTACAGAGCTTCGTTTGGGCACTCGCCCGTCATCCGGGTTTCCACAATCCACTCAACTTTCAGCCCCAAAGGTGGCTCCCATCCTCCCATCCACTGTACGACCTTGAGTTGCTGGTGATCGTTTGAAGAGCTTGTATTCCTTCAGCCTCAACCCCAGAATATGTCTTGGGCGGGAAATGGTTTGGATTGAGGGGAGATTGGTCTTGGACAAGGTGCTGTGGACGTTTGATGTGATCAGGGTTCCCGGACAGCATTTCGAGTTGGACAGGAAGTTGCTTCACTACGGCCTTTTCCAATAAACTAGAGATACAGGTCAAGTTTATTCCGTTGAAAATATGAGAGAAACAGGCATTGAAGGGAGAGAATGACGGACGTCCTTCACTGGGAACTGGTGGCGGTCATAATAGCCTGCTTCTGTGGGTGACTTCCATGTGATATCTGATACCTTAGTGCCTCATTCGACAGTACTACCCGCAGGTTGTCTGCATTACCCAAAAGCAGTGGCATCGCGTGCGGTAGTAGACAAGCGCGTGGGTTTTCCTACGTGGCAAACCGCAGGGCATTCCCTTTCCCTTTTACAAGTGCTGGTGTAGGGCAGTGGCTCACTGGTATAGTGATACTAATAGCATAATAAGGCAACTCGGCGACTGCTACCCCGACTAGGTATGTGGCATCAAAGTGTCTTGACAGGAAATCGATCCTAAGATCTATCTTCTTATACAACGACATATTATGACTGCCTACTCCTCGTAGGCACAACAATATTTCGTGTACTCTCGTTCGTTTTGTCGTTGAAGTATTCCAAGTTGTCCGACTCGTGAATCGTATCGTATACAGGCCCTTTCTTTCTTCCTAACCTTCCGATGGTCACCAGTTCTGTCGATCCACCTGACTTCTTCTGAGAATCGTCTTTTCGAAGGCTTTTGACGAGACGGCGCAGCATTGGTAGTGACCCTGCGATGATGGCCACGTCGCATTCGATGACCGTCCATTGGATGAGATTACCAAGTCCAACTGAAAGCAATAGGTTAGTAACCCGCGGAGCAAAACGCAATGGTGAACCCCACACTACTGCAAGAGGGAAACAAGGGTATCTTACCGAGATAGTCCACGGGGGCCGTGTACGCTGACGAGTATTGCCACCTCACGATGGTAGCCACCGATGAGAATACACCGAGGCCCATGACAAAACCAACTGCAATCTTGACTTTGCGGGCCATTTGTAACTTCCAAAGAATTGCAATCGGCAACAGCGCCACAGACCAGTCCGTAGCAATGTTGAGCGCGGAGACCACATATGTCAACGTAATGAGCACGTTGATATCCATGCAGGTACCCGGTACCTCGCCCCATGATGCTGCCAATGGTCGACATTGGATCCATACACTGATAAGCGTGACGAAGGTTGTGAGAATGGTAACGACAATAATGCCCCACAGGATGTAGTTGAATTTCCTCTGGACCGAGAGCCTGAGGAGAGTTGCACAAATGCTGGTCTTAATGAAAACAGAGCTGCTCATGTAGAACATCTGCCAGAGTGTGACGGCCTGAGTCTCTTAGTCAAAGTTCTCAACTGTACACACAGTAACTTAGCCGTCGTTCGAACATACCTTCATTCCTTCCATGTAGGTCGGGCCAGTTTTCCCACCAGGAATCTGCGAATCAGGTGTACCAATTCCGGTGAATGTTCCATACGAAACGACAGCATTATGTACCATGTTGATGATCTAAGCACGCAAAGACATCGGGTTAGCAACAGGAGAAGAACTCAGCCACCACGTCCAGCACTCACAAAGCCAGTGCACATCAGCCAGTCCTCAGTCCCGAAGTTACGTGTCGTGATGCGACACCACACGCGCAGCGCGATAACAATGATACACAAGGCTGACAGGACGAGTGTCACTGTAAGAAGACGACTTGCGTCGCCTTGCGGTTGAATAGGTACCCATCCGGTGGGTGCCATGTTCAGTTCTGACTCAAGCAGTCGTAGATATGACGAATCCCAATCCGCCGCACGTCGACTTAGACTCGGATATAGTCTTGATTGTCGATGCGTTACGTACGGCTCAAGGCGGTGACAAAGCCCATAATGGGATGGATGATTGACCTTTTAATCGAGGCTGCATGATCAGAACATGTACAGTCACTGCAGGCGTTGCAGGTGTGGATTTACTTAAAGTTCAGGCCGGTAATAATGTCCTCGCATTTGAGCTGGGGTCAATGGCCCTCCCAGGTCGTAAAACCTGTTCAAATTCTTGGGTGGTTCGGTGAGCCATGTACCTGAACGGGTCAATTTCAACCCAAAATGGCTTTCAACCCTGCGTCTTGCCGGACCCTCATCAACTGACCCCAGACAATCCTAGGCCGGGAGAAGGTCCCGGCGAAACGCGCTATGGGTCATACCATCGAACGGAGTAACAACGGCAAAGATCTTCGCGGCCTGTCGAGGGTCCCTTGCACAACCCATTCAGGAATTCCTTTGGTTTATTCTGCCTTTACCGATGAAGATGTATCGTATAATAAACAAGACACTTGAATATGGGCGGGCAACACGGCTTGGTGAACCTGCGATATACTGCTAAATTATTGACTGATCGAGATCAACATGAGCATGACTGACAAACAATACACCTGGTGGAGGCGCATGCCTTCAAATAATCTGGAGGTTGAATAGTAGAACTTAGACGAAACTTCCTAGATTTTGGCCTATATAAGTCCACGTGAGTGTGACTTGCAGCCTACAAAACACTGCCAAGTCTACGATTGTACGGAGCAGTGTACCTCAGCCAGACAGCCAGCGAGCCGGACAACGCAGGCTATCGAGTACGGCCCGGGACTCACTTCCATAATGCCTCAAGACTCCAAGACAGGCATTGATCGGCCCGCGTATTGTGGGAAGGCTCTCTAAAGGAACCACACCAGCTCTTGTGGTGCCTCTATGGTATCCGCTTACGAATTATCTACCCAAAATGAGTGACTAGGAGGATTTCTATCCTGTCATGTGGAGCGACGGGGCAGCGCGGAGGCAGCCGCGAAGCAACCAGAGCGAAAGGATCAAACCCACTGTTTGGGCTAGACCAGGGGCTTGACAGGCCAAGACAGTATATACCTCCACCTACTAACCATTCTGAGCTTAGATTATTGAAAGTCAAACGGTATGTGGGTGTTCTCCGCTAGAAAGTCGTTCGATAAGCCACAACCGACTCTGGTATTCTCCTCAAGTTCAAACGAGTCTACTGTGAGTGAAGCCTTTTGATCATGGCCATCGGATGCACATTGAACCTATTGTGGCAATGTTGTTCCTCTCTGACCCTAAATAGGTGCATACATCTACCACGCTGGAGCTACAGCTGTCTCGTCGCAATTAACGTAATTGTAGATGCACGTCAGTTTTGCGGTGTGCAGACTCCAAATGGGACCCTGGGGGACTGTTGCATGAGCATGTCTATAGACCAGGGTTGTCCTTGACCCTAGCAGCAAATCCGACGAATAGAAACCCGGACGGCAAGCATCACAGCGGGCCTGCTTCAAACCCCCTATTCCCAACCCACGCCTTACAATGTAGAGTCTACCGCAGAATGAAGAAGGGAACCGCATAGGGTCCCGTGTCACTTTGCTGCCGATCTGATAACGGCCTATTCCATTTTGCGCAAGGTTTTCGACGTTACTAGGTTGCAGCATCTTGGCCAACAGTGTTGGCTACCCATTTGTCGGTTTATAGCTCCGCAGTTCCACTATAGCCCACTTCTTATTGGCATGCTGAGGAGTCCAGCCCTGTCCTGGGTCCTGCATCGCCGTTATACTAGCCAAAGTAGTTAGAGTCTCTGCAGAACCCCAGCTTAAGCGGGGTTGCTCTGAGCATCATATTATGCCAACAATGCATCCAGGAAAAAACATTGGTTCGCTTGATCTCCCCAGATGACTTCCTTCGTTTACTACGTCGCACGGATTACTTGATTCCCTGGTTGCATCGTAACTCTCCGAATCCTGCCAAGCTTTGTCGATTCTTTCACGACTGTATTCGCAATGTCTGCTTGGGACGTGAAGGGCAAGGTTGCCATTGTTACAGGTGGTGGCAGTGGTAAGTCGTATCCACCTCTCCTTGACGGATGTCGCGATCTGATGATACGTAGGTATCAACCATGCCTTTGTGGAAGTACTTCTCGACGCTGGCTGCTCCGTAGTCGTGGCGGATATCAATCTACGACCTGAAGCCGAGGCTACACTGGCCAAATACCCCCATCCCCCCCAGAAAGAAGGATCGCCGTCTGTCGTCTTCAAGAAAACGGACCAGAGCAACTGGGCCCAACTCTCTGAGCTGCTGGAGTTTACTTTGAAGCAGTTCGGTCGGTACGAGCTGGTGTGCCCCGGTGCCGGCATCTGGGAGCCACCATCCTCCAACTTCTGGATCCCTGCCGGCACATCGGATATCGCCAAAGATGATCCTCAAGCTGCCGTTGGCCAGTGGTACACGTTTGCTGTCAACACAACCGGCCCCTTGCGCCTTGCACAATTGGCTTTCAAGTACTGGATCGACAACAAAATCCAGGGAAACCTCCTCCTTGTAGCCTCAATGGGTGGTTACTGTGAGACGGTTGGCACTCCACTGTATTATGCAAGCAAAGCAGCGCTGCTCAGCGCCACAAAGTCGTTTGCCCAGATGCGTCAGCGCCTGGGCATCCGTGTGTCGGCCGTCTGCCCCGGCCCGTGCTACACTCCTCTGTTCCTGCAGGAGTGGGCCGCGCCTAAGGTGCGACCTACGGACTTCACCATGACTCCAAAGCAGTGCGCCGAGACCATGCTCAAGATCGCCCAGGATGCCGAGTATGGAGATGGGCAGATCGTCGAAGTTATGATGATGGGCACCAGAGCTGAGCCTCGGTTGAACGTGCGTCTTGTGCCGTACGAGAGGTTGCTGCCCGAGGGAGTTGGCACTCTGGGTGACGATAACAACATCATCAAGGAGGAGGAAAAGCTCTGGGCGCATCTCCAGGTCAACGGCATGACACCTCTGTAATATCATACTATGGAAGTCAGCGGGTGCTTATCCCGTACAAGATTAATACGAGAAAGAAATTATCTGCATGTACAGTGCTAATCATCACCACTAGAAGAAATACTATAATGAACTAGTTTCGTAGTCGTGTGGAAGTTGACTCGGAGATAACATGCACTTGACCTTCCCGTCTGGATGTCAAATCATCTCTTGCATGATAACAGTATATTTTCTGCCGTGGCTCTTACCGTCGGCCATGCATTGCTTAGCATGCAAGCACGCACTCAAAGCGAGGCAAACGAATGAGATGGGGGGATTTGCGGTACCAAGTCAAGGAGGCACTGTCGTATCAAGTAGCACTTGACGTCTCAACCGAACTCGCCATTTGATTTCATCGTCAAGTGCTCTCTCAGCTAGCGGTGGTTTCAAGAAGGACCGGACCAGATCGTCACAGCACGCAGTTGCAAAGTGTCGAAGAGAAGGCTGCCTGGAGCAGAATAAGAAAAGAGGACCTTTATATCTTCGAGGCCATGCTCCACTATCACTGTTTTATTATTCAGTAGTGATGTAACTATGAGTCTGAAAAGCGGATTGATAGATAGCACGTGCTACATCCCCTCCGGCGGCCGCTAAATTAGTGCTTATTGTGGCTGATGCCGTTTCCCATGTCAGCCGGAGCTGGTGATTACCCGACTCTAGGAAACTTGCGCCGACATGCCACGCGGGCCACGCAAACTTGGGGCCCAGTTTACAAACAACTAATTGTGTGACTGGACGCTAGAGAAAAAGGCCCTCTGTGAGTGGCTGTTGTCTTATACTAGGGCCTCCTAATTGGAACCGCTCGCCTAGCCCAAGTCCGAACCCGAGCTTCGGCAGCGAAGCATCTCGGAGAGTCGGGGATGACAATGTTTTGCCAACGTCGGATGTGGCACATATAAGGACTCTAGGGGTTAAATCACTTCTCTTCGTTCTAGGAAAACTACCAACTTCTCAAAGTACGAAATCAGCGATATGCGTCGTCCTTTTCCTTACCCCCATCATTACCCATTACATCCATTCCCACACCGCTTCGGCTACTACAGGCATCCCGGAATGGCATTCTTGAAGACGGTACTCATCGGCACTGGCGCCTATTTCATTGCTAAGAAGATTTACGAGTGGGTGACTCAAAGCGATGTTTCTGGAATGCTTTTCTTGTATTGACCTCGATTAAGGCACGATGGACACAAGCATAGCGGGCAGCAGGCGTGCGCCAACTGTGGCTACCAGAATGGGCCAATGCCGTCACCACCTGGAAGCCCCTATCAATATCGACTTCCACAACCGACACAATTTCTTGACCAGGGTCAAGCACTGAAAGAGAGGACATAATGCTAGATGCAATCTTCACAGAAAGGATTGATGACCTTGCTCTGGCACTGGACTGACTGACCACGCATGCTCCTTCGATACCCCTTCCGGTCTGAGGCGGCGTAGTCATTAAATCCCCACTTTGTAAGATAGTTGTAGCATAAAAGAGACATGACCAATGCATCATTCGGCAATAATTTCGACTGCGCGCTCATTGCCCCGATTTGGCACGGTTAACGTATACCGGCCAGCTATGTGGCACGACTGTGAAGTACGCCTTATACTTCCACTCTTGGGCCTTGTCCACCAGATGAATATCATAGTCCCGCACAATAGTTGCCGTGATCTTCGACAGCTCGATGCGAGCTATATTCTGTCCGGGGCACGAAGCATAGCCGGCACCGAAAGGAATCCAGTATTTCTGCATCTTTGCCGAGCCCTCCGAAAGCCACCTCTCAGGGTTGAACTCACGAGCGTCGGGGCCCCATATCTCTTTCGACTGGTGGATGACGTGAGGATTAACGGAGACAATAGTGCCACCCGGCAATGTTTTGCCGCCGATATAAAGCCCCTCTGGCCCAACCACCCGTGGCAAACCCATTGGTACTGGGCCAAATACACGCAGAGCCTCAGTGATGCAGGCTTGCAAGTAGGGAAGCTTCTGCGCATCCGTGAATGATACTATGGTATTTTCATCCAGTAGGCCAGCCCCAATGATCTCATCACGCACCCGCTGCCACGCCGTGGGATGTCTGATCATGTGGTATACGAAAGACTGCAGTCCGCACGCCACAGTATCTGCACCTGCCGCAATGTTGTTGAATACGGCCGCATGGACATCCCGGACGCTCATGCGATCAGGGTGTTCGTCCAAAGCCCTAAGCCAGTGGCTCATCAGGTCGAACCGCGCGTCTACATTCCGCTGGCTGTCTTTGACAGAATTCATAGCGGTCTCGATAATGTGGCCATAGGGCATGACTCCCAACCAAGTGACAAACGAATTGCCTACAAGCAAGGTATGGAGCCATCCATAGAACCCCATGATGGCAACATAGGCGTTGTGACCTAGAGAGTTTTTGATGGTGTTACCAATATCCTTCCCTTCACGAAGAAAGCCGAAGGACTTGGAAAAGACAACCTCACCAACGTTGTCATTGGTCAAATAGGCAAAATACTGGTCCAAGTTGATAGGTTGCCCATTTGCAGAGAACTTGTCCAGCCAGCTCCGGAAAAAGTGAATGTTATCGTCGATTGCTGCTTCAGACTGGAGCAGATTGGATATGTTATACCCTGGTGCAAGATTCTTTGACCGTTCGATTTTCTTCTTGGGGTCAGTTGTAGACATTGGGTTCTGGTATCGTCCGTCCGGGAATGCGATGATTGTATACCAGTCCGCCTTGAACACCAATCAGTCTGATGTCTAGATGGCAAAGAATATTTCAGTCGCTTACCTTGCGAAGAGGACTCAGCAGAATCTTTTTGACCGCATCTGGATGACTAACGCTCAGCTCATTGTGAGCAATACGAATGAAGTGGCCTAGGGCGCCAGTTAATGGTGACACTACAATCTGCTACAGCCTACCTACCATGTCGGTCATGCAGCTGAATCATTGTTGTATTCTGATCCCCTGCCAATATATGACGAATGTGCCAGAGCCGAGAGAAAGATGCGCAGAACGGACCTGGATAATGGCGGAGGGGTGACAGATAACGACGATAAATAACGATAGTGAGGGGTCCTACGAGCAACATCGCAGCGATCGATGGCCAGCTGACCGTGGACTTGACACCTTCCCAAGCCATTTTCGATTTCTGATACAATTCAGAAAAAGGAGCACAGGAAGATTTAGATTGACCGATGGGCTCTGTTGACGGGATTGTTACGAGTGCTGAACAGCGCGTGTCAAGGTGGTGAAACCAGCAGGTCGGCATGCAAAATACTACTCCAAAGTATTCATGCCGGCCCGACTACTGAGTGCCCAATAGGATTTCGTATACACTTATCACGGGGCTAGCGGTTTCGAAGGTTATGGTAACTTTTCGCGGCGCTAATTTAAGCTGTGATCCAATCCACTAACTCTCATTGCAATAGTATATAGAAGAAATGCACACAAGTCAGAGCCCAAGGATTCATCTGTGCAAGGATTCGCGCGCTCATATGCCCAGGAATTTGGAGGGCTTGTAGTGGTGCGACGCAGTACCGAGGCATTTTAATGATCCACTCATCGTCCGCTCCGTAAGCATACGATAGGAAAAGAGATCCCCACACGAGTAACGCATCGGTAGATGTGATGATCAATTTCCGGATCCCTCTTCTTTTCACGCCGAGGATCAAAACGCTACATATCTCGATGGCCATCGCCTCAATCAAGAGCGCCGTACTCGCAGTGATACCCCTATTCGCAGCTACAATAAGCTGCGTAGGCGTATCACCCCCACAGTGTGTATGCCGCTGTCTTTTAGTTTAAGTTGTGACTCGCCGGGTGCTGATAAGCATCTCAGTGTGATTCTCTGAAGAGTGCGGGTCTAGAATTACGGCTTCACTACCCAAAGACCATAACCTACGAGAAGCGCACGACATCGTACTATTCCAGAAACAACTTTCTGCATCCCCAATGTCTTGTTCAGCCAGAAAGTCCCGATGAGGTTTCTCGGACTTTGAAAGCCCTGGTCGCCGAGAAATGTTTGTTCGCTGTCCGCAGCGGCGGTCACATGCCCAATGCCGGTGCTAACAACATAGATGATGGGGTGACTATTGACCTGGGTAGTCGACGCCTAGAGATCGTGCTCTGTTACGTACTTTTTTCTGACTTCAGCTCGTGTAGGTAACATGAACGCCACAAAGTATCACGCAGAGAACGATACTGCGTCCATTCAGCCCGGCTCCAGGTGGGGTCAAGTTTACCGGACCCTTGAGGGTCAGGGCATCGCTGTTGCCGGAGGACGTGCTTCGTCGGTTGGTGTCGGAGGATTCATCCTCGGCGGCGGTATCTCCTACTACACTGGGAAAAGGGGGCTGGTCTGCGATAGCGTCGTCAGGTTCGAGGTCGTACTGGCCAACGGTGATGTTGTTCTTGCCGATAAGAAGAATCACTCCGACCTTTTTGTTGCCCTCAAAGGGGGCTCCTCCAATTTTGGTATTGTCACTCGCTTTGATCTTGAGACTTTTCCATCTACAGCTATCTGGGGAGGCATAGTCATGTATCCAAAGGTTGTAGGACCGCAGATGATCAATGTTCTGTCGGCCTTCACAGCAAACATTGGAGAGGACCCGGCAAGCTCTTCGATTGTGGCTTGGCTATACCTGCCGACAGTCAAGGACACCCTGATCATGGCCACGTATGAGAACAATGAAGGTGTTATCAAAGCGCCAGCTTTCAAAGAGTACTTGGCAGTCCAGCCCCAGATCTCTTCGACTTTGCGAGTCACGAACTGGACAAGCATAACAGAAGAACTTGGAGACCCGGGGGGGTTAGAGTTAGTATACTATGATATTGACCTGTGCGAATATGACTAATAGTCACAGCAAATCATGGTTTACCTTGACGTTCAAGAATGATGTGCGCGTCATGCGAAAAGCTGTTGAACTTCACGAGGCGCTGGTCGAGGAGATGAAGGATACCATAGGCGAGGAGGGTTTCTCCACCATATGTGTGAGTTACTAGACTGTTCGAATCATATATCAGCAACTAGGGTCTCTCACTGACTCGATTGGCGCTTTCCAGATGCTCCAGCCTCTGCCTGCCATAACCAGCAGGCTAGCAGAGGGAAAAGGCGGCAATGTGCTGGGTCTCGAGAGGCTTGAAGAGAATGCTATTCTTTTCCTTGCCTCAATGGGGGTCGTGGATCCTGAATTTGCACCGCTTGGTATGAAAAAGGCACAAGATTGGGTTGGGTAAGTGGACTTCCTCTTCGCCACCAAAGTTTCAGCGATCCTCTACTCTAGGGTCTGGAAGCAGTGCGGCGTATTCATGCATCTTATGCTATTGAAGAATTGTTACTGAAACTTGGCGCACTAGGGCGGTGGAAGCCTATGCAAAGTCTCTCGATGCTGACATCGAGTACCTATTCCTTAACTACGCACATGGAAGTCAGAGTCCTCTCCGGAGTTACGGGTCCGAAAATGTTGCCAAAATGAAGAAGGTAGCGACCAAGTACGATCCAGATCAGGTTTTCCAAATATTACTTCCTGGTGGCTTCAAGATCTCTCAAGTTGACGAAGCCACCGTCATTCGAGATGAGTTGTGATATCCCGTCCTGATACCACCTGAGACGAGGTGAGAAATTGTCATACTTCTCACCCAGAACGATTTAGAACCACAGTATATCACCACCAGAAAGCACGTCTGACGTCAAAGCACAGACGATCCCATGGTAGGGGTTCGTGATGTCGGACCTACTTCAAGTTTGCCTCGTCTAGGTGGCTGATTATCGAGGACATTTCCAAGCACGGCGCGAAGTGCTGTGGTACAGAGGCTGAATGCTGGTGTTAATCACTGATACTTATACTTGGCCATGTTGGCCTTGAGAGTTGCTACACGCTTGTACACTCGAATCAAATTTGAGGAGGCTAGGGCCGCACTCATATGTATTCCCGTGTTGCAAACTCTGAACATAGAGAACGGCTGTGAGTACTGGATTGAATGTCGATGAACACCACGCGATATGTACACGTCATATTTTGGGATGAAATCACATTGATCGATTCTGCAGTTGACTGATTTGCAATGTCTTAAGAATTCATTCAGGTAGTACGCCGGACCATGCAATGTGCATCTAAAGTACAATCGGCTACGCCACCTAGCCGGTTATTAAAAGTATAAAAGTAGAAGACGCCTTTTTAGAGCTTCTCAGCGGCACCCTTGGCCTTGCCGGCTGCCTCGTTGGCGACACCCTTAGCCTCGCCCTTCAGCTCGGCGGCCTTGCCCTTGGCCTCGCCACGAATCTCTTGAGCGGAGCCTTTGACCTTGCCTGCAACCTCGGAACCAGTGACTTTCTGGGCGGCATTTGCTAGAATGGAATCAGTAAGACAGGCTCAAATGATGGTCTCTGAGAGGCGCGGATTTGGTGGTTGAAAGACGTACCGCCAGCGTTGATGCCATCAACCAGCTTATCCGAGACCTTACGGTCGACGGTCTTCAATGTGTCCTTCGCAGTTTCTGTGACGGACTTTTGCAGGCGCGTCGAGGTGGTGAACTGTCGCGGGGCCTGGACGACGGCGACTCGGGAAGTGAGTGCCATACGACGGGCAACGACTTCTGTGAGGAACGACATCGTGTGGTGTGTTATGGTATGGAGGTCTGTTGGTGGGGAGTGATGGATGGAGGCGTCTGGTAGGTAGCTTCTATTTGATGGGGCTCTTTGATGGTATCGTAGTAGCTGACGATGATGATGTCTACAAGAAGGAGGAGGAGCTCCCTCATAAATGATTTGGTGTGGGGATCGCGATGATGGGTGTTGACTGCCTCGTGATGTCATTGCCTCAAGCTCAGCGCCTAATCCGGCATTCGCGGGGTAGCTGTGACAGGGGCCACAGGTACCGCTCTAGCGGGTTTCAGTGGGCAATGACACCTGTCTCCGTCACCGAGCGACAACTAACGAGACCCAATCCAGCCTCCCTCGTTGCCTCCTTAGACAGGGAGCTTGGGAGCCGCCAGCCCGCGGGACGTGCACAGTGATCCAGCCCATTGAAGCCACTGACTGCACCCGGAGCATTTGCTTCGCGCAATGACGAAATGTTGCAGCCGTGAGGCTCCTCTGGCTGCCGCCGTACGCCCATTGACCACACACACGTCAGCGGCCTCATTAGAGGTTGTGGTGGTAGATGCAAGAGACATGTGACGATGATGAGAATCTTCAAATGGCCTGGGTGCTCGTGCCCCCTTGCATATCTACTCTCACACCGCCGCCATCGCGGTCTGGTCTAATACTCATGGTTTATGTGCTATTCATCCACACGGCTCACCAAAGACCTAGGAGACTCGGATGGAGATTCTTTAGAGCTACGAAGCATCAAGCCTCCTTATTCTTGCAATCTTCAACTGCACCTTTCTCTTCCAGACTATCACTTTCCATCTCGAGTGTCCCATGAGAAGTGAATGTCTGTTTCGTTGGAGGGGAATTTAGACACTGCGAGCTGCAGAGGTAACTTACCGCAGGCGTCACGCAAAAATGGCCGAACGTCATATTGCCAGCGCCTACCAGCCCCGGGAGATGCTCTAGGTCCTTGGAAAGTCTCGGAGAAGCCAATGAGCCTCGAATTCTCTAGGTAGCCTCTCCATGTCCCAGAAATGGCGTCGCTGGTGGTTCCAATCCACCGACTCTCCGTCCTCGCCACGACGGTGTAGATATATGGTTGCTTCCCGTGATTACACAGCGGCACGCCCTAGCCAAGGCAACATTGCCAGATCGGGCGCCATAATCCATTGGGGTGAACGCGGAATGACGCCCACCCCGACAGCCTCAGAGGAAAACCAGGACGGGTTTGTTGGCTGCATAACAGAGTACCGAGAGGTCTACTGCCGCCAAAGTTAACCTCACATGTATAAGATCGGGATGCCCACAGTATGCCAATAGATGATGATGCGGATCATAATAGAAACCAGCAGATCTGACAAACTGTGCAAACTTCAAAAGAAAGAAATACATTCAAAGCTTACTCTACAACTAGAATGTGTGTCTGAGAAGGAGGCAGAATACATTGTGTAGCCATTCTAGCTTTGGTGGGAACCCATCACAATATCCTGAGGTTTCTGCGCAAATAAAATGCCAACCTTAGGAAACTAGACGGCAAAATCTTGCAGAGTGTCACGGCAGTGCATTAGGTTTACAGGAGGTCCGGTGAGACACCGTACGGTGTCCGCTATATAATCCTCGTCATGTCCCTCGTTCTTGAAAGGGGACAAGATTCAGTCTCTCTATGAATTGAACCATATATTAGGCTTCTGCTTATACCTGACTTCACGCTTCCCCTCTGACACAGAGACACAGGCAATGATTAATTCGCGCATCTCTTCTGGATGAATGTCGAGGGCTGGTGAGAGTATGACTTGATGAAATTCGGGTGTGCATGCAGCCCATAACTGTTGGCCAATGTGACGTTATTTGTGGCGTCGGGTGCGCCAGGAGCTTTCTCGACTATAGTGGTTGAAACTCAAACCACTATAAGTTGTAAGCTCGGAACTACCTGCTCTGAGCTTTGGTCCGCTACCCTACATATGCCTAGTGTCTACCACTTGTGGGTCGCTCTTATACTTGGCCCTTATTAAGGAAACTTTAGCACCAGGACTTAGTACAAGTGCAGTCCAATCGGTGCTTATTGATGCTCCATTCCCCAAATGGGGTGCTAGAATGTGTTGACATGAATATTTAACCCTATTGGCAACCATTTGGTATATGAATACTAGATTGGGTTTGAACGGTAACAGCGCATTTACCTACATTGGCCTGTATTCTGGTACTAGGAAATGTTGAACCAGGCGTGCTGCAGACCGAGCAAAACAATCGCGATATCTTGCTCGTGGCTGTAGTCCCTGCGCCTTGCCTGAGTGTTACGATTGTTATGATGGCGCTCCGGGTTCGGTAACGTAATGGCCGGGCAGAGGAACAAGGAGATCGAGGTGCAAACTGCTATAGAGGTGCTCAAAAGATTGTTTACCAAAACTCAGAGATACCATTTCCCACGAGATATAGCCAAAGAGCTAATTTAGACAGAGCGTAGTCGATCTATTCAGGATTGCGACAACATCACATATGTCTTTGGGGGCGCGGAGGATAGCCAAGGATTCTGTAGGCCCACTGATCTACGATTCCCATCGCCGATGCGCTGTTGGATGAACAACCCTGCTAGAAATGCACAATCCCAATGCTGTGGAGCTGAACAAGCTTTTAGGATCTGTCTCGCCGAATGCGATTGGGACTTGCTGAGTTGCTGACATCATAACTACTATTCTTGAGCAGCAATTACTTCCTAGCAAGGAAAATTCCTGCGACACTCACTGCGTTCTGCCACATACAGTTCAGTACGGTTTTTGGCTGTGCTTGCCCCCCCACGAGGAGATCTGATTGGACCGCAAAGACTTGAACCAGCCAGCAACCATGACCAGGGGCGTCCGCAAATCTTTGCCAAGCTTACTCAGTCTATTCCTAATGGTTCACAACAGCAAGCTCGCCCCTCGTCAATAAATGATTATGTCGGTGCCGATGCCTCGAAATCGCCCTCTGATCTACCATGCACCATGCAAATCAGAACTATTGTTAGCTTTTTTCCAAGTTACAAATTCTATAGTCCGAAAAGGTTTCCTTTTCCCAATAAAGATCAGTTAGTGGACATGCATCGTATATTAAGCATGGTAACAGCCTTCATATACCGGATTTGCTAGGCAACATCACTACCGACCGCGGAGCACTGCATAACTCCTAAGGATTTCGCGAATCTCGGCAAAAGACCACCATATCAATAGTCTGTGGGTTTGGTAATGGTATCGTGGTCGTAGCGGTGATAATCGTTATTAAGCGGCGAACTTGTGCTGTTTCTTAGACTGGCTCCACAGGCGTGCCGTAGGAAGTGGAGATTGGGAGGGTGTAGGATCGTATAGCAGGATAGCGTGTAATCCATCCGTTGCCCGCCCGCAGCTCGCTTATGTGTTTCCCTGCGGCCACGAGGCTGAAACAGCCAAGCCTGAACCCAATTGACGCATGGTATATCGCCGCCTACTATCCGTGTCGCTTCGGGTGCCTTGCATTCGAAAGACATGACACTGTTGTAAGTCGAGCCGGTACAGTCATCCCACCATTGTTACCGCGGAATTGCAAATGAACCGACTGCGGAGGGCACTCAACATGAAACAGAATCTTGATCCGCTGCTTATCTTTCGGCGCTGACAAAGGACGTTAAAGGGGTCTGAAAAGGCTACGGCGATTGTCAATTGGTGGTGCTGTACGGAGCACCACGCCAGGAATCAGCTTGAAAGCCCTGGCGGGACATCTCGCGATTGCGAAGACCCGTATGTTAGCTGACGTTAAAGACACCTCAGCTGGGGACTAGAAGGCGTTGGGTTGAACCAATTGCCACTGGCGAGGCGATTGAATCTGCACAGCGATCCTCGGCGGATTTTCTAGGGGTCAGACGAGCGACAGGGGTCGGCTTCTATACTTAAACTGATCTGCCTAAGGGTCCACAGCCCACGGATCCGGACCCCGACTGGCGGGGCATACCCTTGGGAAGGCTTGGCAGATATGTCGTCAATAAGACTTATATGTCTTACATATCTATCTGTCAAATACTACAACCACTGAAGATCAACGGGACCGATGCACGGTTGATTACTGACGGATTAGATTTCTGAGTAAACGGGATTAGCACGTCTTCATAAGTAGGAAAGGATACTCGCACCCATCCTTGACGCGGCTTGAGGTCCATACCGGCTTATGACGAGTTTGGCTGACCAAGGATTCGCAACCCTCAATGATCCCTCCCGCCCGTGGCATTTTGCTTGAGTGTGTCCTCTTTACGGTGGGCCGATCATGATTGCATACCTTACCCCGGGTGCCTGAATCTCGAGTGAAGATTTAGTATAATAAGCCCCCTCATCCGCAGCTCCAAAGTCATCATATCATCCATCTAACAACACAACAACAACAACAACAACAACAATAAAAACAGCAAGCAGCCTTGGTTGCCACAAAAGACACTAGATTTCATTTTCATCCAGAAGTTACGCGAAAACAAGTATAAACAACAATGAAGACTTTCACCACAGCTTTCGTCAGCCTTCTCCTCGCCAGCGTCGCCGTCGCCGACCTGCCGTACAACATGCCCGTGGGCCGAGGCGAGCAGGAGAAGCCTCACCCCCCGCCGGTCTCGATCCAAACACATCCCAATGGCGGCCACCACACGGGCCCTTGGCACCCCCCCGGCACCGGTGGTCACCACCACCCTACCGGTACCGGTGGTCATCACCACCCAACCGGCACTGGCGGTCACCACCACCCTACTGGCACCGGTGGTTACCACCCCCACCACCCGGGAACATTCACAGGCCACGGCCCTCGACCGACTCACGTCAAGGAGAAGGAGCCGCACACGTTCAAGACCCATACTAGGACTCGTCCTCACCACCCTCATGGCACCGGCCCACATGGAACAGGACCTCACGGTACTGGGTCCCACGGTACAGGAACTGGAGGTGGTCACCACCACCACCCGACGGGCAAGCCCACATGGCACAAGCCGACCAAGCCGGTCCAGCCAACTGTTGTTGCACAATAAATGCATTTCTCTCGTGCGAAAAAAAAGTCAAAAAGAACATCAGGTTTTCGGCGCAGGCTTCTACAGCGGTTCCCAATGGCGGACCAGCCGGGTTTAGTGGGGGTTGTTTATGGACTTTGGCATCACTGATATTGCCTCTCGCAGTGCTTTTACAATCTTCTATTGTCAAATGTCTTTTAGCCAGGTGTTGGTAGGATAAGGATAGGGATTAGGTTAAGGATACATAGATCTCCTTCGGCGCGGGTTGGTTTGATAAGAGCGTAGACAATTTCCAGGTCTCTGCAATCGCTCTGGCGGGTAGTTGAATTTACACGTTGTCCCCGAGGCTTACGACCCTGGTTATGTGCGACCGTGATTTTCTTGCAAGATTGCTGCAATGATCCCAAGTGCACCTCACATGCAATCCGTTCCCTGACCTTGCTGTGAGATCCATGCACAGCGGGGCTCGCTTTGGAACGGTAGTGTGCAGGTACGCCTTGTGGGCAGCCGTCGTAAGGTAAACGTACCCGTATACACCAATCCGCAGCTGCGAAGCGAAGGATTGCAACTATCAGCTCAGGAGTACAACATTATGCGAGAACGCGTCATGCGTGGCTCGGTTGTGGAGGGGGGGCTCTGAGCTTTCCCGCCAGCGGCCCTTTGCGGATCAGATTCCCCGCAAGGCCCTGCATAATGGCTCCATACTCAGCCACCTTGCCTTGCTGGTGGCCACAGTTGGCCGACAAATTCAAGCCAACGTCCCATCGTGCAAAGGCCTAGACTCAATTATTCTATATATATACATTCTCTAAGAGTGCTTTGGCTACCGTCTGTCAAGGTTGAATACCACTGCGCTGCTCCTAAACGACCTGGTGACATGATCACCCAACATTATTCCTACATCGTACAATAGTAGAGTACAGCGCATATCCCGGTTTTACTGGTAGCAGGTAGTAGTGAACGAAGTCCAGGCTAGGAAAAGTCAAAAGACTAAGACAATTTGAACACATGGGTTGACCGCTTAGCACAACCTTTTTTTATGGGAGGTGCAATACGCATTCCAGAATGGGGTGATCTACTGGCGATTTGCTATACCAACCCTGCTTCTCGCTGTATTTACACTTATTACACCACCAGTAGATCTTTCAAGAACGTCTCGGCTACTCTGAATGAGGGACCGGCCTATTGTCAACCGGCTTTCGCCCATACACAACGTAACTGCGAGCACAAAACACAGTCAGTAACCGAAGCGAAGCTTATGGTGCGTATACTTACCCGGGCCAGTAGAAATGGATTTTCCTATTCACAGCATCCTTCTGAGATTGGGCCACGATCTCTTGGAGTTTGTTTTCCGAAATGCCCAGCCCCTCTCCCAGCAGCTTTGCCGAGACAGACCTGATGACTTCCTTGCCAGATACCTCGGTGAATCGCCCAATTGTCTTTTCCGGCTGGGTTCGAGGCCAACTATTCCCAAAAAGCTTGAAGGGTCTCTCCACTACATCAACGAAACCTATCTCCTCCATGTAGCGCTTGTACTTTCGAGCTGCTTCTATATCCCTGCCCTTGGCTGCGGCACCAGCTATTGCCAAATGTCCCCATTGGTGCAACGCTGTTCCGCGATGAGTGTTGTCGTCGGAATCAATATTGAAACTGCAGTCTTGATACTCGATCCAACCACCAGGGTTGAGGTTATCAAATGCCTTTTGGATAACATCTTTGTGGTTGATGAAGCACGTGAACATCAGACGCAGATGAATAAAGTCAAAGGACGTGTCGTGTATCCACTCGTCCTCGACATCCTCTCGTACAAAGGACACGTTAGGAACTTCGGCCGAAACGTCTGGTTGGATGAGACTTAGGTCGCTACCAATGACCTTAGATAAGGGGTGCCTCCTGGCGTACTCAATAGCCCAAATCCCTGCCATCGAGATCAGATCTGTCGTGATGTTTGACTTGCGATATATCAGACCTACCTGTTCCTGTTCCAATGTCGAGCACACGGGGCGGATCTCCGGTGATAGGCGCTAAAGAAAGAGCGTCATCAGGGTCTGCGTAGGCGTCCGCCCCTTTCATCAGATTGAGGATCATGGAATACGACTTATGGGCAAAGTCAAGACGATCTTGCTCAATGGCATCGTTGGGCAAGAAGTACTTGTCGGGTTTGTAGTTCTGCCATATCCTGCCTCTCTCCTCAACGGAGACAGAGTCTCCTATCGTATTACCCCGGGCAAATGGAGGGTAAGGCTGCTCATGATACTGCGGCTCCTTTGAGACAGGCTCTGCGGATGCTTTTAACGCGGAAGGGGTTGGGTCTGACACAGTTTGTTGCCAGGCAGAAGTAGAATTAGGCGTGAGATCTAAGGTTGCACCCTGCGACGAGTCAACCATGTCCACATCTTGATTGCTGATTTCGCTAGGCCGTTGGAGTTGGTCGGGCAGCAGCCCATTGTGTCCCTTACTGCCTTCATTGGAGCGGCCGGCGTCATGTGGGACCTGAAGTCACTGTCAGCTAGTGTGCGCGCGGATAGCAATGCTTGTTTTGGCCTGGGCTAAATCCAAGACACATGTGGCTATACTAACCGAAGGTGAATCCGCCGGGTTGAGTTGGTTGTCTACCATCGTTCCCGTAAGTCCATACACTGATCCAGCGGAGGATAGATGGATGAAGCGGTCGAGAAGAGGGGTAGAAAATTGATTTATCTCCAGCCGGGGATGCACCTCCGTTGGTGGATGATATGACAACCATGCATAAAAACGCAGCGGCAGTTTCACGGAGAGGCCCGCTGAAGATTCTATTGCAGCCAATGGCGGGGGTTGGGATGGCCCAATCCGTCGGCAAGATGGCACGCAGCATTGGCGGACGTGCATACCGATCAACCCGAAACTTTCCTGTTCTGCATTGTCGCCTCGTTTGGGCGCATTCCGGGTTACTTGACATTGAACCTTGTATTTGCATCATGTAAATGGGAATGTGGAATGTAGACCCACTTTTGACGGGATTCGCACGGGACCTCTGGGCACAGCCTAGCGAGTATATAGGGAGTGTTTATTATACACAAACCTCTCACCATATGAGCTCCTTCCAGGGTGACCAAGCCTATTCGCGTAGCTAACTGAAAGCCAAGCTGGTAAGAGAAAAAAGCCATTGGAATTACTGTCTCATTGCCACCCTTTGAGAGCAGCTTCTAGAGTGTAATGGGGTGCCGCTTTAGTGCTTTCCGCAATTCGGTCGATTACCGGCCAACTTTTACGCCAATGATATCTCGACTGCGGGAGTTCTAGCGGATTGCACGCAATCCATCGCACCGACCCTTCCTTGAGTGGCTGAGGTCTCCCTGAGGGGTTCTGTTCAAGCAGGCTGAGCTGCACGGTTTTTTTAAACCCTCCATCCCTTGGCCTTGAGTGAAGATGACCACCGTCCCCATGGTGAGGCTCTTGACGAGATTACGCACGTCAGCTATTGGCGGAAGTAAGTGCCATGGACGGGTCACTGCCTCGCGGAGATCCCCAGAAGAGCTGCCGGCATACTGATTGCTTGAGGCTCTGCCATGTTCTGGCTCACACGAACCATCAACGGTAGCGATACCGGTCCAGAATGGTAGACGAGGCTACGGCTTTCTACAATACCTCCCTATGAAGGTTCCAACCTGCTCTGGAAGTTTGTCGACCTGCTCCATCGACGCAAATACACGAGGCCTACGTCTCAGTACGCTACCCCAAAATTGCAAGTCACACTCACTAGATCAGGGACACGTCGCAGAGATGGCCTTTAGATTGTGGCAATTGTATCTCAGCTTGGGGCTGGTGGCACATCCTTCAGCGATGCCGTCGTGTCTCAATGCCACGACATCCAACTGCCCTCGGCCGTACGTAGGTGAATTGCACAACCTGCTGACGGCAAGAGACTACAACGCACCGATTATTATCAACGGTTCCGGTACCTACAATACGACAGCCTACGCAGAGTCTCTCCCATTCGTCCGAACCGTCACGACAACAACAGCCGTTATTGCAGCTGCATTGGTTGGCACCACCTACATCGCATTGATCCGATACTCGGCACAGTTGTTTGGCGGTATTATGTTACCTGCCCACATACTTTGGCAGAACGTTAGAACACTGTCGGAGAATTTGACAGAAATTGGAAAAGAGCCCAGAGAACAAGAAACACGAGCGGCAACCCGGCATTCCCGAGGAGTGGGCGAGCGAATTCATGACGGTGATTCTAAGCCTGCTGCAAGTCGCTTATGCGACTCGATACATAGATTCTATGTTCAATGTTTAAACTTTGTCAGTCAAGGAGGAGCCAGCCCATCTACAGCCCAGTCCAGCCTCGAGCTCACGGATCGGGATGCTCAGGCTTCCGTAGTGAATTCGAGCGAAACCTCTTCTGAGACTGACCAGTGGAAACGGGAGAAGCTCTTCCTTTTAAACACGGTCACTTTTTTAAAAAGCCATGAAAAATATTTTCTGGCCCTTGGAAAGGATGCCCCTGCCGAGCTTACTGGGAACCAATTGCTGCAACAGAAAGACGACTTTACGCCCGGATTCCAGCCCATCATGGAGGATAATGCAATGTTCCACGAAATGCTCCAACAAAGTACCACTCCGAGTGAGAGGATTAAAGTATCCTGGCTGCACACAGCTTCTCCAGCGATGAGGAACGCTATACAGCTGGCAATATGGCAGTGGGTCAGCCTATGGCTGACCGTCATCATGATCACGAACACACTTGTATACAACGGATTCATAACCAGCACGCACACCACTGATATGGGACCTCGCTTGTTCCTAGTCAGTCTTTATGGGATATCAAACATTGGCTTGTTCTTTTTTTCCATGTCGCGGTTCTGCCACACGTATACATCCGTCATGTGGCACGCTTGTTGGGCAATACTTCTCAAGGCCAAACCTGCCATCATTGACGGTGATGAGTATCGGGCATGGTCCAGAGGAAGGGGTAGTCATTTCAAGGCCAGAACTTACAGCTCGGAGGTATTGGGGGAGCTCAAGGTGGAAAGAATTTTTCAAACCTGTTTTCGGACTAAAGATGGCATTTATGTCATGGACCAAAATCCAAGCAACTACCCGCGTTCTCTAATGGGACCCAATGTGAGATACCATCGGCGGGACGACGTCTGCTGCGTCCATGAGCTTGAAAAGGCCGAGGAATCGATTGACAAAGACATTCATGCTGCTTACGAAGTTGAGATCAAGGTTTTTGAGAAGGCCACTGAAGCAGCTGCTGATCGAGTTGCAGCAAACGTCCTGGTGATATTAGGGATCATCCTCGCTACTGGTTTATCACCGTGGACCTCGAACCAGCTCGTCGACTCTACAAGCACGCAGCTCGGTTCATATGCACTCTTACTATCCACCGGCACGGGACTGACTGCCATGATGACAAGTACGGCACATTTGGATACTATGAAGGACACGGCTTCCAGCATCCTGCGCCTTGCCGAGAGCACACTTGAGAGAAAGGACGCCCATACGCTGCACCCCCAGCGCCATGGTATTGACATGGAGTTCACAATGGCGGCGCACAAGTACAGCTCCATCACCCTGCGCAGCCTCTTCAATATCTCAAACCCGATCTGGTCCATCTTCTTTGGTCCCGCGTTTGTACTTCTTCCCATCCGTAGGCGGGGAGTGATCAACACTCCAACGGCGATTATGATGGCACCTCGCTTTGCTATGAGACAAGCTGTCACGATGAACATGTAGTGCTTCCTGACGCAAGACCCCAGGAAGTTTTGTCATCTTCATGAGCCGATCTTCTCTCTGCGGTATAAAAAACAGAGCATCAGTACTGGTGTAGGCGGGCATGCATGTGGTTCAAGACACGCGCAGATGATGCCGGGTGTTGATATAGTATGCTTCTTGCCAAGGAAAGACAATCGTTCAGAAATAGGCGTTACGACACAAGAGCACATCATTGCATTTGCAAATCGTTCACCAAATGGACCAACTAGCGCGTCAACCAAGGCGGCGCTCGCTCATTATGCCATGGTCACACAGATGCGGGGGATTGCGTGATCACTCAAGCAGCCAGTCTTATTTGTATCTTGGAACACAAGTTAAGAGAAACTCTCTCTTATGATTTTAAGGTTTCTAAAGTTCTAATAATAGTCGGTTTATACCTTCCTATGAGAGAATTTTAACTGCTTTATCCCCTTGCCAACTAGTGCTGCCAACTCAACGTTGAGTTGAACAAGAAATGGCAAACACTGCTACCAGCAGCACCGCCGCTGCCGGCACACCAAGTTCCGCTGGCAACGACGGTCCGTTCACGGGCGGATGCGCCTGTCACCAGGTTCGATATACCTTACCCGGGCGACCAATCTACGTCCATGCTTGCCATTGTCGGTACTGTCAGCGGGAGACTGGGTCGGCCTTCGCCCTGAACGCCATGTACGAGGCGCCGCTCGTGGGGCTCAGTACGGCTGTTCAGCCAGAGTTGGTCGAGACTTCAACGGCATCTGGAAACCCGCAGACCATCGCGCGGTGCCCCGCGTGCCGCGTCGCCGTCTGGAGCAGCTACGGCACCCACGGCGGGGACCGGGTCCGGATCATTCGGGTCGGGACGCTGGACAACCCGGATCTCTTCCCGCCGGAGATGCACATATATACGAGCACAAAGCAGCCGTGGCTCAATCTGAGCGGCGACGTGCCCTTCGTTCCGGAATTCTACCACTTACCAGATGTCTGGCCAAAGGAGAGGTTGGAGAGGCTGCAACGCGCTCTCGGAACGAGTGTTGGAGTAGGAGAGTGAACAGTTGGTAAGAGAACAGCATGGCATGGCCAAACACCACTGCCACTCTGTTCGCGGTGCTTTCAGGGGTTGGGCGGGGCATGGTGAGCTAGCGACCGTGGGGTTGATCGGTGGTGAGTTGCATTTCAGAGGGTTGTGGGTGTGCGGGTATTGTCACAATTGTTGAGATAGAGTTGATTGCATGCGTCTGCCCTGTGCTTGGTATATAATTCGCTATTGTGAATTACACGGCCAGAAAGAAGCCTCCCCGACAGCAGTTGTATGTTAGCAACTTGCAGGAATGAAAGGCCTACTGAGCCACCACACAATCCTGGAGGAGCGCGCAGCTAAAAGTAGAGACTGACGCCAGCTGAGGGATCCTGTTGATGTGTTGCTGGCCCATGGTTCTACAGTCTCAGGAGCCATGTTCAGATCTACTATGGTAGCAATGGACAAGGGTTAACTTCATTATGCAAACTGCCATGGCAGACTTGTTCATATTCATAAACCCAACTAGGTACCTTTCACGTTATGTATGTAGGGATAGAGTTAAGAGTCCGGAAAGATCCGTACTCGGCGAACAGCAACCAGCGCACATGCGTCATCCCGCGCTGTGGCATTGGCGGACAGCGACCAGACCCGCCCGCCATGTGCCATGCGCTGCACATCTGGCGGTGTCCCAGCGTCCGGTACCTTACGTAGGCGGTAGGCAGGGGGTGGGTTACAGTCATGTACCATGCAGCAGCCATCCCATGTGAAAATCAGCCAGACCAAGCCATTGGGAGGATGCGCATTGCGGATGAGGGCAGGGAGATATTTCGCGAAACGGCGAGATGGATTGGAGAAATGGCGCAATGCTTGATGCTCGAGATGGATCCTATTCGCATATTCTTGCGTCACAGACAGGTGCATACCCCATCAAGCGGGCCATGGGCCTCGAGCGTCAAGGCAGGGTGGCTTGGGCGGCCGGGCCAGGAGAGTGCAGAAGAATCGAAAGGGATCGAGTCGCGGGCCAAGCGACTGACTGGGGGAGGCAGGGAGCTGGCCAGATTAGTGCCCATAATGATGCGGCGCACCAGCTCTTCGGGCCGTTGGCGAGGCCATCTCCACAGCTACCAAGGGCCAAGCAGCGCAGGACCAAGTTCTAGATTGTCAGATTGACAGGCACACAGGTACCGCCGGCCGGCTCCTGTTCACGGCGGCTTTTCTCGATCTGTGGAGTGGAGGGGCAAAGAGGAGACAGCCCTGGAGACTGGAGACGTGTGAACCTAGACGCACGCGGACGCAAGTGGAGAGCGGCCGGGCTGGCAGAGAGGCTAGGCTGGGCACTTATTGTTGAGCAATCCCCTTTCCCGGGCCTCGGCTGGAGAATTGGCTTTCTCTCCTCGACCATTGGCGAACCTTGAAGTCTTCTCGTTCTCTTGTGCTGCAGCTGTTGCGATAGCCTCATCCCGCCCCCCGAGACGCCCGTTGAGAATCCGCAGTCGTGTCCGCTTTGCGACGGTAGGATCCTGGCCGGCTGAGCGAACGCCGCATCTCACCCTCCCCAGCTGCGACCCCCTCGCAATCGTTACGTCACTCAGGTACGTGCCCGTCAATCCCAGTTTGTGCAGCCCGTCAATCGCTCCGTCACCGTTGTTTTGGGAGACGCCCTGCCCCGCGTCCTCCGGCCGCTGTCGTCATTGGCGACTTTGGATAGGCTCTGAGATGTTCCTCTGTACACGCACGATTCGAGAAGAGAACGAGCGAGCCAGCCGGGAGATGCGGAGGGTGGTGCAGTAGAGTAATAGGGGGAAACCGCAGGAGGTGGAGAGAGAGGGAGAGAGAAGGGGAATGACATATGGACAAGAGCAGTGAAGATCAGGACGGCGTTATCAGCCGCTCGATCTGAATCTGAACATTGTCAGCCAAGCTACCAGGCAGTCGGTCAGCACCCAGATTGCCCACCTCTCTCGTCTGCATTGGATCAAGCGGTCACCGCGTTTTCGTGCTGTGCCAGGTCGCATCGAGGTTGGTGCGATCCATCCTGGGCAGCGCAGGAGCAAAACCTCCAGGTCGTGTCCGGGTCTCTATTCTCTACCGTCCAGTGGCGCCCCACCATTCTCAAGCCGTGATGCGATACTGTTGTCACCGCTGGGGATCAGGCTGTTTGGCTGCATCCATATCCATGGTCTGGGAGTCCTGACGCCCCGTTGGAGACACCAGCAGCACCCAGATCAGCCCCAGCTCCCGCCGACCCAGTTGGCCGGAACAAGTGCCTAAGTAGCTAGGAGCTGCGCATCTTCCTTCATCTTCTACTTCGCCCTGCTGCTTTCCCCAGGCGTTGCAGGCGTGGGCAACGTACCCGTGTCACATCGATTCCCTCAAGTACACACTTACCTTGCCTCCCCTGTCCCATACCGCCCAAACAGATCTGCCTCCAAGAGCCCCAAGCTTGTTCAAGATCTCACCACCATCCTTTTGCTTGCCATTCTCTGCCGCCTGCTTCACATACTCCTCTCCGTTTGTCGCTTCCTGTTGCATTGCGTGATCTGGAAGCATTTGCCGCCCTCACGATCTTGCCTCTCCAGCCCACTAAACATCATGGCGGACCAGAAACCGGCGAAAGGGACCCGTCCCCAGGTGATTATCGATTCCGAAGCGACATCGAGGTCTCCGCGCGCCTCATTGAACGAGCAGAGGGACGACGACGACGACCTCCCCGCCCACCAGCGATCTTCGGTCACCAACGTCCCCGTAACCCCAGGGATTCACCTGTCGACATACCACTCGCAGCACCAGAGCCCCGCCAGCCCGGCAAGTCCCAGCTACTTCACCCGGGACCCAGCACGCGCCGACCGCCGACCGCGGAGGATCTCGGACGCTCCAAGAGTCCAGTCGCCGACCCAGATCGAGTTTGAAGCTGGGGCCACTTCGCCGACTGAGGCCATCAAAGGAGCTATGTCGCACCAGGATGTGCTCAGGCGCATGAGCCTGTCCTCGAGGGGTCGCCGCGAGTCCATCAGCGATATCAAGGCTGGAGTGCCCGAGCTGGCCTTGACTGGGAACATTATATCCACCACCTTCACTCTGCCATACTCTGTCAAGTACCGAAGCACGGGCGAGTGGGATCTCGGATCTAGACGCGGCCAGTCTGCCCTCTTTGACTCCTTTGCCCACCTCTCCTCAGATGAAGCACCCTGGAATCACACCGTCGTAGCTTGGACCGGCGAAATCGAGACGCCATTCGACCCCTTGTCTCCCCCCGACACCCCACCCGACACCGTAGCCTACCCCGGCGTTAACGCGCTGTCCGCGCCGGTACCTGTGGACGGCCACGCGCCTGCTACTTCGCCCGCGCAGGATGGCCTCTGGATCTCTCGCGCACATCAGTCAGACCTCGAGCAGAAGCTCTCGCATCACAAAAAGATCAAGACAGTACCCATCTGGCTATCCGACGATGATGAGCAGACTGACGAGGGCATCCGCCTCAAGGACCAAACCCGTTGGAGGCGGTACGCTGAGCACGAGCTCTACACCCTCTTTCACTACAAGCAGCACGAGCCTACCGACGGCAGGGATGAGCGTGTTCAGTGGGCTGACTACTACCGCATGAACCTCAAGTTTGCCAACAAGATCCTCGAAATCTACAAGCCGGGCGACATTGTTGTCATCCATGACTACTATTTGTTGTTGCTGCCAAGCATGTTGAGGCAAAAGGCACCCAACATGTACATCTCATTCTTCCTGCACTGTCCTTTCCCGAGCAGCGAGTTCCTGCGTTGTCTGCCTCGCCGAAAGGAAGTGCTCGAGGGCATGCTAGGTGCTAACCTGGTTGGATTCCAATCGTACAGCTACTCGCGCCACTTCTCTAGCTGCTGCACGCGAATCCTCGAATTTCCCTCGGACTCCATCGGTGTTGACGTGTATGGTAGCCGAGTCGAGGTGGGGGTATTTCCCATTGGCATTGACGTGACCAAGGCCGAGGAGAAGGCTTGGTCTCCCACCGTCATTGAGAAGTACGAGGCTTTGAAGAAGCTCTACGAAGGCAAGAAGATCATTGTTGGCCGTGACCGTTTGGATAGTGTCCGCGGTGTGGCTCAAAAATTGATGGCCTTTGATAGGTTTCTGGAGCTCTACCCCGAGTGGACGGAGAAGGTCGTTCTGATTCAGGTCACGTCCCCGACCGCTGTCGAGGATTCGGAGGAGGCAGAGAACAAGATCGCTAGCAGAATCAACGAGTTGGTCATGAAGATCAACGGCACCTACGGCAGTCTCGGTTTCTCGCCCGTACAGCATTACCCGCAGTATCTGAGCCCGGACGAGTATTTTGCGCTCTTGCGTGTGGCTGATATTGGCTTGATTACCTCGGTCAGAGACGGAATGAACACCACCAGTCTCGAGTACGTCGTATGTCAGCGCGATAACCACGGCCCGCTCATCTTGTCAGAGTTCAGCGGAACTGCTGGCAGTCTCAAAGATGCGATTCACATCAACCCTTGGGACCTCTCGGATGTAGCCAAACAAATCGACAACGCGCTCACCATGTCACCGGAAAAACGCCTAGCCATGCAAGACAATCTATTCAAGCATGTCACCAACCACAACGTCCAAACCTGGATCACCAAGTTCCTTCGTAAGCTTGTGGGGACATTGGCCAACAACCGGACCGCTATCAAGACACCACTTCTAGATCGGACTGTCATGTTGAAGCAGTATCGAGAAGCTGGAAAACGACTCTTCATGTTTGACTACGACGGAACTCTGACACCAATCGTTAGGGAGCCTAGTGCGGCTGTTCCTTCGGAGCGTGTCATTCAAACCTTGAAGTCGTTAGCAGCCGATCACCGGAACGCTGTCTGGATCATCTCCGGGCGCGACCAGGAGTTTTTGCAGCAGCATCTCGGCCACATTTCTGAGCTTGGCTTCAGTGCAGAGCATGGTAGCTTTATTAGACACCCTGGCCAGAACACTTGGGAAAACCTAGCAGAGAAGTTCGACATGGCATGGCAAGAAGAAGTCATCGCCATCTTCCAGAAGTACACCGATCGGGTGCAAGGTGAGTTTGCGAATCTTACAAATTACTATATCCACCGTACTAATTTATGCAAAGGTTCTTTCATAGAGCGAAAGCGTTGCGCCTTGACGTGGCACTATCGCCAAGCCGACCCGGAGCAAGGTGCGCATGCTGCTCGCGAGGCTCAAAAGGAACTGGAATCGACCGTCGCCAAGAAATGGGACGTCGATGTCATGACGGGCAAAGCCAACCTCGAGGTCCGGCCAACCTTCATCAACAAGGGTGAGATCGCGAAACGCCTTGTCGCGGACTATAACTCCGAAATCTCACATGTGGCCGGTGATTCCAATCCAGAGCTCGCCAAGGAGGTGACGAGCCAAGGGAAGGTTGAGTTCGTTCTTTGCATGGGTGATGATTTCACGGACGAGGACATGTTCCGAGCCCTGAATGGTATCAGCGGCGTTTCACTCGCCGAGGAGACCATCTTCACCGTCACCGTTGGAGCGAGCACCAAGGTCACTCTCGCGAGGTGGCATGTCTTGGAGCCTTCGGACGTCATCGAGGGCATGGCGCTACTTGCCAACGTGGGCATCAGCGGCGAGATGGGGGACAATGTTCTGAGCCAGAACAACCTGGCCGCGGTAGCTGGGCTGGAGGGGAAGATTCCGGATGCGTGAAATCTCTTCTGTTGTATGACATCCTAGAGTTGACCGTTTGTGCACACAAAGTGCGTGTCCTCGGGAAAGATGGTGCTGCCAAGGGAACGAATGTCAAGCGCGGAGTTTACAGAGGATCGGATTGAGCTTGGTCAATTTGCCAAAGATTAGACAGGAATGGTTCAGGTGGCAGTCGCACGCCTTACGGTGCGTGGATGGATAAAAACATCAATAGAGCCAGACCGGTAGAGACCGGTCACCATCAAGTAATAAACCTTAGAGTCACCACTGCGAATTTGCAGGTCTATGGCAGCAAGGCTTTGTGGGTCAGTGCTTGAAACCGTCCTATGGGAGAGTGATGTGAAGCCTTGCCGAACCACGACACCGGGCAGAGCTCGTTTGGGTATGCAAGTCTGGCACGGATACGAACGAGATACGTCACCGTAAGTTTCCTCAACCAAATCAGGTAAACTAATCATGGCACAACGCGCATGAGGGCCGCAATCGTCGATTCTACAGCAGAGGTTGATTACGTAGTCTGCATGAGGACAACAGACGGTGATTACGGAGTCTGCATCATGTCGCGCTTGGCCGTGCGTCTCGGCCGAGGCTCGTTTTCTATACTCAGAATAAAACCACCCCCTGTGTTTTGATACCACGGCCTTGGTAGGTTTAGGCTCCCTTTAGAGTTTCGTTCCTGGGCCGCTTGACCGCTCCCGACAACGTCGTAAGGCGCAATTCCCCTATAGATGTACGGCTAATGGGGCCGCGCAATTAGATGTGTAGCTTGGCAAGTCACTAATGCAAGATCAAACTCTTTTTCCCTGCGTAGAATGTCCTTCGATCCTTCGAGGGCTTGTGGGCCTTCGCAGAAATAGGTTCAGCGCAGCCTTGCTGGCTGTTGTGTTGCCCGGTTATCGCTCCCTGCAAAACCTGGACTGCCAAAGCGGTTGCAGTTGCTAATGCAGGCCCCACGGTTGCGGGCCAATGCCGACCGTCCACCCAAGGCGGTGATCTTGCCGTTCTCCGTACTTGTGGGCACTACGGGCAGGACGGGGAGGCTTCTAGTGTCGAAGGAGTGGTCAGCTTTACGGCCGTTCCATGCAGGAGGTGGCCCTGGCTTGCCTGAACCTGCAGCAGCGAGATTGCAGATTTCGATCAACTGAGATTACCAAGCCGAGGAACACCGCGAGAGCTTCCAAGCCAGAATGCAGGTTGAAATGAACCACGTTGATAATCATTTCAACGGAGAAGTTCTCACCCAATTGACTAGCTATGCGATTGAAGTTTCAGGACGTGGAAACCCTGGCTGGAATAGGAATAACGGCACCCGTCATGTCTGCAGTAGTGTGTGCTGGTGGCAGATGACCACCTGCAGGCGTTCGACGTGCCTTGTGCAGCGCATTGCTTTTTCTCGGGCTGAACCAAGGCAGAATACGGCCATCGCAGCCTTTTGCTACGATACGAGACTCCATACCTTCATCAGATGCTCGCATGATCAATTCTGAAACGGCTCGATTATCTTTGCCAAAATCTGCGAGGAGCGGCCACGCCGTAGCAATGCATAGAATGTGGTGTGCTGGAGAGAAATTTTGTCTCTCCGCAAGGGGATGACGCACTGATACGTAGCTCCATCTCATAAGGCTGTGACGATTGCCTAGTATTAACATGGCGAACCATCAGGGGTTTTGTAAGCGAACCAACACGTAACCCCCGGTTGTCAACCATTACCTTGCCGTGGCGCCGCTAGATCAAATTTGTCTGCGAGATCAGACTTTCTCCCCCCTCGAAACGCCCAGAACGCAGCTCATTCCAGTCTCTTATCTCCGAAGAAAGATTTTTCGAGGTGTGTCTCCAAAGAAACCCAGAAACCAGACAAGGCTGCGGCCATTGCTGCTGTACCATTACTTTCTACAGAGAGTCACAAGGCCCGGGATTTCCACCGCTGCATGCTGTCCAAGAAAAGGAGGAAAGCAAAGTGAATTATCTCAATTGAGGTCGGGACTTTTCCTGTCCGGCAATGCAAGTGCATGCAACCTTGTTGTCTATCCCAGGCAGACGTGCGAGGGCGTGGCCTAGGGGTGTATACATCACCAGTGTCACTATCTCTCCATGCGCCGACACTACAGGGAGGGGGAGATCGGCAGGCATGCCGGACGTTATTCATCTCTGCTCTGCCCTAGCGCCCCGATATCATGCAGGAAAATACGTGATGTTCATGACTCGAAACATGACCCTTGGCTGATGTCCAATTGATATAGGTAGGGGCCTTGGCATGTTCGCTTCATATCTCATGTATACCCCCAAGTGCAGCACCCAACTGACCGCCTGGTGGTTCGTGCTCTCAACAACTTACCGGAGCCTCAAGCTTCGGCCGCTTCTAGTGATGCCCTCGAGCCATAATCAGGCCTCCGGCTGGTCCCTTCATCAAGGGCGGTGTGGTTGATTCGGACTACAAGTATCGTTTCTTTGCCTTCCTCATGCTCCGCCGTTCAGCGCCCGTCTTTGTGGATTTTTGACAGGACAGCGGTGCTCGTTCATATCCTTCAGGGCTTCCTCTCGCTTCGTAACTTGTGAGTCTACTTTGTCAAGTCACATGCGCGTCCAAAATCACCCTGCCTCCCACTCACCCAACGTCAGATCTAACGAAGGTCGCACCCACGGTCAGTCAGACGCTCGATCGTCTTCCGCTCGGAGCATCACACTTAGGTTTTGGTCTTCATTATGAGCCACACAGCATCATCTACCGGCATATGCCTTAGCATTTGCTCGGCATCGTGCAAGACGTAAGATGGCCCACGAATCATTAGGCTTCAGATCATTGACCACTTCGAGGTTCAGACATCGATCCAAGGCAAGCGAGGAAGAAAAGGCTTCACTGCTACGGAGCCGACTTGAACTTCTTAGACATCAGCACGGCGATAGCCACGTGGCCAACCGACTGCTAGGAGACCAAGGCACACAAAACACAACGGAGCACACGGAACGCATGCAGCAGACGATCTCTCAGATAAACCAACAGTTGCCACGCCGTCAGCCACAATAATCAGTTCTCAACGCGTCACCACGCTTACAATATCTCCTGAAATATTACCTGGCCGTTGGTTTGAATTCTGCTGTCATACACTTGATTTCCTGTTGCTCCCTCGCACATCAGAACTTCAACTGGGACAGGCTCCTGGAAGCTCAAAGCCTTGTCGTTATTCTGAATGATAGCTGTCATGAAGCTCTGGTATGATATGATGTATATTAGTGTATTGATATGAAGGTGCGGCTTGCTATGTTGCACGAGATAGATGATCATGCCAAAATTATATATATTCTTCTGCACAAAGCTACATGTTCCATGTACATTCGATAATGGATAGTGTTGCCAACGTCAAGTGGACGAAAGTACTGAAACAAATCTACTGCACAACCACCGAAACAAAGCAACTGAGAGAGTCCAAGCCTTCATACTGCACTCGCTGGCATATGCGTTGGATCACTTTGCCACCCGCTTAGATCCGTGAGGGGAGACCGGGACTTGCAACATGATTGGACCCCTTCAATGAGCTGCCCCTGCAAGCAGCGCAACTAGCGACTGACCGCTCGCCCTCCTGGTAACATGGCGCTGGGCAACCACAGACACACAGACGTCAAAAGTTATGCGGACCCTGGGGACCTCAACATCCCTGTCCGCCACGTGGTGAAAGAGTTCACGATCGGCAAGATTGGCAGCTGGGGCTACTTCGGCCACAGTCCTTGTCAACTTGTAAGCTGCACCGCCGCGTCATGCCTCCTTGGATTGTACAGTACCAAGGCTTCTACCGAGATGCAGGGGTCAGCTAGTGCTCAACAAGATTGACGTGCCCTATTGAGAAGGAGATTCGGTAGTTGGTGCTGGGGGGGCCATGAGGCGCCCGGTCTTGGTTTCTTTTCAGCTCCCCACGCAATGCAGATGCCAACGTTGTACCCTGCCACCCACGCTTTCGTATGCGGAGACGATGAAAAGGAAGGTAAGCCTGCGATTGGACTACAGAGGCCGGTGCATCGACGGTTGCTTCGAGCCATTGTCCAACGGTCAACTATCAGCAAGACCAATCGCTGCACGACGCCGGGGTCTCGCACGTGGCAGCCATGTGCAGACCGGGGCTTTGAACAAGGTTGAGCCGCCGTTGCGCCCATGACAGGGCGTTGTGGCACCACTCGTCGACAGAAGTTCATTTCGGCTGAGTCTTGGTGCGAGTCTTCTCACTGGGCTATGCAAAGTGACGCTGACCGCAGCATTTAATATTTCTCATCGGCCCGTTGTAGAAGGTGGTATCGAAACAGTCCAGACTCCAGTGTCCAAGCACCATGGGAGACACCAAGGGTCACATCCATTGGGCTTTGGGCAGGCGGCAAGTGTTTCGTTCGGCAGACCCCTCCTGGCTGACAAAAAGAATACGCCCAGGACTCTCGTTTACAGCCTCAGGAGGTGATTCGCGTGACCGAGCCTTGGCTGATCTGGCTGGGTTGGGTTCCCAGTTGTTTTGCAGGCTGCACGTAATCGTTCCTCCCCAGTTTCTTAGGCCCAAATGAACCAAGTTGCCATGTGGTATGCAAGGAAGAAGAGACGTCGTTGAATTTCAGTCTCCTTTTTTGTTTCATGCATACCCCGGTTAGGGATGAAGTCACGTTTTCGATCACGGAGACCATTGCAGCCTTCCAGAGCTCAAAGTGCCCACCGACAGGGATATTTCTCACGAAATCTAAGGCAGCAAGACAGTGCATGAAAACGCATAGTGGGTAATCTACAATAAAGAGAAGGCGATGATGTTCTCGCCTATATACCGGCAATCTAGTTCAATCTTATGAACTCGGGGTTCTCAATGTAGATATTGTATACGAAAAGGCGGAATATTGGACTATAATCACCAAAAATAGATACGCTACCAGGCGAGTTGCAAATAGTTAGCAACCTTCCTGTCCAGAGAAGACCGGTGGATTCAATTCTCATCTCGGGCCCAGCCTTATATCGTTCTCAGTAATTGATCTAGAGGTTGTTAAAATTCAGCAAATGAGAGTACTGTGTAATAGCGCCTACAGTTCAGTAATCAATTTTGTTGTTATGGTCTAGCTTTGACGGTTTATATCAAACTCCATCTGGTCTTATATCCAATGGGTTATGGTGAATAAGTCTTTATTTCAGGCAAAACAAGACGTATAATGTTGCCATACTTATCTCATAGTATGTGAAGCAACGACTCCGCGAAGGGTCTCCCATGAGAACGATGTAGGAATAGATAGGAAGAGTGGGTATGAGAGTATTTACCTTTCGAAATTCAGACCTTTTGGTAGCGGCTTCCCTGGTTTGATTGAGGCTAGAAGGGCCGCGTGCTGCGAAATTTGGCAAAGTCGACCCCAATCTTGGGCCAAATCATCCTCGACAACATTGACTGTCATGTTGCAGGCCCAGCTAATAAGTGAACGGATGAAGACCAACTGACGCCCATATCCCTATGACTCTAGCCAGTACAGATTACGTGCGTTCGCCAAAAGATTGAATTTGGAGTTACATCCCAAAAGCTGAACCCAAGTAGGTGCCTTATAGAATACGATCACATGCACATTTGTAGCCTTTACTACTCGACGATGACCACTCGACGAGCAGCAACATCTTTTCCACCACGCATAAGTAGGAGAACAGGATCACTTCGTTGGCTGGTCACTTCTCATCCTGCTGAACAAGCCCCCAGGTTTTAGCAATGAGTTGATATTCGAACCGGTCTATTGGCCCGACGCGCCCATTCCCTGTTTCGTATAGCCGCATCTTTGGGTGCGGAGATCTTCTTCTCCCGCGGGCAGCTGGGGATGAGGTGAAGTCACGCAATTCGCTAATTCGTTTTTCCCTCTACCCTTCGTAGACGCCGAAGCAAGAAGCGGCGCGCCATTGAATCAACAGACGAGGTTCGCTTTTGAAGGCGCAAATTCTAGACCGGCCACCGAGGCTCGATCGCTGGCGGGCGCAGGCGGGCGGACTCGGATTTCGAACTATAGTCCCCTCGTGACAGACAAAGTAAGTTTTCTGACCAACTTCTAGACCCTAGCCCTTCCCCAGAGTATACAAGCCCGTATGGCGTGCCCAGCCACTGCGGCATTTTTGTCTTCTTTTCTTTTGCGCACCATCGTCGTCGATGCCGAGGCGCTCTCCGCTCAGAGCTGACACGAAGTTTGTGGCACAAACATCGTGACTCTGGCCTCAAACGGTCACCGACATGCTTACTATTGATTTTCGCTCCACTCAGAGGTCTAGATTGCCTCGCACGGCGTCGAGCCCCAGGTTCCATCGCAGGAAATATGGAGGCACACGGTCTGACCCAGCGACGGTAAGCCGCTTTGGGATGGCCAAGATCAGCGCAAGTGCTAATTTTGGGTACGTTAATCTCAAAGGGCTAGCCGGATTCAGCTGCAAAGGAGTGCTCAGCCCACATTATTTCGACATACGGTAGCACTGGCCGCCAGATTCTGCAACTCCTCCAGGGGTGCATGGCTTCTGGACCACTCGTTCGTAAGGGTCCTACAGGGATCAGCCGTCACTCAATTACTTGCGCCGCAACGATGCGCTTCCTCAGCATCCTCAGCCTTACGCTATGGATTCGAGACCCCCAAGAAAGCAAAGGATGACAAAACTGGTCATTGCCCGTATGAGCATACTTAAGTGCATGCGTGCCGCGATGGATCTTCTTCGAGACGCTCCCGCTTCGTTTGGGTCGATCCTCTATCACGCTACACAACCAACCGAAAATGGCCCGTCTTAATGCTATAAGCCATGGCTTTGGAGTATTATCATTACTTCTATGCTCTATATCGTCTGCCGTTGGGCTTAGCAGCGGGACGAGCGACCCAATCGACTGGTCACAACAAGGGGAGAACGGCGATGGATTATCCAACCGTGCAGCACCCAACTTCTACGCCAGGATAATGCCCCTAGGCGCATCCATTGTCTGGGGTTATAACACACCCGAGGGAAACTCGTGCGTCAATCCCGCTTGCATGATGTTGCTTTCTTCAATCTAACATGGTTCAGATTTCGAAAGCCTCTTCGGGACGAGCTGGTCAGCAATGGCTGGCGGGTAGACATGGTTGGGTCAAAAGAGCACGGTACTATGGCTGATAACGTAGGAGCAAACTCAGACCTTTCGGGGGAAAAGAATATCACTAACGATGCACTGCAGCATGTTGAAGCCCATTCGGGAGATACCATTGATATGATACACAAAGCATCCTTGAACTCTGTGAAGTATCAGCCGAACCTTATTCTGATCAATGCTGGCAACAACGACTGCAATCAGCATATCAATGTCACCTTTGCTGGTTATCGCATGAACCAGATGCTTGACGAGCTGTATGCAAAGATTCCCGGGGTCACGATTGTCTTGTCGACCCTAGTCTTGTCTACCAACCCAGAGGTTGAGAAGGATCGCCCGTTTGTCAACAATCAATACCGCGACCTGGTCAAAGACCGTCGGGCCAAAAAAGACAAGATCGTCCTTGCTGAGATGGTTGGCACTGGCAGCGACTTTGTAGAAAAGGGTGATCTTACAGACGGAGTGCATCCGAATGACAATGGGCACCGAAAGATGGGCCACATCTTTTATCAAGCCATCGTCAAGGCGCAGTCTGATGGCTTGATCACCGAGGCCAACAAATCCGAGTTCGTGACCGAAATCGATGCCGGCAAAGGGACCAACAAGGGGCCTGACAACAAGGCTCAAACCACCGTGGCCCCAACCACCGTGGCGCCTCCAAGCCCGACATCGACTAAGGCAACGACAAGCAGCACCACGACGACGACCTCAACTTCATCTACCTCGTCCACCACGTCCACCACGTCAACTTCGACGACATCCACAACGTCGACCTCGGCATCTGGATTGAGCAGCTTTGGAGCTATTCTGCACACGAAGGAACCCGCCACGACTCTGGCGGCCGCTACCAACAACGCAGTTGCTTCAGCAGTTTCCACGTCCGGAGTGTCCACCATGACCACGAGCACTACAGCTCAGCAAACGCCATCCACTAGCGCCTCGGTTGTCGCAAGTACCACCTCAGTTTTCCAATCTGCAGGAACCAGGTCGAGCGGCCTGTGTGGTGGTGCCTGGATGCTCTTTATTTCCACGACTTTGTTTTCGTCTGTTTTTGGGGGTTTGTTGATTTGAGATTCATTCATTTGTTGGCAAGATGGGAGAGCATTAGATTGCGAGGGGAGTTTATACCCATTTTGATATTTTAGCATAGCGTGGCATAAGTGGCGTTTTGTTCCTAGAAGCTGGGACCTGATTGGGTACTTCGATGTTGTTCTTGCATGGAGTCGAGACAACAAAAAGAAATAAGAAATTCAGTGAATCCAGTCCATCCACCTATTGTCGAGTGCGCCTTTGATGACTAGTATATCCACTTGTCGGAAACAGAACACCCATTACATGCATCACAGCAACATCGTACCGCATCTAGACTCAGCAACGATCAAAGGAAATGCATCGGGTACATTTACCCTGGCTTCCTGGGTATGAAGTACGCGCTGTCGTATTAAGGCATGAAGTCACTAACCCAGAATCCCAGAATAACGCACCAGGATATATGATGTCCAGCAACTGAATCTGTAACCTGAATAACCACGTCGCTAGTCTTGTCCATGTTCATCGTTGGCTTGGAAACTAAAACAGTGCGTTGGGATCTTTGGTATACTACCTTGACGGTCGAAGACAGTTGCCTGGTATGGTTACATGGCCATTGTCCTGAACATACTTAGGGAGAAGGTTATGTGCCGTGAGAAGCACCTTCGTTTATAAACACAGAAACATCAAGCTCTTTAATATAAAAGGACGGCATCGATGCACTCCTGTTTGAGGTTTTGCGCCATCGTCCAACTGGCCTTCACTTGGATACTTACCATAACGCTAACTTCAGTACCACCAGGACCAGAAACATGCAGCCGCAACACCAGAAAGCTACCCTCAACATGGCGGTCACAGAAGATCCTGCGTCTTCAGGCAAGAACCAGAAAGGCGAAGGCTATCCCAAGGCTTGCAACTGTAGCTGTGGCTGTACGTCGGGAGCCGAGGTCTCCTCCGGCAAATGTAAGTATTGCAAAGATGGGAAGTGCAAGAAGGATTAGAGGATCGGGCTTTGTCCCCAGTGCTTGTGGGTGAGGAGCACAGCTGACACGCAGCAGACAAAAAGGAGAAAGAAAGAAAGACAAAAATAGGGGGGAAAAAAGGAAGAAAAAGCAGGGTGGTAGTGACGAGAGGCTAACATGGGCTAACGTCGCCATTGTAGCTTGTAGGTAAGAATGAATAACATTGGAGAACTGATTTCAATTATATTTCGGTGTCATGTGTCTCGTATGTACGCGATTGTACTATAGTCTATGCTCGTGTGGCCATTCCTCTTCCCAAACCCATCTAGCAGAAGGTGTAACGGAATGACTGCATTCCAAATCAATCGTCATATGTCCCAGTCTATTATGACGTATCCAGAACCCTGCACGAGCGTCGTCTATGGGGAAAAGCATAACGCCAAAATATGCCCATGCAGTGCAAACAAGAATGGTATCGCGCACAATCTCTTACAGCGCCAAAGCCGCCAGGATGGCCGCGCCTCCCATCATACCAATGCCGGCTGCGGGCGTCGCAGCGACGTTCGGGGTGCTCGTTGTTGTTCCGGTGGCTTGGGCGGCAGCTGCGGTTCCGAGGGCGGACGTGACGATGGCTGATGCGGAGGCGACGTCCGCGGAGGATGGGTTCTCGGACACTTCGGTGCAGATCTGGCCGGCCAGGCTGTTCAAGGCTGGAAATAGCAAGCTCCGTTAGCAGTGTGCTTCTTCTCACCGGCAGCTCCGGGTGTGGGAGCAGGGGTTCAACTCACTGCCCAGGTCATTGGAGTCGCATGAGCTGGTGATGATGCAGCCGGTGATGCTGCTGATGAACTTGGAGCGGCCGTCGCCGCAGAGACAGTCGAAATCGGTGGCGGCGCAACCGGCCGACTTGGCCGAGCTGAGGAAACAGCTGTTGGCGCATTCGGGGAGCTGCGAGACAAGACCAGTCAAGGTCGAGTTGGACTGCGCAGCGGCAGCTGCTGCGAACAGCGAGATGGCGACCGATCTGAACTGCATGGTGGTCTATGGGGGAGTGGTGTGATTTCCAGATGCTCTGGGGTTGATCAAAGCTTTTAACAAGAGCGGCTTTGTCCAGTCGACGGGTGGATGCACGTAAGCTCGACGAAACGACGGTGCGGGCGGTTTGAGATGGGGAGAGCGAAGGATCAGATGGAACAAATCTTATTAAAAGGGCGAACAAGACTTTGATGGTTTATTCAATTGCCTAGAAAGGAGAGAGTCGATACTGAGATACACCGAGCAATGATGGCAGTGTTCTGGCAGTCATCCGGTTTTATTCTGGAGACTCGGATCGCCTTGCTCACTGTGGCACCCAACCAACCAACCTGCCAACCTGCCAACCAGCCCACGTTTGCTGACCTTGTTTGCCCTCCGTCTGGCAAAGTCTGGGTGGTCTGGGTGGTCTGGGGCCGCGCAACGCGGGATGCTGGGCACGCTGGGCATTGCACGCAAGGCACGGCTGATACAGATCCCACACCCCGTACAGACTTCCGGGTCCTGCGGGATCTACGTCGCTGAAGAGATGGGACAAGGCGGCAAGCAGACGAGCCTCATCTCAGTGGTGCGTGGCCGACAAAAGAGTGGAATCCGACCTCGTATTTGAAACACACAGCCACCACGAACAGTTTTAGGGTGATGTCATCCGATTCATAACGATTATCTCAGCCCCGGCTAACCTGATAATCCGAGCCGCCAAGTGCCCTCTGCCCTAGGCCTAACAACTGGAGCCCGTGGGCCAAAGCTTCATTCACCCTTAACGCCGAAGCCATCGCGGCTACATCTATGGACCAATGCATAGGTTTCCAACACCCCCCGGGTCCTTGCATGGACCATCACTATGGCACAGCTCTGTGATTGAACATTCCACGACACGCCCCCGTCTGCGCAGCTATTCGTATAATCTACTGCTCTTCATGGCTTCCCAGGCTCCTGTTTGAAATGTGTTTGCCCTCCTGTCCCATACTCTTGGTTGAACGGCTTCTGCGCATAGATAACACAGCTAGAATCGAGCATTAGGTCGGTCTATGAGAAAGCAGACGTCATTACGGCGCACGAGGGGCACTTACGCCGGCATAAACCAATGGTTGCGCAAGTCAAGAAGTTCCTGCTTGACTGCGGCTACAAGCTCGTCGATCTCCTCTGGGGATAATCCTGCAGACCCTATGGTTTTCCGGTAAGGCTCCAGTGCAGATAGCATGGAGCTCCCCAGGAAGTAGCCCATCTTCTTTGACTTCCTGTCTTTGGCCCAGGGGCTGGTGGGGACCGGTGTTTCCTTTTCCCCAATGTTGACGAACCCGACCTGTTTGAGGTAATCTCTGTGGCTTCGTATCTTGGTCATGTCACGTCCCTGATTGAGAGATCCTACTTTGATCAGGGCCAGCCAACGTTCGAACGCCGAGCCTCGAGAGGTATTGTTAAGAGAGTACAGCTCCCACGCCCCGTCCTGGAGTTCAATCCACCCCCCTGGAGCCAGATGGTTGTACGCTTTCTGAAACACTGTCCGGATGTCGGTGAAGCAAGGCCCTACGCTCCTGAGATGGATGTAATCGAACGGAGATGAGTACACCCAGTCTTGAGTTTCGGAATTCTCCAAGAAGAAATGGCAGTTGCTGGTTCTTGGCGCCGCTTGAATGAGGCTCAGATCTGTGCCGATAACTCGTGCAGAGGGCCAAAGTTCAGCCGCATCGATTGCCCAGATGCCAGTTCCTGTGCCTAAAATGCTTCAGTTAATTGTGTATAGAGCGGCGCGAGCCTTAGAATGTTGGTGGCCCGTTTGGCTTTGTCAAATGAAATACCTATATCGAGAATATGTTTTGGGGATCGTATGGGAGCACTCGCGAGTTTTCCATCGAGGATAATATTGTACAGTGCGTGTTGGAAATCTTGGCGGTCTTGCTCCTCGCCGTCGTTGGGGAGAGAGTATTCTAAATTGTTTAGACCTCGTGATAATGTAACGGCAGCGGACACATTACCTCCAGGCATGAAACCCTGATACGTCCTCCCATTCTCGTCGACAGTCGAGTACATATCTGGTATGGTCCAGCCTCTTTCTCTTTCCCCGAACGGCGCGACGTATGGCTTTGGGTCGGCTTCCAAGTTGGAAGCGTCCGTGAGCGAAGCCGATGCCTGCGAAAGAACCTCATACTGTGATGGGAAATTGGCTGGCGCCGTTGGGATATGTGTGCCACTCCAATTGGTATCTCCCGTTCGTGAAGTACCCCCCTGCGGAGTCTGGCTCGCATGCGGTCGGTCAGGCATGATTTTGGCCTCAGAAACAGGAGTTAAAAGATTGGCTTGCGTGAAAATTCGCAGTACGCAGAATTCTGCTTGTCGATTGAATTCGCAACGAGATCGGCCCATCACCAGCAACGAGTAGATACAACGCAAAGCATCCAGCATAAGGAGATAACATGCAGGCGGCTGTATTTGATAGTACTTGCGTCGGACCGCATTTCCACATCGCCATTGGCGGATTGCGATCCGGTTGGCTGGCGCCGCCATCAATGCAGTGTGATACGGGGTTTGCCGTGTAATTCGACCGAGGGGTACCTAGTCTATGGTGGAGGCAGCTTCAAGGTATCCTTGTCAAGTCCCAGGTAACAAGTTGCCAAGCTCTACTCTTCAACTGGATGGCTCTTCAACAGCATGTCAAGACCCACCTTAACCTTCAGTAGCCCAATAAATGGATTGGGTTGCCAGCTTTGTGAAATCATCTGCACACTCTTAAGCAACCGAGGCTCTCCTTCTCTCCAGAGCACGCGCCTGTCGTTTCCACTTGCAGTCACCAGCAAACATGGGCGGGGTTCCATCGAAACCAGACTACTCAAGGCGGTTGGAGGTGATTGGTGCTGGATATTCCAGAACTGGTACAGTTTCCTTGCAGATGGCTCTTGAGAAGCTGTTGAATGGCCCGGTCATGCACGGCGGCACGCATCTGCTGTACAGAGAAGAAGGTATATCCCCCTCGGTGTTCTAGAGGTGTTCGTCGTTGATATGGAGCAGCTTTCGCCAAGAACTGGGTCGAAATTTGCCAAGGTCGATTGGACGGCGACAAGGAGCGCACGTTGAAGCTTCTGAGGGAAAATATGAAAGGTTTCGTTGGGTGCACAGACGTTCCACCTGTCGTGGTAATCCCTGAATTACTAGAATTATATCCTGAGGCCAAGGTCATACTGGTGACGCGAGATCCTGTCAAATGGTGGAAGAGCTTCGGAAACATCCTTGCGCATGCAGACAAGTGGTTCCTCTTCTACCTGACTGCCATCTCACCGACATTGAGGTGGTGGCCACCGTATGTGAGGGTATGGAAGCGGAATGCGGATAGACTCCTCGGCACTGAACAAACAGCACCCGGAACTTACGGTCCACGTAAGTCATAGCCCTTCTTGCACCTAACCTTCACTGACACGTGATTTAGAGCTCATTGAGGCCCATAACAAGATGGTAATTGACCTTGTTCCAAAAGAGAAGTTGCTCATCATGCGGCTCGAGGATGGCTGGGAGCCCATTTGCAAATTCCTGAACAAACCCATCCCCGATGAGCCCTTCCCAAGGGTCAACGACGCCGCAAACGCGGATAAAGTTGCCGCAATGGTGTCCTTGAAGCTGCTGGGAATGTGGCTTGGTCTATTATCTGCGACTGGAGGAGCAATTTGTATGGGATTTCAGGTTTGCAAGAAGTGGTTATGATTCCTCATATAACGGCCAGTGCACTATGGAACAGCTACGGCTTCAGCAAGGAGTATCTGAAGGACAGTCACAAGTAGTAAGAAGCTGGTTAAGTCATTCAATAATCTAATCCTATAGAGTAGCTTGGTATAAATTGCCTCCATGTATGAGCGTCTCCGTTTCGCAATCTTTTTGTATTCCAAGCTCAAGTACGTCCCGGGCTTTGTTCAAATTTAAACGAACATCTTACAGGTAATCGTGATGGTAGCTATATATATTAAAAGTCCTAGGTTCAAGATAAGTTAGCACTAGACTTGGTTATATGCTCTAAGTGCTGCGTCAGTGACTAGGAGCTATACCATGAACTGAATGTCATAGCACTGTGCTCGTTTGTCGCCACTCCCAGAACCTATTCTCAAGAATCTTTTGGTTGCTATGAACTTTATATGCCCTGGTATATGCGACGCGGATCTATAGAAACCAAAAAATTCTCCGCAGTTCACAATATGACGGACGGAGCTATACACTGCTTACATAGCTTCTAAATGAAATTCTTCCTTCTTTTGGTTGTCTAGCATCTGGCAACCCGAGTACCGTAGGTATTCGGTTTTGGAACCCCTCAAAACCCTGGAACAGTCAGGGCTCCTAACGAGGCGGGGTCCAGTCAAATGAGCACAATGATTGGTGAAACCTAAGGTCGTCTCATGGTGCATAAAGTGGAGCCCTCGGCTTACTGTGCAGAGTCCAGGTGAGGCTGTACAGCGACTACGCCGCCAGTGGGTCGCTGCAGCTGCCCAGGTGACAAGTAACATTTGTTTCCTCAACTCCGAAAGTCCCAGGGGCTCGGTGTTTATTCGAGCCGGGACCCCAAGGCTGCCCTGGCTGCCTATCGTCAGCATAAAACATGCCTGGGTAGATTGCCGCGCTGACACAACCAGGGCTTTCATTGCCAAACCACAGCATCACAATACCAAGCCGGCATTACAAGGGGTTTGGTGAAAGTTTTGCGGGACTCACGCGTGATTTGTCTTGGTTTTCGTCTTGGCTGACCGATAGTTCCCTGTACCCCGATCCAACGCCAGTAGGAGAGCGATGTATCGTGGGCCCTGGAAGGCTTAGGGAAATATAAGGTCACAATACATCCGCAACGGAACAGCCCAATGTACCTAAGTCGTATCGATACAACGAGTTTCACGGCCAATGGATTCCGTTTCTGTCAAAAGTGAAGCGCCGGCGACTGGAGAAAAGCGACAGTGCTGGGCATGCCTCAGGAGGCACGTCGTATGCGATGGAGCATCCCCAGTCTGTAACAAATGCAAAGCTACTGGTGTTGTGTGCCCCGGGTATGATGACAACAAGCCGTTGAGATGGTTGGCGCCAAACAAGGTCAGAGCTCGCACACAGCGTTCGAATCCAACTCCGAAAAAGAGAGCGCGTGAGCCCAAGAGCTCGTTGCGGACGGAGGGAGATACAACAATGATAAGGTTCATCCCTAACCGAGTTCTGAAGTCTGACGCGTCAGATGTGGTACAAGCCATACATTACTGTAAGTTATATACGCTCTCACCTATGTTAAACTAGAGACTAACCACTGCGGGAAGACAATTCTTGGATCTGCCCTGCTTATAAGTCGATTGACGCATTAGCACCTCATTGGATCACCACTTTGCCATTGGACGCTCTACATCATGTAGGGCAGGCACTTCGGCACAGCCTGACCGCAGGTAGTCTAGAGTACCACTTGAATCAATTGGCAGTACAGGACAGCTTTAGCCGTTGTGACAACTTACAACCTATCAAAACAAAGTCGCTCTATCATCGGGACATCGCCATCGTTGCACTCACCGAAGCTGTTGGCGATGAACAATTAAGGATGACGGATACGACTTTGTCTGCTGTCCTCATATTCTTGCTGCTAGACGTAAGATTAGTCACCAGTCACACCCGTTCTACAATAGCTTCGATTTGGTTGTCATTGCAGAGCAGAAAGGTCTAACTTGCGCGCCAACAACAGATCCGCAACTCCGCCCCCAACTGGCGACAGCATTTCGATGGTCTCACGTTGCTAATCCGCCTCAGAGGTGGGCCGCATGAACTCTTCCAGCAGGTTCCCCGATTAAAGATCGTGCTTATCTATTACTATATGTGAGTTGGCATCCTCTCACATTGCCAGCGCAAGGGCTGCCGTCAAGCTGACCAAGGTAAATTGTGGTAGCATCGGAGTCATTGGAAATACTACTACTCCTGCACATGGCATGGCCTATCCGTTAGCCCATGCCGAGCAAGTCGACATTATAACACAAGTGTACGAACATGGATTGTTCCCAACGCTCATGTGTCCCACGCCTTTGTTCTTTATTCTTATTCGTATCAACTTACTTAGATACCAGTCTAATCAGGCTTGCGAGATGAAAGACACCCATCGGATCCAGGCGAGCCAAGTAATAGCAGAAATCGAGCTTTTCTCTCCGTTGGACTGGTTAGCATCGACACAATCTAGTGAATCCGGCCTGCTGCTTTTCGCAGAGGTCTATCAGTCTGCCACAATGGTGTATTGCATAGCATCTCTACAGAGCGTGGAGATCTTGCCTCGCTCGTCTGCGTTACGCGCTCTACAGGAAAGTCACCAAAAGCGGCTGATGATGCTTCTCAGAAAGGGGCTAGGATCCCCACAATTGGGATATAGTCTGACCAAATGCATGCTGTGGTGCTTGGTTATTGCTGGTGCTGGATCACGGATCGGTAGCGTGGCAGATCGAGTTTTTGTGGAGGAGCAGTTCATGTTGATATGCCAGGATATAGGGACCTCTTTGCCCCTCTTGGCAATATCCATACTAAAGCGCTTTTGGGCGGCGCCAAAGTCTGGTTGGGATGACTGTTTCGACAGGCCATATGCATTCCTTGCTTGAATTCTAAAGAGAACTTGATTCAGCACCAACTTGATGCATTTTACTGGGGGGACGAAGCAAAAGTTCTTTACTGCTCAATGCCACGATCGCCAGTCACCCTTGTTACGATGTGCACAGGATTTCGTCCCGCCATCGCCCGAAATGCTGAAACCATCTTTTCTTCTTAGTCTCTTCTGTTTCTGCAAGGAAGTGGAGCTGTGATTGATCATATCTGCCTATTGGACAAGATTGTACCAACACGTACTCGGCTAGTAAGCTTAGGGCTGCCCGAGTGAACGTTGCAACACATTTCACTTGTGTCTCAATTGTGCAGCATGAGTTTCTCACCCCTCGCTTCATGACTCTCAGCTCGCTCGTTGCACTCAGGTAATTGTGCGTTGGTTCAACGTGCACTGTTCCGAAACGGGTTCCTTGGTTGTCCTTGGGACAGCGGGGTATCCCATCCTTCCCGCCAGCGCTGTCACAGGTTCAGCCAAGCTCGCGCCCCTATGAACGGCTTCACGTTTGACCATGGGTCATATCACCTTGAAAGTGTGCTTCCAGGGGCCGGGTAGCAAGGACGAAATCCTGAGGCTCTTTTGTCGTTCGCGCCGAGCCGCATGCTCTGGCCGGATTTCAGGAACCAGCCAATGGGGGCTCAGGTTTCAGGCTGCTCAACGTTTGATCAACGCCAGGGTGACGTGCATCGGGCAAGCTGTCACCCAGGAATCTGGCACACGATCTGCGTGATGCCCAGGATCGAACCCGACATCCAAGTTAAGCTTGCTGAGCTCTCCCGCAAACTTAAAGCATGTCGTCGCTCCCTCGTCGCCATGTGGGCCTAGTCGACTCCTCTCTGCGAACCTCAGCTTCTCCAAGCATTTCCTGCAAGTTCAGGCAAAGGCTGGAGGCAGCGACCTCTGTTGCCACAGAGGGAAGGCTTCTTCTTGTTAATCAATATGTCGACGCCGACAGGACCCTTTGCGGCTCTCACGACCGTGTTCACGCCGCCGTGTGCTATCACCTGGCTTTTGACTTCGTCCAAGATTCCCTCGCAGTATCCCCCGTTCACGGCTGGTCCAGTATCATGTGACCCGCCGTCCTGGGCGGACAATCTCAGGTTAAAAGGCTTTGGCTTTTACTCGCCTGCAATATGCCCGAGCGGGTTTGCTGTAGGACCAAGTTGCAGTATCACTAAGACGCGTATTGGTGAGGGGTTTCCAGCCATACAAAATGGCGAAACGGCGGTATACTGCGTGCCAAGGTGCGAGATCATTACATACGCTGTCGAGGAGTTTCTCATGAATGTTTAGTGGATATTCATGTACGACTGATACAACTGATTTCCGAGGCGGTGTATGGGGAATGACAACTCAGGCCAACGGGGTGGCTACCAATGGTCCTGCCATCGTGACCGTTGGGCCTGCATTGCAGATCAGGTTTCGCGACGTCGACCTCGACATTCTGGAGACGCATCCATTGACACCAGGCTTGGGTTTAACATCCACCCGCACGTCAGACTTTGATTTGAGCGTATCTCCCACGGGCGGTGCAACAACCATCAGAACAACTTTTGCTTTTTCAACGCCATCTCCAGTCCTTAGCACGACCACGAGCTCAACCACGAATGGTATCGAATTTGGCCTACCCTCAAATGGATTTGTGACGCAAACAACTCCTGATCCAACATCCAGTTCCGCCATATCTTTGGTAACAAGCCCTACCAGCAGGCTTAACACCGTAGCCGCATCCTCAGTATCATCAACTCCAACGGCCAGCAGCGCTCCCGCATCGACGGCTAGCGAGGTCAACAATCCGACCAACCTGGCTGCTGTCATCCTTTCGGCGTCTCTAATTGCCATAGTTCTTACTGTCATATCCGTTATATGTCTGCGTCATTACCGTCGTCGAGGCGGTGCCGGCCGAGGCGGCCTTTTCCTGTCAACCGCTTTTGGTGCTTGGATTCGCAAGAGATTCAATAAAGCTGGGTTTTGTAGAAGCAGAGACGGTAGCTCCACTTCCAATGAAAGGGGATATGTTGCAGAATTAAGCGGACAAGGGGTGGTACAGGAAATCGCGTACGGCCCTGCGGTCGGAAGCAAGGAAAACCCAGCTGAACTGGATAACGTAGACGAGAGCTTGCCTACAAGATGGAGCTGGATGTCGCGTGTGTCTAAGCTTTGGAGCACGCGGTCCAAAAAAGTATCTCGGTCATCTATCGCCGAATCATCTTCGGCTGGCTGGACAAGATCTGCCGCATCGATGCGAACATCATTTTCCGGGCATGACTCTAGTGGGAACTGGGAGGCATTTGCTAAGGAGAAATGGCCTGATGGCCTCACAGTACCCGCCGCATCTCATAACAGACCACTGTCCGATAACCCCAGAACCCCCAAAACCCTCATGAAAGAGAAGTCATCGCACCTCCAGATCGATGTTGAGGCGCTCGCAATGAGTCGAGAAAGTGGTGGGACATTTGGATTGCCGGGCAAGAGTCCGACAAGTGAAAAATCATAGCACCAATAGCAATAAAAGCACACTAAGGACATACAATCAAATGCCAACTCATCTTCAAATAAGTTGGCCAAGTCGAGACGGTGGGGTATTTGGGCTGACAAGCAGTTTGCTGTAGTACGAGGTCATGCTTTATACCCGATTAGGGTACTATAGTCAAACACACTATAAAACGTTATATTAGCCACTGTAGCCGGGACTCCATTTCTCGGTACTTCTGATTTTCACTCGATTGTCCCATCAGATCAAAGCCTCTGGACTCCAGGCTTCCGTGTCATGGAAAAGGAAACCGAACATAAATATTCCGAGATGGTGCGTACCGGAAAGGGACAGCCAAGCCGTGACTATTTACAGCCTCTAAAGTTTGAGAGCTGACTAATTTTCAGTCGCAAACAAACATGTATAGTCTCCAGCATCAAGTTCTACCAGTTGTGGTGATATTGAGTGTTCTCTGGACTCAGTACGCAACAGCGCTACGAATCGCAGGAGCGTTCTCCGTAATCGAGTATAACCCCCTCCTCATTGCCAGCCAAGACTACTACAATGGTACCGCCCAGGTTGTGAACGGCGGTGTCGCCAATCTCTTCGGCAACTCCGACATTGATCTGGCCGGGAATGCTGAGACCCAAGCGCTGCGACAGTATGCAACGCATAAAAACCTTCGTGTCATTTATACCGTTGTCGAGGTCGCATATCGCATAGTGGCAAGCAAGAAGGCTGGCATAAGCTCCCTCGCAGATCTGAAAGGCAAGAAGATTGGCACTGTGCCGAGCACGTCGGCTGCCTACTTCGTGCAGCGATACCTCGCCAGTGCGGGCGGACTGCGCGATTCAGACTATACCACCGTTTCCGGCGGCAACTGCAACACGGCTCCGTGCGGCGCGGGAACGTTGCCTTACATGCTCGTGCACGGGTCCATCGATGCAGTTGGCATGTGGGAGCCGACGCTGGAGCTCGCCATCGAGGGGCTCGGGTCCGATGCGGTGGTGTTCCAGAACAAGTCGGTCTACCGCGAAGTGTACAACCTCTACACGACAACAGACAAGCTCAAGAATGCCAGCACACGCAAGGACATAGTAGCCTACCTGCGAGCGCTTGACCAAACGGCGCAGCTATTCACCAATCATTCTGAAACAGTCATTCCCAGGGTTGCCAAGACGATGAATATGAACGAGGCCGTTCTCAAGGCCGTGTGGCCAGTTCACGATTGGAAGGGGGGCTTGGCACCTGACTTGTTTGACGTGTTGGTACCGGAGGACCAATGGGTAGCGAAAGTTGACCGTCGAAGTGGCATCTCTCAGGCAGACTTGAAAACGATGATTGATTCGAGCGTCCTCGAGGAGGCGAGGGCCAGCCCTAGCACAATGTAACGTTAGATGCTGCAAACAGTCATCAAGCTCAGTCTACTCACAATCAGGCGGTATCCATGACGTGAAATTACAGGGCCAGGTGTTCTTAGTTGACAAGGTTGGGGTATCGCGGGCTGGTGGTATTCGGACGAAACTGTCATGTCCCGGTGTTGGCGCCATTACGATCGCGTCGATGGCGCTGGGTGAGGGCGAGAATGCTTTATGGGGGCCAAGTGACCGCATAAAGCTTGCAGGGCGAACTAGGCAATACATTCTACGTGACGTCTTGCGGTGAGCACCTGGTGATGTACTGCACACGAAAGATGTGAGGCCCAGTCGACGAACGCATACAAGTCGCGCCCCGTTGGAGGCAAATGCCAAGTTTGTCGGCATAGGGACTGAACGAGTTCCCTTCCTTGACGAGGCCCTGGTTAGTCATACGAAAGTTGATCGCCAGTAGAACATCAGCTGGTATCTCTTCTGGTTTAATCACAGGAAAGCCGAGCTTGGAGCATATATCAAGGACATGCTTCCAGTCGTCTAGTTTCGGGTACCGATCCTTATCGTCCACACTGCGGAAGTGTCGAACCCGCTCAATGACCATATAGTTGACCATCCTAGTGGTTTGTTCCCATGAATAGTGCCTGGCAAGATCCAGAAGGATTGCAAGAAATCTGGGGGTATGAAGCGGCTTCCGCACGAACTTGTAGGCTCTAGAGTCCTCGTCGGCGGACCAGTACTTAAGAATCTTTGACCGGATCTCCAGACCTTTCGTTGGGGCTTCTTTTTGAGAGCCAAGAGGAGTCGGCAGCTGCCCAATTACGGGCTCAGGGCTACCGAACAAATCGAAGTCAATTTCTTCCATATCAACGTCAGAATAGACGGAGTCCTCGTCATCGCCAGCATCTGCATCCAATTCACGGCGACCCAACTCAGAGTGCAGTTTCTGTAGGTGACGCGTAAGCTCTTTACAGCGATCCAGAAGTTCTGCCGTAGAGAGTTGAGAGAATGCGTCTGTCGGAATGAAGGTCGAGGCAAGCGATAATTGCTCAAGCCTGCCCTCGCAAATGGCATCAATATATTGGCCCAAGGATTCGCGGTGCCATTTCATAGCGAGGGAAAAGTTGCCGAAGTATTTGTGATAAAGAGCTGAGTTCATGGACTCCCGGCCATATCTCAAGGCAAATAGCTTATTGAACACGTCCTTGTCTTCTTCATCGGTCTTCGCGGTTGTGGTCCACCGCCTTCTCACTCGTATGATGTTGATGTCTCGGCATCCTCCACAGAAGTCCTCCCCGCCGCCGCAGTTGTGGCAGCGAGCGACCGGAAGAATCAACTTCGCCGATTGCGAGAAACTCATGTTTCTCAAGTGAGAACGGCACAGAATTCTGCAAAATGACGGAGCTATTAAGGCGCGCAACGTTCCACATATTGTGAGAAACACATGTGGTCAGGTACTCCGTGCAGCTTCCCTTATTTGCCTGGAGAGTAAACAAGCAACGCCACAGATGTGGCTGTGGCTTATAGCCACCAGCAGATGACCAGACGGTTGGTGAATACAACGAGATGCATGCCACTGTACTACATAGTCAAACCAGAAGTACGGCCGAATTCGCCCATGAATGCGTATGTTCATATTCCTCGTGATTATTCATTGAATACCTGGCGCCTTACCGGCCAAGATTTCCTACGACGCTACCAACCATAACAGCTACCTCGCGGTCCCAGCTGCTTTTCTCCGATTCGGGTCTTAGACCTTTGCCCTTCGCTACCGCGACAGTACTCGGCGGTTGGCTTCCCTTTATAACGCATTCCCTAATGGCGTCGCCCACAGAGCTACGATTCGTCTTGAGCGTACGAGCAGACACTCCTCCGCGATTAACAATCTCCACAACCCGAGTGGAGAGGCTGCTTGCCATGGAACGCCAGAAATATGACGGCAAGGAGCCGGTTTCCAGGTAGGCAAGTAGGGGTTGAAGCAAGTTGGACTTCTCAGCACCGTGCTTCACATGAGAGTAGAGTGGATGAGCTGGTGCTTTGGTGGAGTCGAGGATGATCTCCAGCGCAACGAGGTTCTGACAGCGCGCAGCAACCTCGGCTAGCGTGCGGTCCAGCGAAGGCAGTGTTCCCAGGGACCTAGCCAGCGAAGTTATGGAGCTTTGTAACGCATTGCGCAAGTATGTCTCCAGTGCTTGGAGGAGGAGTTGCGGCGTCCATTTGTCCGCCTTAACTCCCGAAGTTGGTGAGATTAGATAGAGCGTGAACATGGCCGAGACGGTCCGGGCTTTGATCTCCTCGCTCTGAGCAAATGTAGCCGTGCCGGTCGCCGAGCCAATGGCGAACTCTCGTATTATCTGCTCGGCGGTGCTCCTAACTGAACGCTCGATGGGGGCAATCACGCTGTCCTGCAAGCTCTTGATGGCGTTCACTCTGTCGAGGCCGTGTCCCTCTTCGCCAGGCTCTTTGTGATCTAGGATCTCGCGCAAGGACAGTATCGTATGAGCACATCTCACCAACGCCCTATGGTCCTCTTTGCGGCCTGCGGCGGCCGGGCCGGAGCTCGAGATCTCGGAGTGCTGAACTTCTAACTGTCTGCCCAGCTGCAGACTGCGGCCGACGGCCCTCCCGAGCTTCAGGGTCTCCCACAGGCGAGAAGCAACCTGCCGCACCTCATCAGCCTCGGCGTGTTTCTGTATGACCTCCTTCTCCAGCTGCTTGTAGCTCTCGTTCAGGCTCTTGACTTGGCCATCGATCTCGGATATAATCCGTGTGCTTGCGTCGGTCTGCTCCTTGGTATGGGTGAGAAGGGGCACCGAAGACCTTGTGGTGAGCAGATCAATATGTGAGTCGATCTCCTGCGCGTCGAACAGCACCTTGGACAGCGGTGTCGACAGGTCTAGCGGGGTGTCATTGGGATTGTTCGTAGAGAGGACGAGGGTGTTTGCGAAGGCTGACGGCGTGAAGCCTGGGTCCAGAAAGGTCTCGTAGTCGATATACGACGGTTCCTCCTCTGCTGCGGCGGCCATATCCTGTTGCTGTGGGCAATTGGCGTTGCGTGACGGAGTGGTCAATAAGAGAAAGATCGGAATAGGTACCGTCCCTGTTGAGCGAGGGGCCAGATAGCAAAGCTCACACTTGTCTTAGCTGCCCTGTCGCAGCCGTTCGCATCCCGAATCTGCCCCGCGCCAGCTGCGACGTAGGTTTGCCTGGCTTAGGTACGTTCCAGGGCTTGTACGGGTCCACGGGTAGCTCTGGGGGTTTCCACCTAACGCCCAGAACGCCTCAGGCTAAGGCGCCCACCCCTACCTAGGTAGGGACTCCCAGGGGACTAGTGCTAGCTCAGCTCCAGTTCTCAACCAGCACCACAATTGCAAGCATCGATCATGGGAACCCCCTAGCTTAAGCTTGCTTAGTACTACAGTTACATACACATACGATTACACTATTTCCATTTGTCGATGTCTCTCTCACGAGTGATCTCGCACGCGTTTCCTAGTCCATCCACCTCCTGGGCGTCCCTGGCCCACCATCTTTGGCTTCCCCATGGCGTCAAAGGTCCAATGCTGACCCGGTTTAGTCAGGATGTAGATGTTATGGCTGCCCTCCCTTGGAAACCCGCCTCTCTCCTCCCAGTGTTCCTCCATCTGCTCGCGCTTTGCGCTCTTCTTTTTGCCCTGCTTGATGCGCAACTTCTCAAAGTACACATAAGCGGCGTAGAACACCGGGTTATGCCCGCCCGCTCTTGGGCCTTTCATCTTCTGGAATCTGCCGACGTGGGTTGCGTTGATGCGAGTGTGTGGCATCATCTGGGACAGCTCCCGCGCAAAGGCTGCCTGCGTCGAGTCTTTAACATGACCCGTGATTTTCCGACGTACGTCGTCACATGTATCATAGATCTTGACGTTTTCATCTATCTCCCCATCGAGATGAATGCTAGTCAACTCGGCTGCTGGAGGCTCCTTGGGTGACTGCTTCGACTTGGGCCCACCTTTGGGGCTAGGCTCCTGGTCTACATTGCGTTCACTGTCAGACACCGAAGCGAAGGTCATCTTGGTGTGATGATGTACTCGCCTGCAGACTGGTTGCGTTTCTTCGAAGCATTTACGTTGCCGTCGCGCTCCTGAAGTGGCTTACCCCTGGGCACCAATATCGTGGTAGGCATGATGATTATTGATGTGATCAAGACGAGGGATCATAGAACTGCGCTGATTAATTCATTGTAGCATTGACTGGAGCTTTTACAGAAGACAGGAACTTTGTGCAATTCAATCCCCTTGGATACGTTTTACTTATATCTACACAGTGGCTGAGGGCGCGTTGATCGCTGGGAGGAAGTTCACTATGACGTCGCAAAGTAAACATCACTAACACGCGACATAACCTGACCAGATCGAGATCGCAACTCTGTGCAAAACCCCTGATCCCATCAATGTCTCACAAATTAAGTCAACTTGACAACACAGGTCTCTGGGGTGACTTATTGGAGTTGCAATGATCCTTTCGGAACTTTAGGCACTCAACGGAGCACTGCAGAGCCGACCTGAGGCGTAAGCGAGACCAAGGAGTCTCCCGCTGCACCTAGCTACGCGAGTGTATGTTGCCGCTGGCGTCATGAAACAAGCAGAACCGGACGTTGTACATTTCGATGATTTGTGTAGAACTTCGGGGCTTGCTTGGCTTGATGCGGCGAAGACGACCCCCAAGTTACACATTTGCTATGTCAAACGTTGTATCTGCCCCCAATGCTGCCGTACCTGATAGGCCCTGACGTTTCTGCAATTGAATCCTACTAAACCGGTATCATCGCGTACCACCCATCCAACACTTACATCTACCCGGAGGTTTCAGACACAGATAGCCCATCAGACCACAGTGTGCGATACTTTAGTCTCAACAATATCTTTCTCGACACCCCGTTCCGTCAGGGATTCTCGCGTAGTCTGTCGTCCAGTGGAGTCGTGCGTAGCGTCCCATTCGGCCAACTCGTCGACAGGAACCTTCACGAGATTGTGCGTCTGAGCGCCGTCATCGAGAGAGATAAGTTCCTGCCGCAGCCGGTACCCTCGCCAATGTGGAATTACCTTTACCCACACAAAGTAGTAAACTCCACAAGCAAGGAGAATTCCTATCCCAGTCACGACGTACGTTCCATACCAGAATGAAACGTCGCCCTTGCCGCCAGCGGGCGGGTACCAAGGCATGACGACCAGGTACAGCTGCACGAGGATGTTGAACATAACAACAGGGAGCCAAGCCTTAAACTGTGGCTTGGGCAAATTTGCCTTCTTGCGCTTCCAGCGCACAATCAGTAGTCCAATAGCCATCATCAGGTTGAAGGCAGCGTTTGGCAATACGGCAAGATCGCTCACTATAGTGTAGTGTAAGTATTATCACCTCCCTCATCTGTAGAGGACAAGAGGCTTCAACCCACCGAAGTTGAACGCATCACCAGTAGGTATTGCCAAAATGACGATCATGGTCAGTCCCCAGTCCAAGAGATAGGGGGCGAACGGCGTGCCAAACGGCCGGGTCGAGGCCCAAAGTTTGGGCCACGGCAATACGCCTTGCCTGTTGTTTACTGTTAGCCGAAGTGCGCTATAAACGTCGAACTCTCCTGAGACAGTTGGTGATTACTTACCTGCCGCATTCACGTAGCATACGAGCAGCCCCCAGCATCACGGCGATCAGGTTTCCAAAAGAACTCAACGCAATCAGAAAATTCAGGCCCCGGACCGCGTTGCTGGAGCCGAAGACTGCGGTGAAGAACAAGCTTGCTGCGATTGTCCCTGAGTTCTCCAAATTCTCTTTTCCAACTATCATCGTGCGACTAGATTAGCTTATTGCCAGATATTGCGAGAGGGTAATTCATCCCAACGATATGAGCGCCCTTACCTGAAGCAACGTATGCCACGTTGGCTAGTACGTATAGTATGGTAACTACAACAATTGCAAGGGTACCATTTCGCTTGATGCTTTTTACAGGATTCTGCGAAGGAAAGTTGGATTAGCCACCTCTTATTCCCCATTAGAGGCTCTACGCACCTTGATCTCGTTGACCACATTGAAGGCGTTGTTGTATCCACCGTATGAGAATATGATTCTGTAGAGTGCGTTTGTCAAACCATAAGGGGTCGGAGCTCCCACAAAAGCGTTCTTGAAGTTGTCTGTAGGATTGTGCACTGTGGTGTGGCCGCCAAGAACGACTAATCCGGTGATGGCCACGAAGATAAGAGTCACAAGTTTGACTACTCCTATAGTATTGGATAATAGGTACGAAGCCCGAGTGTGGAATACCACAGCTTGAAAAGTCAGTTTCGCCGCTTGCACATGTCGTGAAAGAGACCTACCCAAGAAGGCAACAGTGTAGCCGGCCAGAGCGACGCCTTTGATTTGCCAATCTGTTCCGGCAGTGCCACTAATGGCAAAAAGATAATTGGCAAGGACTGCAAAAAGGTTAGATTCATGATCTTGCTGTAGATCGTTGCGGAGAGTTGGTATACCGATCGCATTGCTGCTTCGAAAGGACAGTATGACTCTCTGAATAGCGAATGTAGTGGGAAAGAAGAACCGTGGCTTTGGATAAGCTTGCTCAAGGTATACAACTTCCGATCCGGATCTGCTTGGAAAGTATGATGTGTACTCCAGATATACTGCCGCACTAGCCAGAGATATGATGCCTCCAAGAACCCAAAATATCATGCTGAGCCCAACGGAGCCCGTGCCTTTCAGGATCGCCGATGCTTCATACATGTCAGCCTCGTGTATGTTAATAGACTCCGCCTTAACTATGCGAACGTACGAGTCGAGTAGACGCCAGTACCAATCATCATGCTAATGTTCAAAAACAAGATGGTAATTGGGCCGACATCATACCCCAGAGGCGAAATGCTCTCTACTGGAGCACCACCAGCCTCTTGGTAAGTAGGAGGCGCATCGTTGCCGCCAGCCTCTCCAACAAATTTGACGTCCCCTGTGGACTGCCCACTGCTTTCTGGACCCGAACTGTTTTCGGATTGCTCCGCTGAGCGGCGACTAAATGGACGTCGCCACGAAGACATTTGGCGAATTAATGTGGGAGGTTTGCGATTCTTCTCAGCTCGTTTGATTAATTCGAGGTTCACAACATGTGCCCATTAACAGAGCAAATGAGCTCAGTGCTGGTCCCTCTCAATGAAGCGCTGTGGCATAAACAGCCTCAAATTGGCGTTGAAGGATTCATATAGACAAAAGTGAAATCACAGTCGTAATCTCTAGGTCGGGGAAGAACGCCCGTATAAAACCCAGCGAAGAGCACAACCAAACAGCCAAATGTCACGCAATATCTGCAGAGTTACCAATGCTACCAGGGGTGGGGATCCAGCATAGCTCAGCTAGAGAATTACGACTCGTGTCTTGTCGAGAAGCCACGCAATGAGGAACTCGTATGGGCAGAGGAGCACCGACATCCTGCTTGGGCACGGGGACCGGCAAGACCGACTCCGCTAGAGGAATTATTGCATATATCCCTCTCTGCATGGCCGTAGATAGGGGTATTTATGTAGCTTGTACGAAATTGTTCCCGGAAACCCATGCATTTGGCCTCTGCATGATATACCGGCTTTAGCTCTTGGCTCTTGGCCATATAACGTTGCAATCAGAGCTCCAAGATATGCCATCTTCGTGTAGCGGGACTAACCGAGATGACGGGACGTGGCCCCATAATGGTGACATGGGGGTACACGTCGAATACTTGAACAATCTCAGTGAAAAGCAAAGCCCAGCTCTGGTAGCGCTCACTTCCTAAGACAATACTCACCATGAGAGCCTCTTGTTATTTCCAACATGCACGCATTCCTCTTGAGGAGTATATTCATGGATGGTTGAAGAATGTGATATCCTCCTAGGTTAGTTAGACTCTTATCGTGGTAAATGCTTTCCCGGTATTCACTGTCATCTCTCATACACGGTTTTGCAACAACCAGTGTGGAGACCCCTGAAGTTAAGCTTTGATACTTGGCTGGTCATGCTACTACAATCCTTCACCACGAGGGAAGTTCTTTAATCCCTGTATTGGAGTTGGAATCGAAGTCGACATCCTATGGGCGAGGGAATATTTCTGTTTCAGCATCCCACTGTGGCGACTACCAATCTCTTGTGATTCCAAGGCTTTCTTTGTCACAGCTCACGTATGTCTCGGTCCAATGGCATCTACACATCTCACCCCAGTCTTGAGGTCTTTCATAGTGCAGATTTTGCGGTAGTCAGCCGTTAGACTAAACAGTCTTGCAGCTTTAACAATGCGCGCCGCCAAGAGGGCGGACGTGGGGGGTGCGGCATGGTTCAGCGACGGCTGTAAAATGTCGCCGTAACGCATGTAGTTCTATGCTGCGACGCTACTAGACCTCGGCCCTTTAATCCTGGTTGTCGGTAGTAGTTGGGGGAGCGGTCGATGATAGTAGATGTTTATGTGGGACCTGATTGGCCAATTGGGCTTGACGTGATATTGCACCATACAACCTCAATGCATTTGTCGTCATCTTCCCCTAGACTGATGAGTCGACAGATCCAGATGAGAAAAATGTTTGGCTACAATAATTGAAGATACGGGAATCTTACGAAACTCTTAGTTGATCAAATAGCGAGCCATGGCTCATTAAGCATCCAGTCCCATCCTTATTCGGTGTCTAGGGTTGACGTGATATTGTGCAGCACAGCCACATTCTATCAAGTATTGAAAGTTCCGGGTGGTGTAGAATGTCCATGGGGAAAGTACCTGCAACGCGGCTCGGTCCAAGCTCTCGGGACCAATGTGCCCTACGTAAGACAACGTCCCGCAGGGGGTGATATATCTACGCCAAGCGGCCCACTGAGAATACTTGGCTTCTTTAGGTTACTTGGCTAGCTCACTAGATTCGAGTTTTGCTTGTAGTATCTGTAATACACTGTATTTTGTGCTTGAGTATGTCGAGACCGCTAGATGATCTCTCCTCCGACGAGAAGAATGGCATTTCGTCACAGTCGGTGCGCGCAGACAATACGGGTACATTCGCAGATGGTGGTCACAACAAGTTCTACGCACCGATTGGAAAATATGAGGGCGCCCACAGATACGATCCCAACGTTCAATGGTCGGATTTAGAAGAGAAGCAGCTCATCAGAAAGGTATGAAGACGGCATCTCGAAAGTGGATTATGCTGACTCGCCCCAGCTTGACTTCAAGATCTGTTCATGGGCGTGCTTGATGTTCTTCGCGCTTCAGCTCGACAGAGGCAACATCCAACAGGCACTATCCGACAACATGCTCAACGATCTAGGTTTAACCACCAACCAGTATAACTATGGCCAAACCATCTTCTATCTCAGCTTGTGAGTTCCGTCGACTCCTTGCGGCGAATGTACTCGGATTACTAACCGGAAACTACCGTAGTCTATGCGCTGAGCTGCCCTCGCAGATGATAAGCAAGAAACTTGGGCCCGATGTCTGGATCCCGATCCAGATGGTATCCTGGAGCATTGTCGCGTGCTCTCAAAGCCGTATAACCGGCGAGTCGTCTTTCTACGCAACCCGTGCTCTCATGGGTCTCATTGAGGGTGGCTTTATTCCGGATGTCGTGCTTTACCTCTCATACTTTTACAAGGGCAAAGAGCTTCCCGTCCGCCTGGCTTTCTTCTGGTCTTCCTACATCATGACCTACGTCATCTCGGCATTCTTGGCCTACGGGATACTCCACCTCCGTGGTGTGACGGGATGGGCAGGATGGCGGTGGCTCTTTGCTCTGGAAGGTGGACTGACGGCGATCATTGGCTTGCTCTCTTGGTTCTACTTACCGCCGTCGCCGACGCAAACTGCTAGCTGGTTCCGAGGCAAAGACGGATGGTTTTCGGAACGCGAGGAAAAGATCATGGTGAATCGAATACTTCGCGACGACCCTGGAAAGGCAAGGCGGTCCTGCTAATCATCAAATTTGACATCTGTTAACAAAAAGGCAGGGTGACATGCATAATCGCCAAGGTCTTACGCCTAAGCTGCTGTGGCAAGCAATGAAAGACTACGACCTGTGGCCCGTTTACTTCTACGGGCTTACGTGGTCGATCCCGTCCACCCCAATCACAGCATATCTCACACTCAACCTGAAGAACCTGGGTTTCGATACTTTCCAGACCAACCTACTAACCATCCCTGCTTACGTGCTGTTTCTGTTGCAGCTCCTCTTTTGGACTTGGTACTCGGAGAGGATCAACAATAGATTCTTGATAGTTCTCGTCACCCAGATCTGGGTGCTCCCGCTGGTCATTGCCTTGGAAGTTCTGCCGTCCAACGCCAGCCCGTGGGCGTGGTACGCGCTGAGCGCCTTGTTGATCGGCAACCCTTATACGCATGCAATTGTGGGTGCCCTGAAAATTCAATGGGATTTTCATTCTACTAATTCTTTGTAGCTTGGTACGATGGTAGTTTAAGCTTCTGACACCTGATGTCTGTACTGACTTGCCCAAGTGGCTATCACTTCCAGGAATGCGGGCACGGTACGCACACGCACCGTCGGCAGCGCTTTCTACAATATGTGCGTCCAAGCAAGTAACATCATCTCGTCGAATGTGAGTAACCTAAGTGCTTGGAATAGAGGTGCTACGAATGTAGCTGATGTCTCGGCCTCAGATTTACCGGACGGAGGACTCACCCTACTACCGAACCGGCAACAAGGTTCTTCTTGCAATTATTGCGTACAACATCGTCTACGTGTTCTGCATGAAGGGCTTTTACATGTGGAGAAATAAGCAGAAGGAGGCGAAATGGAGCACCCTGACGACCGAGGAGAAAGACGAGTACTTGAAAACTACCACGGACCAAGGGAGCAAGAGGCTTGATTTCAGATTTGCTCATTAGGTGGCGAAATATTTCCCCGTCGAAAGCCACGGGGAACAAGTGTGATTCCGGTACGTACGGTTAGTAAAGAAGATAGTGCGCATAAGCGTGACAGATGGTTAACTTGGTTAGGGTATTTGGCCGCTGCATGCCTCACGAATCCCGCCATACTTGGGTTTTCTCACTGGCATCTGACACTGATTGACTACCGAACTGTGATTGCTACCTTGATCACGACCTCCTGATCGAGCATTCCGAGCTCCAGCTCAACCTTTGCCTTGTATCGGTCAACACCTATCTCAACTGGACTCTCCACTTTGGCACTTCCCCAGAGCCCCTCCAGTCCATTTATTCGCTCTGCAGAGTGCATTCCGTACAGCCATGATGCGTCTTGGACACAGTTCGCATCGAACGTTTTCATCTTGCGGTTCCAGCGCAACAATACGGCCAAGACCCCAAACTTGTCGTCATCCCGCAACCTGTAAGACATGACCGCCATTTTACTCCACTCAGTCGGCATGATGCGAATGACCTTCAGCTCTGAATGCCATGAATCATTAGGCCACACGTCCTCCAGAACTATTCCGGGTACCTGGATGAACTCAGTGACGACAAACCCAAACACACGAGGAGTGGAGTGCCCGGGAGGAAGTCGGATGGACTGGCGGACATAAAGATCGGTTGGTGTAATGGATCCTGGATCCTCGACTTGGTTTGGATCGTATCCCAGATAGGCACCAATAGTTCCGTGGTCCTGCCTGGGCTTTGCGACAACCGGATCTTCCGGATCTTCAATGCCCAAGGCTTTGCGGATGGAGAACTTCGCACGCGTACGGGAGGTGGGCTCGCGGCCCAACGACGTGTTCATAGGAACATAACCGCTACTGTGGTAATGATTCTCCTGCGTTCCGAATACCCCATAGTGCCCAGTTTCGCTAGTAATACTGTAAATTGGGTAGTTGGAAGACGGTGGGGGCCAGGTTGACCCACGCGGGGTTTCTATATACTGATCTACCTTTTCGTCGTGTCGGCGTGTATCTTTCACTTGCAGCTGTTCGGGCTGAAACTCCAGCGCATTCCAAATCTTGTGTGCCATGATACGAGCATATTGGTTATGCCACAGCCGTTTGATGTAGATGCCAACGGGTTCTCCTTCTGGCCCTGGGTCTCGACAATTGAGGAGGGCAATGAACGTGTCGTCTTCTTCTGAGTTCGGGTACTGCAACAAGCTCATCTTGATGGATATCCCTTTGTTAGTGTTGGTGAAAGGTTGGCTGTCCTGTAGGTTATCGACAGACGCCATGTTGCGCGATAGCTTGAAATAGGCTGGACTAGGTGCCAGAAGACCATGATAAGACGTGTCAGAAGGGACCAATGCCCTCCATGCGAAAAGCGAGTGATCGTCCGAGGCTTTCATGATCTCTTCCTGTAAACGAATGAAGGCTTTCTCACCGCCTTCACCATAGAGCATTGGCATATTGACATCAAAAATCCCGAGCAGACAATATGCCATGTCTTCAGACCTCGTAGTCTCCCTGCCTGCTGCCCAACTCATCCGTTGCGCCACACTCGCCGTGGTGGGATCGCAAGTGACGAGAACCTGCTGCGCAACACCGAGCATCATCGACAACTGGTAAACCCAGTCGGATTTGGTGAACAAGAAGGTCCAATCACTTGCATAGAATCGACAGTTGGCAGGGGCAATCAACTCCTGCAATGTCCAACCTCGGGTTAACCAACGGCATGATTGCACGGCCGAGAACTGTTCGCGCTCATTTTCCCAGGACCCATTGGTCAAATCATCCAGATATATGAAGCAAACGCCTGCGTCTTTGTACCATCTGTACATGGAGTTAATGGCTTCTGAGAGCTCTGCAGAGCTCTCCTTTCGAATGCAACACGTGTCAACCCAGATCCAATTCCAGCCACCCTCTCGAGCCTTGGAGGCAAAGCGGCCAATCTTGATATATCCGAATTTCTCTTTGGTGATGGCATTCGGTTGGATCATTTCATCGTGCGAGACCTCATGCGAGCCCCAAGTATGAGATAGGATGGCGTAGGGGGGGACCGCATTGTCTGCAAATTCCCTCAATTGCAAAGACGCCGAGTCTAGCAGCTTCATGATCGAGTATCATCGAGATTGTGTAGTTTGCACAAACCCACGCCGGTATTGCAACCGAAATTGCGGGCCTTTGAACTCGAGAACCGCGCACGCTGTGGTCAGGCTATGGTATCGTGGCTGGTCAGTCAGACACCGCAATGCGGAGCTTGACCGCCGAATCCGGGTTGGCTGGGTCGGGCGAATCCTCCGGAACATGGAGCCCATCATCCACGGGCATCAGCCGCAACCGCCTCCTTGAGTCTAGCCAGACGGCCGTCGATCCACGCCTTCTGCCAAGCCTCTACCTTTCCGCCCAAGACGATGCACGTTGTCGGCTCAAGCAGCACAGTGCCTCGAGCGACGACGGTGCCTTTTTTCAGCAGGATCTTTTCCCCGATGTTCATGGTGCCAACTCCAATCTTCTCCATGCGCTTCAACTCCAGCGCGTAGACCTTCTGGCCCTTGCAGTCCTGCACCACGAGGCGGTGGGTCGAGTTGCGCGGCGTCGCCTCCGAGCCGGGCGGCCCACCCCTGAGGTTCGGACCCGTGGCTATGGCCTGAGTCGCGGCGCTGCTGCCGTAGGCGCCTTCCTCACCGCCGTCGTCGCCAGCCGCAGGGAGACGTACGATCTCTCTGCCGCGGGTTTGCTCGCCGCGGGCGATGGCCTCAAGTTCCTCGACCTGCTCCCATTTGCTCTTGGTGAGGTTGTCGAGGTCCAGCACCTGCACCAAAACGTCCTTGGAAAGCCTCGCCTCCTTCACCCCTGGGTTGGTAGTATTGGGTGGGAGCACGCCTGCAGTCGCGTCCAAGACTCCGGGATTGGTGAGATCGACGGCCATTAGACGAGCCCTGGCCGTCGCTGTCAAAGCCGGGAGCGGTGGCATGGGGTTGCGGTTGGGCAGGACGTTCTGAATCCAGGCCAGCGTTGGAGAAGGCAGTCCCTGGCTTTGCAGGCTGCTGCGGACTTGCGAGGCCAAATCCATTCCTCGATATCTGGACCCGTGAGAAGGGATTGTGTTGTGTGCTGTGATTTATTATGTCCCACGGTCCAAGTCCGAAACTGGAACAACGGTGTAGAAAAGATTCCCAGTCTTAACCTGCCTTTGAGAAGAGAGCATCTGCGCATGACCCCTAAGATCTGGCTAGCAGACGCGACATTGCAACTTCCCATTTACACGAAGGCGTCGGTCGATACACGTCGTTACACAACATTTGAAGTTGGCATTACGGAGTACCTAGGTATCTCCTGCTGGGGCATCCCTACGATGCAGGCCACTAATGGACTGCCTTGCGGGCGCTCCTCTACCTAGTGCCACAGTGGCTGAACGCGTGTAACTCAGAGGCCACTCACTGACTGGCGCCCCTCCCCAGCCTTGATCCCTGCCGTAACCCAGCTATGCTTGTACTGTAAGCTGTCAGGATACGTAACTCCTTATCCCACGAGAGCTCCCACCGTCTGTCGCGGGCTTGCGCATGCGGATACCGCCTCAACACACACGCATTGAAGAAGCTAGCTACCGGCGTTGTCAGAGGTCCCGAGCTGGCATTCACCCACACCCTTCTCAAAACACACCTCTTCCTGACGCCATGTCGACCATAGCCTCGCCCAGGGAGCCACCCCGTCGTGTGCCCTCCCAGACCCTCATAACGCCGACCTCCTCGACGCGGCCCTCGCTCGACGCACCGCGGTCCGTCACGGGCTCGCCGAACCCCAACACTCCGCCGACCGCGCCCTCGGGCCCGGGCGGTGCCAAGAGGAACCGTGCCGCCCTGCGCGAGTACTACAACCTGCGCGCCAAAGCCGCCGCCGGCGCGACGCCGACCGTCGAAGTCACAGACCCAGTTGGCGAGCACCATGAGGCGTCCGAGGTCCCGCCATCCGAGGTGGACAAGGAGGGATTCGATGCCGAGGCCTTCGTGCAGAAGACGGTGAACGACAGCGGGATGGAGGAGCTCCTGCGCTTGTACACGAGGACACTGGGCGAAATACGGGCGTTGGACGCGGAGAAGAAGGCACTGGTCTACGACAATTACAGCAAACTCATCTCGGCTACCGAAACGATACGGAAGGTAGGTGTCTCTCTCCTGATGCCACGTGGATATGTCCAGAGGTGGTGTAGCCGTGGGCCGGGGCTGACCGGATACAGATGCGAGCCAACATGGACCCCCTGAACCCCATGGCCTCCACGCTGGACCCAGCAATTGCCCAGATATACTCGCAAGCTTCTGAGATACGGGACTCTCTACGACAAGCCGTGCCGAAAACGACTGCGTCTCAGGAGGAAGCCGAAGAGACTAGGCAGCGAAAGCTACGGACACAACAGCTGGCCCTCCACGTCCTGGAGACGCCGGACAGGGTTCGGGCTCTTGTCAATGATGGCCGCCTCGAAGACGCCAGACAGGTGTGGAAATTGCCGCGGAAGCTCCTCCAGACATGGAAGGAGCAAGGAGTAGGGGGCGACGACGTGGATGCTTGTATTCAAGACGGCGACAGTGCACTACGGGGAGAGCCTGGCCGGTTCAATTGGCGGCCCGCAAAAGCCGAGGATACTGACTGATGGTCTCAAGAAGAGAATCTTCAACGAGAATGCGGAACGTGCCCTTCTCCAGGGAGTACAATCACTTACGCAAGGTCGACCAGCGTTCTCGTCAAATATTTCCTCCATTCCACATCGCTCACCTCTGGCCATGAGAAACGATGAATGCAAGCACCGACACTATAGCTGTGTAACATCGATGGTCTCAAATGGGTCCCGGTCCTTTGTGCTCACCAAAACCGAAAAACCCTGGCCGCCCAAGGCACCCTCGAGTTTCTTCTCCAGCATCGGCTTGAGTCGTTGCGTCAGGTATTGGCGCTCAGAGTTGCTGTGGAACACGGTCACTACCGTCTGACCTAGGTGCACGTGTCGCAGGGCGGCGTGGTGGCTCATCTCGCCTGTCACCAAGAGTTGGGCGTCGCTGTCTTGGAGGATGTCGGAGCCGGACCCGGCGCAAACAGCAACGCTGGAAATCTGCTGCTCGAGACCTGACTTGGTTGCAATCGACACATATCGCTGGTTGCCAAGGCCGACCGAAAGGTTCCTGAGCAGGTCCTTCAGTGGCATCGGGGTTTCAAGAGCAACACTCCGGCCATAGCCGGTGCCTTGGTGAGCTTCTGGGAGGGTGCGGGTGATTGGTTGAAGCACGGTGGACTTGGTCTTGACTTTGCCGTCCACCAATATGTCGCACAGCCAGTCATTGAGTCCGCCATGGGCAGCATCCACAGCAGTGTGTGGGCAGTAGACGGCGACGCCAGCAGCTATGAGGCGGAGCAGCGATGCTTGCATGGGATCTCGGTTTGTCAAAGATTTGAGGCCCCTGAAGATGACGGGGTCTGTCCATGATTAGCCGCAAAACTTGTTTCTTTCTCCACAAGTAGTCAAGTCGCGCAAAGGTGTATAGCTAGCTAGCTCACTTACGATAGCTCACAATGATACTGGCTTGGGCCTGCAACGCCTCGTCGACGACCGGGCCCGAGAGATCGTTGGTCAGGAGAACGGTTGGCTCAGCCTTTTGAGTAAGTCTTGCATCCTGAGCCTGGTCAAGCAGTACTGTGACGCGACATTAGCACCGACTGAACCCAGTAATTTGGAACGAGACTGTAGCAATAGCACCCTGGGGGATAAGTCTCTCCCAACTTACATCCAGTATTGTCCCAAGCACTGTCAGCCAAAGCCTCCGGGAAACTAGTCCTACATTAGCCAGAATGTGCAAAGTAGCATTTTTGTCATGTGTAATACTAACAGTTCCCGCATAGCCTGCACGACGGTATTCGTAAAAGAGGGGAGCGGCGTGCTGGTAGCCATGGTGTTCAAGGTGTGCGCGTGTGAGGCCCGGTTGGCTGGATATTGATGTCGCAGAGGACTCGGGGCAGTGAAGGACGTTTTCAACAAACAAGGCCGTGCGGTCCAAGGAGTCACAGAACAGGCACGTCTCAGAGGGCGTCCGAGGAGCATCAGAGTGGGCGTCGGTCGACCAGCTTACCGAGGTGGATGTGGTGTGTCTACAGGGAGTTGGCCTGACGTATGTATATGTGTAGTGTAGTGTAGTGTAGTGTAGCTTGGTGTGCAAAGCTGCAACTGTTACTGGGCCGTCAGAGCTCCAGCTTCAGCCGCTCGGGCCACTGGCAAGTCTCGCCAGCTCCCAAGGCCCAGAGTGGCAGGAGTGGGTTTCCGACGGTGCTTCAGCCACACGCACAGAGCCCCCGCCCCCCCTGCAACGTGGGGTAGCTCAGGTGTCTTGGTCGCTGTACCGGCCGCCCGTCACAGTGGGCCACCCGCTGCTTTCACATGGAGGGGCAGCTGCATTTCATCATCGCCGAGGACGGGCAGCCCTGAGCATCACTGTCGCTTTGTCGCCCACCCAGAACCAATGGCAGACGCGACGATAACAGAAGCCTCTCTCAAGAGCGCTCTGGCCGAGCGCCTCGGCGCCACGCATGTAGAGGTCACCGACATGTCCGGTACGTTTGTCTCGTAGCTCTGTTCGTCTGGGTCACTCGCTGCCGCCCGCGATTCCTCGCTTACAAACCCCATCCCATGTCTCCCGATGAACAACGCACAGGAATGAATGCTGACGCTCATGCTGTACTCCGACAGGCGGCTGTGGCCAATCCTTCACCTCCCTCATAGTCTCGCCCAAGTTCTCCGGCCTCAACTCGCTCAAGAGGCATCGCGCCGTAAACGCGGCGCTCAAGGACGAAATCGCCGCCATACATGCCTGGAGCGCAAAATGCCAGACCCCGGAGGAGTGGGAGAGGGACAAAGCCAAGAGCGGCGGCGAATCCAAGCCCCCGATGGACGGCACCGTGGGCGGCCAGGTGCAGGGTGTCGACGCTTGAGCCATGGATGGCAGCTCTCCAAGCTGCGGAAAGATGGAGGTGGGAAGAAGGCAGGAACACGCCAGTCGCCGAGAGTCGGTGCTGGTGCATGGCTCAACAACGCAGAAGCCAAAGAGCCTGCGTACATGTGCGATATACCTCTAGGCCGATGTAGGGACGTCCATACTTGGATAGAGACTCCAATTCTATCGGCAATGAAATAAGGAGAGGAGGCCCTCGACGATGGCCTACACTTAACTACGAATGATGGAGCCAAGAACCGAATTTCAAAGTTTCAACCAGACCACTCACTCCCGCCTGCAAATGAACTAGACTTGAAACTCCGGTCTGCTTTCCAATTCGCGCACCAAATCCTTGAATTCCTGCTCCCCATCAGCCGCTCGCTTCTTGAAGGCCGCCATGTTCTCCCGTGCCCATTCGACGTCCTTGCCGGCCGGAGGCACAAGGAACCCCGTCTCCCATGACGAGATGATCTCGCCCGTAATCCAGACACCGTGCAGTTCCAGCTCTGGCTCTAGTGGCGGCCTGCTGGTGTCCCTGTGCGAAGGGTGCACGATCCGCGCCCACGCCGCCACCAGGTCGGCCGCCAGCGCGTTGAAGTCGTCCTGCATGCGCGTAGGGCCACGGCGCACCTGCGCTCTAATGCGGTTGTTTGGGCGCTGCCGGGAGGCCTCTGTCAGCAGGGAGGGGGGCAAGCAAGGTATACGAGATGGCTTACAGCGTTGCCGGCAACGTATGTGTCCTGCTTCCAGGCGTCGGTGAACTTGATGTTCACAAATAGCCGTGGCGTGGTGAACTTTTTGCTGTGGATGTCCGTGATCGCGGCTGCTAGCTCGTCCTTCTGGCTTCTCGTCAACGGCGCAATGTGTTCCACCTCGTAGAGAGGCATGGCGAATTATGCACCAGTTCCGCTTTAAGATAGGGGGGTTGCGAGTCGAAAAGACGGGTTATCTTTCAACTAATCATACATCCGTCACTTGGCATATAGCACATCTCAATCAAGCTTGGTCAATTACCATTCGCGGTCCAGAAAGGATATATAAGCAGGTGTGCAAAGTCCTAGTCTGAAGTGACTGTGGACAGAGGAGGTCGGCCCGGCCACACGGGCTGACGTTATATTCGATATGTAAGGTTCGTATAATCCAATCGAAGCTGAATGCGACGAAAGCTCACCATAATTTTGTATACAACTGTTTTCACGCTGTGACGGCGGCAATTGGAGGAAGGTATCAGGTTGTATGTTTTGATCATTTGGTATGACTGGCTCCTCTACTCAGACGCGCTCGATGCCATACATTCGATCTTCCATATCAAACTTGGCACCCACACGCTGTGAGTTTCGACATAACTCAACTTTGGCGTATCAATAAACCCTCGCGTTACGCGATTACCAAGTAATCATCCCACTGGCGTGCAAGAAACAAACGGCCCAGGGACTCACAGCCCGTTCAAAACCCCGGACCGTCTCGGCCGCCGGGGCCTCCGGGACCTCCGGGGCCGCCGTGACCGCCACTGGTGTTCAAGTCAGTTTCGTTTTTTTCATGTTGTCGAGTCAATACTTATCGTCAAGACTCGCCGTATTGGCAATCTTGAAACTGGTGACTTACCCGTGAGGTCCACCCTGACCGCCATGAGGCCCTCCGTGAGGACCACCAGGGCCGCCAGGACCACCATGGCCACCGCCCTCATGTGGACCAGGGCCCGAGGGACCGGGTCCGCCGTGGCCGCCGTGTGGGCCTCTGCAACGAATGATTTAGCAAGGTCCTCGTGACAGTTATCAGGAATGGTTAACTTGGGCGCCAAGTAGGCGACCAGGGAGTGGCTTGAGGTGTTGCTTACCCGCCTTGGTGAGGGCCACCCTCCTGGGAGCCGGGGCCGTGCTGAGGCTGTTGCTGGTGGCTTCCGTGCATCTTCTCTTGTACCTTGTGTTCGATCTTGGTGATGAGACCCATTACGTATATTTAGTGGGAGTAACTGGGAATATAACAAGTTTCGGTGTAGTATGAAAGACAAAGGCAAAGAGGCTCCTGAGGCAGTCTACGGTGCCTGTCGCGAATTGGACTTATATGCTTGATTTAACTTCAGAGAGGTGCCGTCAGATCAAGACATCATGCCAGCTGAGACCATCTTGAGGCTGAGAACGTGATGCTGGACGCGTGGCTAGTGGAGTATACTAAGCTAGCGTCACAACCGCCGTAGTATATTCAGGAAGACGTAAGCGCTGGGCTCCACAGCGATGGGGGTAAGTAACGGCCCGGGGCCGCGATAATGCCAGCGCTATTCGTCATAGTCATTCGACGATGGAATGCGTGGCGCACGGTTGCGAGACCTCATGTGGTCGAGATTCGCTGGCAAGGTTCGCTCTTTCTTGACGTCACGGAATGCCGTCGCAAGGTGTGCAGGCAAGACGCAACGCGCCCAAGTCGTTTCCACTAAACAACGGAATCAATAGTCCATTCAGTTGCCAATTGTTCCTGGTTTTGTTGAGCAATGACTTGCGTGTACTTTCGAGGCAGATCGCAGACTAGATATCTTAAAAGTCTTGGCAGCCTATGCTATGCTGCCGAGGAGCCGAGAGACTGAGGTACCCAGGTACTGTTATCCTCTTATTGCTATCTTTGTGCAAGCAGCTTGACAACTATATCCTCCAGATGCTTGATGATGGCGAAATGGTCTACGCCTTCAAGTTCGTGTAAGTCACAGTGCGGCAACTGCTTCTTCATATACCGCACCATTCGGATCGGCGAGTTTTTATCCTTGGTTCCGTGCCATATCTGGACTCTCTTCTCAAAATGGACACCCTGAAGACGAAACCCGTATGGATGCGTAAGCAAATACGCTTCTTGGACAAAGCCCCGCGATCCCTGCGCGAAGGGTTCGAGAAAGACACCCAGTAACCGTTCCCTTCGTGCCGTGGCTGCTTCCGGGCTCTTCTCCGATTCGGAGATCTCTTTTCCAGCCGCGGCTGCTGCTTTGACGGCAATGCCGTCGATCAGCTTCTTGCCGCTGTCTGTCGCCACGAACCATTTGGCCAGACCAAGCAGAAGGTCCAGTACACGCGTGCTGAAGGAAGGACAGTACGTCGCGGCCCAGGACCCGATGCGAGCCGACCACGGAACGCCCTGCGTACCCGCTTCCCAAGGCGCGGCACTGCACATGAGGCCAACGGCGGAGAGCACGTCTGGGGGTATCGAGTTCGCGCACGCCAATGCGTAGGGGCCACCACCCGAGCCGCCGAGTACGGCATAGCGCTTCAGCTCAAGGTGCTGAGCAATGAACTGCACGTCGGCGGGCCAGTCTGTGATGCGGCGGCCGGGGTAGAACGTGGACAGGCCGTAGCCGGGGCGCTCGGGGCAGACAAAGCGAACGCTGTGCCGCCGCCCTATGTCCTCGAGGCCGCGAGCTTCCAGACGCGAGCCCGGGAAGCCGTGGAACATGAAGCATGGAAAACCGGTGGGCGAGCCGGCTTCGGCCCAGGCTAGTCGTCGGCCGTCCGGGAGGTCAACGGCTCTATGATAGCGCTCTGAAGGATCAGCAGTGCGAGCGATGCCAGTTGTTGCGCGCCGGCGCAATGCCATGTTAGTATGACAGACGAGGAGCTGTCGATGATGCCGGGTTGGTTGCACAAAACGGATTGACGATATCCCCGGTGTGAGGCTTTTCATTTGGAATGCTGCTGGGAGAGTTGATTGTTCGCGTGGCAATGCGTAAGATGGTGTGGTAAGTTTATGCTAGTTGGGGGCTTTCTAATGCGGAAGTCAGGTGTCATCACACGCGCGGCCGCACAAATCTGACAGTTGAGCACATACCCGTTGCGCCATACCAATGGCACCACAGAATGGCAATCGGTATGACACGGCTTGATGTTACTGGTACAAGTATCAAATACCTCGCACCAGATGACAGAAGTATGAGTTATAGATACATAGGCATGGTATTGATGTGTGTGTAGTAGCTTTGTATTAATGAGTCAGACGTTCTTGAAACCCCTTTAGGCGCAATGACGTTCGATTACGATATCACATTGTTGTTTTCATATTCTGCCGAATCAGGAAGTCTCAAAAGTAAAGCAAGTTGGCACAACTCGGTGAGTATATTGCCACTGCTAAGGTCTATATCACGGCCCTATACGAGCCTCGTTGTATCTCACCACAGAGGAGCCGCTTCCAACAACTGCTTCTGCCTCGATCTCAACAAGGCAGGCTTCACCTATGAGTCCCGCAGTCGTCAGAGTGTTGGCTGGCCGTACGTTCTCGCAGCCGAATACCCAGGCGTGGGCTTCAGAGACCTCTTGGCAGTCCTTTTCGTCCCGTACCATGATCCTAGTTCTCACAACATCTGCCATCGTGCCTCCCAGATGCCGCACTGCGCTTGCAATTGTATCTAAAATGGCGGTGGTCTGACATCGTGAACATGAGCCTCCCATGGCAGGCGGCGGGTTCACCAGGCCCCTGGGCGGGTTCGCTGTTGTGCCCGAGACTCTTATTGTATCTCTAACTCTAACAGCACGAGAATAACCCTATGTAGATTCAGTACTTGTTGGCTCTTTGCGTTCAATTGGGTAGAACTTCAAGGTCAAGGCCCTGTGTGAAATACTTACTGCTATGCGCTCCCAGTTGGTGCCAGTACCGTACTCCAACCTATTTCCCGCAGCCACATCAGACGCTGCACGTTGATCAATCTCTCCACGAATGTGGTGGCTCAAGTCGCCGGAAGCCGTTAAGAATGGACTTCTACGATATTCATCTCCGCAATCCCCAGGGATGTCTTTCAGCTTTTTCTGGGCACGCGATATCAAAGACAGATCTTCGTCGTCTAGCTTGAAGGAGAAGGCACTCAGGTTCCCGCTTGTATACTTATCACACTCCGCGTTGAGCCGGCTGCCGACTATGACTGCTTTCACGACCGGGACATCCAACACCCACCGGGTAGCTACTGCAGCAATCGGTACACTATGCCTTGTGGCAACCTGGGATAGCGCTTGTAGAACTCCTTGAAAAGGGGCCCAACCTCCAGCTGCTCTTATGAACCGGAGGTATTTCCGAAGACTCCAGTTCAGTTCTTGCTCATTCGTGGGTTCTGGTACGGCGAGCCATTTCTCACTGAGAAAGCCCCCTAAGAGCGTGCCGTACGCAAGAACACCAACATCGTGTTCGGCACAGACCAGGCTAAGCCGGCCTTTGACCAAGCGTTGGTCAATCACAGAGCAACTGACTTGATTCGTCGCAATTCGATATCCGGAATGAAGCAATAGCTCGAGGTGTGCCGCGTCGATGTTGGTCAACCCAATCGCTTGGATCTTTCTGTCTTCTTGCATAACTGCAAGGTGCGCCAGGTTGCAAAGGTACGTAGGGTCTGTGTAGTCCCAGGCATGATATTGCATCAGAGCTATTGAAGTCTGCTTCATGCGCGACAACGCAAGGTCTACGGCTTCTTTGGCTCGCTGGAATGAGCGGTCGCCATTCTCCTGTGGGCACCATTTGGTGAAGGCTGTGATGCGAGAACCGGAAGGATTCGAAGTGTTATACTCGCCAATCACTAGCTCGGCATCGCCGTAATGGTCTGCCATATCAAAGCAGGACAGGCCTGAATCGATGCTAGAAACTGCATTAGTCTGACCTCGAGAAGAACTTCCAGTTCAACTTACAGAGAGTTCATCGCCTTGACAGCGGTGTCCCTATCGACCTGCTTGTCATGGCCCCCGGCAAGTTGCCATAAGCCATTGATGATCCGAGGAATTTCGATAGTCCCACCGATTGTGGTTCGCTCTGGTGTTGCGGAGATAGCTGCCATGACGACGGGTGTATGCAGCACTCAGCTGATATCAACCTCTGAGAGCTTTTGCCTAGGTGCTGATGAATTGCGTCGGTTTGACTTGTGAGGAAAGTACTAGGAGTGGATTTACCGAGGTCACCAATCGAGGATAGTCCTCAAGCAGCTGTGTCCATATGCGTCTTGCTTCGAACTGTGGGGCGAAGTGATATGCCATGCAAGCGGGCCACATGCTTTAGCTTACCAATAGGGCGGTCTCTTGGTTGACATCCTCAAAGTCTTCCACTCGAGCCAGTACGACTGCGTCGTTTCAATTGTATCAATCAATATCAGAAACCAAGGCATATACTTCAGAATCCAGTCGCTGCTATCTGCCAAATCCCGAACATGACTTTATAAGACATTTGATTATTGGCAAAGGAACTGCAACCCCGGGGACTTGCCAATAATCATCTATGTCCCACGATATATGCAAGAGTATATATGTGGTGAAGTAATAGGTCCTCCAATGGCCCTCTCGTGTCAGCATTCCACTTCCTTAGGAAGGTACTTCCTCATCTGATGCTGACCGCTTGAAACTGTGTGGTACCAGCCAACCATGCGTTGCCGGTAATGATTAAGACAGACGAGAGGTAGTTCCCTTTTGCAACATAATGCAGAGGCCCCGCTTGCAGGCAGCAACATAACGACATGAGTATAAAACGGCTCTGCCAAGCATCCGCCGTCTATCGACAGCGCCAAGTCTCCCAAGCTTCGGCAACTAGTAGTAGAACAACTTCTATACGCTCACCGAAACCGTAGTACCCCTTTACATCTCGTAGCCTCGCAGAGCTCGCCCGCCCCCACGGGGATGCCGACCTACATCGTCGCGCCCTGCAGCGTCGCCGACGGCGCGGCGCTGAGCCGCAACAACATCTCGGCGTTCTGGCGGGACCCGAACTGGGTCCTGTCGTGGCGGCACAAGACGCTGGAGCAGCACGTCGCCGAGGTCGCCAAGCGGTACCCGCGGAACCTGCTGCGGGACCGCGCGGCCCAGCGCCACCAGAAGGCCGTCGACCCGGCCACCGGCCGCCTGGCCGGCTACGCCCGCTGGGTGCTGCCGCCGTCGCACGCCGGGTTCGCGACGTGGCCCGAGGCCGTGGTCCCCGCGGTCACGGAGGCGGAGGAGGCCGAGATCGAGCGGGTCGCCGCGACCGCGGTGTGGGACCCGAATCCCGAGTCCGACGTCCTGGTGGAGCCTATAAGCAAGATCAAGAAGGAGATCCTGGGCCGGAAGCCCTATCTGCGTACGTGGGAGATGTAGACACGGGTGTGCTTTGAACGGGTCGCTGACTCTAATGCTTGCAGGTCTGGACTACATGGCCGTCCACCCCGAAAACCAGGGCAAGGGGATCGCGACCACCTTGGTGGAGAGCGGCATGGAACAGGCGGACATGCTTGGGTTGGACATATTCGTCCTTGCTTTCCAGGCGGGGAGAGGGGTTTACAAGCGGCTCGGGTTCCGCATCGAGCAGGAGCTGGTCCAGGATGATTCGATGTATGGCGGCACTGGCGAGTACGCTGTCTACTTCATGATATACGAACACAAGTCTAGTGGCCCGTAACGCTCAGTGCCAATACCTCATAGTTCCAGCCCTGCTCTACGCCCGTTCATGTCAAATGGAAGCCTTCTGATTAGGTGACAAGTACGTGCGCCTGCGATTCGCTTTAAGATGTAGTCGTGTCACATTGAAGCCCAGGTCAATCCTTTGGCCAGCTGCATCGCCGTCATTGTGTGTGTCTATATCGATCATCATTTACAAGGGACCGCAGCGCCACGAATCACTTGGTGGAGTTCAACAGTAATAGGCGTCTTTAGTTCGTTTTCACATTCCATCGCTGACATCTAGCAAGCGCCTGATCCTTGGACTGCATGATCAGCACCCCCACTAAGTTCTATATCAAGTTGAACACGTCCTGCGCCCCGCCGTTGGCCGCCTGATTTTTGAGGTTTGTCTGAATGCTCCAAGGATTATGCTCCGGTGTGTTTCTAGCTCCTCCTTCGCTATCTGATGGTTTGTGAGCCTTTTTCTCCTAGAAGAGGCCTAACAAATCGTCGCTGTCCTTCTTCGGCTCTGCAGGGTTGTGACCCAGCTGCTGTGCCGCTGGCGGTGGTGCACTTCCCCCGCTCAGGTCCAAGCCTGCGAACCCATTCATCAAGTCATTACCGCCGCTGCCGCCGATGTTTGCGGGTTGCGGTGCAGGCGCGGGTGCGTCGAACAAGCCCATCATATCAGCCATACCTCCACTTGGCTGTGTCGCGCTCACGGGGCTTTGCACCCGATCTGGCGTCGCCGTGGCGCTGTTCTGCTCCATGGATGCAGGGGCACCACCATCAAAGTCGATGTCCAGTAGGTTCTCGATATTACTCTGCGGAGTGGTACCATTGGCCTGTGCAGCAGCAACAGCTGAGGCGACGCTAGGGTTCTCGGCGAGGTTTTCACGCTGCTCGAGAATAGCAGCACGTTGAATGGCGTCGGCACCGTAACGTCCCTTACCAACAAATGACTCTGGTGGCTTGTGGTATACGGAGGCAAGCGTTGATAATTCCGCGAGTAGTTGTTCCAGGAGAGCAGGTGGGAGGGATGTCATAGTGGTAGTAATGGCGGGCTTTTGTGACAGGATGATGTTCTAAAGGCAGTTGGTTAGCAGGTGTATTTCGGAGGGTTGTACGAGGCATCTTACCTTTGCGACGTCAAGATCTCCAGACAGAAGACGCCAATAGACGTAAGCTCTGTCTCGAATATCGGGGTTATCGTTATCTGTCGTCGCGGCCTGTAATACTTTTTGGACTAAGCCCTGGCTACTCTGCGGCTTCTTGAGGAATAGTTTCACCACAGCCGTGAGAATCTGCAACTGTGTCTGCGTGAACTCCTCCAAGAAGACATCGACAAAGCTTTCCAAAATCTCGTCTGCGTTGCTGATCTTCTCGGCGTACTCTCCCACAATCCAGATCAATGATCCTCGTGCGTTAGGTTCATCAAGTTCGTCAATGTACTTGCAGAGGGTAGGGATGACTCCCTCATAACCCGGGTATTTCCGGAGGATGTCCTTGATGACCACGATCACCTCCTGCACAACGTAGTTCACCTTGGTAGAGATCAGATCCAAAAGCGCGTTGACGCACTTCTCGCTGGCGCTCTCGATCTTGATAGCTACCTGTCCGATGGCCTTGACGGCCCGGCGGACGAAGTCCATATCAACTTCGAGGGCGTATTCCTTCAACTCGCCCAACAGCTGCTCGTAGTTCTTCTCGTTTGCTATCCTGACCATGATCTCCAGCTTTTGAAGCTTGAGGTAGGCAGGGTCGTTGTACTTGCAGAAGAAGACACGCAGCTGGTTGCTGAGAATATCGGGCTTGGCCTGCAGGAGCAGGTCGATGTTCCTCAGGGCAACGTACTGGACCTCGGGGGCGGATGCAATGAGGGTAACCAAGGGCGGGGCCATCTTCTTGAGGTATTGCCGTACGAGATCGGCGTTGATGAGCTTCATGTGAATAAAGACCACCTTGACGGCGGCCAGGACGACGCTGGGGTTGACATGTTGAAACTGGGGGGCCACCCTCTCGCAGATGTGTTCCGACTCCTTGACGTCGGTGGGAGGGTAGGCTGCCAAGGTGGACAGGATAGTAACCCGACCCCATTCGGTGCACTCGTTCAGCGCCATCAACAGCTTCTTCAAGGTGGACGGTGAGATGACGAGGGCGGCGGTCTCCGGGGCGGTCTCGGTGATCTCGGACAGGGCCGTCACGGAGTTGGCGACAACCATGGGGTTGGGGTCTCCGATCAGCTCCTGCAGGGTCTCGAGGAAGCCGTTCTCGATACACATGGTCGGGTTGAGATCGAAGAGCTTGGCCACGCAGATGGCGGCAGTTTTCCGCACGTATGGCGACTCGTCCCTCAGGGTCTTTCTCAGGGGTTCCTCCATGTAATCCACCATCTTGTCGACACGGATGCAGCCCATGGTACGGACAGCCAGGGCGCGGATGAGGGGGTTCGGGTCCTCCGAGTCCTGGACGAAGGTGTTGACGGCCAAGATACATAGATCGGGGTGCGATTTGGCGTAGTTCCTAGGGGTTTGCGTCAGCAAGATAGGGGCCACAGGAAGCAGCCACGGTATTTGGGCGGGCGGCTCTAAGACAGCGGGGAGGCGGTAGCAGAGGCAGAGCAATGAGGATGCTGGCAGCAAGACTCACATCAGGTACAGGTAGACCAGCTTCTTCTGGTCCAGGTCGCCGGTCGCGATGTTCTTCAGGACGTCGGGGAACAGGGCCGAGACGTCCTTGCCCAGGGTCATGGCCATGATGGTCTTCTGGATCGACTCCTTGCGCTCCCAGGCATACTGCGACACGAGACCGGCGCGCAGCTCGAAGGTCTCTCCCTTCCTGGGCACCGCGAAGGCGGCACGCATGCGATTGACCGCCATGGTCGAGGTCGTGGGCAGGGTGGTTTGGTTGTGTGAGGAGGCGTGCGACAGGCGAAACGGCCAGGTCACTCGAGGTCGGCCGGTGGTGGTTGAGGGGAATCAGGGGTGGCCCTTAGGGCGACGGTGAACACATCCGCTGGCCTCCAAGTCGTGGCGGTTCGGTCAGCCGTGGGTTTCTGCGAGGCGACGGTATGCGAAAGGCGAGGGAGAGCTCTGGTGCGTCGAAGCTCCAACGCGGCGAATGGAGTTGGATCGTGAGGTGCTGGCGGCTCTGGCTGGCATCAGTGAGCCCTCCAATCGATTTCAGCCTCGAGGTGGCATTTGGACAGACGTTCAGGCGGCCAGACCGTTAATACAGCGCCCCGCCACCACCCACTTCGCCCAATCCCAGCCCAGTAGCCCGCCAAAACTGAACTAGGTACGAACTACGGCACCGCAGAGCAGCTACCTAGGTACCTAGCATCTGCTGTGTACCGTGTAGGTGTCTGGTCACAGCGGCAAAGCCACAGCTGGAGCTTCATCAGCCACACCTAACCCGAGTCTACACCACCTGGGGCCTCGACTCGTCTCAGCTGAACGCCGCACCCCAGATCCAGATCACCATTGCGAACGGTAATGTAAAAACAGCTGCCCACTCGACACGAGTCTGTCCGCAACAGTCACTACGCAGAAGCGAAGGACTGCAAAGGTCACCGGGCCTACCTCGGTCCGTTTCCCAGACAATGGTAGGCTGAGCGCTGGGGAACCAGTGTCCTAGACATCTTCACCTCCCAAGTTGTACGCTGATCGCTTCGTAGGCCAACTTTCCTAACCTGAGGCGCCTCTTCATCGAGGCAAGGTCCGAGGACGAGGAACGCGCCGTGTCACGGAGGGCTGTGAGTAGTCTTTTTTTTTCATTTGAACTTCGTCCATTAGACATGCAAGATTCCTGATTAGCTTCCTAGTTCTACAACGCAGTCTTGTTCATGAGCTCGGTCGCCGTCTTCAGCCTCATCGCCCAGAGGATGAATGCGAGCAGGTAGACAGACAGTCCTATATCTGCCCCCGGCCAGTAATTAGGGGTAACAAGCCAGTACAAATACAGCCAGCAATACAGTCCCGCCGCCGTGTCATGTGCATACAGCTAGGCTAGCAGCCTGTCCTTGAGCAAGTCTTGGGGTTCGTTCCTGTCCCATGCCAAGTCTGCCAGTCATTAGTCCGACTCCTCGTCGTCCGATCCCAAGAAGGCCAGATCTGCCATGCGTTTGGATACGCGTGGCTTCGCTTCCTCGGCGCCGCTCTCGTCCTCCGATGACGGCTCCTTGACCGTAGCCTTGGCCCTGCTCCTCGAAGCCCGACCGCCGCGGCCCTCTGCACCCCACATGTGGTTCATCTCGTTGACTGCCTCCAAGTCGGCCATGAGCTCGCGCCTCTCCTTGATCTCCTTGGCCTTGGCCTCCGAGAACCGCCCCGTCACCCCAAGGTCGCTGAGCATCTTTCTGAGGTGCCGAATCTTGCCCTTGGTGTCATCGCCGTACTCCTTGAGCTCGATACCCCAGATCTTGCGGACGCCGCACTTGACCAACTGGCCCTGCAGCTTCTTGATCTCTGCCTCGTCACCTGTCAGTTCCTTCGGGGCTGCCTTGGTTGCTCTAGGCTTCGATGACCCCTTCGGCTCCCTAGGTTTGCGCTTCTTCGGCGGCGGTTCGTCTAGGACCGAGGACAGGTCCGAGTCGTCGTCGTCACCAACTGCGGCTTTGCTGTCCTCCTTCTTGGCCTTCTTCTTTGGCGGCGGCTCGTCTATCACAGAGGAGAGCTCGGAGCTGTCGTCATCGCCACCAGGCTTGCTCTCATCTTCCACTGCCCGCTTCTTTGGCTTGTCTTCGTCATCGGAGTCTGCTGCTTTCGTCTTGCTCTGTGCTTTTGTTTCTGTATCGGATGCCTCTGCTAAATCCTCCTCGACCTTGCCTGCTTCGCCTTCGTTTTCTGAGTCGACCTTGGCGCGCTTGGATCCGGCTTGCGCAGCCGGCGTAGATCGTTTGCGTTTGCGCTCGCGCTCGGCAGAGGAGTCCGCTTCGTCACTGCCGCCGTCTTCCTCGTCCGAAATCACAGCCTTCTTCTTCTTCTGCAGTTTACCACGCGCAGCAGCCTTCTTCGGTTTTGTGTCTTCCTCTGAGGAGCCCAGGTCGCTGAGCTCGGACTCGGACTCCTGCTTCTTCTTGGGCGGTCTGCCACGTCTCTTGGGCTTCTCCTCTTCCGAATCGTCAAGGTCGCTGAGGTCTGAATCCGACGAGGCCTTCTTCTTCGGGTTTGCCTTCGCCTTGGGCGCAGCCTTCTTGGTTGGCTTCTTCGGGGCGGCCTCCTTCTTCACGCGTTTGGGTTTCTGCTCGGGCTCCTCGCTCGACTGCCGCTTGATGCCATTCTTCTTTGCGGGTTTGGCAGCTGGCTCTGGCTCTGGCTCTGGTTCGTTGTCGCCCTCACCACCACTGCCTTCCTCGCTCTGCGATGCGTTAGTCTAGCTTAGAAAATGAATAGTTGCGGGGGCAGACGCACGAATGCCTTGTGGATGATGGCCTTGCTGCGACCCTTCCAGTCGGGGTCGTCCTTGAAAAAACCCTCGGGCAGGTCAAGCTTCTCCTCGACGGCTTGGCGCACCTTGTTGATGGTGACTTCTTCGCCGTCCTTGATCAACTGGCGGAACTGGAGCCGCAGCTCTTTCTCGAGAATGCTGTCCGATGGCACCGGCATTGTCTCCGTTCGCGATCGGCGCCGGGCTTTTGCGTGTGTCGTGTCGCGCGGTAACTCGCACGGAGGTTGAAGCGTCGCCGTGGATCGCACTCGATGATGACGGCCAATTGATGGCTGACGCGTCTGGGCCAATGTGGTAGCGCGTTTCTCGCGTTCGGGTCGGTCCTGTCCTGGCACCTCACCTGGAACTTGAAGCATCAAGGTTAGGTGGGGATGGGGGCTGGGGTTGGTGGAGCTGCTGGGATTATTCTCTCCTCCCCTCCCCTCCTGTATGAAGGCGGCAGATCTACGCCCGAGGGGGACAAGTCACAACTGACACAAGGGGGTGCACGGACCAGGCATGTTGGGATATCGGCACTCGACTTTGGTCCAGTGTACTGGGCTGCTTTGTGCGTGAGACAACTCTGCTTCTTTCATAGTTGGTCTTCCTTCTTTTCTCCTCTTCTGGCATTGACTCAAGAAGTCACAAGATATCTAATGAGGTCAACCGTGGATCCGATTGCAGACCGTAAACGAATACGCTCGCAGTCAGGGATCATGTAAGTCAGGTACGTTACGTTGGTGTGTATCTGCACCGTGATCATTATGTCTATTCCCATACTCAATCAAATCCATTGGTCGCTCCACTTCCATTGCCGCCGCTTCTCATGGCTTGGCTGATTAGCCCAGCGCATCGTCAATTCCAAAAGACCGGTATCACTTAGGAGATGATCCAGCTCGAGAATGGCGTAGCACCTTGCAGCAGGAGGCTACCCATGACAAATCCAGAAGCACAAAAACAAATGCAATGAACACCTCAAGGTCCCAGGTGAATTTCAACCAGATCATACACCTCCAATATCCCCTTTCAGTCAATACATTTCTTCATCCGGCGTGTTGGTTTTCGCGAGCATCGGCAAGCCCTAAGTGCAAGTACGTTTGCGATTCTCGTTATGCTGCGGGGACTGCGGATCCCTTCAGAGCTTGCTGGATGATCCTGGCCAAACCGGCCTCGTCTGAAGCCTAGCATTGTTGGTCACAGTGAGCAACAGTCTGAATAGAGACGATTAGAAGGGGCCTGGAAAGCACTCACCTCGCCCACGCCAAAGACCATCACCGGCTTGTCCACCGTAACGACTTCGGCTGCATTGCTGGAACTTCCGGGAAGCGCGAACATGTAGACGATTTTGACGCCCTCCGTCACCTCAATCCAGTCGCCGATCGTAATGAACATGCGCAGGAAATCAGACGAGGCCACACTTCCCGCACGCTTGCGTTTGAGCGCCTCGTGGACGCCCTTGAAGGCTCGGACACACAGCTCAGCGGTCTTCTTGATGGCCTTTTTCTCATCGTAATCTTCGAGCTCAAAGCTTGTAAAGACCCGGGTCGAGCGTTTGAACACGAAGTTTTCGCGGGCGCCGTTCAGCACACCATGCGCAGTCAAACAGGCCTGCAGGACATCATGGATTCCCTGAGAAATGTAGCGCTCATCCACGGTGGGTTCTGTCCATGCTCTGCCCTCAAGTACAGCTTTGTTGAAGGCTGTCAACTCGTCCACTGTTGGGACAACACCAGAGATCCTGAAGAGGCCAAGGTTGGTGAAGGCTTTGTAGTTGTTGCTGTGGTCGATCGGCTGGATCAAGATGTCTGTCCTAGGCAGCTGTGGCCGTGGAGCCATGGTTAAGGAAGTGGTCACGAAAAAAGTGTCTCGTTTCTTACTCCTTCTCCAACTCTTCCAGGCGTAGGTGAGGGATGTCTGCGAGAGAGGAGGCCTTGCAATTTATAAGTAGCTGGTCGCCATATCGGGGTACATGTATACTGCCATTCAGAAATCCGAATGTTTCCACTCCCCATGAACCAGTGTCTTCATGCTGGTGCCATGGAAGAGTCAAACGTGTCAGGCGCCTGTTTGTTCTTTGTCACTACAACGACGTGTACATATATAAAATGTACACTGGAAACAATCAGAACCAGAGATGATGGTAGAAGTCTGGCTTGCGTGTATCACTTCAGAAGACTCAGCCTGAGAAACACGGCGGTGAAGGGCAACATTCGTAGCACTGGGCAAACAGTCTGTTTGCTTCCATACTGGGCATCATGGATCGGTCTGCAATCATCCTAAACAATTGACCTATCAGTTTCACCAGGAATAATTGAACTGTCTTTCATATGTGGGTTGACTGCAGCTAGCAGTTTGCAATTTGATTGACACCAAATTCCTCTGGAAGCATTTCTAGAGAGGAGAAGAGTAGCATGTTTTAGGAACATGGATGCACTGCCTGGGCAGTTGCGTTGTTGAGGGAAATATTCCATAGCCACGGTAAATCCTTCGTCCCATCCATGAGGTCGCTTGAGCACTCCACATATTCAATGTGGCAGTTCTGAAGTTCACCACCCTCCGACTAGCATCTGGGGTCTCGTGGCTCCGCTTCTTCCAGGGTTCGTCACGGCCCGAGAGAACCTAGCTGACGATCATTGGCAGATCAACTACAGGGATGGCTGAGCATTTACCGTGCTTACGTCCGGGGGAAAGTGTTTCGTGACTAAGAAGGTCACCTTAGTCCCCAATCTTGGTCTTGGCGTGCAAGCGAAGAGATCGTCTGTTCTTGATTCGGAGTGCAGGGTGCCGCTGTCCTGTTACTAACATGCGACCTTCTCTGTTTGGCTCAAGCGCTGCCAAGGAGAGAGCCCTGTATGAGATTCACCTAGGTCGAACCACTCCCAGACTTAGTCGCTTAGCCTAAATGTTGGTCACGAGACTCGATCCATCGTCGCTGACTCCATCCGACGTCTCCTTCACACGTTTCCTCTCTTTGAAAGATAGAGCTTGTCACTCGATATCACGGTCGCTTCACGATGATACGCATTGGCCGGCATGCATCGAACAGCGCGTAGTAATCGCATTCGCCTGGTGGCAATCGGCTTGGGGCTCGCCATTCTCTATTTCACCTTCTCACCATGGTCCTTCGGATACGACTCTGAGTCGGTTCGTCTGACTCAATTTATGAACAGTAAGGAAACCGGAACTCCTGCTGTGGTGAAGCCGAGCAGCTTCAACTGGAGCAGCGTTGCCTCGCAACACGTCTCGGAGACTTTGATAGTCCCATGGAACAAGCATGCGAGACTTCCAAGAGTTCAGTATGTCTTTGACAAGGAATCGAACGAGGAGGCCCAAAGTAGAGAGTACAGACGCACCCAGGTCCGAAATGTCTTCCAGCGGGACTGGCAAGCCTATCGCAAGTTTGCATGGATGAAGGACGCATTAATGCCGAAGACGGGCTCCTACCGAGACCAGTTCTCAGGGTGGGCTGCGACGTTGGTTGATTCACTGGACACGTTATGGATCATGGGACTCAAGGCCGAGTTCGACGAGGCAGTTGCAGCTGTGGCTGGCATTGATTTCGGAAACTCAACATCGACTACAGTCAACACGTTTGAGACTAATATCAGGTACCTGGGCGGCTTGCTCTCGGCGTATGATCTAAGCAAGCGACCTATCCTCTTGGCGAAGGCCATTGAGCTAGGCGACCTCCTCCATCTGGCATTCAATACCGAAAATGGCATGCCAGTTGACTTCATCGACTTTCAAAGGGCCAAGACCGGAGAGAAATTGTTGGTGGAACCAACCGTGGTGTCGGCATCTCCAGGAACTTTGTCTTTGGAGATGACTCGACTTTCTCAAATCACGGGCAACCCGAAGTACTACACCGCAGTGTCCGGCGTCATGAGCCTATTCTATCGCAATCAGAATCGCACAAACATCCCTGGACTTTGGCCTACGTACGTCTCTATGAGCCGCAAAGACGTGACGACTGGTAGCCAGTTCACTCTTGCCGGGTCTGCTGACTCTCTTTACGAGTACCTTCCTAAGATGCATGGCCTATTGCAGGGAGCAGAGCCCATGTATGATACTATGTCAAGGGGATTTCTAGACGCAGCCAACGAGCACATGCTCTTCCGGCCAATGCTCCCCGGCGAGGACGATATTCTTATTTCCGGAAATGCCAACGCCAATGATGATGGCAAAACTTCCTTAGACCCGGAGAGTGAGCATCTCGCTTGTTACCTTGGCGGTGCCTATGCACTGGGTGGGAAAATACTACAGCGTCCTGACGACATCGAAACTGGGGCGAAGTTGACCAAAGGCTGCATGTATGCATACAAATCCATGGCTTCAGGAGTTGGGCCAGAGCGGTGGAACATGGTGGCGTGCGAGTCTCGCACCAACTGCAAATGGAACGAGGAGACTTGGGTAAAAGAGAGACAGAAGAGGCCAGAGTGGAAGGAACACCTGCCCCGAGGGTTTACCACTGTTAAGGACCCACGGTATATCCTCCGACCGGAGGCTATCGAAAGCGTATTCATTCTGTACCGTATTACTGGACGTCGGCAATATCAGGATGCGGCATGGGACATGTTCCAGGCGGTCCGCAACGCGACTCACACGCAATACGCTAGCGGTTCCGTCCCTGACGTTACAATTCCCATTGATACATCGAAGAACGAGGACTACATGGAGGTAAGTGAAGCTTGTCCGCCCGATTTAAACTGCGCACTAAAATTGTATGCAGAGCTTCTGGCTTGCTGAGACCTTGAAATACTTCTACCTCGCTTTCTCGCCGCCAGATCTCATTAGTCTTGACGATTACGTCCTGAATACCGAGGCCCATCCGTTCCTGATACCAAGATGAAGAAGACACAGCTCTGATTAGAGTATTCCTAAATAAACCCAAGGATCGAGACATCTACCTTCATTGGTGCATATAGATCCTCTTGCATGACAACTCTGGCTCAAGAGTATGTTCGCGCTTGAAGCGCGGCTACCGGGACCTATCAAGGGAAGGGGCATTCGATATACCACATGGCCTTTTAAATGTTACCCCGGTAAGTCGCCGCAAACACACTTATTCTCTCAAATGCGGATAATGTGCTTCAACAATGACAAGGTGATATGCCAAGGCCAAACCAAGTCGGATACAGGTCATGTCACGGAATATGTATCATCAAGCCATAGCAATATAATCGGTGGCTATATTATTACATACATATATCTGAAGATTTGAAAGCCATGATTGCCACCGTCCTCAACGCCTTCGCAACAGAAATGTAAACCTAGGTGATAAGCGACAGCTTATGCTCCAAATGCCTTATCATAATCCGTCAGAGTGAACCGGTAGTGGACCTTGTTGTTCTTCACCCTGTCCACAGCTTCGGCACAACCCTTCTCTGACACAGGTAGGGTCTCGATCATGGGCGTAATCTTCTTATCGGCGGCCAGCTTCAGCATAGCTAGCATCTCAGGACGAGAGCCAATGTGACTGGCGCCAATGCTCGACCCGTTGGCCATGAACTGCTGAGGCTTCAACTCCTTGATCGGCTCATCTGGCAGGCCGACCTGGTGGAAGCGGCAGTTGACCTTGAGAATGGAGAGGTATTCGTCGAGGTTGAAAGTATTCGTCATGTCTGCCGTGTTCAGGACGAAATCGAACTTGAACGCCAACGGCTTGGCCCAATCCTTCTCGCCCGAGCTGACGAAGTGCTTCGCGCCAAGTTTGAGGGCATCCTCCTTCTTGTGAGGCGAGTGCGAAATCACGGTTACGTCGGCTCCAAGTGCTGCTGCCCACAGAACCGCGAAGTGGCCCAGACCACCCAAGCCCACGATGGCGACTACCTTGCCGGGCCCGATTCCCGCACGCACGAGGGGCGACCACACCGTCAAGCCTGCGCACATCATGGGTGCTGCTGCGTGGGAGGGGATGGCGTCTGGAATGGGGAAGACAAAATACTCATGAGCGCGGATGTGAGACGCATAACCTCCTTGAGAAATAGTCTCGTCGGGGTCCACGTCTTTCGGGTACGGGGCACCATAGGTGTCTAACAAGTCAGCACTCTGATGAAGCTAGGCTGTCGCCAGGCTGTTGTACTCACCAACCATGTGGGGGCAGTAGTTCTCGTTGTCGCTCTTGCATTGAGGGCACTTCAAGCAGGCCCAGACTTGAGCACCAACACCGACGCGATCGCCGACCTTGACGGTCTTCACGCCAGATCCCACTTTGATGGCCTTGCCAACCACTTCGTGGCCCACGCAGAGGGGAGTTGGTGCGTCGCCCCAGCCACCGGTGATGGTGTGGACGTCGGAGCCGCATACACCACAGCACTCAATCTTGATATCGACATCATTGTCTCCAAACTTCTTAGGTTTAAACTGCGGTGGTGTTAGGGTGATATCCTTCGTGTGGTGTGAGATTAGGAGTCTTACGGGCTGCTTCTTAAAGTCCTTGTATTTTCCGAGCTCATTAATCATAAAGCCCTCGAATTCGTCTGGGTAAGGCATGATGACGGATATAGTTGGGTCGTTTAATATATGTGGTTCCGGTTGAATAAGGATGCACGTTGTCTTGGAGCAGATATTTGGCTTTTCAGAAATTGAGCAATGGGTTATCATGCCAGGAACTGCGGTTATGAAGTATATGTCTACTCATTGCAGCATGATGACATGAAGTTGTCACATACATAGCGAGCCACATGGCCCTGTGGTGCGGACCTGACTGGTGGGACCAATGCGGGATGTGACGTCGAGCATTTCCATAACTCTATTCGACTCTGTGGCAAATAGTCTAATGACGATAAGCTCTACCCTCTCCCGTTAGGTCGTTCCCAGAGCTTCGAATTCCAGACAATTAATTCCTCGGCGGAGACTCTCAACTGAGAGCTACACACTTAGGATCAAATCGAGCAGCATTCGCAAGGACCACAGGCTAGTAAGTGGTCACTGATCAGACGCTAATTCATCGTACCACAGGTTCTCCCCAGATTTGCCTTAGCTCAAACAGAATATTGTTCGATCAGCGATCTACCAACACCCGCACCCGCACTTCTTTCGACAGGAGGCTCGAGCATTCCGGAGACAATCTCCCGGTGAAGTGCTTGAAGTGGTTGACATCATTGACGTTGCGGGCTTAGACTTAGATCCACAACACTAACTTAGCGCCCGTCGGGCCGTTCGGCCACTTCAACAGACTGTCTATGTCGCGTTATCACGTGATAGGTATACTCAGTTACAAAAGCTGTGCTATGAAGCAAAGTATTCCTTGTAGTAGCAATACCAGGTGTTGTCGCTTAGCTTATCGTATTGCGGTGTCTAGCAAACCTAGAGTCCCATTTCGCAGTCGATCTCAGTCACTTTTCAGAGCCTCCCACGATGCATGATGCCCTATCTTACAATGAGTGATCGGTACAACAACTTGCGCAATCTTCACTTCGGTAAGGTATAGACCCTCCTCTGGAAAATAGCAGACTCAAATCGGAATGCAACAAATATGGCCTCACGTGCGATGGTATGCCACCAGGATGGCCTATTAGACTTCACATATAGACACGTTATTAAGTAAGTCTCATATATCTCAGCATTTATTATCCTGAATCTCGCCAATTCATCCGGTGGAGCATCCCATTAATACAGGAGTGCTTCTCCTAGCATTGCACGTATGCAGTAGCCAGCCAATGAAGAACATACAAAAACTATCTCGAAACCAACGCCATGCATTCCTCTTATTAACGCCTGACACCCGCCAAAGCAGTAGACAACTCGAACTCTGGCCATGTTACTCGAAACATGACTTCCGATATCTAGTTTCGAATGCCGTAAAGAGCAGCGTAGGATGCATTGACGCTACGATTGTGTTCTCGGGCACGCTGCTTCACGGTATTCCAGGCTTTGTCTAGCGAGGAACGGCGCGAAGAGGTTGTCGACGAGGCCGACGAAGGCAATGACTTGGTGGAGGAGGTAGATGTAGATGTTGGTGTAGTAGTTCGGAGGCCGTAGTAGGTCTCGTATGCTGCATTGACCGAGTCGTGGTGTTCCTTTGCGTGTCGCTTCACGGACTTCCACGCGGTCTCAGCCTTGTTCGAGATGGAGAATGAAGGCATTGTCGTGTGATGATGAACTGAGATATGTTTTTTTTTTCGGTATCAAGTAGCTGATAAAGTAAGGGTCCTCTCTGGAATCAGTGAGGTGGACCGCTGGTGCAGTTGTTGTTGCGCAAGTAGAGTAGGTTTGCTTGTGGCTTATTGTAAGATATGATGGCTTGTATATTGAAGCTATTGCTGAGAAGTAACTGCCACAAGCCCTAGAGATGCCCCTTATTCTTATACCTCCTTATTGCTATGGTTTCTCCATGACTACGTGAAGAGCGTTTGGCTATAATATGACTAATGGGACAACGTTTTGTCAGCAGGGCGCCCTGGTACCCCACAAAATTTGGCAGCAACCAATGCCGGCGCGCGCCTTTCGATCCCGCTACAGCGCAGTGACTCCCCGAAATGACAGCGCTAACCCCGCAACAGGTATGGTGCTCCAAGTGCGGGAAGTTTCTCGCAACTCATGGTGGAACCGTCGCAGCTTGTACACGGCACGAAATGACTTGTTCGACTTGAAAGGCGCAAACGCAATTCTAATTTTGGGTCTCGTCATCAACTGGTCCAGAAAGCCCCAAACTCTACAATCTTGATTTGCATCGCGTGCAAGTTCGAGAACATTCCCAAGAACACCGGAATTTACCGGCGCTCAGAATCAAGTGTGTACTATGTAGTTACCTCGTCGTCGGTTCACCTCTGTAATGTGCGTTGAGCCGCGTTGTGATCTCCGACTATCTGACGCTATGTGGCGTGGGAGCAAATAGCTTTCTCGTTTTACAAGCATGGCAACCCCAAAATATCCGAAGCAGAGATCTCTCTCTTAGGAGGATAAAAGCTGGCTTCTCGACGGCTGGTTGACTTGGATTTCCTGGAATTGATGGTGGCTGGACTGCTTCAACGCTAGGCCAGTGTGTTTAATTATAGATCACTCCGCGATGTAAACGCATCCACGCACTTGAAAGTACTTTGCAACTCAAAGCGCTTGGTCAGTTCCGGCTGTGGTTGTCTATCTCTTCTTCGGCTTGCCGGCACCTCGGCCCGCAACCTTCTTCTTTGACTTGTCGTTCTTGAAATTCAAGACGGCGCCTTTACCTGCACGCTCGGCAGATCCCTTCTTCCAAGATCGGCCGTCCGTCCTGTCCGACCTCGAGTCAAGCTTCTTCCTATCCTTGCCACTGAGCTTACCACCTCCCTTCTTCTTCAGAGTGTCCTTGAGTCCATTCAGCTCGGCGCGACCACGCTCCTTCGCCTGCTTCTTGTCGTTCTGTGTCTCGAACCATGTCCGCTTGGGCCTCGACTTGATTTCATCCTCATGGATCATCATGTTCTCACCCTTCTTGATCTGCATCTCGGCGTTGGCCATCTGCCTTTCTTCCTTCTCTTCCCGATTGATCTCTTCGATCTCATCGTCCATCTCGTCGATCTGGCTCTGCCACTTGTCGGCCTCAGTAGCCTCTATGACGAGACTGCTGATCTTGGCACCCTGAGCCTTGCCCGACTTGACTGCAGCCTTTACAACCTTGCGGTCCGGCTCTGCTGCCAGAGTAACTGCCACACCAGAGCGACCCGCACGAGCTGTACGACCGACACGATGCACGTAGATCTCAAGGGACTGTGGGGCTTCGTAGTTGATGACAGTGTCGATTCCCTTGATGTCGAGACCTCTGGAAGCAACGTCTGTGGCCAATAGGTAGGAAACCTTGCCATCACGGAAATTTTCAACACTTGCAATACGCTGTGTATGTTAGTTCACGAGTTCATGTAGAACAGGGGTTTGCTCTTACCTGTGCTTGATTCATACTGCCATGGAGCTCAGCGCATGACAAGCCAAGAAGTCCAAAAACGATGCGTACACGATGGGCCTCTTTCTTCTGGCGGAAGAAAATGATAACACGCTCTGAGTACATGGTCTTACAAATATGCACCAGGTAGCCAAGTCTCTTCTCCTCGCGTCCAGGCCGTAGCCGGACGAACTTCTGCTCCAGCTTCTGGACAGTCTTGTTTTGAGAGTCGACCATGAGACGGACGGGTTTGTCCATACCAACGCGGACAAGCCTATCCACGGAAGAAGTCATTGTAGCAGAGAAAAGCATGGTCTGGCGGGACTTTGGTATAGTTGTCAAGATCTCGTTCAGCTCATCGGCAAAACCATCCTCGAGCATCCTATCAGCTTCATCCAGGACCAGAATCTCCACAGTATCAACGTTGAAGCTAGCAGAGTTGCGCATATGGTCAATGAAACGACCCGGCGTGGCGATGACAACATCGGGTCTCAGGCGCAGCTCGGCCTCCTGGACCTTCAAGCTCAAACCTCCCACGGCCAGACAGAACTTGATGTCGGTATGACTAGCCAGTTTCGTAGCCACGGAGTGACATTGAATGGCCAATTCACGCGTTGGTGTCATAATCACCACACGAGTGGTGGGCACCTTCTTGGGCCTGTAGAGGAGACGTTCCAGAATTGGGACGACGAAAGCGGCAGTCTTACCGGAACCAGTCACGGCTCCGCCGACCACATCCTTGCCGCCAAGTGCCATGGGTATAGTCTTGGCCTGAATCGGGGTGGGTTTGCTGAATCCCACAGACGCAAGGCCTCGCAGGATCGGTCGCGAGAGCGACATGCCTTGAAAGGATGATTTTGTCAACTGTTTCCCAGACTTTGTCTTGTCCTCTGGCGCAAAGAAGGCCTCTCGCTTGGCCGCCTCCTCTGGGTCCTCGGCATCGGATTCGTCGGAGTCGCTGCCGTCGTCGGGATGGTCTACGGGCGTGGCCACGGAATCATTATCAGAGGCCGCTCCATCTTCGCCATCGTCATAGTCGTCATGATCTTGGTCCATATCGTCGCCAACTGCGTCGTCGGACTCTTCAGCATCGGAACCAGCACCCATACCGAAGCCGTCAGCGGCAAGGACCTCGTCGTCCTCGTCGTCGAGGTCAATGTCGGCACCTTCCTCGTCATCCGCGGGCAATTCATCAACCTTGCGTTTCGCCTTTGCGCCGCCCTCCTTCTTCTCTCTTCGTCTCCGGATTATGTCGTCCAGGTCGACGGCTCGCTTTTCGCTCATGCCTCGCTTGGCGCCATCGAAGCCCCAGCCATCAAACTCGCCCCCCATGATGTCGGCGGTAGCCTCGGCCATGAACTCGAAGTCAGAATCCATGGCACCGTCATCGTCATCATTCTTGCCCCATATTCCAGTGTCCTCGGCAGCATCGGCGTCGTCGTTCTTGGCACCTTTTTTGGCTTTTTTGCTGGGTTTCGACTTCTTCTTTGGCGGCGCAACAGGCAATTCCTCCTCCACGGGGATGTCTTCGTTGTCGGATATGGTAAGGACGAAGTCGTCGTCCGGAACCTTGCGCTTGACCATTTTTGCCGCGTTTCCAGTTGTTGCCGACGAGAGATTGAAGCTATCCAAAAATTTTGGGTTTAGATTCAGATTGCGATAAGCCCAACTTTTTTTTACCGGGCGGTGAAGGCGGCTCCCAAGCATGCCCCACTGCTACTGTTAGCGGCGAGACCCCTAAGGACAACCGATGCAAGACACTTTCAGCCAATCAGCGCGACTCAATTTCATGGGCTAGGTTACCCATAGGCCTGTAAACGAGTGTACCTACAGCATCTTTACATCACCTCTGACTGGCAATGGGCACTTTGCAGTCTAAATTAGATATACATAGACACGACATGTAGCATAGTGTCAAATAGTGTCAAACATGCTGCACAGGCCCTCGAAGGCGTCTAGTGTCTTGCCAGTGGGCCCAAAAGCCATGCTTGCTGTCACTTTGGCGATCATGCCGATTCGTAAACTGAGAGTGCAATTTTTGGGTTACAACAATGCGACGAACAGACTTCATTCTTTCTTTCATATTGAGTCTTGAAATCTAATGTGTTTCGTTGACTTGAACTTCAGCCGTTCGGGTACTTGGAGTAAATGTGGCTCTCTTGACCATGTCATGTCAGGATTGAGTCCTCAAGGGCAGTCTTTCTGTTTATTGTCGCGCTTTATCCCAAACCGATAGAAATGATATGCCATACGTGATAAACAAACGGGCAGCCTTTTGTGCTTCTGGCTAGGTAACAAACTGGTAAGACATGTTCCACTGGACCTTATACACATATGGCACTGATGATTGGCTTCATGTTGAATCGTCGAGAATGTATTGCTACAGCGAGATAATCTTCGGCCTTGAATCCATCAGATAAACATTGCGGCCTTGCGTGATTGTCGGTAGCTTCCCGCTCGCGACAGACCAAGCTGGTTCATCGAGCTACTTGTCGTATACCTTGACCTTCTCGTAGTGGTATGATGGTTCAACATTCGCGGCACCCTCCATTCCTTCAGTAGCTCCGAGATTGGCTCCTCTCTTATTGCCATGTGCCGAGGAACGGGTACCGGTGTGAGAAGAAGAAGAACTAGTGCCTCCAAGGGAACCTTCAATATTTCCCTCCTGGACGCGAGACGTCTTTCCGGTGTTGTCATTTCTGATCTAGTAGTTAAATTCGTTAGCCTGGGGAAATACAGCTTCTGTCAAGACGAGGTTCAAACTCACTTCGTACTTGATTCCACTCTCATCGTTGACGGCACCCATTACCTTGCCGGTGGTATCGGAGACTTGAGAGTTAGGGCCTTGGAATAGTTAGCGGCTGAAGGTAGCTGTAGCTATATACAACGAACCTCCGATGGGCTTGTACTGAACGTTGTCGCCTTTTTTGTACATGGTGTTAATTGTTGTTTGATATAATTATACAGTTGTGTTCGTCGAGATCTGTATTGGATCTGTCTGAGCAAGGAGAGGTTGGGCAGATCGCCTTTTATCTCCAGATTATTTTATCACGACGTAGAACTAAGACAACTACATCTTGTTTTATGACGAATAGCTATGATGGCTATAGCAGTCATGATGTTCTCCCGCATTAGCTAAAGTCTGAGCCAGGGACCGCCCATGAAGTTGGGCACCATGCGCCAGGTAGCACCAGAAGATCTCCAAGATCATGACAGGTGGCTTGGCAATTCTGCTGCTCAATTATTACCAGCAATAGAAAAGAGTTTGATCTCACATGCCGTTCAGGCACCAAATTTAACGCTTGATATGCGTTACGCCAAGGAACCGCCCAAAGCTTCGCCACGGCTAGTCTTGGACGATGCGGCCGGCAATGCAGCTGAAGCGCAACTGTATAAGGAGAAGACCTCGATTAACTTGAAACCAGCCATTCGCGATGAACTCACATGAAAACAGGCCCCACGAATGTATCTGGTTGAGGGGCGGTGATGCGCATTTGGTTCGTGCTCGCACCTAGGCTCTGGTATATTGAGGAGCTCAGTTCAGCAACATTTCCCAGTATCTGACTTCGAAAGCCTGTATGTCATTGATCCTATACAGATAGATCTCCAGGGTTCGCGCTGCATTAGTACACACATATATGCGGACACCCGCAGGCTGCCAGTCATACGAACGAGGGTAGCTTACTTCAAGCGCCCAGGTACCCTTCCAATCTCTCTCACGGTATGAACCGTCAACCATGGTCCGTTTAAGAGCAGGGCGAAGTCATATATGAAATGAATCTAGGCTCTACAAAACAGTTCGTACACACAGTCTTAGCATTTCCAGTTCCAGCACACGGGAAGTTACCACTGCACTTCTAGCAAGGATTTCCGGGGCTAACGATTAAGGACTATAGGAGGACGAATCTGATTGAAAGAGTTTAATTTGCTGAGAGCGTGTCATTGAGCAGAATTATGCGGTTTGTGATCTGCTTGAAATTGCTCCCTTGTACAGCTCAAGGATGGACGAGCTGTGCCAGCGCAAGCGGCGAACTCGTTAGGAGGGGTCCCCAACGGGCTTCCACCAGCGCCTATTCAAGACCCTCGAAATCCCCGATGCCCTCTACAAGCATGTCATTTCTGGCGCAGTTTGATCTTGGCAATGAAACCCTACTGTTCATTATTGTTCCTCCGGGCTGGCACACAATCGATGCGGAGCAAACGTTGGAAAATGAACATGGTGTTCGCCGAGGAAGCTGGAGGTCATAGCCTACCTATTCAAGTGGACAGCCTGAGCTCCAGTGGGGCGTCAGATTCGGCCCGTGGCGGGGAGGAAGCCCACCTGGGCAGTTGTGATATAGCCCATCTGGGCAGCCCTGGAGATGGCCAGGCCAGGGGGAGGAGGGGGCTAGAAGCACGAGCCCAGAGCGCGGGCGGTATTCGTGCAGGAATCCGCAAAATGCGACGGGCTGATGTCATTGCTACGCACGCCTGCATCTCGAATCAGAGCCGCGTCTGCATCTGCCTTGACCCGTCGCACTCGTGCATACCTTTGCCTAGCATCGTGAGCACCCGGCAACTCGGCAGCAGCGGCTTGATCCTCTGCTCTCTTGTCATCGGTTTCCCCGGCTTGCTCGCACAACCGCCAAAGTGGCGCCCCCTCGCCGCTTCCTGCCGCCGCATCCCCATCCCCATCCCCATCACAAGGCGTCCCTCTTTCGATACCTGTTCCCACGACTCAGTCAGCGCTACCGCGACCGCTTGATCGGCTTCCGCCTCGACACGCTCCCCCGGTACAAACACAGCCTCCAGAGTCGCATCTACCGCTTCATTCTTGAGCGCCAGCGGCGGCGCAGAGAGCAGTCGCGTCTGGTCGACAAAGCGCGGCGCTTGCTTCTCGGGCCGCCGAAGCCAAGGCTGCGGGCCAAGGCACCCGTTCCGCGCCTTGTGAGGAAGCGGGATGCGACACAGCGCAAAGTGTCGGGAGTGATGTCGTACCTGTCTGGCTATGGCCCTGGTTCTGGAAATGGAGCCGCTGGTGCCGGCGATGGCGACCGCGGCGCACGGAGGAGACGGCTAGCTGCCATGGCTGGAAGGGTCTACAGTGCGGGCGCCTCGGCCGTCAGCGAGATACGAGAGTCATACAACCAGACGCGAGCCGGACAGATCGATACGGCCGAGGTCTCCAAGATCACAATACCCGGCTCCTTTCCCGAGGTCGCTATCGTTACCAAGGGGAACGAGCAGATGGTGCTGTTTCCCTCCTATGCAAAGAGGCACGTCAAGGGCCAGGCGCGGATGTACGAGGACCCAGCTGGGCCCCCGCATCCCGCCTCCGTTGACGTGAACGAGGAAGAATACTGGCGCCAGGAATGGGCGCGGCACGAGGACGAGAAAGCCATCGTCGACGTTGACGTGCGCGGATGGATCTACAACCCGCACAAGGGCCCTATGACCCGGAGGAATCGCGTCTTGATAGGACTGGCCCGCCAACTCAGTGGCATACCCGTGCCGAGAACACAGCAGGGCACAGACCAGTCGCCACAGTCGCTGCATCAGCAGCACGAGGAGGAGCGCGAGCAGATGCGAATTGCGCAGGAGGCCAAGGAGATCGAACAGAGGGGACAGGCCGAGAAGGAAGCCGCACAGCGCGGAGGGTACAGCGAAGCACCCAAGGACCCGGACTCGGAAGATGACGCTAGCGGTATTCACCACCTCCGCCAAAGTGCAACACCAACGCCGTCTCTCCGCTCTCGCCCGGGGTCGCCAAAGATGGGCATAAACCGGACCAATTCGGCGGGAGGCACTGAGCTAAGTGAAGCTGAGCTAGCAGTCGCCAATGCGAACCTCATGGCACGAATAGCGCCCTTCATGACAACTCCATTGGTGCAGATGCCTATTACGGTATTTTTCTATAATGACTCGCAGTCGCAATCTCGCACTGTCATGACAAACGATTCTGGGCACTTCATACTCAGGGCACCGTTGGATTTTGTGCCGACTCACCTCAGGGTGCTGGCGAATGAGGACCTGTCAGCAACAGAGCCCATACAGATCATCGAGCCCAAGGGCATCAGCTTGATTAGCGACATTGATGACACCATTAAGCACTCGAGCATCAGCATGGGCGCCAAGGAGATCTTCCGGAATACCTTTATTCGCGACCTAGGTGATTTGACTGTCCCTGGAGTAAGGGAATGGTATGGCAATCTGCATGGACTTGGTGTCCGTATACATTATTGTTCGAACAGTCCTTGGCAGCTGTTTCCGGTAATTGCATCGTACTTCAAGCTGGCTGGCCTGCCCCCCGGCTCGATCCATCTTAAACAGTACAGCGGCATGCTTCAGGGCATCTTCGAGCCTGTTGCCGAGAGGAAGAAGGGAACACTAGAAAAGATCATGCATGATTTTCCAGAGCGACGGTTTGTCTTGGTTGGCGACAGTGGTGAGGCTGACCTTGAAGTCTACACCGAGATTGCTGTGGCCAACCCTGGTCGCATTGTCGCCATCTTCATCCGCGATGTCACGACGCCAGAGCAAGCGGGCTATTTTGACTCTGGGTATGGTGGTGTCAACGGTCGTGATGAGCGCAGGGCACCTGGTGCGCGAGGGAAACCCGGTTCAAGGAGTGACAGCTCCGATGACAAATCGAGAAGGCCAGCGTTGCCTCCACGCCCTGCATCGGAGTTTCAACATCCTGCACGCCCAGTCACGGAGGACTTGATTGATTTCTCCGATGAACCTCAACAATTACCTCGTCGTGGATCTCAACATATAGATGAATTTCAGGAGGAGCTAGGTGGTGCAAACAGCAAGGGCAAGAAGCCACCACCGCCTAGACCAGCAAAGCCTGTATCGTTGAAAAGCTCACCTGCAACCCCAGTTATGGGATCTAAAGATGTTGGTGCGAATTCGGAACAAAAACGGCCGCCGCCACCACCACAAGCTCGCAGGACAGAACATCTCTCTGGGCCGGCCATGAACTCATCGACCTCTCATCCACTTGCACAGATACACAATTCTTCCCAACAGTCCATAGCGTCAAGGCCTCAAGCTCAGCCAAGGATGAGAACCCAAGAGGATATCTCGGCTTCCTCAAGCACATCTACATTAGCCCGATCTGGAGCTCCGCCGCCCCCGCCGCCACCACGTCGCCGTGGTACACCTTCGAGCACCATGCCTTCTTCAAGCCCAAGGATCATGGCTGCCAACAGGAGGAGCAACGCAAACTCCGATGTGGAGAGCATTGACCCACTGCCCCAATCCTCGTACCCGAATAACGCTTACAACGGCGTTTCGCCGTCAGAGGCGCCTCTGAACAAGAAGCTTGACCTGTGGTTACGGCGGCTACAACGAGCCCAAGAAACTCTGGAACGACAGGGCGTTGCCTTGTACACATGGAGACGTGGGAGTGATGTCGTCGAGGAGGCCCTGGGCATCGTGCGTGGCGCGATGAAGGAGATGGGCATCAAGGAAGGAGAGGGAGAGATCAGGGAATTGAAGAATAAACGATAGATCTAGCAGGGCTAAAGCGACTATGTAACAGCAAAACACTAGTGGACTACACCAAATTTATCCCTACTCGTGCTATCATTGAGAGTCATCATGAAACGAAGGCAATGGATCGGGCTTGCTCACATCAAAAGTTAAGATGTGCTACCTAGATATCAACACTATCCTTTGAGAGAGGGGCTATGTAAGGTTTATGACTTAAGAACTCAGGTTCGAAAGCACAAGCGGTCTTGGTAGGGACGCTTTCTAACCAGACTCTCATGCTATTTTGGCGCTCCCAGCTAAGAATGCGAGCACCGCTGATTCTTGGTGTATCGATTATCAACTCGCACGAGCTGAATAAGCTGGAGAGCAGAATCAGCGTAGGCCACAAGTCCAACTGGTCCAACGAGAAGTTGAGAGGCGCTATTCAAACAAAGTCATCTGCACAGTTGTCGCTGCTATCCGCAAGGCCCCGTTGTACGGGCCCGGTAGGATGACTGGCGCTGCGGGAGATTCCGACAGACCAAGCTACACGGTCATGATGAACGATCAAGAAGCAACCGAAAAGGTGAAGGCTGGGACGGCGGTTAGAAACGCCCAGAGGTATGACGCACCACAAGAGCACAGTGGTATCCGTACTTCGATAGATAGTGGGCCGGATAGTGAAGCTCCTCCACGTTGCGTTGGACAACTGTCATTCCCTGGACTGGCGGTTGAAGACAGCAGCTGTTGCTGAGGCTGCTAAGATGAAGTCTGCGAAGAGATTCATCTTGAATCTTGTTGAATTGCTTTCTTGTGTTGCAAGGGTTTCGGTAACAACAGTCAAAAATGTGAATTCAGTATTACCAGGCGAACACGAGCCACAACAAAAAGTAAAACTAAAATCTAGATTAATTGCTCTGTTTCTTGCGAGAAATTTACATTCAAAGAGCTTCCTTTTATGCACCAGCTTCAATGTGGATCTGGTTGATATCGTCAGCCAAGAAGTAAGTGTTAATGCCTGCCCTAGTTTGTTGATTTTGTTCCGTCGTTTCGAGGGTTTCCTTCTATGGCGTGACTGACCAAGGAACCTTGCCAAGTAGGTGTGTTATATTTTTTGATGCTCGGCTTCCGATCTCCATATTGCTTCGAATTCACCTCGAATGCCTTTTTACGTCACTTGAAGGGTGGAGGTTGGAAGGGCTTGCTCGGCTAGAATAAAGCCAGCAGCATCACCGCGGATCCAGCTGCCAAAACTGGAAACAGATGGGATGAACTGAGACGACGAGTGATCCACAAAGTCATAGCATTGAATGATCGCGAGAGCCCCGATCATTGTTTATCCACCTTAATTCTGATGAATCCAGTGTTTCATGGATGCAGTCTAATCTACCCGCCAAGAAATCATGGGATGACACAAGATGCCATAATGACTTGCATGAGAATCACAATATGTCTTTGTTAAAACAATAATACTTATCAAGTCTTTTGGTTCTTGGTAATAGAGAGGTGATTGCCGCCGTCTCTAAGTCTGCATGATAACATTCAGATCGTTAGGGGGAGGGGTTTACTTTGCGTGCAAAGCCCATATTTGCTGCAAATTGACATAGAGCATACATAGGAGGAAGCCATCGATAATATATTAGGTTAGAGGACTTATGATTCACGTTGCGGCGGGTGGGGCTGATAACATACTCACTCTATAGAGCTACCGATGACGTCCAACACCCGCCAAGGCCCTGACTTTTGATGCATCCGTATTTATATCTCATGATCCATCAGCTAACAGACATAAGCCCTGGCGAGGCGTTCGTATGCTTCAAGAAAAAGGCTAAGGTCCATGAACCTATCATGCATAGGGTGCGTTCTGCTAGATTATGCTGCAGATAGTTGCCCACAGACTACTCAAGGGCTGGGCTTCAGTTGTTCAGCAATTATATTCGGCAAGGTTCGGAGACAAAAAGCATGTTCTTCTTGAGGGGTGGCGGCGCTAATGTGAGTGACGCAGAAGTAAGCATGAACACTAATCAGCCCCTCGTGACCGCAGGACTTTGGGGCTTACTTCATACGACGACTTTGCTGCTGTGCGAGCGAAACATCTCGTAAAGATACACATCACTGCTCATCTTAGTCTACTGCCGCTCCGCCTCGTGTGATACGAAGTACGTTTCGCGGAAATATCTTGAACGCTACAAATAGACAAATTCTCCCCGTAAGCATCGGCACACATCGCTACACCAACCCTCATCAGCTACTGGAGCCAGCACTCCCTCTACAACACACCCCTCTGTCGCAAATCAACATATTCTATAAACGGTCGCGATGCGTGCTGTTTCCCTCGTTGCTGCCTCCAACGTGCTAGCGCTCGCGGGTGTGGCATCGGCCTGTGGCAGTGCCATCGTCACCGTCGAGGCATCGCACGGCGGCGCCGGCAACGGCCTCACCAACACTACAGTCACGGTGCCCATCGGCACCGTATTCACTGGCGACAAAGCTCTAGATACGGTGTCTACACTTTATCTGACTGGTTCCCTCGAAGCTCCGCTTGACAGCATTACGTGTTCTCCATACAAGTCGACCGACGGCACTGGCAGTGGAGGACTTCCCTTCAACAGCACTACACCCTCCTTCCTTTCGACAAACACTGTAGAATTTGGCAGCATTGTATGCATCAAGTACGCTTAGCGACGCTGGGGCAGGTCGCGAAATCGACGGCTCAACTCGCGCACTACGCAGTCGTACCGTCCGTTATTAACCCCGAGTGGGACCAGCAGGAAATGGCCACCAATTTGCACGGGATATATCTATACAAATTATTGAGCAACTGATTGATGTACCAGAGAAATGTTTGTGATCTATCCTTCCCCGAGCATTCCATGTGATGCCAATGCGTGAAACGAGGCGCAGTTCTGGCTGTGGTGTTAGGCTTGACGTCATAGTGGACTTGTGACTTGGGATTCTCGGCTTGCGTGCCGAAGGCCCCTATATATCGGGTAAGCATTCTCCAATCCATTTGCTCGTGGTGGTTCAGTGAGTTAAGTGAGTGGTATTTGGAATGTACAAGATGTGCTTCGGAGTAAGTTTATCTCATAGCAATCGTAGGAGGGCCTCTTGCTCACCAGTAGCCAGTCGCGGCCACGAAAACAGCAGACAACGCCACCTGGCTATGAACGGTACGAGTATGGCTTTTATGTCCGCCCAGTAAATTTTGACAAGAAAGGGTACAAGAACGCAAGGAGGAAGCCGTTAGGGAGGAAGTTTGGTGTTTATGCAAATGGGGCGGGTAATGCTTACGTTGGAGGTGGAGGTTAATGGGTTGAATCATTGTGACCCGCCACCGCACGACGTATTCCGGCTTGGGCACGCTGCCGAAGTGTATAAAGAAAGATATAGTTCCAAAGGGAGCAAAGTTTGCATTGTGCGAATGGTATTACTTAGAATTGATGCACGACCTGAAATCCATCGGAGGACCTTCATAGATCTGCGCCCCTCGATATCAGATGCCAGCCTCCTTTTCTATTTCTTCCTTACTCAAACACCATTTTCCCTGGAGTTCCTTATCCAATGTTGTAGCATAAACATCCTTGGGCCACCATTCACCCCAACTAGTCAGAAAAATCTGCTCCGGATCGGATGGAAAGTCATCGCGCGTGAATGCACGAAGGAGGCTCGAAGCACCTGTATCCGTGCCATTTAGCCATAGTACTTGTCTCATGAGCGCTCGATGACTGTGTTACTCACCCTCCTCAACTGATTTCGCATCCGGCATGTTCATGTCAAGCTTGAAAGTTGAGTTACGGCCAAGGCCCGTGTTGGGAATCAACCCCGGCGAAACAGCGACCACGTCGCAGGAGCTGCCAAATTGGCGCCGCCAGTAGTGCGCTCCGAGTAGTTGCACAAACTTCGAGGCCCTATAGACTACAAATCCATCTGTCTTTGAGCCGGCTTTCAGGTCCGTGACGAGAGTGGCTATCAGGGTCAGCAGTCAAGCCCGACCATATAGTGAGCAGCCGCCACATACCAGGGTCATTCTCCCGTAGGTTGCGAACTGCTCCGGAGGACACCACCACAACACGCGAGTGTGACTCAACCAACTTGTTACGAAGGAGGTGAGTAAGATAATGCTGGGCTAAATGGCAGCATGTTAATGCACCACCGTTCGACACAGGAGGGTGTCTGAGTTTCTTGTTTGCCCAGAGATTATTACTTACAAAGGTGGTTAACTACGTAGGCCTCGCACCATTGAGAGCCGTGAGGACCCGGACCATCGGCTCCTTTCGCCATTCCTGCGTTCAGGAAAAGAACGTCGATTTTGTCTTTCTCCAAGCGGTCGAGGGTCTGTTGGGCGAACGATTTGACATCGCTCAAATCCGAGAGATCGAGAGGCAGAAACGAGATGGAGTGCAGGCCGGCATCGTACTTGATTTCGTCATACGCTGCTTGCGACCGCTTGATATCCCGAGCGCCAAGGATAAATCTGTAAGGTTGAGACTGGTGTAATAGCTGCTTCACAGCCTCGAATCCCTAGAGGATTGTTAGGAACTTGATTCAACTGCTGGGTGATTGAGATGAACTGATCACGCTTACAAGCCCAGATGTCGCGCCAGTGGCGACTACGGTTTTCACAATACGGGACATTCTGATGATGCTGCGATTGGCCCACCAAGTTCAGAGGTATTGAGAGAGTCTCTTGATTGATCGACCCAGAGGTTCAGCAGCACGGCTTCAATGCTGGTTGAGATTGATTGCTCTTTGTATGTGTCTTGCACAGGCGTTTTGCCAAGGCAAGAGGTCCGCTAACTCCGCCCCAAATTCCGGACAGCCTCTGGCACAGCGCACTGCGTGTTCGGTGGCATTTGTCAGCTAAGGATCAACTAATTTAACGCCGACGTGCAGTGAGGCCTACTGATCCGGCATTTGTCAACCAGTGCAAGTATATTATGACTTCACCAATCAGTACCTACATACATACATGTATGTAGGTACTGATTGCATGTACGTAGGGTCCAGCAACTTGGTGAATGAGAGGCAAGCGTGCAAGCGGGCAATAGGGCCCTTATCTTAATCGAACATGTGGGCAAACAGTATCTAGGCAGGTATGTAAATACAGCACCTAACTAACCTACTTGTGTTTCTACGATTCGGGGAATTGGCCCATCGATATAGTTGCCCTGATCCCCCTTCCCGATCAGTCTGGGCTGCCGACAATAAGTGATGAGGGTCTCGTGGGGTCGTCGGTCTTCCCCGCCTAAAGCTGGCAGCCACGCAGCACGGTAGCTCGGCCCAGTGATTTCAAGTCTGAAGCTTGCAGCAACGTTTTTTATACGTATTTCTTATGCAGGGACTATCACTTGTGAAATATTTAGACCTAGGCTGCCGACTCAAAGAGCCAGTGTAGTCGGGTTGAGGTTCGTTGGTGCAATTCCTCCAGCCAGTGGAAGGCGAATGGCAATGCAAAGGCATCATTATGGGCCTAACTAGATTCATCAGGCTATCTGTCTTGCAAGACACGGATATCTAGAAAGCAACAAGAACCATCTTTTATCAACAGGTTTGTCAATGCAGGGACATATTCGATACGTCAATGTGACCGAGTGCACTTTAGTCGCACTTCGTCTTTGCTCTCATTGGCCAGCCTGACTGCACTAGACGTGGACACTCGTCAGGAACGCGTCAGGCTCCCCAATTTCTCAGAAGTATTGCTCACTTCCAGCCTGCATGCAGACAGATACGCCTTCTATGTGGGCCAATCGTTCAGCATGCTTGCATACCCTTGGCGACATGACGACTGATAGAAACAGGGCCAATGCCTTAGGCTGCTTAAATGTCTAGCATGCCACTCATTGGGGCGACTAGCCTGATCTCAATTAGGTAGCACCTTCACGTCACGCTTGGTCACAGCCGCCTTTCCTGTGAACCGAGACTTTTACCGCCAAAGGCATTTGCTCAATAGGTATCTCCATTTCATGGATGAAGGTAGACTTGAGCCATTTCAGGTACGACCTACGGGAACTCTTCGTCAGTCGGAAAGCTGTACGTAAAGCATGTGCTCGGTAACAACAGACTGGCAAGGATGCATCTTCCAAGACGCTTGTTGCCCGTGCCAACAAGGATGCACTATGAATGCAGATAGCCAAGCCAAGCAATACAGTTGGCGCACCTACGGAATCTATCCGTCCCATAACCTATGGCTTCCCTCACTTTGGCAAATGGTATGCACCTGTTGCCTCTAGCTCTATTCGCCAATATGTGATCGGGGTTGTTACCCAAAGGAACCTTAAAGAAGCTGTATTTCGATGTCGTCTTCTCGGCGTGGAGACCCCTGACATACATTATTGAGTCTCAATAAGAACTTTTAACTGGCTCACCGAGGCCCAACCGGGTCCGCTCAGCAGTTCTGGATGGCGGGTTTCAGAGAGTGATGCGGGTAGAAATCTGGACAAATGGCTGCTAGGCAAGCTGGGATACGGATCCCAGGGTAGCTCTGAAGAGAGGACCCTGTATGTTGGCTGCCACATGAGTGTTGTCTAACCCCTCTTGCCCTTCCAATGAACGCAGTGTTACGTTCCGCCAGGTCTGGGCAGCGATTCGCTCGCTCTGCTCGGAACAGTCCGAGGCTAGTAATCTAGGCTTGGGGCTTGCAACCATTGACATTGACTAAAAGTAGCTGAGGAAGCAACTAATCTCACCCTGGCATGAGCTGATCTACAGGCACAGTCCATTTCTTTAGGTCTATCCATTCAACGCGTCTCGAGAGGGCTGTTAATTGGAACGACCAGCTCATCAACCTCAATTCCTCACCCGCACGTCTGAATTCATTTGAATATTTTGCCCCTGGCTGCATGTTCTTAATTGTGGGTCAAGAAGCCTTCCGCGGGCATGATGACGTTGGATGCCCGTTGATGGTCATGACTTCGGCAGTAAAAAATAGCTACGACATATGCCAGTGTGCGCCCCGCGATATAATCTTACAACAGTAGTAGCTTACAGCACTTTGCAAATGCTAGCTGGTCACATTGCCGAGAAAACCATCACCCAAGCCCAAACCGCCAGGCTTTGGCACCTTCAGCTAGCATGTCAGGGTTATACCGTCAGCTATTACCGAAACCAGCGGGCATTCCGGCGTCCGTGAACGAGCGAGAGTCACATCGGTCTAAACGACAGACCGTGGCATTGGCTTGCAACAGGTGTCGCGAGCGAAAAGTCAAATGTGATGCTCAACGTCCAGTTTGCTCCGCGTGCTTACACAAAAGCTTGGATTGTCGATACAATGACGACCCGGAAACGACGCCACATGCTAACCTCAGGAAAGAGTTTCGACGATTGGATCACGATCAAAAAGAGCTGCTAGAGCTCTATGACATGCTGAAGTCGCGTCCTGAGCCCGAGGCGGTAGTCATACTTCAGCGTTTGAGGAACGGCGACGATGTCGGTTCGCTCGTATCGTTGATCAAGGCGGGTGATCTGATGACCGAGCTCAAAACGTCCAAGAACTCCTCGCCTAACTCAGAGCTCAGCCAGCCGTTACAATCCATGCTCAACCTCCATCACCCAAACGCGTATCCTCCGCTCCCTCCTCTCGGGGACCCTAGGGCCGAGCTGGGGCAACGGGAGAAGAACATATTCAGGGTGAGTCCTGATGATGAGGAGCTCCTATCTAGAGAAGATATAGAGAATGCCAGGTACGTCATCATTTAGCCTTCTTGCCCTTAGGACTGTTAATAACACAACACGAAGATCGCTGGAACAACCACGGGCAGTTTTCGACGACCGGCTCAAACGCGTGGTGGCTGCTCGCTGGACCAAAGTGACGGAGAACGACAACGTCGTTATCAACTTGATATCTCTTTATCTATCCTGGGACCATACCACACTTCGGACTTTAGATGAAGACTATTTCCTTGACGATCTCTCAGCAGGCGGGTCGGAGTATTGCTCGCCTCTCTTGGTGAATGCAATGCTATGCGCCGCTAGTGTATGTCCCCAAGCTCCACAGAGCGCTTAAGTTAACCAGTTCTAGCTGAACTATGCGACAATAGATCCTGCGACGAGTAGGAGATTAGGCCCGAGGTTCTTTGCGGAGGCTGAGAAGTTGTGGGCTGCTGAAAAAACACAATCTAGCACCTTGATGCAAGTCCCGGCCGCAATATTTCTTTCCATGTGGTGCAGATCCAGTGGCCTGGAAGAACTTTCTACAGGCTTCATATCTGAAGCCGTGCGCCTAGCCGAAGAACTCGGGCTCTTCGATATGGAAAGCCAAGAGATCGACCAGCGGGAACCTCACCTCCACAGAATTTGGAGAGGACGTGCCGTGATTGCATGGGGTCTATTCAACTGGCAAACGTACAATCCATCTCCAAAGGGTACCTACTTGTACAGAAGCTGACCCAATGTCAGTATCCATGGATTCTACCTGAATATGGCGCCTCGCATCCGAAACCCGCCCCACTTTGCTCTTGGGCCAGAGTTCCGAGGTGAGGGAAGACAACAGTATCCATGGAACCCTTTCCCTCTCATACGGCCATATCAGATCTTTTACAAGGACCTCATATTCAAAGCATACTCGGATCTATTTGCCTTGTTGTTCGAGTATCTTCGAGTCCATGACGCATCGAACCCTACCGCAGAAAGGGCACTTGAGTATCAGCATACGAGCTTACTGCATGTGAAGATGTTAGAATGGGCGGATGATCTCCCAGTGGAATTGCTTCGGGGCCCCGAAAGCCTACCCATGGTGATCGATTTGCAGTTAGTATCTTCCTACTGATACCCCATCTTACTTTCTAATAATGTCAACAACCACAGCATGTTCTACCACGGGATCATCATTGGGATATACCGACCTTTCACTGAGGCCCAATGCTTGATGAAAAGGCTGGCACGAGAAACGATGCAAGCCTCATCATCCCAGTTAATGCGTCTACTGTATATCCAGCGTTACCGTTTTGATGGCCCACCCTTCACTTCCATGACCATAGGATCGGTACACATTTTGACATTCTCGCTGTTTGAAGAGCTAGCAAAGGCCGAGGATGTCGGTCCGGAAACGTCCTTCTACCTCGTACTCTGTGCGGAAGCGATGAAGCAGTACGGTGATGCCTACGCAGCTGTACATAAGCTATTGTACGACCTCATCGGAAAAGCCAAACGCGGCGGCAGAACGATTCCCGAGGGGATCGACTTAATTTTCAAGGATCTGGAAACACGTCTTTCCAGGAGGGACATTGATGGAGATGCATACAAGAAGTGCCCCATTGATATTCAAATCGCTATCACTGATCCCAGTGGCTCGAGAGTTCAAGACATGGTTAAGGCGACATACTCGCTGGATGCCGATGGTATGCAGGGGATCCGGTTGGAAGATGGCGAGTGAGGCGCGTTGATTGCGATCGGGTTCTGATTTATCTTTCTTCACTTCGTTGAGACTATGACCAATACCTGTCTTCCGAGTTTCACGTCAATGTAATTTCTGTCGTTATGTCAAATGATTCATTGTGGACGAGCGCGATTTGGGTAGCTGGAGAGACGTTAGCGAGCCATACTGTACTTAAGTCATGTGTTACCAATCCCTACAACAGGATATGCTGTACGAGTCACATGTATTCAACGCATTGAGGTGTTTGCATTAGTCTTACTCTCAAATTTTCCGACTACAATATCCGGGTAACATTTACTCCTTAACTCATCCGTGGTGCTTCTTCTGATCGACATTCTGACTGATACGACATTGACTTCCCATATATATATATATATAGGAAAACTTAACGACCGCGAAAACGCAATGCTGGAGGAGGTCGTACGCGAGGACTTTGTTCTCCTTTCAGTAGATTCAAAAGATTTGTAAGAGATTTCTCAGATTTGTTCGCAAGCCGTCCGTCGGCGTGGTACAATTCCAGTGGAGGCAAAAGTATGTCATCGCGCAATACAAGGTTGATTCAATTCTCAATAGCCAGCACGGTAGGGAAGCTAGCTACAATGCCAAACAATACTAATGAAAACCTCCATCCAATCCTGCAGTAGCGATTCCCACTACTCTTAACTTGTATCTCCTTCTCCCTCGCAGTCCTTATAGGGCCATACGACGTTGCTTGGCGGCTATGGAAACACGTCAGCCATGGTGGAATGTGGGTTTTTGGTTTGAAAATGTAGCAAGAACACTTACGAAAGGGTCCATTGAGACACACACCACCGCCAGCCCCGTTCGCGCAAGCCCTTCTGTCGTAATCGATCCCTTCCAGGTCAGTAGCCCTGACAACTTGAGGCTCGGGTACAGCAAGTGTGACTTCAATCCACAGAGTGAGAATGGTAATGACCTTTGTGGGCAGCATTGTCAAGCTTTTTTGACTGGCAAGGTAGTTACTGTGGAGAGATGTGGTAAGGAATAATTTCTTCTGAAAAGTGAGATGTAAACTAGAGCCGAGCTGAGAGAAAGATAAACTGGTCGGCAGAATGGTGTTGTGCCATACGTGGGCGAGCAAGGACATAAGTATTGCTGCAAGTCATAGAAACCCCGCGTCTTTGATCGGCGAGTGTCACGAATCAGACTCTCAGTTATCAAAAAGGGAAAATCGTAAAAGGCAATCATTTCGTAGTAAGTATACTGGTCCCATGCTCTGTTGATCGACAGTCCGGTCCCTTGCGGAGACAGTCAGGGGCGGAAGTCTTGGCCTGGAACAATGCAGGTTTGCTATACCCTTGTCCATGGGCATATGAACAAACAACGGACAATTAGATCCAATGTATTTCTTTGAATACTTTGACCTTAATCGGCTTCTCGAGTCCCTGCTCCTGTCGGTAAGGTTCTGTTTGCTCTGATTCCTTGCTCAATATATATGCATAGTTAAGGTGCAACAACCAACATCAACGCGCAGTTGCGCCATGAGATGCCAATGCTGCGTCATGTATTTACGGAGCGGCGCTGAATGATTGGTTGGAAGGAACTTGCCTGAGTTTATATCAGTCACTGGTCAAGAGATCCCGGATATTGAACCCTGGTTTGGCATCCTGATTCTGTGCCCACCATTCGGTACTGGCAACAAAATATATCTTAAAAATCCCGAGGTGTTCCGCCCTTTGGTATCACCAATTCCAGCCCTTTTCACAATCGGCTGAAAGATAGAGAGGCATTGTTCCACCATGACCAAGGGTGCAAACATGACTCAATCATGGCTTTTGCCGACCATTGCCTTACTGGCAGGTGTTCTGTTATCAGAGCAGTTGTGTGTCATGTTGACCGGTACGAAGGAGTCTCTGATGAGAGTTTTCTCTGCAACGCCGTCCAAATCTTCGTCACCGCCGTGGACATCGCTATCATCGAACCTGATTCTCCCACCTTCCCACAAATGCGAACTCAACTACACAATTGAGCTTCTGTCATTTGACCCCCTCATATTCTACGTCAACAATTTCATGAGTGAGGACGAAGTCAAACATGTCCTTGAAGTCAGGTACGCGCTCCTGTTTCTCGTACAGTAGCCGAATCTGTGTCGCAGCTGCGATGCAAACCCGTATAATCCCTTGCTTTGACTAACACAATCCATCCATGAAACAATAGCAAAGATGAATGGTATGCCGCATGCGTAGCATATAGCGACGATGGAGTAGCGTCGTCAAAACGAGCACCTGACGCGTTCGATGCGCAAGTAGCGTCACTGTCGCCAGACGATACCGTGGCGAAGTGTCTGTCGACGCGGATGCTTTCTCTGCTCGGTAACGTGCAACACGAAGCAACTGAGGTTAGTTGCGCTCTTCACCAACATCTCAGAGCCCTGCTGCGCCCAGGAGTTCAAATTATTGTTATCAGATGCTGATGAACCCTTGCTCTTGCGGACAGTCGATTCGGCTGGTCAAGTACACGAGTGGTGACCACTTCCGCCTTCATACGGATCGATACGAGACGTCTGTCCAACCAGGCACACTGGACGCTCATTTTGGGCTCGACTACGGTGGGCACCCGCACAACCGCCTTCTGAGCTCCATGGTGTACCTCGACGATGACTGTGTCGGCGGGGAGACGTACTTCCCGGACGTGACCGGCGTCGGGCCACGCGCGGACGGGACCAAGTTTTCGCGAGGGGAGACGGGAGGCCTACTGGTCAAGCCAAGGCGAGGCAACGCCGTGTTCTGGAACAACTTCCACTTGAACGGTACGGGAGACGATAGGCTGTACCACGCCAGTCTTCCCGTCAAGTCTGGAACCAAGGTGAGAGAGTAGTACATGGAAAAGCCCAACTTGGACGACCCTGATCGCTGACTGGAGGCGCCCCTAGGTCGGGTTGAACATGCTGAGTGTGTATTTCCCTCACCTTCCCATGGTTGGATATTAGGACGATGGCTTCGTGGGGTGTGAAGGGTCAGGTCATCGGGTGTGAAGGGTCAGGTCATCGCGCTAGGATATCGTGAAAGCAAACTACATAGGTACTGGGGCTGTTTGCGAGGCGGGCAGCGACACGCTCTACCGGCGGTGGACCATTCACAGTTTACAATTCAGAGGATATACTAGTTTCTTCTATTCCCGTCGACTCTTCTACGCGCGCAGCTCTGTTGGAGCCCACGGACAGCTGAACTCGTCTGTTCTGTCCGAGTGCTTCGCTTCGTTGGTCTCGTGATTGCGTGCTCAGGTAAGGAGATAAATAAGGTAGACAGAAGAAGTCAGGCTCAACCTGAAGGCAGTTAGTGCTCGCCGGGGCAAGACGGGGCCCAAGACCTCCAGGCTGAAGGCTGACAGGCTGCCGCAAGACAGTGGTGGCACGGGTCCGGGTGGCAGGGGTGACAGGGGGGGCCAAGCCTGGAGGGGACCGTAGCCTTGGTAGCCCCGTTCTGGCTCACAACCCCACCAACCCACCATCTTTGGGCCGGCCATTTGGGCCATTTGGGCCCTTACCTTTGGGCTTGGGCGGCGGCGGGCTTCGGTTTGTTTTGGTTGATTGGGTGATCGGCCAGGTAGCGGCCTCTGGAAATTTGATTTGCCAGCCAAACCACCAAGTCGACATCGTCGCCGGCGAACACACCACACACCACAAACACAAACACATCCACACGTCCGCACGCGCAAAGAGCGCATCGCTTCTCTCCGGCACCCTCGCGCACACGTCCTGCAGCCTCTTGTATCCGTCACTCGTCAGACCCAGCACTTCGGACCCCGAATCTGCCAAGATGGGCGAATCTCGGTGAGTGACGATGACCTCACAGCCCGGCCGGGTTCCCAACCGCCCTGAGACGGCGCCCTTACTGACGCGTCTGCCGAACAGTCAAGAGCTAGTCAGCTGGCTCAACAGCCTCCTCCACCTCAACATTACCAAGGTCGAGCAATGCGGTACTGGGTAAGGATTCACCCCTCACTGCATCAGGCAAACAAACACATACAACAAGCCCCTCCCCCGCCAAACATCACAGACCCTGCCCACGATCTCCATGCCCAAGCCCATGCCCACGCCCATGCCCATGCCCGCAGGGTTGGCCATGGCCCGTCTGCGCCGCCCGTCCTCCTCACCCTCCTTGGCCTTGACCGCATGCGCTCACATTCGCCCTTGCTTGTCAATAGTGCCGCCCTCTGCCAGGTCTTTGACAGCATCTTCCTCGACATCCCCATGTCGCGCGTCAAGTTCAACGTCAACACCGAGTACGCCTACATCCAGAACTTCAAGGTGTTACAGAGTAAGTCCCCCCTCCGCCACCCAAGGTCGGCCTCGCTCCACGGTAGCTCACACGCATCTCTTTCCTCTGCAGATGCCTTTGCCAAGCATGGCGTCGAGAAGCCCGTCCCCGTCCAGGCCCTGATCAAGTGCAAGATGCAGGACAACCTCGAGTTCCTCCAGTGGGCCAAGCGATACTGGGATCAGCACTACCCCGGTGGCGACTACGATGCCGTCGCACGGCGAAAGGGAGGCGCCATGCCCGCCTCCTCTGGGCCCGGCCCTCGGGCTACTAACACCAGCGCCGCGCGACGAGGGGGCACCACACCTTCCGGCGGCCCTCGGATCGGCGTCCGTGCCCCTGGCGGCGGCGCTGCCTCGGCTGCCCTGCAGCAGGAGAACAACACCCTGAAGGAGACCGTCGTCGGGCTGGAGCGCGAGCGCGACTTCTACTTCAGCAAGCTCAGAGACATCGAGCTCCTTGTCCAACAAGCCGTCGAGGAGGACCCCGAGCTGGAGAAGCAGGAGGACGGCCTCATCAAGGCGATCCAGACGATACTCTACTCGACCGAGGAGGGCTTTGAGATCCCGGCCGAGGGCGAGGAGGGCGAGGGCTTGGATGACCAGGAGACGTTCTGATCGCTCGGCCCTTGACGGTCGCCGAACCAGATAGACGTGTCGAGGATTAGCCAGATATAGATTGGCCCACGAAATAATGTCACGAGTCGCACGAGGAGACGAACCGGTGGTAATGGCCTGGTGCGAGAAGGGCCGCAACAGGGTCCTGAGGCAACATGTCTCCCGCTCCTGAGTGCTGGAATGTGTGGTGGTGGGTGGCGGGTGAAAAGGACATTGTCTGTGTCGGTACAAACTACCAGACCACGGATGCCCTCTTTGGCCTGCGCCAAATTGAGGTTACGTGATAGATATCAAGATTTGTCTTCTGCATCCAATCGTCTTGTCCGGCTAATGTGCTTCAGTCTCGCCTCGCGCCACCCCATGATATTCATAACGTACCACGCCTGCTTTCCAGATTTTTGTTACGCCAGAGTCGAAGGCGTGATGATGGATTCCGACGAGCTATAGAGAAGCTCCTTCTGTTGTGACCCGCGATTATATAGTTGGCCATTGTTCTGGTCTCTCCTTCGGATCTCCTTCGCTTGACTTGATTGTCCCATGTTGAGCTACTCACTTTCTATGCTACTTGTCGCAGTCCCCTAGCTTGCAGTATGACTGCTGCACTGTACAGTGATGCATTGAATGACTGGAAACTGTCACTCACCTCCACCACCGTATGCCCAAGGTGCTGCATTGTCACTTCTGTTCTCGTCATCCGACTTGTCACTGGCTCCTGGTGTCATAGCAGCGAGCTCTCACCACGCCTCTTTCCACAGCCTCGCCCTGTCCATCTCCCCTCAGACACATGCAGTTCCGCATAATCCTCACAGATTGTGGCACAATGGGTCGACTTACAACCAAACCCCATCGGCTCGCCAAACGCACCGCCAAGTCCGAACTTCGTAAGAGCTCTCACGACCTTGCCAAAGTAGGCCGTCACTCGATACGCATCGCCCTCGCCAGGGGTCTGGAAGCCACTGCTAGTGCGCACGAAGCCAAGGGGGTCACTTCCACGGCAGATGGAGTAAAGGGCAGTTCTTGGCGTTCGAAGCAGGCGCCACGAAGCGCTGGCAGCCAGACGAGCAGCCGTCGAGTATGTGGTGAGGTGGACTACTCCAACGGCGTCCCGACGTCCCGCCACGGCTGGTATCGCATCAGGGGCATCGTTGCAGAGATGGGACCACGGTACCTCGTCGAGTGGGAGGGCCTAGACCCCAAGACGGGCCATCCCTGGCCCAGCACGTGGGTGGGTATCGATGATCCAACAGTAACAAACAAACCGATGTCATTGTTGGTCAGTTGCTAATGCGACATGTTACTAGGAGAGCATCTTTGACGTTAGCATTGGCGCCATCAACGAATGGGAGAGAAAGAAGAAAGAAGGCAGAGTGGAGCATGACGTTCTGTCCACGCGCGAGAATGGCAGCATCTAAGTGAACCACACGATCTCTGAAGCTTTCTGAAGGAAGTCTCACGATGGGATATTTGATTGTCTTGCGGCATGACTGCCACCTTGGAAGTGGTCTTGACGCCCAGGCTGGCAAATTCCTGTTTGGCTTGTGCGTATAGGCGAGACTCAAACCTACTACCGCGTCGCTGCAGGGAACAAAAGACAAGAGCAATGTTGCATATTGTAACAAAATTCATAATCGTAGGTTTGCAGAGTTTAGTTGTACGTTTGCGAAAACAAGGTTTGCAGCTGTTTCTGTGATTGAGGGTGCGAATGGCTTGAGTGTGGACAGTCATGTCGGAGAAGTCCCTCAACTTAACAATCAGTAAGTGAGGATGTGTCGCAAACCTGTCGGGGTGTCCATGATTCAGCGCCTCCCAAGATTTATACTTAAGAGTCTGGGGGGCCTTGGAGTTCCAGATTCAACGATCTTGTAGCAACATGAAGTTCGACCCCTCGGTTGTATCCATTAAAGCTTTACTCGCAACACTGCTTAAGTATTCGTAGAATCACTAACTGGCAGGCCCACACGCAAAATGTCATATGAACACCAGGGATCTGGCACTAAAGGCGGCCATAAAGGGGGCTCTTCAACCTGGAGTAGCTCCAAAGGCGGACATCATGGCGGTGGCGGTCACCACACAAACACCAGCACGAGCTCTGGTGGATCGAATGGCAGCTCAAGCAACGCTGGCGGTTCTGCTAACACAGACAAGCCGGGGTCTGGGAAGAAATAAAGTCACTTGGAAATATTGACGTACTCATTTGTAAGGCTAATAGGATACTCGGTATGTCTTTCGCAAAATTGCAAGCGTATACTAGACCACAGTACCTAAGTGTATGGTACGAGGGCTCCTGGTGTTAGTTGAAGTCTTATACAGTGCCATTTGACTACCATCGCTCACAGTGCGAAATGTTACGATGTGCGTGGCGGTGCGTCTTCTGTTAGACCACAGGCAAGGCAGACTGAAGAGGAACTCCCTAATAGTCGGGCGTAGCCCCACATTGTTGCCTGCAACTAAGCTGGCCTTGTCACCTTCTCTGAGGTCTCTTATCCATTTTCCAAGGCCTCTATTCGACACAAGACCTCCTACCTTCCTGACCTGTCGCTGTTCTTCTGTCCATTTCACTTACGACTCTTGCTCCGAAGTCGGCAGACTTGAGGTTGTCAACTTGATATATCTCGTTCGGCTGGCCAGATACGGCCCTCAGCCCATCGTTTGTTGGCAATGAGTCGAAACCAGACTTTTGGGTTTGACGATTCCGCAGGGCCGACAACGGCAAATATCACAGCTCAAGCCTGGCAGGTAATCTGTGCTTGGCCAGTTTCCTACCAGTATGGTCTGGGTCATCGGATCCCGTAAATTTCCCAGTCCCTAGAACTCGAGTGTAGTAATTGATGGTTGCTAGCTATTATTCACTGGTAGCTGCGAGTGTTCTGATTCGCAAGGCCGACTGGCTGAGATCCGCCGTCCTGGCTGGCGCGCTGCTTATCCCCGCTGTTGCCGCTGTCCACGGCATCGTCTTAGCGACAGTACATCAGAATGGTAAGTTCCTGCTTCGAATATACCATGACGGATGCACGCTGAGAGATCTTCATAACAGGCGCGGTTGATATGGATATCTACGGAGCATACCAACTATGTTCGATTGGGATACTGGCAGCACCATTGACGACTAGGTTGTCACGTTCGTTCTTCAGTGTCCCGACGCGGAATATTGTCTTGGTATGGACAATGTTGATGCTTGCAGGTAAGATACACACTGATCAATGCTCGAACTTGTCTTATGTAGAACAGGTCTACTGAGCCTGACGGTCGAGTTTTACCGGTCGACCTCAACCGAATGTGTCCACGATGATTCGGGGAACCAAATATCACCTGACTGGGGCTCCTTTCCCTATGGAGAGGCTACCTGTGGCCTTCCGTGTTTTGATGGGCAAGGGCCGATATCTCCGTTACGACTTGACCCTTTCAATGAGACTTCTGTGATACCAGAGCCAACGATAATGAGCTTCAGCACTGCGACTATTCTAGCAGCCGCTAGCTGTGTTCCAGCCGCTTTGGCTGTCATGAGCGTCTGGTACAAAGTGGTGGACATAAACTGGGCGAAGCGATTCTCGCGCCAACGAAGTCCCAAGGACGTTGAGACTCAGCGCGCACGAATAGATGTTAACGCCACCATGAGCAAAGCCAAGCTGAAGCTGAAGACTTTTCTTGGGGCAGTCGAGATTCCGATGCTCACGGTTGCTGTTCTGGCCATTGTTGGCCTAGGGGAAAGTAACTTTTGGAGCCCTCAAGGTATGTCAACTTACGGCCGAGGCCTTGAAAGTCTATATTCTTCCGACTGCTGATATACTCATAGTAAGTCACGTGCTGACACAATCCCCAACGCGTGGTTTCTCTGAGACGCACATGGACATATTCGTAGCATTCTGAAATTTGTAAATGAGGCTAATTCGAGATAGGTTCGTTACCACACGGAGTCTATGGCTAGCATTGGTAAGATCCTAGATCCTTTCATGCACCTATACTCTCATCAGGCTAACCGATGTATGAAAAGGTCAATGGGCACCACTTGCTGGCATGGGGCTTGCTCTTCTCGGATCACTATACCTCATTTTCTTATCGGATTCGGACGACGACAAGCTGGATCGCGACCCCGATCCATTCACTATTTGCACTTGCCCCGATCGTCACCATAGTACAGGCTGTCGCACTTTGCAGAGCGCGCTTGCTGGAGTTTCAGAGAAACTACATTCAACACCTGGGGAAGTGTTGTCCAGTCAGTACACACTGGACTACGGGCCGAATAACTATCTGCCCAAGGCTTCATTGGCACAGGACAAAGCCCCAACAAATCCTTTGCGGCGCATCGGTAAATTTTCAATCATTCCAGTATTGAAAAGCCGTCGACGAATCAGTCAGTCCGGCACTCACAACTTCTCAAGATCCCTCCAGAAATTCAGCAAACACTTTTGCACATCGAAGCAGGACCAGGATCATCGTTCAGCAAGTGATCGCGGGAAATCGCTTGACTTGTTCGATCCTTCAATGGATTTCAAAAGCATCTCAGACGTGTCATCGACCAGTCAATGTGGCAGTGTCAAGCTGCATGATACGTCTGACCATTCTGTCTCAACAAGTGGAACCACGCCAACCGAAACTGTCGTTACTTCTCATTGTGGAATCGATGCAAGCAAAGTAGCCACGAGTTTTCTTGTTAAAAAGAATGCAGCCAAACCTGGGGATGACCAAGATGAAAATAAAACTACCCTCACTTGGTCAAGAACGTGCTCGTATACCACAGTGCAAGCATCTCATATTGAGGCTTTTGGAGATGTACAAGTCGATCCAACCTCAGAACAGAACATTGATACGGGCCCTTTGACGCCAGCCGTAATATTACGTGGCCCGTTGGCCAGTCGGGGGTTTATGTCTGGTCAAGAAAGATGGTCAGAGTCGAATAGGTACTCTACGGCCAATGAGTCCTTGCTCGAGTCCATACTTGAATCCGAGTACTCTGATGATATTCCTGAGTTAGCTAATGATCACCCCTTGATGTTGGTAAAACAGGAAATCATTGAGAACTTGATCTCATTTTTCGATTATATGAGTCAACGTACCCACGTACAGAACGGATCCGGTGCAAGGCATGACAGCAGTACGAATGACCTCAATAACCCACAACAATGCAATTTGGGTTTTAAGAGGAACCGGGATTCGGATCAAACTGGAAGATTCAAGCGAAAAGATGACAACGGAGATGACGGAGACGCCAAAAGGATGCGCAAGAATGATGCGCCAGTACCACGCCGGCCAAGACTTGCATGCCCCTTTTACAGGAAGGACTCCGTGCGGTATCGGACATGCCACGGCAAAGTCATATCATCGATCGCGCACTTGAAGCAACACCTCAGACGATACCATCAACTTCCGGTTTACTGCCCTATTTGCAAGGAAACATTCGACAGCGAAAGTCTTCGTGATCAGCACACCGAAGCAAGGTCGTGCGAGCTGCGCACCGACGTTGTTCTTGATGGTATCACCTCAACTCAACGAGAATCACTTAATAGAAGAGCCTCGACAACGCTGGATGAAGAAGGCCAGTGGTTCGCAATTTTCGACATGCTGTTCCCTGACTTCCATCCGCGGCCGAGAAGTGCTTACATTAATGCAGAACTCTCTGCAGAGATGGAGAACTTTCAGGACTATATGGCTCTGCAAGGCCCGAGCATCATCATGGATGCAATCTCGCGCGGAGGACTGCAGATCCCCAGCGAGTCTCTGCAGCAAGATGACCTGGCAACATTTCTGCCGAATGCTGTCGCGGAGGGTCTGCAGCTGATAGCGGATCGTTGGAACGAAAGTCAACGAACCGCTGTCTTACCTATCCGGCCGGCATCAAACCCACTCCCACAGGGTGACCTGGACCTGAATGGATGGCCACGCTCCATAGGGATTGAAGAGAGTCCAAATCTATCAACCATACCCATGCGTCCAGTCGCTAATCAAGTACGTCATAATCCGAGGACAGAAATGGTCGAATCGGTGTCGTCAGTTCAACATCCAATGTCTACAATAAGCTCGCCGCGGGAGCATCCTTACTTATCTCAGCCCTCCGCAATTATACCATCGAACTCATCTTCCTCTCTGTACGGGGTAACTGGAACACCTGATGTTGACCCCGGAGATGAGACTTTCGTTGGAGAACTGGATTTCATAGATTTCGAGAATCATGATTGGACTGCAAGCTAGTGGACACACTATAGGCGTTGAAGAGTGACGCAACTGTATCGAGGACTGGACAGCCCCCCCTTAAGTAATACTAGCGACTAGCACATGATAATTCGTCTCCGTGGAAGTGACGACATATCATCAACCAATACTGCATTCTCGCTTGTTCTCCTTTCTACTTTCTTAGCTGCAACGTCGTGAATTTATGCAGCTTTTATCCACCCTATGAGTCTGACCGAGTTTAGTCCAATCATTTTCCCATTGTGCCAATTTTCGAAACATATCTGAACTCCTTGTGATCGTCGACGTTCCTGCTACCATCGTCTCGTTAACCGGAAGTACTATTGAGCTGTCGGTGAGATAACTGTCTAGGGTCCAGGGCGTCTCTTGTATGATGGTCGACCTAGTCCCAACTTAATAAATTGCGAGATACATCATGCCACTTGCGAGCATCTTACTTCAAAGGCCTGTCCTCGTGGCCAATCCACTCGCTGTCGATGCTTGACTGCTCAACGTTGAGGCTCATGATGATATTTTATAGATCTGGCTGGAAAAGTAACTATAGGCTTTGAATAGCTCGTAGAGAGGTTGTGAGAGATTCAACGATTTGGTATTTGATCAACTTTAGGGTGCATTGGACCCATTCGCTTTGTAGCAATGATCCCGGTATATCTTAAATACATGCGATGCCTTCCATACTCTCATCCTGACTGCTGCGAACAGACGTGAACTATTCTTCCCACGCAAAAGGTGCGATGCTCGCCACAACTCCTGGCATAGAACTCGGAACTTGTTTGTTGAGATATAGGGTATCACTTGGACTGAGATACTGTGGTCTTCAGCTCGTGTGTGGCTTTTAGGCAATGCCAGGAGCTGTGGATGCTGGAATTTGTGCAGAAACCCACATTCGTGGGTTTCTTGGGTCGCCCCTGTCAGCCAGTGTGGCTTGATGCGGTGGTGGCCAATCAAATGAAGTTAGGCTTTCACAGTGTCACTTTTTCTCAGCACCCCTTGTGAAACACAGTAGCCTTTCTAACAGAGCGAAGGATGCCAAAGTGTGTGAATGTATTCTCCAATCAGAGCCTCGCCAGCAACATCGCAATCCCGCCCGTGACAATATACAGGACATGTCTTCCTGCCGGGGCCAGTGCAGAGCCTGAGGAAGGTGTGTCTGATGGCTGAGATGTAGAGCTTGACTGCGTCGGTGCATCCGTGGTACTGCCATTTTCAAGTCGATTTGCCCGGAAGCAATTGAGATGGGCAAATGCTACAGCATCGCTGCCGTTACTGACTGGAAGTTCCGCAAATGTTAGGTTGTTCCAGAGCCAGATACTGAGAATAGGGTGGATAGTGCGCATGTGTTGAGCGACTATAGTTCCATTATGGCCCACCAAACTCGCATTGGCGACCTGTTCCTCAAATGCGGTGGTTCTCCCAGTAATGCCATCTGGTCATGGAGGTTAGGGCATCGGATATGTGGTCCATTATGGGATGCATACCTATGCTGGACGCGAAAGCCTCGTCTCGGTTTGTTTCGGCAACACTTCCAAGGCTTTGCTTGCAGCTGTTGGGAAGTGTGTCAGGGACAGTCTGGAGGACGTGTTAGCATATAGACAACCCTATGGGCAAGGATCGCCCATAACGGCCCGGTTGCAACGTACAAAGCAAGCTTTGTGCTCGACGATCGGTTTAACCCAAGCAGTTTTCAGTTCTCTCAAGCATTCCTCGCTGACGAACGCGCACGTTCCGTCATCATCCTGCGCCTTGTCGGTCACTTCGGCAGAAAGCGCAAATCTGGTGTTGCAGATAGTCCACTGGGATTCGGTCGCGTTTATTCCTTCCGGTGGGATATACGACACTCGGGTAAGCCCAGCTGCGTATCCTGGACCATTCATAGATGGTCCAAACCTATCAGGGTAACCTTGCCCGCTTATGGTCAAGTTCATCTGGGCTTTCCAACCTTCGACCGGTGTCGCGGAGACGCTCCATGGGGCGTTGATATCGTATCCAGGGATGGCGTACACGCCAGTAGCATTAGGAGAGGGCTCGACGTAGGATCCCTCAGTGGTTGCTATCAAGGCAGCCAGAAAGGCGCCACTGTTCAAAAAGCGCTGAGTCATATTCGACCTGTCTATGCAGAATATGGGGACGTAAGCTAGAATTCAGCACCTTAGATTGCGGCATCGTGGAATAAATGCATTGCGCAGATGCCACGACCCCTGCACAACGTGGGCTCCTTCGTAGCTTCTGTGCCGCACGAACACCGCTACAAGCCCGGTTGCACGGCTCGCCCTGTGGTAGCTCAGCCCTGTTACTAAGCCCAAATTTGTCATGGCAATGTCCGCCAACCGCAGAACCAGTACCGCCAAGGCGTCGTGAACTCGTTTCAGATTGACGCCGATGATTATTATTAGACCTGTGTACCACGACAATGGGGAAGAAACTCGACAGCGCTCACGACACCTCACACGACGATAAGTCTATGAGAGTTCTCATCGGGACTGAAAGAAATAGACCTGCGTTGTTCAAAATGGGTCGACAAGCATCGCTACTACAAGCAAGTTAAAAAAGCATGTTTTGTAAGACGGCAAATCGGAAGTAGGAATCTTGGCAGTGGCTCGGCGCATACCCACTGGCAGCCTTGTCAAGATTGACAACGGGCTTACTGTGGACTGACCTTCAGCTCGTGACTCTATCTTGAGGCTGCGTCAACATCAGGCGAGCTCCTTTTCTGTTGAGCCTGCATATAAGAAACGCAGCGCGCTACAGCAGCAGGCGGAATTGCAAGTGCGAACTTTCCCTAGCAACTTGCTCAGTGATACTGGGCAGCTCCACGAGTCAACCTGAGTTGCATCTGTGTTCCTCTTCGCCGCCGTCCATTAGTGATTATGATATTGGACCAGACCCGAGACGAATCGTCTTCCACCACACATTTCGTCTTTGTTCCTGATTTCAGTCGGTCACTATTCTATAGGAGGGGTTCCAGAGATGGTGCATTATTGCAAATTGAGAGGTTTTTGTGGACATGATGAGTCTATATAATGTTCTATTGTAACTGAAATTAAATTTCTCTCAAATGAGATTCTTTCCCTTTCTTGCTGTAGCGTATCAAAGTAAAGTCTAGCTATCACTACCTTTGTGTTCAACATTCTTTCAAGTACCCTAACCAGCCAATTGCCCGTGCACATTGTGGGTCCCTTGGCTAGCCGGGATCGGAGGTCTTCATCTTGCTCAACGACCAGCTTCACTTCACAGCCGAACTTTTGGTACTATTCGGCTTATACTACTTGGATAAGTGGAGTGAATAGATCAATGAGTGGCAACTTGCTTGAGGGTCTTCCCTCCGGGGCTCCACGAGCTGCTTCGAGAAAACTCCGCTATGCCGATGTGAGTGCTCCCTCCTCATCTAGCCTTGCCCAGCGTCTGGCACGCGTGCTAACGTGCCTCTGAGGTGGCGGTCACAGCAACAGCCAAGGAATTCGCTGGGATATATCGAGGCAAGAAACAACATGAGTCCGACATACCAGCCATGCTTGGTCGAGCCCTCGTCGCAGGTTGCGAGAAGATTATGCTGACCGGCATGTCGCTCCATGACGTTGACTTTAATCTCGAAATAGCCAAGTCTCACCAGGGTCAATGTTTTATTACTGTCGGCTGTCATCCATACCATGCGAAGGAAGTAGAGGGCGAGGATGGATATCTCGATAAACTCAGCACCAGGATACAAGAGTTGCTGGCGATGCAACCCTGCCCGCTGGCGGCATTTGGAGAACTCGGGCTTGATTACGATCATCTTGACTATGCCAGTAAGGAAGTGCAGCAGCGTGCATTTCGCTTGCAGCTTGATCTTGCCGTGAAGTTCGACCTACCCCTGTTCTTGCACTGCCGGTCTGCCTTTGCCGATTTCCGGGACATCTTAGCACCTTACATGCCCCGACTCCAGCGCAAGGGCCTTGTACACTCCTTTGTCGGCTCCGAGGCGGAGATGATAGCCTTGATTGATCTTGGTCTTCACATTAGCGTGAATGGTTTCACTTTCAAGACCAATGAATCTTTGAGAATGGTGGCCTCAATCCCGCTTGGGTGTCTCCATATCGAGACGGATGCGCCGTGGGGAATCATTCAGCCGTCAAGTGACGTCGCGAAGAGGTATCTGGTCCACGCGCCCGAGGCCCCATCAAGTAAGAAGAGAGACAAGTTTGAGATGGGCTACATGGTGAAAGATAGATTTGAAAGCTGCCTCATTGAGAGAGTTGCCCTTATCGTTGCGGGTCTGAAGGGCTTGACTGTGGACGAAGTTGCGGACAATGCTTGGCGCAACAGCACTTCAATGTTCAGACTCGATAAAGAGTCCGATTAGAAATACAAGTTTTCAACTTATCAACGAATTAGTGATACTTCTATCGCGAGATAAAAGCCCTCCTAAGCCTATCAATTCGGTAAGTGTAGTTTGAAAATCGATATTCTTGTTCTCGATACTCCGCGATTCTGGTCTTGGAGATGTCCCCGTGATCTTACATGCTGCTACCGGAATACCTATTTACTAAACCTCTCAAGGGCTTTGTATCATACAGGAAGTAAACCCAGTAGTGATTGCCTTATGCATTGAACGGTAGAAAGGGTCAAGCCTACATAGAGTACATTATCATCTTCCCAAATCCAAAACGGTCTATGTCGCTAAACAGATCCAGAATCATGAGATATTCCAATTAGTTTTTTTTTAAAACAGGCCGCCAGAAAGCCATACCGTAGCCCCAAGGTGCTCCGATCGGCATCGATGAAGCGCAACGAACCCTATTTGATCCGATTAGCTAATTTATACTGTCACCCCTCGCATTTCTGCAAAGCAAGACGTGTCTAGGGTGGATAGCGTACCAATATATGAGGCTTCAAAGCGCACAATCAAACTTTGGCTTCTGCAATTGCTTCGATTGGAACTATAGTATGAACAGTCTCCAGGTCCCTCTACTGCTGCCGAATGAGAAATCTCCGACAAGCCTTCGCGACATTGGGGAGGCATGACAAAGCGTTGAGAGAAGTAGTACTACTAAGACTAACATGATAAAAATGATTTTAATTGATTGGTGTGAATTTGGCCTAGTTTCGTGTGAAATATGGCTGATCCTTACAAAGATTCCCGCGTTGGTGGAAAGCGAATGCCGGCTGTACGGACAGATCAAGGTCTCCGGGCTCCTTTCAGTATTTAAATATTTTCCAAACTGCCATATTCCTGACGTGAGGTATAAACGTAGCCGCTTTTCGGAATGAATGGTAAGCTGAAGCGAGGGAGCTTTTTCTCGAGCCAAGCCTCCATAACAGCAGCGTCTGTCACAATCGATGGAGCGGGGTTCAGCCTCAAAATGTGCGCAGCCGAAGCAAGGCGAGGTGTCTAGACGAATCGATCATCTAGTTATTGCAAGTTATAGAAGCATCGACGTGCTAAATATAGCTTTCCTGGGACCATCTAACAGGACATCCCTTATGTTGCAAATTCATGACCATGCACGAAAACTGCAAAGGGTTCATAGGCAGGGGTTGTGTATATATACAAACAGTACAAGGTACATTAGGGATATATGCAGCAGCAGGTGGAGTGAGAAATACCACAGTAGAAGAATGTTCCAGTAGCTGGTTCTAAAATAGCGAGAATGGAATTAAAGAAGCTGGAGTTAATTTATTATCCGGGAAGAACAAGTCAAAATTCTGCTGATTCAAACCTGCCACTTCCATCCTCCAAAGTCACCGGTGGCAGATCTAGGGTGTTAGGAAAGAGGCTGGAGTTTGCCTCAGTACGTACTTTCAGCAAATTATGACAAATGTCTAGGCTATCTTGTCCACTTTGCGCAATCTTGAACGCCGAGCCTATGACCTTATCTCCATTCCCCACCGCGTGGGTGGAGGCTAACTGTTACAGACATCACGAAGTATTCGTGCCGGGCCGTTCTTCACGATTGGATCGAATGCATTCGATCCAGTGTTGTCTATTACACCCCATCATGGCCTATAGTCGAACGATTACTTCTATCATTAAAGCGTAATGCAGCAGTTATAAAACAACAATTGACCAAGCTAGTATTCAACGCAAACTAATACAAGTATCAAGCAGATAATGTCTTCGTCGAGACTCTCTATTCAGAGCAATGCCAATATGTGACACGATCACTCATGATGTGCCTTTCTACACAGCACGAGCTCCTGGCATTTTGCTATGGGATGGTCTCCAAACTAAGGCCCAGGAACAAGAGCTTTGCGGTTCCATGTGCCCGGATCTGGACGTAATGGCGTCAGTATATAGGACATTGCAACTCATAGTGAGAGGTTTCCATGACTTACATTCGTAACTCCAGTGCCAAAGTCGTCCATCGGTATCTTCAGCAACAAGCTCTAGCTGATGATTCGATCCATGCATCAACGACCAGACGTGCTTGATGTCAACCCCGAACTCAAATACCAATTCCCATTTGCCGCATCCGCCATCCACTGGGGGGTCGGTGTCAATATCCGTGTTGATTCTCTGCCAATGCTGCACGCGGCCATTCTTGGCGACGGCAAGCTGGAATCCACCAGGGGTCTTCTCGTCAGTAGTCCGCCAATAGTCTTGGACCATGACCGGCGGGGTGTCGCCAATATCTTCGCCAAAGATCTCTGATGGTGTCCAAGGCGCCTGTTCATCAGTACCAGACCGCCAGAACATTTGCAGCTTCCCATCGTCGCGAACTGCCACCACGTACAAGTTGCCCATGCTCGTACGGCTTTTGTAATCGTGACCAACGTTCGACGCCACCAAGGCTGGCCCGGACTGCTTGATACCGGTGGCAACGTCTCGGACGTACATAAAGTCAGCCGTCAGTACGTCTCTTTTGAACTGAGGTTGGTTGCGTTAGACGTGTTCCTCATCGGAAAAGTATAGAGCATAGAACAGAACAGGGGAGCACCTACTTCGACAAGTCCACCGTCGGTTCTTCTCACCACCAAAGAGAAGCTCGAATCGTCCTTCTGGACGTATCCTGGATATCCTCCGATATTCCAAAAAGCCCATTGATCCGTATCGTACCATTGAAACGCACTCTGACTGTAGTACCAGTGCTTTAGCGTACCGAAGGTAGTTAGATATAATACCTCAAAGTCTCGATTGAAAGACGAGGTGAGAATAATGGGTTGGCCAACCACCATTTGATCAGATCCGTCAGGGCGCATCACCCTCTGACTTTGGTACCATGTGTTGGGATATACATCCTCCCTGACGATCTGACTGAATCCGCCCCCTGGATTGGCTCGTACGAGCTCGAAGTTCTTGTGCTTGCTTCCGAATCCGCCTTGAATCATGAGCCCGCTCTGATGAGACTTCCTATCCCAGGGGTCAGGGTCAACATTGGTTATCCCGTACTTGATGAAGCCCTCAATTTCCGCTTCACCATAGCCGATGAGGTAATATCCTTGGTCTCCAGAGTAGGTTCCCCACTGGTTCTTGATGATCCAGCACTTCTGATTGTCATCATAGCCAACAACCAGCACCGCATGAAGCCCACGGGTTGGTGATATGCCGTCATAACGATACACACCTTTGTCTGGGGTCCAGGAGTCGAAATCGGTAAAGATCCGAAAGGCAGCAGTGATGGGTCCGACTTCATCAATCCACTTCTTCTGATCTTCAATGGTATATAAAGGCTGCGATTCGGGTACCCTCAAACTCCTGCCCGCTCGATCGGCGCATGGGAAGTAGAGTCTGTCGTCGGCGTAGTAAGGGTCGCATGCAGCATCTGCAATACCATCACCATTATTGTGCGCCCAGGAAAGAGCTGTCTCCGGCCAGTTGCCGGTCTCGCAGTCACTGCCCATGCTGTCATGAAGATCTGCCTCGCTGCGCTTGCTCCACGGGCCATGCTGGATCCGTACCATTGTTTCCATCAACGCGGTAGCAGCAAATGCCCAGCACGAACCACAATAGCCCTGGTCCTGGACGCTGGTAATCCAATGGAATCCATAACGATCTCTCCAATCGACCACCGGCGGCGGGTCTCGTCTGGCAACTGATCTGGCGGATATCGTTGAGTCTAGAATAATAGAATCATTGGCTCCAGCTTCTCCAGCGATCAATGCGTATCCTGTAGGAGCTTGTGGCGGTGGTAGGGAGGTTGCCGTTGGCTGGACAGCGGAGGTCCACGCAACGGGCGAACTGAGAAAGGATGCTGGCGGTCTTGGCTGTGGTTCATCTGGGATTCCAAGGCCATGAGAAGCTCGCGAACTGGTAGGGGAAGCATCGGCTGTCTGGCCAGATGTCAAAGCAGGGATGTTGTCCTGGCTTTTGATCTCCAGACTTGCGGTAATGGTAACCGTGGGATCTGGTACAAAACTCCCTGTGAGAGTTATAGTGGGAACGAATCTCTCCCCTGACTGTGTGAATGGCGTGTCTCTAGTCGAATCTGATGTCGTTGCAGCTTCATCTCGAACCTTCAGAACAGTTAGTGGTACTCTTTGGGCTGAACATACTACATCATACTTACCAGAACCCGCGCGGACACTAGTCCGACGACGAGTAAGACTATTGACAGATATGGTGCGATCATTTTTGATTTATTTACTTGGTTAATCACAACTTTGAGAGGTAATGATCGACATTCTACGTGCGACAGCTTCAAGTTTATATAGTCCAGACGCTCAACGTGCCAACCTCTCGGCAGCTTGTGAGCTCTCACGGTTTGCATCCAAACCTTTACGACAGCCAAGCAAGCCAATGTAGAATTTCCAGGTCACTGTCACAGAACTTTCAGCCACAAGGAGAAGCTCTGGCCATAGGTACGGCTCCATGAGCTCGTTACGACGACTTGGCGACGCCATCTTCTGTCGCTGATCGGATGGCATTCGCAGCCTCCGAGGCTGTCTGGTGAGACATTCATGCCATCTCGTAGGGCTGAAGAAAGCCGAAAGTGACTCATCAATGGCCGGCCCCAGGGCTGAAAGAAAGCTGTGCTGCTAGAGCCTGGGGAGGCGTCCACTTAGAGTTCGTGAACCATGTCGGCAGTCTTGTCCAATAGCTATAATTCTTGGCAGCGAGGTAACGTTGTTGACCGGTACGAACCCAAAAAGTTATTGTGATATTTATAGGCTAAGAAGAAGCGTCTAGTAGGCAAGTTACGACGGAGCATTGTGGACGAGCTTACCATTACGCCTCTAACTCGTGGCTCGGCATGGGATAATCGTATTTCGTCGTGCGACAACCAACCACTGGTGATTCAGGTGGAATCCAGCTCTCGTGGAATGATACACGGCGCATAAACCAAGGTTTTTGGAACTCCATAAGGTGGCCTAGGTCCGGCTCACTGCACACGATCACATTGTATGTTCTGTAAGTGGCGGAGACAAGCGGATCGGAGCAGAAACGCTTCAGTCAAAGTCGAGTTTCCGAGAAACAGGATGGGTGTGATGATGGGCTGGCAGCCTCCAACATTGTGTGCATTACATTTGTGATGTACTTATCCCCGGTCAGGATAATGTCCAGGTTTTGCTGGCCGGCTAGGGATGCGTAGGGACGCGTAGCGCTGACTTGGGAGACTAGTAGCGCTAACTTGGTACCGACGCACAGGCTGCAGAAGCCTGGACCTTCAGCACACACCTAGCGCACACCGCCTTCCATTAGCGGGCCCTGGCGTTTACATCATCAACGCCAGAGCCAACCAACATGCACGCAAATAAAGCACGATGAGAAATCAGTCGGCCAAAGCCTCACTTGCGCAAACCCCGCCAGCTTGCCAAATATTCCCCTTCTAACACACCTCCGACGAAATATGCCCCCCCGGTGCGCAAATCCGCACTCAGCCGCTCGGCTCTTTGTGCAGCTCTCGGCTGCGTCGCGCCAGGGCTCTATCCTCGATGTGCTACTGCCTCCCCAGACCCGGTCATTCCGAGGTTCTGCGATGACGATAGCGACGTCGCCTACCACTCCACGTCACATACAGTCCAGGGTCGCACGCGTCCGGAACGCCCGGGCCATTGCGCCGAGGTCGTTCAGCACTACCGCTCTGCGCCAAAAGACTCTCGCCATACATAACCCCCAAGTCGACGAAGATGGAACAGAGATGGTGTTGGAAATCACGCCGCGCGCAGCAAACGTACGGCCCCCCTACGGTTTACTCTGATTAAGATCGAGATCCCCTGCTGACACTACTTTCAAGCGCCTCACCAAGATCATGACAAAGGACTCAAACCCGCACCTCGCTCTGCGCGTCCAAGTCGAGGCTGGCGGCTGCCACGGCTTTCAGTACCTGATGAGCTTGGTCACCCTTCCGTCTTCTGTCTCGGCCTCCAAGTCCACTACGCCCGTCCCTGGAAACCCGTCGTCGCCACCGGAAATTGCGATACCGAACCCACCCTCACCAGACGCCGAAGCCGAGTTGGCCCCGTCGACCACTTCCACCACGACGCCAGCGAAACCCGAGCTGAGAGACGACGACACCGTGTTCGCTTTTATAAAAGACGACGTATCGCCGGAAGACGATGGCGGGCGAGCACTTGCCACGGGCCCCAAGATCGTTCTTGATACGCCTAGTTTGGACTTGCTAAAGGGCTCCAAACTGGATTTCACGATGGAGCTTATTGGAAGCCAATTCAAGATCGTGGACAACCCTGCTGCATCGAGTAGCTGCGGGTGTGGAACGAGTTTCGATATCAAGTTATAATAGTATGAGAAGCACCGTCAGGAGCGTACAGCCAGTGAGGACGTTATCAAGGTCAGAGATCGGCGCCATGTCTTCTGATGCCTGCACTGTATGAAGTTTGTAAGCTATGGTATAAGCGCAAGCAAGATAACTAGTACTCTATTTTAAGTAGGTTACTTGGTGACTGAAGAAGTCAGTCAAGTTTTGGACCGGGCGGGTCCGAACCGCTGTATGCTTGACAAAATTGGAGATGAACCAATCTACAATCTCGCATACTTCCTGCCCTTCCCGACATCATCCCTACCTAGACGCAGTTGGAGTCAACCATACCTGTTCCTCGCGTGAGATCATTAGACTTTCTTGGTGCACTGGAGTCCATCTTGTCTCTGCTATAAGGTTCGCCGATGAGGTATTGGACCGGCCTCAGCGGTCTTAGCAAAGCACGATCCGAACCCCCAGACAGTGGGGCGGCCTACGGCACCGGTCCGGACCCGATCCGACATTGGAGATAATGACGACAAGTAGGCCCATGATGGGAGTCAACTGCATCATAATCATAGTAGTATCACTGACTGCCTTACTGTGACTGCATACCAAGTTCCGAACAGTAGATCACCAACATGGCTGTACCCGAGTTCCAGCTGCCTTCCGGCGCTAAATTACCCCAGGTAAGTTAACGTGTCCCCATTTAGTAAAGACGGGGACCGTTCGTCAGTGCTGACGAGGTTTCGAAACCTCAGCTCGCCTATGGAACCGGCACACTCTGGATTAAGGAGAATGAGGCCGACATTGATCGCCCAACTGTCGATGGCATCAAACTCGCGATCGAGCTTGGCTATCGCCATCTTGACGGCGCACAGTGTGAGATTTTACCACCTTTCTGGCCTCTTGGTGATGTGGACGTGTCGTGCGCTGTTACGTATACGTCAAATTGCTGATAAGTTGGAAATGACAGACTACAAGACAGAGGCAGAACTAGGCGTCGCGGTCAAGGAATCCGGAGTACCCAGGTCCGAGTTCTTCATCTCCACCAAGGCTATCTCGCCCGTTGACGTGGAGGGGTCGCTGAGGACGAGTCTACAGAAGCTGGGAATGGATTATGTCGACCTGTATGACGCCCATTCTTCATTTTATGCATCGAATGCTTATGAGACGGCAGATACTTGATCCACGAGCCCTTCTCCGCAGGGGGTAACGAGCAAGTGCTCCAGGATGCATGGAGAGGCATGGAGGGCTGCTTGGAGAAGGGGCTGGCGCGCAACATTGGCGTCTCCAACTTTCTGATCCCGCACCTGGATGCGGTGCTCAAGATTGCCAAGGTCAAACCCATGGTGAACCAGGTGGAGTTACACCCGTACCTCCAGCGCACCCAGCTCGTCGATTATCTCAAAGCCCAGGATATTGCCATAGAGGCGTACGCCCCGCTGGGCCCTCTGGTCAAGGCGCGCCCCGGGCCTATCGATGATGTGACTGCTAGGCTGGCGGAGAAGTACGCAGTCAGTGAGAGTGTGATCTTGCTGAGGTGGGTGATCCAGCTGGGCATTGTGGTCATCACAACAAGTGGGAGGAAGGAAAGGTTGCAGGAGTACCTGAAACAGGTTCCGAGCTTCCAGTTGACGGATGCGGAGGTCCAGGAGATCAGTGCAGAAGGGAAGAAGAAGAATTACAGAGCTTTCTTCGCCGACGCGTACGGAAAAGATTGCTTTGATTAGTCTCGCTGTCTTGGAGGCAAATATAAGGAGTATAAATCTGACTCATTCGGAAGTGGCATCGACCTGGACGGCTTCTATTGCCTGGAAGAGAAAGCTCAATATGGCCGCCCGAGAAACCTGGTATATATGTAATCGCAGGCACCCACATTTCGACAAATCTATCCGTTCATTCAGTGCCTCAAATCAAGATGTAAATATCTACGAAGTGCTGTTTGCAGTAGATCTTGCAGCCCGATGCCCTGCACATTCATTCTTGGTTCATGATAACAATCTTGATTTCCTTGCGAGCATGCTGCGCTTCAAAGGCCTCTGAGCATCTAGTCAACGGATATGTTGATGTAATAAGAGGCTTCAGGTCCACCTTCTTTCTGCTCAGTAAGTCAATCGCATCCGCAAAACAGCCAGGAGTATACCTGACAATGCCTATGCAGTGGTTAGCGGTTTGAGCGGACCGTTGGACGAATGCTTCTCCGATTCTCCAACAAATCTTACCTTTGATACTGAGCTCTTTCGCAGTCAACAGGAACAGTGGGACCGATGTAAGCGGCTTGCCCAGTCCTGCCTGGATACCTGACAACCTATTAGCACAATGCATATTCAGTGGGCCATAGTATATCCTGTCACAACAACGTACATGTACCACCATTTTTGAGCATGCATATAGCCATCTGTGAGCAGATCTCGGCTCCGCTGGCCTCTACGGCGATGTCGAACCCACTGCCAATATCGTGCTGCTTGACTATCTGGTTTGCGTAGTCCTGGGCAAAGGCAAGCGATTCGATGCCTTGCCCCTTTTGAGGGGGTACGACACCGGTATCGGCACCATATTTTACTGCGAAGTCGACTCGCGATTGTTCGATATCAAATACAATGACCTTTCGGACACCATAGGCTTTGGCGACTGCAAGTATAAGAAGGCCTAGAGGACCGCAGCCGCTACATCATGTCAGTGAATTCCAGAATGAAAGTCACAGCAACAGTAGCTTCTTACAAGATAGCCATAGTTTGGTGCGCGTTCAAGCTCGCTCGCCGTCCGAGCTGGACGGCAATGGCAAGTGGTTGAATAGAGCCGGCCTCTTCCCAGGACACATTCTCCGGTATGGGAACTGTCATCGATGACTTGACAGTAACATATTGGCTTAATGTGCCGTCGGTTGGATCCAATCCACAGTACTTTAGATTCGCACAAATATTAGGATTCCCCCGAACACAGAACTCGCAAGTCATGCACGCGAAGCCAGGTTCTACTGCCACGCGCTGGCCTACGGTCCGGTCCTTGACAGCGGGGCCGACCTTCTCAATTATACCCGAGGACTCGTGTCCAAGGACGAGCTGCTTGGATACCGAGGCGCTCTCCCAGTTGTGGCAGTCCGAGCCGCAGATGCCGGTTGAGATCACTTTGACGAGGACATCGTTCTCGCCGACAGGTTCAATCGGTCTTTGCTGAACCTCGACCTGTCTCGGTCCTACCCACACACAAGCCCGGTTTGATTCCGCCATTTCTGTGTGGGAGGAAAATGAACCAATGCTGGTTCGATGGCTAGTCCTAGCAAAACTGAAATTTACCAAATTATTCCACTGAGAGAGAACGTTTCAGTGCTCTAGATTGGGCTAAAGTACAGACGCTCCAATTCGTTATGCCAGCTTACTACCCCACAAAACGGACCACGGGCAGACACTCGTCCTGTCTATACTTCGGTAGTCATGTTCCTACTGTGGGGTCGGTGGAGGACTGAAGGACCATGCGGATGAGGTACGAACCCTGCTTGCGTTGTATCGGAACCACACCTCCTACTGATAAGATTGTCCTGGCTCACTCAGCACCCCAGGCGAAATGGATGGCTTTTATTGGTATTCATCATACGATGCAGTTGATTTGAAGACTGCAATATCAACCTTGGGTTGTATGATGATTATGTCACGGATCAGCATTGCCCAGTAAGTTGCTTCCAAGCTTGTCGGAGTGCAACTGCTTCTTTGACTTGTCCTTATTCTTGCTCATTGCTATTTACTCGCATTGATCGAACAATATACGATGTTACCGAAAGAGCCGACTGGATCAGCAACCTCGCCGACCGATGCCGGGGTGGAGACATGGGATCCGAAAGAGGAGACTGCCTTGGTACGAAAGATTGACTTGCGAATCTTCCCGGTCATGGTTGTGCTATTCATTCTCAATTTCATTGACCGGAACAATTTCGCCAATGCTCGACTGAAAGGACTTGAAGAAGACCTCCACCTTACCGATGTACAATACCAGACTTGTATCTCAATCCTTCTGGTCGGGTATGTGGCTATGCAGGTACCTTCAAACATGATCCTGAGTAAATTATCGCGGCCGAGCTGGTACCTTTGCGCAAGTGTGGTAGTCTGGGGCATTATCTCAGCTGCGACCGGTGCTGTCCATAACGCCACTGGAGCGATTCTTTGCCGGTTCTTCCTGGGCTGTGTTGAGGCGTCTCTCTTCCCTGGAAGCATTTACCTTCTATCGCGATGGTACACTAGAAGAGAGATGCAAGTACGAGTAACTCTACTGAATATGGGGAATCTCGCAGCCCAAGCATTCGGAGGTCTCATCGCCGCGGGCATTCTTTCCGATATGGAAGGCAAGTCGGGTCTTCGTGCTTGGAGGTGGCTGTTCATCATCGAGGGCGTGAAAACTATAGCGTGTGGTGCCGGCGCTGTCTTCATCTTGCCAGACTATCCCGCAGGGACCAGCTGGCTCTCGAACCATGAGAAAGAGATAGCTGTCAAGCGGTTGACCCTTGACGCTGGTGTTGCTGAGGCAGTAGAGAATGAAAGCGCTCTTCACGGTTTGAAGTTGGCTGTCATGGATCCCAAGGTCTGGCTTCTTGGTATTACCTATCACGCAACTATCATGGCGCTCAGCGTGAGTGTACATCTCAACAATACCCGTGCTCTGGCTAATTCAGAAGCAGTTTAGTTATTTCTTCCCAACAATCACGCAGGCTCTAGGATATGACACCACAAAGACTTTGCTTCTCACCGCACCGCCTTGGATATGGGCAATGGTTTTCTCGTTGCCTAATGCTTGGCATGCAGATAAGACTGGGGAACGGTTTTGGCATTATACGACACCGGCAGTGATCTGCGTTGTTGGGTATATTATATCTATGACCACAACAGCGACGGCTCCGCGATATTTTGCCATGTTTATGATGACAAGTGAGTCTAGACTCGCTTTCTGATTCCTAATAACAATTACTGATAATCCTCAGCTGGCTACGCCTGCGGCTTCGTAATGCTTGCTTGGATCTCTAATACTATCGTTCGACCGGCAGCGAAGAAAGCCGCTGCCATTGGTATAGTCAATGCAATGGGTAACATTGGAAGTATTCCTGGTTCCTACATCTGGCCATCCAAATACGGGCCCTACTATGTGAAGAGCTTTGGTGCTGAGTTAGCAATTTTCACCTTTGCGGTGGGTTGCGCCTTCCTTCTGCGCACGTATTTGAAATCCCTTAATAAGAAATTGGATGCTGAAGATAAGGTACCCTTCGAAGTCACGAATGGAACTGTGGAGCAGACTGCTGCACTGGCTGGCAAGATGCCACAGCATATCCTCGAGGATACCAAGCACTTTAGGTATCTCTACTAACAACATATGTAGAAGAAGGGTTAGTAACGAACTGTTCGGCTTCAGTTAGAATAGAGGGGTTTGGCGAGGCGTATCTAGGAACTGATAATTTCGAAACGGCAATAAATCCATTGCCACAGACTGCGCCTCCTTCCTTGACTGAATAACTCCCCACTACAGACACTGTGGCAGACTTCAATTATAGCCCTGTTGAGTTTCGATCCCAGCATTTTCTGACTTTGGCTCAGCCTCGTTTTTGCTCTGTATCAAAGCCTTCAATGTAGACATTTCATTTGACATCCATGCGGTCAAGGCAACAATGTCAGCGCCACAATTAACGAAATGAAAACCTTGTTCATATCGTTTTGCGGCTGAATAGTTGAAATCAAGTCAGTAATTATATACAAAACGAAAGGCAACATAATTATTCGGGACAAAACAAATAGCATACCCGCTTCAGCATTCAAAGCAAAGTGTCCGGCATATTTTCCAGCATCAAGCGTCGCCTTGAGGATTCGCTTTGAAGCTTCTTGGACTTCTGGTATCGAAGAGTGATCAAAGGCAACATAACCCATTGAGGAGGCCAGATCGTTCGGGCCGATGAAAAGCATATCTAAGGAATGAGTGTCAGCGGAAAAGGACACACGATACACGCAGGGTTTCCTATAGCTCGGGGAGTCATACCAATCCCGTCCACATTTGCGATTTCCTCCACATTCTCAACTGCTTTGCGTGATTCTATCTGAACACATATCATCACATTATCATTAGCACTCAACAAATATTCCCGTCCATTCTGGTTGAAGTTTGCGGATGCAAACATAGCACCCGCTCCCCGAATTCCCTTTGTCCACGTGTTTGAGGGATATTTGCACGCCCGGACTATCGCTTCCGCTTGCTCCTGTTCGCATATTCTTAGCTGCCTTGCTCGCACCCTAAGCTGGGAAGAAGTATGATCACGCACCTTTGTTTCGCACATGGGAACCATGATCGCATGCGCGCCGGCGTCCAACACCCGTTTCATCATCCACGGCTCGCTGCTCGGTATCCTGACAATTGGGGAGCACCCTGACGAGGCGATTGCCCCAACTTGCAGATACATGTCATTATCGTCGATATTGCCATGCTCACAGTCGATAAGAACCCACTGTCATTTCTGTCAAATTTCCCACACCACCGAGTGAGAAAGACAACTCACGTCTTGGCCCAACGGCCCAACTGTTCTAGCCAGTGTATAACCTGGGAATTCAAGCCACTGTCCTATACTGGGCCCATCACCTCGCTTCGCACGCTCCAAAGAGTCACGTAGTCTTGTCTTCCCGGACGCGTCCACAACAGGGGACGATATTTGATTCGACATGGTCAAGTTTCGTGGCTACGATACTGACAGGAAATAATCAAACCGATCCGAGCCTCGGAAAGTGGTACTGTGAAGGAGTATTGTGGAAGTAATCATTGCATGTCCCCGAATAAACATGAGATTACTTCGGTCGGAGCCCGGGCCGAAGGCGGACCACCTCCGCCTAGGTCAACCTGTGGATCCTGAGGGTGGGTTATCCTGGGCCAACGGCTCAATACCTCCGACACTCTGGCTCCTAAACACATTGCTTACTCATGCAAAAAATGTCTCACATTTGATAATTCCCCCTACCTAGAAACATGTATATGTGAGGCATGTAATGCGTACTCTGGCATCCAGTTTCATGTCGCCATTCCAACACAAACTTTATGAGAAAATCTCTCCGAACAACTAGTTCTACCTCCACGACCTTCGGCAGGATAATTACTCAATCGTGGTGACTGATATATGACTTGGCCCACACAATACAAGCACCCATCTTATAAAGAGACAATACCTTTAGGACTCTGTCTGCTTGTTTTCAGAGTATTTTAGAGTACAACTGGGTAAATACATTGCTATCGCGCGCACTATCAAACACGTTCTGGGTGGTCTGGGGAAGAAGATTGGTCGAATCATGGATATATTCTAAGTCTGCCTGAGCTAGAAGTAATCACTGGCCATCTGACCAGGTTTCTCACTTGGATCCTTGCACTGGTTAGCAGTGCATGTCCATCCTCCGAACATGACCGATGTAGGCAAATTGGTGAGAAACTTGCCCCGACTGGCAGCTTGCTGGGTATGGGGAAGTGGGGAACGCGGACCGGACTATCCACGATCAGCTATCTCAGCGAATGGCTTCCACTCCGATAAGCCTGGGCCGGTGCAAGTCTGTGAAGTTTCATTGTCATTCACATCCAGGTTCACTAGATTTCTTGCTTCTTCTCAATTAACTTTGCTTCGTGCTGGCCACCGTCTTCGATACGTCGAGCATCTTGTATCGCTTCGTCGTAAAGGCATCGGCATGATCTGGGGCCAAGGAATCCACCAAACTCATACTCTATGACTAGCCCCTGATGCTCCTACAGCACGGTCTGACAGACTTGAATGATCCGCCGGAGAACAGAGTTCGTGAAAATGATCGCAAAAACAAATTGCCCACCGAAGCAGATTGTCCGAACTGTTGTCTTCGACAACTACATGTGATGATCATCTAAATCCAACTCTAAGATGCTATCTGTGAATATCGAGGCAGGAACGACAGCGTGTCGACAAATCATCCGGAAATTATAGTTTCCCTGTGTTTCATAGGCCAGACACCCAACTCGTAGATGTGATGTATCTCTTGGAAAGGCGCTACCAATAGCTGACTCCTTCCGGCAGCAGTTGGAAGCGTTATGCAGGCAAGCTTGCCTGTGCAGCCCATGACCGAGGCATGCACTTGGGTAGTCTCATCCGTGACGCTCTCTCAGCCTTGGCTCAGTATCCAATTTCCAGCGTCACATATTCCGGATACCAAGATGAGGCGGCCGATTTCGAAGTGGCTCTGATGGATCATATATTGGTAAAATTGGGAGAGAGATCTACCCAGTTGGGATAAACGCCAGCTAAATGGCACTTATCTGTGCTTAAGTAGGTCTATTGCAAGACGAAATGTCAACTGCCATCGTGAACTGCTCATGGATAACTGGGAAAAGCCTTGGAGGAACTGTGCAGTAAAGATCATCAAGCATCGTACTCTAGGCAAACTTCAACTCGAATGGTAGGATTCAAATGGTAGCATTCTTGGTCTTCGCATGCGTAGGCAATGGCGGTGGTAAGATCCAGCAGCTATACTCACCGTACATCTTCGCCAGATTATCATGCCCGAAGGGCCGCTCGCTTCTGCTGACGAATACGTCGATCTACAAAGCCCTAAATGTATCATATTCTCGCTCGGCGAAGTCCACTTGGTGGTGTTTGATAGACCAATATGGTGCAATTGCCGGGTCACCCGCCGGCGAGACCATCAGTGACGCGGGGGACTGCGTGCAATTCCTGAAGTGTTCGGAGACGACTTGATTTAGTGTTGATCAGAATCGTGCTCTGATGGAGCAGGCGTTACGTGACTCGAGTCGTGAGCCACCTGCTAGTTAGTGGATCGCGGGGCAAAGGGGCCCCTGCCCCTTACAGAGTCGGAGACCACGGAGCCGCCATTCTTAGGGATCGAATTCCAGGGGTCGAAACTATTCTCCATTGAGACTGCGGTTGCTGAGCTGATGAATGCTTGGGGTCTATAGCGATGGAATGGAATCATGTTCATGGACAAATGACCTAGGAGTAAACCCGTAATTCCGCCGGGGCTCGTCATTTCCATGGCCCGACGATATAGTCAATGGCGGCCATCATGCAACCGTCAAGAGGCTCGGGAGTCGAATCGACGTCGCAACCAGAAGTGATTCAGCGCCGTAAGACCATAAATCCGTAATGCCGTAATGGTAATGGGTTTGCCTAGGAGGAAAACTGTCGGCAAAGGGCGACCGACTCAAGCACGCAAGTGACCATGAATAAGTCTTGGCTGACTCGTGCCTTGCGTCCATGGAGAAGTGCTGTTTTTTTTTGCCGCGACAGAGAGCACTCAAGGGTCTCGTTGGGACTCTGTGGCCGTAGTGACCCACTGGGCGCCCACTGCCGAGCGTCGGGAACCGCACCATCGGGTCGGATCTCACCCATCTCTGCTTATCGAGCTTCCCCACCTTTTCCATACTGCTGACCCCACGACGTACGATCCAAGACACGGAGTGAATGCAGATCTGGCCGTTATTTATATCTTCTGTGTGCAAGGCAAGAGAACACCAGGAGCCCGTTACGACTGACTGAGAACATTGTGACTCCCATAGTAGCTCGCGAGACCAAAGAAACTGGCCTATCACCGCGACCACAATCCTGAGATTTATACGACAGAAGGAGTGCAGAACAGAGTCTCTAGGTCGGCTTAAAGACGTGTGAGACGGGGTTTATCAGAGATCCACGAGGTCAAAACACCGGAAGCTTGCAGAAATGGCTCCTCCCCCCGCTCCTCCCCTTCCCTCGGCCAAGGTTGTTGGAATAGCATCCAATGCTTTTCTGCAGCCACCGCTGTCAAGAAGAGGCCATGGCCCTGGTATCGTTATAGTCGATGCCGGAGTCCCAAGCGCCGAGTCCTCGGACACGATAGATCCTTTACCGCAGAAGAAGTGGGCTGAGGAAGGCTATGCCGTCGCGAGGATCACGTACCAAAAGGATATTCAAGCCGAATGGGCCATCGATTCCGCACTCGAGAAGGCAGCTGATGCCCTTGCCAATCTGGAGTCTTGTGATACAAAAGACAAGTTCGCTCTCATTGGTCAGTCAGAGCCTTCATCCCAAGACTGGAGTTGGTAACTAATGGAGACCACAGTCTATGGCAACCCTTCAGAGTACCCGGCTGGTTTTGTTTCCAAGTTGCAAACTGCCTATAAGTCCTCATCCAGGATCGTGGCAGCTACCTCGTTCTCCACCGAGTGGGACTTATCTTTCAAGCCAGAACTTGTTCACATCGCGGGTAAGGGAGCAGACGTATCGCGGGAAAATACGACTATATACGCGTACCCCAATGTCGTGTCGGCTTCTTTTATTCTTCCGGGTGCCACTGATTTCCTGTACTCGGCAGCGTCCGTAGCTCACACCCGCGGTGTTACGTTCGTCAAGAAGCACCTAGGCGGACCCAACTTCGACCTGGAGAAGATCTGGGACGAGCACACGTACTATGAGTTCGAGAACAGATCGGTGGAGAACACCATGGCAACCATGGTCGACGAGCCCTACGTCAACCACATTCCTACCATAACTGGCGGCGTGGGTCGTGAGAGGTTGACGACCTTTTACCGCCACCATTTCATCTTCAGCAACCCGGAAGATACCGAGCTAGAGCTCGTGAGTCGAACCATTGGTGTGGACAGAATTGTGGATGAATTCGTATTCTGCATGACACACAATGCGAAGGTTGACTGGCTGTAAGTACTTCCGAAACGCATATACGGGTTGTTCGGGTTGAGCCATTTCGCTAACGTCATATTCCAGACTTCCTGGAGTTCCACCTACGGGAAAGAAGTTGCGTCTTCCCTTTACCTCTATTGTCAACATTCGAGGTGATCGCCTCTACCACGAGCATATTTCTTGGGATCAGACCACCGCCCTTATTCAGTGCGGCCTTCTGCCTGAGTACCTGCCATTCCCTTACCCGCTTGAGGATGGGAGGACACCGGCACCTGGAAAGAAGTTCGAGTACCGCGTTCCCGGTGCTGGCTGGGATGTACCGGCAAAGCTGAAGGACCAGGGCGCAGCACCGAGCAACGAGATGTTCGATTGGGAAGTGAGAGAAGTGGACGCATAAGTATCTTGATCTCTGATCTATCGACACTTTTATCTCGACCCTGCTTGGCGTGAAGAATTGGCCAGCAACCGGAGTCAGGAATGAAATCAGAGGCGATCATCTGTTCATGGAATACCTATAGTCATGTATATAATTAGCAGGACAAGGCTGAAAAAGCTTACAGGCCTAGTCTAGGTGTTTATACGATTGATCAGAATCATTAGTGGTCTGCAAGGTATGAGTGAAACGGAATATACCGGCTCATCTTGGTGCAACCAACTTCTCGTGCAAGCCCATACTGTCCGCTACGGCTTGTCCTCGGAGACCTTTAACTGACCGAAAGTTTAGGCTAAGTTCAGTCCCATAAGTCACTTAGCTCGCTGGTGTTTTAGTACCGGCGCTCTCTAGTCTCTCCGCGTAGCCCTCCGGCAGTCTACACGGCCACACCTTCATTGGGACGGAGCTCGGCTTTGACTTCTCCATCAGCAGATTGAAACCGCAACGGCCGAGAAATTCGAAGGCGATTTGCTGCGCATCTGGTTCAGCATGAATTGTATCTACAAGTACACTGAATCAGTCATCTATGCCTGATGTTCATCACGGTCGTTCTTCCAACAGCCGCCCTCACTTCCCCTTTGAGTTCATTCGGCCGTCGCTTATCTAGGGTATCAGTGGATGGATATGACACAGCAACGTTCCACCATATACTTCACACACTGGATAAGCAACCTAGCTCTGTGTTATAGGCCTTCCAAGGTTGGAATCGCCTCCCACTCTGGTATTGTGGACCCTCATCCAATGCGGCTGTAAATTCGGTCGTAGGGGTGTGGGAACCCTCTATTTGATTAATGTCCTCCACATGCACCAGTGCATTGCGGCTGCTACGGGAGCCCTGTGAAGAGGCGCTAAGGCGCTGGGGTTGGACCGGGATGGAGAGATGGCAGGGGCTTCAGTGTTCTCCCCACCAACCCTGTTGCGGTTTTGGCCCGAAAGCTGAAACGGATCCTCGCCCATTGGGTTCTTGGCCATATAAACGACACAACTCAACCGGCGTTGGCGTCCGATTGATAAAGGGGCGGTGCATTGGGAATGGACATGTTAATTTAGTAGGCAGCAAGTCAGTTTATGACATCGTTCAGAGAACGAACAATGATTGTGTTAAATATGGATAGGTTCCCAGCGTGCTTTGCGTACGAGGGACATCACTTTCAGGGCGCTCTTTTGGTCACGAGGTTCACTTCTTGTTTCGCTTCGAGGATTAGTTTCCTTTGGCCCTAGGCTGGTTCCGTTCATTATTTCAATATTTATTTTGAGTTGTTCGTGAAGTCAGGCATTAGGATGTGGTCTTCTCTTCTACTTCTTTGCGCTAGCGCAGTAACCGCTTATACAGTCACAACGGCTGATCAGTTCATGCTGAAGAACATTGACCCCATCGTATTCCCCCGCCAGTATGACAAGAGTCATATGCACTCCTTTTTTGGTTCTGATGCAGTGACCATCAATACCACGACTTCAGCAGAGCTCCAAGCCGGCTGCTCCACTGCTCAAAATCCCAACGACTACTCCATCTACTGTGCGTGACTCTGAGGGTGTCTACCTTAGGTAGCCAATTAACTAACGATTTCTCCGTAGGGGTTCCTACACTTGTTTATACTGGAGATAATGGCGTAAAGACGCCAGTCCCGCTGTTTCGATTTAGCGCTTACTATGTCTCGATTAACGCTGCTGAGGTTCCCATCCCACAGAACTTCAAGGCGGTCGCTGGCAATGCTGCTGCAAGCTCTCAGGCAGATGTGGAAGACCTTGCGGGAATCTCGTGGTTCTGCGAGGGAGATTCTGACCAACCTGAGAAGGACGCTGCCGCCTTCCCTTTGAAGACTTGCAGCACTCACCTGCAGACTCTCTTGCTGTTCCACGACTGCGTCAATGAGCAGACGCTTGAATCAGCCTATTCTGGAACACAGAATTGGAACTCGACATTCCGTCCAGCCAACCGGTGTCCAGAGGGTATGAAGAGGATGCCGCAGCTGCGCTTCTCGATCCGCTACGACCTGCGTAAAGCCTTGCCTGGTGGATGGGAGGGCGCCCCGCCTTTGGAGCTAGCATGCGGCTCATCGTACTGCACCCACGGCGACTTCATCAACGGCTGGCTTCCTGAGGCAGCTCAGAATATGTTGAAGGCAACGAGCAAGACCGAGTTCGCAGGAGTCGACGGCCCCGACGGCGCTTATGACGCTGGGTCTGTCTGCGGCTCCGCCAACGCGGTAGACGCCGATCCCGATAACGGTACTAGCGACTACGCTGAAAGCGTGGCGCTGCTCTCAAAGCGATCAATTGGCAGGCGGCGAAGCATTTCTGGAAGAAGTACCTAGGTTAAATGATTGGGCGATTAGACTCACAGGCTCGAATGCATTATATATTGGCAATTTTTATAAAAGTACCTGAGCTATTTCGAAAGGACATTTGACATTCGACTCCACGCTTATTGTTATGGGGCCATTCGTGCTTGGGCTCTCTCGCTGTAGTGCGATCGTCTTACTCATAGCCAACGGGCATGTTCAATAATTGATACCGGGTCGCAACATGAAAGCAGCACGACAACTGAGGCTGTACTGTCCATAGTTGTGAGATCCAATGTTTTTGCCCAGTACATCCTGTGTTGAGAAACGCTGAGGGGATAATAACGGCATCAGCCGGTGGTACCTGCGTCGCTTATCACACACTTGCCTTGAACAGGTCAGGCGCCATGCCCAGCGGTACAACGGGGCTTCTTTAGCGGATCATGTCAACAAATGACCACATGACGCATTGGAGGTGTCTCGGATGCGATTTATCGGACCAGCCACCCATTTCACAACCACACTTCTCTCATACACACCAGAGCCAACATGGTGGGATACGAAACATTACAGGTGGCGGGGAGCCTGGTGCTTCTCGCCGCCTCTCAGGCGTCTGCAGTCCAGAATCAGGTAGCCGGCCGGGCTGACCAGGTGCCGCTAGGTGTTGGCGCCGACGCCGGCATCAACCACCACAAGACGTCCAAGCCACTGGTCAGCACTGAGGCGCTCCAGCACAGCATCAAGAGTGACAACCTTCTTGCCCGCGCCAAGGATCTGTACAAGATTGCCAAGCTGGGAGAGGATGAATACAACCACCCGACTCGAGTTATCGGAAGTGAAGGTACATATGCGCCCAAGCTGTGATTAACTCACGCCACCCATAGCCAATGTCGAATCGGGACTGACAAGATTGCCAGGGCATCTGGGCACGCTCTCGTACATCTACTCCAGTCTTGCTGAACTGGGTGACTACTATACTCTGTCGAATCAGTCCTTCCCGGCCGTTACTGGTAGAGTGTCTGAATCGCGACTGGTGCTGGGAGATAAGGTGCCAGAATCGGCCTCGCCAATGTCTTTGACGCCCCCAACGAAGGACAAGCAGCCCGTTCATGGAGATCTCATATTCGTTCACAATAGTGGATGTAATGTCTCCGACTTTCCGACCGAGGTCGCTGGCAATATTGCCTTCATCCAAAGGGGCACTTGCCCCTTCGGAACCAAGTCCGAAAATGCCGGGAAAGCCGGTGCTGTGGCGGCTGTGATCTACAACAATGAGGAAGGACCGGTGCATGGCACCTTGTCAACCCCGACGCCGGATCATGTCGCCACCTTTGGGCTTTCTGACGAAGATGCCGCTCCTTTTCTCAAGGACCTGAAGAGCGGCAAGCGTGTTGATGCCATAGCCTACATGGATGCGGACGTGACCACAACCATCACCGACAATATCATTGCTCAAACGGTAAATGGCGACCCGGAGAACTGTGTCATGCTGGGCGGCCACAGCGACAGTGTAACCGAAGGGCCTGGCATCAACGATGATGGCTCCGGTAGCCTGACTGTGCTCGAGATCGCAACCCAGCTCACCAAGTTCGCTGTAAACAACTGCGTCCGCTTCGCGTGGTGGTCTGGCGAAGAAGAAGGACTTCTTGGGTCGGACTACTACGCAGCCGCCCTTTCGCCTGAAGAAAACCTCAAGATTCGACTCTTCATGGACTATGACATGCTTGCAAGTCCGAATTTCGCGTACCAGATCTACAATGCTACGAATGACGTGAATCCCGTCGGATCGCAGCAGCTCAGGGATCTGTATGTCGACTGGTACAGGTCTCAGGGCCTCAACTATACCTTCATTCCATTTGATGGTCGCAGTGACTATGATGGTTTCATCAGGGCTGGTATTCCTGCTGGTGGTATTGCCACCGGTGCCGAGGGCGTTAAGACCAAGGAGGAGCAAGAGAAATTTGGTGGCAAGGCAGGCGACTGGTTTGACCCCTGCTACCACCAACTCTGCGACGATGTTAGCAATCTCAATCTCACAGCATGGGAGGCGAATGCAAAGGTAAGTCCATAAGCCCTACCTCAACATACCAAGTGCTAATTTGTCGTAGCTCGTGGCCCACTCCGTCGCGACATATGCCGTTTCGTTCAAGGGATTTCCTGAGCGCAGTCCTTTAGCAAGCTCTGCTGTTTATGAGCAGACGACCAAGTACCGCGGGTCACGCCTTTTCATCTGAGTAAACCTCGCACGTTTAACGAGAGTGTTATTATCTTAATGCTAGATTTCTTGGCTGTCAACACCTCTGTGCAGCCTACAAGAGTTTTCCCGGCGGTCTCCGTACATCTCATAACACTCAACCCTCAAGAGTAGTGATAGATTAGAATAGGATAGCCTAAGACAGGTTCTATAGATCAGAGCCATTGCTTGTTTCCATAGTGAGAGACCCAAGAGCCTGCATCTCCGGCCTCGATGCTAGACCTCTCGAGTACAGACAACGTTAAGCGGACGGACTCTTCAGGAGTGATTGCGCCTTTGAAGTGAGGTGCATATCTTGCGAAGCCTTTCACCATTCCCTCCACGCTTTTCTGCTGCTCTGGTGTCACTGCCAAGTGGTTAGCTACGGCCGTCCCTAAGTTTTCGCACGCCGAATTTGGCCTGACTCACGTGAGCGGTTGTAGTTCCCGGTGTCAACGAAGCCTGGAGAAATAGTCATGAGGAGGATTCCCTGTTCCCGTAACACCGCACTGAGTTTTGCCACGGCCATGTTGAGCGCTGCTTTGCTGATGGCGTAGGTTGGGCTGACTTGCACGTCGTACTTGGCAACAAGATCAACATCAGCCATGCCTGTGCTGATTGCTATCGCTTTCTTCCCATTCCCTTTCAACACAAGGGGCATGAACAGATTAAACATGCTGATCGTGCCCAGAACGTTGATCTTGATACTTTCCATCAAGTCTTGCTCTAAGCTAACCGGATCTTTGGCACTGGCGCTTGAAGTCAGGATTTTGATTCCAAAACATTGAAAGCCTGATCTCACAGGTTGCTTAAATTATCGAAAGCAGATAAGTCGGATACTGCACCGTGGTTTGCGATAATGTAATCCAATTTTCCCCCGGTGACGCCGGAAACGTACTCGGATGCTTTCTGTGGTTGGATCATCAGCCACCAATACCCATCTGATGATCACAGGTGCTTAACTTGCCTTCAGAGCATCGTAGTCGGTGACATCCGCCTGCAAGATGTGAATATTCTTGCGGCTGAGCCCCTCAGCTTGATATTTCTTGTCTGCTGCTCCTTTGTCGCGAACGAGCCCGAATACGGTGTTGGCTGGATTAGCAGACAGCTGGCGTACGAACTCGAACTAGTAGTAGGTTAGCCGGGATGCATGATCTTGAAGATAGTGAGGCTTACACCAATGCCGCGGGCAACGCCTGAAATAACGTATGTAGACATAGCTGTAATGATGGGTATGCGGAGGATTTGGATAGGATTAGCAAATTATGTATGCTTCAGTTCACTCCTGATGTTTGAGACAGGTGCAGCTCTTAATCTGAATGAGGCATGTTTATTTGCGATATCTTGCTCTTTATATACCCATTTCTGCGGAAATCCAGGTGCCTGCTCTCTTCGCTACAGAATTTCGATTGATTTCTAATGCCATCAGCCCGATAGTCCAACTGACGCAACTCCACGCCGACGGAGCCTTTTCTTCTTCTTCGCATTAACGGCATCGTCAGAAGCTCCACAAGCAACGCTCGCGCAAAGTTGCTCACAGTCCGAAATGGGGATGGTCAAATATCTTTCTTATCCGCAATCGGCATAGCGTTGTATGTAGTCATTTCGTCAGCAACATGAACCAGGGCGCTCGCAAAAAGTTGACTGGCTTCCCAATCAGGCAATGGCGCGGTGGGTCAACTCGGTCTGAGATCCATCTCTGTTTAGTAAGCCATTCTGGAAGATGGGCGTCTTACCAACCGTATTTTACAGCGTCCTACACCGCACAGGGTATTGAAGTATCATTTTCTGCCTCAAAGGGGAAACTTGGTATCTTTTCGCGAGACGCAAACCCCCTGGTCTCACTTGGATTCTTCGGGAAGTACCTTCTCTTCCAGCGTCTCGTCTAGCACCGTTTGCCTTGCGTCGCGAATCAATATAAGCTAAGCGAAGATGGTCTCTGGCTCTTGCTGGGCTTGCAAAGGTGCGCACCCCAGAAATACTGCAAGTCTCCTCATCTCGTATTCATGGCTGGCTAATGCGAAGCTGAAATAGACCGTCGGGTTCGCTGCGACAGAAGGTATCCGCAGTGTGCACGGTGCTCCGATTCAGGTAGAGATTGCCGTTACGGCCTTCGCTTGTCCTGGCCCAAAGCAACAGACAAGAAGAGGGCTCTGAGAAGCCATCCCATACTACGTGCTCCAAAAACAGGGGCCAACATCCGGTTGATAAATGCCGGCTTTGCTGACATTCGTCTACACCACCACCTTTCTCACTCCTACGATGGGGCCGGTATGCCATAAGTCCAATTGAATCTCCATATTGTAGCTAGAGCTGATACGGTTTAGAAGATTATTATACATATCGTTCACTGCCCTCATCTGCGACCTTGTATCCCTCATTGGGGTGGAGACCTATCGATCTCAGCAAAAAAGATGCCTATCTGCTTGATTACTGTGCGTTGTTGCAGCACCCTTACCATTGCTTCAATTTAGTCGGCTGCATTTCTAATTCTTGTCACAAGTCAAATCGAAGGCTTCTCTTAGCTTGAGCGTTTTTGAACCGGATCGTAAACGTTTCCAAGGCCTCTTGCTCTGTATAGCCCTTTCGGACGGGTCCCCTTCGTCCCGAGCTCTTCTTCAATCCACACTTGCTTACTCTTGTTTACACCGATATGGCTCGCACCTTGAATCAACCAAACTGAAGATAGCTGCACTTCAGGGTCTCTGGTCATCGAGCGCCAACGGCCTTGATGCTCATGAAGCTGTACAACATGTAGCTGCTGGCATGGTTCTTTCTTCCTGTGAGGTAGGCACTGCCTCATAGTTCTAGGGCCGCTCAGGTTACTAATTGGAATCTAGATCCAAGAGTTTCGTGATACGTCCGTTCAGTGGCTTTGGTACATTTGTGGATCGAAGCACATAATGGATGCCACCAACTTACGAGAAAGATCCTCACCTGAACTGATCCAGGTCTTAGATTGGGTAGACTATCATGTAGCTGTTGGTCAGTTCAGCTTGAAACACTGGAGAAAGAGATTAGTGCCGCAAGCAAAGTTTCCTTCTACCCGGAACATAGACAAATCCGATAACCCAGCTGTCTGTAAGCTGAATCAGACGGTAAGGAGCGAATTTTCAATGCGTCATGCCCACACTGACTTTCAGTAGACTGCAAGCGTTGGTGAATGCTCTCATTCGATACTCAGGCTTCTTTTCGAAGTAATGAAGACAGTAAAACGACCCACCGATCCTTGTTACCATAGCAAAGAGTACGCACAACGCATTGAATCCCTCGAAACTCGCGTACGGAAAGTACAGCAACTTGTGGATACTAATGAAAGCCAAGACGATCCAACGTTAGTACCAGGCACTCAAATGGAAAAACTGTATCAGATTGCGACTTTGCTGTATCTCGAGCGAGCATCAAAGAACTTTTCCGGACAATCAGATACAACCAGAGTGCTAGCTGACACAGGCTTCTCCATACTGGCCGAGCAACTAGATTGTTATGCTGCCCTCCCGATCCTCATTATCGGTCTAGAGGCACGGACCGATCAGCAAAGAATAATTGTGCTCGACCTCATCGAAAAGTCCCTTGCCAAATTCCGCTCGCGAAGTTTGGAGGGCGTACAGAGGATGGTTCAAACTGCATGGATCCAGGACGACCTCGAAACAGACAAAGACCTGGATTATGTGACTAAAGTGGATACAATTGTCACCTCGAACAACATTATTCCGACATTCGCTTAGACCAACGCGGGCGGATTGATTGATATTTGAATCGACAACTATAAACCATACATTAGAAATCTATTCAAGATTAATATTAGTAATTAGATTACGACTAAGTATTCGAAAAGGGATTGAATAGCCTTCTGTTTGGGGGGTACATTCGCCAAAGGGTTCATTATCTGATACCTAAACCTCGATAATGCCCTTCGCTCCCCTCTAGCTCAGCTATTGTATCTATGTTCTGATCTGTTCCGTGAGGCACATCTACAGTACCGACCGATAGATATGATACGTGACGACTATCTCGGGCGTTTCGAGACCACTGCGCTGAGGCCGGAGGGCTAGGACTCCCAATTATAGAATCGGCTTCGTATACTACGGATGGCATTTGTTGTGCAGTTGCGCCACTCGTCATCGCCGGACTGGCGAACTTGTCTATAGTTCTTTTTAGCTATTGAAAAGCAATGTCGCATGTGAACGCTGTCTTACCATGATAAGGGCTGAAGAGTTCCTTGGGGGATTCAGGCCGCTCTGTCTGGGCAAGCGCCTGGTGTTCACGGTTCTTCCGCCGTCTCCTCCACAACAGCCAGATGAGCACGAAGACTGCAGCGATGAATACCAAGCCCCCAATCACGCCTCCTGCTATTGCCCCCGGAGAAGTCGACTGGACAGCGCTCAATTGATCAGTCGACGCGCTCACCGTGACCGTGACAAAGGTGGATCCAGTGAATGTGTGGGTATATGTGCTCTCCACAGTGCTTGTAGTTGTGCCCAGTGTTTTTGTTGTTTGTGACCTTTGCGTCGATGCGGTGGTACTGTCTTTCGAAGTTGTCGCAGTGGTCCCCTTAGTAGATTTGGTAGAGGAAGTACGACTGCTAGACGTCAGAAACGGCGCGGCTTTGCTTGAGTCGTCAGCCAGTCTCGCAGCTGTAAGGTCACTCTCAGGGCAACCGCCGTTGCATGGATTGCTCAGGCAACAGCCCAGGAAGGGTGGACTAGCATTGGCGCAGGTATACCATAGTCCTGAGCTAAAGCAGCTTTCAGGAGGTATGGAATTGTAACTGTCTGCGTCGAAGCTCGCAGCGTGAAGAGAGCCGCTATTACAAAGTCCCAAGCCACCAGAGCATGGATCTTCATCGCAGCAGCCGATAAACCGCCGGGCGCTGGCTTCACAGATGTAGAAAGTGCCGCCATTAGGGCAAGATAGGCCAAACTCTGAGATTGGGTCGTTCATTCTACCAGAGATGGCCCAAAAGCAATGTGCCTACATAGGTGAAGAATGAACAAGAAATGCCTCCATCCTGTCTGTCGGCCTGGTTGAGTTTGTTGGTCTCGGGTGTCGAGTACTGGGTTGCCAAGCTATTAGCCTGGGGATGTTGGCTGCAAGTTTTAGATAGGTGCAGGAAACAAGGGTCGTCACCCGTCACCGGACATCATGACGAAAAGTCGCCAATAAGTCAAATCACCTAAATTGAGCTTCGCAGTCCATTGACGATTCTCTTTTTCAGTTATTGTTGTAAAGTCACTGCTGTGAGTGGGCCGGACCCGAAGAGTCGGTACTGTCATTACGGTCCCGACCTGAGAGTATAGCTCATTTCGCAAGACTGTATTAATCCACATCTAGTTCGCTCATGAATTCAGAGCTTGCTAAATGGCTTACGAGTTACCTATACATAACATCACGACGCGGCTGTCTCCAGTCACCAACAATGCCACCGTTGGCACGAAGACAGGCGGTTTCCAATAAGAGCAAAGTGTAGCATGTATCAGTCTTCGTGGCTCAGTTGGTTAGAGCGTCAGTCTCATATGCTATTAATATGACTTGATTCAAGTTCAGGATATCTGAAGGTCGCCAGTTCGAGCCTGGCCGAGGACAAGCTTATTTTTTATGGACTTACTGGTCCATAGAGATTATTTTTTCTCCTTCCTTTCCGCAAGTGATTGTGCTGAGAAACCTGTCTGATTGGACAAATCATTTGAGGTGGGTGGAGTAGGGGGACTGTGGAGTCATTGAGCCGTTCGTTGTGCCCTAGCATCTTCACAGAACCTTCAAACGTTTCCAGGTTGGCGTGGCCCGTCGCTCCAGAAAACACTCGTGAGTCGGAGCAAAAAGGAGAACATTGCTGATTTATATACTCCGATGCGGGGAATCGAACCCCGGGCTTGACGGTTCAAGTTAATGAGAGCGTCAAATGTTAGCCACTACACCACATCGGAAGTTGTGTGTATCGTATTATGTAACAACGCCGGCCTATCCAGCACTATGCTGTCGCTAGCAAAGAAAACTCCACCTCCGCCTCAGAACACAACTCCACTTCATGGTTGGATGGTCTTTTTGGAATCTCATCAGCTGGCGGATGCTTGTGTTAGAGAATGTAGTCGCCAACAGACTTTACCTGAACCATATGGCTGTAATTGATTATCTCGGCCAACTGTCTTGGCTAATGTGTAGAACGCGCGACTGGACACGTAGTCAGTGGAGAAGAAATCAAAGGCTAATAGTATTATCTGTCAATCAAGAAAGCTCAGTTCAAATAGTAAACAAAGAAGATAATCGATATGATGAATGGTCGCTCTTCCTGCCTGACCTAGTGATCCATAGTGGTGTTTGCTTCAGAAAGTTTCCACGCCCTCCTACAAGTAAGTCTTCGTACGTGAGTAATACCTTCCCATGAGGTAAGCCATTGTTGCTCAGTATCCTTCCGCCGAAGTCTACCATTCATCCATCATCACACATCAATCGCCTATCCTTGGCACCAAGCTTAGTAAATAGTATCGATAGAACGCTCGTCATCGAAGTACGAGTAGTATGTATTGTCGCTGGAGAAGAAAGAGAAGAGAAGAAAACATGTTCTAATCAATTGTGATCTGAGATTATCACGAACTACGTATGTTAAGTAATGTTGGACCATCTAACCGAACCATGAATTGCCCCATAGCTATAGTTGTTAGAATGGTTTCAGGGGTTTTTCTTTTTCTGATTATGACATGATTATATTTATCGAGTAAGAAAGACTAATTATACGCAACAATGAACAGTGATTGGTCGGTGGGTTGCCAGTACGTACGACGAGTCATCCAGAGTCGTTGCATCCTCCTACTGCGGTGCGTCGGTTAAAGGGTAAACACGATTAATGGAAGTATTGCGAGCGGAGTCACAGAATATATGCTGCTAGTCCATTATGTTCCCACTTACGTCGCAGAAGAGATATTTCATCTTTCGTCTCGCTATTTATCGGATTTTTACTTTGTGTAGCACCACGCATACTGTGCTGTAGCCAGAGCTGCATTTAGTCGCCAACATACCTGCTATATGAGGTTCCGTCTTACTACCCCTCATTACCCCTTGCGTCAGGTGGTTGCCTGGCTCCACGACAAGAACGGCCTCTGGCTCAGGTGTGGGTTCAGCTCTTCCCCGTTTCGTATTTATTCTTCTAATTAAATAAATGCTCATGGTGGGATTGACAGTGCTCATCTATTACCAAGAATGATTACTTCCGAGCTTCCGACAGGCCTAGAAGAGGTGGATGTTATCATTGTCGGAGGTACGTGCCATATCAGTATTACAACTCGTCCTGAACTGAGAATTCCCCATAGGAGGCACTGCCGGCCTGATAGTCGCGGCCAGACTTGCTGATACAGAGCCTCAGTCTACGATACTTGTGATTGAGGGCGGATCGGGCAACTATCGCGCACCTACCATCGTTCATCCGGCTCTATACCGAGCAAACTTTGCCCAGAGAAACACGAGTCTGATGTATGTGTCCGTCAGGGAGGAAAACGTGGCAGACAGGTCTATCGTGGTAGCCGCTGGCAGTGTTTTGGGGGGTGGCTCGTCAGTGAACGGCGCCATATATGCACGTGCCCAGCAGACTGACTACGATGCATGGGCAACGAAAGGATGGTCCACCGACGAGCTCATTCCTTTTTTGAAAAAGGTAAGTTATAGCGACGCACTGAGACACTCACGATTTCTGATTCGCGCTTATAGTTTGAGAATTTCAACGCCCAAACACGCGGTGATACTCACGGATATGACGGTCCCACTGCTGTTTCTGACGGCCGATATAGCTGTCCTCTACTCAAGGACGATTTCGTATCTGCAGTTGAGCAGAGCGGGTTACCTCAAGTAGAGGACTTGCAAGATCTCGTGTCGAACAACGCCGTCTCTGCTGCACATCGTTACGTGTCGGCAGAGACGGGCGAGCGGCAAAACACCGCTCTTACCTACCTACATCCTCGTCTCCAGAGTGGAGTTACAAAAAACTTGATCGTTCTCGTCCAGTCCCAGGTAACAAAAATCCTCATAGATGACACCAAACGAGCTTCCGGTGTCGAATTTCGTGCCAACCCGGTTTTCGGCTCAACTACTTCCAGTTCGTTAAGAACGACAATCAAAAGCAGACGATTGGTCGTGGTTTCGGCGGGAACACTAGGCACGCCACAAATCCTTGAACGATCAGGCATTGGCGGTAGTGATATCTTGACACAAGCTGAAATCCCGGTTACAGCAGATTTACCTGGAGTCGGCAATGGTTATCAGGACCACCACATGGTCCTGGGCACGTACAATTCGACTTTAACCCCTGCGCAATCCGTAGACAGTGTCATCAACGGAGCATTAAATACTACCGAACTACTCGCAACTAATGCCAACATCTTGAGCTGGAACGGGGTAGACGCCTCCTCTAAGATTCGACCAAGCCAAGAAGATGTAGCTGGCTTCAAGCCCCAGCTCCGGAAAGTGTGGGACCAATCCTTTGCAAACGTCCCGAACAAACCACTTGGATCATTAGTTCTGGTGGCAGGGTGAGTATAGGCCCTCTGTCTTGGCCCCGTTCCGTAGGAAAATATGTGTAGGGGCTGACACTGTTTGCAGTGTTCTTGGTGACCCTACTGCGTACCCAAAAGGGCATCAGTATTTCACAATAGGGTGTTATAGTCCGTATCCTCGATCTAGAGGACATGTGGTACGTCAATTATCCCTCTGCTTGATTCACATAGAGCTCGAGCAATCCCGCAGCGCAGAAGATTAACCCGAAACGTCTGAGCATATCACCGGCCCTGAAATGGGAGATTCACTAGACTTCAAAACAGGTTTCCTCTCAGACGAGGACGGGGCAGACGTACAAACGCTTGCCTGGCTGTACAAGAAACAACGTGAAGTGGCAATGAAGATGAAATTCCAGCTTGGGCCGATCTCCCCAGAACCTCTCTTTGCCAAGGGCCTGGCAGTAGCAGATGGGAAAATCCAGTACTCACCCGACGACGAATTGGCCAACGAGCAGTGGGTCAGAGAGAACGTAAACACGGCATACCATCCAATGGGCACGTGCAAGATGGGACCAATAGAAGAAAAGGGGGTCGTTGATAGCAGTCTAAGTGTTTATGGCATCAAAGGGTTAAAGGTCGCTGATATGAGCATTGCTCCGGAAAATGTTTCGGCTAATACGATGAGTACAGCCCTCTTGATTGGAGAAAAGGCGGCAGACATTTTCATCAAAGAGTTAGGCTGGGGGCATGCGTAATATACGACTTTGAATGACAAGGACGAATTCATGGGAATTTGTTTTAATCAGAGTAAAAAAAATGTCATATTTTATGAAAGGAGGTCTTATAGGCCGCAGCTATAAAGTGAGCAGATATATCCCAAACAATCTTCGACAAAGAAATGAAACCTCCACTATATAAATAAGATGCGAAAAATCGCATCTCTGATGTAAGGCTGCATGAAAAGCGCCTCCAATCCGTAAGCACGTATCATTCCTACCGCCATTCCTCATTACGAGGCGCCCGGGTCGAGATATTATGCCATCTTTAGGTCCGGTTACGGTTTTGGCAGGTCTTACATTTTTGTGTGTTCCGCCCCTTGAAGGCTGCCATGAAATACGAGAATCTGACATCATACCGCTGAGAGTGTTTCAGGAACAAGCGAATGCCTCTAACTAGGCTTATTTTAGGCCCCGGAGCGCTATCACGAGTCGTTGGGGCTAGACTTTACTAGGTTTGGGCTGATTGGTGGACTTGCAGAAAATCCAACCCCACCGACCCCTGTGGCGTCCTCGGTTCACTTGACGATTGGGTATGCTGACACCACCAGGAATAGGAAGATTGCTTGCAGATTCTCATTTGCTAGCTTGTACCCCCCCTACATGATGCAGAATCCTGGTGGAGGCAAGACGCAAGGTCAGCGTTGAGCTGATTCCCCTGCGCCGTCGAGTTGGCCTTTACGAACGAGGCACGGCAGGACGACAAAAACTTTAATATGCTTTGGCACCTCCTCACTGTCTTTGGAATAGTCCTCCGGCAACATTGCGTCTGGTTTTTCTACCGGCTGTCTGCTCCATCTTGAACATGGTCAGGCCCTCCTGTGTCGTCGCGGCTGCGTCGATATTCTCCGCTGCTGCTGGTCTGGATCTGAGTGTCAACGACGAGGCTTCCGTCAAGCAAGCTGCTGCACAGATCGCCAAGGGGCTGTATTTTTATCACAACCCAAGTTCAACAGCAGGGGATTTCAATCAGCCTCAGCCATGGTTCTGGTGGCTGTCCGGCAACGGATGGAATGGTCTGCTCGACTATATGGTGTATACGAACGATACAACGTATCAGTCTGATCTGTTATCTGCACTTTCTGAGAATGTTGGTCCTAAATATGACTTCGTTCCAACGGCACAGTTCAACTGGGAAGCCAATGACGACCAGGCATACTGGGTGTACAATGCGTTGACGGCCATGGAATATGACTTTCCTTCCTTGGCTTGCGAGGCATCTCCGGATGGCGGCTGCCTCAACTCGTGGCAGGCCATAGGTACGAATGCCTTCAACCTCTTTGTCAGCCGTTGGAATTCCGATAGTTTCACTTGCAACGGAGGACTTAAATGGCAGTATCGCAAAGATGCCAATGGTTACACCTATAAGAACTCTGTCACCAATGGTGGGTTTTTCCAGGTTGCAGCTCGGCTCGCACGATATACCGGTAATCAGACTTTTGCCGAGACTTGCGGCCAAAAATGGACCACTGGCAGCTTTGATGGACAATCCGACTTTGGCGTTGAGTTGAGCGCGCTTGAGGTCGTTCAGAGTCTGCTTGTGAAGAGTGCTCCAGCGCTGGAAGTCGCTCATCCGGCTTAGCATGCTGATTCGAGGATGTTATTAGCAACCAAGAAGGCAACAAGATTCACGAACCTCTATTAAATAACTTGTATCATGTCCATCCAAGGGAGCATGGTTTTCTTGTATCACCATAGAAACAGTGACAGGTATGCATTTCCCGTCCACGACGTCGTCGCGGTGATTTTACCGCAGCATTTATCCCAGCTGCCCTCTCTTCCAAGGTTAGAAAGGCGAGACTTCGCCAGCCTCTTCACAGAATGGAAAACAAGAAAACAACGCTTGCACTTGCATAGCATGTCAGTAATACTTTGGATTTTATGAGAGTCATTCACTCACAAGAGTCTATCACACGGATCACCAACTGCCGAATTCGCGATGTGGTGATCACCAAGTCTTTTTCTGTACTGCTTTAGACAACTTATTGAACCTAGCATGTATTTGATCTCTATGCTTTCCGTTGACGTTCGATAGCATGTAATTTATTCTAAACAAGCATCTTTTAAAGATCTAGTGTGTTGTAAAGATTTCTGGATTTGGTTGTGATGCAGTTTGGATCTCCTTTTGCGTATAAACAAGAGGCTTGCCTCTTGACTCTTTTTCTTTTTCCTTCAACAGGAAGTAGGTATGGTCACTGAACGTCCGCTATTATCGCCACTGACAGTCGACGATATGATCACAAAGCTGGAGTTCGCGACGAGTTTAAAACGAAGAAATGAAATTTGCTTCTTCTTCAACAACTCATTGTCAATAGACTGAGCGAGAAGTATAATATTCCGCGAGTGTCAAGACGTATTACCTTGTTGGGCGCTTTGTCTCAGTGGATACCTAAACCCCAGCCAAGTTAGCTTGGGGATGCACCCAATTGGCCTGGCACCGCGTGCTCCCAACCCATTGGCTGGACCGTGCGACAACAGGAGCATTGGATGACTGGCGGTTTGGAGACTCTCCATCCCTACGTTGGTAACTTACCTGGATCAGTAGTATCGCAGCTCTCCCTCGGCTCTCTGCTCGGTGCTTAGATATGTGAATTTCAAGTTATATGCTATCGCTTACCGCGCTCCTCTCGTCAGAGCTTGGGTTTGTCGAGCCTTACTCCCGCCCCTACCGGCAATGTATGTGGCCTTCCTGTAGTCATTCCTACAGGAGATGAAGGCATTTGGCCGGCCGTTTCTCGAACATCCACCCGTGTCTTCCAACCCCCCAACGGCTCGAACGATGAGTTGGCACTTTCTCCTGCATGAGGACCCTTCGGAGACTGGCAATCTGCGTCCTGCAGCGCAAGTGATTCCAGCCCAATCGCTTTCTACATGCGACCAATCAAAGCGTCCGAAATGGGTTGCCAGGCATTCTGCCTTTTACCTGCAGATCGCACAATTTTCCTTACCCTAATAACGCTGCTCCATTGCGCCAGCATGTTGGATGGACCAAATGAATTGCGCTCTCCAGTGCAGCTGCGCAATTGATCCAAGCATCGCTCATCGGAGAATCGCCTTTCTCCTACCTGGAGGTACAGATCGGCCATGGTCTCAGTTGGGCTTCTACGCTGAATTGTCCTTGCGGTCTAATTTTCGAGGTGCCTGCACAGGCAGGTAGCTAGCACATGGACACCACGGGGGTTACCCGAGTGGGTGGACATCCCGACAGGCACTGCCAGGATCCAACAAGTTCCAAGGTTGGAGTTGTAGTCGGGTTCTGAAGTTTCTTTCCACGGGATACTCCGCCATGGGTTCACGCAGCTTACGCCCATGGTTCGCCTGGAAGCCCAACGTCGCTTCATGTTCCTCAATTTGCAGCTCGCTGCATGCAGCCACGCCTGGGACGAATGGGACGTCGGGGCAACTGCATGCACGTACCCTATCGTGAAGCACTTTGACATTGCAGCGCAGCGCAGCTCAACACGCTACCGTCGTGGCATTGTCGCAGAACGAATGAGACCACACGACCACCCCTCATCATGTGGCTTAACCCATACTCGATCTTCGGACTGAATTCCACATCGTTGGAACATGGTCCCGCCGGCCCCATGCAAAGCGCACTGCTGCAGACGTCGCCTCGCCGGCGCTCAGCATAACTCGGGCATTGAGCTCAGAGAAGCTTAAAGGTGGCTCTGCTCGCACATATTCCTCAGCGGCCTTATGCATCTCCTAAACTCCATTTTCGTTTTTCTTACACTCATTATGCTTGTGGCTCCACACTGGCCAGTAAAGCCTTTGGTGACACTCCAGTAGCGTTCAACCCCATTCACCAATTTATCCATGCATATTCCACAAAGCCATGTGCAGCAAGCTGGTCTTACTCAATCTCTTGAGTGGAGCCCCGGCGCCGACTCTGAATACTCCTCGAGTCGCCGGCCCGGTGAAAACTTGTTGCTGACTCTCCGGAGTTTTGCACGCAGTGAGTGGCTTGGCTTGCAGAAACGGACAACAGTACACGATACGGACATAACCATCGGGATCATCGTTGGTGTTCTACTGGGGGTGTTCTTGATCGGAACCCTCGCTTTCTTATACATCTACCGGAACTCTATCCGTTTCAGCAGACGAAGACGAAGGCATCGCAAGTCATCCAGTTCGAAAAGTTCCAAAGCATCTGATGGTGGCGGCTCGTCGGCGCCAGTTGCGCCTCCACCTGCATGATTGGCTACTCCCCTCCAGAAGATATGTGTTGAATGTACCGTCAAATTCCACTGAGATCTCCAGTTGGATGGCAGCCAATTGATACCAAAGGATTGCGTGTCTATGTTCTCACGGGTGGTCATTTCGTTTACCATGTTTTATTATAATTTTGGCATGAATTGCCGTTTGTTTCGATGATGTATGATGACATGCTCGAATATTTGGGTTAAGGACGGGGCGTAGTAGGCGTTATGGTGTTGTAAGCCGGGCGATGCAGACAATAAAGACTTTTGGAAGGAGTCACACCATGCCGTTGGAAACAGTTCTCAAAAGCACATTCAATTCTGTCTATACGCTGTCTCGCATCATTGTCATGTGTCTTGACTCTGTGCCTCCGAATTAAGATGCCCTGTCTAAGCCCCACGAGAATGGGTTCGCTTGTTGACAATCATCTTCGTGACTTACAGCGTTGCTGCCCAACCTGAAACCATTTAGTTGCTATCTGTATTTACACTGCCATGTTAGGCCGCATCTTTCATGTAGCAGGTCTAAGATAAATCTAAAGAACCTTTCCTCAATTCGATTAATAACAGGCTGCATTGTTGCCGAGGTCTGAGGTTCGTTTCCAACCTACCGAGTCCGTCGCCCTTTGAAACTGACACGAACGTTACAGATCACTGCTCCGAGCTATACCGTACACATGCAAATATGTATAAGTGGCCTATAAGTCCTTGCTCCATTATGATTACAACGTGAAAATGTTTCAAGAACTGATCGCTGCTGGTGCCAGACGATGGTGCATACGGACGCAAAAGCAGCATCAATTTTGTCACAGGCAATTTGAACTACTGCTGACATTGGCTTCTTTACCATGAAGACCTCTCGCTTCGAAGAAAATTATTGATTGTATCTTAGTTCAAGCCACTCTAGCGTAACCTGAACGCAGTCTCGTTTTCATTCTTGTCTAACTCTAGCAGAAGGTGGCATCCGGGTCGCAACCAAAGATATATGTTCTTGATTGATAGATGCGCTTCTATACAGTATGGTAGTAGAGTTGGTATCAGTCGGGAAGTTGCACTACAAACAACTTCCCTCCGGTCTCTCTCAATCGTTCTAATGTCAGAATTAAAGAAAAGAAATAAAAACCCTTGATGTGCTCCCAGCAGCGTGCTTGATGCTCCTTGCGGCAATGCGTTCTGTTGGATGGCTACGCGATCTTCAATCTGGCCAGAATTCGGGCTAAGCTGTGCTGATTTTGGAACAACACAGCAGCTGCTGCTGTAAGCAACCCTATCGCTGTCATTGTTTGGTAGGCGCTGAATCCATTCGGCAAGTCTTGTCGCTCGTCGTCATAAAGCCACTCGTGGTGGATCGCGCGTGGTACAGGATCGTTCAGCCGCACGCCCGCGGTGATCAGGTCGCTATAAATATTGGCAAATTGCGATAGGGTAAGTAATGGAGCCACATATTTCGACATCAGTTGCCTCCGTGGAGTCTCCCAGGCCGTGTTACGCATGGCCTCCTGACATTTCTCGACCATGTCGACCAGCCGGCCAACCCTCTGCCGTTCAACAGCAGTGAAAGCCTCAGACAGGGCTGTAACAGACCAGGCGGCTGGGCTGCTAGAGAGCCGAGTTCCTAATGTTGATTGCAGGGCATTGACGAGGGATGCGCAAGACTCGATGCAGCTGTTACCACCTTGCCCGACCAGCGGGTTGAACTTATGCGCCGCGTCGCCGATAACAATCAAACGGCCGAAATGCCAGCGGCGGAGCACAAAGTGCGGCAGGGCCGTCACGGCACTGGACTGAAGGTTCTCGGCGACGTCTTGGAACCGGAGGCCAGAGCTGGTCAGAATCACACTCGCCGCGCGTTCCAGTTCCCGCTTCTTGTCATCTTCGCCGAAGCGCGGTATCGCGCCGATAGGGCACGAACGCATCTCCTCTGGGAGTTGCCAAAACCAGAACGTGAACAGCTCTTGTTTAGGTCCCACCATGAGGCCGGCCGCGGTCCCCTGAGTAGAGGCACCAATGACTTCTCCGGGCTGAACCTCGGGCATCGGCTTCGCAATGCCAAAAATGCACGCATGTTCACACCGGATGTTTTGCCTATCACACTTCGGGATAGCTGTCGGGTCGCTATCATCCGCGTTCCGCCACAGCTCTCTCCTCACCGAACTGTGCACGCCGTCTGCACCAACGACGCATTGAGCCTCGAACACCGATCCATCCTTCGTGTACACTGTGGCCTTTTCGTCATGTGTTTCGACTCTGATCACCTTCTTGTTGACGAAGATCCGGTGCTTTTCGACGACGTGGTGATAAAGTACGCGAAGCAGCTCGTACCGCTCCATGAACATGTTCACATAACCATGACGCGCCTTCATGACTGGCCCATATCTTCGTGTCATCAGCGTAGCTCCTGTCCGCCCGTCGCCAATGATGCTTCTGTCGACTGGCTGCGCCACTTTACATATGTCCTCGTACACGCCGAGCTGGTCTAGTACCCTCAGACCATTGGGCCACAGCCCGATACTTGCCCCGACATTTGGTGTTACGCTGTCGTAAGCTTCGAGAAGAACATAGTCGACTTTTAGGCGCTGGAGCATAAGAGCAAGAACAAGGCCCGTTAGTCCGCCGCCAACAATAACGACGGAATGGCGAGGGGGGCTTGAAGCCATATTGGATGTTGGAATCTGATATGCGTACCAAGCAGTCTCAACAATGTGGAGGCCACTAAGATCGACCCAAGATTCGTGCACATAGCCATGCAGGGTAGTATAACGGTTGAAATAGTCCGGACTATTGTCTCTTATCAGCCGAGGTTTCTTGGGCGCGGGTTGTCTGTTGGACTCCGCGTGTGACACTGAACAACCTTGCGGGTTTTCTATGCTCCCGGCTAAAACAAGGGCTGTAAAGTTAATTTTTGACCAGAGATGCAGATCAAAATGGTCTTCTTCATATCAGTTGTGGGCCTCGCCAAGTTGTGCAGAGGTTAACGGGGAGAGTTTTGGGCCCGAGACCCCGTCTATATCTGCCAAGTTTTCAGCTAGTTTCGAGGCGTATGCGCGCTCCACAGTCACGCTCAGAATCAAGACAATTCATATACTGCCCTGAGAACGCATTTGAACTTCACAAATAATGAGTAAATCCCTCAATGCCCAAATTAGTCGCCCTCCCATCAGCGTAACGAAGGCTATGGATAAACTAGTACCAAACGACCACCGGGTCCGGTACGAGCAGTTCCAAATACGCGGCAAAACATACTCCGCCATCGTGGCAGAACCCGCCCGCGAACCGATTTCCACCATCGTGCTGATACATGGCTTCCCAGACCTTGCGTTCGGTTGGCGTGTTCAGATCCCATACCTCCAGGCCCAGGGGTATCGCGTCATCGCCCCAGATATGCTTGGGTACGGGGGAACTGATGCGCCGCAGAGTCTGGAGCATTACAGCCTCAAGAGTATGGCCTTGGATATAGCCAAACTGGCGCAGCTTTTCGTCGGTGAGACAGGACAAGTCATCCTCGGCGGCCATGACTGGGGTGGCGGACTTGTTTGGAGAATTGCTCTATGGCATCCCGAGCTGATCAAGGGCGCATTTACCGTCTGTACACCTTTCATGCCGCCATCTCCGCACTACTCTTCCTTAGAGGAGGTTGTGGCCAAGTTGCCCAACTTCAGCTATCAGACACAGTTTGCAGGCCTGGAGGTCGAGCAGCAGATCCAAGGTGAAACCAAGCTCCGCCAGTTCTTTAATGCTGTCTATGGTGCAGAGGGGCCGAGCGGTGAAGTTGGGCTGAAAGTCAAGGGTGGTGGCATACAATTCGCTAACCTGCCCAAACTCGGTCAAAGCCCACTGCTTACTTCGGACGAGCTAGACTTCTATGTGGAGCAGTACATGCGCCAGGAGGCGCCTCAGATGAGAGGTCCGCTCAACTGGTATCGCATTAGCTCTCTCACTCACAGAGAGGAACTGGAGTTGACGGAGAAGCCGGTTCTCTTTGAGTTCCCTGCGATGCTGATCACAGCAACAGAGGACGAAGCATTGCCCCCTTGGATGTCTCATGGTATGGAGCAGTATTTCAAAAACCTCAAGAGGGTGGACGTAAAAGCCTCACACTGGGCCCTAACGGAAGCTGGGGAACAGGTCAATCGTGAAATTGCAAAATGGATCGACGACATCCTCGCAATGCCGGCGCTGTAGTCATGGTGACCTGTTACGGACTTGGCTATGAACTAGGGCTAGCTCCAAGAGAACAAAAGACAGCTGCGACAATGCTAGTAGGTCGCTGAGTTCATCTTGACAGTCACACCATGGATGACGGTCGACTTATCACCACGAATGGAACAGTAATCCAAGCCTAGCAGTGATGAATTCATGAATTCAAAGTTGATATACAAAGTAGGTCATGATTTCGATGGCAGTTGTCCATCTTGTTTTGTACAGAGTGAAGCATGCTACGTGGCAGCTGTCAGCGCTCAAGGCCCTTTGTACTTGATAACGTCTTGTAACCATTTACGGCTGTAGAGAAGCGGCCGTGTGGACGGAAGATCATCGTTGGGAGGATCCTGCGGAATGACTCAGCTTGGTCTGTATAAGCCATACAATCAGAGCTGGTGCGGCTGACGAGGTGAGGCTGCTCCATTCATCCTACGATCGACGTTCCAATTTTGGGCCTCGGCCTTGTAAGCATAGGCCTGCTTGGCAGCCACAAGCGGCAACAGATCTTCAGGCGAATACAGTGCATTGAATAAAACCGAGAATCACAACTACCCACGACAGATGCCACACATAATACGGGCGCAAGGCTGTGTGCGATACAATAGCTAGTCAACTTGGGGGGCAGTGCCATCCTCCAATCGTGTTACGGGCCTGATCATATAGGTCTGCAAAGCTAGTCGCCAACAGCACAATACGTCATAATCTCATTGCATTCAAGACATTGCCTCGTCGAGACTAGTTGCGCCCGATTCCATCGTCTCAACTCAGCCCAGCAGTTCAAGACGGGTGCAGTAAGCTTACCTGAATCATGGAGCTATCCAAACAGCGCTTGAGAGCGACAAGGTGCTGAGTTGACCAAGGCAAAGAAAGGCGAGGCGCGTTTGCTCCTACCGGTAGTTGATCCAACATAGCAGATCGTCATGGACGGGAAAGGCTATGCGATGACTTGGCTCACCAATCGAAGGTGCGACCAGGCTGCTGCGTTCTTGCGATAGTGATCATGATGGCTATCTCACAATTATAAAGGGGGCGCCTGCCCAACCCAGCCCGCTTCTTTTTCCCCATCAAACGACCACGCACTAACAAAACCCGAGAATACGCAACATTGTCAAACAGCAACATGTACGCCTTCAAGTCCCTTGCCGCCCTCGCCCTCATCGCCGGCCTGGCCCAGGCTTCCCCAGCCCCGGAGCCCATCATCAAGCTGGTCAAGATGTGCGACAAGCCGCACCTCCAGGGTTCCTGCTTTGACTTCCAGACCGAGATCGAAGTGTGCAAGAACCTGACCCCCAACATCGACAACAAGCTCAGCTCATTCGACACAGGGCTGACATTTTGCGATTTCTACAAGTACGTTTAAACCCATTGCTGGGCTCGTTCGAGAATTCTTGACGCCCGGCCGCGCAGTTCTTGCTAACACATCTTCTCGAATCACAGGGACAAGGGGTGTGCCGGCGATAACAAGACGTTCCGTGGCAAGCAGGAGGAGCTGCCGGCTGAGTACAACAACAAGATCAGCTCCGTCAAGTGCCGCAACTGGAAATAAATGGTTGTGTCGGCTTTGTTTGAGATATTCCTGTGTCACGCAAATAGTACAGCACCTACGGCTTACGGTGTTGGCGAAGGGATAGCCTGTGGGAGGCAGCTCATGAGATTCCCCGTTTGCGGATCCACGTGAAGAAAGTATCTCATAGACAATAGAAGACTTTTTTTCTTTCTTTTATTATGACTACGATGGACTTGATCTAGCTCGATATGAAATCTAGTGGTATCATGCGTCTATCGGTTGGAACGGTCCCAAGCCTCTTAATTACCAGAATTGGCCGGGGTAGTACGGAAAGCCCTGGTTCGGTGCCATTCCTGGATACGGCTGTGGTTGCGCCATGGCTCCGCGGCCGTTACGAGCTCTGTTGCGGCCCGACCTGGTCGGGTACTGCGGGTAATACTGTTGCTGGGGCTGCGCACCTGGGAACCCGGCATTGCCACTCACATTCCTGCCGTTCACGAACACCTGAGGATACTGGAACTGCTGTCCAGGGTTGAAGGCGAGTCCTTGGTCGTAGCCTGGGTACTGCAGCACGCACGCCGAGCATACCCCCTGGGGGGCAAGGAATGGGTTCATCCCCCCTTGAAACTGGAGTGCGGCTCCGGCTTGGAAGGGCGGAGTAGAGGCGCTCCTTGCGGGAAACCCCGGGAACTGAAGTTGGAGTTGAGGTTGAGGTTGGGGTTGAGCTTGCAACATGGGCTGCTGTTGGCCTGCCTGCGGGCCTGCCTGCTGGGCTTGGTTCTGCTGCTGTGGCAGCGGCACGCCAGCTGAGGGCGGAGACAGAATGGTGCCGAATATGGGTTGATTTTGAGGCATTTTGAATGCTGGGGACGAGCTGCGAGAGTTGATGGTACTGGTATCCTGAACGGAAGTTGTGGGAAATTCTGCGAACGAAAAGTTTCATGCCATTGCAGGTTTCTCGCAAGACTAAGTACAGTCAAGCTCGCTCATGATTCACGCCAGCCTTCGTTATGTACATCATGGTATCATCATCTATGACACAGTGACCCGTCCGTCATGAACTGACAGGTTGACATCTGCCTCTAATGCCATGCAGCAGATATCTAACTGGATATCGTATCAACCAGAACGCCTTGAAAATGCCGCGCCCTGTCATCTAGCTCAAAAGATCTTTGATGTCCTCAATCCTCTGTAGCCTCTTCTCCTCGTCTGACATCATTCCCAGAGAGGTAGCACTTCGTCTCAGTCAGTCTTAGTCACAGGATTGCAAGAGTTGGTAGACTTACATGAACTTCTTCCGGTCTTGAACCTTGAGCATTCTCTCCTCTACGCTGTCCTTGGCGATGAATCGATATACTTTGACTTCTTCGTCTTGTCCCATTCGATGGACTCGATCGATAGCTTGAGCCTCGATAGCAAAACTCCACCACGGATCCATCATGAAGACGCGCTTGGCCTGAGTCAAGTTCAAGCCCACGCCGCCTGCCTTCAGACTAATCAGCAGGATGGTGAACTTTTTTGATTCACGAAAGTCTTCGAGAACGGTAGCACGCGCTTTTTGGGTCATGGAACCGTCGAGACGCAAGAACTTCATATTGGCTCGGGTCAAGGCCGGCTCAATAAGCGACATGAAAGATGTAAACTGATTCTTAGTTAGCAAATGCATCGACGCAGTTATTCGGAGCTCCTTGCCTGACTGAACACCACGGACTTTATCCGCGGATGCTCTTTTCGTAAATCTCGTAGCATTTTAATTAATGTCACAACTTTGGAAGATGACTCGTTGACTCCCAATCGCTGCAGGCTAATCTTCGGTGTCGCGGAGATGGCCTCAGGGTCGTCATCATGTCGGATGACTTGAAACAGATCACGAGCATTAATGGCTTCTCGGCAGTTAAAGCATCGTGGTACTTCGTGGCGATCGGTGCTGTGCCTCATGTAGTCGAGCAAACACTTCTTGCAAGCAGAATGCCAGCATCCGGTGACGGTCTGCTCGATCATTGGCTCCTCGGCGCAGATTGGGCATTCGTTAGCGGCTTCATCGCGGATTTGTTCGAGGACGTGTGCACCAAACGCATTGGCGTTCTTCTCGTTGTCAATTGTAGCGGTGAATTGTTGAATAAGTGAGTCAAGGTCCATATCATCTGCAAGGCCAGCTGCTGCGTCAGCTTCTGCCCCAGCAACCTCCTCATCAGCCACGATCTCCTGATTTCGGACCAGGATAGGGTGGCAACATGATTGACGAAGACGGAGAATCTGGGCGAAAATGGTTGTATAAGCTTTCATGACCGTACCCTTTTCGACATTGGCCGAGAAGGTTCGTTTGGCGCGCGTAAATATGTGGTCATAAACACCCCTTTCCGGCTCAGAAAGCTCGATGTCGACAATCTCCATGGATTTAGGCGGCAAGGGCACAAGTCTATGTCGCAGTCAGTCGGGGATTCATCTCGGATGTGAAACAGTCTACAAGCAACTCACAATTTACCATCTGGCGTTTTCATGTCCTTCGTTCTTCTCATGACAAGCGGCTCCAAGACGGTCTGAACCACATCCAGGGCACGCATAAAGTCTTTTGACTCAAAGGGCACAGTGATAAAAGTCCGCCAAAACGAGAAATTATTCCAAGGCTCGACACGAAGAAACCTCACCAAACTGAAGAGATCCTCTAGTCGGTTGACAATCGGGGTTCCCGTCAACACCCAACGGTGCTCTGCCGATAACTCGTAACATGCTTTCGATGTCTTGGCCTGCCGGTTTTTGATATTGTGCGCTTCGTCCAGGATCACTCTGAAGAAGTTTACAGAGAACAGACCATGATGGAAATAGGCATTGCCATTCTTGCTAGACATCTGGTTGAACTCGGAAAGCACGACACCATAGCTGGTGATGATAACATCCGGGGCCGCTGAGCTGGAGCACAAGGCTTGCAGATTATCAATCTTGTCGTTTCCATAATAGACGATGGATTTGAGGGTGCCCTCCTTTGAAGCGTTTTCAGCCTCGCTCTGCCATTGTGCGAGCAACGACATAGGAGCAATCACCAACGTAGTTTTGGAGGGGAGCACGTTCGTTGGCAGACCGGAACGAGGGCCCGATGCTACATTCTGCAATGCAGCGTACTTGTGGCTGTGTATCAGACTGAGCATCTGAATCGTCTTGCCGAGACCCATCTCGTCTGCGAGGATACCTCCCAAGCAATGTTGCTCCTGAACGGGAAAGTCAAGAGACATCTCACCGGAATAGGGATTGACATAGAAGGTTGGAACACCCTCGACCTGCGGTAGGTCCTTGTCATCCACATCTTTGGCTGGCCAGGTGTATTCCTCCCAGAGAGGGTGCATTGAAGCCTCTCGGGCCTCGTTCTTGAGGTCCTTTTCCTTGGCAAGCATCCAGTGAAGAGACTGCTTCTGGTATGGACGAAGCGTCATGGCGAACGTGTCCGAGGGCTCAGCTTCAGGGGTGTTGAAGTCGAAGGATTGCGCCTTCTTGTATAGAGCATCCAGCTGGTCCTGTTCCAGTTCGTCTCCCTCCTCTGCCTCATCAGAAGGCGGGGAGGATCCGGGTTCACGGTTGGCTGTGGCTTTAGGAGTCTGTTTCTCCTGCTTCTCGGCAGCCTCGGCAGCATCAAGCAGACCCTGTCGATCGTGTTTGGCGGCAGCTCTTGTAGGCTGCAGGTTGATCTCGTGGAACAACCTCACCAGAGCGACTTGCCGCAGTCGAAGATCTCTCTCGTCGGAGGTCTCCTGGACTTCAAAGAGGCCAGTATTGCGGTTGTCGGCGGGTTGGTGAAATCTTCCTTGAAAGACGCACTTCTGTATGTAACAGCGAAGTTGCAGGAACACGGTGTCGCTAGTTCGCAGCCTCTCGGGAGCATAGACGCACACGCCCTCGAAAGTACATACGTTTTGATCCATCAATGAAGAAACCCAGTTGGCCGTGTCCTTGGCGAGGCGGCCAATCTCGGTGCCCTTGGCGTCGGTGAAGCGGACGATGACATCGACGCGGAACCTTCCCATCGAAGCCTTCTGCGGCTGGATCTTCTGCCGGACTATGTTCACCACATCGCCGGGCTTCAGAACGTTGGTGCCGCTTCTCGTGGCCCAGCCCTCGGTGCCGAATGCGCCAATGTACCGGGTGTCGGGCATGGCTCGCATGACGGGAGCGGGTGACGGCAGGTCGCGGGTCTTGGGTTCGGCGACGGCTGTGCTCGAGGGCACTATTCGCGAAGAGCTGGCCCCGGCGGCGTGGTGGAGAGTCGACTGGACGGGCGTGCGGCTCTGGGTCTTCTGGAATTTCTTCCAGGTGCCGTCGAAGTACATGTTCACGGCGGCCTCGAGGTTGTCGCCACACTTCTCCCGCAGGATGGCGATGACATGCGAGTCGACCGTGTCGCCAACGAAGCTGTTGAACATATCCTGGTCGAAGCCCGGGGGCTTCTGAGGGGTCTCGGGGGCGCCCGTGGCAGGGCCGCGGTTGGAGGCATCGTCGGCGGGCTGCAGCGGCGACCGCACAGGGACGGGCGGCGCTGGTGACGGGAATATGCTGGATTCCTCTTCAGGATCCGAGAAGAACCTCCGCTTCTTGGCGGGAGGGCCATCCGCGTCGGGCCAGTTCATGTCCGGGATGAGGGTGTCGAGTGACCTGGATAGGTCCCTTGGCCATTGTTGGGAGGAGAGCAAAAGGGCAACAAAGTCGACGGACGGGTATGGGCAGCTCGACGCGACCCCGGCAACCAAGACGCGCCTGCGGAGGAGCGTCGATCATGTGACCGCGTCAAGTCAATTAACTGGAAGTTAACTCAAGGGTTCAAGGGTCGAATCCTTGCAGATGGGATGGATGTCCTTCTAAAAGGTGGGGCAGCAGCCGTTTTTCTTTGACGCGTCTACAGTATGTATGGTAGCTAACCCCAGCTACTCCGTACGAATTATTTATTCTGAGAAATGAGAGACGGCGAGCAGGGATGAGGTCATAGCCCGTAGCCTTTTTCCCGTCTACGTTTTCTTGCTCAAGGTCAACAGCCAAAAAGACAGAAGCGCTGAGAGGGAGATATTGGGGACAACAGCCATCGACAGGCAGCTGTGCAAGCTCATGACGGTCCATGGATTATAATGGACTCGCGCACATAATCCCAAACTATAGATAGATGTATCGTGCCACGACGGCACGCCGCGGCCTGCAATGGCCCAAGAACCTCGCCTTGCCCTCCGCCAATAGGAGGGGGTACATTACGGAAGCCGACATCGCGGGAGCGCGGCGGTACTGCCAGGACCAACTAAGGTATGTATGCATCGCTGTGGCCAAGGCCATGGCCGTGACACCCCCGACAGCGCCGGCAGCCATTCTCACAGAAGCAGGAAGTCGGACTACGACTCGCACCTCATCCGCAACTTCATCCCCGCCTTCCGCCGCGATGCCTACGACGCCCTGCGCGCCTTCAACCTCGAGCTGGTCCACATCCCCGAGCTCGTCTCGAATCCCACCATCGGCCTGATGCGCATGAAGTTCTGGCGCGATGCCGTCAACGACACCTTTGCCGGCCGGCCCCCGAAGGAGCCCATTATGATCCTGCTGCACAAGGTCTTGACCGAGCTGGCCGAGACCGACAGCAACCCGACCTCGATCAAGTTCTGGCTGCACCGCCTGATCAGCACGCGAGAGAAACACATGGACAACAGGCCGTTCGCCAACCTGGCGGCCCTGGAGGAGTATGCCGAGAACACGTACTCGACGCTCATGTACTCCGCGCTGGCAGCGCTGCCGATCCAGTCCATGCACATGGACCACCTGGCCAGCCACATTGGCAAGGCCTGCGGCATAGTGGCCGTCCTGAGGGGCATCCCGATTCTAGCAGCCCCCTCCGCCCCCGTCAAGTCGCCGATGGGCGCTGACGTCGGCGGGGGGAGGTATCCCGTGCTACTGCTTCCCCTGGATGTCATGGCGGAGGCCGGCCTGAAAGAGGAGGATGTCTACCGATACGGGCCCCAAGCCGAGGGCTTCCAGGACGCCGTGTTCCAGGTCGCCACCAGGGCGAACGACCATCTGATCACCGCCAGGGAGATGCTCAAGAATATCAAGGCCGGAGAGAGTCCCGGCCACGACTACGAGCACCAGCACGAAGCTGAGCACAACCACGCCGACACTAGCCTGGATGGAGATGGGACCAAGAGGGACCTCAGACGTGGCTTTGGCGTCATGATGGAGGCGGTTCCGGCTGGCGACTACCTGTCGCGACTCGAGGGCACAAACTTTGACCCGTTCGCCGTCCGCAGTAGCTGGAAGCTGACCTGGTCGTTGTATCGGGCTCATCAGAAGCAGCAGATATAACACCAGCCTTGTACATATATACCTTAATTGTATCAGTAGCCACCGCAATGTCTTCAACGGTACCTAGCCCTATAGGACTAGTTTGGTGTATGATGAACAAATCAGTTACCTACTTGGGTTGGTCCTGTGGTAGTCGTAATGTAAATCAATAGCCACAGAAATTGTAAGGTGATTCGTTGGCATACTAACTCCAATACTAGTGTCAAGGGGAGCTGTGACAATCGCCACTCAATACGCAGCTACCAATGAACATGGCTCTTGAATTAAAACTAGATGGATTTCGCTTTACTTGTTTACAACAGATTATTTGCTGGTATCGACGACATAGCGCCCAGCGATCTGGCCCTTCTCCATCAGATGGTACACGTCCTGCAGCTGGCTCAGGCCGACCGTCTTGTAGGGGGCCTTGATGAGGCCGCGGCGGAAGAACTCGATGGCCTCGGCCGAGTCCTGGCGGTTGCCCACGTAGCTGCCCTTGATGTTGATCATGCGCGTGACCGTGTCGAAGACGGGGGCCTTGAGGTAGGCGTTGGCCGGCAGGCCGACGCAGACGATGGTGCCGCGGCTGCGCACGTACTCGCTCGCCTGCTGGAAGGGGCCCTCGCTGACGGCCAGCACGATGACGGCGTGCGGGCCCAGCTGGTCCGCCGTGGCGTTCTTGACGTCCTGCACCACGTTCTTGGACTTGGTGAAGTCGACGTACTCGGACGCCCCGATCTCCTTGCACATCTTGCCCTTCTCCTCCCCGCCGTCGATGGCGATGGTGTGGATGCCCATGGCCTTGGCGTACTGCAGCGCCATGCTGCCGAGACCGCCGCCGGCGCCGACGATGGTCAGGTACTGGCCGGGCCGCACACCGGACTCCTTGATGGCCTTGTAGACCGTGATGCCGGCGCACAAGATTGGCGAGATGGCCTCGAGATCGCACTCCTTGGGTATGCGGGCGACGTGGTTGGCCTTGCCGATTGCGTACTGTTGAAACGAGCCATCGACGGTGTATCCAGAAAGAGATGGCTCCGGGCACAGGGGCTCGTCGGCCTGCCGGCAGTAGTAGCAGTCCATGCAAGAGCCGTTCAGCCACTTGATGCCTGCGTAGTCCCCAATCTCAATGTCCTTCACGAGCTCGCCGCGTGCAACGACAACTCCGGCTCCCTCGTGTCCGCCAACCAGTGGCAACTTGGTGGGCAGCGGCCAGTCGCCCATCATGGCGTGAAGATCAGTGTGGCATACACCGCTGTACTTGATGTTGATGAGCACCTCATCAGGGCCCGGCTTGGGCACGGGGATCTTCTTGTATACGACGGCTAGTATCCAGTCAGAATGAATTCGACGCTGCCCTTGAAGGAGGAGACTCCATGTTGAGACTTACGTCCTCCCGACTTCTCGACCACCTGCGCCCACTGCTCCGTAGGTATGCTCTCAGAACCCATGGCGAAGACGGCTAGTTGAAGGAGGTGAAAGTCAATGAGACGATTAGTGAGGGAATGTATATATTGGCGGGTAGAGTTTGAAGAGAATAGAGATGAATGGATCTGGTGTAACTTCTTGGAATCCCATCGGCAGCGTCAAGTTGGCTTATATACTCCCAAGACGACACTCGTCGTCTCTACATGGCCCCGCATCACAGTGTGTGCTGCACAGCATGGCCTCCGTCATACATCTCTCCAGTCGGCCGGGATCAGAATCAGCAGCCTGCGCATACAAGCGTTCTAACGCTTTGCAGAAACTTTGCTGACTCAGTGTTTGCGAGATAGTGAATGGGTAGCAGGCGTTGCGGAGAAGGCTACCCCTCACAGGTTACAACTGGGAATCCCGACGGTCTGGGCAGTTGGATTTGCGTGTGTGGAAGGATCGTTGTCATCCCACGCGCTCCGGACGGCCGGTGATCACAATGCGTGGAGAGACTGTCTGCGGCATGTGGCGTGACGGCAGATGGCGGGGTGTCACATCGCCAGGCTGCCATACGACGACCACCCACATGAGATTCCGGGGTGCGCCGCCGGCAGGTTGGCAGGGAAGAGCTCTCGGGCACGAATCCCCGGGGAAGCGCGTGGCGTTGTAGCCAGTGCGTACGACAGTGGTGCATGAAGCACCAGTTTTTAGAGTTCAGGGCCGACGCAGTCATCCCAGCTGCAAAAGGCCAATGGGTGGCAGTCTTCGGTAACCAGGCCACTGGGCAGATGTGCTCATGAAACGACCACGCCGGATGAACGGGTGTGGCCGTTGGCCGTCACTTAGAATCGGCCCATCTTTGAGGGGTAGCTGCGGCCAGACCCACCGGGGTGCCGGCCGGCCGGAAGGCTGGCCCCCCTTATCGTCTCCCCGTGCCCAGTGCTTGTAGGCAGGTCGGATGCACGAGGGCTGTCACCTGATTCGACCATGGCGGGACCGCGCGCGAGTCGTGGCACCAAGGTCTATCCTATACCTTCCTCGCGGTTAGGTTCTCCGCTAGGAACGCCGGAATGTGACATGACCCACGTTGAGGCTGAGCGACAAGAGACAAGATCGCTTAACTCGCAGGCAGGCTGGCAGGGTTCAGCTGGGCGACGAAGGAAATCTAGGGCTGATGGGCATTTCTAATTGATTATTACTCCGGACTGCATGGTTACCTAGATAGCAGGCCTGTTCTATTCCTTTTTTGTACGGGTGCACGTGTTCACCCCAACGTCTGGTGTAAGACGTTCACGCGATAGCTCTCGCTCCTCTGCAGCAACTCCTCATGCGTACCCTTGTCCACGCATTTGCCGTCTTCGATCATGAATATGACATCGGCTCGGCGGATGGTGTGCAGGCGATGAGCTATAGCAATCACCGTGATCCCCTTCGTCGCCATGTCCAAGCCATCCTGCAACAAGCGTTCGGACTCGGCGTCCAACGCACTGGTGGACTCGTCCAGGAGCAGCAAGCGTGGCTTTCGGACGAGTGCTCTTGCTATAGCGAGCCGCTGCTTCTGGCCGCCGGATAGCTGCCCGCCATTGGAGCCGCATTGGGTTTCGTACTTGTCCGGCAGAGACATGATGGTGTTGTGGATGTTTGCCAGCCGACAGGCATTTTCGATCTCAGCGTCGGATGGCTCATGTCCTGGTCGGGCTCCCAGCCCAATGTTGAAACGAATGCTGCCTTCGAACAGAATATTGTCTTGGGGAACCAGTCCGATGTCGTCTCTAAAGATTGGCTCTTTCCTGGCAGCAATGTCCACGCCGTCGACCTCGATGGAACCCGACTCTGGTCGGTACATTCGTTCCAGCAAAGAAATGATTGTAGACTTGCCAGCTCCACTAGGTCCGACGAGGGCACAGAACTGGCCTGGTTGAACATCGATGTCCAACCCCTTCAAGACCTGGCGCCCAGGTCGTGCTGGGTATGAAAACAGGAGTTGCTTAAACTTCACTCGCATGCCTCCTTCGATGCGAGGACTCACTTTCTCCCCTTCATGGGCAGCTTCCGGATCTCCACCGGAAGACGATTTAGGCTCAATAGAATTGGTCGATCCTTGATCCACGAGGTCAAAGATACGCCCAGCAGCCCTGGCAGCATTTGCAACCTCGGGGCCGAGCGTGAACAGTTGGCCCCACTGCTGGGCGCTCACGAGGAGGGCGACCAACACGATGAAGAACTGAGTCTGAGTGTAATAGCCCTCAATGATCTGCTTCGAGCCCCACCAGTAGGCAAGGGCATATACGAAGTGCGCGAAACTGTGCGTGAGCGCCAGGAACAGATTTGCCCATATGTTGGTCCGCACCATGTCTTTTCTGGGATTGCGGAGGGAGCGCCAGTACGTCTCAAGGACCTCCCCCTCGAGGGACATGGCTGCCACGGTTTTGATGGAGTTGACTGCCTCGACTGTAATTCCGATTGACTCAGAAAAGGCCTTCTCATGCTTGGCAGTGAATTTGCCTAGAATACGGAGCTGCATGACGCCAGATCCAAGCATAAGTGGAACAACAGCGAGGCAGACCAGCGCTATCCTCCAAGCGAGGATGTGTGTCAGGATCAGAGCGACGAGGAAGTTGACGACGATTGTGAAGCAAGTTCCGATGATGGACCCAGTGAGCGCTCCGAGGGCATTCGAGTCAAGTGTGATGTATTGCAGTAGCGTGGACGGTGATCTGCCCTCGGATTGGTGCCAATGGACGTCTTGTTCCAACAAAGAACGCAAGGAGAGCCTTCTGACAATATAAAGAACCTTCTCGGCGACGTATCCAAAAGACGACCAACTCATGCCATTAGCGCAGAACTCGATGATTCCGAGGATGAAGAACATAAGACCAAAGAATGCACCAGATGTCCTAATGCTGCCGGGCTCTTTGCAAGGACTGAGAGCTCCGACAGTGTTGCCGAATATAGATGCTGATCCGGAGTAGGCACCTCCTACCATGGCGGAACCAGCAAAAGCGACCAGCAGCCAGAGGGAATAGGGCCGAGTATAGAAGCCGATAGTCTTCAACGTGGCTCCAAAGGTTCGTGATGGCTTTGCTCCCGATGCAGATTGAGGTTTGTTCTCGTCCGCTTCATTAGCTGTTGCCTCGGAAGATACCTCGACTTCCTTGCTTGGCGCTTCTTTCACTTCATCAAAGGTACGCTCAACATCCTTAGTTGTCTCATTGGTGCTGAGACTGGATGTCTCCGAGCTCATGCTCTGAAGTCGTACCAACGCCGCATAGTCTGCATCTTTTGTGAGTAGCTCCGTGTGGGTGCCTTGCTCGATAACCTTTCCGTTGCGCATGACTACGATGTTGTCTGCTGTCTTGACTGTTGCTAGGCGATGCGCAATGGAAATCACGGTTCTCCCAGCGGTGAATTGCTCGATTGCCTTCTGGATGCGTTGCTCACTGGCAGAGTCTAGCGATGAGGTAGCCTCATCTAGTAGAAGAACCCTGGGATCCTTCACCAGAGCTCGGGCGAGGGCAACTCTTTGCTTTTGTCCGCCGCTGAGCAGGTCTCCATTCGGGCCTACCACAGTTGCCAAACCAAACTCTAGGTTTCCAAGAAAGATGCCACAGTCGGCCATTGTTGCGGCGTGCTGCGCCATATCAATGACTTCGACGGCGAGCTGCCCATGCGACGAAGTTGCTTCATTTAGATCCTGCCCACCTCGAACGGCCTCTGCAATCTTTGATAGGGAGTCTCCCAATAGAATTGGCAAGTACTTAGTGTGCTCCGCTCGCGAGGAGTTGACCAGGCCGAGCGCGATGTTTTCCAAGATTGATCGGTCCAGAAGTGAAGGGTCTTGCTGCACAAGTCCAATATGGCTTCTCAACTGGCGGACATTGTAATCACGTAGGGGCCTCTCGTCAAGGTATACTGTGCCAGCGTCGGGATCGTAGAGTCTCGTAAGTAGTCCTGCAAGAGTCGATTTCCCACTCCCAGACAGGCCAACAACCGCAGTGCGCTTTCCAGCGGGGAAGTGTAGAGATACGTTTTGGATAACAGGGACGTCTGGACGTGAAGGGTAGGTAAAGTCGACATTTTCAAGTCTGAAATCGCCTTCACACGCAGGTGTTGCGTCGTCACTGGGCGGAACAGTTCCATCTATTTGAGATGTGCGATTGATGTCTTCCTCGAGACGCTGGAAAGACGCGGCGGCAGCACCAAAGATCTGTAGAAATGGGGCCATTTGGCTGAGGACAAGGGTGCCTGGTTCGGCATGTAAGCAAATGAGCAATGGCTGTTTTCCTGAGGATTTACTTACCATCAACGATGACGAAGATGATGGTATAAGTTGTTCCGACGGTTATGCCAGTGAGGGACCCGTCCACCACGTCGGCAATAAACCGACTACCTTGCCAGTATGCCAGACCGTTGGCTGCAAATGCCAGAAAGTAAAGCATGCCGGACTGGGCTGCCGTTGCCATGGCCTTCTTGATGCCATCCTTCCGGGCTGAGCTTAGCTTCTCGGCAAATCGCTGCTCCAGTCGACCGTTGGCCCTGAAAGCTTGGACGACCATGATATTATTCAAGCATTCGAGCGCAATACCCGAGGCCTCGGCCATGTGCTTTGATACAAGCCCTGAGTATTTACCAACATAGTGTGAGCCGAGCACTCCCATGATCATAAATGCTGGCAATAGTGCCGTGAGGATGCCGGCAAGCTTGGCATACTTGACGTAGGCAACAATGTACGCTGTGGTGAACATTGATAATACGCCGAGAACAAGGCCAACTTTTTGGGACGTGCCATCTTGAATGGTTTTGATGTCGTTGGTGAGCCTTGACGAGACATCGCCGGCGGGTAGTTTGTCGAAGTAGGAAACTTCCTGCTTGAGGATGGATCTGAAGTACTTTGCTCGTAATCGGTGGGCCAGTCGGTCGCCGAAGAGATTCCAGCACAGAATGTAGAGATAGATGCAAACGAACTGAGCGATGGCGATGTATACTACGAGGAGCACCTTCTGGTTCACGCTGGATTGGTACTGTGCGGCATCGGTGGAGGAGCCATTGGCGCAAGTCGCCGAGTTGAGATCGTCCAAAAGTTGACCGAAGACAATTCCAATGAGGGGAAACGGTACACCTGCTGCTACCGCAGAGAACACGCCGACAAGGAGCAGCGCAACATCGGTGAACGAAGGCTCGGCGTAGAAAAGCAGGCGAAAGTAGCTGACGAAGCCTGCAAAGAACTTCACATGCCATGTCAGTTCAGGGGTCTGGAGACATCGGCCCTCAGTCGCGGGAATGTAGACTTACAGAACGTTTCGGCTGTGCTGTCTCCTTTGCTTCGACTTTCGCGTCTGGCGATGGTGCTGCGACGGCGTCGGCGCCCGCCACGTTCTCCTGTGTCGCCTGTCCGCTCATCTTACCGTGCTGCAGCGAAAGCTCTGGAGGTTACCAAGGCTTTGAGCAGGATGAAGCCACCTCATAAGCCAGCGACAACGACAAAAGGAAAGAGAAAAACTTTCAATTACACGCCCATGATGCCCAGCCCGCTACGGAAAACATCTCCACTGCCGAAAGCAGCAGCTTGGCTCCAGGGCGGGTTCTCGCGACTCCATAGTGGCCCTACCTGGGTAACCCGGTCGCGAATTGGCGTACAAGCACGCCCACTCATTTCTCAGTTGCGGTGATGTAACGGTCCCGTATGGCGACGACGGTACTCCGCTGTACTTCGAGGGATTTTGACGATCCCATGTCGCCGAACCCGGGGGGTGGCCTCCACTTAAAGGGTCATGGTGCCCCCAACCGAGCCTTGGCTCTCGGAATGATCCTCATCTGATAAGATTATCGCGTTTGTCACCCGAAACCTCACTGCTAGCGATATTAAGTTATCAGATGGCACTAGGAGCCCGCCACCCCGACGCTTCGCTCCACTGCATTGCATGCCAACTGCACACGTGTTTCGTCCACCCACCACGTCGCCGGCGCTACGCCCGTCAGCCCGCCTCGCTTTCGGCGGATCAGTCGGGCAGCACAACATCATCCCAGGTCGCTACCGTTGCCGCCACGTCCGTCAGCGCAGCCGATGAGGGCGAACAGCAGCTTTGCATCTCACGTTGGCTCGATGTTAGAGTTGGCAAATGTTCCTTGAACTGGCTTGTGGCAGTGGTGTAACATCCGACAGTCTACCTGTACGCTCTCGCTAGTCCCAGGATCAGATCGGGGGCCCTGAACCTGACGGGCTCTAGCGTCCAGTCAGTCAGACCCAAGTGATGCGATGTGCATAGAGCCCCTGTGACACATCCCTGAGGCTCCAGCTCCTCCCTCCCGCAAATCAGGTTGCCGCGCTTGTCGCCTCCCGTGAGGCACATGCATGCGGTGTGCTGCGTCCGAGTTATTTATCATGTCTGAACATGTCGAACTCGGTCAGCTTGGAGCTGCGAAGCTTGCTGGTGTAACACCAAACTACAACGATTCGCCTGGGAACATGTCCGAAAGGGAAAGTCGCGTGCCGCTTCTGGGCTCGCCCGGCACGTCGAGGCATTCCGATGAAGAGTCTCGGGATTCTGATCACTATGGTACGTCCGGAAGTAAGCGCTCAGCCACGACGACAGTCCTTGATGCCGACAGCGATGAAGAAGACGACAACAATGTCACCAGCGATGCTCAAGGGGGAGTGCAGCAAGCTGATGCCATTAATCTTGTCTGGTCGCGAAGTGCTCTGATCCTAGCCTACTGCTTGTGAGTGACAGTTTGTCATCCATGCTATCGTCCTATATGATTTCGACGCTCATTCTGACACATTGGCAAGCATCTTTCTCTGCTCTTTTGCCCAGGCTCTACAATGGCAGATCCTCTCCAACCTGACCCCATACGTAACGAGCGAGTTCTCATCACACTCTTTAATTCCGACCATCGGTATTGTTTCATCCGTGTTGAGCGGCGTCTTGAAGTTGCCCATCTCCAAAGTCATCGACGCATGGGGTAGACCTCAGGGTTTGGCCGCCATGATTGTTCTAGCATCCATCGGCTTGATACTCATGGCAGCGTGCCAGGATGTTAAGACCTACGCTGCTGCTCAAGTAAGACGAACACGGGATGTAAAAGACCGAACAAACTAACAAAGGGTAACTGCAGGTGTTCTACCAAGTCGGAATCAGTGGGTTCTCCTACGTGCTGGACATCATCATCGCGGATACCTCATCCTTGAAGAACCGGACGCTCGCATTCGCATATTCCAACACCCCGAATCTGATCACCACGTTCATTGGACCTCCCATTGCTCGGGCATTCTACGAGCAGAGCAGCTGGCGCTGGGGCTTTGCATTTTCCGCGATCCTCTTCTTCGTCCTCTCTCTGCCCATCCTGACTATCTTGATGCTGAATGCGCGCAAAGCAAGAAGGCTCGGTTTGTTGAAGAAGAAGACAAAGAAGAGATGGACTCTGGAGTATTTGCAGGACAGCTTGAAAGAATACGACGGTACGTACCAACTAATCATTGGATCCCTCGGGGCTCAACATACTGACGATACCAGTTATCGGCGTTCTATTGGTCACAGCTGGGCTGACGATGGTCTTTGTGCCTTTTTCCCTTGGCACGCGTGCTGAGGACCAGGCAGGTCTGGCAGTACTAGTGACCGGTCTAGTACTCCTCGTTGCCTTTGCCTTCCATGAACGATACTATGCCACGCGGCCGGTCATCGCTTTCTCCCTGTTGTTTTCTCGAAACGTTGCCGGATCATGCTTTCTGTCTATTATCCTATTCGTAGCGTACAACGCTTGGGACTCGTATTATTCATCCTATCTTCAGGTTGTCCACGGTCTCAGCATTACGCAGGCGGGATATATCGATCATATCTATGGCTTTGGCTCGTGCTTGTGGGCAATCCTGGTGGGGTATTTGATCAGGGTTACGGACCGGTACAAGTGGCTTGCGTGGGCTGCTCTCCCCGTGCACATCCTGGGTGGTACTGCCATGATCTTCTTCCGACGCCCCGACACACATGTCAGCCTGTTGGTGCTGTGCCAGGTCCTCATTACCATCGGCGGGAGTACACTCGTGGTATGTGACCAGATGGCGGTCATGGCAGTTTGTAGTCACGAAGAGCTAGCATCGGTCATGGCTGTGCTTTTGCTGGCGGCGTACGTTGGCTCCGCCGGTGGGAATGCATTGAGTGGTGCCATTTGGAACAGCACTTTACCTAAAGCACTGAGCGAGCTACTGCCAAACTTGTCTCCGCGCGAGTTAGCTGCACTATGCTCAGACATCACAAAGCAGCTAAGCTATCCGATGGGCGACCCTATTCGAGACGCCATCATCACGGCTTACGACAGGGCACAAGTCAGGATGTGCATCACCGGCGCATTCATATCACTCTTGGAGATCGTAGCCGTGGCTATGTGGAAGGATGCGATAGTCAGTCAGGTGAAGCAGGTCAAAGGCAAGGTGATCTGAGAGCGCGCCAAGCAAAGAGTATACGGGCGAATACTAGCATGATATCACGATAGACTTTTAGAGCATGGTCTGGCGTTACGGAGTCGGGCGCTCCCTTGGAACGCTACCAACTAGCATAGAATATATCCCTTGGTTATTGACGCTATTACTTTAACGTGCCATTTTAGTGCTCGATAGTTCGCTAGCCAAACCAGATTGATAGACACGTCTAATCAGATATTTTTTTAGGCTTGTAAGCGGGGCATTACTATCAGCAAAGCGAGGCTTCGGATATACGATAATGCATCTATCAAGTTTCGGGTACGATTCTTGAGCGGGTGCGGCTGCTACTGTGTTAAGACAGACTGGCTTCAATATTGGTAAGTACATTTTGGTCCAGAATACAAGATGTGCTAATGGCCCTATCATAGCCCCAATTCCACCAGGTAGCATGGCGATGACGATGATTGCTCGTGTGGCAATGTGACACACCTCATGAAGTAGGTTGAAGTCGCACTACATGAAACTCGGTAGCTTGCTCCCATTTGGCTGGTCAACATTGAAGCCGATCTCGGCTCAAATGGCAAGCTTTCATCTCCGTACCATCGCCTGTAATCTTATCAGATGGATTGATTAGATCTTGATCTCCACACCACCCTGATTTTATCCCTGTCATTTGCAACGACGAAAGATTTTGCACGGGGTACAGTGGCTTGGTCGCTCATGGATCGTTGCCCCGAATGGCGCCATCTGGGACAGGTACCTCCCGTGTACTTCAGGAAATGTCGGGACTCGGGGTGGCACCCAAACCAAAGCAAGAGAAGGGATGCCGGTGGATCCAGCGGCTTGTGCTTCGTGTGCCTGTTTCTCGCGACACGAGGATCTAGCAGCCACCGTTTCCCTGGAAGTCTTCCATTCCGCAAAAGGAAGCCAAGTTGTGCCACAGGAGCCAAGCTTTAGCTCTCGCTCTACCACGCCGTCATGTCCCGAGCCAGTACTATGGTACATTGGCCCTTTGGCGATGTGTAACGCGATCTGGGGTCCATTAAGGTGGAAGATCCTGATCCCTGGACAACCCGGCCGGTACCAGCCCACGTCACTGGCTGCAAGTCGCAAGTCGAGGCGAGCTACTTTCGCGGTTAGATGCAAATCAAGTGATGCATCTTTGTTCCCATTGCGATGTTTGATTGATTCTGTCTAGAATCTCTTCTCTTCAGAGGCTTCTATCCCCTACCCATCCCAAATAGACACAATGGCTACACAGCCAGTGGTTTCGTCGTTCCCTTCGGCGCCTTTCGTGCAGGCAGAAAATCTCTCCATCCTACATGGCCCAGTCGATCCTCCTCTTGTGGACCTCACATTGGGCGAGCTTCTTGAACTTCAATGCCAGCACCATGGCACTCAGGAGTGCCTCGTCACCCCATGGAATGGCACCCGTTGGACATACAACGAGCTAAATCAGCAGAGTTCTCAGCTCGCCAAGGGTTTGATGTCTTTGGGTATCGGCGTTGGTGATAGAGTCGGCGTTATGGCAGGCAACTGTGCAGAATATGCGGCGATTTTCTTTGCCGTGGCACGTATCGGCGCAATCTTGGTCATTCTCAACAACACATACACTCCAACAGAAGCACAATATGCTTTGAAGTTCTCAGGTAAACACTGGCAGGTTACTTACGTGAAGAGGGCGTGTGCTAAATAAACTGTAGACTGTAAAGTTTTCTTCACGACCAAGAAGATCGGCCGGGTGGACAACACAAAACTCCTTTCGGAGTTGGCAACCCTGGAGCACAGCCCAAATGTTGTGATCATCCGAGGCGAATCAGGTTCATATCCAACCTACGGTGACCTCCTCAAGCAGGGGTTGAAAGTGAGCCACAACAGCTTGTACCGTCTGGGAAGAAAGGTCCTTGCCCACAATGTCTGCAATCTGCAGTTCACGAGTGGTACCACCGGCCTTCCAAAAGCTGCCATGCTGACGCATCACAACATTGTGAACAATTCCCGCTTCATTGGTGATCGGATGCGTCTCACTCCAGACGACGTTCTATGCTGCCCGCCACCACTATTCCACTGTTTTGGTCTGGTGCTTGGACTGATGGCTGTGCTTACCCATGGAGCAAAAATTGTCTTCCCTGAAGAGGTATTTGACCCAAGCGCAGTGCTACGCGCAATCTCGGATGAGCACTGCACAGCTGTACATGGAGTTCCGGCCATGTTCGATACCCTTTTCAACCTTCCTATGCCTCCCAACTTCAACTGCGACAGATTAAGGACAGGCATCGTTGCAGGCGCTCCGGTTCCGAGGTACCTGATGGAGCTCATGGTGGAGCGTTTCGGCATGACGGAATTTACTAGCAGCTATGGACTGACAGAGGCGTCGCCGACTTGCTTCAACGCTTTCACCGATGATGCAATCGACAAGCGGCTAACGACCGTGGGAACGTTGATGCCACACGCCCATGCCAAGATCGTAGATCATGAAGGCAACATTGTTCCTGTCGGCACCCGTGGTGAGCTATGCATTGGTGGGTACCAGCTTCAAGCCGGCTACTGGAATAACTCGGAGAAGACCGCTGAGGTTATGATCCGCGATGAAGCGGGTGTTCTCTGGCTTCATACGGGCGATGAGGCTGTCTTTGACGATCAGGGATATTGCACCATCACAGGGCGTTTCAAGGATATCATCATTCGGGGTAAGTAGAATAGAGACATTGAGTACGGACAACAGCTGATTTTAGTAGGCGGCGAGAATATCTACCCTCTTGAGATTGAGGAACGTTTGATGGCACATCCAGCTATCACTAAGGCCATTGTCACAGGTCTCAAGGATGCTCATTACGGCGAGGTTGTCGGTGCTTTCTTACAGGGTGATGGAAGCGGGGAACGCCCGACAGAGCAAGAGATGAGGGACTGGTGTCGCCAGAAGTTGGGAAAGCATAAGGCCCCTGCTCATATATTCTGGCTTGGTGAAGCGGGTGTGCCAGCTGACGTGCCACTCACTGGCAGCGGGAAGGTCAAGAAGTACGAAATGGCAAGATTCGGAGAGGAAATTCTGAGGAAAAGTCGTTTGGAGAAACTATGATGCTCTGATTTACTTGAAAGGATCAAATGCGGTTCAGAGGCTCAGATCATCTTCCTTCCGCTAACAGGCTCTCACGGTAGGGGAAAGAGAACGGTGCTCTCAAACCGCGGGTAAGACAATACCACTAAGGCAGATTTCACAAAACAGATTAGAGACAGGGTAGACCAAAATTTGATAGGGAGGCGCTCAGGTTTATTGGACAGTATGGGAAAGCTCCGCTAAAAAGCTCAGTACTATAATTAGTTGAATGTCTCAAAATGCGTATAGAGTTTGCATCTCCAGAGCCTGGTTGGTTGCTGAATCGCCGTCGCACAACTGATGATTGGTGGAAGTACCCATGGACGTCAAAGCGCCAGGACATAGTGTTGGTTTAGCCGCTTTAACCCACTCCGACCCCCGGCGGCGCATTCGCGATCTTCCCCGCACAAAACTTTCATCCACCGGCCTTGGGTCAAGAGACTTTTCAGCCTGCCATTGTTCAAGCTGCCGAAGGGGAACTGTATATCCGGGAGCTATTCGACGACACGGTGGAGTATGCCTTCACAGACAAAACCGAAAGATCCCAATGCTTTTCCTACTGTCCAGCTCACAGTCCTTGGTTCGTGCAACTGAAGTCGACCCTGACCGCCATCTTACTGACAAGACTGCAGCAATATGTCGCTTTTCAGAGCCAATCGCTTTCAACTCGATTCTTGCATACACTTATGTAATGGTGCAAGATCTTCATGATGGCGATGATACAGATGCCTCATTCTATGCCGGCCTGCTGGTCTCGGCCTATGCAGTCGCCGAGGCTATAACCGCCATGGGTTGGGGTATACTTTCAGACCACTATGGACGGAAGCCTGTAGTCTTGTTTGGTCTTGTTGGCGTCGCCATCTCCAGCTTAATCTTTGGCCTTGCACAGTCCTACTGGGTGGCGCTCTTGGCGAGGTTCATCGGCGGTGCCCTGAACGGCAACGTCTCCGTGATGCAGACGATGGTTGCTGAAATGGTCAAAGTCCCCGAACACGAGCCAAAAGCTTATGCTACGCAGCCCTTCGTATGGACCCTTGGCGGTATCGTCGGGTCGGCAATGGGAGGCTTCCTCGCTCAACCTGCACGGTTCTATCCCTCGGTGTTCCCAGCCGATGGACTGTTTGGCAAGTATCCTTACCTATTGCCTAACCTGGTCTCCGTGGCAGTCATTGTGCTTGCCATTCTCCAGGGAATCTTGTTCCTCGAGGAAACCAATCCACGGCATATGCGCGTTGATGATGATCATGCCGTCGAGGACGATGAGGCCACAGACGAAACAACGCCGCTTCGTGGCCCGCGCAGGAGAGATGTCAGGCAAAGCGCCGCTAGCGAGAGGCCACCGTTCATTGAAGAGAGCCTTCCTTTACCTCTCGAAGCGAACTTCGACTTGAGGAGATCTTCGTTTGGCACGGTGCATTCGATCAAGCTGCCTGCAGACGTCCGCCCGGGTCCCCCTACTCGGACGCCGACTAACCAGAGTTTCAAAGGCCGGACATTCAACTTCACCATCATCATGATAACAATCGCGCTAGTGATCTTCTCATATCATCAGATGGCATTTTGCACACTTTTGCCCACACACCTTCTTGACCGGCCGATGGCGCCGAGGGGCCAACTCGACCTGTGGGGTGGCTTGGGTTTCACGGTCCACGACGTTGGAATTTACTTGGCTGTGAACGGTATCATTGGTCTATTCATCCAGGGTGTTATATTTCCAATATTCATCGATCATGTCGGGGTTTGGAAGTCGTTTCTCCTAATGATCCTCCTTTACCCCACGGCTTACTTGCTCAACCCCTTCCTATCCGCGTTTCCCGACGGCCTCGTGTCTCCCGGCATCTACCTATCCATGATTCTGCAGAGCTTTTATGGAATTATTGTTGGGCCGTGTGCCCTGATACTGCTCAAAAATGCCACGCCGTCCCCGCTGGTCCTAGGCAAGGTAAACGGTCTGGCCATGGCTGCTTGTTGTCTGGCCAGGACCCTCAGCCCTCCGATTGTTGGCATTATCTATAGTGCGGGCGGCTCGGCTGCAGCTTGGTTCAGCTGCGCTGGGATCGCTGTCGTCGGGATCGTGCAGTCCTTCTGGGTACCTCGGAAGCATGCGGTTGAGCATGTCGAAGTGGAGAGCTCAGGTCTGTTTTCCGAACCTCATGGGTAGAAAACCTCATGAGTTGAAGTCACGGCGAGAAAGAACCCCACATTGGGTCAAGTTGCCTCGTCGTGAACTTTTCAGATTCTGGGAACACAGCCGTGGTACAGTGTACGCAGGGGACTCGTCACGATATCACGAGTCTCATAACAGAAGGTCGATGTCGCATTGGTTTTTAACATTTGATCTACTCATTGGCATGGCATAGGATGGTATTCTGGTATTTACATCTTGAACCTTTGTTCGGACGAAGATTTAACGAAGGGTTTTTGCGGCGCATCATATCTTATTCCTTCCAATTTCCTGATAGCATCATTCTTACGAGGGAGTACATTTGGCAACAAATAGACCGGTATGACTTATTTGACATCCTGCTACAGGAACGTCGCCTGGAAACTGTGATTCAGTCCCACTGTTAAAACTTATAGCCTCTTGGTTTGTGGACGGTTTTGAATAATAGCGAACAGTCAATATCGGTTCATTTTCCACCGAGGTATCTGTAAGGCGGTTCCATATGCTGCCCGAAAGCTGTAACTCCGAAGACAAGCTCGCGTGAGCATTTCTATGGCCTATGCACCCACCAATGTCTATCTTCGACGACTTCACTTTAACAAATCACCGTGTCTTTCCGTTTCGTGTGCCAGATACTTACCTGTCTTTGCCTCGTGTCGGATCGTCCGGTGAGCCATGATTTAGGGCTCGACACGGACCACTAATTTTGGTAGTAGCGCTTACCTCCAGCGAGCTCTCTGGCCCTGCTTGGCACCTGGGCAGCCTGGCGGGTGATAGTAGCCCCGCTAAGTGGGCGATATTCAGGTAGCATTCATTATGCCTATAGCAGGGATAGAGCCGTTTTGGTACTCAAACACCCCTGTAGACTGACGAGATTGATTAGATGCGATTGATAATTGGTGACGAGACTAATTTCTACTCCCCACATCTCGGGCAAATGCAAAGGCAGCACCTCACCGTTCATCATCCGCCCAACAAGTCCGAAGCGGAGTACCCCTCCCAATCTGATAAGCGTTACGTGTCAGACAATTGTGTCTCTGGTGCGCGATGGATCATCGTTCTCCATGTTTACGAGGGCATTTCGAGCCGGTGCTTTTCGCCCTTGTGGCCTCGTAGGGTTTGCTCGAGCAGAGGCGTGCCTTTCGCCAGAGCCCGATGCCGGGCAAGCTGGGGTATAACCACAGCGGAAGTTGCGGCCTCCTTCTGGAAATTATGAGGATTGGCGTCCGTGGCTCGCGGGGTTTGGCTCCATGGAGACGTCGACGTAGTGCAGGGTTATGCTTCCACCTGCTTGCCCAGGAATCCGGGTCCCGAAGACCCAATGGCACGGTCCGATAATGTCCTTTCTACGTGTGAATCCCCTGCTCAGTAATATCTACTTCTTCTTCCCTAGGCTATTTCCCGTTCCTGGTTTCCCAAACTCATCTCTCACACTGGCAAGGAACCGTTCTCAGATCCCGTCTTGCATTTCTCTCCATCAGCCCACAAAGCCCCTTGCACGCAAAATGACGTCCCACACTGATGCTGCCCGCAATGAGGCGAACCCTTGGCGAGTATTCATTGCTGGCGGTTGCTATTCTGGTCTGTCGGCGGCCATCCATCTGCTTGATAGATGTGACAGTGTTCCCGAGAAACCCGTGCATGTCGCTATCACCATTGTTGATGAGCGGGATGGCTTCTGTAGGTTGCCACACGCCACCCGGACCTGCCTGGCCCTAACAGCAATGGACTAATTTCGGTGCTCACTATAGACCATGTGATCGGCTCGCCGTTGGCCCTTGCTGATAAGAAGTACGCTGAGAAGGCCTGGGTAGAATACAAGGATGTCAAGATCCTCCAAAGGCCCGACGTCCAAATCGTCCATGGCAGCGTGACAAAGGTTGATCCTACCTCAAAGACTGCCACCATTCGCGAATCCAGCAACAACTCCGAACGTACCGAGTCCTACGACTTCTTCATCGGCGCGACCGGCTTGCGGAGGGTATGGCCCGTCGTACCCCAAGCACTCAGCAGGAAGACCTACCTCACCGAGGTAAACAGGCATATTGATGCTGTGACAAGCAGTGCTGACCCTGTGCTTGTTGTCGGTGGAGGTAAGAAGACCTCAGCACCATGACATCATGGCATTGCTGACAGTATCTAGGCGCCGTTGGTATCGAGATGGCTGCGGAGCTCAAGACGGTCCAGCCCAATGTAAAGGTTACTCTGGCGCACTCGAGAGCGAAACTTCTCTCGTCGGAGCCGCTCCCGGACATGGTTAAGGACTGCGCCTTGGACCTCGTCCGTGAGTCTGGTGTTGATCTTCTTATGGAGCATAGGCTGGTGAAGAGCACACCGATCAAGAATGCCGCAGGCCAAGACGCGTACGAGGTCGAGTTTGAGAACGGCCATAAAATGTTGGCAAGCGTGGTAGTCATGGCTATCTCCAAGAGTGTGCCATCAACAGACTTTTTGCCCAAGGAGGCGCTCAATGAGGAGGGGCTAGTGAACATTCTGCCTTCGCTGCAGCTTTCCAGCAAGGAAATCCCTAACGCGGAACGCCACTTTGCCGTTGGCGACTTGATTAACTGGTCAGGCATCAAGCGTTGTGGTGGTGCCATGCACGAGGGCAAGTACGCCGGTCTCAACATCCACCAAATGATGATGCACGAGATGGAGGGCAAGGACATCAAGTTTAACGAGATTGACGAGATACCGCCCATGATCGGCCTTGCTGTAGGCAAGAAGGCTGTATCGTATGGTCCCGAGGGAATGAACTCCGGCAAGCAGGTGATGCACTCATTTTTCGAGGAGGATTTAGGATTCAGAAGTAGGTTCTTCCCGCCTGGAGCAATAGTTGCCGGTAACTAACTTCTACTAGTCTGTTGGGATCACCTTCGCCTGGGCGGAAACCCTGCTTAATGTGATGGCGAAATTATATGAGGAGTTATGGGCATTGATGGAAAACGGTTTAGAATTATATCATTTGAGAATACATGAGAATACATATCTACAGCTTACATGCTTACGCAGTGCGGCTGTGATGAGTTATGAAGACACCAAAATATATAACGTATCAAACAAATTCAATTACTCCTCGTTACAAGTATTCAGTCTCAATCACGAAACTACAACTTGGGCAGCAGCCCAACATGGGTTCCACCAACTGCCTTCTCGCTCTCGGCCAAGGGCGAGAGTTGGAAGAACCTTTCCCTCGAGCATCGCACGAATGCGGAGCGCTTGTGCGGAAGATCGACGAACTTGTCCAGACCAAAACCGTGGATGAAATCGTAACCCAACACCGAGCTATTCGTATACTTCGGCTCTCCAACGACGAACATGGTGCGCGGGTCGTCGAGGAACAGGTAGTGCATGAGACTTGACCACCACGCCGTCACACGGTGAGCTCCGCGGAATCGAACGTCGCCGACGAGCGAGTGCCGACCGCGGTCGAAGTCGCCAGCACTGTAGTAAGCACCCAATCGGTCCTCCTGTTTCCTGTTAGCGTCGAAATCTCAGGAGTATTGGAGTTTACCAACCTTGGCCCAGTATACTTCGAAATATGCGAAGAAGGTATCGTCAAATCTTGCCAGAATCGTGACCTGGTGCGGATCGACGTGCTGCTTACGCAGGTACTCCCGGTGTTGTTCCAGTGTTCCCGTTTCGTTCCAACCCTGTGCCACACGTGGATCGTTCTGCCACTCATGGAACAGACGCAGATGTTCTTCGTTCTGGTAATCGAGGGCCACCATGGAGAAGTTTTCCTTGAGATGGGGGATCCAGCGACTGTAGATGACTGATCCGGGGCGGGGCTTGGCCGGTCGTCGAGGATGCCAGGTCAGAATGCTCGGCGGCTCGTTGGTCATTTTGTTCTCGTAGGGTGTCAATGGATAGGACGAGAGCGGCTTGCTCATCTCGACCCCATCGTCCTCAGGGATCCATGCGGTGCGAGGTCCGAATGGAGATCCGGCGCCTTGCCAGAAGGTGCTCCGCAAGAGCAGCAACTCATCCACAGCTTCCGATTCAGTAGGGTGGTCAATGGCCAACAAGACCGACTTGAGCTGGGTCGCGAGCTTCTCCTTTCCGGAGCCGTCCAGTGTCAAACGGCAATACTCCATCTGTGGCCTGATCGTGAACAGGACATAGACAAGAAGCCATGCTTGCGCGAGGGTAGGTGCTGATGTGCCATCCCAAGTAAACGTGGAGGAGGGCGATCGGCGAGCTCTTCCCCATGGGGTGTTGTTGGACTCAGCCGGCCTCTCGCTTGATTTCAAGTCTGCCGGCTCGGTGAAGAAGAGCGATGTGCTGTGGAGAGGTTCAGAAGGAGCCTTGCCATTGCCTGCTGCTTGGGGCTGGGCTTGGAGCAATTGAGCTCCGGCCTTGGAGGTTTTAGATGATTTCACCAAGACATAAGGTGTCAGGTATGGGTGAGGTAGCTTAAGCACCGGCTCGTTCTCTGCTGGGAAAGGCATGATGATTACGATTTGTGGACAAGCAACGAAGCTCTACGTTGACCGAAGCAATTGCTACACAGAGGAAAACAATCTCACTGGCCTCAGACCGAGTTGCGAAAAGTTTCCGCGAGCCCAGCCGACGAGCTTCACAAGCTCTAGTGGAGTGATGTCGCATCACCTCGCCAGCGTCGGCCACCGGTCCCTGCATCGCGGGATCTCATCACGTCACAAGTCGACCGACGAGGGTCCAAGAGACCTGCCCAAACGTCGCCATCTCCTAAGCCTTGTACCTCGAAGTACCCCGATGGACGACGCAATTTCCACATTGGACCAAGATCCAGAGCGGCATGCCTGTCGGGGATCAGAGTTTTCGCGACTACTGCAGGCCGACGACCACTCGGCGCTCGTCTTCTGGAGACGGCAGGTATTTTGCCATGGGGATGCTTGGCGGGCCATGCAAGAGCCGGATCTGATAACTTTATGTGGACTGCCAAGGGTGGGTTGGTGGGTTACCAGGGGGGTTTAGGTCCATCTGATAAAAAATCGCTCGTCAGAGATCCAGTCATTACCGACTTCGGATCTGATAAAACAGCTTGGCAGAGACGGCCGCCGGGTCGCCTCGGTTCGTATCCTCCTCCAGGTCATTCGTCGTAATTGCATGCTCAACTTCTTCGTTATATCCGTGTTCTCAATACCCCGACTGGTAATGAGCCGACTGTGGGGCAGTGTACCAGGTAGGGTAGGCCCGCCTGTACATCCTGCCCAGTCAAGGTGACCCTCCCTAATCCAAGTAGCGACTCGGCAAATGCTGTCCAACTAAGCAACGCTCGTTTACTGAGGCTATAGGCCAAGTTTGTAGTTGAAGTCTGCATTTATAGTCCTATACCAATGGATGACTCTCTGTATCTCGTGGTTTCTTATCATGGTCCACGATAGACATGTGTCATAACACATCGGCGTAGTGCTTGGCACATTCCGGCCGGCTAACGGCGATGACCGGTAACCAGCGGCGGTCCGGGACAGCCTGCGCAGACTGCCCGACACGCTGTTATCTTCATCACAACTTGCTTCAAGCATCACATCCATAGCAGCACAATAGGAACGATGGCAGACACCACGAACTCCGACATTGCATACCTTCTAAGCCTTCAGGCTGTCCGTGAGCGGGCTCAGCTGGTCCTGCAAGCTGCAAAAGAGGGGTCTCTGAACAGCTTCGAGTACCATGAAGATCGACTGCCAGCCGTGGCGGACTTCGTCATAGGGATTATCAACGTAAATTCTCTTGTGATGAATCGTCGCTAGCCTGTAGCTAACACTGGACTGTAGCGAGATTTCGGACCTGACAGGTTCTCGGAGATCCCTCCTCATGGCCGCTGGCAGCATTTCGACGTCGGCGGAGTGGCCCGCGTCGCACCGCTGCTGGAGAAATGGGAGTCCGAAGGTGCTGACAAGCTTGAGCGGACTCGTCGCCTGATCGACCTGTTCTTCGTGTCCGTACTGGTGGACGCCGGTGCCGGTGACGTGTGGAAGTTTACCGAGCCCGGAACCGGCCTGGTGTATGGTCGGAGCGAGGGTACCGCTATTGCATCACTCCATATGTTCACCTCTGGGGTCTTCAGCGGCCCCGGTGCAGCCGCCCACAGCGTCAATGGTAAAGAACCCGGATCCTGAATGCATGTTTCATGTCATGGTTGCTTACGTTCCATCTCACAGCTGTCGCGATGCAGTCTCTCAAGGACGATGTCTTCAGTCATCATTTCCAGACAAGCTCCGAGAACCCAATGGTCGGTGTATCCTCGCGCGTTGATCTTCTAAACAAGGTCGGAACCTCGCTTTTGAAGCTTCCTGAGATATTTGGGCCAGAGGGGAGACCTGGCAGCATGGTTGGTACGTTCATGTTGCCATCAAGGTTGACATCCCCCCGAGTAGCATGTGTACTAATACCGGGCAGATTACTTGACGAAAACGGCGAAGGATGCCAACACACTCGACTACGAATCGCTGTGGTCGGTCCTTCAGAAGGTCTTGATTCCATCCTGGCCAAAGAACCGTCCTTCTGTCGCAGGCAACCCTATTGGAGATGCCTGGCCACTGAAGGTCCTCGCCGACAAAGCTAAGAAAGATGGTAACGAGAAAGAAGTAGCTACTATTGTGCCTTTCCATAAGCTCACGCAATGGCTCGGATATTCGCTTACCATACCATTCGTTCGCGTGCTCGGTTTCAAAGTAGTGAACGGCAACCTGGGAACGGGGCTTCCCGAATACCGCAATGGAGGACTGTTCTACGATCTGGGTGCCCTCACGTTGAAGCCCGAGGTTCTCAAAGTAGGCCAGCAAGCATCGGGTCATGACGTCCCCCTATTCCCGGCTACCGGGGACACCATCGTGGAGTGGCGAGCCATGACGGTAGCGCTGCTGGACGAACTACACAAACTGGTATCTGCGCACTTTGAGAAGCAAGGAGTCACACTTACGATTGCCCAGATGCTGGAGGCAGGTACTTGGCTGGGCGGTCGGGAGCTGGCCGCCAAGCTTCGACCAGATACCAAGTCTAGCCCTTTACCTATCGACGGGGATGGAACGCTGTTCTAGATTTAAAGCGATAGAATATATAAAATTAGAAGGCCTTATCCCTCGCAAATAAACCCGAAAGGAAACATTCTCTTCATCGATGGCTCGATGTCATGCTGACCTTCACTTATGCCACATAGCCTGGCCGTGTTTGGAAATCTGTGTCATCCTTTGTCTTCGCCAGCTCATCCTCGTCGTCGTACCATTTGGCACGTACTTCTACCATATCGCCAGAGTTCCCCTGGAAGAAGTGTTTCTGGGACGTAGGAAGATGGACATGCATCGTGCGGTTCCCATGATAGGGGCTCTGAGAACTCATCAGTCCAGGCGACTACATCTGAAGTCTTCTGGGGTCATTGACTTACCTGATATCCCAAGCCCAGCATTACCCGGTGAGCCGTGCTGGAGTTAGGCATGCCAGCATGCCAAGTCCTCAGGTCCCGTACCATGATGTCTCCTCGGCGGCAGCAGGGCTGTATTGGCGGCCGAATTTCCATGCGTCGCTCCTTCGCCTCCTCCGAGATGGCTGGTAGTGGGTCGTCCATGCTCCCCCCTGGGTACGGCGCGATGTCTTCTGGGCTTGCAGGCATGCGCTGATCTCGCGATGTCGTGTGGGCGTGCGATCCCAGCCAGAACTCAGTAGCCCCATTCTCAATGCTGAAATCACACAATGGGATGTTGGCAATGAAGTAATAGAGGAATAGGGGGTGGTCATAGCGGCTGTCCTTGTGTGCGGGTTGGCGGATGCCACCGGTGTTCGACAGCGCTGTATTGGCAGTGAGCCAATTCCAGACTGGTCTATGCCCGAGGTAACTGGGATACTGTTTAGATGGCGAAGAGTTTCACTTGAGGCAACAAGGAGTCTCACGCATTTGCCAGCTGCAGTAGAAAAGGATTGAAGTATATATCCTTGCTCAAGTATTCAGACTCGGTGATTGGTGGTCTTTGCAGGATGTTTGCTGGCGACCCAAGTCAGTGGCTGCAAGTAGTCGGTCGAATGAGGAATGGATTGGTCCCTCACACTTGACCCCATGGTTGTAACCTTGTGTCGGGTCCGCTATTCTCATGTTTGCATCATCGCACATCCTCGCATTTAGTTTATCGATCACATCGATGGGTATAACACCCTTTAAAACTACCAGCCCATCCTGGTTCATCGCGTTCAATACCTTCACAAGTGTCTCTGGGCTGTACATGCCACTATTTAGCTCGTCTGCCGATGCAGAAATGCTTTGCACATCGTCGGAAGAAATGATCGCCATCGTATGATAGTCTAAGGGTGCAGGCTCGGTGGTTTGAGATGATTTCCTGTCAATCCTACAGTAAAGAGTAATCACGTTGTCAAGAGGGATGGATGAGTGAGATATCACTACTGTTATCTTGTGAGATGCGGGGGAAGTGGAACTGTATGCTGCAAGCTGCTTATTTGAGTAAGGCTGTTCTAATAAAAGACCGCTCCATGCCCAAGAAGAAAACTAAGTGTCTTCTTCAATCTAATTAGACTGACTGATACGGAACTTTTATACTCCCGAACACAATGACCGAACTGCAACAGCCAGATGCTTTTTGTTCGAATTCAAGATGTGTGGAGTCTCGTACACTCCTGGGCATAACCATCCCCCCAACTACGACCGCTCTACACGAGTCCAGACAGAGAAGAAAAGTCTCGGCGCCGTCAGGTAGTGGGTTTCCCTGAGTCCTTATCCGTGTGTGCTCTTTATCCACGGAAAAAATTGGCAAGCCTCGACTCGAAGAATCTTGCAAACCTACCAGTGAAAAGCGGGTAGCCCGCATTCACAGTTTGACAGTCGATGGTATACCCCACCAACGGCGGATTCAGGGTCTAACAACCAGGCCGTTGAAGATTTAGTGAGACCATGGTTGGCCAATCCAACTACCGAACGACCACGAGACAGCTCCACTAGTACCCAGTAAAGCCGACACCAACTGGACTATTACGCAACCTCGGGAAAATCCGAGATACACAGATGGAGGTTGTGAAATACTGAATTACTGCCCCGAATGGTTTTCCGTTGCCGGTCGATAAAGTCTGAAACTGCGGTCGAGCTTGATTCCCCTGTCGCGTCGCAGATAACCTCAATAAGCAGTCCACGATGAGCGGCAAGCTTGCACAGTCGACTCGGTCGAGGGTGGGTGAGGCGAAGGCCTCTGTGGTAACCGCCTGTTCGAGCTGGCCCAACTTGAAGCAGGCTCTTCAGGTTCGCAACAGTCTTGCCCAGGGTGAATCTGGCTATATCGATGCCGACCCAGACTGGATCAACGAAGGTTGGTGTCCGCCATCATCCTGGATCAGTAGATGCTGACCTCCTCAAGACCTCGAGCCGACGCCGCCGGAGAAAAGAAGTAAGTCATGATCTTGCGAGGCAGAGGTGTTCTTCAGCACAGTGGGCCTGACCATGGCGATTGTAGCATGGGGCTTCAAGACGTACTGTCTCTTCTACTTCGGCGTGTCCTTTGGAAATTGGACTCTGGGCTCGGTAAGCGCGTTCGGCCACTAGGTTCGAGGCACGGGCGATAGCTGATCAGTCTCCCTCAACCCAACAGACAATGGTCGGAATCGGCCTGAGCTGGTGGCAGGCTATCGTCGTCATATTTGTGTCTCAGACCATCGCCTCGGTGGCCATGGCCTTCAACTCGCGTGCGGCATCCAAGTATCATCTCGGCTATCCAGCTATCAGCCGCGCCGTGTTCGGCATGTACGGCAGCTACTACTTTGTAGGTGCTCGCGCGGTTCTAGCTGCAGTGTGGTACGGGATTCAACGTAAGTGAATACATTTTGCATGTGCGCCAGGGCGGTCCGTACTGACGTCTCAAAAGTCTATTCGGGGTCCGGGCACGTTGGCAACATGCTTCGCGCGATCTTCGGTGATGCTTACAAGAACATCCCGAATCACATCCCTGAGTCTGCTGGTATTACGACCAAGGGCATGCTCGCATTCTTCCTGTTCTGGTTGATACACCTTGTGTTCTGCTTCTTCCGTCCCTACCAGCTGGTAAGGTTTTTCTGGTTCAAAGGTTTCATCATGCTCCCCGCAGTCGCTGGTGTCTTCATATACTGTATGATTGAATCAGACGGCAAGGTAAATCACACTCTACCGCAAGTCAGCGTCAAGGGTGGCCTTGGCTGGGCTATCATGCACGGCATAAACAGTGGTATGGGGTAAGTCATGGTATCGAAAGCCTTCTTTTGTGATTGCTGCTGACATTGTGCAGAAATACTGCGACATTGATCACGAACCAGCCTGATATAGCTCGATGGAGTAAAACACCAAATGCATCTATCTTTTCTCAACTCGTCAGTTTACCGCATACCACTTTTATGTCACATCTGCTGACATTTCGCAGTTGATACAGCCACTGGCCGTAACACTCTCGGCTGCTTTTGGTATTCTGGCCACGGCCGGTATCAATGGCAAGTGGGGTCTTGAGCTTTGGTGAGGACACTTAAGTATCCTTTGACTTGCCACAGTGCTAATCATGAATTAGGAATCCATGGGATCTACTAGATGCAATTCAAGATCATCACAATGGGTCTGGGGCTCGATTTGCGCTTTTCCTGGCCGCCTTCTGTTGGACCTGCAGCATTCTGGGTACCAATATTGCGGCAAACATGATTTCGTTTGGTTCAGACGCAGCCCTGCTCTGGCCGCGGTACATTGACATGAAGCGCGGGTTCTTCATTGCTCAGCTCCTCGGGTTCGCCATCGTACCATGGAAGATTCTGGCGTCGGCTGAAATCTTTACCACCTTCCTCTCAGGCTATGGGCTGTTCATGGCTAGTGTTGTAGCTATTATGATTTCCGAGTGTAAGTATACTCGGTTGTGTGGAGCGCGTTCTGGAAAGCTAACAAAAGGCTGCTAGACTTCATCCTGTGCCGAGGAAACATCATGACGGCTTGGCTATTCAACCCCGGGAAGACGAACGTGCACTACCGATACCACCGCGGGTGGAACGTGCAAGCCGTGATTGCTTATCTCGCGGGTATCGCACTACCGTTTCCAGGATTTGCCGCGTCTCTAGGCGCAACAGGTGTCAACCAGGCCGGCAATGATCTGTTCTACATGGGATGGCTACTGTCGTTCTGCACCTCATTTGCAGCCTACACCATCATTTGCAAGTTTTGGCCGACTAGGAACCAGAAGTTGATCCGGGAGCAAGGCATGGCCTGGGAAGACAGCGCTCGGCTCAGCCTCGACGGAGAAGAAGCAGCGACTCCGCAGGTTGCAGTGGACGGAGACGAGACCAAGAGGGAGACTTCGGTTTAGCGGCTGTCTTTACTGGGGGGCTTCAGATTGAGACGCGTCGGGTTTGGTCGCCTTTGAAAGTCACAGAAGCAGCTCTTCTCCGAGGTTGGGAGCATCCTCACAAGCGCACGCCGGGGAAGCTCTTAGGCATCTGGACGGTGAAGTCTCTTCTCGGTGGGAAAGCAGGTGATATAACAACAGCACCCGGGAAAGGCAGGTACATGGCGTTTGGGACAGATAGAGAAATCCCGTCACAATGCCAACGCAAGACTTTGGCGAGGTCGTGAGAGTACCCAAAGGTCTGGCTCGGGGGCCAAGGACGCCCGGGAAGCCCAGGGAGGCCAAGCAGAACAGGGCACTCAGGCTGTGACAAGGTTTCCCCAACAGCGCGGAGGTTTTGGTCCCCCGGCGGTCGCAGCGCCCCTGGCGGCCTTCTGGCCCCTTCTGATGCGCCGCCCATCAGCCCCGCAATATCTACCCCAATTCTCCAAATTCTCCAAGGCACGGCGTCTTACGGGCCGTTCCTGCATTGGCCTCTGGTCGGTCTCGTAATAGTGTGCATCATTCTACGTCACTGGCAGACAGCTAACTAAGCTCCATTGAATTGGGGCGTCGTAGGAATGACGACAGTTCGATGGCTTCCCGTTTGTGTCTCGGAAGCTTGCAAAGTACAAGCGTGGTTTGAGTGGATGGGAGATTCTTAACTCTTTACCTTCCCGGCTCTCCATCGTCGCAATTCCTGTCCTCGTAACATACACCTCTCATCATCACACGAACCACCCCGACGCCATCCTTCATCCCCCTGTCGAGAAGCCACGAACACAGTCTTCACACTCACAGTTCATTCCTCGCACAATGTTGCCTGTCAGATCAGTTGCCCGCTCGGGTGTGCCTAGAGCTGCAGCTCGTCCCGCGAGAGTCCCGCGCTCGCAGCCACGGTTCCAGTCCACCACCTCATCATCTTCGGCCAGTACTGGCCCGTCCGGCAGTTCTCACATTGCATCTGGTGTTGCAGGCGGCGTGGCTGCCGCGTCGTTGCTCTATGGCGTCTACTACTTCAGCCCGTCTGGGCGCATGTCTCGCACTGTCAACAAGACCGTCAAAGAGGCAAATAACAAGTACAAGGAAGCCGCTCAAAAGCTCCAGCAATCCACCCCAGATGCGGACCAGACAATCAACTCCATCAAGCAATTCTGCTACTCGTATGTTGCCTGGGTGCCCGGCGGTCGCCAGTACGTCGACGCTGCCTTCAAGGATATTGAGACGGTTCGCAAGAACCACCGCGAGGAGGCTGATCAACTGGTCAACGATGCCTACAAGCAGTTCCAGGACCTTTCCAAGTCGGGTCTTAGCATTGAGACCGCTTCCAAGGCTGCTGAAGTCTTGGCAGACCTCTCCAAGAAGGTTGGCAGCCTCGCGAGCGATGCCTTGACCGACGTTCTCGACAACCACCCAGAGCTGAAGGAGAAGTTTGGTGGAAGCATCGATCAGCTCAAGCGCATGGGCGACCAGTACGGTCCTGAGGCCAAGAAGCAGGTTGACGAGACCTGGCAGCAGGTCCGAGACGTTCTCGGTGGTGGCCTCACCGCCGCCAACTTCGACAAAGCTCGCAAACTCATCCAAGAGAAGGTCGAGCAAGTCAAAAAGCTCGGAGACGAGGCTTGGAAGAAGGGTCTTGAGCAAGCCAAGCCTTTGTTGGACAAGAACCCCAAGGTCAAGGAGCTGGTCGAGAAGAATGCCGACGACCTGAAGCAGGGCAACGTCCAGGAGCTTTTCCAGCAGGCAAAGAAGGCAGTGGAGTCGGGTGAGACTGGCAGCTTCGAGGACTACATCAACAAGGCTGTCAAGAAGACCAAGTCAAAGGGCTCGCAACTCACCTCAGGTTCTGGGCTTGAGCAGTACTTCGACATGATCCCCAACGGTAGCGAGATTCTTTCCAAGCTGCAGCAGATGAAGGAAGTGGCGGAGAAGCATGGTGACGAGGGCGAGAAGCTTGTCAAGGAGACAATGAACGAACTGAAGCAGGTGCTCGAGGGCAAGTCCAAAAAGGCGCAGGAGATCATTGACAATGCGAAGAAGGAGTCAAAGTAGATCCCAACCGCATCTCACGTCATGACATAGTTATAGCATTGTATTGTATAGCAAGGTGACCTGCAGGTTGCCTAGATGAAGGGAGGAGTAATTGACGATACCCAAATCACCAAATGGTTTTTCATATTACCATTATCAATTCCGTTAATGAGTTCCAGTCAGCGGGTTTGGTAAAACTACATGATTGAATGCTGTTAGCCGTGGAAGAATACGTGCTTGTTATTTATCATGCGCAGCCCAAGGAGAGTGAACTAAGTCTTAACGATACAACCGCCCACTGCTATGAAGTCGCACTTGTCCTTCATTCTACATAGTACAATTTCACAGCGCGAGTTTCTTACTCGCTGCACTTTAATGAACTTGCGCTTGACTGACCTGTTCTTGGTTGGATACGATACTGCTGTTGGATCAAACCGGGACGGGGCGCCCTCTCGTCGCCGACCCACGTTGGCCATGAGAAGCTGGGAAAAGTTTCCAACGGCGCACCAGCGGCAATTCAACTCCACCTGAGTGGTCCAAAGATTTTCTCACAGTATAAGCTGGTTCCAGAAATGCTCGCCGCACAGCCCTTAGGTTCTCGTGCCGCGTCCATATTGAAGCCACACACTTGAGCAGGCCCGACGCTACTGGAACCGCATATCCAACCTTAAGGATTACTAAACCATCCCCTTCACGTTGAGCTCTGCGAGAGTATAATACTCATCAGCATAGCCTTACCAACACGAACTGATCATGGCTATTAGAACCTACCACGGCTCTTGTTCTCTCTTGCACCAATGTCAGTAGAGTTCCTTATAGATTGTATGAACTTGTATCGGCCTACTCGACACCTAAAGCCGGAATGAGATCTCCGGCAACCCTACGCAAGCGGCTGCAAGGCCCAGAGTTCATGGCATGAGATTGGCATTAACAGCAAAAATGCAACGACCGACGTAGGATTCGAACCCACAATCTTCAGAGATAAACAAACAATACGCCGAAATCTGACGCCCTACCATTGGGCCAGCCGGTCTCGGATGTTTCCGGGTGATTGTTGTTGAGATTGCGGATCTACGCTGCTCTATGTGGGCACCAGACACGAGCTACGTGCGCTGGGGCTAGATCCGAGACAATGACTTTGTATGTGTATAGAGCGGCGGCATTAGCGAGGGCGTACTGCTTGTCCATATCGCTCTCTCACCGGTTGACCACATATTCTCGGCGTGGACGTATGTTGGATTTTCGTCTGTGCACATGTATAGCGTGGGGCGGGCACTACGATCAAGGATCCAGGGTGTTTGCAAAACAGGCACTTTAGTTACTTAGTCATTCAGCGTGTAGTGAAGTATAACAAGGTTAACGCCTAGGGTGCAATCGAAACAGTATAAGTACCTACGTAACTATGTAAGTTGAACGGGAATCTCAATGGTGACCCGGACTGAAGTCGATATACAGCACAATCTGAGGCCAACGCTAGAATTGTGCAGTACATGGGCACATCCTATTTCAAGCAGTTAAAGAAATGATGTTCCTCTCTCAAGTCGATAATTTGAACTTCGCATTTTGGCGAAAGAAATATCTCGTTCACGGTGCGGCATGCAGCTTCTCTAGAGCCATCGATGGCAACCAAGCTATAACTGCAGGCGCCCCGAGTAATGAAGACATGCAGTTGGCCATGGAACTTTAGGCTTGCCGTAACCTGGCCCTACAAGGCAAAGATAAGAACGTCCTGCCAAGCATCGTATCGAGTGGTAGTTGAACAACTTCTACGTTCGAACCGACTCGAGGTCCTTGGTGCAGGGGTGGTATTAATAGCTCTGGCCCCGCCATTCCTGGGTGGAGCAGGTTGATCCCTGACGACAACGCGCTCTTCACGAGGAATCCTTCGGCCGTCCGCCAATAGACTCGTCTTACACATTTAAGCAAGCGAGTGGCTGTGCCTTGATTCCAGAGCAGGCAGAACATAATACGAAGTAGTAGATAGCTTCATATCTTGATTAAAACAAACTCGGGTGACATAATGAAGCTGAGATGCCTTCTGCAATTGAGTAAGCTAAACACCATCGGAACGTCAAAATGCAAGGTAGGGGGAGAAAAGACTTTGCCAACAGCCCCCCTGCCTATGCGGTGAGCGACCGAGAGTCATTTGCGGGACCATCGCGGCTGAACTCGGGCTTCTCAACCTTCTCATTGAGCGAGGCGCCACAACACCCGGAAGTCAACAGTTGCTTGGCCCACTTGAAGCTTCTATTCACTTTCCACAATCTCAAGGAAGACGTCGGGTATACCGACGGGCTCTGGGGTCTTTGGGACTCTAGTTATCCCGCTACTCCCACCAACCCAAACAAGGCTCTGGCGATCATCCGCGAGAAGAGGTGGGCTCTCTATGTCGCAAGAGCTGTAGATCGATATGAGGCATGGTGGAACACACTCGGCGGCCAGTTTCTCACCGAGAGGGACATGGAAAAGGACCGGACTCGGTATCTGAATTTTATGGCCAACTGGGAACCTATGAACTGGAGCGAAGATGCCATGCCACCACTTGGTATGTATTTGTCGCAGTCCTGCGTGGCTGGAATCTGCGTTACTTACACGGATCAGATGTGCTGCTAGTTCTGCACGCCCATATGTTGAACCCGAGACTATTCCTCGAGGTGGGTCGGAGCCCAGACTCGTAGGAGCAGAGCTTTATGCTGACGGTAATCATCAAGGACTGCCTCCGGTATGGGCACAGGGCGTTATGGACAACGGGTCTACCATTGCACATCCTGGACAACATGATCGACCCAAGCTCTCATTACGTTGCCTCGGAGAGCTGTAAGTCAAACTGGACCCAGAAAACGGGCCTGGAATGGTATAACACGAGCGATCCGATGGTGAAAACTATCCGGTGCCCTGCCTGCTCAGCTGTCGTCGACATCCCTTGGACAACTTGCAGCCAACATGAGCGGCCCGATGCCAAATTCCCTCCTCCAAGGCCCAACAACCTTGTCGGCAAGGGTTTTGGCGATGGTGACCTCAACCATCCGTGTCCGAGATGTGGGATCATCATTGATCACGAGCTCAACAGGTTATCCAAGTTTAGGAATGACGCCAAGGATCTTGTTAACAATGATCAGCCTCTACCCGGCACAATCCTAGATTCGAAGACGGGGATGCCCACAGAGGCATCTCGGAGCGACTCCCCAAGACTTTTCCCCAATAGGCTGCTGAGAAGAGGGGTGTTGGCGCAGGTTGTAGACCTGTTGAAGCCAGGAGATGAGAGGCGTCCCAGCATGAGTATGGTCAAAGACATTATCGAGACAGCCATCAAGGACCAAGCTCTACTCAAGAGAACAAATGGCGGCAGAAAGCCAAACGCTGCCGCCAGGCAACAGATCCGGAAGATGATGAGTCGGTATTGGGATAATTCATCCCCCTTTGCTTTGGAGCTGGTCGGGGCCGTCCTACGGCAGGGCATATTCACACAGAAGATGTACAAGGTCCGATATTCCACATCCAGATCCCTTCGCGGAGAGCCTCGCGCTGACTTGGTGACAGATTGACTGGCTGCACAGCCCGGAAGCCTCGCAGTCGATGGCTCGGCTCTTACGGAAGTACGGGCGGTTCTTCCAGATCATGGTCCAGAATCCAGACCAGGTCGTTGTGCCGACGTTGGACGTAGACTTGGCGTGGCACACGCACCAGCTCAGCCCGCGGCACTACTACAACTACGCCAGGAGCAAGACGGGGTCTTTCACCGACCACCAGGACAAGGTGGACGAAGACAAGCTGTCCGCGGCGTTCGAGTGGACATCAAGCACCTACATGACCATGTATCAGGAGGTTTACTCGGAGTGTGTTTGTTGGTATTGTGAGAGTATGTTCGACCGAACCCCCTCAGCGCAGAGCTGCTAGTAACTAATAGTCATCAGCCATCCGAGCCTGGCGCGTCTCGGCATTTAGCGCTGCCTTCAATGCATCGAAACCAGAAAAGAGTACGTGGATACTGGGCGAATGCCCAAGCATGGTGTCTCCGAGGCTGGCAGAACTCTTCGCTGACTTTTGATCTTGGATATGCAGTCTCTCAAGCCTGGTATGACTCTGGTGCAGCATACGCCAACCCACCATCCACATCTGCGCACATCTCTACGCACGCCGCCGTCAAAGTGAACGAGACAGAGGCCCGGAGAAAGGTGACACGGCATATGCGGGCACTTTATAGGTCCAGGTTGGAGCAGAACTACGCCAAGGCCGTCAAACGCGCCAACAAGAAGGGTCGCGATCTCGGGCCCCGGGAGAGGAAATACCGACATTGGGGCTATAATCATGTCCTCGAGGGTCCTTGGTCCCACCCTCATTACCTGGAAGCAGCGATGTACGCAACAGACCCGACGCGGGTCAATGCAGGGGACGGTGTACCCGGCGGCTGCGTTGCAGCCACATGTGGAGGGTCGGCAGGTTGTGGCTCCGGGACCTTGTCCATGTGTGGCACATCCGTGAGTCATTTTCGCTCTCATTTCTTGACAGGCCAGCTACTAATGCCTAATCAAGGGACCAAGCTCATGAATGGGGTTTCCATACTAACGAATTGGACTATCTAAATGGCATGAACAATTTAAAGCTTAATCTTAGTGGTATTACCTAATATAGAGGTCCATGTAATGAATGATTGGCGAGAGAGGAGGGGATACTGCGTTAGTTATTATCGTCAAACCTGGAGTGCAGGAAATGTGAGCAAAGCGACTTGACTGAGACAGCATAACGTTGAGAATCGCTAGGTTTAGCTTGATAATGAACTATAAGAACGTACCAACAGAAGATACACAACGTCATTCTAGAAACAGCGAGGATTTGACCTGCCAGTCTAGGGGTAGCACAGATGGGACGAAAAGTCAGACTGGTATAATATAATTTATGTCACGGCTATTTATAAGCATGTTGGGAAATCAGATATTCGCTATATTCGATCATCAGTGTCCCCTGCGGGTTACAGCTTTGTTTCAATACCGCTACTACACTTTTTCACACTTCCACTCATGCTCCAACCTTGACTTCAGCAGGCGGTGCGACTTTCTCAGTCTCCTGTCCAGCGTCTGTGTTACGGGCCATTAACGGCTGTGAGGGATCATAACCTACGGACTTGACGATGCCAAGCCCTTTGGTACGGCCCTCTCTGAAGAGCAGCCGGTCGCCTTCGACCAGGTACTCGGGACGCGCAGTGAAACGGAATGCCACTGTTGCACGATCGCCAGTACGGATGAACGGCCTGTCGATATCAATGATGGCACAAGTCTGCGCGACAGGACCGACGTGCAGCACTATGAAGACATTAGTTCCAACAGCCTCATATATTCCTCTGAGCTCCTGTACTTACTGGCCTGATATTTTGTTTTGATAGTGGTGGCGTGGGACAAAATGAGAACTTCAGCGACAAACTCCCTGGTCACCTTTGGTGGCGGTTGCCCTTCAACCTTCGGCAATACGACCATGCCTTTCCGCACGTCTTTGCGCCGCACTTTTCTCAGCGCGAAACTAGCAGACTGACCAGCCGAGGCAGCAGGTACGTCTATTCGTTTTCTCTGGATTGATCGGACATTGGTGGCAACGAAATTCCCGTTGCTGTCCGGGCCGATCCACACGTTGTCTCCCGCATGTATGACTCCTGACTTGATGATGCCACTAACAACAGTGCCGACGAAAGGGACGGAGAAGGTGTCATTGACGGAGAACTCAAAGTCGGCACCCGCGTCGTAGCGGCCGTGATGCGGGAGGATATTCAAGAATGTCCGCACCAAGTCTAGATTCTCGCCAGTGACGTTGGAGACTTGGAAGATTGGGCAAATCCTCTGGCTGACGAACTGAGTCGCCGTGTTGATGCATTCTTCTCTGTCGCGGATGAAGATGGGAATTTTGCGAGCTCCTGGCGATTTGAGGATTTTGGTGATCTGCTGAATGGTCTGCTCCAAAATGTTGGGCGGGCAGATGTCAATTTTTGTGATGACGACCATGACCGGGACGTTCAAAGCAAGGGCAATGCCCAGGTGCTCTTTACTCATTCCGATGAGGCCATTGTTGGCAGCTACCATGAGCAGACAGTAGTTTGGGCTGCTGGAGAGCAACCCGAAGACAGTAGTCCGCAGGTATTTCTCATGTCCCGCCAGGTCGGTGAAGGTGATTACTTTGGCACTACGCTTGCCAATCTCCTCCCAGGACAGTTTGCGACCGGGGGTATCAGATGTGATGACTTTCCCCATGGTGTCAAACCCCATGATCTCCATTCCGACGGAGCTGGTTCGGCCGGTCTCAACTTCATGTTTGTGACGGAACAGGTTGACTCGAGCTTTTCCTCGTCCATCATCCAGGTCACCCTTGACAAGGACACCAAGCATGGAACTTTTTCCAGCGTCGACGTTGCCAACGACGGCTATTCGGGTCTCGATGACACTCTCTGCCGTCGGTGGAGCTTGTCGTATCAGCACTTTGCCACTGCAGTCCTGATCTTTATCCTTCCCAGTGGCAACTGACGCGGCCTCGACCTCGCCGCCGATATTCTTGGTCAGCAGAACATCGCAGTCAGCTCGCAGTGACTTGGCTGCTGCTTTTAACCGGGTCAGGGCCTTCTCCCAGTCTGGTTTCGTCAGGTGCATGGAGTCGCCACTGTTCTCGAACCCGACATCGAACACGGCCTCGCCGTGGCCCTCGCGCAAGCGGTCCTCCACCACGTGAACCAGTTTAGTCATATTATCGTCATCCTCGGCCAGGAAGAGGTCGCGAAGCGGGACCTCGGGCTCCGAGTCCTCGAGATTTAGGGAATCGAGAATGTCCAGCTCCTCGTGGTGCTCCACGGCTGGGGCCTCGGAGCCGACGGGCTTGGAGCTAGGATATCGCAGGGCCTGCTGCTTCTCGACGAAGTCGGCAAAATCGCTTAGCGCAGCCTCGCCTTTCCGCCGCTCGTGCGGCAGCTGTTTCATTGTTTTGCTCATGTTGATTGGTGTATTCGATAAATCATTGGGATTGTTGATTGGGTATCGGAAGAGGGCGCCGCCAGGTGTAATGCGCCCAAGACGGGTCTGTCGGTTCGCCCAGGGCTTCGGGAGTTATCGATGTCGTCGCAGCAGCTATCGCAATCAATGTCTCGACAGAGTCCAGGACACGGAGAACTCAACCGACGATTGAGGTTCTACCTCGTTGATGGGACGTTCCGCTGTCGACAACGCACAGAATACTCGCACTCCAGATCAGTGGGCGGGTTGCACTCTGACGGTTTGCTGATGAGGACACCGTCGCAAGGGGATGACGTCGTGGGATCTCGGCGACTAGACGGCTGGATGGATGCGCGCGAAGTTGAGATCGGTAGATTGCGAACGTTGGGGCTTGTTTCTCGGATGCGCGTGACTGAACCGATGTTGTATATATATATGTTCCTCTTCAAGGGATAGGCGCGTCGTCCTAGATGTATGAGCAATGGCTATGGCCTCGAGACCATCGAGTCATAGATGTTCAGCTTTACGTTTCGGCTGGCTGTGAGTAACCCGGGGTGAGGTATCGAATGACTGTTCCCCCTGCGCCCCGCCGGCGCCCCATGGACTCACTTAGCCCCCTAGAGGTTGCCCACACCGAGTTAACTTTCAGAGCGGCGCCGACCCCGCAAGGCTGTTATCGATAAAGCTGAGGTCCCCCAGCCTGCCCAGGGCCCAGAGCCACATGTCGGGGGCCCCGTCCTGGCAATCCGTCGAACGCCTCCCGTCCCCGCCCGTCCGCCACCAGATTCCAAACACCAACGTCGTCTGGCCATTCTGCCCTGCGCCCCAGGTTTGCTAACTTTGGACGAGGTTCAAGACCAGATGCAATGATCCACACAGCCGTTCAGGACACAATGCCCTCCAGCGACCCAGGTCTTACACATCTCCTTCTCCCCCGATGGCTTTCGACTGGTAGCAATCCTACCTTCTTGACTTTTTGTATTGGAGAACGGCGCTAACCACGGTTCGCATATAAAATCCCCAGGACCTAACTTGCATGTGTGCCATGTCATGTTGGTGTAATTCCTACGTCGTCTTTATCTTTGACACTCCCATCCAAGCCAGTTCAAGAGATTCGGCTCAATGGATCGATGATTTAGGCATCAAATTTTCCCTCAGATGTTGATGGGCATTGATTTCAGTATTTCAGTACTTCAGTACTTTCGATTGGGTATTGCAGCAGCTTACACCTTCACCATCCTGTCTTGGGCCTTTTCGTAGAAGTCAGATGGCGGTACGCTACTGAGAAACCAGCATAGACCGTGTCTCAACCGTGCCGGACGCTCGGCTTCCCATCGCGTAGGCAACAATTCCAATTTGGGCTTACTATAAGCTGCCAGGTGCAGAGCGTATAGCGCACCACGATCGCCATCTCGGATACTTGGTCGGCACAACATCCCGCCGTCCGTGGTCAGAGCCAAAATATCGGACGGTCGGAGCGATCCACCCAAGCATATACGTACAGCAGAGAGCCCACCATCCTGTGCATAACGCTAAGGATCGGAATTGGGGATCATAGACTGAATCCCGCTGGCGTCACTGTCGCTTGGTCGTGGCCATGCCCCAACGTAAGAGCAGTGAGGGTTTAGTGTACGAGGTGGTTCAAATCAAGACCGGCAGGAGGCTACACTTGTGGAACGTGCACATTGTCCTAACTACAAAGCAGTTAGTGATAATTATCCGTGGGGTTGAAGGGCCAATTGGCCGCCGCACAATTACCACAGCATGTTGCCGACAAGACCCTCCGATCGCATCGTCCGTGTTTTATGCCAAGATTTCGGCTCCTATGGCGTCCGGCACTGACTTTGTGCAACAGACGCTTAGCGTACCATCCATTCTGCCCTGCTAGCGTGACATCACGAGCCCTTCGATTCGACAGGCCACTCCTACCATCCTTGTCGTGAATCTTCAGCACGTCCCGCAGGTCCCACGCGGAGTGGCGGCCCAGGGTTGCTGAAGAATGTCTCCGGCATTCAAATCTCCGTCTGACGCCGTCGTAACTCGTTAGCCACTCATCATTGAGCGTACAGACGGAAGCGAATCCCTCTGGCCTCTCACCTAGGGTATATATATTGCATGAACACGCCGGCACAGGTCCCCTAGTGCGCCGCTTGTGACCTATGAACCTTGGTTGCGACCTCTGCATCCATCCTCATCCTCCTCCATCTTCAACCCAAGTCCTCACATTACTGAAACGTTGCCCACCATGGCGCCCCTCCACGTAGGAGATATCGGGCTGGTCAATCTCAGCCTCATAGCTGCAGTATCGGTAGGCCAACCATCTCACACATAAAGTTTGGCGGCACAGTCAGACCAATCACAGGCTGCTAACGCATCCCAAAAGGGTATCTTTTACATCGCTTACAAAGTGGTCTACAATGTACTATTCCACCCTCTCCGTTCTTTCCCGGGGCCTATCTCCCACCGCATCTCAAACGTCCCGCGCGCCATCCAGATGATGCGAGGGCACCTCCCTTTCCATGTTGCAGATCTGCATCGAGAGTACGGCCCTGTGGTGCGGATCGCGCCTGACGAGCTCGCATTTTCGGATCCCCAGGCATGGAAGGACATCTACGGCCACCGCGCTCCTGGACAGGAGGAGTTCGCAAAGCACAAGGGCTTCTACCGTCCTTTCGATGCGATGCCGACGTCCATCATCTCAGATCCCCGTGAAGAACACAGCGCCGTCCGTCGGCAGCTAGCTCATGGTTTCAGCGATCGCAGCATGAGGGGACAAGAGCCTATCATCGGCGAGTATGTCGACTTGCTGGTCCAAAGGCTCCATGCCAACGCTGAAGGGGGAAAGAAGGCCGTCAATATGCGCGAATGGCTGAACTGGACAACCTTTGACATCATCGGCGACCTTGGCTTCGGCAGTTCATTTGGCATGCTGGCGAGTAGTGATTACCACCCCTGGGTCAAATTGATCGTTCAGACGGTCAAGCAGAGTGGCCAACTGCAAGCTCTCATCAACGTTGGCCTTCGACCAGTCGTGCAATTCCTCAGCCGCAACGGTTTCTTGAAGTCCCGTGACGAGCATCGTGCGCTTGTCAGGAACAAGCTCTCGCAAAGGATCGAAATGGGCGCAGAGCGACCCGACCTGATCGAAGGCCTGATTGCTACCCACAAGAAAGATGAAAAGGTCAGTAACACGGCTGCGAACTCAGTCTTCGAGCTAACATGTCCCCAGGCAATGCCTTTCCCCAAGCTAGCTATCAATGCCGGAACGCTCATTGTCGCTGGGTCCGAGACCACAGCCACTCTCCTCAGTGGCGCCATCTACCTCCTCACGGCCTATCCCGAGACCCTGAGCAAGCTAACCCACGAAGTAAGATCGTCTTTTTCTGATGACAAGGAGATCACACTTTTCTCGGTCGCCAACTTGCACTATATGCTAGCATGTATCAACGAGTCGTTCCGCCGCTATCCCCCAGTGGCCTTCGGTATGCCAAGACAGGTACCCAAAGGTGGTGCACAGGTGGCAGGGCACTTCATCCCAGAGGATACTGTCACCGCTGTGTGGCAATACGCAGCCAACCACGACCCTAACAACTGGAAAGATCCGATGGGCTTCCACCCGGAGCGGTTTATGGGAGACCCGGGATTCAAGACAGACAAGTTGGATGCCCTGCAGCCGTTCAGTGTTGGGCCAAGAAATTGCATCGGCCGGAAGTCAGTCTCTCCCCATCGCCTTATGGATCATGAGCAACCCTGCTAACATCTTACAGCTTGGCGTACGCCGAGATGCGACTGATCTTGGCCAAAATCATATACAACTTCGATCTGACGTTGGCCGACGAAAGTCGAAACTGGCTTGAGGGGCAGAAGGCATACATCTTGTGGGAGAAGCCAGCCCTGGACGTATACCTAACCCCTGCTGTGCATTCATGAGACTTTTCCACTGCATTCGTTACGGTTTGGCGCATGGCGCTGGGGAGATACGAGAATGAATGGACAGATTGCGTCGGTTCATGGTGCTTACTCTACTCATCTACTTCATTGGACATAGCATTGGAATTTGGGCTGTATTTGAGTGTAAACTTTCCATCCAATTCAAATTGGAATAGACGTACATATCAACGATCTTTAGTGCATACGACATATCATTGTGGCGCTGCAGTGATTCAATGGGCCCAGTGTCAAGAATTCTCCAATTTGTAATCGATCCGTGAACATACAACCCGTTTAAACGATAGAGTGTGTATAGATACCGATGTATCTGAAATCAAAACAACCTCGGATTAGTATTCAGAAGGCATGACTGATAGTCTGCCTCCATCGTTCACCAGGACCAAACCATTGCAGTACGCCCCGGCCCTGCTCGCGAGGTAAAGCACGGTCCCGCCCATTTCCTCCTCGCCGCCGAACCGTCGGCTGGGGATGAACATTGGGTGATCCCAGGGCTCCTGCGCGGGATCTCGGGATTGGATGAGGCCCGATGCCAGTTCCGAGGGGTATACTTCAAAGCCTGTCAGCGAGCGCTCGCAATGCGCCATAGTTCTTGGTACTTACGCCCAGGAGCCAAGGCATTGACTCTGATACTATACTTGGCAAGACTCGTACTTGCATGTTTGGACAGATGCGCGATTGCAGCTTTGCTGCCGGAGTAGGCCGGTGCAGACGGGATTGCTCGACTGTACGACGATATGCTGGCGGTGACAATAATCTGACTCTGGATGGAGGGCACGTCGCTGCCTTGCTTTAGTGGCGCTCCAAAGCCACCCTTCAGCGCGTTCTGGTTTCCAGCGTCCAAGAGCTCGAGGAAAGCAAGCATAGTGAAGTATGCGCCTGTCACGTTGACGTGGAACGTGTTGGTGAACTCGTCCATGGTCACGTCCTCGAACATCGTCTTGCGAACCTCCTTGATAGACAAGGTAGGGTTGAAACGCTTCTCAGGCCCCACGACGCCCGAGTTGGCGATCAGGAGATTGACATATCCTACATCCTTCGCGATAGTGTCGACGGCAGATTGGAGGGAGTCCTTGGATGTGACGTCGCATTCCACCGGGGCGAGACTCGGGTGCTCGGCGGCCACAGACTCGAGGAGCTCCCTCCGCCGACCGAGTATGTAGACTTTCTTGGCCCCGGCTCCAGCCAATGCTCTGGCCATCATCAGGCCTATCCCGCTGCCGCCGCCCGTGACGGCGGCTACCATGCCGTCAACACGAAACAAGCTCGTCGAATCCATGGCGTATACGCAACAATTTCAATGTCGGAGAAAGTTAAGCAAGGGACAAAGAAGTAAGTTCATGCGAATGCGAACGAAGCGTCTCCCAGATACTTAAAGGCAACATTAGAATGTGAGACTGGCAGCAAGCCTGTGCTGTGTAAGTGCTAACCCCGCAACCTCCGTGGCGTCGCGGACCCTCAAGGTGGGAAGTCCGCGGCCGCCCATCAAGATCAGGTATCTTAACAATTGTCGTGCGGGCGTACTAGAAAACCGGACACAGCGACATCAGCTAGACGCCACATCAAATTTGTATGTGTCCGGTTTCCTGGTACGTCTGCAGCTTGCTTACACTACAGTAACACGATGGTCTCCATTTATGAAGTCGAAGGTTTGACACCTACGTCGGCGTGCATTGGGAATATGCAGCCACTATCTTGATGAAATTACATATATAGCGAACGGCGGGACAACCAATGCCAATGGAATAATAAGTCTAAACACCACTCATAAAAAGCCAGTCCGTGGGCTTTTCATTGTCATATTTGCACGTGCCATGTATTGGCCGTGAGCGTACGGCTGTCCGAACCTGCAGTCTTGTTATTCGAAAGAAACCATTGCCTGCCGTGTAGGAGTTTCAGTCGAATGCATCAGGCGTATGTACCCCTGCATGAGTTAGCGGAGATAACCCGCATCTAAAACCGCAGAGAGCGAGTACAAAGATCACCAAAGAAAGGGGCACCTGGATGAGCTTTGTTCCACGATTTCAAAGGAATAGGAGATATCAAAGGGGCGAAAGTTGTGACGTCAGGTCGGGAGATAATTCTTGTCTTTTTCATTTGGTTTGATCTACGATATTTATCCAGAGTCTCACCTTGGTCTAATTGCAAGCACAGGGAAAATTCATCACGTGCGCTGTGTTGCTGATCCAACCCATTTCCCCATTGCTTATCGATGCCGATGATGAGATTGTGTCCGGTCTCGCGACTCTCGTCGCCTCGAGCTGGTCCCGGAGTTGCCTCGTGTTTGTGACTGGCTCAGTGCTCGGAACATGCCCCCAACTGCATCCACGACACCCCTCAAGCTTGGACGGCGGCTACGACGGCCGCGAGGCCCATCTGACGGAGAGCCTGGGGAGGAAGTCGGACTATCTAGGTGCTCACGAAAACGAGACGACGAGGTCGGTGGGCGTGATCCTGGGCCGTACCTGGGCGAAACGTGACCTGAGGTGGCCGACGACGAGCTTCTCGATGAGGCTGAACCGAGCGCGTCCGTTGCGTTGCGATACCCCGTAGGCATATCGGCAGGCATAGTGATGCGATGCGCGAAAAAGTTTGCGTTGTACTTCAGCTCCTCGTTGAGCGATGACTTCTCTATGAGTTCGCTGAATGCATCCCAGACGTTGACGTACTCGGAGGGGCCCCTTTGCGGTAGCATCAGTTGCAGGGCAGCACTGGTTGCCTGCGACCGGGACGGCTCGGGGAGCATGTCAAGGATCTGCACCAGCCTCTGCCAGTCGCTCGGACCCGTCGGCGTCTCTGGAGTGTAATGAGCTGGTCGTCGTGAGCCAGAAGTGCCGCGCGATGAGCGTTCACGTGTAACAGATCCAGATTGAGAGTTGCTTCGTGAGTCTTGTCCAGCAGAAGGGGGACCACGAACAACGGTCACGCCATGGCTCTGGGCGCCGCGTCGCGTCCGAGATAAATCCAAAGGCGGCGGTCGAGGACGAGAGTGTGATCGAGATGACGGAAGGGGACGATCAGGGGCATGAGGGCCACGGATGTCGACGGGCGGGTAGCCCGTGTCGGCAGCCCTTGACCGAAAGCTCGCTGGATTGTGAGCGTCGCGGCGGGGATCCCGAGGCATCATCGCCGCATTGCCTGAGGACTGAGGTCCGCGGCTCTGTGACCTGCCAGCCAGGCGCAAGGGTGCAACGGCGCCCTGGCCAGGAGCGGCAGGTCGAGATTCAGAAGGGCGACGAATTGCATTTCTGCGAGAAAGCTCTGCCGTTCCCGACCGAAACGGATCAGAAAGCTGTGGGCGATGGCCCTGACTTCTCGAACCACGGCGAGAGGTGTTGGGCTCCAGAGCCCCCGACATATGAGATGGCACCGACTGTGGGTGCATCGAGAACCTGTCCAATTGGTTAGCCACATCTTCCACAACAGCCTGGTACGAACTGATGCTTGGCCGTCGCTCGACGCGGACTGGCTGGGCCGGAGCATTAGTCTGCGTCGGGGAGACCGGGTCTTCACCATAAACATCAAGACTGCGACGATGTCCAGGGACAGGAGTGGTGGGTCGGCGCTGGCCAGACTGGGAAGGGCGACGTGATGACATACTGGCGAATATGGTCGAATGCGCCGGTGTGTCCGGATGGCCCGTCTTGTCTGTCGAGACATATTCGTCAGCCGATTAAGCTGAGCCAATATATATATGCCAGCCAAGAGACAAACACCTGACACAGGTTATACAAGACAGGGCCCTTGTATCGTAACACTAAGGCTTTCTTAGCCGGGCTTGAAACTTACATAACGCGTCCTCAAAGAAAGCAACAAAGAAGATGTATGTGCTATAATTAGCTCTCGATATATTTCTATCAGCAGATCAGGTATATAAAGACCATGTAACAGTAGTCAGTCATCACGAAATTGAAGACATGATTGGTCATTGGCAATGATTAGTTTTAGTCTATTGCGGTAGTGTAATGCAGTATTCTGTGTCTAGTCCGTAAGCTTCTCGTCGATAGCTTCGTCCTGTTCGTCTCAGGTCCTTTTCCGTCTATAGCAATGCTCCAAGTCTCCCGCTTGGCGCTGATGAAGCGTCCAAATGCAATTTTCTCGATGACATTTGTCAGAGGGGGGTATCATGTTAAATCAGGTTGTATCTCGCCGACAAAGAAGACTGTTCGTTAGGCGTTTTCGAAATCATCCAAAACTCGCTGAAATCAAAATCTGAGTCCAAAAAGCAAGACAACATAGCAGCTGTCAAAAGGCTTCGCTAGTAGCCCGTCGCTCTCATTCCAGGTCGCTGATCCCGTCTACTTCCTCGTAGGGGATTTCGCAGAGGTATGAGGGTGGGCTGGGTGGTACGTCCTGGTAGATAGGGGGTGCCTCGTTATCCCAGCTGACTCCCAAGCCACCTCGCTCTGTCACAACTGTGCCGAAGTGCATTCTCAGAATCCGCGCCACGCCTGTGGGTGTGACGTGCTTCGGTTGGTTGATAGGTGCATACTCTTGAGCTACCACCATCTCAACCACCAATTGATGGGTAACCTCGGTGCCGTCGTTGCTCTTCATGTCGCAGACTGCCTTGTTACCCGGGTTGACTTGATACTCGAGCTCCATCTCAACGTTGCCGTTGGGAGTGTAGTCAGACTTCCACCCGCTGCTGAGATCACCAGACCCAATGGTACGGGCCTCGGTTCGCTTCAAGCCCTTGTTTGCTGACTCACCGGTCTCAGTCTTGGGACAGTGCTTCTTGCATGCCGGGGAGACGGTGTTGAGGTGCTCCTCAATCTTCCAGGATAGGCGCTTGAGCTTCCAGTACTCAACTGTCTTGACATCGGGGTTGGACTTGACAATACCCTCGAGTCGCAGCTCGAGCTTGTTGCTTCCGATGGGGTGGATGACGTTGGGGTAGTGCACGGAAGCGGTGATGTTAGTCGGCGGGAAAATGCGAACAGAGTGGTGTGGCATTTCGGGGACCGTCAAGGCCCGCTTCACGTTGATAGTCTTTGAAAGCTTGAGAAGCGGCCCAGTCTTGGGCTTGACCTCCGCTGTAAAGTCATAGCGGACCGTGACAACGGAGTTGTCGGTCGATGCAGGAAGGTGGCCCTCCAACAGAGTCGAAAAGGGGAATTCGTGGAGACCTGTTTACGCATGTTAGCATCATTCTCTTCCCCTGGACCAGTGGGCCGAACATGTACTTACGCTTTGTCAGGGCGGTAGGCTCGGCAAGGAACTTCCAGCTCTTCAACTCGGTCACCTGGTTGGCGCAGTCGTGGCAGTGATCCTTGTAAGGACGCTTGCGGATGACGTGAATATTCAAGCGGGCCTCGAAGCTCTCGACCTCGAAAGGGGCTTCTCTGACCGCCAGTTGCAACTGACCCGAGACTAATGCACCGGTGCTGTTCTCCGTGTCGCCGTACATAACCGCGGGCGGCGACTCGATTTTCCAGTCTAGCGATGCATTGGGGTGCTGATGCGCCTGGTCTTTCGACTTGTGGCCGCCGAGGTGCAATCCGGGAAAACTCAGTCGATGGTGGTGGATACCATCCTTCTCTTTTGCCGTTTCCGGCATCCTGACAGGCGGCGCAGCGTGGCCGGCCTGGGTCGGGGCTTGCTCCTCGCCCTCGTCGTCGACGGACGAGGCGTACGAGACGGTTCGCGTCGAGCCTGGCCTCGGCGTGCCGGCTGGCGATCTGGAGTTGGGGCTTCTGCGGCGCTGGACTTGTGCCTTGATGTTGTTGATGCTGTCGTTCGACGAGCGGAAGAAGCTCGCAACCCTGTGTGGCATTTTATATTGTGGAATGCCCCAGCGAGAGCCGAGTTGGGTTGCGGCGATTCGCTGTTCGGATTTGGCTAATGCGACCGCCGACTAGGGTTAATGACCAGAATCCGGGGATGGCGCCACCAAGAACCGGGTCCTGCAGCCCCAAGGTCTGCTGATGAGTTGTTGTGGGTGCCCCGTCGCCGTCGTGTGATGCAATCACAGAAAACCCTATTGCAATTCCCGATGCTTTGTCCGGTGAGAGATTGCGAGGTTGCCGGAGGTCGTATGAGAGGCTCGTCTCTGGGGGTTTTGCAAATCCGCTGGGAGCGTGTGAGTGTTGCTGCCGATAGACAGTTTGCGTGTAAGTCGTCAGGATAAGTGGGCTGTGTTGGAGACGAGGTATAGTGCAGAGTTGACGTCAACCCAGGGTGGGCTTCGTTCTCGTCGATAGAATTGCTCCGTATAGGAGGGGCGACAGTAGTATCAGTGTTCTTCGTTTGCGTCGTGTGTAAGTGGTGACAGCGGAGCAGCAAAGCAGCGTTCTGTGGAGGACAGTGGCTTGACTAAGAGCTCAACCTCGGAGAGTCAACAAAGGCGATTTCACGAGATTCAGTCCAAGAGGTCCCATAGATGTGTCAGCGGGGACGAGGTCCAATATGTAATATACCTTTTTTTCCCACAATACCATGTGCCTCGTCGCGTCATGCTTTACACGGCCTTTCCATCAGGTAATTATGTGTCATGGGTTCAGAGCTTCCCGCGTGCTAATGGAGGGCCGGCCAGGGGTCGGTGCAGAGCCTTTCAGTGTGTCACGGGGCGATCCAGCGGTCAATAGGGCGCCCTAGGACAACCTTGGTAGCTGCAGCCCGCCGACCTTGACGGCCGGTCACACGCTAGAATCGCCGTCACAACTCGCGTTACCCTGAAGGCCCGACTATGCCCAGATCGTACCTTGACTTACAACATGTGCAGCACAATGCCGTCCTCGAGCGGAAGGCCATCCTGGCCACTCACAGCTCCCATCGCAGCAGCGTTCTCGGTTGCGGCGCAACACTTGCTGGAAATAAATTCCGCCTGTACGAACTTCCACGCTGTCTGCTTCCAACGGGGGCCGACCGGACTGGCCTATACTTTTTCGGCGTCTAGTTGGGCGAAGCTCCGAATTCGAGATTGGACCCCCCTTCACAATCTGACCAGTTGGTTCCAGGCGAGCGCTAGAAGCAGGACTCATCATAAGACGTGCTTTGAGCCGCAATGCAAGCCGATACCTACCCATTGCGTTGCAATCGTTTGGGTCACATCCGACTTGCAATTATTAGCTGCCCCAAGCGTAGGCGCCCAATTTCTAGTTCTGGACCGTAGCAGATGGGCCGCTTCCTCTAGCCAGATCGCATGTCCGCCTCACCACCTCACCGCAACAAAGATATTGATCCTGTACATGCGATTCTGACTTTGGTGAGTCGAACCCAAACGGTCTTTTGCTCGGTGCCTGAAGGCGATATGCGCTCTGCCGCTGCAACATGCCGCACAATGGCAAGATATGGTACGAGTATCAACCAGCTGTTACTCGAGATTTACTCGATAAGATCCACCAACGAAACTCCCGAAAGCTACACATGTCTCAAGCAGGACCTTCCGCGGGCCGCGTGCACCGTCACACTAGCCGATACTACTGCGTATGCTGCGGGCAAACGAGAGAATCTTCTCAGGAGCTCCCCGAACCCACCAGATGCCACCAGCCCTCCGTTCTGTCGATCTGACTCGTGCCTGAAAATCGATCTTGACTGGCGGGTAACAGAGTCCCTGCGCCAGTGGACCCTGTTCCTGTTACCAATGGAGGGGCGATCGAGTCAGCTGCTAAAATAGAATTTTCCAAACCTATTTTTTTCTTCCCTGCCCTGCGGCGGCTAGAAACTTGGAAGGCCGTTGTTTACCGTCCATGACTCCACATAAGCAAGAAGAAAAAATCACGAAACAAAGCCCGGGCATGAAGCAAGTGGGTCGTCCAACTACTCATCTCAGAATTTTCCTGACGCTATCGTCAATCGTTCTGGCGCAATGCATTGCAGTATACGGAATGGCCTGCCGAGCTTGCAAGTTGGCCGTCATGGTGGCGGCGTGTGTTTTCTTGGAAAGGTCAATCTCGAGATTCCCTCGCATTGAACTAGAGTTTACCGGATTGACCAGTTGGCATACATATACGCCCTTGAGCCCCCCATTCCTTATAAATCGTAGCCGAAGACACATAAACTAGTTCTCTAACTTCCAAGCTCCCCAACTTTTAGCTGGCTTTCTGATTGCCCCAGGATCTATCAGCAGCTCCGCAACAGCTGGGCTGAGGCATGAATCATCAACGGACTTTGACGACAACTGGGATTTGAAGCCTTCCCCACGTCACTCGGACACAGGTCTGAAGATGCCAGCCCTATGGCTTCGTGCCCAGGCGCTTAGCTAATCTCAGTCCTTGTGGTCGATCTCATGATCGCCAGACCGGCAGGTTCCGCATGTGGTCTCCGCGGAGTAGGTATTCCCAAACTTCGCTAGAAGACGTACGAGTGCTTCACATACTGCCAACAAGCGATCTCCTCGTCACACGTTCTATGGCGGCCTAGTTGACTTGCATGGTATTCTTCGTCATGACGTGCTCGGATTGCGAAACCATGCTTGGGTTGATCATCGCCTGGGCAAAGTGCTGCCTCATGAACGATTTGTCTGGTGCCCAACATGTGTCACCGAGCTGTGGCTACTACCGGTAGTGACTGCTATGGACTGGGATGGGCTTCGCCCAAGCGGCGGCGAGCATCGGTGGTTGTGCAACTCGTCGACGCCTCTAGACTGCCCAGCCTGAGTTCCCCCGCCATTTCCCCAGATCTTCGTTGCATCACCAGGCTAAGTTGCCCCCGCTCAGCCCGACGGGGTAGCAAGAGGGTGATGTTGTATGAAGCATCTCCAGTTCTCCGGACGTAGAAGACTTGAAGCTATCATGGCTTGTGACTTCCAGCCATATCAATAGTTTGTACGACACATTGCAGTACTTCTGGCTTGTGCCCGAAGAGCTCTGGTCAGTCAGACATCGTCACTCTTTGGGCTTGCCTAGTCCAATTTCGGCGTTTCCATTAGGCAATATCAATTCTGTGGGTAGACCCATCTCCGCCAAACCAGGCTTGGTACAGCAGGATCGCAACTCGGGAGGTTTCTATCAGGTGATTGTGTCACAAATCGATGCTGGCTCGTCGGATGTCAAAGAGGACACGCAGTCAATGGCCATCATGGCATCATGCACGGCCGTGATCGTGTAACCAACGCGACCACTGCAGGGTCAGGATGCCAAGGCCGATGTAGGAGATTCTGGTCATGGCCGCCGACCTCGTCGATGAGCAATAGAGGCTCTTCGAAAAGCACGTGTAACATCTCAATGGCGTGATTCATCTGGAAGCGTGCAGGAACTCGGGTTGTGTCGCCGATCCTGGTCACTAGTCCCAACCCAGGCGGTTTCTCAGCCGGCCGGCTCTCTTCGGGATGCATCCCGGTGCACGGCAACGGACCCGGCCGACGATCAATGTAAGGCAGCCAGGGCAGCTTTGGGAACAGCTGTCTGACCGTCTCGGCGTCTCGGCTCATCTACGTAAAGCTTGGGTAATCCGACGGTCTAGAATCTTGCGCGAGGAGCCCCGAGGATGACAACGTGCCTGGAAGCAGTCGCAACAGGGATCGTAGCGCATCGCTTGACTTTGGGTTGTGGAGATTTCTGGAACGACAAGAACCCATTCTTAGCTAATGGTTCGCTTGGACTAGACCCTTGAGGCAAGATCTGTTGCTGTGTTGCTTGGTTACCTGTTTCGACCTGAAGCCATCGTGAAAATTTTCTGGCACCTGGGCGGCCACTGGTACGTGGTTTGTGCCCGCCCACAATTACCAAGTTCTGGGTTTCTCACGGTTGCATCGTCAAGGGATTTGTGATGCCGGCACTGCACTTTTTGCCCAAGTCGAAAAGTCCAGATCACGATTGTCAATGGACATCCTTGTGCGCCTATCGGCAAGTGTTGTGTTACGTGCACCGAGAGGGCCTGCGATGCAGCCTGTTTGCTCGGGAATCCACCGTCGCAGCTTGATACAGCTTGATATCCACACGAAATGGCAGAGGAGCAGTGTCTAAGATACGAGTTAGTTTTGTTTGGGAAACAAACCTGCCAAGTCTCTAAGATATTCGCTCGTCTGTGGCTGTATAGACGTTGACTGGCCCTGGAGAAGTCATACGAGGTAAAATACTATGCGGATGTAATTTCACGGTCACAGATCAATATGCTGTGTGTGTATGAACCCGAGTTTCCAGCTAGCCAGCCTGTAGTACCATACGTGACTCGCACCAAAAAGAAGGGTCCTCACAAATTTGACTCCGTCGTCGTACACGCTTCACCCGGCACTCGTTGACCTCAACCCGACCAACAAAGAATCGCGAAAAAAGAAGACCATGTACTCCAGTGTCTGGAGTGCATCGGGAATTGAGCCCGATGCGGGGGTCGAACCCGCAGCCTTGAGATTAAGAGTCTCACGCTCTACCGATTGAGCTAACCAGGCCGATTGGTGGTAATCCAACCGGGCAGACCAGATGGTGCTGCTGTTATTGGGACGAGGGGGCGTATTGGGGTCCATGAGGTGTGCAGGGTGGATCGACAAATGGGGCTCGGCCAGCCGGGATGAACGGCCTGGTTGGCAGGCAGTGAGTGGCCCGATGGAGCCGATGGAGCAGAGTTTGCAGGTCGGATGGAAATGTATGTGGCGTGGCCCAAGCTTGCATTGGTTGGCCAACTTCGCGTGAGGCAGCCTTGGCAGGGGTCGACAGATACAGGTGGATGCAGCGCGAACATGACCTGAAGGGCAGCGCGAACCTGATCCGAAGTAGTGTAGCCTTGAGCAGTGAAAGGCATCGTGTGTACACAGCTGAGCAAACTCGGATGGATAGGATGTGGGTAATCGAGAAGCCAAGAGGCGTGGCCGACGTAGTTTGGTGCGCGATCCGCGGTGACCTGGGACACGTTAGCCACAGGCCCAGGGTCTCCTGCTGCACTCGTCTTGAGCATGAAGTTTGGTGAGGCCAGGTTAGGTCCATTGGTCTGCTGCGTGTCGAGATACTAGCAATATAGAATCTGTGGGCTCTAGACAACGGGTGCATAGTGGAGGCCCTTGGAGGACTGGCGCTTTGGTGATGGGGGCATGGCAAGGCCCATAGCAGAGTCTCAGCCCCGGGCACGTAGACCGGTATTGTGGCTTCCAAAGCGGACCTTCTGCTGTGTCGTGTCGTGGTAACACCGCTCAAGCCAGTGCCGGTCCCTGTCCAGCCAAATGTTGATAATGCAGTTGACGTAGCCGTTATAATTGGTGATATAATACGAGAGGCGCGTCCCTTGATCACAGCGCGTTTCCTGTGTCATTTATTTTCGACTCTTCCCCGTCGCGCTGCAGTCCACTCGCAGTGTTTTGGCGAAGGCGTATGGGAATCATTCTACCGCGTGGTGCTCTTGCGAAGGGACTTTCATTCCGTTGGTAAATGACCGCGAAATCGGAGGTATGAGGATTGAGGAGTCGATGTGGCCAAAGACCGCGATACGGTCTCCCGTCGACGTATTGCATGGCATATAAGGTGAATTTGGTCATTTCTCGGCACGAAGCAAGACTTCCGCCCGGTTTTCATTTTTATTGCTGTCGGTCCTAGAAGCCGAAAGCGCGTCGCAAGGCAACCGCGCTCTTCCCTTTATCACTCATCTAGCACGGAGGACGGAGCGACAGGCACTTGGTTCACACGACATCAATGAGCGCAAGCACTACCCGCCTAGATAAAAGCAAAATCAGACGACTCCAAAAATATATTGAGATAATTCCTTTGAACGTGCGCGTGGTCAAAATTAGTTGAGGAATTCTGGGGGCCAATGAAATGCGGGTGATAGAGGATGTACAACGAGCTAGACTTATGGTCGACGGCGCACTGCACGTTTGTAATGGGGATTTATTCAAGCGAGCACTGCTCTTGGTTGCGGGACCAAGAGATGAAATATCAGCAGGAGGCAGAATAGTTCCATGCGGTAGAGCAGGTACAATGGCCGTGTGGCCAGATGCGGAATCACGACGGCACACGCCAGTGTTCCGAGCCCACGTCTTCCAAGTTTTTTCCGGGCCTTGGTTCCACGATATCTTGTATTTCGACTGTATTCTTGGTGTTTGCGCATGGCTTCCAGCCTCGAGTCGTGTTGCCACCGCAGTTGAAGGCAGCTCATATGTGTAACACATTTTTCAGTACTTTGTGCCATCTATCCCCACTGGATCTCATTATTTGGATAAGACACATAGCTACATGCTTGAAAACTCGGCAGGATTTGCAGTCTTTGGTGGTGTGGCGATTCTCTGCGTGAACCATACGTGCACGTCAATGGACCATTTTATGGCGTATACAGAAAATCTGGAAATTCTACCAAGATACATCTACACTTTGCAATATGGAGTGCCGTCTTGGCATCAGGGTTAGTCCAGGGGTATGTCGATGTTAACACACCTTGATGAATGTAAAAGTATCAAGGCTTGACGAATTTTATGAATCGCCCTGCCATCACTCTACAGTAATTCGATGCTTCAAAGCTGGAGCTGCAAGCAGACACTATTACTCACAGGCTATGTGTAGTGAGTGAACTCGAAACTTTCTGGTCCCGATCTTCTAGGAAATTAAGTGGTTATACCTGGACCACGGTTGTATGGCTGTGGAATGCAAGATAGCAAATAACTCATAGTGGGCTTATAGTCTCAGTAGATATTATTGTAATAGTTGTCCTCATTGCGGAAATACTATGGATAGAAGAAATCCGATGAGCCGTTGAGTTAGTCCTCGTGTTGAACTTTCTACAACCAGTCCGCATAGTATACATGGCCACCCCTGGATTCCTATTCATATGGACCTCGAAGTGAATACCAAGCACCATGACATAGTTGATTTCGATCGTTTCCGTCTAACCTAGATACGAAAAAGGTAAACACCGCGTGGTCAGCTTCACCAGGCGGCATTACATCCCGATCAGCTCTGCCTCGGGGTGCCAAGGGCTTCCTGCGAACGGGGCCTCGGGTCTCATGACAACCCCGAGCCGAGATCAAAAACGTCCCTTCGGCCACGGAACTAGATCTCCAGATTCGCAAATGCCGATCTGGGAGCGAGCGGGCGGCGCGAGGCTGTTTAGCCGGGTTTTTTTGTCGCCCTGGGATCCGCCCACCTATTTTGCCGGTGGAGGTTGCCTCCCATAGAGACCCCAGGGACGGGAGACGGAAAAATTAATTGCAACACAGGCACTCACGGACGCAAGAGAATTCAGAGGCTCATGATTCCACAGAATAAACGAGATATGCTGGAGCGGCCGCTCCTTTCAGGGGTCGGCCGCAGTTATAGCTGCGCCAACCCTCGTGGCCCAGAATAGGGGCGCATCGAGAAGGGGAAAATCACCTGGTATTCATATATAAGGCAGTGCATGCGACGACTGACCAAGAACGCGCCCAGGTATAGAGACTCTAATCATCTCTAAAATACCGAACCACCCTACGAGCCGCCCATCATGCTCAGCATCGCCCCCCTCCTAGCCCTCGCCAGCACAGTCGCGGCGCACGGCTACGTGTCGTCGCCGCCGGCGCGAGAGGCCGGCAACGCGGCGGTGGCCGCCTGCGGCAAGAGCGTGGTCAACGACATCAAGCGGGACAACACGTCGCACGTCGAGGGCCTGCCGGAGCTGGCGGCCAAGGACAGCGGGTACAACGCGGCGCTGTGCAACCTGTGGCTGTGCCGGGGCCTGCAATTTGCCGACAACGCGGCCAACGTGCAGAAGTGGACGGCGGGCCAGTCCGTCAACGTCAAGGTCCGGCTGACGATCCCGCACACGGGCAACGCCAACGTCTCGGTCGTCGACACCAAGACCAACAAGATCATCGGCAAGCCGCTGGTGAGTTGGGACAAGGGCTACGCCGACGAGAAGGCCTTCTATGCCAAGACGACCCCGAAGGACCAGATCGACTTTAACGTGACGATCCCCAGCGACCTGGGAAGTCAGTGTGCGAGTGCAGGAGCTTGTGTAAGTCTCTCAATCTATTTTGACTTGGCCGGTTGAGGATCATTGGTCTGACAAAGGTCAAGGTTCTACAATGGTGGTGGTATGGGACTGGAGCAAAGCAGAGTTACGAGTCATGTGTTGATTTCACTGTGGCGGCTCCATGATAACTCGATGAGACCGACGTCGACGCTGTTGAAGATGGCTGGGTGGCAATGGATTATGGCTGTCACAGGAAGTTTAGGCTACGCTGTTGATTTATCCATAGTTGAGTCGAGATCATCATGAGCTGTGTGTGCTATTGATGCATCGACCCAATTCGATGCTTTTTAGACCAATGCCGTTCTTACCGACCCTCAAAAGAACTAGCACAAAGGTCAATCCAACGCCCGCGTGTTGCCCTTAGTTGAATGATAGAAGGAGACATCGTGCCAAGAGTCTGTTCTGGGCCCGATTTGGCTCATTCCGGATTGCAGAGCCCGGGCTATCCTATCGACAGCCAACTCAAATCCTGGAAATTCACATCTGCGTTAACACGTCTGGGACACACAATTCCACGCTTTCCTCCATCACAGCGACGCCATCAGCCACTTCCAGGGGATCGCCATGAAATCTGCCCTCCTGTCTCTCTTCTTCCATCATGGTCGTAGTTTTATCATGGAAGAAAGCATCCTCGTCTGTTGTGGGCGATGGGAGCGGCGTTCCACAAGCGCGGATGTAGGCAGCCTGGTTGAAGGGGAGGATCAAGCCAACATCGTGTGCGTCAACCGGTTCGTAAGGGGAGTCAGGACTCATAGTAGGCAAGGGCTGGGCGTTATCCACACTTCCGATGACTGGCACCACCGCGGATGCGGCACTGCAATCGGAGCCGGCAAGTTCAGCTTCTTCCTCGAGGCGAGCCATATCCACAATCTGCTCATCTATCACGTCCAAGATGCTCCATATTGAAGAAGGCGAAGAAGTCGCAGTGGCAGACTCTTGGATAGAAGGTCTCGGCTACACATGAATCAGATTTCTGTAAGCCAGCCGAGGGCTGGAATGGTACTCACCAAAGGCACAGGCCGGTAGCCGATGTTCTTCACAATGTTCGCATCGCCAACAGGCCGCTCCCCGTGCAAATGGAAACCGAAACCAGTCGCTGCTGTAGGAGGGATATCGCCTTTGGCGATTCCATCGAGACTGAGGTAGCTTCGAAGTTCACATGTAGGCCGGCAGCTGTGACAACACTTGAATTGACATTCCTCTTCTTCATCTGGGACCCACGGTTTCTTGGGCGCAGCAAATCCCGGGGGCGGGGTAATCTTCTTCGCAGAATTGGAAGAAGGTATGTAATAAGGCCGCTTCACTGCGGAAACCGCCTCTTGCTCTTTGACCAGGATATGTTGCAGCTGAAAAATTGGTCAGTGATGAGTAACGAGCATGTGGCCAAGGCACCTTGCATTATCTCTCTGCTCCAAGATGGTGGCAATCTGATCTGGGGTGTAGGATTGCATCTCCTCAGCGTTGATCTCCTTGAGGAAGCTGAAGGGGCTGGATCTCACGGCTGGACCTCGCGGTGCCGGCTTGACTTGCTCCGTGAAAGCAAGGCCGATCTGGTCAAAGTTCACCTGAAATTTAGTCAGTCCAAGAAGTCCGGGGGGCCGCCGTTGAGCATCTTTACCGGAAGACCCTTCTCTATCGCGGACTCGATCAAAGTCTCCCTGTCCTGAGTGCATCGATACAGCCAACCCTATCGGCCTGTTCGGCGACACATGGCACAGACGAAGTTTGGTTCGAACAGGCGCGTCACCGTTAAATGCGTACAGGTCGGACTCCAGGACTGCGGCCTGTAGGCTGTCAAGAGCGTTTGAGGAGCCGGCACGACGTGCTTGGCACGCGCTGAATGAGTTGTCGGATTGGTGGTATCCATCGTAGACGACGCAACGTGTGCGAAAGGGGAAAGAAGTCATGCACGATGTCGATGCTGCTTAAGCCTGGACCTTTAGTGATTCTGTGGCATTGTCCAGATAGATGCCTGGTGAGGACCCAAGAACTGTGGCCGAGTTCTTGTAGCCACGAGGACGGCCTGGAACACCTTGGTGAGCAACAAAATGTGATCTACCGGTATCCAACGTGTGGTCCCAGGCAACCTGGCAGCGGGGTGATGTTGTGTTGCAGCTTGAAGCCACCGCTCGGGGTGGCCTGGTAACGATATCTTGACCTCGTGTCTCAGATAAGATACCAATGCAATGGGCATCAGTCATCAAGCCTGCATCACGGCAGCAGCAGCGCGATCAGGCAAGATGCATTTCAAGGTGAAAGTACTTCAGTATTTTCGCTGGGACACGTGGGTGTACTCTGTCTGCTATGCACAACCCGCATGCATTGGCAGGGGCGAGGTGGGATTGCATTGCAGTGCCGTCTTATAGGAAAGAGCCGCCTGGACCTGCTCTGTTCAGCAATCAAGGTTGAGCCTCAGGCTTCGAGTCTACATAGTGACTACAGACCGTCGGCCTTTGCCTACCTCGTGTACATATGTGAGGACAATTACATAGGTGAGGACTTTCAATTGTATGTTTGACCTGGGTTTGTGTGGCAGCATACACATCCTCAAAGGAAACCTCAGATTAGATCCTCCCTTCCATTGGATTGCTTCTTCCTCCTCAAGGCACGGCACATATGCGCAGATGCATGGACAACATTTGCCCTGCATCCAATGGCAAGCAGTTCTGTTGTACCGTGGATGTGTTTCGTGGTCGCGAGCCAGGCATGCATGCACTTCAAGGAACGTCGACCATGATTTGGAGAAAGATTCGGTAAAGCCCAAGCCAGTCTAATCCCAAGTCCAAGCCTCCACAGACGATGAGGCCCAGTCAGCCCAGCCAGGCCCGTCGGCGTGCATGAGTGCATCACTGAACAATGCGTCCCGCCGCGCTGCTTAAAGAGTCTGGCTCTTTTCCTCTGGAGACGCCAGGGATCTTCGCAGCTCTGCCGAATGTGGGATGAGTTGTCGTGCTCCAATCCAGCGGAAGAACGATTCGTCGACGCCCGTCTGGCGCGGACGCGGCCAATCAGCTGTGATGATGCCCGCCTGGCCCGGTCATTGTCCCCAGCAACAGGCGACTGTCGTGCAGCAACGCGGGCCTTTCCTGGGCAGGCTGGGCGAGCTAAATACCTGGCTGGCTGGCTGCTGGCTGGCTGGCTGGTTGGCAACCTGGGCACGCTACCGCCATTTGGTGATCCTGGTCGCGACAACCGCAAGGCGACGGGCAGAACGGGGACCCCCAGACAGACCCCCAAGCCGGATGAAGGAGAGAAGTGGGCGCGAAAGACCAACCTCGCTCATCTCCAATCCAGCCTTCTCCATCTCCCTCCAGGTCCACGGCCCACGGTCCAGGTACTGGTCGCGTCACCACTCATTGACCTGACAGACTTGGATTGTCAGAAGAGAAGCAAGAGACGCCACCTCTGCATTTGCGGTTGAGATACGACTCGTACTCGTGCCTCCCTAACTCCGTAAGTTGAAAGACATCCTCCATCCGATCCGCTCCACTTTCTTTCGGCTGCTGCAGGAAGCTTTGGGCATCGCCAGGGGTCGGCAACGCAGCTAAGCTGCCTCGGCTTCAATTGGCCAAACATAAACAAACCACTTCGCCATTGGCCTCTGCGCCTGCGCTGAGTCCCGCCCAAGTCCAACCTCGCCATCTAACCACCAGTGACAGTGACCGCCTCGCAAACAATCCCACGATCTTGCCCTCCCCAGCGCCGACTGTCCGTTGTTGTCTGCCAGGTGATCCTCGCGACTAGTGTCATTTCCCCCCTCTGCCTGAGCTGAGCGTCCAACATCCCAACATGTCGCTCAAGATCGAGCGGGACACGGTCCGCAAGGGCACCGAGTCCCTCGCCAGCGCTGCTCGCGATGGCCATCTGCCCGGCACCAGCGGCAAGCATCCCATCGCTGAGAAGCTCGGCACCGCCATCACCGGAGGCAAGACGAATGCCGGCACCAAGGGCTACTTGATGGTGCGTTTACACTGCCCGGCCCCCCGTTGACTATAGGCCGAACCCCGCTGACCCCGGACCGTCGTCCGCCAGGCCTACATCAAGCAGCTCGAAGAGAACCCGCTCCGCACCAAGATGCTCACATCCGGCACCCTCGCCGGTCTCCAGGAGTTCCTCGCATCATGGCTCGCAAAGGACCGCAACAAGCACGGCAACTACTTCACGTCGCGAGTCCCCAAGATGGCCGCGTACGGCGCCCTGATCAGTGCGCCCCTGGGCCACTTCTTGATCTGGTGCCTGCAGAAGGCCTTCAAGAATAGGACGAGTCTGCGCGCCAAGATCCTCCAGATCCTCGTTAGCAACCTGATCATCGCCCCCATCCAGAACTCGGTGTATCTCGTCGCCATGGCCCTCATCGCCGGTGCCCGTACGTACCACCAAGTCCGCGCCACCGTCCGTGTTGGTTTCATGAAGGTCATGAAGGTATCATGGGTCACGTCTCCCATCTGCCTCGCCTTTGCGCAGCAGTTCCTGCCCGAGCAGACCTGGGTGCCATTCTTCAACGTGGTCGCCTTCATCATTGGCACCTACATCAACACCATGACCAAGAAGAAGAGGCTTGCTGCTCTCCGCAAGAAGCACTTTGGCGACGGCCGCGACGGCCGTACATCGGGCTCCCTGGGCGGACGTCCCGAGGACTACCCCGGTCCCATGGGCCCAAACCCACCTTACTAAACTATACGACGTAACGCTTATGGACGATGTGCTTTTTGCAACAACTTTGGCTGTAGGTCTTGCGGCTCGCCTCGCGGTAAAGGGGCTAGCCGTTCCTTTGGACGTGGAGATGCTCGGCGAGTCGAATTGTACCAGGCTCGGCGGCAAATTTGGGAAATTGGGCGGTGTTTTCAAAGGGGATATTATACCTGGGAACATGGACGCTTGTATAATCGTGCTAAATCTTTTTCCGTGCCTCGGACCTCTCACCCTGAAATGTAGATAGTGTAGGAAATGCGGATCTTTCATACCCAAAATATGCGGGCCATCGAACAAATGTTGATATGTGACAGTCGTATGTTCTCCGCGGAGCCCATCAGAGACATCGATTCCAATCGTCCCATAGCCTGGACCAAGAGCAATGTGGAATTTACAGTACTTCAAGCTGCGCATTGCAACCGCTATCATCACCTCAAGACACCTCCCCCAGAGCAATTCAGTTTCGACCCTAGCGATGATTCAAACAGCAGGTCACGCGGTGTTGCAAGAGAAGAAAACTTGTGGTATCATGGTAAATCCGTCAAGTCGGACGTATACAGGAAGAAGCGGCGAGTAGGGCATGCTTCATCCGTACCAGATCGACCTACAGTCCCTTTGACTGGAGGTTGTGATGACAAGAGGTCAAACTTGCGATCGTACTGGAGCTCCAAAACAAGGATGATGGTGTCTCTTAAACCCCCTAATCCGGACCAGCTCCGAATTTTCTAGGAAGCCGTCGTCGTTGGACTGTACAGTGTAGCCTGCCTCGCCTGTGCGGTCCAACACCGGACCAGTGAATGTACACGTAAAAGGGGTGCGGTGTGTGGCAACGGTGTGTCCCTACAATTAAGGATAACACTTCAGGGACCTTACTAAGACCCTATTCATCTCCATTGACGCGGGTCAGATACTCCATATCAAGGTAAGAACATAACGAGTCGCAGCAGTCTCTTGCTGGCGATAATTAAGTAAAGATGTAACCTGAACCTTGAATATAAATAAAAGAAATCTGCAAGCCCTGTATCAGTCAAAAGCAACCCGCATATCCAAACGCTTAACCCTCCTGTTCTAACCATGAGTATTTCGGAGATTTGAAGAATTCTTTCCTGTACAGTATCGACTTCTGTGTTTTCAAACCCTGTTTCAAGAATGGAGATGACAATGGTCTATCAAGGCTGAATACACAAGCTTCTGCCACCAAGTGAAGTTGCCGGATTCAAATATCCGTTTGCCAACTTGAAAGAAATATGACAGGGAGGCATGGTTAAGGTCGAAACTGCCCCAACCCAAAGTCTAAACGGAATCAAACGTGCATCTGGCCAACAGGCAGTTGGAAAATATATTCTGCTGCTGAATGTGGACCACAAAGGGTGATCAAACCACGCCACTCCCGGTTGCGCAGAGAAGTATTCGTTAAATCCACGAGAGAGTGAGAAATGACGGATAGTGCGAACGGCTAAGAGTAATTATTTGAGAGATTCCATTCATATTTCTACCTTTGACCGATGGATACCATCAACGATTCTTTAGTACTGGTGTAAACTAACCACTACCGTTGCCCCTTCGTTCTGTTGCTCAAGATCTTGGTCCCAACTCAACACATGACTGGTTTCCTAAGAGCATTGAAAGGAACATCGTAAACGGAGAGGCGAGCAAGCACGGATGAATTCCCCACCACCGTGCTTTTTCTTACACATAGTGTAGCCGAAAGCTTCCAAGCATAATAAGCAGTCACGGACACCATCCGGCAATTCAGGGGTTTCAAAGCGATAACAAAGACTACGGCCTCACATTGGCGTGAAAGATAGTAGAGTGTAGAGCTGACGGCGGCAGATATAGTTCCTACCCCTGGATCAAATATAGACAGTGTTGGACAGTCTATGAGCTTGATAGAAAGTCTCGCCCCTTGTGTTACCTGACTAACCCAAGATTCGAAGCATGCCTTAAAACACATCCTTCAGTCTGATGCGATGCCAGCTTCCACTGCCTTGTTCCAGTTGGACCGTTCTAGACGTGCAACTTCTCGTCATACAATTTTGTATTTAGGCATTGCCTGCCTCGGTAATTACGCATGATGCAGCACTCCTCAGCATGTCAAAAGTTTTTTCGAGGCCACTCGGAATGATTCCGATGGAGCTCAACTGGCAGCAGCCAAGGTGCATACAGAGATTAGAACCGACGTGTCACTAGGTTGAAAATAAGGCTCAATGCATTAGAGTAACATAACATGTACCGAACAACATGTCACTGGGCCTGCGCAGTGGAAAGGCGTGCGGTTCGAAGATCGAAAGTATGGCTGTGCGTGTAGAATGATTGGTCAATCGGGGAATTGACTTTGATCCAAGATTAGGCCGAGATTTCTGGTAATACGATCATAAATGTACTACTGCAGCCATCTCTGGGATTCATGGGATGTAACGCTGGGGCATTTGTAGAAAAATCCCTATTGGGGCGCTGATCATGGTGCCCATGACCGTGGAACCGACTTTCTGAGGGTTTGACCGGGTCCTACAGAGTCACTCGCAGCTCCGGACCTCGGGAGTGGTGGATACAGCCGTTGGCGGGATAGTTACCTGGATGAGCCTTTGAACGGCTGGGCGAACTACGATGGACAACGCAGATACAAGGGGCGGCAGCCTTCCAAAAACGACCATTGCTCGGTCATGAGATTTCCTGCACAAGCGCGGAAATTGAAGCCGGGCTTGTTGCGGCGTTCGGTTCCTGAGAATGACTTTGACATATGCAGGCAGTAGTGCCCCTTTGGGAAGTTGAGCATCACCGTGGCGACTGCGCCGTTGACAAACACGGGGTTGTTAACCTCTATAGGTGAGCGCTCTGATGCCTGTCCGGTCCCGATTGAAAGGCGCCGCCGAAATGGCGGCTGACGCAGCGCGAGAGGGCAAATTGGCTTATTTTATGCCATTATGCGAGTCCCACGATGGCCATCCACAGGGCGGCCATAGCACGTGTGGGCTGCGCGTGGCTGCACGCCAACGGGGCTTTAGATTGTCAGCTGCAGGGCACGGATCGATTGGCTCAGCGCATTACGGGTGGTGGTCGATGATGCCATCGAGCATCGCAGTTCGGGCCTCCTCATCGGTTCCATACCATGGTAGTAGAGGGCGGCCATGTTCGATGCCGGAGATTTTCACATGGGCTGTGCTCGCCGGTCAAGTCAGGCACTCGCCATTACGAAGAACAGAACTGCACCTGTGCGGTGCAGTTATTTGGAATGCAGCCGCAAGTATCTCCATGCTGGGAACGAGCCAGGGGCCATCGAAACATCTCCTGTAAGATGCGCACTATTGAACAAGGTCGCTCGGGAAGCAGGCACCGGCTCTGCAGCTTTGCTGTGCGGCTGAGTCTGGAGATGCAAGGGTCCTGTAACTGAGTTTAATAAATGGAGGTGGCTCGCAAAGCAGCACACGTCGCCAAGGTGAGCAGATGCTGGCTGGAGATCTTGGAAGGCGTGGGAGTTGACGCGTGCCAGGCAGTCCATGTGGAGATGTTGGGCCACTTGGTGAGACGAGCCTCATTGCTTCCGTATCCCGAGTCCCGACTTGTGTGATCCCCTCGCTGGCTCGCTTCGAGTCGGTCGAGAGAGGCCGTGGGCATAAAGCCGTGCCTGTGGACATGTCAGGCGCCAAGCAATCTAAAGGGTCGGTAACCGTCCCCGAGGGTGGGGACCCGGGACCTTGGGAAACCAAGTCCAAAACGGTCCGAAACATGAACACAGGCGCTCAGCAAAGGGGGAGCACGACCAAATGATCACGACCCTCGCTTCCGCTGGGGTAATAGAATCATTGTTTTCTCCAGGCGAACGTGGTAGAGGTTCCCATGCTCAATATTGACGCTCATAAGTTTGCTGTCGGAAGTTACATCAAGCCAGAATTTGTACAATCTTGGTCAGCCGGTTTGAATCTTTCGTGAGACCCGGCAGCGTAGATCAGGGACCCCGGAAGCCGGCCGAAGCATGGTGCGGGCGCGTCATAAGACCGAGGGGCTATCGACTGACATGCACTGTGGAGCATGGGACCGCCAGACATGCCAGACATGCCAGACATGCCAGACGTTCAGACTCTCCCTATGGCGGCTAGAGTGCTCGCCTCTACTATGGTATGAATGCTGAATGCCGTATCAGACGAACCAAGTGCGTGTCAGCATCTGTGAAAGACCGACAGCTGGCCCACCCGCAGGTAGAATGCTTTTCCGTCGTGGGACAACTGCTCTAAAATAAACCGTCGCGGTGCCACCCGCTGTCTATAGCGAGCTAAGACGCCCGTCAATCGAGGTTGGCCTGACCTTGCCCAGGTGTCCACCAGACGTCGGGGAGAGGACAGAGGATCCAGGGCTGCTGGAAAAGCCGACAGAACCTAATTCGGAGCCGCCGGGCTCCTTACCAAGAGTACTGTGGTCTGCCCAGACCCCCTGCCCTCAATGTGCATGTTGAAAGGTAGATGGACAGGCAGGAAGGCAGGTACCTGGAGACACGACCAATGACGATGGTGGTGTCCCTGCTGCACCACCCCCTTCTCGACCTGGGATGGTGGGTTGACGCCCTGGACCTGCAGCGGACCATCCAGATACTCGGATACTGGATGGACGAGGATGCTGGCAGTGTGGGAACTCTGAGCACAGGGAAATTGACCAGGTTCATGCTTCTAGAAGGAGAACGAAGGCCCGAACTCAAGCCTCTTTACGGAGCAGGGTCTGGCAGGCCGGCAGGGTGTGACTGCATCACCTACTCTGAGCGACCAACTGTCTGGCGATAGATGGATGCAATCTTCTCTTGTCAGGAGGTGGAATTCGCGACAAGTTGCAGCACCCTGACGCTCGCTACCAGACTCTCGCCGGGCACGACAACTAGTGCAGAGAGGCATGTAGGTAGTAGGCAGCAGGTCGACGTATGCAGTGTAGTATCGTAACAGCATCTGCTGCTCTCCGTAGACGAAAGGTAGGGGTGGAGGAGCTTGGACACGAAGCCGAAGCGCTGTCCTCGTCGTTGCTCGTGCTTTCGGGGAAGAGCTGCGACCAGGTGCTATTTTTGGACGAGAAGAATTATTAGGTTATGACCGTATGCCGCTTCGCTCTTTAGCATGCATACAGCGCTGGACGCATTTGGGGTAGGATGCCGTTTTGGGATCGCTCTTCCTGTCGTGATTCGCGTAGATTTAATTTCCCACACGGCCGGCCATCTCTCGTCCTACTGTGTACTCGCCGTCGCTTCCCGGCCTCAATCAGCCATGGCCAAAATTACCTCCATCGCCATGCTCCTCGATCGAGCTCGACCGAGATCAATTACGAGCAGGGTTGCGGCTCAGCTCGCCGGCCCCGGTCAGCGCTAGAAGCAATTCTGGTTCTTCTAGAAGCTGGAGTCGTCCTCATTCGGCGACTGCACCCAGCATAATTGATCTTTTAATTACCTGGGTCAGTTGAAACGCGTTTTGTTCATGCGCATCCATGATCTCTTACGCCCCCCTCCCAACTGCGCTCTCCGCACCGTCGCTCGTCGTTTTCCTCTCCCCTTTCTCTGGGGACGCGCCTCCCAGCCCTGCGAGACGTCTCGATTGGCTTGTCACAAGCTGGATGCATTGATGCGCGCGAGATTGGGATGTCCAGGTGCAAGGATTCTTCTGCCCTCATGTCTGCGCTTAGCGGCTGTACCACATCCCCAAGACTTCTGGGTCCTTCACCACGCCGTGACAGCTGAGTGATGTATCGATCAACTAACGCGAAGAGACAGGCCACATTCACCTCTTCCCTATCACTCTTAGTGGGATGCCCGAGCCATCGTCCCATCTACGGAGCATCGGCCGGGGAGTCCATTGCTTGACGAGTGTCAGTCCCATGGCAGTACTCATCTGCAGATGTTGGCACACTGGGTAGACGAACCCTCTGAGCGACGTGTCTGCGACACCACGCTGCAGAGTCGTTTCTCTGTTTCCTGTTGTCGTCGTCGTCGTTGCCCTGGTTCACACCGCCTCGTCTCCAGGCCTCGTTTCAGTTCCCTTATAGGCATCTCGAATGAGGGTGGGCGTTGAAGACTGCGCGGCAGTTAACATCAGACGCGTCGAAGTCGTCAACGCCATCTCACATCTAGACGTGGCTGAAAGGACCCTTCCCACCGACTAACTAATCGGGGGGCCCCCTGTTCTTGTCGGCAATCTGCCATGCCTTTCATAGTGTGGCTGCTGGCAGTGAGTCCAAGGTAAGAACCCCGCCCTATGGGGTGTCGGGATCGCAGTTCTTAATTCCTTGATATAGACCACCCCAGTCTAATATAGCCCCCTCCAAGTGGAGATTGTGAAGAGGCAAAAATTCCTACCCAACGAATGCACATTGCTTTAACAGAGGTCTGCACGCAAGTAAGCAGGAACCAATGACACCTGGCAGTGTCGTGGGCATAACACGCTCTCAGCGAGAAGCAAAGTTGCTGCTCATGCATGGGCCACAGAGAGGACTGCCGTCCTGGTTCTAACGAGGTCCTATCGTGCTTTCACCACTGTTCTCTTGCCCAACTGCATGGTAGGGCTCGTTTCAGCTTCTAATTCTCCATTTGGCTGCCCAGTGTAGTATTCTTGTATGCGTTTTCCAGGACCTCCCGCGCCTGGGAATGAGCGTACCCCCCCAAAAGTACCTCTTTTGGGTCAAAGCTGTCCGGGGTATTTTGAAGCTTCTGAAATCCGTTCTATCCTAAACCCTGTCTGACAGGCATGCTCCATTGTGGCTGTCCTCGCCCCAGTTGCATCATTCTCCCAGAGCAAGGGCCTCATTCTATAACCGGCAAGCAGACCATGGCAGGCATGGCATAAGATCCTCAAATTATGCCACCGTCATCGCTGGCCAAGGTAACCGGTTCTCCACACCCGCTCAGGAACGATACCTTCTTTCGTGTCGCACATGGCAAAGTGCTTTAACTTCTGGATGAAAAGAGAAGTAGTCAAGGTACCCGTCCGTCAATCCCAGCCTCGTCCCTGTCATGGGACACAACGATAAGGGAGATCAGACGATATAATGCAGCCCATGTCCTCTGCTACTCGTTGACCCTTTCTGGCTCCTGCCACAATATATTAGACCGGCTAAGGAGAACTGTCAAGTGGGAGGGATTCCCGTACGGCACAAGGCAAAAAGGTAGCATTGGACTCTTAAACCGGACTACGTGCACCGTCCCTAGCTTTCTACTTCTTCAAACGACGTTTCGCCATTTGCGAGAGCAGCTTAAGCTTACTTACACGACCGCCTCAGCCCTACTTACCGCCCATCTATTCCGCATATTGGGGACTCGACATACCATCTCAACCTCTTATCTCACACACTCACACCACCAACACATGTCCTCGGCTCTTGGGCACGTAAGAGCCCCGCCTACTCACACCTCGACGGCAACCAGGCAAGACGGGCACCATTTTCGCCTCACGCGACCCAGGACCTCCCACTCCGCAGCCCTCGCCGCAGCAGCAGCAGGCCCGGGGGGCCCCAGCTCGTCAAATACTTTCTATTCAGAGCCCGGCGACCGTCCAGAGCGGTTCGCTCTGGCGGACCCCATGTATCGGAGACACGCTGGCGGGCAACTACCGAGTAGGACCGGACTACAATGTCGATTACTCTCCCCAGGAATCGCATCCGGGCGAGCAGAGCCAGCCGCAACACGCTTACGACGCTCACCACCACCACCGCGGGAGCCAACTCCACCCGGGGTCCGGTAGCTTACATGAACAGACACCGTCGCATTCGCACCACGCCATGTCGCAGCATCACACCCCTCATCACCATCAGATTCTGATGGACCCGTCGCACCTTGGCGGCTTGCCGGCGGCCAGGCATATGGGACATCCCGGACCTTCCCATTATGGCGCTCCAACTTCTTCTCACGGCGTGCCACTCTACCCGTCCATGACGCCTACGCAACCGCATAGTGCTGGGACCAAGCGAAGCCGGCCGGATGACTTGGACCTGTCTGTCCCCGGCATGCCCGACTTGGATCAGGGCGACCTCGACTCAATGCAGCAGACACCTCTGGGTGCCGCTTATGCTCAAGCAGCTGGCGCGCAACCGACACATCACCACCATCGTCTGCCGGATCAGGGCCCGCCAACGAAGATGATGAGGCGCGACGGTGACGGAGGGCTGCCAGGGAGTGGAGGGGCTCCGAGTGTCGTGGGACAGGTCGGCATGCCAGCGCCGGCTCCGAGACCCCGGGGGCCGAAGTTGAAGTTTACGCCTGAGGACGATCAACTCCTGATCGACCTGAAAGAGAACAAGAACCTCACATGGAAGCAAATCGCAGATTTTTTCCCTGGGCGTTCGTCGGGTACTCTACAGGTGCGCTACTGCACGAAGTTGAAGGCGAAGACCACGCAGTGGACCGACGAGACCGTAAGAGCCGGCCCCTTCCTTGGATTACAAGGAGCGGTGATCTCCGACTAACTCGCAAACCTCTAGGACCAAAAACTCCGAGCTGCGCTGGCTGACTACGAAAGCGAGAAGTGGCGCATCGTAGCGAACAAGATGGGAACCGGATTCACTCCGGTAGCCTGCCGCGAACGTACCCAACAACTGCTGGGGGGAGGCGAGGACGATGAGAACTTATAGCAATCAGCGTCTCCGCCAGGAGCTTCGGCTCCTGGGTCCGGGGACACAATATATCCACAGCAGCTTCAGGGACTAGGAAGCGCACAGATGCCTACTTCCCACACGCAGTATAGGCACGACGACAACTCCGATGTGGCACAACCAACTTACCACACGTCTGGTTGAGTCGATGGCACTCAGAATGGCTTCGAGCCACCCAGACATCACAACACGATCGAGGACTTGCGATTGATTCTTCCTGCGGAGAAGGACCATGGAATTTCAAGCTTTGCACGGCGTTGGGCGTTCGAAACACGTTTGCGCGAGATCTTCATGCCTCTCCCTTGTACGGTACGACGTTGAATGGTGTTCACGGGGACGTGTTTTGGTGCTTGCTCTCCGGTTTACAGAGCGAGCTTTACCACCTAATACCTAGAGATACCAAAGACCGCATCGGTCATACGTTCTAACGACATCTATAGAACTGGGGCAAGGTGATGACAAACTGTTTTTCTATTCTGGCTTTCATCAACTGTTTTCTCTTCCCTATGAGCACAAAAACATATCCAAAGCATTTGGCACACGAGATATACACCAATACAATATCATGTATGACACGAGATGATACGGCCTTTGTCAATATCTTTATTCCGACCGGGGGAGAGCCTTCCTTCCAGTCATGCAACAAAAAAACCAAGCACTACATAGCGATGCCATCTCTTCACCGCCTCTTGGAGGGGTTGGGGGCCAGCGAAGGGGGATACGAAACGAGACACGGCGGGATGAAGAGAGGAGATACCCCAAAACGGTCGCGCAGGCGCTTGACGCGCGCTGACTCACAGCTAGACACTTTGGCAAAATGGCTTCGGGTTCAGGTCTGAGTCGGGAACCAGGATCGGTCGGCGCCCAGGAAACAACATAAGCGCGGAAGAGAAAAAAAAAGTGGCGGCGGGATATACATGGCAATCGACTCAAATTCTTTCCTCAAATACTTGACAACCTACTGTTATGATAATCCCTAATTAATGGCGGTTCTCGCCTCTCCCTTTCCAAGTCCATAATAATTTCAGAGCACATGATGCTTCTTCCTGTACCAGAGCCTTGGTCCCGAATGCGCACAGGAGGCAGAGGCAAGGCTCGAGCCTCGCCTCTGCAAAACAAAACGCATTCACTATCGTGCCGCGTCTGGCCATGTCATCGGGCCTGGGATTCCTTGTGTCCAGCGTTTGCCGAGTTGGGAATGATTGTGGAGAGGGAGCAAGCTTGATTGCTACCCCTGGCCGGCCGCCACTACCACTACCACCACCACCATTACCACCATCATCTCCTCCCCCTCGGCTCAGCTATTGAACTACCGGCTCTTGATAATAACCGAAAACTGCTGTATATATTACCAGCCACGTATTTACCTCGTCACGCCCCTTAATATCCAGACACATGTGGTGTACCTACATGAGCGCGGACAAAGGACCTGCTTGCCACATGGCTAAAACAGGCGAGTAAGCTGCATAAGGTGGGCAGGCTGGTCAGACTTGTGAAACTAGACCCACGATCTGTTGTTTCTGGCCGATGCTACTGACGCAGGACGGGCCAACATGGCATGAGGGCGGTTCGCGCCGCAAGACCTCACACCGGAAGGGGGCAGTAGCAGTAACCACCTCGCCGAGAGAAGAAAGGGGTGTAGCGCCAGAAGTGACAATGCCTGATTGATCGCACACCTGGTCCGGCTGCGACTGCTGAAGGCGAATAATGATTTGTAACCATACGCACAATACACTTTGGTGATCTACATTCATGATGAGAATAGTAGCAGAGCCTCTGATCGTCTCTGCAAGCTTGGTACGTCGGTTGCCACATGCCTCGTTTACAAGCTCGCTTGCAAGGTATTTCCCCATCCTGCGTCCAGGTCCAGATGCTGGACGCCCCGGCTATCCAATGCCAGCGAGCAGCGGTGGTCAGCAGGTGCCACGGCCGTACTGGCCCATCGGGTTGTATACCAGCAATGGAAGACCAGCGGATCCGCTCGGGGCCGACTGATGCTGCAGGCACTGGCTGGAAGTACACAATCTACCGAGTCGATCTCTCGCTATGTGCCGCGACAGGGGAACAGGTACATGCAACAGCTCCTGGACCTGGCTGCCTGTTTCAATTGATGGTGTTTCCCGGCTCGAGAGGGCTGCCGAGCGGGAAATGGGGGCAGCAGGGCCTTGCCTTGCTTGCTTGCTTGCGCTTGCCTAGGCTCTACCGGGCTCGATCAGGCATTGGACTTCGAATCATGTGTTCCTTCGCCAACATGGGCAAGTGTTGCGGTGAAGGAGCAGACTGGCGCGGCCAGAGCATGACACCCACGACGATTCGTCGCTGATACCTCCGTATGGGATGCGCTACTGGGTTCATCATCCGTCCCCGCGTTAGTTCTCACTCAGAGGGTTTGGCAGAACAGGACTGTTGACCCCGGCCATCATCCATCGCTCGCCAGGAGTCACCCCACAATATGGTTCCCCATTTTTTCTTAATCATGAATGTTGCTTCAAAACACGGGTGTTCACGTGCCAGCCACCTTACCACGAATACATCGGGTACGGAAAGCTCATTGCCATGGCCCGCTTGCGAGCCTGTCAATGAAGCCAGTGCGCACTGCTACGGCGCCAATATACAGCCGACAGAGTTGCATCCAGTAATTTTGAGCAACACACAGCAGGTAGAATTGCAACGGCCGTCGGTAAGAATGACTCGAAAGACATTGCTATGGTGCTGTCAGCTGTGATTGATCGCAGCGGTGCGCGGCCAGCCGAGGCTTTGGGACCGTGAGAGGTTACATAGTACAGCGCCCATCGTAAGGTGCTTTGCCGACGGAGCTGCTTCCTCTTGCCGGTATCAGTGTCGCTGCATGGTGAAAGCCACAAATGCAACGTCGAAAGGTGCTTCGCGTGTGAGTTCTAGCCACCCAGGCCACCTGGTGCCATGCCTCTTCCCGAAGCCCCCACATCTCGCTAGAGCTTTCAGCATCGCATCAGTGCAAGGGTCGTGCTGTTGGGTACGTTCCACAGAGCCCGCAAGGGAAGCCGGATCCGGGGCCGGCGCTTGCTGCAGTGGTGTCAAGCAATGTGGTCTATGTGCACCACCTCGGCTCTGTTGATCTTCCATCTGCTCATACAGCATCATGATGCGCTCCGAAAGGCTGCAAACCCCTCCGAGCGTCATCGTCGTCGTGGTCAAGCGCCGTTGCGGTGTGAGGAGGGGTCAGGAAGGGTCCCCTGGCTGCGGCAAGCGTTAGGGGAATTTCTTGCACCTTAGGCGATTTTCTTTGCACCTTGCACCTTGCTGCATGCAAGCAGCAACCAAGTTCCACAATGGACCAGGGCCCTGATAGGCGATGCTCAAGGTAAGCTCCCCGGTTGAGATGCGCGGATGTCTCGTCAACAGCCGGGAGCGAGACATGCGCACACCTGGCCCGGACGACCACTGACTACACTTGAAGCCGGCCATGCGGCAGAGTAGCCAGCGGTGACTACATATGCGACGGTCGCGCGCGCGGTTCATAACCAAGCCGGCATCGTTAGATTGATGCATGCAGTCTTGAGGTTTCCATTAGCGCCCGTTATCGTCTCTTGCGCCATGCGCAACACCATCTGCCCGATCGATACAGATCCGGCTGTTCCGCTTCGGGCAGTGGGTCATGCTTGGCCTGCTCGGTCTCAACGCCCGAAGGCTCTGGCTAGCGGGTGCAATTGTCACGAAAGGAGCAGTGCGTGCGAAAAGCGACAAGTGCTTTGCGCGAGTTGTTGAGCTGCGAAGACTCATATCATAGTCAACCGATTGAGTCTGGCGTCGATCCAGGACGAAGTACTTACTGGATCTGTCCCTGGGGTCGGTGATGCGCCCGAAGTCAGCTCAAGCGAGATCAGCCCGTGCTGTTTACCGAAGCCATGATGGCCAATCGGGGATTTTTGATCGACCTCCAGAGTCCGTGGGCCTTTCACTGTTGTAACCATATCGCTAAATCCCCTACAAGAGCCAGGGATTGTCTCTATGGATCCCGCCCCATGACTTTCGATGATGGGATAGCAGTTCGGCTACAGTGGATATGGCGCTCTGTTGCGACGCCAGAGCGCAGTGATACCCTGTTGAATAAGTACGACAAGCAACGCTCGGTCACTGCGGGTGAAGCACGTTTTGGCGGATGTGATTGAAGTAGTGGAAGCTGATGATAGCAACGCCCGGTCGGCGCAGCTTCTAATTTGAGTCGACACCTTCATGTGAGCCTTTGCACAGCTACTCGCTAAATGGCCTGTCAATTTTCACTAATAGAAAGTCCACCATTAGCTGCTAGTATAGTTGACAGCATAGAGCATATGTGCCATGGCTGTATCCGATTTCGCCATGTTGGTGTGCTGGAGACAGCCGAGAGTGCTTCGCGATTACTCAGTCCCAACTCCACGATGTGTGTGTTGGATGCAAACGGGGCAATTTGACAAGCCAGACTGTAGGCCACGCGGGTTCGCCCATCTGTACAGCCGAAATTGCCGACGCTATGTTTCGACAGATGGCAACAAAGTTTGGTACGCACACGCTGTCATGACATTGGCGTCCGTCAAGTGTGGTCTTGCTCAAGGCGCTGAAGGCTCGCCACCGCTCTTCAACCCTGTCGCTAGGCCTATAATTCGGTGTTATATCGATGGCCCCGTCACTGATGCTAGCAGGCTGGGTAGCAATCACCACGACGAAGCGAGCTTTCCAGGCTTGGTCCGATGATCTTCTTGCAGGTGACAATCCGCATCCCGTACATCCTGACGAGTGACAACCCCCCCTTGTATCGAACTCTCAACAGTAGTCGTCTGCGGCTGACCGAAAGAGGCCATCCACGACTTAGCAGTGTGACTTGGTCTTCTCATCGAGCGACATGCAGCGCATCTAAGTGCGACGTGAACTTATGAGTGCACCGGGAAATGACACCGGCCGTTCGTGAATCTTGCAGTAGTAGTCCGCACGGGCTGACGGGAATTGTCAAAAACCAGTCGGCGAGGGAGGTAGATCCTTCTACGGTCCACCTCCCAAGGGGTGTCTGTAAGGGCTTACCCCTGCTTTCTTAGATACCCCTGGGCCTGATTGCATCAGCCAGAAGCCACTGTGGGATTGAAAAGCTCTTTGACCCAATATAGAGGACAGAGAATGGCCAAATCATTGGCCCACAGGCTCTGACCAACTTTGTCCATATTGTTCTGTAAGACGACGTGTTGCTAGGCAGGATATCCGCAGGCTTTGTCTTGTTCCTTGATTCGCCACGAGCCGCAAATTACTGGCTACTGCTGATCAACTTATCACAGAGCTCGTCTCTGGACAGTGAGGCTCCATTTTCGACGAGCTTGATGAGTTTTTCATGAGTAGGTACCGCTGAGCCCAGATCCAGAAACCTGGCAGTTTCCACGAGCCAGCCATTGAAATCCCTGATTTCTGTCTTCTTACCGGCACGTACGTCTTGCAGCATTGAGCTTGTGTTCTCTCTGACCTTGTAGCCCACTTCATACAACATGGTGAGGAGATTGGTAGAGGAAAGTCGTTGGATTAGGGCATCTCTGGGCCCCTCCCTACTATGCAACGGCGAACCGTTTGATTCGTCATTGAGGATATCAGCACTGGACACGTCCGAGACCAGACTGGTCAGAACGAGACCTGCTTCATGAACAAGTGTCTTGATGATCAGAGGGAGTCTATCTTCGCGGTCGATAAACAGCTCTCCGTTCTTGCACCCGAGAATCGCGGTCAGCGGGTTGATAGTTGAGTTGACCACGAGCTTTTCTAACTGCAGGACCCACAGGTCTGCTTTGGACACGATCTGGCCGGAGAGATCCGGGGCGTCCGCGATCTGATTCATAAGATACTGCGCACTGCCTCCAGATTCTGGGTTCAGAGACACTGGTCCAACGGACACGTTGGCCGGAGACGCATGGATGCTTTTGAAAGGAGCCAATGAGGTTACTCCATGTGTAGTCACACATGCGACCCAGCTAGGTCCGCTGAGGTCGGGGAATCGATGGTGAAGATAGAGATCTCCCATTGGCGGCCAGAGCTTGCACATTCCATTTTGAACAAATGTGACTGTCGAGTCTCTGCCCAAGTACCCCCTCAACCTATCAACCTGAGGCAAGGCATCAGAAGCCTTGGTGGCCACGATGAGATTTGTGATGCCAGCCCCGGAAGTCGGTTCTAGTATCGGACCCGCTGGCGGCTTTTCGTGAGTCCACCACTCCACGTCGAAGTCCGAGGTGCGTTCAACTTTCCCATGTCGTGTGATTTCAATGCCAGGGGATGACGCCCACTGCTCCAGCAGCGACTTGCGGTGGACAACCAAAGTAATTGGCGGCTTCTTTGGGAGTCTAGCCAGGCTGCTGGCAAATAGGCGCCCAAGGTTCCCAATTCCTAGTATATATATGCGTTCCAAGGGTGTTGTGTGCGACTGGGACTTCAGACGCGTATTGTCGTTTGACAGCGGGGTGGACCCAGGCGACAGGTTAGCTGTTGTCCATGCGAAGAGCTTTGGGGGAGCACTGTCGTCGTCTATGAGCTGTTTGAGCCAAGCTGCTGGAGCTCCTTGACGGCTCCGGGAATTAATTGGGCTGGTCAACATAAGTCCAGTGTGTTCAATGGAAATCCTCTGTCGTGACAGAACCGTGTGTCTGAGTGACAGGCGGGACAGCATGGCGGACTCCGAAACGGGAGTGAGAAGATGGGGGGTGGAGAACGTATGAAGCCACAAGATTGAGGTTTTCCGACACTGTTACTTTACTGCCTATCTCATTTCTGCGTAGGAAACATCTTCGTTCTAGTGATAGCTGATGAAGACACGATACGTTGGTCGTAGTTACAATTCATATTTGAGGTTCACCGATCGGGTAAACCGCGGGGCCGCGGGGCTTGTGAGCGACGCAACTTCCCTAAGTTCTTTTGCTCCCTTCTGCAGATGTCATCTGTCATACCCAGGACTGCTTTCGATATCTGCAAATATGTTTGGCCTGAATGGTACCGGAGACTGATTTGTGAGGCGATCATTTCCGACCATGCATGTATGGGGCGCAGCTCACGGGACAGTAGGTATGACAAGACAGCAGAAACATGACAAAAAGCATCGCATGGTAGTAAGTAACCCATGTACTTCCATAGCATTAATACTGCGTAGGTCTTGGTATCAGTCTCTTGTAATGATTCATACACGAATACAGCGGATATACACACGCAAACCGCGTTGGAATGCACGATGTTCGAGACAGCGAGATCTAGGCCACCTTTTAGCTTTGCCCTTCATATCCTCGGAGCCTTTAATTCCAGTCCCTCCTTCCAACGCCAGAAATGACGAACCAAATGCCACTCTTCTTTTCATAGCTCGTCCCAGTCTTTAGGAAGTGCTGGTTCCCCCCCTTTCTAAGCAAACTGATCATCCCTGTCGACGCCGACGTCTTCGAGTTCGGCAAAGTTCTGGAAGTGCAACGGTCGATGCGCATCCGCGTAAAAGCCCTGTGGTGTATCCAGCTTGACGTCAACCTTCTTCTTGACGATGGCATCGAAACCAGCGCCCATGAAGCTGTAGTTCCACTTTCCGTTCTCGGGGACCAAGAAGAAACCCTTGAATCGCGGACTGAGCAGCATCTTGCGCTTTAGTCCCATGTTGGTCGCGAAACCCTGCGGTTGGTCACTGCCAATGTCCTTGTTCTCAGCACCCCAGGCGAAACCCTGAGGAGTAAGACCCCAAGCGGACAAAGACACAGAGCCCGGTGTGAAGAATACATCGACGGTGATGGATGCATCCTTGTCAAGCGACGGGTGTCGGTCCAGAAGGCGTGCGTGCTCGGTCACGTCAGCAGCAGACATGTAGGGAAGCTCGTTGCCTGCGATTGTGTGGATGACACCGAGTGGCTCCATCGAGTGGAGGTACTCGTGGGACGGAAGCTGCTCGGGCAACGTGACATTGCGTAGGCCACCGACCTGAGGCACCATGACGATGCAACGAATCTCCTTGACCTGCTCGTTATCGGGAGCTGATGCACCGTAGAGGTAGCCCGCGACTTGTACACGCAGATCGGCAACGGTGATGAACTTCTTGAGAATGTTGCTAGGCATCACGTAAGTGATGTCATCGAGATCATTGTCGACAGGTGACACATAGAGGTTGTTGGATCGAGTACGCAAGTTCGACGTGGCAATCGCACGGGTACGCCATTCCGTCTTGGACGCGAAGGTCTGCTGCTCGTATTGCGATGTCGTCGTGACAATGAGCTCTTCTCCGTGGACGTTCTGGGTCTTTGTCGTGACTGCAGTAAGCTGCTGCTGCTCTTGCTGCTGCTTTTCGATCTCTGCAGCCTGCTGTCTCTGCAGCGAAGGTGCGGAAATCTCCATACCAAGAATGATATCTCGGACTTCACTGCTGGTCAGGCTAGATACGTTGACGTTGTTCTTTTTCCCGTAATCATTGAGAATCAGATCACGTAGCTGTGTTTCAACCTTGATCCAGTCTTCATCAGACAGTGTCGGCCAGATGTGATGTTCCTGTGTAATGACTGTCTTATCAGGGCGCAGGATAAGCTTGGTCTTGTCAGGGTTGACATGGAGGGCACGGAGAATCAGCACCAAACGTGAGAACGCAGTGTAGGACGATATACTCTTCAACCATTCGTCGTACAGGTTGAAGAGAACCATTTGCGGCTCGGTGGCTCGCAAGATCATATCTCCAAGTTTCTCGACCTTCATCGCAGCCTGGAAAGGCAACTGCAACTCGGATGCTCGGATGGATATGTTGGGGAAGTCGAGGAGATGCACCTCGAGAGGATCCAGAAGACCCTTTCGCGTAACAATGAGCTCCTTCGGCTGCTCTTCCACAGGTAGAGACCGAATAAGTGCAGCGACTTCTTCGGCGGTCTTCCACTTGGCCAATTGACCCAGACGCTTCTGACCAGCCCAAACGCTGGTGTGAATAATCTTCAGGAACAACTGACCGGTTCTCGGGTTGAAGATGAAGATAGCACCGTTGATAGGCTTCGTCGTCAAGTTACCCTCAAAGGTCTTGTGGATTGTGACACGGTACACATTGGTGTCATCGATGAACAGCTTCGTCTGGTTGCTGAACAACTCCGAGTAGTTCTGAGAGTTCAGGAATTCTTGGTTGCTCTCGGATGCATACAACTGCAGACCCTTTCGGATACGCTCACGCAAGACGTACAAAGCAGGGTTGGCCTTCATAACCTTGGCCATCGCTTGTTGTACCAATACCTTGAGACCAGGGAAATACTGGCCATAGGCCGAGTACAGGTTGTATGCCAGGTCAACACCAATCATCAGACCAGTAGGTGACGGGTAAATACTCATGCTGTCGTTGGTGTAATCGAGGTACTTGGCACGGGTGTAGCGCTCAATGTCATGAGAATCGTAGTCGCCGTACCGCAGCTGCACATCGATCCAAAACTTGTTCGTAGTGCTGGGCTCGATAACGTCCTTTGTGTCGTAAAGAAGCGAAGGCCGAGTCACGTTCCACTTGTTGCTGGCGAAGAGCAAGATATCGGCACATGAAGAGTTCATCTTGTACGATTTTCGAGGATGAATAGTCTCTTTCTGCACAGTTTCAATCCCCAGCGACTCAAGTTCTTGGTCGAATACCTGACAGAGGTCCATGACTACAGTAGTACAAGTTAGCTGAGCGTTCTACAGTGTAAAAGGGGGCGCGTCGGCGTATCTTTCGTGTATTTTTTGCCACAGATGGGCTCGGAAGATCTGAATCAAGGAGATCTTCAAAGTAGGAATCTTGCCGTGCAAGAAGATGCCTGTAAGATCGAGCTGGACTTGGAAACCGACGTAGACGTTGGCTCGGTTGATGGTTGGTGACCACCACAGAGTGAACCGACGGTTCGGAATTTGGTTCAAACCGGATCTTTGGGCGTTCGTGAGCTTCTTGAACTTCATGCTCTCTTCGAAACCGCTCGCCTTCTCCCTGGTTTTGGATCATTTGATTAGCTCTTGTTGATTCTGTTGATGTTGAAGATATTTGCCAACCTCCTTGGCCGTCTTATAGGGACTTCCCAAGGTGACGCCACAAGGCATAAGCAGCACTTGCCACAGTTGATACGGAAACGGGCCACCCGAATAACACCCGCACAACACCCGAATAATCATGGATCCACAATGGGATGGCGCAGATTAGACGATGGAATAACTGTGGGATGATGGTGGGATAGCGTAGAATAAACAATGGGATGGCGTGGAATAAACAATGGGACGCGCAGAATAGACGGTAGAATATTTGTGGGATGGTTGTGGATAGTTGTAGGATAACTGTACTTACCAGAAGAGACCCTCCCAGGACGGGAATCCGGTGGCCTTGAAGAGGGTGTGCTCCAGGATGGTCTCGACACCGCCCAGGGCCTGGATGACATCGGTTCGGTAGGCGTTCAGGTTCCACAGCTTTCCGTCGTGCCGCTGGCTCGTCCACCAGAAGGGGTTGCTCTTCATCAGCTGGTAGATCTTGAACTCGCTGCGGACGCGGAACCCCTTGTCGAAGCTGAGCGTGCTCCTGTCCTTCTGGAAGAGGGTGTTGATGCGGGGGAGGCCGCGGTCCCAGCTGTCCTCGAGATCTTCCAGCGTCAGACGTCGGTTCTGGTTGTTGGCCTCCAGGCGCTTCTGCGAGTACTCGGTCCAGACGCGCTGAGAGTCGATGAACTCGGCCTCCCAGGGGATGATGTACCGGAAGATGTTGGGAATGAGTGTCTCTTCGTCGTGGGTCATGCCAGCACGGTAGTGAGTAACACCCACATCGGTCTGCTTGGACCATCGCTTGTCGCTGGCGGGGATCAAGATGTGGGAACCCGAGATCATCCCGAGACCTCCGAGCTCCTTGGGGGTGTAGAAGACGGCCGGGGGGAAACGGGACGGCATCTTGGAGTTCAGGCCGATCTTGACTCGGGTCTGAATCTTGGTCTCGCATTTGACGATGGTGTCCAGCAGATTGACGGTAGACACGGCGGCTTCTCGGTAGTATGTGAAGAGGGCGATCAGGGCCGTGTTCCACTTGTTGGCAATCTTGGTAAAGGTGGTGGATCCCGAGGACATCAGGATCTGACGAATGCGGTTGTTGAACTTCTGGATGTCCTCCTCCGTGACCTGAAGGAATGCGTGGGCTGTCCGTTCCTTGGTCGTGTTGTCCACGAGCGACCACACGCTATCCTTGATGGGGAACTCATCGTTTTGGTTGCGAATCTTGGGCAGGATGCGGACTTCAAAGCCACACATGGAGAAGAGCAGATTCGGGTTGTCTCTGCTGTAGACGCTGGCAAAGGTGTCGTCCCACTCGATGGTGGTCACGGATCTGGGCAATCGGTTCTTCAGGTCCCAGAAGACGGCTCGGCCCAGGTTGACGTCGTGTCTCATAAGGCGCATACGCGAATCTCTTGGCCAGCACTTCTTGCTCTTGTATCCAATGACGTTCTCAAAGTTGGGATCGGGTTGCTCGGTCAGGAACCTCTGGATGAGATCCCGTGACTCGTCGGCAGTGAACCTCAAAAAGACCCAGATCTTGTCAACATAACGGGTGTACAGACGAATCGGGTGCTTGGTCTCGGTCTCTCGGTCGCGGAACTGCAGGAAATCATTGGGGCTGTTGGGCGGCCCAGCAATCTCCGTGGCTCTGTTCAAGCCGAGGAGGAGCAGATCGAGGACCAGGCCGTAGTACTGGAACACAAAACCGGAAAATTGCAAACCGCGTATCATGCCGTAACTGTTGACGTGGTTCATGTCCTTGTAGGTCAGCTGCACGTTGTTCTTGGAGCTGATGTAGTCCGCAAGATTGTGGTCCATGATCAATCTCAGAAGACGGTTCAGGAGCGTGAGGTCGATCTTTTCGTAGACCTTGGAGAGCTCGGTCTCGATCATGACGTTGCATTCACCATCGGCAGTCTCCCAAACCTTGTCCAGGTTGTTGATGCCCTGCGCCCACTTGTACGTCAGGAGCGGCGGCACCTCGGAGTCGGAGGGCTTGATCCACGCGGGGAACAAGTGTCTCTGATCGGCCTGGTACCACAGGTACTGGTCAAGGTACGCATCGCTGATCTTCTCGATAGGCTCAATGTCGTACACCGGGTTGATGGTGCTGTAGTTGTCGTTCATGTCGATCTGCACTTCCTTGAAGGCACGCTGTGTCAGGAGGAAACGCTTGATCCGCTCCAAGGTGGTGCCGGGGCTGTCGTAGGCCTGCTCAATCAGGGCGAGTTCTTCGCGCTGGTTCTGGTTGAGACGACCCTTGACAGAGTAGGCTTCTCGTAGACGCTCCAGGGCGAGAATCAAGATCTTGGTGTCATGCTTGTACGACACGCTGGGGAACGGAATAGGGGTAAACTTTCGAGATTCCAGCCAGTGCACAGTGGTGGTGTAGATGGCGACGGCCTCTTCGGAGGAGACGTAGGGACCATCCTTCATGTAGTTGTGCTGGCGTTCCTGCTCTGCCTTCAACCACAGACGCGTCAGGCGACCCACGTTCTTCTTGGCAACGGTCTTGTCCACCGTGGCACCTCTTCGGATTCTCTCACGGTTGTAGTGGGCAACCGAGATCCACCAGTCAGCCTTGGACTTGACGTAGCGGAGAATAATGTTCTCGATCGGCGCGGGCAGGCCAGGCACCTTCCAAGGAATGTTACTCTTCCAGCATCTCCAAGCCTCGGAGAGATGTTGCAAGATGGTGTTCACCTTGTTCTGCTTGATGCCCTCGGGCATCATGTCCATGAGATCAGCCATGACGGAAGCTCGCAGTTCAAGATCAAAGTGTGATTCCACACGCTGCTTCGTGACGGTCTTGGCAACGCCCTTGCTGTGACGACCCTCAAACTGACGAGACAGCAAGTTTCCAAGCCATCTCTCGAGCAGCGGGATGATACCCCTCATGAAGAAGAGCCACACTCTCCAGGCGGGTGCCCAGAAACCACAGCCGGGACCCTTTCCAACCGGCCCGCTGTTGAAGCGGTAGTAGATCAGATGCTTCAGATCCTTGCATGATCGGATCTGGTGCATGAGCTTGTACTTGTAACGGTACATACCGGTCAACTGACCCACGTGGTTAAAGGCATATAAGATACCATCAGCCAGCTGGAAGGCATCGATATTGCCGAGGCGGTACTGCACTTGGGCGTCCACGATGAGTTTGGTCAACCGCAGAATCTCACGCATGAGGTGGAACGCGTTTCCGAAACGTGACTTCTTGCGCTCCTTGGTTGTCAGGGTCTTGACCGGCTTCAGGTTGAAGTTGTAATCAAGATGAAGGTAGGTCAGGTTCTTGCGGTGGATCAGCAAGTTCAACATGTTGAAACCTTGGCGGCAGACCTGAAGTCCCGCCTCGACCCAGTCGATGGTGGTCTGCTGGAAGAACTTGGTCTGTTTCAGGCTCTTTAGCAGATTCTGCTTGTTGACAGCCTTGGGCTTCTTCTTGTGGAGCTCATTGAGAACATAGGTCTTGAGCAGCTTCTGGTACGATACACGCACCTTGACTGGCTGCTTGGGCGGGCAGTGTTCGAGATACCACTGCTTGACCAGGGGGACGTCCTGTGCTCGCACCATACGACCAGATCGTCGATCGAAGGGGAAGGGCGCCCACCACAGGCCGATGGCCGCCGAGGTGTCCTCGTTGTAGAGTTCCTCGTCGGCCAAGAAAGGCTCCACACCAGCGGGCAACTCGAAGGCATCGTCCTCCTGCTCCTCGATGTTGCCCGGGCCAAACAGTTCATCTTCATGACTGACGGTGATGTTCTTGGGCGCCACGGAGCGGGACGAAATGGGGTTGATCATGGGATCAAAGTGGAAGGCAGGGAGGCTGGGGTCGTCGGCCTTGGTGTAGACGACCTGGGAGTGAGAATACCAGTTGAAGTGCACGCTACGCGGTAGCGAGTTGTAGAGGTACGGGTAGGCAACACGCGACTCGGTGCGGATGGGGTTGCGGAAGATGATTCTGTCGATGGCGTTGAACTCGCCAAAGTCTTCGTCGTTGGGGTCGATATCCTTGTAAAGCGGCTCGAAGCGCGGGCCGCCCGGAAGAGCGACGTTGAGAGCCTTGGCAGTCAAGAAGCTCTTCATGTCAAACAAGAAGAAGTAGTTCTTGTCGTAGTTCTCGCTGAGGAGGGGCCGACTGAGACGATGCAGCGCCGCCATCTGCTGCAGCGTCAGGTTCCAGGTCTTGTAGCTGGGGCCGTTGACGTGCGAGGTGTCGACCAAGGGTCGGTGGTCGTAGAACCACTCGTAGACTGCAGCATCCTCGTCCTCGTCCAGCTCCATCTGGATGGGCTCGAGCGGCTCGACGTCCTCGATGTTCTCGGACCATGACAGCGGGGGCTCCTCGTCATCGAAAGGCGGGAAGCGCATGCGCTTGAACAGTCGCCGGTCGCTCTTCTCCTTTCGCATCGTCAGCCACATGGTGGCCCACTGCGCGTGGAAGACGGGCTCGATGACCCTGGGGATCTCGTTGACCAGGGTCAGGCAGCCGTTGACGTGGTACAGCACCTTGACCTCTCGGGCGGACTCCCAGGGCATGGGCATGTTCTCCAGGAGCTTCATGACGGCGTGGGGCATGAACTTGAGGGCGCCGAGGTAGCTGCGCTTGTCGCTGGTGTACTTCTTCTGGGAGACATCGCCGATGTCCTTGACGATCTTGCGCAGATGCTCCGGGGGCATGTCTGCCTTCTGCGTCTCGACGAAGCCGCCCTTGCGCTTCTCGCCAAAGCGGTTCCTCTGGGTGCGCAGCCATTCCTTCTTCTTCTGGGCGAACTTGGCGATCTGGGGGTCGGTGGGCGGACGGTAGCCGGGCGGGGGAGGTGCTGGAGCTCCCGGGGGCGGCGGGAGATAGTCTGAGGGAGGGCCTGGAGGCGGAGGCGGCGGCGGAGGAGGTCCCCAGCCCGGGGGAGGGGGCGGCGGCTGGAAGTTGGACATGATTGCGGTGAGCGACGTGCAATGCAGTGCGATGCAATGCTATGCTATGCCTGGTGAGGGCTGACTCGTCGGTCTCGCGCCGCGGTCCGGTCGCGAAGGACCAAGCAGATTCTGGGGCGCGCAGCCTGGGCCCGGTGATGTCCCTCGTCGACAAGGCCGAAGTGTGTGTTTGTCGGAGGGGGGAGGGGCGCGGGTGATGGTCTCGGCGTCACGCGAAAGGCTGATGCCGATGACCTTTGCGGACGTTTGCGTGAGGCGGGTGCAGTGATGGGATGGGTATCGTCGCCTCCCGCTCTGTCGCTGTCTCTGTCTCTGTCGACTCGACTCGACTCGCCTCGTAAAAAGTTTCGGCCAGTCGCGAAGCAGCTGGAGCAGCTAAACTCTGACGGCAGTACGGTAGGTAGACTCTGACTGGATGCACGGCCGCTGCCTCGACCGGGGGCGGGACGCTAAACCCGGAGAAGGGAGCAGAGCTCGCTCGACACCACGTGACCCAGACTTCCCGACTCTGGCCCAAGCTCTAGGCGACTGGGACCTGGTGCCCAGGTGGGGACGTGGACAGGTGTGGCTGGGCCGGCCTGGGGTGGGCAGGTGGGTCGAATATTGAGGCTGGAGGCTGGAGGCTGGAGACTGGAGGACTGGGCCCGCTCTCGGCTCCCTGTGGCCGTGCTGGTCCCCTCCTCGCCTCCAGCCAGAAAAAATGCCCCCGTGGGTCGGGCAACTGGCAGATCGGCTGGCCGCGTCTTCCCATTGGCCATTGGCCATTCGCCAGTCGTCCTGGTGGCCCCCCTTCCACACAATTATTTTCGCAAATTCGCACCACGCCTCGCAAAATTTCACGACTCCAGACCGACCAGCCAAGTTCGAGATTCATCACCCATCGCCCAACGCCCGACTAATCTCGACAGTCTCACAGCAACACCGCCAAGATGCCGGACAACCGTGTTACCTACCGCCGCCGCAACCCGTACGTTGCCATCTCCCGGTCCCTGCCTGTTTCCCGCGCCCCGAACCTGCGCTGCGAAGGGCCGCGGAATGCATGACTGAGAACCGCTGGGCTAACTGGCCGCCTCTAGCTACAACACCACCTCCAACCTCACCCGCATCGTCAAGACCCCGGGCGGTGAGCTGCGAGCTCTGCACATCAAGAAGCGCGGCACTGCTCCCAAGTGCGGTGACTGCGGTACCAAGCTCCCTGGTGTAAGTTCAGGCAATCGGTACCAGGACCCGTTCCGCCTCTGCGAGGACGACCGGGCCCGGCAATACAAGACAAGACATCGGACACAAGACGGACGGGCCAAGGAACGAGCGAGCGATGATATTCAATGGCGCACGACCCTGGAATCAAATGGCTGAGCAATCCGTGTTGAAAGTTGGGCTTGGCTACAACGCAGAGGACAGACACCGTGTGACCCTCAGCTGGAACCATCTGCCCGGAGCGAAAAAAAAAAAAAGAAGAAAAGAAAAGTCTTGTCTTGTCCTGCCGCGGCCCTTCAGCCGCCTTGCAGAGCAGAGCAGTCCCGGGACACCTCCCCACGCTGGACCGCCAACTAACCCGTTCACACAGGTCCCCGCTCTCCGTCCCCGCGAGTACGCCCAGATCTCGCACCCCAAGAAGACTGTCCAGCGCGCATACGGTGGCTCGAGATGCGGTAACTGCGTCCGCGACCGCATCGTCCGTGCCTTCCTCATCGAGGAGCAGAAGATCGTCAAGAAGGTGCTGAAGGAGCAGGAGGGCGCCAGCAAGAAGAAATAAATGGACATCTCATGACAAAAGGGAATGAAGGGTGGAATGGTTTAGGTCCGTCTACATTGCTTTAGGGTGTTCATCTGGGGACAGGGCATTCGCATGTGTCATCTTGCAAATGGGGCTCGTGATTCAAGAGCACCTGGCTGTTTCTAGGGCGTCTTCGAGTGTCTAGATGATCGGAACGGAATAAACGACATCAGGACATCACCACTATCTGTCACCGCCTGCCTGCAAGTCATGTATTCATCCTGGTGAATGTACAGCTTTTGGCTGGACGCGCAAGTCGGACTTGTCAAGGCACGTCGAGTTTTGACGCATCCGGAGGGGTGGTATTTGGAAAGCTGTGTGTCGATGCCAGGAGTTCTGTGTCCGTGATGTTTTCAGATCCTGCTCCAGCCTCAACTACGACGTTCGCCCGGAGCAACTCCATCTTGATGCGCAGCAGCGATGCCCGTCTAATGTGAATCTTACTCGTCCAGTTCCACCGACATTCTCACTATCTAGGGCGAGGTTCATCCATATTCCGGTCAAGTCACTGCGCCAACCCATAGCCAATTGAAAGTTTGTACTTTGATCCATATGCATGCCTCGACGAAGCCCAGCCAGCTTTTCGTGAAACCAATGGATCCGTCCCTCAAGCCAACTCAGTTGCTTCAGTAGATTGCCTCTTGCGGCATGTGGTATCGTCCTTGCAGCTCCGCGCCAGGCTCGTACGTCCTCCGCAATCTTCTCAGAATTTACAAGTAGTATACACTGCAAACCTCATATGATCTCATGCCACCGTCGAGCGGCACGTCTTCCCCACCTAGGTAATTCCATTTTGATACAGAGTCCGGGTCCCCCGTTAGGTGACACCCAGCTCGCCCTACCATCCCGTCTACTCGTGCGTGACGCTGCCCTCGTCGCCCTCTCCGGCCCCTTGGCCCTCAACCCACCCGATGGGGACCAGCGCGGCCGCGACGTCCTCGACGCCGCGCTCCCGCACCAGCAGGTTGAACTGCGCGGCCGCGTTCCGCGTGTCCAGCACCTCGACCCGGATGCCCAGGGCGCCGATCGCCCTCCGCAGCTCGGGGCTGATGGGCCGGTTCTCGGGTCCCACGCCCAGCACGAGCAGGTCCGGCAGCGGCCACAGGTGCGCCAGGACGTTGAGCGCCGCCGCCGGGATGTCGTACTGGCCCTTCTTGTTGAGGAGTCGGTACGGGGACGCGGTCGCCGAGGAGGCCGACGCGGCGGCTTCCCATGGCCGCCAGCGGAACGCCTCGCCGCTCACGAGGAACACGCCCGATCCGTCTGTGATGCGCGCCCCGTTGTTCAGCTGGAACCCCGAGGCCATGCAGATGTCGATCGAGTTCGAGGGCACGGGCGTGTTGGCCAGGACGTCGAGGGCGCCCAGGTCGGTCCGCGACGATCCGCCGGACCCGTCATTCCGCAGGCGACGGCTGGTGTGAAAGGACGAGGCGAATGGTATTCTACCAGTGACTGGGTAGTGTTGTGCTGGTCGTGCGCATCGCGGCCGGGTTTGTGTTGCGAAGCGTTCGATTCTGCGGGGGCTTGTGTGGCCTGTGGTCTGCTTGAACAGGCAGTTCAGTGTCTCGGGGGCGTGGGCCGCGCGGGCAGGCCTCAGAAATGAAGCCATTATGGAAGTCGAGCAGAATCTGATACTACCGTCGAGGACAAGCGAACATTTGTACGGTGGGTGGTGAAGCTGCTGCTGAGATGGGGTGGTGTAGCTTGAACGTCATCGACGAGAGAAAAATAGGTCGGCGATTTACAGCTTCAAAGTCCGACGAGCACTCATCCAATCAAGCTAGGTCCCGTTTGCCATGGCCAGAGTATGGACGAATTGCAGCATCTCTAGACCGTTGCACGAGCTCGTAAAGTCAGTGAACGTTCCCCTGAGAAATTGCAATTCATAATTCTTGCTAAAATCTGTCAGTCTCTGTCTGTCTCTGAATACATTGGACCTCAGTTGCCAATGGTGACTGGTCACAGTTTCTTGCACCAAGCTGCCACACGTGCGGTATACTGACTCGAGCAGGAACCAAACGGCTTCATTCAACGACCTTTGGCTGAGCATATTCGACCACATGGAATACGAATTCGATCTCATAGGCCTCTTCGTGAATCCTGGAAGCACCCAGATGACTCCGGCGTTGTAGACATCGTCTCGCTAGGCTTGCCGCACTACCCGTCCCTATTTTGGTGCCCGACTACTGTGAAGAGCCGCCGCACTGATACCGAGCTACCTAGGTATCCTTACACAGTAACTTCATAGCAGTATTCGCGTGCTGCGGTATTCCACAGTAGATACGGTGTCCAGAAGCTGATTAGGCTCGCCAAGGTTTACAACTGTCCTGCACGTCTATCTGCACTGCTGACAATGCTTTCTATGCGCGGAAAAAGAACTCTGGCTGCCTACCTGTTGCGCAATCCAGTCACATTCTCCCGTCAGCAGCAATGGCCCAAATTACAAGCGGTAATTGATGAGAAAAATGCTGGGCTCTCAGAACGGGGCACTTGCTGCCGCCATCAGCCTTACAAAGCCCCCTGTAGATGCTGCCGTGTTCCATTGGATAGGGCGTCCCAGTCCAATCACAGCCTGCCGAGGGGCCACATTTCGCACGTTGGGCTGGTATGACAATCTGTTTGGCCAAGCAGGGAGCTATGGACCACGGCGTGGAAGCTATGACATCGCTTTTCCAGAATATTAAAGTTGCTGCATTCTGCTCCGGACTGCCGATGCGTCGATACAGTACCTGTCAGCGGCGCAAACTCACAAAGTGTCGGCGACACCTGTCCAATTTAGTTTCATGTGGCATCAATGCAGCACGCAATCCTATCCGTCGCTGTTGAGCCGCTCGTTGACTGAAGACTCGTGGTGCGACTTCGGCTGACCTGCGAAGCCCAGAATTGCCTCTTCGGGGGTGGCCCAGCGAAGCGGGCAGTCGAGAAACCGCAACGGCGCATAGTTTCGGCGGCAAAGGAAGCTTAAGTCGACGGCCATCCTCCTGAGGTTTGCGCTTTCTACTGATCCAGCCTCGCCCACATCACTCAGCGCCTTCCCGTCGCCCAACTTGGGCGTTGCTCTTTGCGGCGCCGTTGTGGGCGCTACGGGCCCAGCCAACCCCGATACTCATCGATATCGGCTTCAGATCATTATTGACAGTGTTCACGGGAATTTTGCTGCGATTCTTCATTGCTATCACATAGTAGTAGGCTCCAGAAACTTGTACGACTGTCAAAGCTGTTCCAACCGAGTTCGATCACCGTGCATCATTCGCAGCACTGTCTACACAGGGACCATCACGCCAAGGTCGCCGAATGGCTCACTCGCAGCAGGTCTCCGGTTTGTCCACACTTGGCCCATCATCATATGTCAACCCTCATACTGACACCTTACCTTAGACGCCGACGCCACAGATCCCGGCCTCCTCAAGGATAATTCTGAGGTGAAGTCTTATACAACGAAAAGATTCACTTATCCTGGAGTCCGCGTCTTCTTTCGCGCTCGTGCTAAAATTAATGAGCTTCCTCGAGACCCTGCTCCATTGCCACTGCTTGTCTTCGTTCATGGCTTGGGTGGATCGGTTGCCCAATTCCATCCTTTACTGACGAGTCTGTCAAACCATGCTTCCTGCTTGGCTGTTGACCTCCCGGGCTGTGGCCGATCTGCATTCGCCCCTGAGGACTGGGAGGCGTATTCCACGGATGCTTTGACGGATCTTCTCGAAGTGGTCATCGATGACTATCGCGACAAGGACCATGATCAAGGCATTATTCTCATAGCCCACAGCATGGGTACGGTGCTCGCAGCGAGGCTCGCCAACAAGAGAGCGCGCCACGTCACTAACATCGCATCCTATGTGATGGGAGTGGTTGGCATCTGCCCCGTGGCTCAGTCTCTGCCCAAGGAGAAGGTTGCGCAATTTCGGAACCTTTTGCGGATACCAACATGGCTGTTCAACCTCTGGCGGATGTGGGATCAATGGGGTGGGCCAGAAAGCGCGAGTGTAAAGCGCTTCGTAGGGCCGGATGCCGATCTGGTCTCTAAACAATTGCAACACCGATTCAACAGGCAGAGCCGATCTCCGGTTTTCCGACGGGTGGCATGGGGCAGTCTGCCGACGTATGTGGGTGAGAAACCTGTCGGTGGCCTGTTTGGAGAGCCAACCTGGGCAGGACTCGACGTACCAGTCCTTCTTATCGGGGGCGGAAGCGACCTTGTCACGTCGCCGAAGGAAGTCGAAAAGATCGCAACAATTCTTCATTCGAATCGAGAATCACTTGTGACCAATGGTTCCAGCTCCAGTGGGACTATCGCAGAGTCTGCCGCACCTATCGCGGCCACCGCAAAGCCAAGCGATCATCTCCCGGAGTCCATCGATGCTATCACTGACGATGACTTCAAGCGAAGGGAATTTATCAAGAACGCCGAAGAGAGCATGGAGGAACCAACCACTCCGCGAGATGCCAGCGAGACCCCGGCTGGTATTCCGCCACAACCTCGACACCCCAAGAAGGTAGTGAAGACCGTGATCATGCCCAATGCAACACATGCACTCCTCTACGCCCCGAAGACTCATCGCACAGTGTCCGGACTTATCAGCGACTTCATGTCAGAGCACATCACCGGGAGACTCGACTTTGCTTGGCAACTACAGCACCTCAACCGCGAGGGAAAGTGGGAAATGAAGAACCTGGCAAAGTGGAAGGCAATCCAGCCCGTTTCAAAGTCCATCAACGGGATATTCCGCGCCATGAAGACTTTACGGGAAGGTGATGAGGATCATTCGCCACAAAAGTTCGCAGCGGATTGGGGCCACATCGTCAAAGATATCATCGACATCAGCAAGGACAATCCTGCGTATAGCCCAAATAGCTTACCCGAGCTGGGCATCAAGTATCACAAGTTCGCCACGGTCTCAAAGATTCCCCCAACGGATGCCGAAGTTACAACCTTCGTTCATCTGGTAAGTGATTTTACAGCGCAGCCACCTACAGAAGACTTGCTGACTGTGCGTACGTAGGTGGACCAAGTCAGGCAGGACCAGCAGGAAAGGGCACATAAAGAGGGATGGAAGGAATACGCCGTGGGTGTTCACTGCCACTACGGATTCAATCGCACAGGCTATTTCATTGTCTGTTATCTCGTTGATCGATGCGGCCTTGATGTTCAGCAAGCCATCGAAATGTTCGCGGAGGCTCGTCCTAATGGAATTCGGCACTCGCACTTCTTGGACCGCCTCTACAGGAGATATTCCGGCCTCGACGTATGATTGAGGTCAAACCGCTTTTCGTTATTTTCTTCCGGGTGGGGGAGTTCGGTTAACTGGCGTTGCGTTGGCAAAGGGAAGGGTCTCCTGGTATGGATATCCTGTATCTCGGTCTTTTCACCAGCGGGTAGATTAGGAGTTTTCGGTACCTCAGCGCTTTTCAAACATGTTTCAAATTACTGCTCCCATTTGCCGCACGACCGTGAATGCGCGTGTCTACCGTTGTGTGATTTCTAGAATTCTTGCAGTAGAGCTTGAGTAAGAACTGACTTGGTGGAAAGTGAACCACTTCCTTAACGGTGTGTGTTCTAGCATGGCGATACACGGCGACGAGGCACTGTGAAAACTGGATTATGCTGACCTAAGGTTTCCTGGTGAACAATCTTTACCTAGAGTTGCTCTCCTTCTTTAAGAAGCAGTGGCCTTGCCTTCATTGTGCAACTCCTTACTTCCTGCCTGAGCAAATTAGGCACACAGTCATTCTATACAAACCTATTATGGGTACTGCAGAACAATCGCAAGGATACCAAGACAGTTTGAATTATTGCAGACCATCACGCTCATCATGGGAATTATTTCCTCAGTCAGATTTCCATTGATGACCCACTTGCCAAACCATTGTTGCTCATGAGCCATCGTCTCGACAAACCTTGTTTACTTGACTCCATTCACCTGGAGCAATCTCCGAAAGTACTGGAAGTAATACAAAAACACGTCAGATCTGATTCACATAGCTCTCCCTCCACGAGCTCCAGCTTTTCCCACAAACCTTCTGGTCGAACTCCACTTGTCACCCTATACTCATAAGCTGTTTCCAGATCGGGCAGTCGCACACTTACATCAGTCAACCAACGTCAATGTCTTCCACGATGTCTGGTACTTCTCTCCGACACACCTCGCGCGCTCTACGCGCTCTACCTGCACGGTTTACATCCCGCAACACCTCTTGGGTTGCATTCGAGCAGCCCAACGCCTCCAACTATGCGGCACCTCAGCCACCCAAGGCGTCACACACGGACGGCCGTCCCGAGATCATCAGAAATACTACCGGTAGTGGCGCCACCTTGTTTACCCAGAAGACCTCTGCAACGGTCACCGCCTCGACAGCCCGCAAGCCCGACACGGGGTTGATGGCTGCTGGCGCGATGCGCATCCCTTCCCAGCTCCGAACAGTCATCACGGCGAGAGGCGCCTCGCAGAACCGTCCGTACACACGGGTTAGGGGCGGGCTCTGGCGCGACGAGTATCTGCCGGACCTCTTCGTCAAGCTGGACGGTCACCCCATGACCTGGAGATTGGGGACCTACAAGCAACTAGAGGCCATCGACAGGCAGTCTATGGTGACGGCAGGTTTCTACCAGGGCTCTACCCACATCACCAAGGCAGTCGACGCTGAGCTGCCTGAGTCAGAAGCCGCTCAACCCGAATCAACGACCCCATCGTCTCATCTGAACCATCTCAAGACGGAGCGCGATCGCATGGCCCGGTTGGTCGAACACCACGAGAATGAGTTCTTGGACGTTTACAGCATTTGATTTTCTCCACCTCTGGAAGGAATTGAGCAGGACTGCCAATTTAGCACATTCTGTTGTGTTGTTGGTTTTCCATTATTTGGTCAAGCGAACATCTGGAGCGTCAGCCAAAAGTGACGGCAACTCAGAAAAGATACCCACATAGGCGATAATAGACTGATTTCATACAACTTGATTCTCGCAGATGTTCCTGAGAATTTCCATGGCGTGTTTGCCTCAGCGGAGTCCTCGTGTAGGTCGCGTTTTTCACAGACGTGACTGGGCCAACAATGCACGCTGTTATGATAGCTGTTTCTAGAGCCACCATGTAACGACTATGCTGGGAAGTCGGCAACAGTGCACACGTGCCACTACTTGGGAAAGCAGTGCAGACAAGATTTCCAAGTGCAGAAAATCGATGTGACCTCGGCTATCCATGACCAACTATCCCATCACATGAGGCCTGGTTTTAGTCAGCGGCCGACATGACAGAGGGTCAATGGCAGCTTGAAGTGAGTGAGCAAAGAGAAGTCAGCCCAGTGACTTGCCTTCTGTGAGGTTATCGTCAGTCTTGCCTCCGCTGAGTCTGGTGACCTCCAGAGATCAGGGCAAAGTCATCGCCATGCATATGTCAAGAACCCGCACTGCGACCCGTGCACCGTTTCTTTGAGTAAAGAATATCATAAGGCCCATCATGTGATTTGTGTGTGATGTCCGCCTGCTGAGCCACTGCAGTCACCAACTTTCTTTAGTGAGCGTACAGCGCAAAGACGCAAGGGTGCACATGACTACCCTGCCGCCAACTTGAAGTCTCTGCAAGTGCAACATGAAATGGAAGTTATCACACCACAAGAACGATCAGGTGAGTCTCAGCATGAAGCGTCTTGGTAATGCTTCTACAGATGTGGCTGTAGCCTCCTGCTGCGCCCAAAGTCTGGTTGGATGCTCCCGCAGGATAGTGGCGGACGTGTTTCAATCTCTGCAGAACCGGTTGGTGAAGTGAAAGTTAGGTTTGCATAGAGTTGGAACGTCATCTCATCAATCTCGGGTCTGACCTCCGTGGCTTGAACTATAATCAGGGCCACCCAAAAGCACGCATGTGAGAGCACATCTATCACACACAAAAAGCATGATAAAAATAAGTAGGTATATCGTAGACCAATCCAGGCAAGGAAATACTCATAGTGCCTGCCACTTAGTAATACGCACGCAGTACGCTGCTTATGGGGTTGTTGGCGGCGGAGCAAACAGCGTCCTTGGTAATACCAGGGCACCAACGGACATTCGTTGGGGGAAATCCAGTCTCAGGTACCACGTCGTCCATCACTGAAACGGCCAAAGAAGCTGTCGCCTACGCTGAACCGCACGCACTGGCTCTTGGGACCCGGAGCTTTATCTCTGTCTATGCTCCACCAGATGAAACTAGTTGAACCACGGCGAATCCGCTTGTGCCCTCGGACAGCTATTATAGCGTAGTGTGGCGCGACGCACACCGTGGGATGCTCCAGCCAAGCCATCCACACCTTAATTACGCCTTGGACCCCTGGAAGGTCAGACAAGCCCTTTGGCGCAATGCAGTCTTCGGCCTTGGAACTGTCACTTTACCATGAGGCTTGGGCTGTCAAGATGCATGGGCTGAGCTATGGAGTATGCCGCATTGAACCGTCAAAAGGTGTACGAACTTGAATTACAGCAGAATTCCAGCGAATTGGGTCGATTCTGCAGCAAGACACTGCATTGTAGCCAACATGCAGGAAAATACAAGACAGCCTTTCGAGGTGCAGAAACAAATGCAGACCTCATGGCCATGTGGCATGTGATGAGTGAGACGAATCCTTTCCGTGTGTCTATTCGGGGACAAGTCGACTGTCACGATTGGCTCAATAGTCCGAGGGGAAAAGTTGACGGATTGCGGAACACTTCAAGGGGGGCGGGCTAGTAATAGCCCTCTCAAGCTGAGTTATCATTCCGCGGACGCTTATACGCGTGCGCCTCTGGAGATAGTTTCAGGATCGTACGCAAATCTACCATAATCCAGAGGTTGCACAGACAAGGTCCGAAGAATATTTATAGGTGATGCTTTCGGACCTGAGACATGACCTCTTGCTCTTCACCCAACCGCATCCGCACACGAAACAAAAGCACAGCACACCGGGATACGACAGCTTGATCCTTATCCTTGGATAACCAAGTAGTCTTTTCTTTCAATCATTCCATCAGCTCGAAAACATAAGCTATATATCACCATGTCGCCCACCGAGACCAGAATCTCCACCGCCTTCTCGGAGGACACGTCGGGCGAGGCCATCCTCAACTGCCTGCACAACCACGACCGCTACATCCGAACGACGTGCCCGCAACTCATCTCGTACAAGCATGTGTCGGGGGTACCGGACCTTGCCTACCCCTGCGTCTACGAGGTCACGGACAAGCGGCCGATCGGGCAGACGACGTACACGCTGACGCTGGTCAACCAGAAGGACGGCATCGACGCCCACATCGACGGCAAGGCGCCGACGGGCGCTATCAACATCCAGAGCAAGTGGCGCGTCACGGAGGACATGCTGGAGGAGGTCATCCTCATCGACAGCAACATGCTGATGAACAAGATGATCAAGGGCGGCGTCGAGAAGAACCATCCGGCGCAGCACCAGGGTTTCATTGAGGCCGGGCGGGCTTAGAAGGCTACCGGCGTGTAGGGAGGACGTAATATAGAGAGATCGTTAATCAGGAACCGTTTCATACCGGAGATCGTGATCTTGATGGATTGTTTCTGGTAGTGTATGTGTATGTCACAAATACTATAGGAACAGCTGAAAGGGTGCCTACTTGCGTACCTTCCAAACCATGAGACTCGAACTTAGACTATCGCCGAAACTCATCCATAACTCTCGACCGAAGGGTACTAAATGGAGTGTCAAGAATTCGATGAGGCCCATCGATTATGAGATTGTAAAGCAGTTACAACGGCACTCTGTGGTGGCATGGAAAGTTGGATTCATTTAATCACCAGTAATGATTCGTGTTGCCGCCAAACCAGACTAACCCCTTAAACTTCCTTTACCGTCCGCAAATCCCAACCCTAGATACATGATCGTTGCTTGCCGTCTTTTCTACAGTAGAAAGACCCTTTCCCTTTCCCGTCACGAAGCGTTTCCTGCCTCAAACCTTGCCGTGGCGGCCTGCTGAACACGTGCAGGGCACAATGTCTTAGCCTTGTGGGCGGTACGGAGTGCAAAGCTTTGCACGTTGACATGACCATATATCTCTGATCACAAATTAGTGCTTTCATCAACATCGTTTACATGTGCATAATTCGTTTCGAAGCTTTAGGTGCCTCGTAGTTTGACTGGTGTCCCTCCTCCATTTTTTGTGCCTGGTTGATCGACGGATCTCGATCAATAGCCTCAACGTACGTGGCGCTTCTTATCTCCATTGCTCGCGGTATATGGCGCTTGTAGTCGATGACTTCAGATGAGCTGCCAATATTTGACACCATACATTTCTCCCTCGGACCGCAGTGCATTTTTCACTGCATTCGCCGTTCATAAGTGGTATCGTAATCAGACGTCTTGCTCGTTATCGCATGTTCACCTCTCGTCATCCAGGCATGCCACCAGGGCCGCGATCAATGACATGAAGCCTCTGTGCATGCTCGCTGACGCCAGGAGGCAAACCAAGTCTTTGCGTATACAGACCGGACCGCAAGAGCTTTTCTCTAAGCCGAATATCCAAGAGGGTATCTTTATCACGTGTCACGGGCTACTTTGGGCCCTTCTCATTTTTCTTTCTTAGTGTCCAAAGACGAGTGGGCTCGAACGAGGGACCCGGACCATCAGAGGAGACCGTCTTTTCAGCACCAACACAGCGTTCATTCGCTAGAAATGATTGACTTCTCGGCACGGGCGCGCATATGATTAGCATGAGTCTCAAGACAACGAGCCATCAAATGGGTGACTGTAGGATCCGGTTAGTGTAGAGCAAATACAATCGAGGAATGTTTACATACCAGGCCAAACAGCAGACTTGTCCATCATATATGCCGTGACCCTAAGAATCTTGGCAGCATATCCGCTGTGTTCATCCATTTGAAGCCGCGCATCGATACCAGTATTCATACTGCCGCTCACAAGGTCAAGGCTCATCTTCATTTCGGCGCTGGTGAGCACCTCCTGGATCTTGCCGAGGAGCTTAACATCTTCATCTTCCAAAAGCATGATGGCTGGAACTTGGGTCAAATCGACATCGTCTTGCCCCAGCACGCCAAGATAACGACCAACGCGCTCTTGAAGAGTGGCGACCCATTCAGCGAGAACCTGAGCACAGTCGAAGGCGCACAGGGCAGATTGCATCGGTAGCTCTCGGCTTGTGAAGTCAGCGAAAGTCACGCCAAGCTTGTCCGCCATGGATAGCGAATCTGCAGCGTAGAAGGCCGCCTTGCGGAGGTGCCTCTCCCGTTTTGAGATGGTCCGGCTAGATGCTTGCTGCATCAGGCCGCCTGGGGGATACTTGGCTGCGGCAAATTCAGGAGACGACGACTGTGTGGGGGGCGAGTCGACGAACACGGAGCTGGAGGCCGACGCGTCGGATGGATCTGTGGACGATTCCGCGTTCGAGGCCGGGGAGTGCTCGGCGTGCTGGATGATCTCCGTCCCACGGGAAAGCTCCTCCGCCAGGCCGTCCCAGTCTCTCTGCCAGAACTTCTCCTTGGAGCGGGACAGATTTACAAAGAGCCTAACATAGGCGAGGTCGAGCAGCGGGATTGAATCGGCAGACAATGGGCCCATGCCGAATGGGTTGGGCCGCTCCAGACTGTGGTGAGGGTTACTTGCCCAAGCGGCTTGCCATGCCTTCAGGGCCGGCTCAATGTGGCGATGCATCTTCTCCGTCTCCTCGTTGGTCCAAATCTTGTTGTGGTGGCGTTGACGGGTTTCCCAGATGTAGTTGTGCAATGCATTAATCAGAACCAAACAGCCAAAAGTGCTAGGTTTCAGCTCGGGCTTGGGCATGTCACCTGAACCGAGCGACGAGCCAAACTGCTGAGACCCGCTGCCGAGTGCAAGCTTCTGTTGCTTTTCGTTCGTACGCAACAGCTCTCCCAATGCGTCATGGAACGTCATGCGGTTGTGCCCTGCGGCGCGAACGCCGCCCTTCAGCCGGAAGGCTGCCGTACTCTCGGCAGCAAAAAACTCCTCATCGCACGGTAAATCCAACAAAATTTCAGAGTTCGTCAAGGCCGGGGCATGGTTATAAGCAGACACTAACAGGCTAGAGAGAATGAAGATGGTGTATAGAGTCCGCTTCCTTTCCTCCATGGTTTTCCATCTCAGCCATTCCGCTTGCTCCTCGGACTCGGCCTTAATTCCGCTCCAGCTGCCTTCCGCATCATTGACTTGAATGTCATGGTTATCCGCGGAATCCAGTTTGACGGGCCGCAGCAAACCAGCTGCCTGGGCCAGGCTGACAAGCGCGGCACAGTGCGTAGAGGCAATGTCGCTAGCTGTCTTGTCGCCGCAGTTGTGCCCGTAAATGACATTCAAAAGCATGGCCTGGACGAGCCAGACCGGCGTGTGGACCGAGGACTCGGAGCCAAGCGAGCCGTGGTCGGACATGGGCGTTCGGCGGAAGTCGGCCTTGCGGACGTCGGCTTTGCGTCGCTCCTCGAGGTACAGCTGGATCATCTTCTTGGCCATTTCGAAAAGGTCCCTCGACTGCGTGTGGTCCAGCTCATACAAGGCACCAATGGCCGCCATGGACAGGATCAGGCAGCCGCTGCCCCCGGCCGAGCTGGCCTTGGACGCCGACGGCTTCGAGGGCATGTCGAACGAGAGGGTCGGGACATGCAGAAACGGCATATGAGGGTGAAACAAGCGGAGATAAGACCCAACATACCGTTGCAAGTCATGAGTGCTGGGCAGATTCTTAGCGTGCTCTGGGACATTTTCTCCATTTGACTGGTTCTGGGGAGACATCGGAGAACTTGGCGTTGGGAAGGAGTACTTCCGGCCACCAAAGGAGGGAGCACATTGCGAGAGGGCACTCACGATTGCAGCCCTTGTCGCGTCCGTGATGGTCGAGACGGGAGAGGGTCCATGGTGGCTACCGCCCAGCGACGTGGGAGTCTCGGGGCCATTGCCAAAGCCGTTGAGGGCTTGGTTCAGATTCTGGGGGTTCAGTCCCGACATGACGGACGGGCTCAGAGAGCTCATGGAGGGAGGTGGCGTTGAGAAGTAGACGTTCTCCATGGTCTTCTGGGAGGCAGGCTGGGGTGAGACGGGGGCGCCATTCATGAGGTCGGGGAAGACGGAGGTGTTGAGGTCTAGAGAAAAGGGGTTATTCATGGTTGGCGGGCCCATGACGGCAGGTTGCCATATCGAGCTGGTGGCCGTGGTCACGGCAGGGTGGTTGGAGCCGTCGAGCATGACGTCGCTGATGCCGCTCTGGCTCGTGGTGCTCATGGCAGAGGGCGAGTTGCTCTCCACGGCGTTCTCGTTGGGGTTGTTGAAAGACATGTTCTGCTCAAATCCTGTCAACCAGTCAAAGTTCTCGTCCAGGTGCTGGCTGGAGGACACGTCGGCCATGCCGTTGCCAAAGGGAGACGTCGGGTCCAGGGCCATGGAGTGCGGCGACTCGCTGTAGTGCAGGGCGTTGGGATTTATGGTGGATCCAGGCTGTCCGAAGAGGAGGCCCTCAAAGTCAAAGTCGGGCTGTCCAAACGCCAGCGGGGGAGCAGTACGCAAGCCTGCACCAAAATCCATGTTGTTAATTCCATGTGTCTCTAACTTGGGCAGGCCGTGGTGCATGCCGCGCTGGCCCATGACCGAAGACATACCGCCGAAAGCGTGGTCCAGATTGTGGATTGGCAAGCCGATCAGGCTGGGGTGGCGGTTGTGCGAGGGCTGAGCGTGGCTGCGGGCCACCGAGGCGTTGGCGGCCGCGATCATCTGCATGTGGGTGCCGTCGACATGGCTGATGGTGTTGGCCCGGGGCCGCATGGCAGCGGCGTTGGCAGCGGCGTTGCTTGCATTGGCGGCGGCGGCGACGCTGTTCTTGCGGGCGCGGCTCTGGCCCGGGGCGGCACCGCTGGCGCTCTCACGGCGGTTCCGCGGGCGCGACGACGGTGTGGTGGTCTGGTGCAGCTTCTGCTGGTGACGCAAGAGCAGATCCCGGCGGGCGAAGCATCGTGTGCACTCGGGACACTCAAAGGGCTTCTCCTTGGTGTGGGATCGCTCGTGACGTTTCAGATGTTCCAATCGGGCAAAGGAGCGCTGACAAGTCGCGCAGACATGCGGCCGAGGCTTGTCGGTCTTGGGCGGTGGGAAGGTCGGGGGAGCCTTGGCCGTGTTGACGGTAATGGTGGAGGCTTCGCAGACAACATGTTAGTTTGGGTATTTTCGAAAACGAGACGGATGCTCAGCAAGGGGAGACTGCGTGCTGGTGGTGAGGCTCCCGGGGAGAGCAGCTGGGCTCGCCGCGGGAGGATGGAGGGGCAGCCAGCAGCAGTGAGAGAGAGAACATGACGGACGGGCCATACCGGTTTCGTCGTTGGCACCATTGCTCCCGGCGACGGCGTTGGGAGGAGAGGAATTGGACATGGCTACCACGAGATACGCCGAAGCAGCAGCGGCTTCGAGCGAGGAGTCGAGACCGGAGGCGGAGGGCGGAAGGAAGGGGGAGTTGTGAGTACAGAAAGATGAGTCGATTGCCGCCGTGGTTTGGAAGTGGGATGAATGAGCGGCGGGCGGTGGGCTGTGTGGGCTGTCTAGTCTTGTCTGTGTGTGGTTGGGCCTTTTTTTGGTGGGGTGGGAGGCAGACAGAGGGAGAGAGCAGACAGCGACGGGTCCCAGTTTGCCAGTGGCAGCAAGCAGCAGCTGGTGGTGGGCTTATTGGAGCTGGTGCTGGTGCTGGAGCTGGAGCTGGAGCTGGCCGTGGGTTTGGAGGGGCGTCGTCGAGCGCGGCGGGATCGGAAGGACGAAGCAGGGTGGGAGAGAAGCGCGCGAGGCCGTAGGCGTTGTCGCTCGCATACTCCAGTCGCACAATTGAGGCGGGCGTGAGCAGAGGATAATAGTCTTGTCGTCGAGAGTCTATTTCCAGCGTCCCGTCTGCTATTGTGTTGTCTCGCGGGAGGTTGAAGTTGGAACTGGGTTGATTGGAAAGAGCAAGTTGATCAACCAGCGACCTCCGAGTTTAGAACACGGCGAGCCGAGCGAGAGAGAGCGAGCGAGCGAGTGAAAGCACTGGCCCCAGTTGGCCCCTAGTCGTCCAGCGTCCAGCGTCCAGCGCTGTTGCGTCGGATGCTAGGCAGTACCTGGGTGCTGTGCCAGGTGCTAACTAGGTGCTAAAGGTGCTAAGGCCAGTACTGCGGTACATGCCAACGCAGTACGTACCTGCTGTACGTACCGGTTGCAGCACCAAGTCCCAGCCTGCCAGCAGGTGCGACCACGCCCACCGCCCGCAAACGCCGGCTGCCCATTGGCTGCTGCCCCACAGTGGGCGCCCCCCCGGCCCAGACGTCTCGCCGTTACTCGTACTTCCTGGCGGCCTGCGGCTTAACTAATTGGTCAAGTGATGCCCTCGTCGCCGACTCGCCGCCCAGGTAGCCTGTACTTGGCGCGCCGCCGTCATCCGCGCTGATGCTGCGCAGGGCCAGGGAGCCGGCAGGGACCTGGCAGGGACCTGGCCGTGGCGGGCGCACCCTCGACTCTATGCCCGACGGGGCCCGACAGGGGCCTTTCGGCTTTAACTGGCAGCCCTCTGACTGGTCGGGGCGAGGTTTCCCCGGCTCAAACCCACTGTGGGTTTGGGTTCTTGGTCATAGGACCTCGTGCTGCTCGCGTACAGGGTACCTGCGCCCTGCGTATCTCACGCTTCTGCTGCACGGGTGGATCGATCTTTCCCTTTCCCACGTCAAGTTTCATCTCGTTTCCCATCACAGTTTCTGGCCCGGTCTTGTCTTTCACGAGAGCCACCAAGAGACCTGGAAGTCGCTTCTGCCGCTTCTGTAGCGTTGCCGCAACTCTCTTCGTGTTCTAGTTACAGTACTATGTAAATCGTAGCCGTACTCTGGGCGGTGTCAAGCACTTTTCTGGGTCGCTCGCTCGCCTGGACTGACAGTAGCCGAGCAGAGCGGAAAAGAGACTGGATTGTGCTGGACGTACCGCAGTTCTCGCATGAACTTTTACATGCCAACCGTACAGCCGTACACATATACACACATACGCTACGTACAGTAATACCGTGCTCTCGATACGCCGCGCCGCACTTCTGCCCGAAATCACCTCAACCGCATGTGCACTATGTATGTGGCCTGTTCGGAAGCTTAAGAACAGCCGCCTGCATTATAATCCATCATCCTCACCAGCCCTTGCCCGCTCTGCGTTCCAGATTGGCTTTTTCCTCCTGCCCGTTTCTCGTGCCCTTTTCTTCGTCTCGTCACGGCCATCATCGGCAGAGCAGACATGGACCCCGTCTGGCGATAAGGCACCATTGCGCGTAATAACAATAGTAAGACTCATACATGCACATCCTCCGCAATCCGTACAAGGCTTGGATGGATACTACAACAAGGCCCGACTCTCTCACAACGGTTCGAGCTTAGCCTCTTCCAACCAATCGTGGCTATTCGACACCGGAATCCCTTGGTCTTGGTAGATTCCCCAGCTGCGCCCATCTGAGAGCAGGACCCTGCTTGGAGGGGCAGGGAACGGCGGCATCTGACTGGCCCGTGGCACGGTGCGCCGCTTGTGAATCGACCGGTGCTGGCAACTTGCAGGCATCCCGGTCGCCGTCTCGCTCGCTCGCCGTCAGGCTGCCGGGGGCTGGGCGCTCGATCTACTGCACTGCACCCTGCCGAGTGCCCATTTCTTGACTAGCTACCACCTAACCCACGTCCCCAGTACCCACGCACCATGGCACGGGCGCTGCGCTGGTTTGGCTTGGGTATCTGTGTGCGATATGACATGTACTGTAGGTGCAATTCATCTACATATTACCGCCATGGGATGAGTCGATCGGTTCTTGCGAGTCCGGCGTCGTTGCATGGGGGCGTTGCACCCAAGCGAGCCCTGATTGCTCCATCTCGCTGCCAGGCCCTGTCTCTGCCAGCTTTAGCGCCTGCATGTAGAATGCACTCGGGGGCAGCTTTCATTCACTGACTGCTCGTTCCCACACACCATCCATCAGGCGTCATGCGTCCTCAATACCCAGAGCTCCGGCCGTTTTGACCATAAACGTGTACATGTGCAGACACTCCGTGTATAGCACGCCGTATTAACATTGGCAATCTAGAATTCATATCGACACCACCCGCATCAGACCAGATGCTGCGGTATGATGCCTCGAGCAATGCTGGACGAGTATTCACAATGCCCCGCGTTATATTCCAGCAACCTCAGGCAAGCTGATCCACCCACCCAGCCGGGGGCCTAATCCACCAGTTTCACATCTCTCTCCTTTCGCCGCTCCCCGAATGCGGTGCTGTAGGTTACTATCCGCGCGGGCATTCGTGTCGGGTCCTCAACTTGGGGAAACAGCTTCGGGGGTGGCATTCACGAGTCAAATAAACTCACGTCAAACGCATGCGGGAGACGATGCACCGTCGTGCTTGAACTCCACCGTTGCTGCGAATCATTTCAATATAGAACGGCTTTCGGCGATAAATAGCCCCCCGAGCAGCACTGTAGTTCCCCTGGCCGGCGGCAACAGCTGCATCGGAGGACATGCGGATTGGTTGCACTGGCCTACTTCAGGTTCATCGGCAGCCCGGCCATCATCGACTGCAGCGCAACTAACCTGCATAGTGATGTTACGGATGTAGTGTCGATTTTTCGTTCTGAAGGTCTAGATCGAATCACGAATGCGAGTCCATAGGCATCGAGTATTGGGACCTCGCCAGAACAGCCCAAAGAGGAAGTTATACCATAATGCGGCCTTTCCCAGATGGGCCCTATGTCTTCCTTGGCCAATCAAGCCATTCTCAAAATCACCCGAGTGTTGACAATAGAACAGTGGCAACGGACGGCTGGGTGTGTTTCTCTCACTTATGACAAAGCTTAATAACTGTTCTCCGGACCACTTATGTGTGTGTGTGTGTGTGTGTGTGTGCTACAGTACCATGCTCTTGCAACCGACATTCAGGCGACAATACTCCCTGCCGATCGTTGCCATGTGGGTCGGCTTTGCAATCTTAGGGTCTGCACTGTTTGAGCTATTAATACGACACTCCGATGAACCTAATGCCAACTTGTCAGACGCTTAGCCCAACAGAAAGATTAAAGCCGGCATCCAGCATATAGAAATGCCTCCGAAGACAAGCAGCGGCAGCCACTGTTACTAGAATCCGAGGGTATCCTATGCGCGTCTGCCGTCGAGTATTAGCAGCATAGTGTCATGTCGTGGATACGTGACGGCGGCGTTCATGATTACATATCATGTGCAATTGGAAGAAAACGTGTGGATGCGGATGCACCATTTCCTGCAAGTCACGGTGAACGTGTGGAACTATTGCCCTGAGCTCCGGCGGCCAATCACCATCTACAAACCTGGAGCTTGCAACCAGGGATGGTCTCGGAGCTTTAAGCCACTTCCAGACTTATTTGGTTGCCCATGTGGTGCCAGCGAAATAGCAAGGCTCTTGACAACCAAGCGACCACTATGTACAGCTGGATGAGATTTGACCCAAACGCGGCCGTAACCCGTACAGTTACTGAAGCATCATAAGAGTGTATATGGATACGGCGTAGCATTGCGAGTTACTGCTTGGCCACATAAGTTACCTCTTCTACTTTGCCGACTTCAAGCTGAGCTTAGGGCAGCGATAGGTTTTAGCCGTGTTCCGCATGGGGTATCAACGGCTCAACCCACGAGAAACCCCCTGTAAACGCTTATTGCCGCAAGCTCGATGGCCTAGGCACAAGCTGCGCCAGCTCTATGCAGGCCAGCGTCTGGTGATTGGTACCTCTGGGCCCCCCGATAGCCTGCGGGCACAGCGGTCGTCGGATGTTGAGCGGCATTGAAGAGGCTGCTGTCGTGAGAGAATACGCCACTATGCAACACATCGATGAAATCATTGCTTGGCGAGGCGAAGGACTGCGACGTCGAGACCGCCCAGCCTGCAGTGTGGCGTCGTCAAGCACTCCAGGGTCTTTCGCCTTGGATCGACAAGATGTTGGCAACCTCGTCATATCATTTTCGAGACCATTTGAAAAAGGCTGGCAGAAGAGCTAACTCCTGTCCCCACATGGGATACTGAACTTGGAGGAAAATCATGTTCCAACGGTACTTTGTGCTCAACCCTGCACTGGCTGCTGCAAACGTTCTGGTCTTGCATTCAACAGAGCTTCACGAGGCTGCTTCGCACCATTTTAAAAACTGGGGATACGCCGAGGTTGAATGAAGGGTAACTGACTCTTGCAGAGCAAGGATCATTCGACTTTCAGCTTCGCAACGCGGAGCGCATGGGCTTGTCACTGGCCTCGCAAGATAAGTACGTTGCTTCACGTTGTACTTCAACCAGGTCGGGATTCTCCAAATCTCCGAGGGTCACGAGCTCGCGTGCGTATATCCCGGTCAAGAGCACGGGCACAACGCCTTAGCA